TAATCCAAACTGGTCCCTTTTTCCTATCCAATGGCTTCCGTCTATGAGAAATGCGTTATTTTGTTTCGCCTTGCCTTGATCCTTTTCCCTCGCTAATAAGAAGTGACACATGGCCCATGGCCTGAAGAAAATGTGGGTGTATCATAGTCACCGCATTGCAAACAATAAGGACAAATCAATGCAGGTCGAAAAGACAATTAAAGAATGAGTTGAGCCCCAGGCGTTGGGCCGTAATGAGCGAGCTTGCTCGCATAACCACTACCCGTTACGCCTTCGTTTCGTGCAGACAAGAATAGACAAAACACCGGTGCTATGCTGACAATGAACACAGTATCAAGGGCATGGAATCATGCTCCGAGAGACGTTTGAAGGAAGATTAGGCGTGTACGTCAAGTAAGTCCCAATTATCCTTTGGAATAATGTTTCGCAATGCCGTTCGGCGGGTATCAGTAGAAACTATTATAGGAAAAGAATAATACAATATAAGAAAACCTCAGTGTTGAGGCGTGGAGCAAGCTTCGTGAATCCATTATGAATTTAGAGACACGCCCACTTCGAACAACAGCTGCACAAACTTTTTGTGCAGAGTGATGAAGAAGTCTGGTTGGCCAACTAGCTCGGCAAGTCCACGAGCTTTGAGCGCAGAAACGCCGCCAGGACCTCCCATACGTCGGGTGAAGCCACTTCCACCTGTCAGAAAGCTGCTGCCGCTGCGGTCCACGTTCGGCGCATCAGCGGTGGATGATGATGCCGCCACATGGCTGCTCGGTCCACCGCTGTGCATGACGCTGCCGATAGGAGACGATTCTGCAGTGCGCTCTGCCTCGGCCTCGGCGAGGGTTTGGATCCAAATAGCGAGCTCGCGGAAGGTAGAAGAAATCCCGGTGAATGACTTCATGGCAAGTCTCTCTTTGTGAGTGCTGAGAGCCAAAAAGGCGTACACACGTTTATGCCCTCGAGCATGGACATCGGGAATTCGAAAAATGTAGGCCGTAGTATATCCAGTTGCAGAATCTCCGAAAAAGATGGCCCCGCCCGATGCAGCCGCCCCGGCGCTTTGAGTGGTTACAAAAGAGGGGGAGTTGTGATGCTGGGGAGAAGACGTTGGCGTTATAGTTGAAGGAGCTCGAGGAAGAGTTTCAAATGTCAGAGCTCGCAGGCATGAAGCTCGAATCAGGGAAAAGGACTCGGCGAGAATCGGCTCATGGGTAGACGTATAGTCTACGTAGTGGATATGACTGGGGTGGCGTTCCGAAGTCGTGGATGTGCTAGAGCACGACGTTGTGCGCGAGCTCACATTAGACACGTTTCTTCTACTGCGTGCCTGTCTAGGCAGGTCATGATCCGCGTCAGTATCACTAGATGACTGCGAATTTGGCGGCGAGGCGACTGGATCGACAGGAAGAAAGACACGCTCAGCTGGCGCACGGGTACGCAAGGTTGGTGATCGCGTGTCAATAACATCCTCCGGGACTGCGGCGGCATTCTGCTGTCGGCGGGGCAACGTCATAGCGCAGTTGTCGCAGGGGCCTTGTTTCCGGGTGACAGTTTCGTCATAAGTCCTGCGATAGCTCGAGTCCCGTCGTGGCTGTTGAGACAAGGGTCGTGGGCTCTCAGGAGGTGTGTCGAGACCTGTTATCGCTGAGCCATCTTTGGACGCGCTAGGGCCAGTGCCTGGAGATCGACGCAGGGCCGGGCGTTGAGATTGGGCATCTTGAGATAGGTTCAGATCTCGAATACCGTCGGCAAGTGCGGCTGAGGTTGTTCGAAGCTGCGATTCTGGTGCGGCTGGGGCGGAGCGCGGGGGCTTGTCGATTGTTACGGCTGGACCCTCGTTACATGTACTGCAAGCTGCCGCCAGCCCTTCGGTGACCATCAGGGGAGTCGGCCCATGGATGTCACAATAATGAGCCAGACATAACTGTAGATTAAGCGTAAGCAAAAGTGTCAGATCCATGATCTGCTCAGAAGAAATTTTTGTTGACCGAAGCGAGTGAATAGGTAGCCAGGAGAGTCAGAGTTATGAGATGTAAGAGAAGGGATATAAAGTGAATATGGGTCGACTTTCCCCAAGGGACATGTCTAGATGACGTTGAAAACTAATAACCGGCTGCTGCTATGAAACCATAGGGCCACAGCGAGATAAGAGGAAATGCACTCGCACAGGCAGCAAGGGCGTCCCTTGACCCCTTGAAGTAGAGTTGAGAAGCGTGCGGAATAACAGCGACACGCAGGAATGCTTGTGATATGAGCCTCGACCAAGCGTGTCGCAGCCCTTATTCTTGGCTCTCCTAGAGGCCAGGACACTCGTCCAATGGGACCAATCATTCAAGCATACATAGCATCTGGAAGGCAACTGTGCTCCCCCGACTCACTCCAGCAAGGTTGCGGGCAGCATGGATGAAGCCAGTAATAGAAGTCATGTGGGTAGCATAGGAAAGCAGACTGGTGGAAGCGGTGTGTGCGAGTGAGCATGTACACTTCCGAGTCTGCATATAACAGACATCGTGCACCGCTCCGCTGCCGACCAAAGGTGACGATGGCGACGGTCATCATGGTGACGGCACTCGAGGCTGCCAGCAGCCCCCAACGCACACTTCCAAGCTGCAGCTAGCAAAAGGCCAAGCCGGACGGCCCATCGCCAACAAGACCAGGCGGGCAAAGCTTATGTAGGTGAAGAGCCAGTAGGTTGACCAGCAAGCAAGACGAGAAATGTGATAATAGGGGAAGAAAAAGAAAAGAAAGGCTAAAAAGGGGGACCGTTGCGTTGGAGGTTGAATGTGGCGCTGTTCGATTGGAGAGCCATGTCGAACACGAAGTGCAGCTTTGGAAGATGAGTTGGGTTGCGCATATGCACATGCTGCATAGCGGACCAGGATTGCATGCAACATGCATGAGAGAGGAGTAAATGGCATTGCATTGGGCCATTTCGAAAAGGCTAAGCAGGGAAGCGAGAGAGGGAAGCGAATGGAGGAGGACGGAGAAGCATGTGACGTGCAGTAGAGACATTCTGACGCAGATATGAAGCGACTTACAATATATGTCATGGCGCACGTAGTTGAGCGGTACAATGATATCGAGTGGCCAAAAGAAGAAAAAAAGGTAAAAAAAGAAAAAAAGCAGGAAAAAAAAAAGGAGACGAGGTAGACGTGGTCCACGCGGGAAGCGTTGAAAGCTAGGCCACGAGATAGCCTATGGTCGTCGTGCAAATAAGTATTCCACGATTATCTGCAGCAGCGTTGGTGACAGATGATGATGGTATTCGTGCGTGGCTGCAGAGAATATCCCAACGACCTGCGCTTGAGCCCAATGTTTTTCTGCGAGAGAAAGGAGTCGAATGTTGGTCGTCGACAATCCGTTTGCAAGCTCTTTGTATGCCGGCGTACACGAGGACTCGGGCGTGCGTGGGCTGGGAGGCCCTGGTCGGGATGATTAATTCCAACGTTGGACGTGGGTGCTTGGTAAGGCTGTAACCTGGTAACAGGTCATAAAAAAGCCGTCGATGTAAGTCGCACTCGCCACTCTGCGCGTCCAGCCGCGCAGGTTTCGTCGCTCCCTTGGTCTGTCTCACTTTTTTCTGAGACACTCTGTCGACTACTTGATACAGAAAACTGACGTCTCCAACACACGTTCAAAGCCCCGTCTTGCGTAGTGTGTGGGGTTGTGTGCGTGAAGTATCGAAAACGGTAATCTCGTGACCTGGTAGAAGCTGATGGGAAAAAAGAAGGAGAAAGAAATGCCTTTCGAAGACGGGAGGATTAGATGCCGCGATGAAGAAGATGCAGATAAAAGCAACGAGACCAATTCCGTCGAACCCGACGAGGCCCAATGCGCTGTGAATGGTAATAGCCTGGGGCGATGAGAAAGAAAGAAGATGGGAATGGATGGGACGAAGTAGAAGAAGGAAAAAAAAAAAAAAAGAGGAGTGACGGAATCCTTGTAAGCTTGGGGGAGCTCTTCGGGAGCAAATGGCAGGAAGGAAAATGAGATGCCGGTGCCTTTCAATTGAAGGAGGCTCGCTGGCTGGCTATTTTCGTGCGTGCAGGGCCGGCAGTCTTGATTGATTAAAGATGGGGTGGTCTAGGCGCTTGCGGTGGGGACCGCCAGCCAGCACCAGCACCAGCACCAGCACCAAGCCGCAAAACAAGTCGTTCGACGTGGGTACTTGGCAGGTACTTGTGCGATTTGATTCGGCGGCAGGTGGCGACCGGCGTAGTGCCGTGGTGCCCTGCTGGCGTTGACTTTTGTGCTTGGACATGGCATTGTCTGAACGATGCTGCTGCTGCCAAGGTGCTGCTACAAGGTCCTACTGCCGGCGCACAGCATTGCGAGCAGGGAAGCGCTGCTGTATGCAGTGCGTAGATCGAAGTAGCCGTCGACCAGGCTTGAGACGCAGGCGCAGCTCGGAGCAGGCGTGGGAGCGGCGACAGCCGGTCCTTGTTGCTGCAACGGGACACAGTATGTGGCTCGCCCTGATATGCCTGTGCCAGGCCATGGACAAGCATCTGCTCCACGCTCCACGCTCCATGGCGACGTCCATCGGCCTTTCATTCGACGTCAATCTCCTCCGCAGCTCCATCCCGTCCACCCACGGCGCAGCGGCGACTTTGCCAGCTGTTCACGCGCAATTATTCTCTCGCACAGAGGCGATGCGGCACTGGCGGTTTAGCCTCTCCAGCCAAGGCCACACGGCCGAGTAGGGAGCCGTGCCGGTGCCAAAAGGCGCTAGGGTCGACGACTTAGTTTCGCTCAAACTCTCATTCGCCGTCTTGCCCGAGTACGGCAATTCCAGCCGTCGCATTGAACTCTCTTTGATGAACAGGGCAGTAGGCACTCCATCCCCGGCGGTGCGATGGCAGAGCACAGAGTTTCAAAAGCCGCCGTGCATGACTGAGTAATCATCCAGCGTGTTTGACCAGCAAGCGAGGGTGCGGCAATGGATAAAGTTCCTGTGCCAAGCAGCCGGGGGCCGCCCAGCCAGGAACGGACAGCGCATTAGGCAAAGCAAAGGCGAGCGGCCTCGATGGCATGGGACGCCTGTAGGAGGGCACGGCTCCATCAAGCCGCATCAACTCCGTGCGAGGCGAAACTGTGCCGGGCATGCCTTATTTTGGGCGGTCGTTTTCTCCCGAGGTCCCGGCCGCCGAACCAAACGTTCCTCGCCAGTTTCCAGAAAGAAAAATAAGTCGAGGGCTAAAGGCTAGCCGCCGTTGGTCCAGCGAGGCCCTGCAACCGCCCCATGCGCTGCGGAGTCGGGCTAGCAAGACGGCCTTGGTTTCTTTCAAATCCAAAGACCAAGCACCGCATGCATGTGCCTCTGTCATCTTTCACTGCCGCTTTGATTCGTCCGTCCTGCCCGTTGCTCGCCCCGTTGGGACATGTCAAAAGCCAGGCACCGGTCCAGGGCAAGGCGCCAGACACCAGGCAGGTTCGCTCTGGTTCCATAGCCATGCCTGGCACCGTATAGTGGCATGTTGCAATCTCAAGCTCGCACGAGGAGTTGACTGCCAGGTAGCAGGTAGGCAGGCAGACGGAATACTTTCAAGGGACTCGAAATGTTCTCCTCCAGAGTTCGCTCATCCTGAGAGTGCCTGCACAAGTACTTGCTCGGTACTTCATTGGGCATAGTACCCGCACCTGGTGCCAGCACTAGCAGCACAAGCGCACTACCTTAGTAGTTGCACTGCTTGTACTACTTGTACTGCTTGTCCTGCTGTGCTGCTGGTGTGTTGGGCGTGAAAGGCTCGACTCGACGCTTTGAGGTGTCGGCCATGCCCGAATCGGCGCCGGTTTCAAGAGGCACGGCTCCATCGCCCCCATCTTTTCGTCTTTTTCGGGGGGCCGTCTTGTCCAAGCAACAGAGCTAGGCTGCTAGCTGTCCGGGTGGCACAAGGACGCGTGCTAGCAGTATTCGTATTGTTGCTGTTCGCCATTTCCGACGATCAGCGCACTGGGCCCGGCACATCAAAAGAGGCTGAATAGCGAGAGAGAGAGAAAGGAGAGAAAGAACAATGGCCGCCGTCTTCGCTCTCGCCGGAGCTCCTCAGGCAAAGGGAATGCAGGCAAGTATCTCCGCCGGCGCATGTGCGCTGAACTTGTTCTCCATATTATGAAGCCGCGTCCTGTGATAGGCTGAAGCTCGTCTTGACGCCAACTGTCACCGGATGGAGACGGCAGCTTCAAGTCATTCGCTCTGTCGGGAGCAGAAACCCCGTACCTGCAGATCTAGCTAATTGGCACTCATTACCAGGTACTAGGTAAAACTACCTAGTAGGTAAGCCAGGCTACTGTACTTGATCCTTCTTATGCTCTTGGTCGTACGATGGCTTTTGCCCTGGGTTGCTTATCCTGCGAGTCTTGCATACTATTACCTCTTGCTACTACTAATAGTAGCGCTTTTAGTTGCAAGGCTATCTCACCTTGCTCTTTTCTCGCTGTATTACCCGGCAACGTAGCACCTAATGCCAGCCACAAACCATAGCGTCACTTTTGCTACGAGCAGGCAGAGCCCAGGTCGCAGATACACGATATACCCGTTTGGTGGCCCTTGTCAGGGCCGCTGCTATTACAGTACATAGCATGTGCGAGGTGCCAAACCACGCCTTGTAGTCGAGTAGCTGCCGTATTTGTACGCGGGCCAAGGTGCTGTATGTAGTATATCACTTGTAAAGACTTGTAAAGTATGACATGTAAAGTTCGACATGCCAAGTACTACATAGTAGGTATGACACCCAAAGCTCGACTCGCAGCGGCTTGGATGCAAGGCCTGGCAATCAATATATCATCCAAGTGCTCGTGCAGCGTCTCGTGCCGTATAAAGCACCGCTGGGTCCCCTGTCGCGGTTTCCGCTCCCTGTCGGTACTTTCGGAAACTTGGCGACGTCGATTTGCGCGCTCGCTTGTTCGCCTCCTGGCACCCACTTACATGCGTACCTTGCACAGGCAACTCTCGAACCAGCGCCACGACTCGGGTTCCTGGCTGCGACAAGGGCTACACAATGGATGCATCTTCGTTTTCGTTCCCGGCAGTATTTGACATGGAGCCTCTTCAAGCCAAGCTAGGCTCGCCTGCTGCTGCTGCTGCTGCTGGTCCGTATCGCCCACGTGGCGTCGGGATTGTGAATATCATCGGCCACGGGTGCTCTCGAGCCCGAAAGCGCATTTTCATCACCGCCTCATATGGAGCACGAAGCACAAGAAAGCACGGCCAATCCTGCGACTGGGCTGCTGGGATACGGATGGATATTCCGCCTCCAGCCTTCTGGCAATCAGCCATACAGACTGTATCGCCCTGTCGCGGCACGAGCAGCCAGTCCGAGCACAAAGAATGCTCGTCGCACACCATCTCGGCCTGGGATCTTGCAAGCACCTATGGATATCACGCCGCCCCAAATTTTCCTCAAGCCGCTCGTGCGACGCGGCATATAAAGTCTGCGTGGTGTGAGGGGTAGCAAAGGAAGATGACGGCCTCCTTTCAGCAGCTGTGTGTGTGCTGCCCTCGGTGAAACTCGTCCAGGATTGGTGTCCGCAATCCACCGGCGCAGCAGGCAAGAAACGGCATCTTTGCCCGGCCCTGTGCTCCGCGGGGAGGAAAGAGAAAAAGTGCATGCCATGTATAACAGCGAGGAAGAGCCAAACATGTGAAGCTGGCGCAAAGATGGGAGCCGGAGTGCAGGTTTTGCGTCCGGAGCGGAATCCCGAGCACGGCGCCAATTCGTGCCCAGAACCGCATCCCTTACCCCATGGAGATGGCATTCTGGCTTTGCATGCGTGACCGCGGCCCCCGGCCAGGCGTTCTGCGAATGGTCGCAGATTGAGCTTCAAGGGACAGGGGCAGGGCCTCTGCTCTCAGCTTAGCTTACCCATCAGTCGGGGACGCACATGCATGTGGCATGCGTGTGGCATGCGCCGTGGGCAATGCAACCAAGCCATGAACGCCTTGTGCGAGCCATGTGTGAGAATACACAGTCAGCATCGGGGCTGCGCTTTACCAAGACTTGCAGTAAGCTTGCGAAGCCGTCGTCCTCTGCACTCTTCGTTGCGATTCGGCTTACTGCCAAGATGGTAACTATGTTAGTACTACTAGTATTACTTGCGTGTCCTGGTACAGGTACGAGCAAGCCTCCCGTCTAATATGGAGACAATATCGCCAACCGCGCACATTGACTGGGTATCCTGTCGATACGTCAGAGCTAGCACCAGACCCTTGCAACGAGAGGTTACCCGATGGGGAAATTGCGTGAGCAACGCCGAAATAGCTTCAACCACCAAAAAGTCGATGATGGAGATGAGCAGGCCGAGGGTCGACATCGTCCGAAACAACTAGCCTGTCGATCGTGTCCCGAGAGCCTGCTTTATTTTCGGTCCTTTTTGTCATCCTCAGCGCGCCCGAGTGCCGAGTCTTCGGGTTCATCTAAAGAGGACTCTCTCTACTGTACTGCAGAGTGCATGATTTGTTATTACTACTACTAGGTATCAGGGGCGACGTGTGTGCGACTCTGCGTGGAGTTGTCGGCAGTATGTAAAAGCACGGTATGGAGCAGGTACTCGCACTCGTAGGTCGTGATCTGACGTGGCTGGATTGACAATCTTTATACGAAGAACAAACTCCTTAACGTAAGCATAGTGGCGAACGAGGCAAGGGAATATCGAGACAGTATGTACTACTGCTACCCTAATTACTCGGCAGAGGAGCCCTGCTGTGCCCTGCTGTCGGCTGCATTCGTTAAGCGCTTAATATCAGGCGATATAAGGCTAAAAACGAAACCCGGAAATGAGGCCTTCCCGATGCAAATCGTGCTAAAATGGTATTCCCGTAGATCTCACGCGGTTTGATTTGACAGATCGCATTTTGCAGGACAAGGATATCCACTTGCAGCAGAGGTCGTTTCGAGTGCTACACTGCACTGTAGATACGATACATTCAAGTACCTGCTTATGTGCGGGTTCCATTGTATAGCAGCGCAGATGCAAGTAAAGTTATGGTGCATTACAATAGCTCGAATAGAAACACTCCTGTCAACTCGACTCAACGAATGAGTGCATAGGTTACTAGATCTGAGCGTTACATGGTCCATTTTATTTCTCTTAATAGATTGCTATGTTAACTTTAAAAACAACTTAAACTCTGTCCTGTGATCTTATCGCCATATACTAATGGTAGCAGCATGTATGTACCTAAATTTGCCAAAGGAGGTAGCAATCTTGCTATTTGCCAACTCTGCTGCTTATAGGTGGGCAGGGCATTCAGGCATTCAAGCATTCAAGCTCCACCGCCCAACCTTCGTCTCTTTAGGGATTGAGGAATCTCCACAACAAGAGTCCCCGACGACGCACGTTTATAGCCAGCTGTGGTGAGTTTTGTCTGTTGAACTGAGCTACAGCCACCGTGTCGCACGCTCTCTACAGATGTCAGAGGCGTCGAGTCCCTAGAAACAGTCGTCTGGGTCGTCGTAGTATTGGGAGTAAGGGTCCCAGACTGGGAGGCCGACATGATGTCCGATACGATGGGCTCATACGTAGCATCCATTGCGTCTGTCTCTCGCGCAGCTTGTCGACGACGACTTGAAAGCCCGCGCTTGTTCTGTCTTTGTAGACTCGTAACCCATGCTTCGCGGAACGTAACCCCGAGAGCGACGGCGACTTGCCTTGCCACGCTGTTGCCAACGATTTTATACTGCGTCGCGGGGTCGCCCAGGAGGACCTCTTCGTCGCGGAAACCCTGTGCCCTTCGTGCTTCCATGACGGTTATGAGCCTGTTTTCTCGCCAGTGGAGCACTCGCCCGTTCTTGGCATCGGTTGGGGTTGTCGCCGTCACAATCGTCTCAAACAGCTTGTTTGGGAACATTCTCCCGTATGCCTTCGAGGCAGGAAGCGTGTTCATGGGTTGTTTCGAGGACGAATCGCTCGCCTTGGCAAACATGTCTCGTTCAGCTGCCGTCATTGTGCCCGCGCCGGCTTGTGCTTTGGATCGGGCTTCTCCATACCAGGCCTGCGAGAAGTCCATGCCCCATGGCTGAGTTGGTACGGCAGATATGCGAGCTCGCTGCGTTCTGGTAAAGCCTCTCGTGACGCGGTGGTCGGGATATGGAACGCAGATATCAGGCTGGGCGTCGTAGATGCAAGGCAGGTCTGACACCGCTTCTTCTGCGGACACGTACTTGAATGGAGTGGTTTTGGCCATTTCCCGAGCTGCCATGTGTTGGCCGTTGGGCAGGTATCCGATGCCGAGTTCTCGCGTGTTTGGAGGATGCGAATGCGTTTGCGCCGGTTTCTTTGGTAGCTCGAGGCCAGGGGCGGCAAAGACGACAAAGATGCGAGATCTGCGCTGTGGCGACCCGCATGACGATGCGTCAAGGAAGAAGAATTGCGTCTGGTAGCCTAGGCCGACTAGAGCGCAGATAAGCTGGCTGAAAACATCTTGGTCTCGTGCTGTTTTCTTGTTGACTATGCCGGGCACATTCTCCAAGACGCCATATTTTGGCCGGTAGAGGTCTATGAAGGATGCAAAAGCTGCGACAAGCGACTGGTTCTTCCTCTGTGCTGCGGTGGTCTTGTCGTTGGTAAGAGCAGAGAAGCCAGGACAGGGGCTGCCACCAGACACAAAGTCGACATCTCCAATCTTGGGTACATTCTTTGCGAATTCGCCTTGCATAGACAGTCGTTGCAAATCGTCAATGGAGCCGAGAAATGGATGAACGTCTTCGGGGTTTTTTACATTCGCCATGTAGGTGTGAATTGCTTTACTGTCATAGTCGTTTGCCCATTTCATTTGAATGCATCCGCCATCTTCAAGACCCCTGCCAAAGTTACCTCCTCCACAGAATAAGTCAATTCCACAGAGTTTTTCTATTGCTTGGAGGGGATCATATCCTTGATGCAGAGAAGCTGGTGCTCTTTCCAACGGGATGTAAAATGCAGTTCCGCCAATGAAAATTTTCTGGTGAGTGATGTAGAAGAGATTTCCCGTACCATCACGATCATATGGCGTAGGGATTTTATCACCATCTCGAAAGAACCTCACTGAGCAAGTGGTTAAGATTTGACTCTTCTTCACTTTGACAGTTTGCTCGCTGTATACAAGCTCGTTTGGTCGCGCGTTCGGAGCATTTGGATCAACTTGTTTACGGCGCAGAAGTCGTCTGAATTGATAAACTCTGGTGCCGCTTTCTCTAAAAGAGGTTATAAATTCGCAAGGTTCTGAAATGGCAGTACTTAGATCCAAGTGCAACAAATATGGCTGTCCGGGTCGATATGCCGGTGTGGAGTTCGTCTTAGATTGTACCCAAGTATGCTCACACCATAAGTGGCTTTCCTTCAAAGTCACCCATCTTCTTTCTTCTTGGAGATAGGTCTGACGGCAAAAGAACTCTGCTTTTGTCGTGGATGTACCCCAAAACTCGACGTCATGGACGCCGAGAATCTCATTTTCGTCGATTTTGGATGGCTCGGAACAAGAACAGTGGTCTGAGAGGAATAGTTCATTATTCCATGGATATTTCATCAAACCACAGAGTGTATCCACTGGCCGATAGTACCAGATCACATCAAACGTGCGCAGTCCATTCCTGTTAACGTGGACAGATTGTACCAGGGCAAACCATCTGTCAACGTCTGAGAAGCCCTTGGATAGTTCTCTCTTCCATAACGTCCCCGATGCCACATCATCCCGGTGGGTTGATATGGTGTCGCCTGGTTTAATATTATTGATACTTTCTTGTGATGGCGCAGACAGATCCTTGGCTATCTGATGCAAGTTTGACGGGTATTCCAAGTGCCTTTGTCGGATCAAATCATTGCGAAGATTAGTAGTCTCTATACTCAAAGGGATGACCTGAAGACGATCGCCAAACGGCAAATGTTCAAAGCAATCGAATATGTACTGAGTAACGATTGTTGGGGGATCTGCTTTCATAGGCAAGCTCTTAAACAGCTGAAATTCCAAAACTTCAGCCCATATAGTGTGAAAGGAAGATTTGAGGTGACCCAGCACTCCTATAGTCTCCTTGTAGAGAAATTTGATGTTAGCAACAACCGAGCTTCGATAGTCTTCGCTTGGGTGTTGGCTTAGCCACTCAATAAACTCTGGGGATTCCATGTGGCTCTTCCTCAGCCATGCAGCAAAAGTCGATCGAAAGTGATGAATAGAAACCTTGCGCCTGTTTTCCCCCATGATGCAAAGAAAATCCACAAAATGTTTCGCCAAATCCGCAACCCATAAGAAGGGGTAAAAGAAACGCCCATATTCCCTTGCCGGGTTTCCCAATTTGTAAAATAACGCCTGTTTAGAACCTAAAGAAGACTGTAGCCAGATGTTTCCCTGCACAGTGCGCTTAGAGAGAGAGCCGTAGTTTCCGATGGGAACCGCAACTATCTGTACACGACGCACATATACTCTCTTGTTGCCAATGCCAAGAAAGCCGTCAAAAAAGAAGTTTTTGTGTCTATTTTTTGTGTTTAGGTGATGGAGAGACCGCATCTCTTCCGGATAGTCGTTGGTATCGAGGTATATTGAAAAGTCATCGAGCAGTATCTCTGTGAAACCCTGAACTCGATTATTTGTCTGCGATTTATCCAAATATGGGGAGAGCGTTTGAAGAGCCCTCCTCTCGGGCATGATTGGCATGCCATTGGGAGACTCGAAGCCCACATAGCTAGATTTTGGTGCGGGTAGCAGGCATTCAGGTATATCAACATTAAAAAGTGTAGTTGAAGATGGGTTGTCAGTTGAGTGTGGTTGGCGACCACCCCGACAGGGACTAGCTGATGAAGGATCAGTAGCTTCGGAGTCCTCAATGCTTGAGCGGAATGAAGGCGGTGAGCTAGGACGAGATAAGGATTGGCTTGGCTCGATAGGACCAGTCAGGGTCCTGTTAGAGTCCAATGTAGTGTCGTCCAAGTCAAGAGGTAGCAATCGATAACAGGTAAAAGGCGATGGCGATGCTGATCTGCGGCTGTTGAAACTTGAGACGGTAGCGCACCAGGCCTGAATCCTGGAAGCATTGGTTCTCAAGCAGATTTCAGCTTTCTTGGTTACAAGTTTCCTTCTTGGTGAAGCAATCAGTTTCTGAGCTGCGTTGCTGGACACTGCGCTGTGCTCCATCCTCCCCCCTTTCCAGGCCCCTTTCCAAATCTCAAAGATAGACAACAAAACCGGATGTTGATTATTAGCCACGGAATTGAGTCAAAGCAAATAGGTCGTGATTATGGCGAAAAGAAAGCAGAACAATTACCCCTAGACCGGTTGTATGACTCCAAGTGAAATCCCAAAAGAACAGAAAAGGGGAGTGTCAAAACTTCAAAACCAAATCAAACTCCCACCAAAATTTGCAAATGGCCAAAGAAAAAAGCAGGAGGGAAAACAGAAATGAGATCAAAAAGGATATATGCGACTCGAGAAAGGAATTCAAGAACAAAAATGGAGTGCTAAATTGGGACTCCGTACTCTGCCAGCTGCAGGCGGCTGCAGCGATTTGGTAATAAGTCCACTGGGGGGAAAGCGGGTGTTTGCAGGTGAGTCTAGCTGAGACGAAGGATTTCGAGATATTTCCGTAAAACAAGATAAAAGCTGCGGTAAAAAATTGGAACCGCAAAAATGAAAACTGAGATCCTGCAAGTCGAAATACTCATGTAACCTTAGGTAGCAATCAAGAGCATACTCGTATCATAATCTGATCTTGTATCCGATGGTATCCGAGGGTATAAGAGAGGCTTCGAAGACGACGTGCCAAATCTTCGGAAGGTTTCTCGGAAGGCTTCTCGGCATGAAACCGAAGGATGAGGGGGAGAATAAAAGGACGAGCCGTAAACCGCAAAGGTGAAAGGCCTCTTTGTTCTTGGGAGGGATGGCTATTTTTGGGCTTTTGAGATGCTTCCTTAGCTAGCTATTGGCTTTGTGGAGAGAAAACAAGAAGAGAATGAAAGAGGATTGAAAAGGAAGAAAAATTCAAAAATAAAAATGAAATGAAATGAAAGATCTATCCGATGATACCTGTAAAGTCATGTAAAAGTGAGGATGAAGGTAGCCAACTTGGGCCTATTGTTTCATAACATCGCAAATAAGACAATAGACTCAATAGCGTAATGCATGCTTCATAAGAATAAGAACCCTGATTGTTTCAAGCACAAAAATATATCGCTCTCAAGTCCATTCCGCTTGAGTGTATGTATTGAATGTCCGTCCCATCCTGAAGAACGCCATGTATGCATTTCCCATCAAGCCCACGCCATGGTAGATCCTATCTCGCACATTGTCCCGAAAATGATATTACCCGCCCAATCCCTTATTCCTTCATCTCTTTCTTCGGAACCGGCTATTATAGCCTGGTCCGCCTTTGGCACCATTGTTCCGCAGCTTCAGCCGTTGGAAGTTTGCATGTGCCAGCTGGTTCACTTTGCGGGCTGCCTTCTTTACCACCCCTTCTTCCTTGGCGGGCTTCTTCTCAGTCTTCGCATCCTGGGTATCATGGTCATCTTCAAACTCGCCATCAGACTCGCCTGCGACATCTGATTTGTCAACATGAGCTTGGGTATCTGGAATGGTATCTTGACCATCTTCATCTTCATCTTCATCACTCCCGTTCTTCTCAGCCAGGTTTGTTGGTCGCTTAGTTCGAACCGGCCGCATGTTTACTCGTCGTGTTGTTCTCTTCTGCCCCTTCTTCTTAAACACCCTCATTGGTTGTCCGTCACGATCCACAGCATCTTCTGTAGGGCTGTCATACAACCCCTCATCGTCGAATCCACCTAAAGGCAGCTGTTTAGCCTGGCTATCTGGCTCCAAAATGTCTTGCTTCGGCTCCGGCTTTTGTATCTTGATCATGGGCGGAGGAGGGCCACCAGATTCCATTTCGGCCTCGACTGCGCGCAGCGCCTCAAGGTCATCATCCAGCTGTTCCTCCTCGACCTTTCGAAGACTGGCTACGATTTCGCTCAAGCCACGAACCAGAGGCTTTCGCGGCAGCCTTAGAGGTGGAGCATCAAATGTTGTGTTTTCGTCTAGTGTTGGAAGTGAATGCCTCTTTAGAAATGCAGGGGTATCAAACTGGAGCTTGGATACGGACGTGGGCGTTCCGGCCATATTCTGTCCTTCCCTCTTCTTCATTGGTGTCGAAAACAGCTTTCGTTTGCTGGCAGAGCTTGGAGTAAGTCCTAGTTTGACTATAGCATCTTCGCTTAAGTTGCTTTTGCGCTTGCTAGGAGTTGCATGGGAACTAGCAGGGCGACCGATCTCCTTCACCCCCTTCAACGGACTCTTGAACTCTTTTTCCACCAACAGATCAAACAGCCCAAGGACTTTCCCGTCCCGCTGAGGTGTCGGGCCAATGGCTGTCACAGGTGCAGGGCTAAAGAGCTTCCTGGAAATAGCCGGGCTATTCATATATTCGTCGCCGCTCGGGGCCAGTCGTTTCGAAGGTGTCTCGGCATGTTTTGCTCGCTTCATTGGAGTCTCGGCCGCCGATACGTGAGCTGCTTTACGCTTGTCATGCTTGCTTTTGGGGGCGGAGGCGTCTGAGAGAGGAGCCAGCTTTCCAGTTATTATATCGCGAAGCTTGTTATAGTCTTTATACTTCTGGGCTTTTGCGAGTTTAGCGAGGGCAGATTGTAAGTGGGCAGTTAGCATGCGAGCTTACCTATATCCGGGTTATTCTTGATGTCCTCTCTGCCTGGCTTCTTCCCGCCATGAGTCTTTGCCCAGTCTCCCTCCCATTGCTTCAGATCAGCTCGCACTTTCTGGGCTCTTGCTTCATACTCTTTCTTTGCTTTCTCTTCCATTGCAGCGTCAGAAGCTGGAGATGCACAGAGGTAGGTATACGCCAATTGAAATCGAAGGCAGTGAATCAGGATATCAGAAGAGACATGTCTTTTACAAGAACGCCAACGGAACTCAAACGTGGCCAAAACAAGAACGAGAGGCAGGTTTATAAAGAAACAGACCCAAAGAGCTGAAGAGGATTTGTTTTGTATACTTGAATCCTCCTTCGTCGAAAAGCGTCATGTGGGGAACTGCAAGTCGCGCACGCAAGCGCGCTGCTTGTCATCCATTAGAAAAGCGCGTCCTGCAGAAGAAGCACTTAAAAACGGCCGCCACCGCCACAGGCCGACCCCACTGAAGCAGCGCCCTGTACGGAGCAGTCCTACAGGCTGTCAATTGCCCCACCAAGCAACCACTAGACTAAGTAATGAAGCGTCGATATCGTAACTTCTCCCATCTTCTTCTCTTGCATCTTCACCACGGCATCTTCGTTGCATCCTCGTTATCGTCGCGCTAACCCCATGGAAAGCGGGCTGGTTGATGAAAATGATGAAATACATCGCAAGGTCCTCCAGAATACGCTGCAAGAGGTGGCTGCAAGAGAACAGTCGGATAACGCCACCAAGTGCTGTGTCATCTGCTTAGACACTGTTAGCGATGTCTGCGAACTTTTGCCATGCGGGCATGATAGTTTTGACTATGTTTGTATATTGAACTGGCTTTACGATAAGCCCCTATGTCCCCTTTGCAAGAGGGATGTAACCAAAGTACAACGAGGCCCTCCTGAGCGCCGAGAAACGACCATCATAGAACCGAAGCCGCAGCCATCTTCAACTACGACATACTCCCATCAACCATCATTTCCTCGTCCTAGAGCTAGAGCGGCGAGGACCCCCAGATTTACGGCTCATAATAATGCCGCAGAACGAGTTCAAACCCTTCGGCGTGATGTTTACCTGCATAAGAGATTCTCAAAGCATGTTGGGTCCAACCGGCTCTCTCTATATCGGGAGCTGACACCAAGGCTCTTCTGTAGCGACGAGCATCTCGTGTCTCGGGCACGCATGTGGATCCGCCGTGAACTGCAGGTATTTTCCTTTCTCACAGCTGAGGAGCCTGCTTCTACTTCTGCTACATCTCGTCCAGACGAAGCTCAAGCACGGAGAAGAGCAAACAACGCCGAGTTCTTGTTGGAGTATATTGTTGCAATTCTGAAGACTGTGGATATCATGGGCAGCGCTGGCCAAGCTGAGGACATGCTATCAGAATTTCTTGGACGAGATAATACGCGAGTATTTTTGCATGAGCTACGATCATGGCTTAGAAGTCCATTTACAAAGCTCGAAGACTGGGATCGAGCGGTGCAGTATGATCCGGTTTCAACAGAGGAGTCTCCATCCGGACCGGCGCCAGGGCGGAGCCGAAATGAGGATGCGCCTCAAATACGGCACAATCAGAACCAGGTGCGATCTAGAGGAGACTATTACCGCCCAGGACCAGCTCGAGGCTCCCGAGAAGAGATGCGGAAATCAAGGCGTGAGCCATATACTCGTGGTAGGCGAAGAAAAGAGAGAGGCGCTTAAGGAGTGGCAGTCTATGAGGAGCATGAAAGCTCGTAGGGCAGGCGTATTTGGGAGTTACTTTGGCTGCATAATAGAAGAAAATGATACCCGTACCATAGATAGGCAATTAAAATAGGAGTTTTTAGGCATCTTCATAATAGAATTGCATTAAATTTAGAAGAGCCAGTCGTGGAAGAGGTCTGGATATTGTCTGCCTGGCCCATTTGTTAGTCGAGCGGCGGAAAATCCAGGGCCACTACTGGCAGTTGTTTTCCGCAAAAGATCCGATCCATGTAAGTCTAGATACTAAAACCACAGACGACACGCAACCAGGTTTAAACTGAAACTTGGGATTCGTCTAGGCAGCCGGTAGTTTATTTCAGCTCCTGTTTGTTTAGTTTAGATTAAATTTTTTGGTTCAGATGAATGTGTAGGATAAATGACATATAAGAATGTAGGCATGTCCAACCAAGCTCACATTATTGCACGCCTCTATCAAACAAGACAACGTTCAACTTCTCACCATTCAAACCTCCTATTTTCCCATTCGTAAGCAAAAACAAGAAGATTATAATAACAATAAGTCGAAATGGCAAACTACGACATCAAAATCATCTCCGACACCGTCTGTCCCTTCTGCTACCTCGCCCGAGCTCGCCTCGGCCGCGCCATCGCCCTCTTCAAGAAAACCGTCCCCGGCGCATCGTCGTCCACATTCACCATCCGCTGGCACGCCTTCCAGCTAGACAGGTCCATACCGCAGGGCCAATCCACCAGGGTGCAGGACATCGCCGTAGAGCGCTTTGGCGCCGACCGTCTGGCTTCCAAGCGCGCGCGGATGGCGCAGATGGGCGACCAGGAAGGCTTCGGGTTCACATTCAGCGGCCGCATTGGCAATACGAGGGATTCTCATAGGATGTCGCATCTAGGCAGAAAGTTGGGCGGGTTTGAGCTGGAAGATAGGGTGCAGGTGGCCGTGATGAAGATGTTTTTCGAGGAGGGCGGCGATATCACGAGCTATGATGACTTGGTCGCTGCGGGGGAGAAGGCTGGTATTGAGGGGGGCGTGGCGAGGAAGTGGCTTGAGGATGGATCTGGAGGCGAGGATGTTGATCAGGAAGTGGACGAGATTGAGAAGTTGGGGATGAAGGGTGTGCCGAGGATCTTGATAGATGACAAGTTTGTGATTGAGGGCGCGGATGATGTGACGGACATGTTTGAGCAGCTTTACAAGGCAAAGGAGGAGAAGGACAAGGGTGAGATTCAAGTGCAGGTGTAAGTTGAATAGATAATTATAGATTGTGTTTGCCACTGCTATTCAGCGGGTTGGCGATGTTGTCATATAAAATAGCTAGGATAATATAAGCCATCAAAATGGGCCAAGTCTGCATTATATGGATAAAAGCTCCTCTTTCCTTTTCATCACCCCTCTAACCCTCCATCATTGCAATTTCGGCGTGCTGTGCTAGCCGGTGTAGTACAATTCTATGTAGAGGCAAGCACTCTATCGCGTATATTTGGGGGTATCATAGTTTTTGGTCTCCTAATTCCATAGCCTTACATGTTTCTTAGCCCTCCAATATCTCTCTCCATGGACTTTAGCCTAGCCTGTAACTCCCTCTTCTTCGTCTCCATCTGCTTCGCCTCCTCTTCCTCTCTCCTCAAATCTTCTTCAGTCCACCCATCACTGCCGCTCTGCTGAGGCTCATCCGCTTCCTTGTCCTTGTCCTGGTCCTGGTCCATCCAGTCCTTATTCATGCTGGCCAGCTGCTCAGCCTGTTCAGCCACCTTTGCCTCGTAATAAGCCATTGTATTCTTCCCATTTCGGTATCTGGACCGTAACGCCACAATGCGCTCGCGAGCTCCCGGCAATTCATACACTCCACAGAGCTTCTCGGCACCGCGCAAGAGCACTTCCACGTCCAAGTCGCCCTTGCGATCTGTTTCTCCCCTCCGCAGCTGTTCGTGCATCTCGCCGCCCAGGACTGCCGCCACCGCTGTACGGCGATGGGGCGCCCTTCGTGTCGGCGGGCCCGTCGTTACTTCGCCCGAGGCGACGTTGAAGACTGTTTGCCGGCGGTTCTTGGGTTTGGCTTCGGCTTCGGCTTCGGCTGCTTTTGAGAACTTTGACGCCGTGGCAGCGGCTGGAGGTGGAGGGGGGACAGAGAAAAGAGCGCGTTCGTGAGCCTCGGTGTCTCGGATTAAGGATGTGATGTCGTTGTTGGAGAGCATTGCATTGGCGAATATTTTCGCAGGCGGGAAGCTGTAGGTCTAGTAAGAAAATGCTATTCTACCTTTCACATATGACATTGTCTTACGGAAGAGAGTCAATTCCCTGGCAAGAGCTTTGTATTTGCTCGAGATGAACTGACATCAGAGTTGAGTCCATGGCTTCTGTTGGCCGCGGTCGACGCGTTTGGCGGAGCTAGGGCAATGAAAAGGCGGATGTAGATGTTATCAGGTTGCAGCAAGGACTAGATAGAAAATTGTGAGACACAAAGAAGCCAAAGAATGCTTATACCCAGGTGGTAAGGGCCGTTTATCGCGGGATGTTTTTCGATGATACGAGATTGATAACAGTAGCTTAAGGTACTAAGGTAGTCACAACAAAGTGGTAGCGGTATTGGCGCCCACCCCACCAAGATCTGTGGCAGCTTGGAGCGTCAAACAGCGGTCCACAGCGGGGCTTATCTGCTGTGTCCCGCTCCAAGATAGAAGAGGAATCTACATGTGCGGCGACTTCTAAGTACTAAGGTACCTACTTTATGGAAGGCAAATTTAAGCAGTAGGAATGTCCATCTATTGTCTATCAAGCATCTCTCAGATATCAGCTATATATAAATATCAAGATATCAAGCAAGTCTACCTCCGTCTTCCCGATAATCTGAAATAAAAAAGAAAATCGATAACAAACATGATGCAAGCGCAGTGATCTATCTATAAAGGTATCGAAGAAGGAAAGCCATTTCGATACATGCTGAAACGTAAAAATAATTGACGCAGTGGCGAGCAACTTGGAATGCCTTCGCCTTAGACTTTGCTTTCTTTGCTATGAGGCTAATACCTCGCCTGGTTGGGAATATCCAAATAATTTATCTTGTATATTCACCGTGCCGTATAAGTAAATATCAGCGTCCCATGGGAACTTCGCTTGAGGCTTCGACGTGCCTCTCTAATATTCTCGTTACATCATTCGTCGTCGTGTATAATAAAGCAAGCTCGCTGTCTAATAGCCATGAATGCCCTCTGGAGAGCTCTTGAATTTTTTTTCTTTTTTCCTTTTTGGCTTTGCCTTTTTTTTTTTTTTTTGTGTCATGATTTGTTTTGTTTCTTTCTCTTTATCGTCAACTCGAGTCTGTATCCATAATCTCCATTGCATGGTATGGTAGCTCCTGCGCAAGGCGCATCTCGTTGGCATATTCATCCTCGCTCGAATTGGGCTCTTCTAGCTCATCAATTCGAGGCGCGGGGGGATCCTGGAACAGTAAGCTTCCGCGGTGGACCCTCTTGCGAAATCGCCGAGCGCTGGAGCCGGCCTCATTGACGTCAAGGGCGCAGTCGTTGTCGTCCGAGTCGCTCAGCTCGCTGTGCGTCCTCTTACCGAAGCTGCTCGACATGCTCACTCTTCGAATGCGCTTCAGCTCCTGCTGCCTTCTCATGAACTCCGACTCTTCGTCATCCTCAGTCTCATCATCAGATGCCTCGTTGCTGCAATTAAGATTCTCGAGGTCTTGCATCATGTCTTGGTCCAGATCCCTCTGCTGAGACGCAGACTGGCTTAGAGGCGCCTCGACATCGGATTCACTCTCAATCTCAGTGGGGTAGACGACATCCAGGCCTTCCCACTCACTGTCCATCGGATCCATATCCTCAATCGTAAAGTCAATCGTAAAGTCGCAGCGCTCAGGGATGCTTGTCGCGGGGCCGTGCGCAAGCCTTGCTCGCTTAAGCTTGTCTGTCTCCGCCTCGCAATCAGCCTCAGACTCAGATTCTGCATCTGCATCTGCATCCCCAGATGCATCCAGCTCGTGCAACTCCAAGGCATTCTTTTCGACCGAAGCATCATGTCGCAATCGCTGCGCCGAGGTTGGCAGGCTAACAACGCTAGCGCTATCGGAAGAATCGCCACTAATCGAATGCTCCTTGTCGGCTTCGGACGAGGATGATGATCGCGGGCTCAATTGTTCCAGCGGGCGATAACTGAACTGATGGCCACTCCCATATGGCCTGATATTTGGGTCTTGAGCAAGGGAATTCGCCAACAGGTAAAATGCCGCTGGGTTATCCTTGCGGGGGAAGTCTGGTGAGGTGACAGGAGTGTCGGGCGGTGAAGCTGGGTCCGCAGTCTGCAGCGCGGCCATTTGGGCTGGCGACAGCTTTAAATTTGGCGTTGATGACCGCCTCCGCGGATTTCTGTCGTATCGAACCATGGTCGTGCGTAGTAATAGTAGTAATGGAGGTGGAGAGAAACGTAGATGAGCAGCTCCAGTCCGTGTGAAACGTGTGACCGAATGAGTCGCTGGGGGGCTGTCTCTCTTTTTATCTGGCCACGGGGTAGTTCCGTTGTCTCGGTCCTCTAAGCTGGTCGTGTCTCGGACTAGAGTCGCGAGAAAGTTGCGATCAATTGGCCGCGCGGGCCTTTTTAGATGGCGTGGGGTACTTTTGCTTGGAATGAGAGAAGAGGGAGAGCGAGAAAAATAAAGAGTAGTTTGCTGCGCGGGGTGGCGGCCATCAGCATCAGCGCAGGGGAGAAGCAGCAGGAATCATGACATACAGCGTAGTAGCAGTTACTTGTGATTGCGCAGGAACCAGGCTAATTGCGAGGGGCTCTGCTTTCGTAGTAGGTAACTGATACAGGAGATGGAGACAATAGCGGTGTCAAGGAGTCAGGGTCCCAAGTAGGAACCTCCAGCGTGGAGAAGAAAAGACGTTGTTTGCTGTCAAGGGCATGATAAAATTTCTGGAAGGCCAGGTGCTGGCTGTCGGCGTGTTGGTAACACCTTGATTGACGCCCACGGCGCGGCTACTATAAAACAGCAGCTGCTGGTTGGAGACTTGGAGGGAGAAACAGGGAAGATGGCGCTGGGACGGTGGCGGCGGCGGTATATAGGACGGGAGGAGAGCGTGGAAGAGGGAGGGGGGAACGAAGGGAAGAAACAAGAGGGAGAAACAAAGATGAAGGACGAAAAGAAGAAAGCGAGAAAGGCTGAGGGAACCAGCCAACCGAAAGGAAATGGAAAACAAAAGCAGCGCCAGGCACACAAGGACGGGTTTGGAATAGACGAAAAGGGCCAAATTCAGCCCTGGCGGATCTGCGATCTGCTGCCTGGATGCTGCTGCAGACGAGCGAGGGCTGCAGGCGACAGGCGAATAACCGGCCTTGGCTGGACGGCGAGGCCTTTTTAAGCGGCAGGACAACATGTAACTCCATGTGCATCAGCCGAAGCGTCGGGTCGACGGGCTGACGAACCTTGTTTCAGCGTCTGGAGAAAGGCCGGACGCAATGCAGCCAACAAAAGTGGCGCTGCGGACGAAGTAGCTTGCGGTGCATAAACACCAGAACCACAAAGAGAAACGAGCAGATTTGACAAAGTACGGAGTAGTACTATTGCATGGCGTAGTACATAGCTTAGGTACCTTAGTGATGGTGCCTGTAAGTATAGTATGCACATGGCTACTCCCTGGCCGCATCAGGCTCGGCCCGCCCATCCAGCGCGAGAATAGAAACGACGAAACCCCAACTGTCTTGTGGTGTCTTTCCAAATTGATGCCGTGGTATGTAGCTGCTCACTTGGGCGGGTGGTGTGGCACAGCATCATCCCCTTCCCAGCTCAGAAGTGCGGCCGCGCTGCGAATCTTATCCCAAACCTACACAGCATCACTATTTGCGGCGCATCCATCCCTCCAGCATCTTTCTCCGTCTTCTCGCTGGCGCAATCCTGGCAAGTTCTGACAGTTCCTTGGCGCAATTGGCAGTATGGAGTACAGATCCTACACGTACTACACAAACACCGTACTGCAGGTACGAGTGCCTACATGATCCACCCAGTCATCGGGCAGCAATGCTTCCAACCCATCAGTGGCCTTATTGCCCACTTAGACTGCTCTCAAACCTGCTTTCTATCGAAACAAGATGCACGAATTCCATCTTGGGTGGAAATAACCGGAATCTAATGGGGAAAATTTTTTCTTCCTCTCAAAGTCCCGACCTTCTCTCTTGCGCGCGCGCGTTCGTAAAATGAAACTGCCTGATGAGCCATGCTATTGGCGTGTCCTGGCGCATGGCTGGCTTATTGCGAATCTACGGTTCAGCCATCTTACTTATGGTGCTGCTAGACCAACTTCGTGCCTGCTTCTGGAACAAACACTAATAGCAGCACTACCGTAGCGTGCGGTCAAGGGGTGTGCAGCTGAGCTGCACAGCTGGGCTGCTTGATTGGGTGGCCGCGGCAAATAACCGCATAAAGGATGTGCTCGCCGCCCGAAGAATTGGCTCGTATTACTGGACAATCGCGATGCATGACAAGGCGATCAAGTGAGGTGTGATAACTCCGGATCAGGGGGAATGTGCCAATCCAGGAGGTGAATCTGTCTGTTCAGGAGTTAGGAGAAGTTGGCCATGCGACACGAGTCTAGATGGCAGATGTAAGTGCATTGACCACAAGGCATTTCTCAACATGAAGCATATTGCGTAGCAAACATACTAACCACTAATATCTTATTGACACTAATCCAGCTTAGCTTTATGTTGCTCTAAAGAGACACCATCTGATAGTAAGTGCTCATAGTGATAGAACTGTACACGTGTAATTTCAGCTGCTTGGGATCTTCTCCGCGTCGAGCACTCCCGCAGTATGTAGGCCTATATGATAGCGGAGATAACTACTATAGGTACGCCTATGTTTAATCCACACACCTAGCGATCACAACAATATAGCACTACGGAGCATACGCTAGAGTTTTTAGCAAGCAAGCGCATGCAGCATCCGGAGGACCCACGGAAACAGGAATAGCTGTTGCGAGAAACATATTTATGCAGCCATCAGGGGAACTCTCCACGGAGCATTGCTAGATCATTATGCTCTCTCGCTTCTTTCTCTATGAAGATGGGGGCTATAATGCCCCTTGACGTGTGAATGAGTGCCACTGTTCTTCCAAAGTTGGAAAGAAGGGCCCTTGGTTGCTCTATGAATAGAATTGAATCTCAATAGCGGCTCTGGTTTCAACCTAGTATGCTGTCTTGATGCCCAGCATGTCAATCTATGCAGACTTCTTCTCCAACAGCAATGGCTCCAAGACCAAAGCGCAAGAATTTTTTCCATGATGAATAAGTTTTGTGCTGATGAAATTTCGCGTACTCAAGCATAACAAATGATGGAAGAGAGTCGACTTTATTTAATTTTGGAAGAATATAAATTTGAAGTTGGATATTAGGTTATACATAGAGCCAACTGGAGCCTCTTAAGTCTTACCTGGATGGATATAACTATATTGCATATGAGAACAAAGCTAGCTGGAATTTCGTATTAACTAGAGACTTGGCGGGAGTAATAAAATCAAATTTGAGAATCAACTTCTATGTATTGCAATCGACTCACCTACATCTCTCAGCTTCATACATGCTCATTAACCTTGTGTCTACAGCAGACAATATTGAATTATGTAATCACCAGTCAACCACGTCGCGGACCGATAAAAGCTCCGAGTCTTACTGGTGCAGACAGATTGACCCATGCTCGGCGATTTTAATTGGTAGACAGCGCCAGCTGCGAGGCATCTGTGACAGCCTTCTCTGCTAACTTTCAACTTCAGAACGCGTCGTACGTTCGTCGCTGCTTCGTCGCTGCTTCGTCGCTGCTTCGTCCCTCTGGAATCGCTTTTCACAACCTCTAATTACTGATTTTATTCGAGATACCTGCTTCTATAACACCGGCTATCCCTGCTTCGGCCGAATCCGGTCTGCGAAGGACGATGAATCCCGCCCCGGGCCAAATGGCCCAGCAAGGCCAGCCTCAGCCTCAAGGCGCACAGGCTCCTGCTGCTCAAAACCGGCCTCCCATGTATCAGCCTGGGCAGATCAAAAACCTGCCCTTCCTTAGTGACGAAGAGAAGACCAAATATGAGCAAGGATTGCGCGGCCTATGGACCAAGATGAACGGGTCCCCAACCAACAGCCCTGACCAGATCGCAGCGCGACAGAAGATTATTGAATTCTCTAGAATGCTGATTGGGAAGATCCAGCAGAGAAGGACTCTTGCCGCTCAGCAGCAAGGCCAGCAGCAGCCTCAAGCACGGCCGCCAGGTGCACAACCCCAACAGCAGCCGCAACAGCAACAATTGCAACAACAACAGCAGCAGCAGCCGAACGCAGCTCTGCAAGCCCAAGCCCAGGCTCAGGCTCAGGCTCAGGCTCAGGCTCAGGCACAGGCACAAGCTCAGGCTCAGGCTCAGCAGCAGAAGCCACAAGGTGCAGGAGCCGAAGTTACGGCAGCTGGTGCAGCTGGTCAGGCGCAGAATACCCAAGGACAAGCACCAGCGACGGCAGCTCCAACAGCAGTGCAACGGCCTAAGATACCGGAAAACTACATGAAAATGGCCAACGCCGCTATACTTCGGCCTCCGGTGCAGCTGGCAGATAAATCTGCAGAGGGTGCCAAATGGATGGAAGAAATGAAGGAACGTTTTGCACGGGCGCTCATGACTATGGATACAACGAAGAATAATGTTGCCAACTGGGAAAAGCTGATGAATGACCGAACTGCTCAGGGGAATCCCCTCAAAGACGAGGAACTTCGAAAGTTTCAGCTGAGAAAAGACCAACAACTGAAGCTTTATTCTGAGGCTCATAAATGGGTGGAGGGTGTTCGCAAACAGCAGGGAAACTTTCAAGGAGCTGCTGCTCATGCCAACCAAGCTTCAGCTGGCACCGCTGGTGCTGCTCATGCTGCTCATGCTGCTAGCCAGCCTAGCAACGCTACTCCGGCCATGCCAGCCGCTTCGCCAGTTGTAGCAGCTGCCGCGAACAAACCACAGAATGGCAACCTGCCAGCGCAAATGCCTGGCAACGCTGCTGCAGAGGCGGCCAAAAACCAGCAGCAGCTGGCAGCGGGCAATCGTGTTGCAGGCCCAAATGGCATTGCAGCTACGCCTACACCGCAACCGCAAGCACGACCGGTCCCGAACCCTGCTGCCACAGCACAACAGCAGCTACAAGGCCAGCAGCAGATGCAAGCACAAATGCAAGCACCGCAACAGCAACAAATGCAGCAGCAGATGCACGGTCAGCCCCAGGGACAAGCTCAGCCACAGGTTCAAGTCAAGACGGAACCACCGCGGCCCGCACCAGTCAACACCGCTCTCGCTTCAGCTGCTGCCCAGGCTCAGGTTGCTCAACAGACTGCATCTCCTGCTCAAGCAGCGGCACGAGTGCAAACCCCACAAACTGCAACTCCCGTAACTGGCCCAGGACAGCCAACACGAGCTCTCAGCCATTCGGCCGCCATGTCTCTCGCTAATCAAAGAGCAGCTGGAGGCACTCCCGGAAGCGCTCCCCTGCCTAATCCGCCTACAAACATCAACACGGCTGCAGCTGCAGCTACCGTGAACAATCCCAATATGGGAGTATCGGGAGCACAACTCCAACAAGGCCATCCTCATGCTCACCCTACGCAGCAGCCAGCTACTGTTCAGCCAAGAATGCCCATCCCCAAGCAACTGCCAGAAAAGGCCACTGCAGTACCCCAAGGAGTAGTAGTCGGCGGCGGCGTCGTTCCTGGACGACCAACCATGTCTCAGGGTGGTGGAACTGTAGGAGGAGTCATGAATCAACCAGCTGTGCCCAGAATACCAGCCTACAATCACGATGCTGAAGGTGACCACGTTTTGAGCAAGAAGAAGTTGGATGAACTTGTGCGACAAGTCTGTGGAGGACCCGCCGAGGGCCAAGACGGCAATTTTCTGACTCCGGAAGTAGAGGAGGTGAGGATATCTAATTGATAGAACGAGCTATGGTGATGTGCGTGACTAACTGTGCAATAGAGCGTCTTGAGCCTGGCCGACTCCTTTGTCGACAACGTCCTTCATGCAGCGTGCAGAAACTCTAAAGAGCGCGGCTCCAAGGTCCTCGAAATACGGGATATTCAGCTCGTGCTTGAGCGAACCTATAACATTCGTGTTCCGGGCTACTCGTCTGATGAACTGCGCACGGTACGCAAGGTTCAACCGTCTACGGGCTGGATCGCAAAGATGAGCGCTGTGCAAGCAGCCAAAGTAATGCCCGGAAAGGGCGAGTGATGCGGCGCTGAGCACCTATCAATAGCATTTCTCAATGAAATTGGGTGAACTTTCAGCCCAGCTACTATTCTCCCTTCGGATGATGTTGGTTTTCAGGGTTGGATGATAATAAGATTTGGTACGACATGGCGTTTTAGGGAACACTAACGGATACCTGGCTAGGTGGATATAGGCTATTTATTTTGCTTTTTATGAGAACCACAAGCAGCTGAACTGCTCATATAATGTTGCTAGATGTGAGCAAATCATGATGATATCTAGCCATCTGCACTACTGGAGTGAGATGAGATTCGATAACTTAGGCACTAAGGGTAGTAAGGAAGCACAGAAAATGGATTTTGTAATGCGTTGACATTGGAATACTTGGAGTGACGCGATGATTGGGATTTTATTTGCTGCTAATGCGAGTTGTATCCGAGGGATATCTGAATACTAATTAGTATACGGAGTACCTGTAGTAATATATGCATCTTCGTCTACTTAATCATATAGCCTCGAAATACGTCTCTCATTCCATTTTGAGCTTATTGCCATGGCGTATGAGATACTCAAGTTGCTGAATTTGTAACTCCAGGATTCAAAATATCCATCAGACGCACAGCAGTTATGCTTGTTCTGCTGCTTTACAGACTGCTTCAGTAAGTAGCCTCTGCCTGCCAGTGCTCCAAGCTGGCCGTAGGCACCAGGATGGCAAACGTCACTACAGCCTGGCAAGGTGGCGGCCCAGCCCCACAGCCACCACAGCTTACAGCATGCGGCATTAGGTAAGTCTAGGCTACCTCTACGCCCGCCCACATCACTGCGAAGCTGCGGGTACCGCGACATCGCTAGCCTTGTCCCTCATACACTGGCCGTCCCAATTGTTCTCCAAGCTTCGAGCCTTCTTGCACCTCCAAACACCAAGTAACCACAACGAAGCGAGCCTCAGCGGTCCCCAGCTCGGCGCTCACGAACTGCCTCAGGCCGACTGCCGCGAACGAACTCGAATCCTTTGCCTCTCTCGACTCCATATTTGGCCTTTCGCCGGCCGTGCTTCCGTGCTGTGGGCAGATACACGCTTCCGTTGACGTCTAGCGGACCCAACGCAAGAGGTGGTCCATCCACTCAGTCGATTTTCTTTTTTGAGCCAATCGTATAGATCAGCTTTGTATCTTTCAAGACCTTCGAGAAGAACATTTGGATCTTTTTGCAGCATATCCAGTGCTGTGCCATCACCATGCCTAGCAAAACACCCCACAACAATGGTAGAGGACCCCTCGAAAAATGACATCCAGAAGACCAAGGAAGCTAATATCAACGATGGAATAGCTGGAAAAGACGGCGACGATAGCATGACTGTGGTTGTACCCCCCTCGAAAGCTCCCAAGCAGCCTGCGCCGGCGACCGATGCTGAAGGTGACGTGGCAATGGACGTCGACAACGCCGAAGGCAAGGAGGAGAAGGTTGATCCCGCAGTTCAGGCCGTAGCAGGTAAGCAAAAAAGGATCCAAAGATGGCTGCATAAGTTTCTATTGTGAAGATGTCCTTTTTCGCTGACATATACACTCGTTGTATCGCTGCATATAGATATCAAAAGCAACTTTGCTCTTCTTGACCGAGCTGTTGCGCTCTTCGACGCCCGTTTCTCCCTGCGAGCCCTCCGATCCATCTCTCTCATCCGCAAACACCTATCACCAGATGTCATTGCACAGGCGATTGCCGACACATACCCCGCCAACTCGGCATCAGGCAGCATTGCGAAGAGCCTCCTAGCTGCGGTTGGCCGAGAGGATGTCGCGCTTGGCCGTGCCGCCAGCGCTGAGATGGATGTGGACAGCGACTTCAAGACTGTCAAGAACGGAGCTTCCAAGAAGGAAGCCAAGGAGATCATTCCGGAGATCGACGTCTTCCTAGGCATCTTGATTCAAGTCTATCTTTTTGACGCCAAACAGTACCAGCAAGGAGCCGATTTCTCCAAGTTCCTGTCTGATCGCATCCAGACTCTGAACCGCCGAACGCTGGACTGCCTCTCCGCCAAGGTCTACTTTTACTTTTCGCTCTTTTGCGAGTACATTGCTCCGCTGCCCCCGTCTCCCGAATCGCCCATTGTGGCTATCCGACCTACTCTTCTTGCCGTCCTTCGAACCGCCGTGCTGCGCAAGGACACTGATACTCAGGCTTCGGTCATCGTCCTTCTATTAAGAAATTATCTCCTGACGTCGCACATCAAGCAAGCCGACCTGCTTGTCTCACATACACAGTTCCCCGAGAATGCTGCGAACAACCAAGTGGCACGTTTCTTGTACTATCTGGGTCGGATCCGGTCTATCCAACTGCGATACACAGAGGCACACGAGCATCTCACAGCCGCCACACGTAAGGCGCCGTCGAGCGGTTGTGCCGTGGGCTTTTCACAAACTGCCACCAAGCTGTTGCTTGTTGTCGAGCTGTTGATGGGAGATATTCCCGACAGAGCTACCTTCCGCCAGCCTTCTCTGGAGGATGCTCTACACCCATACTTCCTGCTGGTTCGGGCCGTGCGAGTGGGCAACTTGGAAGACTTTGAGACTACCATTGCTGATAACGCTGATATCTTCAAGCGAGACGGAACCTACACACTTATTCTCCGTCTGCGCCAAAACGTCATCAAGACTGGCATCCGTATGATGTCTTTGTCATACTCACGTATTTCTCTGCGCGACATTTGCATTCGTCTGCATCTTGGTAGTGAGGAGTCGGCTGAGTACATTGTCGCCAAGGCCATTCGAGACGGCGTGATTGAGGCTACATTGGATAGAGAAAACGGATTTATGAAGAGCAAGGAAGTGGGCGATGTGTATGCGACAAGAGAGCCAGGAGAGGCCTTCCACGACCGAATTCGAGCTTGCCTTGCTCTTCACGATGAGAGCGTCAAGGTGAGTTTTCTTTTGCCTTTTTTACTTTACCTCTTTTTTTAATACTTTCCCATCATCCCATATCTCTTGACGGTTTAAGCTAACGCAACTAATTACCAGGCAATGCGATTCCCCATGAATCAACATCGCCTTGAACTGAAGAACGCCCAAGAGGCGCGTGAGCGCGAGCGAGAAATGGCTAAGGAGATTCAGGAGGGCGACTTGGACGACGATGACCTTGGTGGAGACCTGGATGGCATCTAATAATTATCTTTACCCACGTTGATATGTTTACTATGGCTACTTTCTTCTATTACACCAAACAATAGCTCCGATTTCTGCAGAGGATTTATTGGGTGGCTTGCACCTTGTGATGAGCGATTGTGCTTCGTCTTGAAGATGCTTATTAGTGGACGATAACTAGGAGTGCACATGAGTGTGATTGACTTGATACAGTGCTGGTAGGCGTGCAAAACAGTGAGGATCAGGTCTATAGAAGGCTGGGGGCGTATGGCTAATGAGAGGTAAGTCGTGAGAAGATGGAATTAGAAGTAATTGAATCTATTTTTTAACAGTTTGATGCACCGTATGCAGATTTATTCTGTTGTTAAGAGACGATACTTTGATGAGGTCTGTGTAGTGAGAGCTGCCATTATTTGGTCTATCATTTCACACTTGTTTCTAGGTGAAATCTGGAAATTGAATCCTAAAAACACATGGAGGAAGAATTTTTATCCTAAGAGATAGACTGCATAAGAGATAGTAGTATATAAGTTACTATGTGTATGGTATAGGCATATCGCACATTCTTCCATGGCATTCTAAGCGAGTTCCATGCATATAGCAGGCAAGCATCAACACAGCCACCACAAGACATGACATGGATACGCAGCCTTACGCCCTTTGCCTTTGACATTCTACAGGGGGAGAAAAAGAGAACGATCGTCTTAAAAAATCCTTTATTGTTTAACCTTGCATTGACGCCCTTGGAAATCATGTTCTGCGCCTCAATGCGGGGAACGTGCATGAAGGTTTTGCTACAGCTATGGCGCACTTCGATCTGATTCGATCTCTCGGTTAGCGGTGTATGTTTGACTCATCAGATGGATGGATGCCTGCGTGCCGTGCGCCTTTTGGCATGCCGTGTCTATTCTCCGATTGATTTAGTGCAATGATGATGATGATTGGTTAATTTCCTATTCGTTCGTGTGTTCAGCCTGCAGGATGTTGGAGAGGAGCGAGCGGATGGAGGCGTAGGCTGATTAGTAGGGGTTTTCGTTGCGATGGCTGGCAGCAGTATAGGAATCTGCCTCGTCTAATTAATGCATCTGTGCATATTTGTCTATATATAAGGATCAGATGTCGCGTGTTTTTTCATGAGGGTAGATAGACATTAGTCGTCACATCTAGCAGCAATATCAATCCGGCATCTTACCGCTCCATCACCAAGCACCATGGCCTCGGCTACACAAGTTAAGCTGCTTGGCAGCTCGAATTCTTCTCTCACGCTTCAAATCAAACCATTGGATGGCTCGAATGCCGACTCTCATGTCTCCATGGATGAAGCAGCCTACTTGGCCGGTCTCTGTCGTACCGCTCTCAACGATCTGAATACTCATATGGTCGACATTCTCAAGCCTTCGCATGGCTACACGGCAGATGATATCCTTGAATTGCCACTCGACAAGCATAGGATCGAGGACATCCTACACGACTTGCCTAGCCGGAAATCGACTCGTCACAACCTCGCTGTGGCTGTATCTTCACTGCTACACCCGGTTCACGATGGCTCACTGACATCCATCATTCGCTACGACGCCGACCGTGTTCGTCTTCGCGCATGGGCTTCCCTCCAGCGTCGTTATGACCTGCTACAAGCCACCAAACGCAATGGCAAAATGGCTCCTGGCATGACTGGCGGCGTCGAGCCTGGCGTCCAGGCCCCTGCTTGGGCTAGCCGCATCACCGGACAGGGACCGTGGGATGCCGTCAAGAAACCCATATCGGTAAGCGGTCCGAAAGCTGTCCCCATGCCGGTACAGATTGCCCAAGCAGAAGAGCTAGTGCCATTCTTCGAGCATCTATCCAAAAGCGGCGACCATGAGATTAACGGCGTGGATGGTGCTGCTGAGCTCCATGATGGCAACGGCGAGCCGTATTACAGCGTCCGTGGCGCAGAGTTCCGTCGAGGAGTCGTGTATGAAGATGGTCGGATGGATCTCTGCAAAATGGTCGTCGGCCCTGACCATATCGGGCGGTTGATGGAGAGCCTGCGGACGAACACTCACGTTCGGCACTTCTTGCTGGGCAATAATATCATCGGTCCAACTGGCGTCCGTGCCATTGCTCAGTTCATCAACGACTTCCCAGATCGCATGGACACTTGGTATCTTGCGGGCAATTGCATCCAAGGCGGGGAGAACTTCAAGACTCTGGTAGATGCGCTGGTTAAGTCGCCTGCCGTGACTAATATCTGGTTGAAACGCAATCCTCTTGGGCCAGATGCCGCCGAGGACGTGTATCGTCTCATCACCGAGACGAAGAACTTGAGCACACTAGACCTTGATCAAACCGAGCTCGGAGACCGCGGCGTTGCTGAATTGTTCACCCGCCTGGCCGCTTATTCCCCCCCTGATGGCAACAAGCTACCTCTTCGACAGATTTACTTGAATGGCGTTGGCATGTCGACCAAGGGAGCCGCTGCCATCGGCAAATTCCTCGAATCGCCGCATTGTGGTGTAACTTCGATTTACATGTCACTCAACCCGCTTGGAGATGAGGGCGTCCAGGCTCTCGCTGAAGCACTGCCCAAGGCACCGTATCTGGCTCGACTGCTCGTACAATCGGTTGGAGTCAGCACCCAAGGTGCCGTGGCGCTGTGCAAAGCCTTGACTGGACATCCCTGTATCCGGACTTTTGACCTGGGTCAGGCATATGCCACCGAAGACCTTGACCAAGCGTACAATTACATCGAAGATGAAGCTGTGCCAGCCATATCGGAACTCTTCAGGAACACGCCCCAGCTGCAGTACTTCAACTTGGGACATTGCGCCACCACGCCGCCTGGTCTCCTCAAGCTGACGCCGGCGATTCTGGAGAACCCAAGCTTGATATACTTCTTTGCAACATCAATCTTGGCGGACCCGTCTAGGAAATCTGTGACTTTTGTGCCGTCCATTGACTCGGCATTCCCTCATCCAGATGCGCCCTCTACAGAGCAGATCAAGTCTGAAAAGGCGATCCGAGAGCACCTTGAGGTTAATGTGAAGAAGACTTTTGGCCAAGACGTGTCGTACACTGACTTCATGGCTGAGGAGAAACGTTGGCTGGTTAGCGACAAAGTGGTTCGCAAAATCGACAGCGTGTATCGTAATCGGGATGCCGGGCTGGCTCGTCGCCGCTTGCTGACTCTTGTTAAAGACTGGGAGGAAGGCGATGAGACTTTGCAGAGGGTTATGGATGTTGGACAGCACTGAGCCGCGCGATAGGATGAATGTTTTATAAGAATATGTTCCCTCCTCCTTTTTCTCTGTAAAGAAATCGAATGTTAGCTACATAGTAGTCAATCATTTCATTTGATACTTAAAAATCCAATGTCATTGCAAACGCATGTCCCAGTTGGTGATAAACGAGTCGCTGGCATAGACGCCGTGGTGCCCATCTGCCCGCAATTTGGGGTATTGTGATATATTGTCATTGAATGCAGTCTTAGTCTTGTTAAGCTACCAATCCAACTCACAAATTTGAATCTTCAATAGAGTTGATTCCCATGACATACGTCGTATTCGTATGGAGGTTGTGGCTATTGCTGGGAGCTGCCGATAGCTTGGCCCAGACCTCATGTGTGCCCTTTGCGCGGCCCCACGTGACGGATCAAGCTTGAGCTTCCCACCTCGCTGAACGACCGCCACGGCCTCTCCTCCAGCAGTCCATGCCAGAGAACCAGTGCACGTCTACTCGTATGCTCTAAACTGAAAACTGGAATTTGATAGATCTCCTGCTCCTAGATGGCTTCGCCGCATCCTCATCTGCGCACAGCCGTCCCGTGACATCCCAGCCAGCGGCCCCTCGTCGATCGTCGAATCCAATCCACAAGACTCGAGAGGCTCTCGGCTCCCTTGCCCGGCTTATAACTACAATCGTCCGTCTTCTGCTGGTCCAAAAGCATCAAGCGATGCCCCAAAAGCGCAAGCGACCAGACGAGCCCGCTGTCCAGCCCGATCCTGACTCTCAATCCTCGTCCACGCGTCGTGCGACGCGTCAGACTCCTGTGCATCCTCCACCAGTTCCCGCGTCTGCGCTTCTGCCGCCGCCGCCGCCAGCGACTCAGAAGATGGCTGCTGCTCCGCTGCCTGCCGTGACGGCCGTCCCTCTGCCCCAGATGCTCATGCCCGATCCGCAAAAGCGACTCGCCCGTAACGGCGTTGCCGCTCGCCCAGCTGGCGCGAAGACATCTCCTCTTCCTGTTCCTCTTCCAAGCCTCGAGGCCGCTGCTCCAAATAGCGCTGCTCCAAATAGCACGATAATACCGCCGCTGCCGTCGCCCAACTCTATCAGAGTAGCCGCACCGGTTCCTCTCAAGCGAGGAGCCGCCGCTGCGGATTTGACCAGCGGCGTCTCTGCCAAAGAGCGTAGGCGACCCTCGGATCTCGTCGCACCGGAGATTACGTATCACGTTCCCCAGGCAAACCAGCATGGCCGGCTCTCTTCACTGGTGAGGCCTCATGGACCCTCTGCGCCGCCTCCAAGACTAGACAAAATAACGACAGCCCCAATGGTCATTACACCAGTACTGCCACCTAAGCCACCGACATTGCCCGTGTCCGATCGACCGCCGCCGAGAACAGATCGCAATATTGACAAGGTTGTTCTGGGGAACCTGTGCTTCCGGACGTGGTATCCGAGTTACTACGGGAAAGAAGTGCTGGGGGCTACATCAGGCAATGCAAAGGGGGGCAGCAAGGACGGCCCCGTGGAGACAGGCGGAAAGGCGCCAGCAAAGAAAGAGAAGGACGGCGTTCCCATGTTAGAGAGGCTGTACGTCTGCCCTTGCTGCTTCAAATATGCCAAAGAGCTTGTGGCTTGGTGGGGTCACGTCAAACTATGCCAGCAGCGAGCTCATGTACCAGGGAAGAAGGTTTATGTTCATCCCAAAGGCAGGCGGATGGTGTACGTCGCTCAGGATGGCAGCCGGGGCCCAGGACAGAAGAAGCGGCGAGGAGAAGGAAACATACGCTACGTTGAAGAAGTTGTGCAGGATGAGGGCGAATGGAGCCTTTGGGAGGTGGATGGAGAGCAGGATGTGGTGAGTCATTACCGAGGTTATCACTTTTTCTCAGATCTCAGTATCTAACCTTTGACTCAGCTCTTCTGTCAGAATCTATCGCTCTTTGCAAAGCTCTTTTTAGATAACAAGTCAGTCTTCTTTGACGTGACTGGTTTCAACTACTTCCTGTTGGTATATACACCACCAACAGTGGCGGCACCATCCGGCACGGCTGCTCCTCCGGCAACACCACAAATCACAGGCTTCTTCTCAAAGGAAAAGATGTCATGGGATAACAACAACTTGGCATGCATCCTCATGTTCCCTCCTTGGCAACGCAAAGGTCTCGGTGCCCTTCTGATGGGCGCCTCCTACGAAATCTCTCGACGAGAAGGCATCATGGGCGGGCCTGAGAAACCTATTTCTGACTTGGGTAAGAAGGGATATCAGCGTTTTTGGGCCGGAGAGATTGCCCGCTGGCTACTTGGCCTGGAAATCGCGCCCATGGGTTCAGAAAATGCCTCAGAAACGCTGGTCGACGTTGAAGATTGCAGCCAAGCGACGTGGATTTCACCAGAAGACTGTCTGGGCGTGTTGAGGGACATGGGCATCGTGGAGGATGCGGGTATCGGACCCGGAAAGCCGGAACCTTTGGAAGAGACACACTTGCAATTCTCTGAAGAAGAGAAGAAAAAGAAACAAGCAACCGGCGAAGAGGAAGGGAAGCAGAGCGGCAAGAGAGCGTCAGCCGAGGCAGAAGAAGAGAAACAACAGCCGAAACCGGTCGTCAAGGAAGTTCCTCGTGTCCGACTTGACAAAGAAGCGGTACGGCGATACGTGGCGGCTCATCGAATTATTCTAGACAAGACGTGTGATCCAAACGGTTTCATAGAAGGATACGCTATGAAGAGAGCCGAGAAGGCATCAAGCGAAAGTGCAGAATCCAGAGACGAGGCTTTGGCAAAATGATAGAAACATGGCGGCTGGGCCTGGCGCAACGAGAGTTACAATGATACCCCCTTTTTTTTTTCATATATTTATCTATTAATATGTCAACCGGCGCTGTCTCAATCATGCATGTGTTCAGTGAATGGTATCTGTGCAATATACGCATTTCTTCATATGCTAAAAGCAAGTTTTACCTAAGACTGTTTCTCTGGCTAATCGTTACTAGTAGCACACTCGCACTTGGATTTAGTTACCGTTAAAGAACACAACAACCGGTTCTAGCTCTGCTTCTGATGATCATGGAATAGCCGAATTAGGTCTCTGACGGACAAGCCTGCTCTATATGGCTCACCCGAAGAGGAAATGTAGCTCATCTACGAATCACAGAGCGACATACCTAGTAGTAGTAGCTTCCACGGCAAAAAGGAGCTTTAGAGCCCGCCTCTAAGGTGCTCTTAGTTCTGTATTTAGAGCCCGTCTAGAGTTAGACACCAGGTGAGAACGGGCCGAGATACAAAATGTCTCTCTCTGCTACCTCGGCCATGAATGCGCGATATAAGACAGAGGCTTGATATCTCGCCGGTCCAGCATGATCCGGATAATTCTCGTGAAGTCGGAGCCAGACAAGCAGGCACATTTGGATCCTCTGTGACGCAGTTGTACCCCTGTTCCTTTTTTGGGCAAATCGGAGCAAAGATAGCCGCTACGTTGCACCAAGGCGTGTGTGAGTGGGAAATAAAACCCCTTGCTACAGATGCTGCGTGGGATGAATGCCTGCCTGAGGACAAGGGGGCGTGGGAAAACGAGGCTGGACGGCAGATTGACAGATCCATGCGCCCGGTTGAAGCCTAAGGCAACCTCACCCCCAGAACGAGAGCTTCGATGAGCGGCTCCAGCTACAAGCCTGCTTACAAAACGACGGATTCCATCGCTTTTCTCCAGTTGGACGAAAGTCGTCATCCTACTACGTATTATTACAGTCTGAGCTTCATTTTTGCTCAAGACGCCAGGATCTCCTCAGGTAGCCGCAGAGTGGAGTAGAAAAGCGCCTTTCAGCTGGTTAGTTGAATAAGCGCCAATTTCGCAGCACAAATGTCAAACGGCCAGCCAAATATTCAGCTTTTCTTTCATGGCTCTCGCGCATCTTAAGAATTCAATGATCCAGAAACCAGCCGTGCATATGCTGACATGCGCCATTTTGAGCCATTTGATCTCCAAGCGCTGCGATACCGCTTCTTCGGGGATGCAATGCCCTGTGACCAGATAGCTCGTGTGGGACCCTGAATTTCCCAGCTGAGCAGTGAGGCTCGGGCTCATGGAAAATTTTTCGCATGCGCCATTCGGGATGCGCGCTCCGTGTATATTTTAGGCCGAGCAATCGGGCGACTGGCCGGACACCGCCAAACGCTCCACCCCATGCAATTTCAACGTAGCTGCGGCGCGGCGGCACGAATAGCGGCGGCAATAGTGTTGGAAGATGGTGTCGGGCGTCTCGCTCCTATTGGACACACCGCGGCGCTGGGAATGGTTGCAGCGAGATTGATGAAGTCGCAGCGCATAGCACGTCATACTGCACAGTAGCAGCGGCGAACAAGCGGCAAGGTTCGGTAGTCGACGTTCGTCAACGGCATGCGGTGAGCAGGGCTGCTTCTCTGGTTGGTGCTTGCGTATTGTTCCGGAGCCGTCGGTTTGTTGTCTCTGGCTATGATCATCACTCAATAAGAGTGCATCGTGTCATACATCGTGTACTAGATAATGCACCGAAGAAATGGCTTGGATCGGTAGGTAGACAAACGAAAGGGCGGACGGAGCTCGGCAGTAGAGGTCGCATGTTGTCGTAGTAGCAGCAGCAGGCAAAAGGTAATGCTCTGAGACCCGAGCAAGGTCACCCTGCCAGCTGCATTTGCATGGAGGGGGTTCGGCTCACATCCATATCTACGCCTGCAGCAGGGCACTTGTCAGACATTCCACCAAATCTTTCAAAAAGAAAGATGGAAAGAGATGCAGCAGGGAGGCTTCCCTTTTATACTGCTACGCAAACTTTGCTTCTTGCACGCAGCAGAAGAGTCATCAGGGGGGCCAGCCCAGATCTGACTACAGCTTGAGCTTCGAGCACTTCAGCATGAGCTGTGACTATTCGTCTCCATCCTTATCTGAATGGAAAGGTATACTTGATCATAAAGTATAATTGACGCTCAAAACTGCTTCTGGCTGTGTTGTAGCAACCCCTTTGAGATACCTCGACTCAATGTACTTGATTCTTCTTTTCCTCTTGCACACCCCTCCCAGAAAGCCGTATCACAGCAATAGGCCAACTAACTGCAATCAAAGCCGAGCATCCTTGTAGATCCACCCACGTGTCAGGCACCGACTCTTTGGAAAACCTGCGTTGCAGGCGACTGTTCTGAGCTGTACTCGTATCTTTCTTTTTCATTCCTGGCAATGACACCAAGTGGGGCGTGGGGGCATGAGCCAGCGAGCCTCATCCACTCGTAGAACTTCATGCTATCTGAACGCGGTAAAAATTCTCTATCGGATAAGTCGATCCTGATAGCACGAGTAATAGGAGTCAAAATTCGCTAGTAGTGCTAGTAAATTTTTCTTTATGCCTCAGACAACAACCACGAAGCAGAAAATTTTTCTTCGCTTGTTAGCCAGCGCTGGGCAGCCAACACTCACACCTGGCATCACGCTTGGCGTCATTCTCACTCAGTATCATCTGGGGAAATATGTATCATTTGTTGAAAGTTGATAGTTTTCACACCTTTAGGAGTTGGTAGTGGCTGTCATGCATATGGTTGGAATAAAGTTTGAGCCAATGACTTCTGCCGCTCTGTATGCGGAGATTTAAACCTTCTCCCAATGGGTTTGTGTGGCAGAAACGTCAATGGCCACTGGCTGACGCCTCAGAGCCCTTCATTGGAATGCCAACGCTCAAAGTTTCAACCTTTCTGGTGTAGAAGTCCAATTAGCACCACCAAACATTGTAGAAACCTCAGGCTGTAATAATCCTGAGGGTGCAAACAAAGAGCTTTCCTCAGGCATTTGAGAATCCTGCGAATCCGCACCCGGCTTCCCCCGATTGGATGAGAGACCACCGATGGTATCCCCCTACTGATGCTAAGATGTGCACCATAATTTTCGAAGAAAAAATTCGTTCGGCCTCAGTCATCCACACTGGCTCCGGCGGTGGGAATTTCACTCGTTTGTCCAACATTGGCCCCGGCTGACCTCCTTGGCCAATCCCCAAGGTGGGTCCTCTTTTCTTGCCATTCCTCTATCCAGCTCCAGTTCTCTTTTTCTCTCTCTCCTTCTTCCTCCAGACTTGACCTTCACCACTCCATCCAATCCATCCAGTCCAACCTTCCAATCCCCCTCAAACCATCACAATGGCCTCCCGTGTCTTCGCCTCCCGCCTGGCCTCCCAGATGGCCACCAAGGCTGCTCGCCCTGCCATGCGTGCTCCCGTCGCTGCCGCCAAGCGCACCATCACCACTGGTGAGTCAAAAAAAACTTTTTCCCTCAGCAAATGATGGTCGACTCGAAGTACTCGATCATCCAGAGGGCATCAGCATAACCCAATTGGCGAACGCCATGACTGACATCAATTCGTAAAGGCAGCCCCATGCAGGCCATGAAGCGCCAGACCATCCAGGCTGCTGGCCGCAACGCCTTCCAGGCTCAGCGCCGTGCCTACTCTTCCGAGATCGCCCAGGCCATGGTTGAGGTCTCCAAGAACTTGGGTATGGGTTCTTCTGCCATCGGTCTGACCGGTGCTGGTGTTGGTATCGGTGTTGTTTTCGCTGCCCTCATCAACGGTGTTGCCCGCAACCCCGCTCTCCGTGGCCAGCTCTTCTCCTACGCCATTCTGGGTTTCGCTTTCGTCGAGGCTATCGCTCTTTTCGACCTCATGATTGCCCTGATGGCCAAGTTCGTAAGCATTTCCGAGATTTCGTGAGCCATTTAATGGAATCCAATCTAACCGACCATTGCGCAGACCTAAATTGCCTATCGAGAGATTGGAACAGCTCCGGCCAGTGGATGGAGCAACTAATAAAAGGGGACGACGTTGGACCGTCCTCCATTGGGAGTTTGATGGTTTGTCAAATGCAATTGGGGTGCCAACGTGCACAATAAAATAAGGAAGATGATGCATCATAGACGGTGTTAGAGATTGGGGAATTTGGTCATCGATGAAAATGATGTCCTCTGTCTCATAGATTTTGGGTTAAAACCCGTCACGCTCCGTCATGGAGCCGATTGTAAAATAAAAAAAAGCCTCAATTTTCATTCCGTCTCTTCAGTAAAATGAAGGGCTTTGATCTGTTCAATCTGATGCACCAGCCAAAATATGTCGGAACTTGATTCACAAACACTTGTTATAAATTATCAAGCCACTTTTGGTCAAGAGGGCATATCTATTAATATGACAGGGTAAGGGAAGCGTTCAATTTCAGCAAGTAAAGCTCTTCCTTGGAATTATAGCTATCATGCGGGTAGGGAGCTCATCAGCGATTATTTTTTGTGGTTTTCACCGACTTGGTGAGCACTGAGGGCTATATTGTGCGTGATATATCGACTAAGGTGTCCACAAACTGAGGAAGAACTGCTCCACACGGTGTTAAAGTGTTGGACGAGTCTGATGGTGGGGGAGGGGTTTTGCTTTGTGCTTCACTCGAGCTGACGAGCTGGTTTCAAGAGTGGACTCGAGGAGAATACCTAGTAATGGTCCGGTGGACCTCAACAAGATAAGAGGAAGGAATGACCTGTGCGCCCCATAGTGGATCAACTGAAGAGCATGAGACCATATATATCAGTAGAGCGTCTCAGTAGCTGGCGTTCATATCTCGACTTCTCGATTTAAGAAATAAGGATGGTTGGTTGTAAGGCAGCGCATGCCATCTTTCCAAGGGCTGAAATGACGCCCGACCAATCGTCTCGTATGTCTGAATTCGGTGCGACAGCTGAATCAACTTCATTTGACGGGTGAATATGACACGCCTTTATTTCCCCGCGGCTTTCGATCTCGCGAATAGGCAAATTCGATTAGCTATTTCGGTAAGCTGGTTTGCGAATTGCTGTTAATGAATCGCGCCTATAGCTAGGCTCCGTGAAAGTCAAACGACTACTCGCGAAACATCGTCTTTATTCACTGGATACTCGGATCGCAGGAGAGCATGCTGGGGACCCGATGCCTTTCTTGGCATTGAGCCATCGTCTTTTGACAGATGCCATTGTGGATATCCTTGGCGTGCCGTTCTCATGATCCAAGTGGATTGGAGTAATCATTTACTCGTTTTGAGGTTTTGACAAAAAAACAAGCCGCCATGTTGGTCAAGCGTTCAGATGGCGATCTTATCGCTCAATATTGGATTCAGGATATGGAATATCTCTACTGGATGTTAGCAAGCTGCGATTTTGATCGATGATCCAGGGACAACTTACTAATGGTCGTCTATCACGGCACTTCTGCGTCACCTACCGCTTCATTCCAATTGAGCGGACCAACGACCTCATTCATCGTGTCGGCGCTCGTGCAATCAAATTCTGGCTGTTTGAAAAGTTTAGTCGCAGGAGACAAGCAGAAGATGCATGCAAATGGGCGGATGCACGGAAGAGAAGACGCAAGGGGCATGCAGTCGAGATGCCTTCCCCTCACGATTCCCCTCACGTGTCACATGACCTCTCCTGGAATAGAGGCAACGATGTTACATCAGCCATGCATTTCGAGAAAATGCTTGTCGAATTAGCCCTGCTGAATGGGCTGATATATTGGCAGCCTCTGATGGAAATTTACCTTGCAACATGTGCTGCAGTGCGGTGTGCTGTATGGGTTGCGTTGCGAAGATTGAGTTTGAGCCATGGCTTGGGGCTGCCGAAGCCACCAACATGGGCTGCCGTTGCAGACTCGCTATTTTTATGTCAGAAGCCCTGGAGTCTAATCGCGTATACAGCGTGATGCTGTTGTCAGCATGAAGGTAGCGGCGAGAGAGAAAGTATATGGCTGTTGTCGGACGATCAGTCACGCCACGCTGCTTGATCAGGCTAAGGTATAATGCAGTTGTGTCTACAACGCTCCGTATAGTCCGAGCAATTGATGTATTTTCAATGCTTGCCGGCGTAATAGTAGTTTCAGGAGTTTCGTAAAAAACGAAGAAAAAAAAGATCAAGCAGTGGACAGCTAATTGAGGATGCTGGATAGCAATTAGGCAGCTGCACAGCATCTACTCTATTGCAGTAGCAGAACAGCGGGTGCACCAAGCATAACCCTCGTAGTGTACATATCAATTAATAACAGCTCGAATGATCCCAGTATAAACAGAAAAGTAATTTGTATCTTAAGATGCTCAATTATTCAATTATGTGCAACGCCATTCCTTCCCTTTTTTCTCTTCCAATAGATAGGTAGCTCAATGTTATCATTATCTATACATATAACCAATCTTCTCAAGACGCTTCTCTTTTCATTTCTTAAATGTAGCGCTCTTCTCGCCCCTAACTGGCGGCATCTTTCTTGCAGGTTTAATCTCGTCGTCGCCCGTCTTAGCATATGGATCAAATGCCTTCTTCTTAGCTTCCTGTGCCGACTCCTTAGTCTCGTCTCTCTTCGCATGAAGGACCGAGGCTGCTTTGCTGTAGTCGAAAGGAACAGCTTGGTACTTGGTAGGCTCTTCCGCCTTCGCCTGTTGCTGATTCTTTCGCTGCTCTTTGCGAGCGAGTTTCTCTTCTTGTCGCTTAGTACGAACCTCCAGGCGTTGCTGTTCCTGAGCCGCCCGGGCTTCCTCTCGCTGCTTCTTCTTCTCTAGCTTCTTTGCCTTCTTCGCCCCCCTAGAAGGAACATCTTCATCTTCTATCTCAATGACAGCGTCGTCATTGACGTTCTCATCTTGCATCTCTTCGTCGCCATCGGAAGCTGAGTTGGCTTCGCTGGATATTGACTCGTCGTTCTCAACAGCCTCAGCCTTCCTCTTCTGTCCTCGCCGCAACGTGAATTCCTCGTCTTTATCAACTTCCGCAGCAGATATAGTATCCTCTTTTACAGGGGTAGCTACTATAGGTTCTTGCTGGGGCTCGGCTTCGACTACGACATCTGCAACATCGCCGATGAACCGCTGCCAAGGGAAGGGGAAGTAGTCTTCCTTAGCATCTACTGCCCCCTTTGTTTCATCCCACCGCGAGCTAACGGCAACATTTCCAAATAATTGCGACCGTGCAAGTTTAGTGGCCGTGACATCTCCGTCTGGTTTCAGAGCCTGACTTTGCGTTTTTGTTACTCTCAGAACTCCACTCTGGCTCTGTAGTGTTGCTGGGTCTCGGGAAGAGAAAAACTGTAGCAGGCTCGGACCTCCTCGAGCCTTTTCCTCTTGCATCTGAGTCCATATCTCGTTCACTCTAGATCGAGCCAGGGATGCACTCAGCGGTAGTAAGCTGTGAAGGGCCTTGGCGTCTGGTGGGTTGACACGTACAATCTCGGTCAAATTGTTGTTGCCCAGCACAAAGTTGGGGTTTTCATCCTCTTTGCGAGCAGTGAGGTCTCGCCATTTCCAGAGAGCCCTGAATATCGCGAACTGATCGCTTTTATAGCCAAGTTGTGAGTTTTTCAGTACAAAGTTGAACCAACCCCTCGATCCTTCGCCAGTTTCTGCGTCACATTCAGGATTCTCATGCCGTGAAAGTGAAAGCTCTCGCGATCTTTCTAAGACACGCTTTACGAGGTCTTTATCAGAGTCTGACGACTGTACGAGTTCGTTTCGAATCATGTCGTAGATGTAGAGAAGGTAGTGGGTATCTGAACGAGCGTAGTACATCATTTCCTCGGTGAGAGGCCTGGCGAGGGTTAGCAAAATGGGGAAAATAAAACGATTTAGTGAAGGTGAGCTATTGCACCATACCTAATCCTCCAGTCAGCCAGTTGATATCGCTTGTCGGCATCAAAATTGACGAATTTTGAAAGGAGAAACGCTAAACTTCGACTCGAATAATGCAAGGCATCGCTGGCGAAAAATGTGTCGAAGAGGCCGTTGACATAGAGGCCAAGATCTCTCTGAAGCCAGACCATATCCATATATGCGCCATGAAAGACCTTAAAATTGTGAGAAGCATAGACTAAATTTGCTTGATAGAGTCCTTACCTTGATAATCGTAGGATCGGCGAACACTTCGTTGAGCACCTGGAGTTTATGTCGCCATGGCTTCAGCGTATCAACGACCCAGTCCTTTTCTCGGGTGCTGATCTGCAACAAGGAGACCAGGCCAATATACGTTCTAAAGTCGTGATGTTCTAAATCAACGGCAATTTCTTTCGCCTCCTTTAGCTCTTCAAGCATAGCAAGAACGCCCTCATATGTGTCGACCCATGTAGCTGACGTTGTCTCAGCTGGCTGGGGCGGAATCGGATCTTGGATCTGAAATACTCGGTCTGGATATTGCATGCTAGATATCTCATGCTCGTATGGGTGCCTGTATCTAATTTGAGAAGGCTTTATTAGTGTCGAAATCGCTACTTGGTGAATAGAAAGCATGGAAACATACTGAGCTGTGCCATCGTTTCGAACAAATGTGACCAGGCTCTCATCCAATGGTACAATTGCATGCGGTTTCTCTGTCAGAATAGGCTTCCAAGGCCCATCAAGGAAGTTATTTGGCTGGATTTCGAAGTCCAACTGTGGCTTCTTTACGTTGGCGTTGCGAATAACCTTGCCCGTTGACTTGGATTGCTTCGTCTTGGAGTTCTGGTTGTGTGAGAGAAATTAGAGCTATATCCATATATTTTGGTTGCAGCAGACTTACGGAATCTGAGTCGCCATTCTCTCTTTGTTTGACAAGACCCGTATACTCGTCGATCGCTCGATCGGCCTTTTCCAGAATCGAGTCCACCACGTCCACCACAGCGCGCCAGTTCATGTCTACATCTTCGGGGTCTTCCAACTTGATCGGCTTTAGGCCACATGCTTGAGCTGCCGAACTTAATAAGCGGGTGGAAAGGTCGAGAATACGCGACGTCTTCTCGTCGAGCTGCTCAGCAACATCTGGGTTGATGGTGCGCTGGAAACTCAGATCTTGGGATGCGATGCGATTGGCAGACTTGACGGTCGAGACAAGCGACTTTTGGATCGCCTCCTGCAGGGAATTGAAATCTTGTGACGAGTCCATTGTGATCAACCGCTCCCCCAAAAAGCGACAGGATGATGAGGCCGTCGGCGCCGCGATTGACCGTCCGCGAAAAATACAGTCCTGGGACAAGGAAGAGCTTATCGATAATAAAAAAGTTGATTAGCAGAGTTGGGTCGCGTCTTGTCGCATGAATTTAGTGGCAACTCAAGGACCTGCAAAAGTGGGCACTGCTATTCTGGCATAGGGAACTCTAACAATCTAGGTAGGCAAGTAAGCCTAATTATCTAGTGCAAGCAGCCTGTCTATATTAACTAAGTAGGTTGATCCTTTAGTTTGTTATGCTGCCCTCGTAGCATCTCCTAATATTCGATATCTCTTGTATAGACAGCTCTTTTTTGGAGGAGCTCATCGCGCAAGTTAAGACTTCAGCAAAGAGAGAGTCGTGAGCATCATGTGCTTATCCCGTGTTACCACCATGTAAACGACTGAGAAAGACGGATGACGAAATAGGCCTGAGCTTGGACGAGTCTTGTTGTCTTGGCGCATTACGGCTTTGCAGCTGAGATATTGCGAACAAGGCGCGTGATAACACGATAGCACCCTGGCTGTTGTACAAGTAAAATGCAATGTATCAACGACTTGAGCTTTACTCTGCGTTGCTTCGGCCCGGTTATGAATCACCTAATCAAGATATTTTGCTCGTGCATGCATGGCCAATCCAGAATCATCCATTGGCCGGGCCTCCAGGAACCGAATTTGACGCACCTCAATACCACCTAATAGTCTAGTTTATACCTAATCAGCCAAAGTGAATTAAAAAAAAAAAAAAAAAAAAAAAAAAAAAAAAAAAAAAAAAAGACTTCTGCCTAGTAAGCATCTGCCCCATAGACTGACGTAAATGGTGATGTTATCACGTCGAAGTTTACTCATGTATTTTTGCCATTTCCCATGCTGATGGATCCCGCTGCAGCTGCTGGGCCAAAGATCGCTGATCTCTTCAGGCGCAAAACGGACTGTTTGCTCCGTCAGAGCACATGCACAAACATTTGCGCGTCCAAGCCAACGCCTCGCAGAACTTATCAGCGTTTGGCCAGGTGCCTTGGATCTGAGCGTGCGTGTTTCTAATTATCCGACAAGCTGTCCAGGAGAAAATAAAATATCCCTCATCAACGCCGTAGACGCACGCCATGTGCCTCCTGTAGGTAAAAAGTGACGAGTGCGCGCTGCAACTGCATGCGTCAGGGAGCTGTAATGCAGCTTTGGGCCTGTGCTAAATGCGCCGTAGCCCGGGCAATGGCCGCTAAAATCTGCCCCTCCCCCTCCCGCTGCGTCGAGCTGCCCCTCTCCTCTCCAAGCTTTTTGCTTCTGGTATACGAGATGCTATAAGTAGCATTCGGCGCGCATCACCCTCGCATTCTTCGCTTCCTCCAGCATCAAAGCCGTAGCAAGAGTCTCGCGTCTGCCCGCTCAGTGCGCATGACCATTGCGAGTATTTGTGCGCAACAGCAATCACTCTCTTGAGCTTGCGCCTCCCGAAGCTGCTTCTTTGCTCTCGTCTCGGAGCCACCGCTCGATTGTCGTCATCCCGAGCGGTCGAACCAAGCCCCCTCGGCCGTTGGACGCCACCACTGCCCTGCTGAATAAACTGCCTTTCGAAAATCTTTCGCTCAGCTAATTAAAGCGCCGGATCTCGAACGACGAGTGACGGTGACGAATTCGATCTGAGAGCTTGCCATCTCTCGATACGCAATCAAGCACAATGCCCGCTGCTGTTGGTGCCGACGGAGCGGCCAGCCCCGGCCGTCTCCTCCTCCTCTCTAACCGACTTCCCATCACCATCAAGCGCTCCGACGATGGAAGCTACAGCTTCTCCATGTCGTCTGGTGGCCTTGTCACCGGCCTCAGCGGCCTCAGCAAAACGACCAGCTTCCAGTGGTATGGCTGGCCGGGTCTTGAGGTCCCAGAAAATGAGGTCGAAGGCATGAAGCGCCGTCTAAAGGACGAGTACGGCGCTCATCCCGTCTTCATCGACGACGAACTTGCCGACAGACATTATAACGGCTTTGCTAGTGAGTCTTTCTGTCTTTATTGTATAAGCGCGCTCTCTTGACCGTGAATGATTCTGACGCCTCATCTCTTCTCCTGCAGACTCTATCCTGTGGCCCCTCTTCCACTACCACCCCGGCGAGATTACCTTTGACGAGTCGGCGTGGAGCGCATATCAAGAAGTCAACCGTCTCTTCGCGAGGACAGTCATCAAGGATGTGCAGGACGGCGACCTTATTTGGGTCCACGACTACCACCTGATGCTCCTGCCTCAGATGCTCCGAGAAGAGATCGGCGACACAAAGAAGGATGTCAAGATTGGCTTCTTCCTGCACACGCCTTTCCCCAGCAGCGAAATCTATCGAATTCTGCCTGTGCGAGAGGCTCTGCTCACCGGTCTCCTCGACTGCGACCTGATTGGCTTCCACACCTACGACTATGCCCGCCATTTCCTCAGCAGCTGCTCCCGAATTCTTGATACCCCAACTACTCCCAATGGTGTAGATTGGAACGGCCGCTTTGTTACTGTCGGAGCTTTCCCCATCGGCATCGACCCCGAGAAATTCGTCGAGGGCCTTCAGAGACCCAAAGTCCAAGAGCGCATCTCTGCCCTCAGCCGTAAGTTTGAGGGCGTCAAGCTGATTGTTGGCGTCGATCGACTGGATTATATCAAGGGTGTGCCTCAAAAACTACATGCTCTCGAAGTCTTCTTGACAGAGCACCCTGAATGGATTGGCAAAATCGTGCTCGTCCAAGTTGCCGTTCCATCTCGACAAGATGTCGAGGAATATCAAAACCTTCGAGCTGTTGTCAACGAACTCGTTGGCCGTATCAACGGCAAGTTCGGCACCATCGAGTTCATGCCCATCCACTTCCTCCACCAGTCTGTTTCCTTTGAAGAGCTCACAGCGCTGTACGCCGTCTCGGACGTGTGTTTAGTCTCGTCTACGCGCGACGGAATGAACCTGGTCTCTTACGAGTACATTGCCACCCAGCGTGACAACCATGGCGTCATGATTCTCAGCGAGTTCACCGGCGCCGCCCAGTCCCTCAACGGCAGTCTCATTGTCAACCCCTGGAACACTGAGGAGCTCGCCAACGCCATCCACGACGCTGTCACCATGAGCCCCGAGCAGCGTGAGGCAAACTACCGTAAGCTCGAGCGCTACGTGTTCAAGTATACGAGCGCCTGGTGGGGAGCCAGCTTTGTAGCTGAGATGACGCGACTGTCTGCCGAGAATACGCAGTCCAAGACGCTACGCAACATCTCTGGTGCGGTCGTGGGCCTTGGCCAAAAGGTGCAGCAGATTGCTGAAGAGGCCAAAGACCGGATAATAGGCAGCGAACAGCCTTCTTCTGGAGCGCCAGAGACGTCTGAATAGTTGGACTAGCTGCTTTCTTTACTTTATTTTTTTTTTTTTGCATCTTTTTTTTTTCCGATTGCTGGTCATTGGTAGCCTACAGGGTTTTCTTTTTTTTTTCTTGTCATGTATTTGTTTACGCTGGGTTAGCGAGTGAAAAAAAACGTGTATGTATGAGTCGATTATCATCATTTATTATCATCATTGCCCTTTATATCATATTAATTCCCACTTCTTCTCTCTTTTGGGTCCCTGTGGGAATTAAATACACATTTATTTAGATATTCTATGAATGTATCACTTATGGTCGCTGGTTTACAAAAGGAACGGCTAGTGGTAGTGCGTCGTGGTGGATTATATTTAGCTGTTCATCAGCAGAAATTTGAAAAGCAAAATAGTTTTAACTATTCGTATGTCAAAATCTTTTTATTTATCACATTAGTCAACGATTGTTATCATTAGAACAGGTAGATATTCATCCACAATCACTGAAATCGGCAATCTCGAAATAATTGCCATTGGCTTGATTCGTTATGAACTATGTACTCTGGAGTATCTAAGTAGAAAAGAATAACAACAATTGTAAGCAGCATCGTAAACCCAGCAAACTCCATCTTCCTAATCGTGTTATATAAAGCAACATGTGGTATCCCATCATCATCGTCATCATTCCGTCCTTTCCCTGTCCGTTTCCCATCTCCTATCTGTTCCTTCAATATTCTTCCCATGTGCTCTCAATACGGTTGATATATATCAAGCATATTTGAAGCCGCTCTAATAAGGTGACTCGACAATGTCATCCCTGCCGAGCTTATACTGGCCACTCTTGCCCGTACCAATCCTCCCCGACTTTCGTCCACCACCCAGCAGTCGGACGTCTCCGATGATACTTTCTCGTGTAGGCTCCTTGAGGCTTTTCTTGGCGACCATGTTGACTTCGTTGGGCAGGGCAACAATGACGTTCTTATCAGAGCCGAACTTGAAGTCATCTGCCATGACCTTCTCCTCATATCGCTTAATCATATACGGCGTCTTGATGCCGCGAATGACTCGCTTGAGATTCCACTCAATGATGTATGGTCCGGAAGCAGTGATGATGCTAGTCTCCGAAGCACCCTCGCCCGTGTTGAATTTAGCAGGAGTAAATGATACGGGCAGCCCGGTCTCGTGGTAAAACTGGGCGACGTGTTCTGGTGAAAGAGCTAGGCGGCGAGGGCGGGGCTTCGAATCTGCAGAGAATGCCTTTTCGAAGCCAAGCTTTCCTTCATTCTTGCCATCGTGCTGCTTAGCATCGATGAGGAGGAGGTAGTTCTTCGTAGTTCCCAGAATCCATCGGCCATCAGCTGAAACATCCATGCCAATGATGGGATCACCAAGAGCGGGAAGCTGTGTCTTGGCACGAATTCCAAGGCGGTCAAAGAGACGAATGTCACCCTTGTTACTTGCTACGGCAATGTAGCCCTTCTCGGTGGTGGCAATGGAGGAGAAATCATTCTTTGAAACGTATTGCTTCGTTTCTGAATCGACAATCTTGTTGCCAGCCTGGCGAGGATCGACCCGGAAAAGTGCGTTGTGGGAGATACCCAGGAACGTTTGTTCTCCAGTCATCTGTGCAAACTTGTTCTCGGGAGCAAATGTTGTGACGGCCATGTCGTCGTGGACTTTCCACTCATCAACAACCTTGCCGTACTCAATGTCCATGCGGTAGAGCTTATTCGGGTCCACATTGTTTTGCATGATGAGATCTCTGTCTTCTTTATGAAGCATGACCTTCTTTGGGTTCAACAGTTTGCCTCCAGGAGCAGTCACCTTGGAAATATTGGTGGAGAATTTGAGGTGATTATCCGGTGTGTGGGTGAAAACTCCAATCTTGGAACCGCGAACGACAAAGGAGCGATCATGCTTGTAGCCAACGGCAAGCTGAGAGTTGACTTCTCCGTCGCCCCTTTGCTGTTGTTCCTCATCATCGTCATACTCCTCGTCTTCGTCATATCGGGCGCGATCATCTTCTCTCTCCTCCTCTTCTTCCTCTTCCTCTTCTTCTTCGTCTTCAATTGGTGGCGCATCCTCCATGGTGAGATCATTGAATGCATCCAAGACATATTCACGTTCTTTCTCTTGAATCTTCTTCCACTTGGTTTCGTTCAGCTTCTCCCATAGAGCTTGCATCACGCCTTCTTGGAACTTCTCCAATGTCGGCTGATCCTTGAATCGGAGAAGCCACGATCTTCCGGTTCCATCTTCAGACCAGTGGTTGAAGATGAAAGAGAGATGTTCAAAGTCAAATACTGGGTTGATTTCGGCAACAATGGGAGTGCCTAGGATCAACCTGTCATCCGCATTGATCTGCAGCCAGTACTGCCAGTTGCCGACTTCAGAAACAGCAGCAATAACAGTGTCTTCAACTTGGGCGAAATGCCCTGCTTGCGGATCGTAGAGATGCAATTCACCGGACACGGCAGCGTAGATCTCCAACGGCTTGGGAGCAGCCTTTGGCTCTGGCGCCTGCTGCGGTGCCTCAACCTCTTCGACAACCGCTTCGGGCTGCTGTTCTACCGCGGATCCGCGCTGAGCCGAGATTTTGGCGGTTCGCTTGGCAAACATGTCGTCGATGGAGTCAATAGACCGGGTGAGAGTCGGGCTGTGAATCGGGCTAGCGGGGGGGATGGGTTGCTCTTCGGGGAACTCGAACTGCTCGAGGTCCTCGTCCGAGGCTGTCGTATGCGGCTTGCGATATTTCCGCTCGTATTGGCACTCTTGAGCTATTCTGAGGAAACGCTTCACTTCCGCAGACGCGACAACACTGTCGCAGACAAACTCGTAGAGATCACCGTTGTCGCCGCTCAGGTCCTTCCAGGCGAGAACAGTCTCCTCGCCTCCTTCTCTGATTTCGATACGGAAGCGCAAGGCTTCGTCGAGCAAAAAGGTCTTCTCGTCGCGCTCGCCTACAAGAGCGTCAATCTCAGCGTCCTCGCCCTCTTCGTCAGCGAGCAGTTCGGCCTCTCCCTCTTCGAAGACTCGCTGCACGACGAGCTGGTACTGGAAGTCTTGGTTGGTCCGGCGGATGCGGATAGCAGAGTCCTTGAAGATGAGTTCTGAGTATCCCTTGGGCGAGAGCGGCCGCACGAGGTACAGCTGGCCTTGAGGAAGCTCGATGAGAGATTCTTGGGCGGTTGAGCCGAAGATCAGCTTGCCGACTAGATGGAGGCTGGTGTTAGCAGAAGTGGTGCGAGGCGTTGGGATAATAAAAACAGAACACGTTGAAGAGTAGAAGAGTAGAACAAGAAGCTGACGTGGGTGAAGGAAGCATTTCAGAGTCTAAAAAAAGAGCGGCGGTAACAGAAACCGAGGGGCATTTATTGGAAACAAGGCTGGGCTGAGCTACGCTGCTTCTGGGGAGCCTTGCATGCTTCGGGGTTGCATTCACTTCTTCACTTACCATTTCTAAGGACGAACATGGTGGCAGGAGTTTTTGCCTTTGCTCTCCTACAGACAGTCGTCGTTGCTGCTTCCAGAGGGTGCGCACAAGGAAAATAGCAATGCGAGAGGAAATTCACGGTAGGTAGGCAGAGCTAGGTGGGGGAGGGGGGGGAAAAAAAACAAAGCTGGAGGTGTCGTAGCAACCGTCGTCAGGAGAAAAGGGCCTAGTCGGAGCCTGCAGCGCAAGGTAGTGCCTCTTACAGGGGCTTGACGCAGCAACGTGCAGGAGAAAGATTGAAGGATGAGTTGACGAAGGTGTTTTCGAGGTTCACGGCAATAAAGTGGGCAAATGCCATCTTTCGTAGGGGTCTCAACAAATCAGTGCATGCTCGACGGCTGAGACCCGACTGCGTCATCGCAAACAAGCTTCCACTAATAGCCAGCCAAACAAACTTGCTGCCTGTGATCTGCTCTCCATGTTAGAATGCGCCGCTAGAGCGAGCAGTTGGCGGGCTCGAGTTGGAGGGGCAGGTGGGCGATGGGATTCGCTGGCGGGGGCGCTGGATCCTTGCCACAGTCGCCACGTCTTGGAACTCCGCCTTGAGCACTTCCAGATGCAGGCTGCGGTGGTGCGACCTGCGCGGCCTGGTTGGTGTTTGGGTGAATATCTCACAGTCTTGTCTGCTGTTTTCACCACTGTACTGTGGCAGCTGTCTTGAGTGCCAATGAGGCTGCTCTCAGATCTTGCAACGTGGCATTCACCCAGTCCGATGTACAGGGCAATCTACTTCCGTTAGCTATGATATCATTCATCGGCTGATACAAGTAACACTATTTGGCTACCGGACCTTGTGTCAAAGAACCTCTACAGCCGCTCACCAAGACCATAATACAGAATGTGTTTGTATTATACACATACCCACATATATATATAATTGAAATGCAAAGTCCATAAGGAAATACGTCTTGCAGATTCAATATACCAAGCTCTGTCATTATCATGTCCTAGGGTAGGGTAGATCATGTCGGGAAAAACATTTTTGCTCTGGCTTCATATAACAAAATATGCATGCCGAATTTCAACCGATGTGATTGGCGAGATGGCCGAGTTGGTTATGGCGTCAGGTTAAGGCTACCTTAACAGCAATTCCTGGTGGAGCAATCCGCGTGGGTTCGAGTCCCACTCTCGTCATATCTTTTTTCTCTTTTTGCCCTTTGCTTCTTAATTAATATAGTGAGTATATACTGATAGATGCGCAGTGTCCATATGAATAGTAATATATTAATCTAATACCTATATTATATTGTGCCTTTTATTGAACACCTGTAACCTCATAAATATTGAAGAGGGATCAATCTATCATTCGTTTTCCGTCGGATATCTCATTCTATTCGTAACCCATACAAGAAAGGAGTAGGAAATAAAAAAGGAAAATTAGCAGAAGCAATTTGGGAATAATGCATAAAGCTAGACACGTATGTGTTCGTGGCATGCAGTCAACTCATAATTTATGCAAACAAACGTCGCAAAGCCACTCTCGACGCGACTGACAAAAATTCTCACGAAGCGTCTTATAGCAGAGAGTTCCTCCGGTCTATGCCAGCCAACTCCGCTGCCAAGGCAGCTGAAATCTCAGGTGGGCTCCGCCCATTTCTGTACATCCACAGCCTGCTAAGTTCTTTGACTTTGACGTCCTTCCTCTGCTTTTTGCGAGCTGAAAACTGATCGTATACTTCGATCGGGGTTGATATCTCGCCTGTTCCAAACCCTCCCGTCCCTCCGTAACTAATCTCAAAGGCTTCTCGCACATTCTCCATGGCGGTGCCCTCAACTCCAAACTTGATGACCTCTTCCATGAATGCATTGTTTTCGTCGACTCCGACAAACTCCCCAGTCTCCGGATCCTGCCTTAGAGGAAACAAGCCATCAAGGTAGTGTTGGACAAAAAGGTGTCCGCCGTGGCCATTGGACCGGTTGAAAAGACGTCCGAGGAAGCGAGGTAGCTGCCTGGAGGCCATTCTATTAGTGGCAAAATGAAGAATGCCCCATATAGCGACAAAGTCAGTGTTGTGGGTATAATGCTCGATATGGCCAATAGCTCTGTCTTTGGCAGCAGAAGCAGTATGGTACGACGCTATAGAGGAGGATCGTCGTAATAAGGATGCAGAAATCATCGGATCTTTCTTGACTTCCAGCGGAGTGGTGACCGGAGTTTCATAGCAAGTCTCGGAGACGATTGTCTGCATAGCCTCAAATGGCTTCGACCGGGTCAAGTCCTGTGAGATTACGTGGCGGTGAGGGTTATTGAAATGATTGGCGGCACTGCCAAAAGTGTATACTTCGAGTTTTGCGAGAAGATCTTGGGGCATCTCTTGTAGGAGCCAGTCCAGAACCATGCCACCTTCTATGGCCCCCTGAGAGTGCATGATGAAGACCACCTTTGTCTTTTTAGGGTTATAGAGAATATCTTTAATATGTCTATAGCAAGCACGAATATCGCCGGTTGCATATGAAAAGTTGCGCTGAATGAGGCATTCGATGACGTCGAAAACTACGCCTGAAGTACGATTATGGATGCCGAGAATTGGACGACCAAACGTAATAGCTAAACGATTAAGGTTCGTCTTCATCCAGTGCTCGCTATTGTTATTCAATCCAGGTTAGGTGAATGGAGAATAGACAAATTATATATTACAGGTTACGATGGGACAACTCACCCAGTAGAGACGCCGTTTAAAAACACCCACTGCTCGTGCGCATGTTCTGGTCGAGCTTTGGCATACTTCTCATCAGAGTGAAAGATGATGTCTTTGCCATTCAACAGCATGCAGACCAGCCTGTTTAGGGAATGAAAGCCAACGATGGCTGCGATTCCCATCCAGGCTGGGAAAAATATCGCAAATGGCAGAGCGATAAGAAAAGCGATCTGAGAAATTAGCAGGAAGAAGTGCACGGTGAGGCAGAATATGTTCATCCGCGATGGATACAGTTCATCAAGCTCGCCCGATCCAAAGGGACGTAGAGGGAAGAAGACCCAAGGCAGCGCCCAACAGTAGGCGAAAAAGTAGTAGACATCTTTGGCCAGAAGGCGAAAAGGGAAGTCGGTATAGGCGTAGTTGATGACGGTCTCGCCGCCGATTTGGCAGCGGTAAAATTCGGTGACGGAGCTCATGAAGGATTTCGGCGATGCGCCGTTAGGAATCTCTGGAGGTTTCATTGCGGAGGTGCGTGGATTTGAGCGGCTGGGAGATAGGTATATATTGCTGCAGTAGTACTTGGCAGCTTGGGCCAACAACGCAGCTGCAGTAAGCGCCTCAAGGTTTCGCCGCAAAGGAAACAAAGGAGAGAAAGGCTGTGGCTTGTACTCTCATGTATCCTCCGCAGATGGGTAAGTACCGTAGTAGGTAGGGCTGAAGCCAGCTGGAGAAAACGCAGGTCTAGACAGTGGTGGTGAGCTAGCAAACATATGCCTTTTATTCTCTTCCCTTCACGGCACTTGACCCCTGGCCATCCATCTTATAAATGCTGCGACTAGTGACTAGTCGCACGCGAGTTGTAGCTGTAGGCAGCCGGAGCGAGGAGAAACAGGACCCATGAGAAGTGCCATCACATGTTTGGCTGCCCGCTATGACAGCGGTGGACACTTGTCAACACTCTGCTTTCTGCCTGGGCATCTTGGCTCTGACACATCGCATCATCTCGGCTGGCCAAGCGAGAGGCTCGCCGTATAGGAGCAGCCGCAGCCGGGGGGACGTCACATAGGGCAAGGCTGAGCAAGGAGCAGTCGATCAGCTGGCGAGTCCGCATTCGCCCGTGGTGTGGAGGAGCGTCAGCAGACCTGCAGATGCGAAACTTGGAGTCTCGGCAAGGCATTTCTTAGCCCTGGCAGGGGAGATGATGGTGGAGTCGAGGTGCTAACGAATGCTAAAGGCGGTGGATGGATGGCTGCACCGAGTGAATCATGGGGGGATCGGGGATCCAACCCAGACCGGGTGGATGAAGAAATGGTGAAAAAGAAGGAACATGGTAGTCTGATGGACGTGGAAGCCGGCACTCGTATCTACCAAGGCACATGGAAGAATCTGCGGCGTGTCTCGGCCAGCCATGCAGATGACAATCGCACGCAAAAGGCGCAAAAGGCACTGCGTCTCGTGCTCTTGACGGCTCCGGCACGTCACGAGAGAGATGGAATATCTGCCTGGTACATCTACAATGTATAAACCGTTCTTGGATTAAGATCTGAGACAAAAACCGGTAGCTGGCGTTGTGTGCTACTATATTAGCACCTCGTCTTATTGTCTTGTACTAGGGACGGCTTTTTATAGGTCTAGTCGCTCTGTAAGGCACGGCGGATAGGATGGCTTGCATGGCGGCTTGCGCGCTATTGCTGTACGAGTATAGCGCTCGCATGAATTCTACACTCAACACGGGCGCCAACTAAGTAGCAAGGTCGTCCTGGCTAGCAAGCACGCAGCCATCATTCTGGCACACAGACGCAACCATCTGCCATACTGCATTACTACTACCCTGCCCCTACATAAGTTGAGAAAGTATTGATAAACCGAGACTGGTCACCAGTTGTCTTTCAAAGGAGCTACTAAAGACCCCAGAAGTGTCTATGCAGTATCATCATCACCTTACATGGAGTGGTGCTAGGTATAGGTAGCCGGAGATGTGCTTTGCCGGGCAAATGAAGATGCCTTCTTACAACTGTCTGTCTTAGTCGGAAAACACAGAACTAAAGTAGTCTGTACTGCAAGCCTCTGGGGGTTTGATATTAGAGGGTGTTAGTCGACTGGGACACGCCATTTGCAAACCAAAGCAAACGCACTATTGGTAGGAATTATGCGAAGACGACATTTATTGTGCGTGAAGGGAAAAAAAAAAAAATGGAAGAGAGAAATTTATACAACTTAGAGACAGCTTTAGCTGAACATTCCATCTCTTTACAACAAAAAACAAGAAGAAGCATATCTCGAAGTACAAGCTCAAAAGGGCAAAAAAAGATGTCATTGACGAGAGTGGGACTCGAACCCACGCGGATTGCTCCACCAGGAATTGCTGTTAAGGTAGCCTTAACCTGACGCCATAACCAACTCGGCCATCTCGCCATTGATGCTAAAGCCGGAAGCTATTCCATTCTAAGAGCCGAGCTGAATGAAAATGCACGCCCAAAAGTGTCCCCCCAATACAGTATACGACGAAGACTCACAATACTCAACTCGACCAGTGGTAAAAGATTGAAATGGATATACAAGAAGGTCGGTATCATCTAAGAATCTAAAATTTATGTTTAATAACCAATTATTCAGAGACGTTGCAAAAGAGCAGACATTTCAGCAGATGCTCTATTTGTCCTTACAACTTGCATCCTCTTGATTCTGGGACTCATATTTCATCGTTCTTCTCCCCAGCGGTGCAGCTGTTCCATCTCCTGCATGATTCGCTTCGGCTCATTTCGAATGACTATTGGCCGTGCTAGGCGCAGTTTCGCAAGGAGCCCCCAGAAGAGCGCGTACCATAAGAACGAGAGGTTGACGAGGCCAAGATACATCATTGGGATGATGCTGAGTGGAATATTGCCTTGAGGCCACACACATGTCAGCGTCTTATATACAGTCACCGGTATAGAGGAAAGAAAGGACTGAAGAGTGGGATAGCTACTTACCGAATAGACCTTCGCGGCGCTGAATAGTCTCCCATAACTCGCCAGTCATGACCTCGCCGGCTCCATCCCATTTCCAAGGACCTGTCATGCGAAACTTTGTATTGAAGCATGCTCCCGCGGCCCAAACGTATGGCAATCTCCAGCCCCTTTTCGTACGGAGAGCTAGTTTAAGCACTTCTGTGAATGATGGTGCCGCACCAATATCCTTTGCCAGTTGATATGCATAGCTATCATGCTCGACGCCGTAGAAAACACGCGCGTCAGGGGGATGTATGATGCGGTAATGCCACTCATCATCTGGATTAAGCGGCTTAGGGACCCGATTTATCAGATTCATGGTAAAGAGCATTGATTGCATTTCAGCTAGCGGCGGTATGGCGCCGAACCCGGGACGAATAAAGCCAATGAAGCCCACGGTCGGTTCATCTGAGTTCCAGATCTGCCTGACATCCGCATCCCATGCTGTGGGATAAGGCTTGCCGCTGGCGTGGTCGGGTGTATTCAGGAAAGGGAACGATGGGAGGTAGCCAGTAGCAAATACGACGACGTCTGGCTTGACGACGGTTTCGTTGATGCGGTCAGACTCTGGACGGCCATTGTGAGGGAAGTGTGCTACGCCGTCCTTGGAGATGTGAGAAGGAGTCGGTGCAACTTCGATTATGCGCGAGACGGGAGGGATGTCGGTGTTAAAGAAGAAGCGACGAATGCGAGTCGCGAGAGGCCACTTTGTTGGCCGCCAGGGAGTAGAGACATGATTGCTGATGCGCTGCCAGGCTTTATTGAAGAAGACTAAAGTATTGAGAATGACACTGGATCAGTATAAAAACAGCTATTTGGCTATTCAAGCGGAGAGGGAGAGGGAGAGAGAGAGAGAGAGAGAGAGATAGAGAACGAAATATCACGAATGTGGGTATAAATGCTCCATACCTCGTGATGCATGAAATCGTTTGCTATAGATTTGTCCAACAAATTGGTCGACTCCATACGGAGAACCGCCGCAGAGCCAACACCCGGCAGGCAATGCAACGAAATGGTAATAATTCCATATTATCATGCTGTCTCTTACAATAGGATGGACATACATGGAGTCGAACAAGGTAATTTGAGATACGTCGAGAGGCAGCTGCGGATATTCATAGGGTTTGGAGCCAAAGAGCCAGGGCAGGAATCGCTGACCAGGGACTCTCTGTAAGTCAAGTTAGCAACATTCTGTGAAACAATTTTGCCGTGAAAAAATAAAAGTTTGATGTTGAACAGCACAAAAAATACATGCCTTTGGCGCTCCGAGCCAACCATCGCGATGACATAAAATCACTCTGTCTGTGTCCCCAGTCACTGCCAAGTAGGAAATGTCTGCACCAGTCTCTCCACTTCCAATGACCATGACGGTTTTCCCCTTTCCAAACTGCTCTCGGGACTTGAATTCGGAGGAATGCATAACGACAGGCACATGTTCGATGCCTGGCAAATCCGGAATATTTGGGGCAGCGTGCACACCGGAGCATACTGCAATGGCATCGCATTCCCACTCAACTTCCTCGCCAGTCGACGTCCGGTAAGTGACTATATGCTCCCTTGAGCCACCTCTTCGAACCGACTTGACCCATGTATTCAAGTGAATATAGGGCCACAGCTCAAAATGCGTGGCGTAATCGTCGAGATACTCGAGATAGCGATCGGTAGCGAAGAAATCGTCATCATCGCTGCGAGCGCGAAAGTCAGAAAAGGCTGTCAGATACTTGGACGAGACCAGCTCTCCCTCTTCGTAAGTATGACTGGAAAAGATGCCACCAAGCCTGTCTTGGGATTCGAAGAGCCGAACGTCAAAGGGTGGGACAGGAAAGCGCCGATGGGCCTCGGTAAGTGTCTTGAGTTGAACGATGCCCGAGGGACCGCCGCCGATGATGGCAACGCGCATTTTTTTCTTTTCTTTTCTTTCTTCTCCTATTCCAGCTACTGGCTGAAGAGGCGACTGAAATGAGAAAACAAGCCTAACTGTGGGAGGCTAGTCATTGAAGCTTTTCAAAAAAACAACCACGATTGCCCTTTTAGTATGTTTTGCTCATAAGAGGCCACAGTCTGCGGCCATCTTGACCCTTAATAATCTCTCGCCAAAGGTAGACAATTTCTTGCTTGCTAGTCCCCTCACTTGTCATTTACGTGCATAGCTGATGAACTGGCACCCTTCCAGACTAGCATACCGAGTAGTACTCGTCTCCGGCTTGGCCATGGGGAGCGGATAGCTTCTTTCCGCCATGCTAGGTGGAACCACGCCACATGCTAATACGCCATGCTCTTTGATGGGTATGGGTGAAAAAGACATGGTCAAGGGGGGCCAAGAAGGCTTCCAGTCCGCAGCGGATACTCGCAAGGGGGAATAGTTTGTATGGGTCTGTGATTCGACGGCGTCTGCGGTGGGCCGAAAGAGGACTATGTGCAGAGAGAGCTCCATCTCCATGGCCCGCGGCGGCGGTGGTGGTGGCATGGAACCAGCCCACAAAGGTCCCATCACCGTTCGCCGACGAGCTATTAAACGGCTAATAGGTGCTTCGCTGTCTTTGGAGTGGTGCTGGGCATTTGGGGGAGCTGTCAAGCTGTCAAGGGGGTTGTCATGGCGCCGTCTGGTAACATTAGCTAGTACCACTACGACTACTCGTACATACATGCTTGTATTACACGTCCAAGCTTCCCGGTCTTCCGCGACAGGGAGCGGTCCGCGGTAATACGCTGTAGCGAAACGATAGATGCTTGTTGGTAGTTTTGCGTGTATATGTACATAGTATGTGCTGGGCTGGAGCTTTATTCCCCGTGGCGCTCGCTGGCAAATCCCGGCAGTTTGGTTCAGATGGGCGGCAGCTAGAGCCCACGTGGAAATTCCAATTTTGGCATCACGACTGAGCTTATTGGCTCTGGCCCAGGCCATCGGGACCGCAAGCAAAGGAAGGCTAGGAATCAACAGCACTACAGCCCGCAGCTTTGGATGGTGCAAGTGAGTGCCCCGAAGAATCCTGCTGCAGCTGGATATGACGCATCGGAGGGTTTCTCCTGCAGAGCGCTCTCCTTTAGCATTCATGCCATGTGTAGTGCTACGTAGAGGCTGCGCAGGGGACTAGACCCGCTAAAAAGGACATACAGCATCAGGCTTGCGCAACTTAGGCGTGGTGGTACAAATAGATGGGATCGATCGGACTAGGGACGTAGAGGAGGGGTCGAGGATTCTAACGGACGAGCGAGTGGCTTGTGACTTCTTTTTGGGAAGGAAAAGGAGAAAGAATTCACATGGAAACAAAACCAAGATACGACGCCCGTGAAGAGTGCTAAACCGCGCCAATTACAGGACGGTAGCTTGGAGAACATAGCCTCTCTCAAAGAGATGATTTAATAAGACGCCGTAATGCAAGCAAGGAATCCATTTTCTGACAATGCACGCACAGACGCTTCGGCCAAGCAGGGCTTCAAAGGGTTCGACCGAGCCTAGCCCATTTCTAGAGGTGGTGCATGCCACGCCGTAAGCTCCGGCGAGGGAGATTTCAAAATTAAAGCTGAGCAAATTTAAGAGTCTACAGCTCACCAGCGGTATAAAACAAATGTGATGAAGTAGCTCTCTCGTCTTTTCGAAGATAGGTAAGAAACCATGAGTACCTAAAGGCTATTGTTACCTCGACCAGCGTCTGGTACGTTCTGAAGAGAAGCAGCGATACTACAATTCCTATCTCTGTCCACAAATCCTTGGGGGGAAAAAAAAAAAGGCAGCCTTCAACGAGTTAGCGATAGGTTGGAGTAACAACCCTGCGTTTGGTTAAGCATGATTAGTTTTCACAGAAATAGACTTGGCTCATCTTTGAGAAGCATCACGACCTTTATATGGCCTTGTTGTCTTCTATCCAAACCCTTCTTCTCGATCACATCCATTTCTTCCATGGCCGCTAGCAATTTAGCTCAAGACAGCGGTGGATTGGCAGCTTAAAAAATTGGCGGCAAATGCCCCCACCACAGCTGCCAAAAATGCCAAAATAGCGGGGAGTAGCGTGACCCCAATCCATCGTAGCTCCGTCCCGCGAGCACGATTTGTTTGTGTGAACGACATCATCAATTAATTCTGCGCCAAAAAGTCGCCCTCAACTCCGCCCATCATTGGATTGGCCGATTTGATTGATGACGCCCTCAAAACAATCAATTCTCTTCTCTTGTAAACTGGTCTGCAATATAAATATTTAATTAAGGAAAAAAGCCATGGCCATCATGAAGCCTCCCATCGGCGTCCTCCCCTCCTTCGCCTCGCCCCTCCGCAGCTCCCATCACCTCTCACATGGCACGCGATCCGCCCTTTCTGCCGCGCCGCTATGCCATCGCTTGAAGCGGAGATATGCCACTGTAAACGAGGCCAGTGAAAAGAAGTGGTCCGACGCAAAAGCCTCATCCGGCGACATCATCCACGAATGGCCGAAATCGCCGCGGCCCACGCCATACGAAGTGCTCGGCGTCTCCAAAAGCGCAACCTATGACAAGCGACGCTTCTATGGTCTCGTCAAGCTCTACCACCCCGATACGCACGACCACCAAAGCAATTCCTCTTCAGCATCAGCATCGTCATCCGTGTCCTCATCCGTGTCCTCGGCCTCGGCCTCGTCTTCATCCCATGTCAGCCACCTCCCCCACGCCACCCGCCTCGAACGATACCGCATGATCGTCGCCGCCAACGAGCTCCTCAGCAACTCCTCCAAGCGGCGCATGTACGACACGTACGGCCTAGGCTGGTCCCACGGCGACGGTGCCACATCACTCCGCGACATTGATAGAGACTGGCGCCATCAGCAGGGCACCGCCGCGAACAATGCCACGTGGGAGGACTGGGAGCACTGGCGGGACGCCCAGGCAGGAAAGGCGGGCGAGCCTGTGTTCATGTCGCATGGAGCGTTTGCCACCATTGTCGTCATGTTTTGCCTCGTCGGGGCCATTGCGCAGACAAATCGTGCCGAGAACAGCAGCACCGTCTACGCTGGATGGGTGGCTGACCAGAACAACAACGTCGGTCGCCGGCTGCAGAGGAACGAAATCGTGGTAGCGGGACTAAACAAGGATGAGAGGGTCAACCACTTTTTAAGAGAGCGGGAAAACGTGAATTATCAGTTTGTGCCAGCCAAATTCGAGACGACTGACCCAGCTAGGCCATCGTAGAATCTTCGCTTTCACCGGCGAGAAGGAGAGGCATGTCTAGTGACCAATCCTGTGTATTAGTATAGATAATGATTTTACGACACATTCTCTGCATCTAACCTATTATTTCTATATAATGTACTGATAGTTCTATATATATATATACGCATGCATAAGAAAAGTGACATTACATTAAATCATGAAGGGCATCAGTCATCCTTGAATAATTCGTATAATCATCCGACGTTTCAACCTCTTATAAATGAGACGCTTCTGTCTCTGTTCTCGAAAATAATGTCTCTTGACGAGAGTAAGCTGTGCGGTCTGTCTTCAAATCAGGCTCAAACGGCTCGTCATCGGGGTATTCCGATATCAGTCTATGGTTAATAACATTGTCTATGCGCAAGCGTGGTGGTCCGGAATTGAGCTTTTCGCCATTCTTTGGTGGTCCGGCTATACGCAATGGTTAGATATCAGAAATCGAGCCGATTTTGGATGATTTGAACTTACATATGATGAGGTCTATCAGCTTGACAATGACAGGACCCCAACAAGTGATGGCAATGATCTGTCCGTACGACCATTTATTTGCCTCAAAGCTTTTGGCACTGATCACCCTAACCAGTGAAACCATATATAGGATATTGATGAAGAAATATAATACCTCTAAACCTCTCCAGAAATACTTGGCAAATTTTTTCCAGTGACGCTGAAGACTATTCTCTGGCCATCGACCAGGCGTCCAGCGACCAAACCTCAAATGTTTCGTCCGTCTATGTTTTCGCAGCGTCCAGCTCAGCTGGTCTATGACGAGCGCAATAAACGCTATGCTATCCAATACCAGAAACACCACCTTATAGAAAAGCGGATGTGGGAAAAACGTCAAGCTTAGTCCAGAAACTCCATGAGTAGCGGCGCAATACGTGCGCGGACTTGGGTTGCCACCGCATTCTTCGATACTATGCTGCTGCTTGAACAGATCAAAAGTAGATGAGAAGCTAATCTTTTGCGTAGATGCAACAATCGCTAATAAATATTCCGCGCAAAAGCCAAGGAATGTATGCCAGTTGCGGATGCCTTCGTTATGGAGACAAACTTGAACCAAGAACATGGGAAGCACACCGTTAAGGCTGACATGGAATGCGACAGCGCCATTGACGATGATCTCGCCCCAGAATGTGCCGTCCTGGGAGTTGATGACGATTGCGAGGATGGAGGCGATCTGCAATGCAAACACAAACCAGCACTGAGCTTCCTGGAACTCGACTAGGGTGGTGGCCATGGCCACGCTGGTCCGCGACAAGGTAGATGTGTCTCTCCAGATTAGTGACTCGGCGCGGGTGAGGGTGTAAGGCTCGCGTTTCTTTTCAGTGTGACGAGCCCAGATGGTGAATGCCTGAACAGCTAGATATAGTGATCCTGAGAAGCATACTTGAAGCACGTAGGAAATCAGCACCTATTCCAGCAAGGTTAGTGCTATCTTCACTCTATATGGCTATTTATTGGTATAATCTTACTCCAGGTCCAAAGATATCAGGGTCAATATTAGCTGGGATATCTGGGCAAAACGTATTCATGGCCTCAAATATCTCATCAGCAGTAGAATGCTCTATGGAGAGCGCTTTGATAGAGGGGTCGCACGCCACGCTTAACTGGTCACTCCCGCAGGATGCTTGTGCGCAAGTGATGAAAGAGTTGAGGGTCGGCTTATAATCGAAACCGGCGAGGCTCCCAGAACCCATTATAACACTAGCATTTAGCTCTGTCTGAGGGGTGATGTAGTAGCTCTCGGTATCATGAGTCCAGTGAGAAATGGAAGCCAACGCGATACAATCGTAAAACGTCTCAAGAGAGCCGAAGAAGACATCCGTGCGGTTGCAAGCGCGAGTGCAGTCCTCTACGCCATCAACCAGGCATCCGGTGCCGAAAAGCACAATGCTCTGGTCGCCTGCAATGCTCGACTTGATGAGATCCTTGAAGCTGAAGGCATCGTCATTCGGATTTCCGACGTTGGCGAGGTCGTTGAAGGGGAAAAAATCAAGAGTGCCTCCTATATTGGGCTCGACAACGACCGATAGCGGCAGAGAGGACGCAGTAGGTGCCGCTGTTATTGTGGTGGAAAGAACAAAAGACGAGATTATACTACTGGTCGCTGCCATGGCTCGTTGAAAGAACGCTCGTCGGCCCCCAACAACTACCAAAAGCAAATCCCGAGAGCATAGGTGTGCCCTACCGAGTGATGCCCCCAGCGACCACCGACGATGGGCCTACTTCAGTAGTGGCCTAACTAGAGAGTCTGCTCGGATCTGCTAATGGCCTGCGACGACTGTCATGCCCCCAGCCGAAGTGGTACAAGAGAAACGAAGTCGGTGAGGTCGGCAAGGAGCTCTCCGTTCGGTGGTTCTTTATATCACTACTGACAAATATTCCTGGATCTCGGACAGGTAAGTGATTTGTTGTCATCCGCCCAGCGGTGGGTCGAGACGCGGCCATGTCAAATTTGGCCAATTGAGTCTCTCTAGGGAAGCAGGCATCTTATCCGCGGGACCTTTTGGTGGGCGGTGGCCAAAGCAAACCCCGAGAAGCAATATTGGACCGGCTGATAAGGTCATGACGAAGATGCTGCGCGATCTACTACAGATTAATATCGCATGTATCAGATATGATCGGGCCCAGGGGTTTGGCGAGATCTTGCAGGGCTGCTTATAGCGTTAAGGATGGACAGCGGCCAGAAGGCAGCGCTGCAGTGCTGCGCCTCCCCCAGATTAAAAACGTGCGGTTGCAGTTGGTGCATGCCAAAGCTCGCGCTATTGGCCCAAGACGATGAGCGGGTGAAGCGGGTGAGCGGCATGAAGAATTGCACGCACCATGGGGGCCTTAGTGATGTGTCAAGAGTGGAACGAGAAGCATGGGTTGTAGCATGGTGACGTTCTATAGCGGTTGAAGTAGCCTTTATGCTATCGATTAGGGTTCATGGGACAAACAATGTTGAAGCCGAGACGAGGGAAGGTGCCCCTGTTGAAAGGTGCCATATGTACCTGCCTGGCGGCTGGAATATCGCTGTGCAGACACGAGTCAATAACAAGGACTATTTCCATCCCTACTATCGGTCTCGATTGGCCGTCTTCTTGCACGTAGACGACTGGCAGAGAGCCTGTTGCTCATCTACAGCACAAGGGTTCTACGGAAGGGCGAAAGCTATGCAGTAAATGTGCTTCACCTGGTGAATGGAGCAGCCTAGAAGCACGCGGAGCTCTAGCTAATGAGAGCTTCGAGCCCCATGATAACAGCTCAAGTGACAGCGTCTTTATGGCCCCGGTATTGCTGTGGGCTATTTTCACATTCTTTACCGTCACCTTGAGCTAGCAATAGCAACCTAAGAAACTTGTTTTCATTTCGGGAAGAGAATATAGCCAGAAGAGAATGAGTGATCGCCGAGACGCTTAGAGCTTACCCATTGGGATCTTGAGATAAGGTCCAGGGCAGCAATTGGCTAGTTCACTATATGAATACAATGAAAATTATATTAGCAACAATGAAACAACTCATCATAGTCACTATAATTACCTAGTAGCCATCATATAGCTTCACAATTTCTCAAACTCGTTAATGCCGACTCTCCTGCCATATGGCACAAGCACCGACACAAGCCGCAGCCAAAACTAAGCTCGGCTCATTCAAATATCGACGTCACCTTTAAGCCGAGCTTCTCTCCAAATCCAATCTTACAACCATTTTTATTTCTCCCACGACTTTCCTCCTCTCAATTGAATCTCCCTCCCCAAAACCACACCCTCACCAAATTAATCTCACAGCCGCCGCCGCAATGCCGCCTCGAATCCGCCTCTCCGCCTCTCCCTCCCTCTCCTTCACCTTCCGCCGCCTCTACTCAACTCCCTCCGAGCCCCTCATCCGCGTCACGAACCTTCCCGCAGGCTCAAACGGCCACATCCGAGTCCTCGAGCTCAACCGCCCGCAGGCCCGAAATGCAATCTCCAAGGACCTGCTAGCCTCGCTGCGCGCAGAGATAGACGACGTGCAGAGCCAGTACGGCCCCAACGGCGAGGAGAAGACTACTGGAGTCGACCAGAACGGTCCCACGAGAGCTCTCATTCTTGCCAGTGCCATTGATACCTGCTTCTGCGCTGGCGCAGATCTGAAAGAGAGACGCGGCTTTACCCCAGAAGAGTGCGTATAGATGTTCCGCCCTCTGTTCTGTATCTCGCTCTCAAGCTGTTTGCTAATATCTTGTGACAGAACCGCCCAGTTCCTCTCCAACCTCCGCAGCACCTTCGCCAACCTCTCCAACCTCCAGATCCCAACAATCTCCGCCATCTCCTCCCTCGCCCTCGGCGGCGGCCTCGAGCTTGCCCTCTCCACCCACTTCCGCGTCCTCTCCTCCAACGCAACTGTCGGCCTGCCTGAAACCCGCCTCGGCATCATCCCCGGCGCCGGCGGCACCTTCCGCCTGCCTGCCCTCATCGGCCTTTCCCGCGCGCGCGATCTCATCCTCACCGGCCGCCGCGTTGCCGCCCCGGAGGCCTATTTCCTAGGCATTGCTGATCGCCTCGTCGAGGTCGTCCCGGAGGATGAGCGCGACGGCGCCGAAATCCTGCAGATCGCGCGCAAGTCTGCCCTGTCAGAGGCTGTCAGGCTGGCTCAGGAGATCTGCGAAGGAGGACCCATTGCTATCCGTGCTGGTCTGCAGGCCGTTGCCTGGGCTAGGGAGGAGAAGGAGAATGAGATGTACCAGAGGGTCGTCAACACAGAAGATAGAAATGAGGCGTTGAAGGCATTCCAAGAGAAGCGAAAGCCCGTGTTCAAGGGCCGGTAAAATTACAATTTAATAGAAATATTTAATGAAAAATGAACAAATCGTTAATGACAATCGTGCCCTGTTTGGGACCTCTCTTTATACGTATGTTTGCGAGTGATATCCTCTTGTTTCTTTATAATTGAACACAAACGCCAACACCAATGATTCTGCAAGTTTAGTAATCATCTCATCATAAAACTACCTAGAAGCTAGAAGTAGACAATTCCATACATGTTCTTCAAGTGATTATGGGTACACCGTACGCCTCTTTTTTTTGTCCCTTTACCTGCCATGCATTAATACTGCCTCTCAGCCAACTGAATTGCCCCCCCAAAGTCAATAAAGTATTTCTCCCTCTTCTATCATACCTTCTCACTCCTTTTTTTTTTTTTTTACGATTGAGTTGCATCTTCCATGATTACCGTCCTCTGAGATTCTTGCGGCTCCTGCGCCACTGCATCCACCTCAGGGGCAGTTTCTGGGTCATTTTCTTTCTTTGCGTCAATAACCTCAACATCTCCGTCTCTATCCGCTGAAATTGAGGGCGCTGACACAGCCTCAACGGCTGACTTCGTTGCTTCTGCCTCTACTTGGCCTTCCTTGTCCTGACCGTCGCTTTCTTCCTTCTTAAGAGGTTCTCTTTTAGGGACGCTGACATATTGATCCTTGTCTTCGTCGCGCACGTAGCAGAGGTAATATGGCTCGCCGCTAGTGCTCAGAGTCTGTAGTACTTCTGCAGTATCTTTGTTCTCCTTCACATCCGCATCGTTATACCAACGCCAAACGTTGGCTTCGAAATCGTGGATCCAGACCCAATAGTGCCCCGATGTCAGGTGGCCACGATGGCAGATGACGGCATGGAGGCGGTACGAAATTTGCTTTTGGCTGCTCATACTTGCTTCAAGTGCCTCTTGTCGTTGGCGTAGTTCTTTTTCCATCATTTCCAACACTGCAGCGTGTGTCTTCTGTATGTCTGTAATCTTATTGGCGGGCTTCTCAAGAGTAGTCTCTTTAGTGGCATTTGCTGGCGTTATGAGCAAAAAGTCATCTTCTACTGGCCCATCAAAATCCCAATTTTCAGAGTCTATTTCGTCTTTCATGAAATCGTCGGCTCCGTTGGTCGCTTGATTCGCCGTGCCATCTGTAACCTCATTTTCACCCCCGTAGTTCTGGAAAAATGTCATATAAGTAGGATTGGCTTCGACTTTCGCCAGTTGTGACTTTATGTCAACAATTCGCTCTGCAGTCATCCAATCCTCCACCCTTTGCTGAAAAATGGGCGAGTTATGGGGGGCGTCCATGTATCGATCGAGGTATAAAGTCTCAGGTATAACAACTGGGTTGCCGTTCTTGCTGCCCATAGATTGCGAGCGCTGAATAAGAATGTGTAGGACCGGCGGTAATGTCTTGATGGCGGTGTATCGTGAGAGCTTGCTTTCTTCTAAAATCTGCTGGTCGAAGTTTCTTCCGAGGGCATCGTACAATGAGCAAGGTCCTTCAGCTGCCGGAAATGCCGTAATTGATCTATCAAAGCTAATTTCATGTTGGTACTCCTTTTCATCAAACTTTTTAGTATAATTGACTGTTGTAACGAAGAAAGTCTCCATAATTTTTTCCAGCTGAATGCCGCTTGTGCTGTCAACCGAAGTTGGGCGAATCGCTGCCTGGAGACGATTGAGAATGCTGCCCATGACTTCCTCAACATCCTGCTGGTCGGTTCCCGAAGATCTTTTCTGATGCTCAAGGGCGTTGAGAACTTTTTGATCTACCGTTTCTGGCTTCTCTATGTCGATCATATCAACATCAGCATTCTCTTGCCTGGCATCAACAGGAGTGTCTTTAGACTCGTCCACGTCCACTGGAGTGACCGGTTTTTTGTCGTCTTGTGGTGCTTCAGTCATTAAAGTGTCATCCCCTAAGTCAATAAGTATTGGGACGGATTGTAGCTGGCTGTTGGTATCCTCTGTCACTGTCTCAACCTTCTCATACGAGCGGTCTGAGCGAGCGTCATCTTGATCAACGAGAGTTTGGGTGCTAGAACGGCTCCGCGTTTCTATCGAATCTGACACAGCTTGCACAGAAACATTTACCATGTTAATATCATCATGGCTCTCTGTGGGAGGAGCAGGCGATGGGCGGGCGGGCAGGGGCGGAGGGTTCACTGTCGTTGGAGTTTCGGACGGCTGTTTGGAGCCAGACAGGAGCGTGTGGGTTGATAATAAAACTGCGTTGGCGAGTCTTTGAGATGGTCGAGTGGCAGTTCTGTCAGAAGTTCGAAGATTTTCGAACAGCGTGGCCATTTCTTCCGCAACTACATGATAAACAGTATTAGTTCTCATAAGCCGTTACTCAAAGTTCCAAGAATAGGCTGCACTTACATGCTTGCGCAACAACAGCCTCGCCGCGATCCATTTGCATCTTGTTTCCGCCAAGTCGACGTGCCTGTATGCTCTCATCATTCAAATCTAACCGCAAGCTATCATAGTTGAATACAATATCGCGTATAGGCTTCACAGTGAAGAGATACTGGAGTAAACTATTTAAATAACAAGTGTTGCCGATGTTGTGCAGGCCCATGGGAAGATTCAAATTGGCTGCTCTGGAATCGCTGTTCTCGAATTCAGAATTGCTGAAGCCCTGGGCATGGCGAAGTTCCAAAACTGCATGTTTGAGTGAGGGTGAGGACGTGTGCTCAGCGATTGAATCCAATGCGTCAAGGTATACGGCCTTGGCTTCCTTTGAGGTGCTTGCTTCTAGCTGAGATTTCATTTAGTTAGCAATATGATGTGAAAGGTGGTAGCTTTCTTTCATATATTTTCATCTTCTTTTGGGGTCTTTATTTTCTTTTTCGGCCTTCCCTTTTCGTTCTCTTCTCTTTTTCTTCTTCTTCTTCTTCTTCTTCTTCCTCTCTCTCTCTCTCTCTCTCTCTCTTTTTTTTTTTTTGGTAAAAATCACTTAAAATGAAATATAAAAATCTCTCACTTACCTTTGCTTTTGTAGCGTCAACCGCGTTCTGCCACGGCCCGTCTACTGTATCTAACCCAAGAACCACTTTGGATGTCTCAAGAGACATCTTGGCATCAGCTTCCATGAGTAGTGATGTTTGATAAGAATCATCGTTGGATGACTGGGCAATCCATAAAAGCATGCTCCTTGCAGTACCCGCATCGGATGGGTCTCGCACTAACTTTTCTCGAAAGGCTTGTATCGTTGCCTTCGCGCTATAATTGTTAGGCGGGCTGAGGCCAAGAAATTCCAATGCTTGAGAGACAAGCCCATCATCATCGCTGTTATGGTGTGTTTGAAGCTGGCTCTCAAAGACAGATGATTGAGTAATGGCGTAGTCAGATAGGAGTTCGTTGTTAATATCACTCGCAATGGCCATTAAAAACTCAACAAACTCCCTTCGCCTAGAAGGCGCAAGTTCCCACTGTCTTTTATAGGCATTTACAACGATCTCTTTTGATTGAGAAGGCAAAACCCCCATGAATTTATATCGGCTCTCATTTACAAGGGGATTTGCGTCAAGATGAGGAACTTCAGTGCAGCCCAGGTGATTATGCAGAGCAGTAATACAGAATGTTGGGCGTTCAGCGGTACTTCCAGACTTGAATATGAGATTTTGAACTTCAGAACGCACATCTTCAAGATAGGCGCGAAATGTGCCAACCTTGGTGCTCCCAGATATACCATCTGCTGGCGATGGAGGTGTTGGAGTAAATGATCCTTCATCGACTCCATCGTTGATTTCGATATGCTCTTTGAACTCAAGTTCTCGAAATATGGAGAAACAACGCGGTCCGAACAAAACTGCGAATCTCTTATTCCGCTTTGAGATACTCCTGGCAGTCTCGGGGGTCGTCTCCAAGAGATTCTTCAGGTACGTATTAAGGTTGGATGGCGCTTGGTGGGCCCAGTCATCGGTAGCGCTTTCGTATCGTGCAGGTTCATCTCTTTTCGCGGCGTTCAACTGTTGAAGAATGGTCTCATGGTCTAACAAGAGATTCACCCACCACGAGGCCATCCGCGGTTCCGATATTTCAAGGGTAATCTGGAACGTGCATGGCGGAGCTGAGCAGGCAAAATACTCGCGAGCCAACAACGGATAATACTTGGACCGATCTCGAGTGATATTAGCATCTTTATCAGATAAAACCCAAGTTAAATGATGCCAGGGAAACTGGGTATCTCCGATGGGCCAGTTACTGTGGCTCTGGTGGCACAAAAACTCGGACTGCTCTTGCTCCCATTCAACCCGGAATAAGAAGTGGTAATGGCAATCCAGGCAGATGGCGGATAGAATTTTTGATGAAGATGTCGAATAAGACTGATTTCCATTGATAACTAGCTGGTGTGGGTGATCCCAAACATAATGACTATCCAGTTTGGCACGCCGAGCTCGTTCGAAAAGGTCACAGTTAGTGAAGTTATTGTTGATTAGCTCGTATATCCAGCGGCTCGGGTGACATCCTACACGGAAAGTTAGTTTAAAGGCTTGGTTTGGCAAGCATTAATATGAGGTCGGCATACCAAGTACTTCTCGCCCAACGAGACTGGATTTGAGCGGCGTCATATTGTGTGGAACAAACTCTGACTGCGTCCCAGGCAACGCCGCATAGGCGCTGGGTTCGAGGTCTTGCGACCGCAAATCATATCTGCCCCCCATGATTGTAATCTATCCGTGCGTCCAGCTGAGGCGAAATGATGTTGACTCCAGGAGGGGGCAAGGTGGTATGGAGATGGAGGGGTAGCAAGCGGCTGCCCCCTTGGATGCTGAAGGCTCAAAGCGCAAAGATGAGCGTAATCCGATCCCGCGATCCTGTATATCGACTGGCTTTCGAAATGGATGTTGATTCGGACAAGCAAGGGACGAGCTGCAGAGTCGAAGCCGCTTATATCTGCCTAGCAGGAGTCTCGTTCGGCGAAAGGCTTGGAAAGGGCATGGAGAGCTCGGCAGAGTGCTGCAGCTGTCCTAGAAATACGTCAGCCGCGGGGATCGTAAAGTCGGGACGTTGCAATGACGAGCCTCTGGGCTGCCCTGCGCAGCAAAGGACAAAGCGGCGTATGTAATTGCTTGCGTATGCAGTGGCGCGACCAACTGGTGTTTGAATAAAGTGTGCGTTTGCCTGGCCAAGGTCACGGTCGGCTGACGCAACCAAGGACGTCGCTGTAATCAACATGCCTTAGCATCTGCTAATTGCACTTCCAGGTTGGCGTTTGCAGCAGTAGATGCTGAGTCAGCGCCCTGAAAGGGGCGGCGAGTGCCCTGTAGCGTCACTGCGGAGTCGGTAGTTGCTGCAGCGAATAGCACTGTGCTGCATAGGTAGGTGCATGTAGGTGGGCGCCAGAACATATAAAGCCAAAGCAAAGAAGACGCAGCTTGTCTACTGGGGTTAAATTGTTAGGCCCTGTACATGGTAGTATAGGTAGGTATGCTTATATCTTCCCGCCTCTCCTTTACCATGTTTAATCAAACATCACCTTTTCATCATACAGCACAAATACCATATGGCAGCAGGAGACAGTGGGACAAATCGACAGCCAGATCTAAACTAAATATTATTTAGAGTAGAACAAGTAGAAGCGAGCGAAGAAGAAAGTGCAGTAAGAATGATAAGAAATAGAAATACAGATATTCTATATACTTCTAGACAAGAAGACGCACCAACGAGAGCATATCAACACTACCTTGGATATAAAATATATGCTGGCGCCACTCTCCTGGGCTTGCAAAACCTTCATTGACAGCACTGGATGTCTGTTAACTCTGCTACAGCACCAGCCGTGCCAATTCTAAAAATCTCTCTCGTAAAGCTCCTTTAACATGGAGTCCACATGTTATACCCCGCCATCTCCGCAGCCGGGAGTCTGATTGGATATATAACCAGCAACTTCCATCTTATCTGATCTTCTGATAAACCGCTCAAGTGCCTCTTTGTACTTGCATGCACATACATCTATTAATGCGTGTTATAACTCTAGACTTCTGTCTTGATAGAGCAGTCAAATACCCTGAATCAAGATGCCTTCCATAGACTCGCCTAGATATCTTCGCATAGGAGTCGATGTTGGCGGTACAAACACCGACGGCGTCATTTTAGATCCCCTCCAAGCAGCATCTCCAGGTAAAGGAATCCTAGCATGGCACAAAGCCCCTACGACTACAAATCCTAGCATTGGTATCAATGATGCCATCACTGCCATGTTCGAATCCGCTGCCATCCATCCATCCGAGATTGAGAGTGTAACTATTGGAACGACTCACTTTGTCAATGCTGTTGTCGAGAGAGACGCTGCCCGGCTATCTACTGTGGCTGTTATCCGACTCTGCGGGCCTTTCTCAAAACACGCTCCTCCTTGTGTGGATTGGCCAGATGACATGAGACAGATGATTTTAGGGCATTATGCACTTCTAAAAGGCGGCTTAGAAGTAGACGGCAATCTCATTTCGGACATTGATGAGAGAGAGATTAAACAGCAATGCGATATTATTCGCGAAAAGGGCATCAAGAGCATCGTTGTCAACGGGGTTTTTAGCCCGATAGACACCATAGAACGACAGGAAGAGCGAGCTGCGGCCATTATCAAGGCAAATTTGCCCGGCTATGATGTTCTTTGTTCCAAAGAAATCGCCAATCTAGGATTCTTGGAGCGCGAAAACGCAGCCATCCTGAATGCTTCCATCCTTTCCTTCGCCAGAAAGACCATTAGATCTTTCCAGGCACCGATTAAGCGTCTAGGTTTGCATTGTCCCGTATTCATCACCCAGAATGATGGGACTGTCTTGTCAGGAGAGATGGCAGCGAGACTACCCATCCGGACTTTTTCAAGCGGCCCAACAAATAGTATGAGAGGCGCAGCGTTCCTTGCCCAAGGTCAAGTATCCGAAGCAGCCATGGTCGTTGACATCGGAGGCACGACTACAGACGTGGGTCTGCTTCATGCTAATGGCTTTCCCCGGCAACAAGCTGCATATAGTGACCTTGCTGGCATAAGAATGAACTTCTCCTGTCCAGACATCAAGAGCATTGGACTTGGAGGAGGTTCTATTGTCAGGACTGACAATGGCTTGACTGTTGGCCCAGATAGTGTTGGCCACAAGCTCCAACAAGAGTCTGTTGTTTTCGGTGGCACTATCACTACCACTACAGATTGCATAGTGCAAGCGAACCCTGATTTGAAGGTAGGCGATGCAGATCTTGTAAAGGATTTACTTACTGGAGAGCAACTTGAACTTTTCAGAAGCATAATCCAGAACAAGATTGAGAAGGCCATTGACAAGATGAAAACATCTCCCGAGGATATTCCAGTTCTTCTTGTTGGTGGTGGAGCTATTCTGTCTCCAGACAAGCTTAAAGGAGCAAGTAGAGTGCTCAAGCCAGAGTGGGCACAGGTCGCAAACGCAATCGGGGCAGCCATGGCAAGAGTCAGCGCAGTTGTTGATACAGTCAAGTCTACAGAGTCAAAGACTACCGCTCAGCTGCTGGAAGAGGTTAGCAATGAGGCGATTGCAAAGACGATTTCTGCCGGAGCTTCGCCCACGTCTATTGAGGTGGTCGAGAAGGAAACTCTACCACTCCAAGTAAGAGCCACGATATTGAACATAGAAACAAGTAACTTACTAATTCTATGCTGTGTATAGTACATTGCCCATAAAACTAGATTCATTGTTCGCGCTGCTGGTGATTTCGATCTTGGAAAAATTGAAGTCAAATCAGCTCCTGAAGCCGATGACGAAGAAGAAAACATCGGTGACATGACCCAATATGAGAAATTGGCAAAGCGGCCGGAAACATCATCCAAAGAGCAGCAAGATAAGGAACTCGACATCCTCAACTATAGACCGACTGTCAAAAACCGCGTATGGTACATATCAGAAACGGACGCCAATTGGATCGCGACGGGCTGTTACATCCTTGGTACCGGCGGTGGTGGATCCCCCTACTCTCATTTAGTGCGTTTAAAGCAGGAGCTCCATAAAGGAGCAGTTGTGAGGGTTGTAAATCCTCATGACCTCGCCGATGATGATCAGATTGGCTGTGGAGGTGGCGTGGGAAGTCCTACAGTTGGTATCGAGAAGCTCCCCGCCGATGAGCTGCTGGAGGCTCAAGAGGAGATATTTAAAATATGTTCTCAGCCCGCCACTCATATGATTTCCATTGAGATTGGTGGCGGAAACGGCCTCCAAGCGATGATACTAGGGGCTAGCACAAACATGAACCTGCCAGCCGTCGACGGAGATTGGATGGGGCGTGCATATCCGACAAAGTGGCAGACGACGCCCATTGTTTTCAACGAGCGATCTCCGGTCTGGTCTCCCATTGCCATGTCCGATGGAAATGGCAATGTTGTTGTCATGCCAAAAGCAACGTCTGACCTTGCTGTTGAACGAATTTTACGAGCCGCTCTCACTCAAATGGGGTCTCATACGGGATCTGCTGAGTCTCCGGTAACTGGAGCAGAGACGAAGCGATGGGTTGTAGAGCACACCATATCACAAGCCTGGAGAATTGGACGTGGCGTTGCTCGTGCCCGAAAAGAGAACAGAGTAGACAATGTGGCCGAATCCATCATAGAGGAGTGTGGTGGAAAAGGGGCCGGCAGAGTGCTCTGGAAGGGCAAGATTGTGGGTGTTGAGCGGACGCTGAGAGGGGGGTATGTGTATGGCGAATGTTTCATCGAAGGAGTTGATGTGAGGCAGGATAGCGACGGCTTACAGCAAGGCGGAATTAGCCCAGCCTCCTTTAAAGGCACCATAAAGATTCCCTTCAAGAACGAAAACATTGCAGCTCTCAGGGTGCGAGACGACGGGAAAGAAGAACAGCAAGGAGATGTTTTGGCCATTGTGCCCGACTTGATCACTGTGATTGATGCACAGAACGGCGAGGCTATCGGCACCCCAGAATATAGATACGGGCTGCTAGTGGTCGTGTTGGGGCTCGCTGCGAGCGACAAATGGACAGGAAGCAAACGGGGCATAGAGATTGGGGGTCCTGCGGGCTTTGGGATCGATCACCTGAAGTTCACTCCTCTGGGGACATTTGTCAAGCCACAGAGCGTTATTGATGAATACGATCCCGGCGTCTAAGATCTATCCAGTATAGAAGAACAATACGCTATCCATCCCGCGTGTTTAGTACCTTACATAGGTATATCAATGATGATCTGCTTTCGGCGACAGCTGTCAAAATATGATAGGTTAGAGTGTTGGATAACAACATCCCCCTCATTCCATCTTGTTTACCAGTTGACGCCAGGTGATTAATTGCCCCTGGTCAAGAACTCGCACTCATCTATCAGGCTCAAGTTTAACTCACCGCCCAACCACCCTTTATTGCACCTTTTGCGAAATTTCGCAATGCTATTACCTCTTCTCTTCTTCAAAAGCAAACAACTCTACTCGAGGTATTACCCCAGGTGTTTAATTCCTCCTCGATTAAAAGCTTCCACCCATCTATCGTACTGCTTATAAGGCTGTAAGTTTAAATCAACAACAGCGACCTGTTCACTGGGCCTTTTGCAAATCTCTCATTTCTTTTATTCTCTTTCTTTCTTGAAGAGTAACCTGCCATATCCGAGTTACTATACCAGATAATTAATCCTTCCTCAGCCGAGAACTTCTATTTATCCAATTTTTTTGCCGAACAGGCTCAAACTTGACTCACCGCCAACGACCTTTTATTGCATCTTTTGCAAAATCCCCCGACTGTCTTACCTTTTCTCTTCTTGTAGAGCAACTCGCTTCGCTCAGGTCATCGCAATGGCCTCTTCACAGGATTTTGCAACTACTTCTGCTGCCAACGAAGATTTCACTCGGTATATCTACCCCCATCCACAGGACTATATTACTCGTCTTCCCGATGAACTCAAGCTCAATGTCACTCAACGCCTATCTATTGGCGACCTTGGGCGCTTAGCCCAAACTTCCAGGTTATTTTACGACTTCATCACTCCGATTCTGTACACAAGAGATAACCGAGACAAGTATCCCCGAGCTATTTTTTGGGCAGCGTCAGTCGATCCTGATAAGGTACCCAATAAGAACATTCTGGCCGTCTTGGACTTTTCCATTGAATATGGTGGTAACCCAAACGCAATGTATGTCTCAGCAGGGCCTCTTCCTTTCCGTGCTACTCCTCTTCATCTAGCTGCTGCCAGCGGCAAATTAGGCGTCGTCAAGAAGCTCTTGAGAAACAGGGCTGATCCCAACGCCCTCGGAAAGGGATTTCTTTACAATATGGAGCAGTCTCTTGACCACGGAGCATTCGATGTGAGAATGGAAAATATAGGCCGGACGATAGCTCTTTCTTCTCGTTTCGCCCTGTGGCGCCCGTTGTTCGTCCCATTTGTCTTGGGGCATGAAGGCATCATCCAAGCACTGCTGAGATATGAGGCTTCTCCTGTACTCGCCGTCACCGACCCCGACAGAGTGGGCTCTGATCCTGAGCCAGGCAGCATCAATATTCTACACATACTTGCATCTCAGCACGAGCGAGAGCATACAGATGCTACCGGTCTATCATATTTCAGCAAATACCGCAACCTCATTAACGTGCCCGTTCCAAGAGGAGAGGCGCCTTTGTCCATAGCACTGCGCCATAGAAACCTCGAATTGATCAGAGACATAGTTATGAACGGTGGTGACATTGAAGGAGTAAGCGAGTTAGGAACTACTCCGCTAATACAGGCCATCACATGCTTCTACAAAGAACGTACAACGGCGATACGAAAAGCATACATGGAACTCATCCGCTACCTAGTCGAAGACTGCAATGCCCATGTCGGCAAGCATCCCAATGACAGAGTGTACCCGACGCCATTGACTTGCGCCGTTACGGGCTTCGGCAAAGCCCTGCAATTCCCTTGGAAAGATGCAGTTGAAGATATATGCTCAATTATTACTCTCCTACTCAAGCGTGGAGCCAACATCAATGAACAATCTAACGATCAATATACTGCGCTCAATGTTCTTTGCTACGTTATTTGCCAGAGAAAAAATACCGATAAACTCATAGCTCTATTTGAGAAACTCGTTATCAATTGGAAAGCTGATATCAACGCCCATTTTCCATCCGGAGGATCCATTCTGGGATATTGTATCTTAAAGTTCGATTGTAAACCCAAGAGTTTCTTCACACTTCTGTTGAAATTAGACGCTAAACTCAGTCCTGATGAAATCAACCCCGTTTTCAAGATCTGGGTGAGCAACCGCAGCCTCCGCAATATAAAACCCGAATTCAATATGCTCGAGTATAGCAAAGCTGTCACTCAAGATTCTATCGATTTTGCATATAGGGCTTGTCTTAACTGCGAGAACAAGAACAAAATTTGGGACCAGCTGCAAAGACACTTTCCGGATAGCATTGTTCCCCAAGAGATTGCTGCAGAAGCTTTCCTGCGCGATGATAGCAACAAGCGGTTTGCCATTGCCTTGGGATTCAAGAACTTCGACGGCGGCTATATCCACACTGATGGGCATAGTTTCTTACATTTAATCGTCAACAGGCTTGAGAGATTCCAGAAATACACAGCCTCCCAAGCGATTTCCGATGCAAAAAAGGTTCTCAGATCAAATGCGTCTGTCACAGCTACGGACAACAACGGCAGGACGGCCTTGGACAAGCTTGTGTCCATGCGCAGGGAAGGTGTGAAATCTTACGACCCTTTGAGGCTCCTTTTGCATGATATTGAGAGAGAAGAGAAGCTTTTATGGAAGGAGTACGAAGACAAGAAACTCTCGGCGGGGGAATTTGAGCATAAATGTAAGGAACTTATTAAAATGTACATAGTAAGGTAGTTCCTCTAAGTAGTGGGAATTTCCGCTTCAGGAAGGTTGATATTGGATCTGCGTCTTTTTGGGCTTCCCCTCTTTGGCGGTCATCAGCTAAAAAGTATGCATAATTCGGTCTACTGATTGGGCCAAGAGGCTTGGCTAGTTTTAGAAGGTTAAACAAAATGGAGATTGAGGTTATCTGGGCATGTTCTATAGCAAGTCGGAGCCGGAGTATTTCGCGCTCAATAGTTCTAATCAGCTCATCTATCTGAGTCCATCTATCAGGCGGACATGGCAGGTGATCATTAGCATTTACTAAGAGGAATTCGAAGACGATAATATTTCATGCGGCTTATTTCTTGGTGAGTCGCACAACGCTGAGACATATTATGTGATAAAGCCAAAGATGGCTCCGAGGCCTATCATGCATGTTTGATATGCATTAGTACTAGTATATACACGTGGATGGACAGCAGCGAGATAAGGAGGGTATAAGTGGATGAGGCAGGAAGAGAAAGAGGAGTCAGGCGGAATATAAATTCATGCCCCTCTCTCTCTGCTTTCACTCGTCTTTGGGGCTGTCCATCGCATTGTATCATATTAGTTATTCTCGGAAACGAGAAGAGAACTCAGAGGCAGCCTACACCTTCACGCACAGTAAATTTACATCACACATTTGATCACCATGAGGCCATCCATCACAATTGCTCTCACCGCCGCCGTCGTGGCCTGGGCTGCTCCAGCTCCTATGCCCACACCGGTATGTGGCAGCCCAACCCATTCAATCTTACACCACGAAATTAAGAACTTTTGCTCATATGAACAACAGCCCGGTATTCCTTCCGATAGCACCGCCAGAACTCTTCTTGCAGGCCTCAAAGTTGCCGTCCCCGGCTCTGGCAGCGATTACGATCGCACCTTGTTTCCCCATTGGATCAACATAGCCGGTACTTGTGACGCTCGGTATGTCAACAATGTCAACACGGCACAGAAGCATTACGAGTATAAGACCAAGAGCTGACAGAAAATGATGACAGCGAATATGTGTTGAAGCGCGATGGTGACGGCGTCGTAGTCAACAGCGCCTGTGTGCCTCTCTCTGGCGACTGGGTCAGCCCCTACGATAATGCAAAGTTTACGAATGCATCGAAACTAGACATTGACCACATGGTTCCTCTAAAGAATGCATGGATTGTGAGTTTCCAACCTATTCTTTCTCTCTTCTTTCCATAGCCCTTGCTACATACCCCTCTCCATAATACAATACAATAGTATGGTGCGGCATGGCTTACACGCACAATTAACAGTCCGGTGCCTCGAGCTGGACCACACAACGGCGTCAAGACTTCGCCAACGACGTCACCCGCCCCCAGCTCTGGGCCGTCTCTGCAAGTTCAAACCGCTCCAAGGGTGACAAGAGCCCCGACAAGTGGAAGCCTCCGCTGTCGAGCTTCTACTGCACCTACGCCAAGTCCTGGATCGACGTCAAGAGTGCCTATGCATTGACCATTTCAAGCGCCGAAAAAACAGCATTGGGCAGCATGTTGGACTCTTGCTGAACCAAGATGATACACATATTCTTGTTTTCGCCTCCTCCCTTTTTGCATCTCCTCCTGTTGTGTCCATATTTTGCAACTACGGTATACGGATTCTCACGACGGCAAAGTCATCGCAATGTACATTGTATCCTTTCTTCCCTCCTCCCACACATGCTCAAAGCAAGGCTGCAATCGATTTGAAGAACAACGCCTCACAAGACGGGGACACAGCTTACCGCGTGGAAGCCCATCCGTTCGCTCCGCAGCCGAGAGGCAATGAGCATGTCTGGTTACATCTATTTGTCTCAAGGGGGATCCGGCGTTTGTTTGATGTCACCTGTCAGACATTGCCGAAACAGTATCTAAACTTAAGGGTAATATCGTTGGGGATAGTCGTATTTTATGCATACTAAGAACAAATACTATGGAAGATGCAATACAATAATACTCGCTATCATCCAAACATCTCACTACGGTTTCGCTCGTTCTGCCAAGCTGTTTAGCTTAAATGTCTTGTATCGCTTCACTCATACATGTATTTTACAAGGCATGTAAAGGTTGTTACACCAATGCTTCCAGCATCTAACCATCGCCATCATACATTTAGGTTACTAGCCAGGACTTCTTTCATCTCACCTGACATCTTCAATCGCCGTCCGGTTCTTTTTCCTTATTTTCTCCTGTCCTGTACTTCATCTCACCAAATATGCTGTGCCAGGTAATCCAACGGTACAATTCAACATCACCGAGAAGCTAATTCAAAAATAAAAAGGGCTTGCGAATATCCGCGTGAACAATCCACTATGTGACTCTTTAAAACACCAGTATACAGACTGATCTTCCAACTTTTCCTTTGCCAAAATCTGTCCACCATTTATCCTACCTCCTAAAACCTTAAAAATTGTAATTTTAATCTTTCACCATCAGCGTCAAACATGCTCCGTCGACTCACTCTCATCCTCTTGTCCACCTATCTGGCTCTTCCCGTGCTGGCCAGTCTCAAAGATCTATCTCACTGCGATCCTCTCAAGAAAGACGCCCGTAAATCATATTCTTCTACAAGTACAACATCTTGAACAACAAACTAATCCATAACACAGACTGTCCCCCTGATCCTGCATTCGCCAGCAAAATCACCTTCGACTTCACCAAATCCACATGGGGTGACCAATTCACATCCTTCTGGGCCGTCGACTCTTCCACTTCTCAAGATAAACGCCAACTAATTTTAAACAACACCGATGGCAAAGGCGCCGCTTTTTCCATCTGGCAAGATGGCCAGGCTCCCACTCTAACCAGCAATAAATATCTCCTCTTTGGTAAAGTCAGAGTCGAAGTCCAGGCCGCCAAAGGCCCCGGCCTCATCACCGCCATCGTCCTCAAGTCCGACTCTGGGGACGAAATCGACTGGGTGAGCCTTCTTTCACCTCAATCACTCGTTCTCTCTTCCTACATGCTTATACGAGGATCCAGAAAACACTGACAATTAACAGGAACTCCTCGGCGCCTTTGAAAACCAAGCACAGACAAATTACTTCTTCGACGGCCAGCCCCTATTCAACACCTACAACACAACATACCGCCTCGACAGCTCCACCTTTGCCTCCTACCACACCTACGGCATCGACTGGACCCCGACATATATAAACTTCTCCATCGACAACGTCGTCCGCAAGACCTGGCGCATCAACGACGGCGCAATCCCCGCGTACAAATGGCCTCAGACGCCGATGCAGGTCAAGCTCGGCATCTGGTCCGTCAGCAGCAACGGCAGTGATCCGGGCACCGTCGTCTGGGCGGGCGGTTTGCCCGACTGGAGCGGCCGCGACGCGGATCAGAACCCCTATAGGGCGTATTTCAAGACGCTCGAGCTGGAGGACTACGCCGGCGGCTGCAACGAAACCCAAAGGGGTGCCGATATCGAGTACCTGTACAATGAGCGCACAAACGGCTGGCAGAACATCCAAGTCAAGGGCTGTATCAAGAGAACAACCCCCGGCGTCTATCCCCCTCCTCTGCCCTCTTCGTCAATCGGCTCTCAACCTTCGCAAACCAGCGGAGGCGGAAGCTCACATCCTTCACCTTCTTCTACTGCCGCGAATTCCTCTGGCGGGCCGTCTCAAACAGGCGAGCAAAACCCAGTCCAGTCTGAAGACAGCGGAGATGAGAGTGACAGTGCTGCGCTGCTGAGCGGACGACCATCTTCGCCACTCGGTGCTGTTATTTTCTTACTTTGGCTTCTTGCCATTTGAAGTTGCAAGGGAAAGGGGGAGAAAGCGAGGAAAATAGTTTTGATCTTGTTTTACAGGTAATGGCAAATGTTAACCAGAATAGGAAAGAATCTGATATCACATCCATAATGATAATAGCTTAGCAAACCTTCATTCTACTTTTTTCATTTAGGCACACAAATACTAGGGTACGCAGGCTTCATTGAATGCAAATACACGACCGCTGTAATCACAGTTGTCACTGCTCTTGTCATGTTCATAAACAAATGCTCGCTTATGCTTCCAACATTCCCAACGCTTTCGCAACGGATTCTCGAAAATACCAACACAAGGACGTGAAATGGAAACTAGTAGTACAATATATGCCCCCTCTTCACTATTAATCAACGAGACTATTTTGAGTAGAAAAGAAGAAGAAAAGTCCCCAGATAGGAGGTATCAAAAATGGTAATGGCCAAAAATGGAAAAAAAAAATAAAGACAATTAAAAACACAGAAACAGAATAAAGTTGAGAGAGAGGAAAGCAGTAAAGCCCCAGCCCCTCAACGTAGCTCATAGTCTCTCCCCTTTCTTTCTTTCTTTCTTTCTCTCTTTCTTTCTCCCTCTGCCCAAGTATAATAGGCCAACAAAAGCAATCGATACGTTTTTTTTTCTTGAGCAATCATGTAGCAACGGTTCAAGGACGCAATGTCTCATCGCCTTCCTCGTCGCTGAGATCCATATCGCCTTCATTAAGCTCGCCTCTAGCCGCCCGTCGAGCCAAGTCTCGCTCCTTATGAATCTCTCTTCTTCTGCTTTCTGATTGCTGAAGAGTATCCACGTATGTTCTAAATTTGACAATCTCCCTCAGTAAATATGCGCTCTTGCGCTCCCAGTTTGCCATGGCCTTATTTGCGTTACTGCCCCTAGGCGTAAAAGCAAGTAGCATAGGGCTACGAAGCTGGTTGTGGTTTTGTAAATCATCCTCAATACTCTTGACATATGCGGTTAATGTCTCTAGCTGCTCTGTTTCGGGCAAGTTGCTTGGTCGCATACTTTGTGTCGGCGGCGCCCACTCGGCAATGGTGATACGATCTCCGGGAAGTTTACCGCGTCCGGCGCTCTGGGTCAACGCTCCGGATCCATGATCCATGCTGGATGAAGGCAGAGTAACACTTTGAACACTGGATTGACGACCATGAGTGGCACGGCTGCCTGGGCGTGAGTTTCGGCCGCCACTCATGATAGAAGCATTATCGTTAGCAGCCCCAATGAGCGAGTTATTAATAATCGCATCGCTCCATCCATATTCGATGTTGCTTATGCCACCGATCAGCGGATGTGTGCTCAAACGGGAACTCCAGTAATTGGCTGTATTCACAAACTCCTTGATAATTTCAGGAGTTCCGACTTGGAAAAGGTGCACAGCACCAGTGGGCAAGCTCAGCGCCCACACGTACGGCCTTGATCGTGAGTAACCTGGAGACGGGAGTGCCGATGCCAGGGTCAATCGCAAGTTAAACGTACCCAAGCTGACGGCATTATCTTGCCAGTTACCACCGCCGACTGGGACGTTGACCTTTTCTGCATTCCTTGTGCGGCTCTTTTGCCGTGTTGATTTGGGCGCGTTGAACGAAAAGAGACTCATCTGGCCTCTTTGGATGACGGCAAAGACTTCGGTCCAGTTTCGTTCCTTCGCCCTCTTGCCTACGCCATCCAAGTGATGCTTATGCATTACTCTGCCTTCTTTCATCCATGGAGGACCAGCCAGTTCTAGTGATTCATCGTCCAGCAGTTGAGTGGCAGGCACCTCGGCGCTCATCAGGGACATGCTATCATTACCATTTGCATCTTCGTCCCGTACGATGGCCTGGCTGAGAGCATTTGCAAACCCAATAGATTGCTGGTAATCACCTCGGGGCATTGCTGAACCAAACGAATCTTGGGACATGGAGCCCTGAGTCCGGCCCAGAGAGTAGCGACTCCAAGTCGCCGATGACATTGCTGGGCTCCACAGTGAGTTTGCGTCGTCGAAGCTTGTTCGGCTCGAGTTGAATCCATTGCGCCCAAGCCCTGGCCGTGATCGACTTTTCGAGGCCCATCGCGAGCCAGGATTGCGGCTGTTGTCGGCAAGTCGGCCTCGCGTTGACATTTGACTCTCAGAGGGCGCCTTGCTGAGAACACTGGGGCTCCTCTTCAGCATACCCATGACAGAAAGACTACTTTGTGATGGCATGGTATTGAGGTGCCTTTCTGGCTCTGCCCCAAAGAGTGGCAGTTTGTCGTCTCGGATTGAGTTGTAAATGCTCTTCAGAACTATCTCTATTTGCTCTTCCCAAGCCTTCATCGGACCAAAGAAGGATGTCTTGACCAGTGGTCCGCATTCGTCGTTGGCGTCTCCACCCTGAGCTTCGGCGCGAGGCTGAGGGCGGAATGAGTTTCGGAAAGACCTCTTGTCTTGAGGGTCAATTGACGGCCGCACTCCCTCATGAAGCGCGGAACCCCTGTCAGGTAAAATGCTGGGGCGCTCAAAGGCATCAGGAACAGATTCCTCAACAGCTTGGGTGATTGTTGTTAAAGTATTCTTCACAAATTGGCTGCGAGTCATCTTCTGCTCTATGTCTGCCATATGCAGATCGGTGTTAAGTAACATGATTGAATAGCAAATGGTGTGGATGACATCTAAGAACCATTAGAACAAGGGTATTTGAAAATGGGGGGCCTCGTCGGTTGAGTGGGAAACTTACCAGTCGCTTTGAAGCCATGGTTGGGATTGCAATCGCACCACCGTTTGGAAAATGCCACCAGAATGCGATCAACTTGCTGCGTCTCGCCGCGCAAGATTAAACGGCCACACACTTTGCGCAGCGCACTAAGTATGCTCAGGTCTGTAAAGTCATACAGCTCAATGTACGCCTTTAAAGTCCGCTGACGAATGGGGCCCTCTTCACCCATCCAAGAAGCAGCCTTCTCCTTGGGGATGAAGTCTTCAACTCCGTCGTATATTTGCTGCGCTTTTTGTTGGTCGTCCTCAGTTGGCTCGCCAATGACGAACTCGGGTTCGTCTAAATCTCGGTTTTTAAGGAAGTCGAGAGTTCCCAGCCCCTTTGGACTTGACACGCTCGTTCTTTCGATACGAACACTTGGGGGCCCGCTTGTGCTCGGAGCGGTTTTATAATCTCCATCATCAGTCGATGCTGAAGCGAAGGATGTCGACCGGTGTGCGTCTGCCGGGATCGTGACTGTGGGGCGAACAGGGCCGCCGTTTGGCTTTTCTTGATCATCAAGATATGGTGATTTCTTCGCGCGGATAGTGCCGGTAGAATCCCTGTTCTTGTATGCGGAAGGAGAGGCTAATCTTGCATCGTTCTCCTTATCAAGTGCTGATGAATTCGTTCCCCTTTGTTGAATAGGGAGGTCTTCGTTGTCGCTGCCGCCGTCGAGATCCAAGAAGGAGTTGTTCCTATGCTTGAGCCCGTTGCTCGGACGATTGGCCATGTCGGTAGATGATTTTTCTTGGTCTGAATCAGAATTATGAACTGCTCTAATCTTTGCATTTGGACTTGGTTCATAATCAGGGGAAAAGTCTCGCTGGAATTCCGGTCTGTCGTCATCGTCGTCGTCTTCAACCGCTGAGGTCGCCGCCCTGTTGGTAATATCCCCCAGAGGATTTGCCGGCATAGCACTCTCTTTCAAGTATGGATTCATTATCTGTCTCAGGCTGCTAGCAGGACTAGCTGGTCGATCGAAATCGGCAGAGAGGGGAGGGAGCGGGGGAACATCGCCTGGCAGTGGTGGAGCTTCATCAGCAATGGACTTCTTGCGTCGACGGAAGAAGGAAGATGGCTTCTTCTGCAGCACAGGCTGTGACTGCGGTGCTGGTTGAATGTCTTTGGGGGGCTGGGCTGGGCTGTTAGTTTGGTTGGTCAAACGCGGTGCCGAAGTATCTGTGGGAGCAGCGGTATTCTTAGACGAGCCGAAAACACGGCGGAAGAACCCTGGACGCTCCTTGGGTTGTGAAAGCGCTCCAGCAGACTGCGAGGCAGCAAGTTGCTGTTCCTTAGACTTCCCATAGCTGACACTGGGTGCCGGAGCGGCATCAAAGTCGCTTAGAGCCATGGCAGGTGCTACCGACTGGTTGTTGACTGGTCGTTTGGTGCGTCCCGAGGAGCTATTAACGGAACGAACCGGGCTGCGATTGCGTTCGAGGCTCGGATATTCGGTTGGATAGGGTGATGCGTGAGGGATAGCCAGGTTGGACGGCACACGACGTGGCCCTCCAGGAATTGTGGGCGTTGGTGCAGCGCCGTAATCGTCAGACACGGGATTGTTCGGGAATTCAAGGTGGAACGGGGACATCAATGGCTGCGACTGCATCTGCGGAGGACCGAAATCAAAGCTCGCTGATCGCCTGAAGCCACCGCGAGCCGAGCTCGATGGCCCGGCGATATTTTGGGGGTAGCCCGCGTCGATGCTCCCGCTGGTGCTGGTACTACCCTTGGTGCCGGCTCGAGGTCGAGAATAGTAGTCGTGCGGCGCAGGCCCTGATTGTGTTCGCTGCGTGAAGTCTCGCGGGTTGTTGTTGTTGATGTTGTTGTTGTTATTATTGTTAATGGTAGGAAAAGGTGCCTGGAAGGTCGAGCTGCTGTTGCTTCTTCTTCGTCGACTTCGGTTTCGGTCGTCAGCCCTGGGCAGCTGGACAGAGGTGCGAGTAGAGTCGTCGTCGTAGTCCGAGCTATAGGAGTAATGGTGTCTGCCCGTGTTGGCACCCCTCCCGCGTGAGAAGGTGGTATCGTTGGCCCAGGGTCTCGGATCGTCGTATGTCAGCGCCTTGCCGCCGAATAAGCCGCCGGAAGTGGAAGTAGTAGTCTGTCCCAACGAGAACTGGTCGAGGGACAAGAGCATGTTATTCACGAGGGAATCCCGAGTGATGTTGCGGGGCGACAGCGAGAGGTCGTGAGAGTCCCGCAGCGCTCTGGACGCGTGTTGGTCGGCCATCTCGGGTTCAATTGGCGTCGGGTCATCTAAAAACGAAGCATTGACGTTGCGGGTCGCCGTGGCAGTCACCGTTGGGGGCGTGCTCGCCAGATCCCGTAGCTGCTGCGAGTACAACTCTGGCCTTTGGGCGTTTGGATCCGATAAAATGAGTGGCTTGGCCAGAAGGCTAGCGGTGGTTGTGTGCGGAACCTCGCTCCTAGGCCGCGACGCAAGGGACGTGACGAGGCTCAATTTGGGCACTGGAGCCCTGCGGTGAGGAAGAGTCGTCGGGTGCCTCTGGTTTGACTGCATTGCTGGGATTTGTGGGGGCTCTCGCACGCCGGTTTATTTGATGGCGCGCTGGATCTGCTCCGCCCCCGTCACTTTGGGGTGGACAGGGGGATGGGGATGAATCGCGGCCCAGGGGTTTGATGAATTAAAGTGGTCGCACAGGCGATCCGAGAGAGCGCGAGCGAAGGCGAGGCCAGCAGATCACGGAGCCCATAAGGGCGGCTGCTACTTCGTAATAGTGGTATGGCTGCTAGTGCTAGCGGCCACGGCGGGGGGGAGGGAGAAAAAGAGGAAGACGAGACGGCGACGAGACGCGAGACGGGAGAGACAAGAGGATCGTGTTTCATCGCCAGAAAATCAATCAAAGCCAGCAAGGGGTGCCACGCGCAGAGGGACCCGCGCTGCAGGCCAGGCTCTGCCACGGCTCCCGTGCCCACTGAGCTGCTTGTCCAAGTGGGCTTTTGCCTGCTGTAAATTTGGGCTATCAGCGCGGCTGGCACATGAAACGCTGGATATGCAGCGGCCCACCCTCGGTGACAGCTGCAGTTGGCTGGCCGCACGTGTCTCAGTCTGCAGCAACCCCAGAGTGGCAAGCGAGGCATTTCGATGTGCAGGCTGAGACCCGAATAAGACAGGGTGGCAGCGGGCAATCAGACAATTCTGGCGTGCATATTACGGCTCTGGCGGTTTTGGTATTAGTGGCAGTACCTTACAGTAGATTACATTAGTAGAGAGTCTAGGGGCGGCTAGGAGAATTATCACATGCGCCGGCCACTTACTTCGCAGCACCAACAAAAGAGGAAAGGGAAAATTGAAAGAAAAGCACAGCTGCGCCGTTGGAAGAAATGGATCTTAATTGGCGGCTACGGTGAGGCTAGGATGCCTCATTTCCCTGTGCCGCCATTGGCTGACCCCTTTTTTTTCCATATGCTGTCTTGCTCACTAGGGTAGCGAGGCGCCTGCTAGGATCATTTAGAGATCATATCACTAAAAAAGTGTGTGCGGGACAATTTAACGATGCAGCAGCACACCAGCCTACCCTGGAAACTACGCAAAAGTCTGCATGTGGCCGATTAGAGACATTTGCTGTATTGGATAAAAAGCGTGTTGCATTGTTGCAGACTAATTGAGGCCGGCTAAGTCATTTTCGCAAACATAGAAGCGCGGACAGGCATATCTTTGACGCTTCGAGCACCGCATGTCATGCCCCAGGTGGTGGTACGAGCGAAGGATGGAAGTCATCATTTTATGGGCCACCTCAGGACTATTGAGAACGGTAGCACACGGCTAGCATCTCCGGAGACCAGGGAGCCATATGGCAATTAAACAATGAAAAAAAGGAACCTGGCCGAATCTCTCCGATGACACTAGCCTGGACTATTCCTTTGCGCTCGGACGATTTTCCAGAAGCGTAGTTTCTAGAAGCACCTTTACCTTTAACCCGCGTCTTCTTTGATCTCCATATAATGATGTCTTCACGTCTCACTGTGTAATCCGAGAAGCTACTCTGTATTTCCTATGTCCACACTGAGCTAGCATCAACCAGCCGGTCGGCAAACCAAGACCATGTGATAATCTTACGGCGCTGCATCTACACATTACTGATCCACCGATCGCTACCAATTCTAGCGATAGGGTCATGTCTACATGTAGTCGTACTCAAAGCAGTGCTTAGCACCACGACTATCTCTCTAGAATCTGATAATTCTGATGACTCCTCCACTCAAGTTTAAAATTATAAGGAGCTGTATTTGCCAATATCACCTTTCTTCATTTAAGCGCCTCAAAAATCACAAAACTAACATCTATTCCTACTCGATCTAAGCATGGCTGAAGAAACCTTCCAGTTCTCACCTATTCTCCCTCCTGAGAGGAAAGAGATCGATGAATAAAAGTTCATAGGCCTGCTAAAAATTATAGTCGAGGATACTTTGGACCTTCCATTTGAAGACGCCGTAAAAGAGCACAAAGATCTATCGATTTCTGTCGCTCCCCCGGGCCACTTTAACTAAAGTTTCTAGGTTGCAAAGAGAACAAAGGCGCCATTTGGCGTGTACGACTCGGAGCGAACTCTCCTATGCATTGGCGCTAGCTATGTGATACAAAGAAGTGTCATCCCTGTCCAATACTCTTTTCCACTACCCAGATATCGAGGAAGAGGCTACGCTACTGAATCTACCAAGGAGGTTTTACGATGTTCTTTCCACCACCGCACCACTCCCAGAAGACTTTTGTGTTTTCGCAGTGCGCGCATGTGAAGTGACGTCTGAGGCATGCGGAATTTGTGCATACCCCAAGAGCGACGGCATCAGAAACAACTAATAGTCATACCCAACACATTCAAAAAGAACTGAAAGAATTTCTGTAGTTCATGTTCGCTAGTATGGATTGCGCTGAAGATCTAACGGAGAGCTAGTCCCACTAAATTCCGTTACTAAACTTCATCAAGTCAAATCAGCCTTGACCTTCTATCAGCAAATGGGCGGATGGTTTAGTGGTATAATTTTCCCTTAGCATCATGCAACCTTCGAGTAGCATAACCGCATGGGAAAGGTCCGGGGTTCGATTCCCCGTTCGTCCATCACTGTATTTTTTGCGTTTTGGTTCTCGATCTTATAGGCTGGCCAGCATGTCAAGCAAAATCTATTTTTGCCGTGTTGGTTGTTCATTCAGTCATCAGTTATATCTCCCGCTGCCACGGAACTGAAGTATTTTCCGTACCAGCATAATCTCGAGTGTTCCTTTCCATATACAACTCCCAGTAGCTATTATCCCAGAGCAAACCCAGTCTTCCCCTCCTTAAATAATACCTGCAATTATAGCCATTACCGCTCCATAAACTCCTACACAAAGCAACCAATCCATCATGCTTCGATCCTCTGCCACAGAATTGAGCAGTCCGGATTGAAACAACGCAGCAGCACTCCCGAGACCCACTAGGAAGACGACTGTCATACGGCCGACGAAACCTGGGATTACGGCGAAGCTGATCACTGGGGCGAGCACGATCATGGCCAGAGCTATAGCAAGACGATTCAAAGCCAGCTTTGGATTGCTCTCAGCGGGATGGACCGAACTGCTGGCGTTAGATATTTGACTGCTGGGCGGTGGTGAAAATCCAACCATGCCGGGGAACCGAGACACCGGGCTGGCAGGTTCGTCTGGAGGATTGCTATTCGGCCGCCGTTTGCGCCGTCCTATATTGACTAGATCGCCTGCGAAGTCTAGAAACTGAGACTCGCCCTCTACTATTGGATTGAACTCTCTAAGGTAAGATTGGTAGGCGAGAACTTCTTGAAGGCTTGGTTCAGGTAAGGCGTGAGTGGCGTTGAATGAGGTGATGACTTGATCTATTTTGCCATTAGATGTAGTCCAGGTTTTGGTTATGCAAGCGAGGCATTACACACTGTACTGGTATAATTTTTCGGCAATACTTTTTATGATATCTTTCCTTCTCCAAATTGCATCCGTTGAGCTATTGCTTTCCATCCGCCGGGATGCTGGATGTATCCCTCCATGGTGCTTTCTGAGCTGCGTATCTGCCGCATCAAGATTGCGTAGCTGTTCTTCCATCTCCATGAGCTCATCTTGCATGTGTAGCAGTAGTCGGTGATGAAGAGCTTCGAATCGTCGATATATAGGTGCAAGTTTCTTCCCCGCCATGTTGCCCGTCAACCTCGCTACCAAGAGTTCATAGCCACTGAGTGGTAGCCCGGGAGCTTGATAATTTGGTATTGGATGTTGCGGAGGGAATGAGGTTTGCATGGGCGATGGAAGAAAAACCGGCTGTGGCGGATCGGGGGCAGGATATGGAATACCTTGAGGGCCATATCCTCCGTTGGAGAAACTTCCTGGGAAAGGTTGATGTGGTCGGCCTTGAGTGTTAATGGGGTTGAAATTGGGCATTTCAGGGGGCATCGGGGGTCTCCCATTGAACGGATGACGGTGACCTGGGACTAATATACAATGTCAGCGTTACCTGTAAGATGAGAAATATAAAAAGCCATTAGGATAATGTACTTCTAGTTGGGTCCTCAGGATTTTGCATAGAATAATCCAAATGATTAGATGACTGCCTAGGGCTGGCGTGGCTTTTCGAGCTTAAGCGTCTGTGGTGATCAATTCTTGGCTTCTCTTTGACATGAATTGCCTCGTTTTCTCCTTCGAGACGTGTATTCGATGATTCACCATCCTTGTTAAACTTTGCCGGTGTTGATGATGATGCTTCTATAGGTGTAGTTGGAGGCTGATTATTTGCTTTGGTAGATGAAACTGGCTGAGAAGACTGGCGCGAAAAAACATTTTCTGACGCTTTCCCCTCATCAGCCGGTGGGTATTTCGAGGCGAAGTCCGATGGAGGCCACCTACTTGGTAATGGTGATGCAGTAACGGGTGAGCTAGAGGCTCTTAGACGCCCAGCCGAGTGTAGATTCTCATCAATACTGACATGCCGAGTGTGCGTAGCTATTCCCTTCTCTTTGTCCAACTTGGATGGATCTGGGGGCCCTGATTCTGCCTTAGCAGACATGCTGATTTTTTCTTCTTTTTTGTTTTGAGATTGGTGGTACAGTCACTTATACGGTTGATAATTTCGCTGTCGCTGAAAGCTGTGGCAATTGGTTTTGCGATGGCGGGGGAATCAGTGCAAGCAAATGGCTTAATCCCCAGCCGCAAACTGCGTGCTATAGTATTGTGATTGATTTAAAAGGGCCAGATTGAGAAAATTATACCGATACTAGTGTTTCTTGAAAGGCCATGCTGCGACTAATTACTTCCCAGGCAACGTGAGCGATGCTCAGTTCCTGCGAGCCGTCCTCGCTTGAAGATGTCTAGAGGATTAAGGGAACACAGGCGAAATTCTTGCGAGAACAAGATTATCAAAAGGCATTCCCCTTGCTGTCTAACGGGATCGGACAGTGGCGGCTAAATGTACTCTTATAGAGCTAACTCCTGTCTACTAACTGGATTGAAAAAGGTATTAATGCGATCACCGTGAGGTGGCATGATTTGTGCGGCGATGGCGACCAAGACCGAGAGAGAAGAAATCAGAAAGAAAATTTCCCTTGCGCTGGGGGCCAGGCTTTGTAAAAATAGACATCAAACGGCCCTGCTAGTCCCGATCATGCGTACGATATTCGCACACTTGTGTCAGCTCGGCCCAGGATTGGCTGCCTCAGATCGGGGCGGTATGGCAAGAAGGCGCATGGCCTGGAAGAGAGCCTTGAGAGAGAGAGACCAGCAGCTTCTCCTCTGTGGCTGACGCAACCCCAATCGGCGTCCATGAGGGAATCCTTGCCTCTTCTGCTGCAGAAAAGCTCAGTTTATAAAGCAAACCACTTGCGTTGTGGAACAGGACCTCTGCGAGCTCTCGGTGACTATTCGCTGGCTAATGAGTGGGGTGACAGGCTGTCAGTGGCTTAGAAGAGGGGATATGTGATGTTTTTTCTCTTCGTCATTTTTTTAGTCTCAGATTTATAATCAGATTCAATAGATACAGAAATCAAAAGATCAAGTCTGTATTTATCAAGTCAAGCATATCGTCTTGGATGTGACTGATTGAATTGACGTGGTTGATGCTTGCAAGTGGATTCCTGACCAGTCGGGTTTTCTAGCGGGCCGGCTCGCAAAATGACCGCTGCATGCCACATCCGACTGCACGAGCTCCACCTGATCATGGTTTTTGATAGAGCGACATCTTTGCAGTGGCCACGCTCAGTTTCGGCGTCCGCAACGCGTCGTGTCCATTCGGAAAAGAGACCAGCGTGGCATCGCACAAAGCACAGGGCAAGGCAAACTCCGCTAATTGCGGCACGCTTGGAATCGACGAAGTACATCGGGCTCACATCATTCTCCGGTTGGCTAGCCAGGCGACGACAATATACCCCTCGAGCTAGACTGCAGTCTATGACTCGAACGGCATTTTGCCTTGTTTGCCATTTAATGAGACCGGTTTGCCTTGTCTTCTAGTTATTGTGCACTCTTGTCCAAAGCTACCTACGCGGTTGAAACTGGTCTTGACGCAGTATCCTTCATCCGACTTGAAGGCAGAATGAGCCGCAGATCTGCGGGTGAACTCAGCAGATATCTGCTTGAGGGCCATTTATCACACCGAGGATGTATCAATGGCCGGCGATTATCTTCGCGGGCAGCACCTCTCTGGCCATCACTGCGCCACCCGTATGCTTTGCGGCACTTACATACACAGCCTAAGCCAGCCGCAACAGGAGTACCACAACCAGCTCATGTACCCTTACGGAAGCAACTAAAAGAGCAAGCGAAGCAAGCAAAGAAGCAAGGCAAAAAGAAGTCCAAAGGCGACTCGCAGACCGTGGATGGCTGGGAACTGACCGTCGGTATTGAGATCCATGCTCAGCTGAACACCTCTCGCAAGCTGTTTTCACCAGCTACGACTTCGTTCAATGATGAGCCAAACAGCCACGTGGCGCTTTTTGACGTTGCAATGCCAGGTAGTCAGCCTTTGTTTCAGAAGGAAACGCTGATTCCGGCTCTTCGAGCAGCACTAGCCCTTAACTGCGAGATACAGCCTGTCAGTCGGTTTGACAGGAAGCATTATTTTTGGTGGGACCAGCCCTCGGGCTACCAGATTACGCAATTCTACGAACCGTTTGCTAAAAAGGGCCACATCACGCTACTTGCTCGGGATGGCATCTCTGCGGAGGATGGGGAGAGTGTTACTGTTGGAATCAAGCAGGTCCAGCTCGAGCAGGACACGGCCAAGACTCTTGCGCAAACGGGGAGTGTTCACTGGCTAGATTTCAACCGTGTTGGCGTACCCTTGATCGAGATAATCACCGAGCCGGAGATGCATCACCCACGCACGGCTGCTGTGCTTGTGCGTAAAATCCAGCTTCTCCTCAACACTGTGGATTCGTGCGTGTCTGGTATGGAGACAGGCGGTCTTAGAGCTGATGTGAACGTATCTGTTCGAAGGGCTGATGATGGCAGCAAAACTCTTGGAACCCGCACCGAGATTAAGAATTTGAGCACCATCAAGGCAGTGGAAGATGCCATTATCGCCGAGCGTGATCGTCAGATTCGAGAACTAGAGGCAGGCAACGTGATTGCTGGCGAAACGCGTGGCTGGACAATTGGATCCAAAGAAACCCGCCGTTTGCGTGGTAAAGAGGGCGAAGTTGATTATCGTTACATGCCCGACCCTGACTTGCCACCGCTTGTGATCGGGAATGACCTTGTGCAAAGCCTGCAGCAGTCGCTTGCAGTCCTGCCAGATACAGAGCTTGACAGGCTGGTTATGCACTACGGCCTCACACCTAAGGACGCTCTCTCTCTCATCACACTCGACAACGGGTCGCGCGTGCAGTACTTTTATCGCGTCTTGGCTTTGTTGGAGGGTAAGTTGCGAGCTGACGCGGATCTTGCGGAGCTTCCCGACGCCGCTTCATATTCGACTCTGGCGGCTAACTGGATCCTTCACGAGCTTGGCCGTCTGACAACATACAAAGCCGGGCCACTAGCGTCAGGGGATCTTTCCTTTACACAGTTAGGAGAGTGCGCCCAGGTGCCAGAAGAAGACTTGTCGCAGCTTCTCTATCACCTTCACCGCAAGGACATCACAGGCAAGGTAGCAAAGGAGCTGCTTATTGCGGTGTATTTGAAGGAGCTTGAGGGAGGCATTCTGGAAGCCATCAATGCCAACGATCTCTGGTTCAAGGAGATTTCCAAGGAAGAGTACAATGCTCTTGCTGAATCGGCTGCCGAGGGCGAAGACAAGGTACTTGAGGAGTTTGCTGACGAGCAGAAGTATCCCCAAGGCAAGCTTATGTACCTAGTTGGCAAGATGATGCGCCTCGGCCCCACGGAAAGAATCGATCCCGCTACGGCAGAGAGTGCCATGAGGCTGTGGATCGAACGATTTCATGGCAGGCAATGAAAAGGGGCTTCTCCTATCAGCAGTAAAGAGATGGACGCACATGTACTGTTACATAGCAATTATGAAAGAATTTCTGGAACATCATTACCATTGCCAGGCTTGGATAAACTTTCCGTTCCGCAGTAAACAGGGTTATTGCCGTTTAGACAATTTCCGTGTCAATGATGCACTCGACTCCAGCCAAAACAGCCATCGCCAATTCCACCCCCACAAAAACCCCCCCATCGTAAAGCAAAACAAGCAAAGACCAAAGCTGGGGAAAACAATTATAACAAGCGCTCTCTTACATCAGAACCCCAATCTAGTTGGGGTAAAACACGTTACAAAGACACCGCATCTGCGTCATCATTGCGCTGCCCTTCAGGTGGAGGCAGCTGTGGCGATGACATCACGACCAGTGCCACCCCCCAAGCATCAATACCTACCCAAGCAAAGCAAATCGTCACAGTGCCTCGAGTCTCCAAAACTATACAAAGGGTCTTTGCTTTACTGGCAACTTTAAAAATACAGTTTTCTTCCCATTCCTCTTCTCAGCAAAACCATTTCCCCCCTCCTTCTCTCTAACTATCGACGTTGAAAGAACGATTTACAGCCTATTTCAACCCACACAAACGCAAAACAACAATGTCTTTTCTCACTCGCACCATCAACACAAGCAGGACCGTCGCATTTGCGACACCTGTATCACGAATTGCTGCGGCTCGAACGTCGCGGACGTTTACCACCTCACTAGCCGCTCAGAAGACCGCCACCGAGACTGTGAAGGATGAGCTCAAGCACATTGACAGAGTTGTGAGCGACAAGCTCGTGGATGGAATCAACATTGCTAGTATGACATACCCTTTTTTTCTTTTCTTCTTTTTTTTATCAAAATCTTAACTTTCACAACTACTTGCAATCTTACTGTGGCTAACCAACTCCCCTTTTCGTTCAACACATAGCCGCCGCATCACATAAAGTCAAAGAAACAGCCGAGGACCTTTCCAGAAGCGGTGTCGCTAGCCAGGTAGAAGGTGAAGCGGCCCATGCCAGAGCCAAGGCAGAGGAGATGAAAGGTCGCGCCGCAGGCAAGGCTCAGGAGATGAAGGGCAAAGCAAAGGGAGCTGCTGCGGAGACAAAGGGCAAAGCCAAGGAAAATTTGGAGGAGATGCAGAGCAATTTGTTTGAATAATGGACGACAAAACAAACAATGGAAACTAAGTACGGTTGTATGAGATTGTACGATGTCACAACACCATTCATTGTAACGGATGGAAGATGGAAGCAAACATTATCATGATATTAATAAGCGCGAGTTATGAGATTGTCTCATTGTAAATTAAAATCAAATGAAAGTTATCTGCATCATCATAAGTGAACATCATGCATAGGGTATAATCGGTTCACACAGCCTTTCGTTCTTGGCCTGTGTCGACTTTTTTTTTCTTTTTCTCTTTTTCTCTTTTGCCTTTTTCCATTTCATTTCCAATATCTCTCCCACTGCCATTAGGCATTACCATCACTGACAATTTCCAAGACTCAAAGGCAGAAACAAGGCAAGCGGGTATCAAAAGCGAGGGCATAACCAGTCCACAGATAAAGTCGGATCAATATCCCCATTCAGCATACACCCATCCCAGTAAAACACAATATGTTTTTCTGATTCTCCAGAGAATCAATCATCCACTCTCGTAAAATTATTATAACAATGCCGTAAACGGCATAGTTCAATGGCATACTCTGAGGCGAACCAGTCGTCCTGATTTTTTTTGCTTTTTGGGTGATTAAACCTGGTGCGCTTTCGCCGCCCTCTCCCTTCTGACCGAGGGATATGGAATTTCTCCGAGCGGGAAGGTGACAAATGTCGTATCCTTAAGCATGAGACCAGCAGCTCCAGCATAGAATGCAAACATGGCACAGAAGACGGCGAAAGCTCCACCAGCACGGTTCAAGCGAACCGCGGCAGTGAGGTGCTCGGTCGAGACGAACTGCGCGATGCTGAGAAAGAAGAAAGAAAGAGCGAGCAGGCCAAGCACCATCAAGATTGTGAAGTTGGTCTTGAGCGCTGCAACGAAGAAGATGATGGTGAGGAAGCACCATATAATGAGGAAAATGCCGACGGCAAAGCTAAAGGCACGCTGGTCTCCATTATATGCGGCCTGAATGCCCAACGTAGGGACAAGGAACATGGCAAAAGCAAGCCAGAAAGCCCCGTATGAGCAGTGGAGGGTGCAACCGAAAGTATTGCCAAGCACGAATTCCATGACGCCAGCGACAAACTGGGCCATACCCCCGAAGAATACGGCGACACCAAAGACGGCTTGGTCAGGACCAACAGTACCCAAAGGGTTGGAGTTGGGAAGACTTTTCTCCTGTGTTAGCATATGCCTAGTAGAAAAGAACAGTTCCAAAAAACTTACCCAGCACCACATTGATAGAGCCCGAGAACGAATGTAGTCAGGGCGAAGCCGATCAGGCCAAGAGGACCTGGGTTACCAATTTTGCCCAAAGTAGGCTGGTAGACCTGGGAGATCATGGCCTGATGAGGCTGGCCTTGAAGATTCGGGTCTTGGGCGTTGCCAAACGGAGTATATTGGTACTGCGGATACTGAGACATCCCAGCAGGAGGGCCCTGAGTTTGAACATGATGCCCGTTGGTTGGCGGCGGCACCCCAGCCTCTTTGTTATACCCGTTAACGGGGTCTGAGCCGACAGCAGGACCAGACATTCTGGATAAGAGTCTTTCAGTCTTATTCACAAGGTAGTTTCTCAGCTAAGGGCTTATAGTAGGGCAATGCTTATTTAAGGGGAACAGTTGGGAGGCGTGGTAGGCAAGAATAGAGAGTAGGAGAGGGCGTTCCCGAGTTGAGCACCAAGCATACCTCGTTTATATACGCAACTCGTGCCGTGTCCATTGTTTCTGCTCCATTGGAGCTCCCCCCATACCGGTCTAGTCGGTTCTAAACTATTTCCGTTGCCCCGAATAGCTTGAATGTTGATTCGAGTTGCTATGGGTCATTTCCCCCCTCTCGTGACGCCCTCTGGGGTAAAAAACGTGTCAAGGTTGCAGAGCTTGACTAGCTATGAAGAGAGTGGATTGACTACTCCAGTACTCGATGCAGCCATCACAAACCAAACCCCATGCGGGGGATGTATTAGGATGCATTGTGTTGCTCCGTTGGGCTACAGGTTATTACCCCGTTGGGATGGTTTGGCGGACCCGGATATAGAGCAACAATAGTCTTCCCCAAACGCCGATGAGATGCTCCAGTACATATTGAGCATCGTATGACTCGACCCCGGACTAGAGGCCGGAACTCTCGGGACACGGTCGAGGGGCGATGGTAGTGACGGGCTTGATTTGCAGGAATGTCCCTGCTTTGGGACGGTCGGTTAAACGATTGGCAGATTGTGGAGGAGCAAATCGAGCATTAGCATTGCAGCTTCGAGAGCTCCACCAGAGCTCCGGCAAATGAATGCGAAGCTGAGGCAGGACTAGGCTGGGAGCTAAAAGTGCCGAGGCGTTGGCAAGGATGGGAAGTCGAACGTTGGAGAGCAGTCTAGGAGGCTCGTGGCGCCAATGGCCGGTTCGTGGGCCTTTTCTCTGATTCTGGGGCCCCGCCATGAGCCGTCATCGTTACCCGGCAGAGCAGGGATGTGTGCTGCTTGATCTCACCATGATGTTCGTTTGTGGAAGAGCCATCGGCGAAGCTGTCCCGAATTGTCGTGAAGATTGGCAATGTCTCAGAGGTATGACGGGCTTGGGAGAGGCTTTGCGATCGTCCGCTGCCCGGGTGACTATCAAGCAAGTTTGCTCTGCAGCTGGAGTTGATTCAGCCTTCCCTTCCCGGCGATGCGTGTGGGGAGGAGGAGCCGTGGCAGCAAAACTGCCGGCATGCGTCAAGCGGTTTAGTGTCGATGCTAGCTTAAGTATCGACGCTCAAGGCCATCTCACGCATCAGTCGGGCAAATGCCCGCAGATACACCGACACAGCAGCGTTCTGGGTGGCCGGCGAAATGGAGGTGGCACGTCTCGGCACAAATCAGCCGCCGATGGTACGCGGTCGGTGGCAGGAGGGAAGCTTGTTTTAATTTTTTTTTTAATTTTTTAATTTATTTAAATTTTTTTCTTTTTTTTTTTTTTTGCTCCATGCATTGATCAATGGGAAACAAGGTTGGCAACTAATTGCGTCCGCGACCTGATGGCAGAAGTTAGTTCACGGCGTCTCCCAATGGGGAAGAGCCCTGGCTTTTCTCAGCTGTTCCTGGTCTGCAGGCAACCTATCCCTTTTGCCTGGTACCTTTTACCCCAAGATTGATGAGTAAATCCTGACGGTAAATACGTAAATACACGTAAAAGAGAGAGGGTGGGATAGAGGAGAGGGACAGAGGGACAGCGGGAGGGGAAAGAAAAGGAGGCGCCAATAGAGTGCTGTCCTAGGAATACGGCGTTGAGATGGATGGCTTCTTTACTAGAAAGAGACTTTGGTCTGAATAAGATGAGATGATGAGATGGATTGGTGTTTGTGTGTCAGCCGGTTGGTGACACGGCTCGGGTACCTGCGCACTCGTTGCATTTTCACTGCAACTGGAGACTTCTCATAGTTCAAACCAATGTTGATACACAAGGCGTCTCGTTACTTGTCTCTTTTTAAACAGACAATGATGAATCTAATATATTATTTAGCATGGAAGCATGTGCTATGCTCGAGAGAAGTGACGTACTCGGTAGTTTCGCGTATACAAGAGGTGGCCGCCATAAGTGAACATGTAGACATAGAGCACACTCTAGCAAAATAGCAAACAATACGTAGCAGGCCAGAAAAAAAAAATGTAATGGATTTTGCTCGCTATTTTGGTCCGCACGCTGCTTTACGTTTCTAATATCAATGTGTCTCGATTTGATCTTTCCATAAATTGACAACTATCTCTAGCCTGTCTCCCCTCTTCCCGCCTTCGCAAGCATCCATGAAGCAACTTGCCAACCAGAATAAAAGACGGATTCACTTGTTTGCAACCAGATTCCAAAGCTCAGTATTATGCTTCATATGGTCGCCGTAGCACTCAATCGCCTGGGCAACAACCAGCTCTAGTAGTCCTTGGTCCTGATCCAGAGCGCCTTCTGGCTGCCAGCTGCCCACCACTGTCACGGCCAAACTGCCCCTTCAACTTCCGCGTTTTACATAGAAGAAGAGAAAGCAAACAAAGCAAATTTAGAGACGCGTTTTACTGATCCCATCGCCAGAAGAAATTGTGGGGCTGCATCTATTTACGCTCGTTCTGCATCTCCTTCTTTCTCCTCCCTCCTTCTCCTTCCTCATAGTCACCACACAATCATCTCTGCGAACCCAAACGCTACACACAATATTCAAGGTATGGAAATTACTCCAGCACATTATAGCTGCTGCATTGCACTCTAAGATATGATAACTTTTCATTTCCTCCAATCAATTTGTTGATCTTCCCTACTCAATATCGCAAACTCCAACCCTCAGCTAAACGACTGAGAGCCTGTCTAGCCATCATAATGATATTTCTCCTCTCCTATTGCTAACCAATTTACCTTAGACTATCAATACCATACGGTTCTTATCCTAAACTCAATTACCATCCATTGCCTCGAAGCTGCCGCAATGGCTGCACCCAAGATGACCATGGCTCTCGCAGGCCTCTTCGTGTCTGGCGCGTTTGCCACCACTCCCTTCTGTGAGTATTTTCCTGCAAATGCAAAAATCTCCAATTTATGGAGCTTTGACTTATCTTCCCCCCCAGCGGACTGCCAGTCGACTGTTACTGCTGAGCCTCAGCAGATCGGTTCCACCACTTCCAACGGTTCGCCCCCCCTCCCCTGACTGGACTTCTCAAATCATTAACCCTGTCTAGGCGTCCTCATGTACTCCATGAACTACTGCACTGTCATTGAGAGCACTCAGTGCCATGTCTCTCTTGCCACTGCCACCACTACTGTGGCCCCTGAGTCTTCTGCCGGTTACTCTGCTCCTGCCATCGAGTCGACCATTCAGGCTGCGTCCGCTACCCCAGTGGTCGAGGAGACAATTGTCCCCGGCGAGCCTGCCCCAACTACAGTCATGACTGAAGTTGCCCCTAATGCTTCTCAGGCCACTGGAGAGATAGCTGCTACTGTCATTTCGACCACCGACAGCCTTGGCAATCCAACTCTCAAGACTAGCTCTGGTGTTGCTACTGGATCGGCCGTTACCACCGGTGGCACTCTTTCTGCCTCGAGCTCTGCCACGGGTAAGCAGCAGACCAATTCGACTGCTACCTCTCCCAAGGACAGCCCCTCTGGTAGCATGACTGCTCCCTCTGCCCCGGATCGCACCAGCGCCGGAGCGGTCCTTGAGTTGCTGCTCCCCAATGTTGCCCTTGGAATTGCAGCCATGGTCATCGTTTATTTCATCTAATCAGCCATACTACTAGTGCTGCACAAGGTTACCGGAGCTTCTAGTAGCTCTGGAATCTACATGTCTCCTTTCAGTGGACTCTCTCTCCTCGAGACGAGGTCAATATTTAGGGCAAGCTAAGAGGTCAATACCTGGATTTGATTTGTACGTTTGGGAAATTTTCATGACATCGCAACGTGATAGGCAAATAGGGATAAAATTGCTTTAATTCTTTCATTTGTACACTAGAAGTACATACGGCAATAAGATAAAATGGACGTCCACATATGAGGAACAACTACTTGTGCTCCAATCCTGGTGCACTAAAATGTATCGAACACTAATTAGATCTACCATACTGTCGTGATGGGCTATGAATAAATCCCAGGATATATAAAACGATAACGCCCAATATACGCATATATAATTCTACGCCTCAGCTGGGTGGCAAATTGGACAGCCCCCTCTCACTCTGTCTCTCAACAGCCTCGCCTTCATAACCTTCATCGCAACTGAATATCGCCCTCCTTCCTCCGGTCCAGGCCCAAGATCAACATCGGCCTCCCTGCCATTGTGCAGCATCTCAAGCAAATGGCTCACATGGAATGCGTGTCCGCACACGAACCCCATCAAAGCTTCCATCTCATATTCGGTGAATGTTTCGAGGCATTTTGCACACTGGCCAGGCTTTGGTGCCGTATCCTCGCTTTCTTCCTTCTTCTCATCAACATCTTCTTCCGCCAAGACTTCAAACTTGATGCCCTTGCGCTGCCCTGTCCGAAGCTCGTTTTGGGCAGTCGCGACTTCACTTCGTAATACCGTCGCTACGCCCCAGCTAATGCTGTGCTGCAGCTCGTGCTCCTTCATCATATGAATAAGCCCTTCTCTTAGACCTTGGATCTCGAGACCCTCGGGAATCCGCCGAACCAAGGTTATTGGATTTATAGTTGTGCCAACCTGCTCCAGAAGAGCTCGGATGAAACTAGGTTTGTCCATGCTGTAGTTGAGCAAATCTTCCCACAAGTCAGGATCGTCCTGCTCTTTCGCGAAATCAATTGCTTTGTTGACATCGTTTAATCGGTCAATGATGAGATACAGCGCGCGCTTCATTTGCCCCGTTTTGGAATATAGATACACTAATTCGTCATAGTATGAACATTGCTCACACTCTTGAACGGCCTAAATGCGAGTACGACAGGCGTAAGCACTTATCAGGAAAGAGGGGGAGGGGGGGTTCAATCAATCTTACCTTTTCAAACCCGTATGAAGTCGAAGTCTTCAAAAATTCCATAAGAAGTGGCCTATCAAACGTAGCAAATAGACGAACTGCCAAATCCGCAAAGTTGTCCACCAGAGACTGGCTGTCCATCACTAGCCGTTCGAGGTTTTCGCCAGTATGCTCCGCGATTCCTTGGCCTCTCCACAATCCGCGCAGGTAGAAGAATAGATAGAGTTGAAGATTTCTTGCCTGTAGCTGCTCCACGACTACCTCTGGCCGTACGAGGCCGTGCTGAGCCTCATCAACAAGCAGTGTAATCGCTTCACTGGTTGCCGCAACCAAATCAGGTTCAGTCATGTGTTTGAGTCTTTCGGGGGAAACTCGTAGCCCGATGAATGCAGGAATATCGTCTACTACAGCGTCTGCGAGATGGAAATCGCCTATCAAGCGGAACGCTGAGTCTGCATCCTGAAGCCTGATATAGCACTTCAGTGCATCGCGCTGGCGACCACCAGCTTCGTAAAGCTTAGCCAAGCTTTCTACAACAATTTTCCAATCTCTGCCCTTCTCGCCATCTTCAACGCTATTCTCACGAACATCGCGATATTTGAGTTGGTTTTCAAGCGTCGTCGTGATCGCAGGTATATCGAAGAGATCGGTTGACCAGATATCTAGTAACTCTCGGAACCGGGGCTTGTTGTTCTGTATATAATGTCCCAAAAGCACCTCGTATATGGTCGTCGGTATCGGTGGCTTCATCGGTTTCGTTGGCATGTGTTTGGTAATTTCGTCAAATTTATTGGCGCCTGCAAAAGTCCACACCCACTTTTCCCAGCGATCAGGAGTTGTGAGAACCTTGCCACAGACTTGGCCGGCCAATTCCCAATCACCCTCGTCAATCACTTCCCGAATCCACAGCTCACCAACTCTTCTCTTCTCTTTTTCCACAGCAGAATACATATTCCTCTGGATAGTGTCTGCCACAGATTCGTCATCGAAAAAGTCATCGGCCCCAGCTTGGTATTTGGACGGTGTAGCAGGGGCTGCTGGGTCTACGACGCCATCGAGCGACTCCGCCAAAATCTCAGGGTTCTCGTCAAGAAGTTCCCATGCTTGCTGGTACTGCTCACGTTCTACTAACCACGTAAGGTGATCAGAAAGATCTCGTTTGGTAGCCAATATGCTATCGTAGGGACTGTGAATAAATATCTTTACTCCTGGCTTGGAGAGTGCGGGGTGTACCGTTGGCACTCTAGCTTTGATATAGCTTGACCGGATGGTACCTGCTATACTTCCGGCTTTAGAAACAGATGCGCCATCCTCGCTCTCTCTACTAAGGATACTGGCCCCTGAGCTGAAGAGAGATTTTGGGTTAATCGCAACATTCCACATCTCCGATCCAATGCCGGCAAGTGCTTCTAATGCCCCCCTCGTTGAGGCAACCACTGAAGCAGCATTTTGAGCAGGGAGGAGACACATATGATAGTCAGCAGCAGATAGCCTATCGACACGATTAATGGCGAGGGAGTGTCGATCTACTTCAGCTTGAGATTTGAGATCAATTAGCCTCAGTTCTGGAGGCAGGGCATTTAAGCGCTGCCGTTGGCCACGGTGCTGCTCGTTTTCCGCAGAGGACGTAGAATGTTTGGACTTGTGCTTCTTGGGCGAATCCCGCGCGTGAGATGGGCCAAACGTATCGTCCTCTGCAGCATCATCTTCATCTTCTGGAGAGCAGAATGCTAATACCAGCAGTTGATTCTGAGAATATAGAGAAATTCCAGAGATGATACAGTCTATGTGAAGGCTAGATGACTGTCAGTAGTATACTAACTGGCGTATTTATCAAACTATGATGAGGGGGACGAGCCACTTACATCTTAGCGATTTCAGCGCGCGCAATGGTCTTCTCACCGGCGTGCCTACCAGAGCCTATCCCGCCCGGATGAACGTGAATGATCCACATTGTTCCTCCCCAGCCAACAAGAAGTCTTTCAACACTTTTTGTGCCGGACGAAGAAGATGAAGAAATGATTGGATCGTGAGGACTAACCTCCGACTCGTCACTTTCAACCGACTTCTCATCAATCCATTCAACACGACCTTTCCAAACTCCGGCCATAGTTTCCCATTGGGTGGTGTGTGGCCTATCAACATGGCCGATTCTCTTCCAGGCGTCTTCAATTTCTGTACTATCGAGATGAAGCTTGGATCTCATAATCTTGATACCATGCTCATTGAGCCAAGCGACATACTTCCCGGATAGTGACCATTTAATAGCGTTGATAGTTCCCTCCCCGGAATGCAACACTGTGTCTTTTCCACCGCTATTCTTGACTCCTATAGTAGAAAGCCAGTCAGATGCAACAGCAGCTGCGGTACCGACTGTGGTTGAGGTACTGCGACCAGGGCCTCCTCTTACAGTAAGAATGAGTTGCCCAGCTCGTCCACCAGATAGATATGTACGATCCGACTTATACTCCGGTGACAAAGCGACTGCTTGCACAGGTCTAGCAAAATTTCGGAGCTGAACATCTTTCATGTCTATTAGAGACTGGACGCAAACATTGCCATCCATGGATGATGTAGCAATATGGATGTCGTTTGAAGGAGTTCTGGGTACTTGGGGGGCCTCTCTCAGCCGTTTCGACGCCGCTGATGGAGACGTATCGGATGGCCTCGCAGGTGGTCCAGATAATCCGGTTTGCGTTCGCTGAAGCACCTCGGCTCTCTCGTCTGGAAGAGGAGGAGGATATGGGGATATCGATATGGCGGTGACGGAAGCCGAGTGCGCATGGTATACACGTAAAGTATTGAAGCCAGGCAGTTGGATAACGTGCTAGGTCGTTAGTTAGCATTGTGTGAGCTGAGAACACTGACTCATTGTTACTTACGATATTGCCATTATGCGTGCCAACAATCTATAATCGTCCAATCAGTATAGCTCGTGTAAATGCGAATATCCAAAGACTCATACCATCTTATCACCTGCGACGAGACAAGCACTGGTCGCATCGCCGTTGCGATAGACCGCGCCGAGGTGTTGAGTAAGTTTAACAGATTTCAGGAGCGGTTCCTCGTCCTCGTCCTCCTCTTCCTCGTCCTCCTCCTCGTCCTCCTCCTCCTCCTCATCATCATCCTCGTCTTCTTCTTCGTCCTCGTCCTCTTCTTCCTCTTCTTCTCCTTCCTCTACCTCCTCTTCGTCTTCTTCTTCCTCCTCTTCACCTTCTTTGTCTTCTTTATTGTTGTCGGCGTCGATGTCGGCATCGGTAACCTCCACATTTTTGCCCTCTAACTCGTTGCTTGGCTCGCCGTCTTCGTCACCGCCATCTCCCTTAGTCGTCTGCCCTTCGGCACTTTCTCCCGCCTCTCCAATCGTTTCGCCTTCTGATTTTCCATCTTCCGATACTCTAGGAGCATTCGCCTGCGCACCGTGTTCATCTTCCGTTTTATTAGTTGGCGTGGAGCTCACGCTGTGCGCATCAAATAGCTCTGGCTGCGATTGCTGCCCATCAAGCTGCTGGGGCGGCGGTCCTGTCATGATGCCGATTGCGCATGTGTCATTCTGGGTACTAAAAGGATCGCTGATAAGGCTCGAATTCAATATCAGAGCATGCAGCACACGGCCGCCGCTCGACGGAGTGGAAACAAAAAACAAAGTAAGTAGGTGGTGATGATGATGCTATGCAGGTAGTACCTCGTACTCCGCAGTTTTGGTACCTGACGGGAGCTGTGCTCGGCGTCGACGTCACGAGCTACAGTATCAATGCCTTGAAGGTGCATTAGTGCCAGCTGAGGCAGCTATGGCCGCTAACTGGTACTGCTACCGCAATGCCCAAGTCCCCTGTAGAATGCTCTCCAGTCGCAGCTGACCCCACTAAAGCTTAGCCGCCCTATGCTGCACCGCCAGCCACGCGCCGACGCGAATATTTCAGTATTTCCAGATGCCTCATCAACAACGAAAAGAAACGCAATTATCCTGGCAGGATTGCCTGTGTCTGCCACGCATTTATCTGGGACTTTCTGAATGGGAGATGATGCCTCGGCTGGGATCCAACAAACACTAAGTGGGCGGCAATATTGAAGCACGACGCTTTTCTGGACGGGCTTATGGAGCTCATCCTTGCTCGACATGGCGACTGTTCAATCTCTAGGCTTGCATCAACCGGCAGGGCTCAGACATGCCATTGACGAACAGCTGCTTCCTCAGGACCCGTCTGCCTCATCTTATGCCTGGGATATCTTCATTGATGACACAGATGGAGTGCAGATAGAAGATGAACTGCTTACGACTGATAAGTGTGTCGTGTGGTCCCGTGGAGGGCTTTTCCGCAAAACATTCAAGTTCGACCTTGAAAAGGAGTCTATCACGCAGGCTCTTCTCACTTATTTTCCAGCGTCTGAGGATGAGCGCAGTGGCCGCAAGGCCTCTGGAGCTGGGGATCGCCGCCCCGTGGCCCTCGAAAAAGGCTTGGTGGTCTTTCTCAAGACCCAGGCTCATATCTACATGTTGTCGGGGACAAGTCACGTAGTCCACATGCCGTTCGAAGTAGAATCAGCATGTGCTGCCCCCGTTGGAGTCCTCATCCAGACGAAGCAAAAGACCGAGAACCTGGCGCCAATTTCCTTAAAGTTTCCTCGAGTCCCGCCCAACTCTTTCGTGTCGTCTCAGTTGACTGCATTACACGGCTCCCAACAGACCGCTTTCTCCATGGAGAGTCTTGGAAACCCCAAGTCTCTGCCAGTGGGATTGAATATGACACTGGAAAACATGTGGGACGCGCCATTGGAACAACCCGAGTCTCATTGGCCTCGACTTGTAGCCCTAAGTGATCCATTGTTGGATATTGGGCTTGTGGTAACGGATTCCGAAAGACTATCCTCGAAAAGAAGAAGTAGAAATAAATCTTCAAAGAGACATGGCTTCCTTGATCCTTGCGAGGAAATACTCCATATTGAGAAAGTTGTCATCCCCGGCACTTCCCCCGAGCATCCACACGAGTCTCTGATATTGGGAGTCACCATCAATCGCGAGGCCAATGCTTACACCATCTGGAGGCTGACCTATCTAGATCATCAAGATCATTTCATAAAACGCCACAGGCCTTCTAGCACAAAGGCATCGCGACGACGGAGCTCTATGCAGCCGGGTTTCGCCAGTGGTACATCAACCCCTGTGCAAGCAAATCATCGAGATAGCTTTGGAGCGCCGCTTCCTGGGAAACGGCCACGGAAGAGCGAAAAGGTCGAAAAACCATTGGACCTGGTATCATCACTAGAGAGGCAGGATATGGAAAGCTCTGGAGTTGGGCGGAGGAGCTCACGTAGGCTGAGTTCAATGCTGGCTCGCGCAGACCTCTCTGCCTCTTACGATAGGATAATATTCCCTGACCAATCTTCAATTCTCGGCAGCGCTTCTTCAAAACGACATGATTCTCTTGGTCATCACGGTCGTTCTAGCGCCTCTTTCATCCACCAAGGTCATCATAGCCTTGGCAGTTTGCTGGAAGCTCCGTTAGATGGTGGTTTAGATGATCGTGCTTACAACATACGGCTTGATGATCGCGAATTTGATGGACTCCAACACGAAATGCTCTTTAGCAAAATTCACATCCTTCCGATAGATAGCTCAAACGTTCATTATTCAACTTCTGGTAGCGCAACTCGAAACCAGCCCAAAGTTTTCATCCTTGCGGCTCCTCCATTCGCTACGAATGATTACCAAACGGGCCAGTTGCTTATAGGTATCCAAGAAATTGCAGAGAAGCGCCTTCAGATGGTTACCTTTCCTCTTAAGCTGCACCAAAAGCTAGACGCTCCGGTAAACGCTGAGAGAGGGGAGTCACCGCACACCACAGTCACTATCTTGCCAGGTGATTTCAAGAGGGCGCAGAATGTCGTCGACTCATGCAAAATTGTGGATGGAAATCAATCTGCCATCCTTGTTCTATCTGAATCTATGGATGGCCGACATGAGCTGAGTGCTCAGGCACCATGGAGCGACATGACCAAACTCTCAATCTCTCTCCTTTTTGTCGATGATACAAAAAGTTTACAATTCCGCGGGAGAGCAGTTGACAGAGATGTAAGGCAGCGAAAGAGTGAAATCATAGATCTCACCAATGGTAGCATTGTCGGCGTCTGCCACCCTAGACATCGGGGAGTTGTTGACGTTGTTGACACCCAAGGGCGCCTGCATCAGTTGAAAATCCAGCTGCGGCCGTCTAGCAGGCCGGTGTCTGATATTCTTAATGTCTGCAGAAGCGTCTTGACAGATTCACTAGGAGAGCGTATCCATACGGGATGGCTTCACACCATGCAGTGGCTCTATAGCCAAGGCAAAGCTGGCGTCAATGTAGAATGGTCTGCATTAACTACTTTACTCCTAGCATTGTTCCTAAATTTAGACAGGCAAGAACTTCGGAATCCCCCCTCAGAGAGACTCCCAGTTCGGAAGCGGAGGCTTCCTTCTGGCTCGTTCGCATCCATTCGGGACTCTGATGATTGGAAAGCTCTAGAAAGGGGCGAGACCGTGAACTCTCTTGGTTGTCCGACATGGATGATTAATCACGGATGGCAATGGGTACTTGAAGATGATGCGGAAGATGCCTCATCTCAAAGTGGTGCTCAAGGTCTCAGCGCAAAGTTCATTTCCAGGCATATTACTCTTGCTAAAGAGTACATGAGCTCACCATTCGGGATAACTGCTTTAGGCCCTTCTGGATACCTCCCAACTTCCATAGGCAGAAACCCTGAATACAAGCGCAGAGTCGCAGTGGATATATTCATGGCCCTTCACCTACTATCAGAAGAACAGAAGCTCAATATCATGTCTGCCGAGTACCAATCCTCTGGGCGGGCTGATTTCCGGGTTATCTTGTGTCAGGTTGCAAGATGGTTGAAATGGCATACATTTTTATCCTTTTATGAGCTAGGGATACAAGAGGACATTGATCCACGTCATGACCAAGGTACGATTTCATTTTTTTCTCTTGTTAGCTAAATTGGTAAACTAATAAGCTTAACCGTCAAGAACTGCGCCTGAAATCTCCAATTCCTGAACCGCCGGATAGACCAGATATACTAGAATGGATTCAATCCTGTTTTATAGGTCTTCGCGGCCAACACTATGTCATTCCAGCAGATATATTCTATGCTGCAACACAATTATCCGAGCCGGACAACATGATTGATAGCCGCTGGGACTCTATCCTTCCCCGAACCCTGATGTTCAGGCGTTTCTTCAGTCTTGTAAAGCCCAACGCTACAGCAGTGCAAATGGTGGAAGCGATGAAAGACTGCGGCCTAACGAATCATGTCCTCGGAACTCTCCCAGAAGCTGTTTTGATCCCTCTTCAAGATGCCATAGCGCTCTGTCAACCCCACCCTCCCTCTTCGTGGTCGGATGAGATGCTAGAATTGGTAAAGAGAACCGATATTAGTCTAATTCTCACCCCCAGCAAACGCCCTCGCCCGGCCATGTCGAATATCTTGGTGAGCATCTATCATAACCCAATACTTCAAAGTGAATACTAATAAGGCGCCTAGACACCCACGCATACTGCAAGCTGGGAATACAAATTGCTCTGTGAAAGTGTCGAACAAACTAATAGCCAGGGTTACGATGAAGGTGAAGGAACTGAACGCCAATCAATTATCCGAGCACTTTTCAAGGATGACCGTCGCCTTCAAGAAGCTCGAGACTTGCTTGCTACTCACAAGCCGAGGATTGTGAGTCTACCTCAAGATCCGACCTTGCCTGATAGTGAGTATCTGGAAAAGCAAAAAGAGCTAGTGTCCAGGATCGCCACCGGAACTCTGGCTATTCCAGCGGGAAGAGGACTGCTTTACTACAGTTTGCGCTTTCCTCTCATCACTCAAAAATTTCATATTGGCGGATTCAACCTGAACTGCATTGTGAAGCCAAACAATGTCACTGTAGGGGTTGATAAAGCGCTATTCACAGAAGAGAAAGTGTGCTGGGGGTTTTTCCATCAGGGAGTTGCAGCAGGGTTGGCAATTTCCCCACAAGCAAAGGGCATTGATACTTCGTGGATCTTATACAATAAACCGGGACAGGACCTCAGCAATCGCCACGCTGGATTTCTTTTAGCCCTGGGGCTAAATGGACACCTCAAGGATGTCGCAAAGTGGGTAGCTTTCAAGTACCTCACACCAAAGCATACCATGACTTCCATTGGTCTACTGCTAGGCCTCGCCGCGTCATATATGGGTACCATGGACTCTCTCATAACTCGTCTCCTGTCTGTACATGCTACGCGTATGCTTCCACGAGGGGCTGCAGAACTTAATCTTTCACCTCTCACTCAAACATCTGGCATCATGGGAATTGGTCTCTTGTATTGTGGCAGCCAACATCGACGTATGAGCGAGATAATGCTCTCTGAGATTGAGCACGTTGAGGATGAGGATGAAGAGGAGCCGCTGAGAAGCGAATGCTACCGCCTTGCGGCCGGCTTTGCACTTGGTTTCATCAACCTTGGCAAGGGAAATGACCTCAAGGGCTTACAAGATATGCGGCTCACGGAGAAACTCATCACGCATGCAACTGCGACTAAGAATGTTGAGATCGTACACGTCTTGGATCGAGCCTCAGCTGGCGCAGTCATGGCTATTGCACTCATCTTTATGAAATCGGAGGATCAAATTGTGGCGCGCAAGATTGATGTTCCCGACTCGGTTCTTCAGTTTGACTACGTCCGCCCCGACATTCTTCTTCTCCGAACTATGACGAGAAATCTTATTCTTTGGTCCCAGATAGAACCAACATTTGACTGGATTCAAAGAAGTCTTCCTGCTCCCTACCGCTCACGCCATAAATTAAGCAACACCTCCAAATTGAGATCTTCTGACTTGCCCTTCTTCAGCATTTTGACGGGTCTCTGCTTCTCTATTTCTCTGCGTTTCTCTGGAAGTGCCTCTCCCAAGGTTCGAGATTTACTATTGCATTATTTGGATCAGTTCATGCGCATCACTGGACTTCCAGCAACTCCGAGAATGCATCCAGATGCAGCCCCGCTCTATGACGAAGAGCTTGCCAGGACGAACGCCCGAATGTGCCAAGATATTCTCGCAGTCTCTTGCTCTATCGTTATGGCTGGCACAGGCGACATTGCTGTCCTCCGTCGACTTCGAGCTTTACATGGCAGGGATGATCCCGATACACCCTACGGTTCACATCTTGCAGCTCATCTAGCCATCGGAGCATTGTTCCTGGGCTGTGGAACAGCTACCTTTGGTTCAAGCAATAAAGCAATAGCAGCCTTACTGGTGGCGTTTTACCCAATTTTCCCGGTGAATGTTATGGACAATCGATCGCACCTTCAGGCGTTTAGGCACTTCTGGGTCCTTGCCGCTGAGCAGCGTTGCCTTGTCGCCAAAGATGCCGTCACAGGACAACCAGTATCCGTACCTGTGCATATCAAAATGCAAGGTAGCGCTTCCATGGAAGCAGTGCTGCGCAGAACCACGCCATGCCTTCTCCCCCCTCTCGATCAGATCTCCAGCGTAACCACAGCCGGTGGCCCGCAATTCTGGGATGTCGAGCTCGACTTCTCCAATGAAGAGCTCAGAGAATCCTTTGCGCAGACGCAAACGCTCTATCTCCGCAGGAGACCACCGCGCGAAGGCACATTCGCTTCTACACTTAGAGCACTCGGCGAAGATGGAAATGGCGATAACCCGCTAGAATGGGTGCTTAACTTAGGTGCTTTGCAGGACTTAAGCTACGCTGAGAAAGCCGCCCTGCTGGATACCGGTGATGAAGAACTGGGTGATATTGGAACAGCCGTCGACGCGAGGCTCGAGATGGAGCGAGGTATCATGGAAGGTGGTGATAGAGAGCGCCTTGAAGGTGCAAGACTGTTATTCGAATGGGGTGATGCTCGAGATAATCTCCGCCAAGCCTCGTCAGCAGCAATTTCGGATAGCCAAGCTACCATCAAGCCTGCTACCCCAAAGCGTGGGCCGAGGGATGGTGCTACTCCAGAGCCTGAAGAGAAGGAGGATGAAAAATCAGAGGGCGTCTGGTGGATGAGAGAGAGTGCCATTGAGACTCTAAAGGGGAAAGTATGGATGGCGGCCCGACAGCATGAGCAATAAGTATGCGGTATATGAAAAAGAAAGGGCTATTTTGTCAGGACTGTCTCAGTTACTATATCACGAATTATGATAAGCGTTACGAAAAAAAAAAAAAAAAAAAAAAAAAAAAAAAAAATACTGGAATATCATATAGATAGATATAGAGTTAGTAGCAAAAGAGCCATAATGAAACATGCATCAAAATAAAATAAAAAACCCGTCTTCAGGTCAAATAGAAGACAAAAAAGGGCGACGTGGATTCAAATCTCTTTTCATCATTTGCACAATAAAATAAATTTCATTACATCCCTTGCCCTCTCTCCTCCTCTCCCTCTCAAGATGACATCCTCCCTGTCCCTGTTTTATCCGAATAAACGCCATGCAATGCAAACCGCATCACCAGAGAGAAAGAGAGATATGAACATAAATAAAACAGGGCCAGTCTACCGTTTCTTTTGCTCTTTTGTCTTTAAAATTGCCCATCCCCTCTTTTTCAAACCAGAGCCATGTTTGAGTAGTCTTTTTTTGCATCTAAAATCGCCGGTTATTTTTTCTGGTCTGTAGTAGCCCATATATCCGCGTTGTGCCTAAATGTTATTCCTTCTCGCTTTTTCCAAATCGGGACTGTTTATAAAAATGAGGCCCAGCGTCATCTTCTTTAAAACCCCTTCCCCCCCAACTCTTCGGCAAAGATCGACTTTCAGATGAGTGTTCCTTTGGCTATTCTGATATCTTACGAATACACCTGCTAGCAGTCTTTCCGTATTTATTTGGAAACAGCAGCGTTGAGGACCTGTGTTCTGAAGAATCCACCCTTGGTCTTCTCAATGACCTGCTGGTAAACGTTGTTGGGCGGGTGGTTCATGATGACGGTGCCATCCTGGCTGTCAATCTTGGCATCCAGGCGGGTCTCGCGAATCAGGTTGACGATCCACTTCTCGCCGTCATCAGGGTTCAGGCCAAGCTTGGCGCTCAGATCCCTGATGTTCATTCGGCTGAAGATCTTGCAATAGCTCTCGCAGATGAGGTGTCGGGCGGCGTTGACAAACGCATCGGTGGATGCAGCCAAGAAGAAGTCGCTTCGGCACACTTCCTCTGACAGGCGGAGGGCCTCACGAGCAGCATCGAAGTCATGGGCGATGTAAAGGGCGTTAACGAACTGGGTGATGGGGTCGGCATACTCATAGGCCTCCTGTCGCACATAGCGAACGATGTCCTTGAGCTGCTTCTGCTGGACAGAGCTGTTGCGAGCACGTGTGCGGCCGGTGATAACGGCAGCAATCAGGTACCGGAGAATCCAGGGGCAAGAGGTCTGAATGGTGTTGATGTAGGAGGCAGAGAAGAACATATCCAGGATGGGCTCACGGGCACCCTCGAAGTTGAACAGAGGGAAGAGGGACCAGTGGATAAGCATGGTCCGGTGGTCCAGCTGAGCTCGGGGGTTGTTGAAAAGTCTGGTATCGATGCCCTCTCGGACGTTCTTAAGCTCATCAACGGCAGACTCCCAGTTTGTGGACAGAATTTCGGACGCAAGCTTTCCCCAGGTGGCAGCGGCAACCTTGTCGTTATCGGTTGAGAGAACTCGGAATTGGTAGAGCATATCGGCGGCAGGGCCATATTGACCGCATCGGAACTGGAACTGTCCAAAATCGTACAGAGCGTTCACCATTTCGAGGGTAACCTGTTGAATTTTTAGCATTTCTGATGCTGAGCAAGGACGAGAAAAGTATGCAGCCAGCCGAGTCTGCTTCTGCCTTGGATTGCACCTACTCCGTGCTGGTTCTTGAGAAACTCCAAGTTGGCAACCTTATCGCTTCGCAAGCCATTGACGACCTCGTCCTGGGTCAAGAGGTTCGCAATCTGCTCTGTCTCCTTCTCGTACTTGTCCAGCTGCGTAAGCACATCCTGTCTCTTCTTGGTGTACTCGGCGGGCGGCTCAGCCACGCCGTGGAGATCGCAGTACAGAGTCGCCACGTAGTCGGTCATGTTGGTGTCCTCCAGCAGCTTGATCTTGCCCGACAAAATCTTCTTAGCCAGCTCGGCATCGCCCTTCTCCTCGGCCTGGTCGCCCTCGAACTGGATGAGCGGGAAGAGCAGGTGACGGCTCAGGTGCGGCGCAACGTTGGCCATGATTGACGCGCCATCGGCTGGCAGGGCCTTGAGAATATCCTCCATGGTGGGTAAAGGAAAGTTTCGCAGTGAGAAAAGAATCGTTCCCCGGCGAAATAAGGCGTCTAGATGGTTCCTTTTTGTCGTTGAAAAAGGAGGACTCGTCGCTAAATCTGGGAAAAGGTCGCCGAAAATGGAGGGGCAGATTTTTGGTTAATTTCGCGAATACACGCAGTGGTTGTGGGGGATTGAACTTTTTAGCCGACATTCTGCCGCCGCCTCCCGCGAAGAGCTACATTTTGGCTTTGCATCATGTGATCTGGAGTTTTTTGGTGAAAAAGGAACTTGGACGCAAAGTCGCAAGACAGCAAGTAGGTGGGATTAGGAAGTTTATGCGCCATTGAGACAGCAGCTTTGGTTCTCAATTGGCTATATTTGGGATATTTTTCCTTCTTCTTTTATTCCAGTGCTTAGTGATCGAATTCAAACTCATCGCAGGGATTAATCCCCACCGGACGATCGATTTTCGCCCATCGCAAACTTCAAGCATCGCAAACCGCTTTACAGCTTTTGCATCGCTACATTCTACCATGAGCTGCCTTATTCCTAGAGCGCTCCCTCTGAGGAGTTTGGGTCTCTATCGACCTGCGGCACAAACTCAAATCAAATCTCTTACATCAAGGCATGCCTTCACGTCCACCAGCCAAGCAGCATCCATCTCGACCAAGCCCTCGTCCATTTCTGCTCGACAAAATCCCAACCAGAAGCTCAAGATTGCACCACACCTACGGCAACTGAGTCGCGCGCCTGTGCCTCCCCCGACCAAGACTCCTGAAGAACTTGTTATTCTGGGATATATAGTGCGCCGCACCCCTTCTGTTCAGCTGCCTGTATACCGAAGATGGCTATCCGGCGGCACCCGTCAGGTGGTCTTGATTAAAAAGATCGACGGGGATCGAAGACGGTTATTAGAAGATCTAGTTGGTAGTCTCGGCATTGCTAGAGAGGATGTGCGGATCAACCCAACTACACAACATATAGAATTAAAGGTGAATCTCAAAGCCCGCCCTCGCTAGTAGTTGAAAGCCAGAAAAAGACATTTACTAACATTTCGTGCCTCTCTTCCAGGGAGATCATTTCGACAGGGCCAGAGGATGGCTACTAGACCGTGGTTTCTAAACTAGTGTGGAGGAAAGGGGAAATTGGCGTCGAGTAGAGGTTGGAGTGAGCATTGGCAAAGCTCACTTGTGTAACTGCCACATTTTATGATCCAACATATATATGTACAACAATTCAATAAATGAATAATCCAGACCACTAAAAGAGGTATCAGTGTAATATGCAACAGCCCTACTCCTATGTACACAGACGCCGCGGTAAGTGCGCGAAAATTCCACCTTTCCAAGCCCGCTGATATTTAACACCCATGCTCCATCGCAATTATGACGGACGGCTAAAACAAACATTATCAACCCCAGACATAACATTTACACATTGATCATCGTCTCCCCCTCATCTCCCTCCTTTTTTTTCTAGACAAAGGGACGCCCATCCCACGACAAATGCTCATTTTGAAAAGACCTTTTGTAAAAGACAAAAAACATCCCAAACCAGGATCTTAACCTGCCAGACTTGTAATGGTCGACAGATGCTGTAATAGACCCTCTTTTGACCACTCAGGACTCTGCATAGATAAGGCTTCCAACAACGTCTGCGTAGTCGGTAAAAAGGCCCCCGCAGCCGAAACAGCAGGGTTGTTTGGATCTCTCGACTTTTCTACTAATCGCCTCAACAAAGTGACTGAAAGAGCAGAGATGTAGACGAGCTCAGGATCTTTCCTTGGTTGAGCCCGTCCCGCTCCTCTGCCGAAAGCCTGTGGCTGTTCGTACATACGACTCAGCTCCTGGCCCAGGCGGAAGAGGTTGTTTGCAAGCCCATTGCCCGCAGCCAGCCAGCTCCTCACAACGTTCGACTCTGCCCCAGGTGCCAGAGATGCAAGTATCTCCGCTGATAATAGCCCTTGCATGAGATATGGCTTCCGGACTTCCACAAGCGAGGGGAAGCTTGTTGGTCGATCACGTTCTTTAACCTTGTCTGGTATCGGTGAAATTGCCAGCGCGAATGTGCGAGTAAGGAGTTCGTATGGGGGGTTGTTTGTAGCGTCAATAGCAAAGAGGTTTTTGTAGTGGCTTCTGTTTGGTTCGTCACGGGCAAGCAATTTTGCCAAGGCATCAACAGCGTGAGGAAGATATGTGTGAACGCTCGGGTCGTAATTGCTAAAGAAAAGCGTATCACTAGTCACGACTGGGCTGGGAATCGGGGCGAATGACAGCAAGAACTGCAAAAGACAAAATGCCTGCTCCCGACCAGGAATTTCGATCGAGCTAGAAATATTAGAAAGCAGAATAACCACATCCTTCATGAAGTCAAGTGTGTTATTATAGGTGCGGAGAAGCATGGTCCTCGTGCCGAGATACCTGATAGCGGTGCAAAGGAACTTGATGACAGATTCGTCCGCCAGCATGTTGTGGTTGTCATTTTGCTCGCCTGGGAAGGAGACATTGCGCAAGATAGTCGAGATGCACACTAGTCGATCGACAGCTCTATCAAGCTCATAGTCCTCGGTCCCGAAAGCCGGCACATCTCGAATTGCAAATCGCTCAATGCGGCATGCTCTGACAACTTCTTCGTATGAAGTAAGCTGAATCTCATCAGATACTTCTGCTGTGTGTTCCGTCAATAGCTCGAGCTGCTCTTCCGCGCAGTCGATGAGTGCATCGACCAAGTCATCGCAATATCGGAGCTGCAGGAAATGTGCTTGGTTCACCGAGTGGGACACTGTCGCAAGCGTATCCAAAGCAAGGCGAACCTCCCCATGTATTCCGCTTTGCAAGCTACGTGTTAATGCAGATATATCAATGTTGCCTAGGTCATTGACAGGCGGGACAGTAGGCTTCCACCGCTCAAGCTCCCCGCCTAGCAGATTAGCTGCATGGAGATCGACACCGCCATAGGTAGAAAGCTCCCGCGCACATGGGTTATAATCCTCGGATTTTGGAGGGAGTCGGGGCATCTGCTGCTCAGCACCCATCATACCCATCGGCCTGGCTTCGCCTGGGCCTAAGGGCATGCTACCAGTTCTTGAGTGAGCCGGCGACGGTATTGAAAAATCATTCGGCCCAGCTGCATCGATACTGCGGGATAAATTGTTTCTGTTGTGGCCGGGCATTGCATTTGGCTGCTGGAGTTGCTGTGGAGTTTGAGGGGTGGAAAAGCCATTGACGGCGGGCTGGCCAGGCTTCACAGGAGTGTGTTGTTGCGCATGGGGTTGGGGTGGTGGCTGTGGTTGTTGATGCTGTTGCTGTTGTTGAAGAAGCTGCTGCTGTTGCTGCTGTTGATGTGCTTGCAACATTTGAGCTTGATTCATCGGCTGTCCCTGTGGTACCTGTTTCTGCGGTGTGCCCTGGTTCGCAAGGTTCGCTTGCTGCTGCATCATTCTCTGTTTCTGCTGAGCCACCCAGACCTCCTCAAACTTGAGTAAATTTCGTTCATAAATCTGTCTCAGCGCCATAACAACGTTGGGATTTTGCGCTTGAAGTCCCAAGATTTGGGCTAGGGCACCCCAACCATTCCCAGCGTTCAGCGTCTTTGAACCGCCTTTTGCCTGCACGGCCTGGAACAGGATCACCAAGCTAATGGGCCTATCTCCGATCATAGGATTCGGATCTAGTGGGAGGCCCTTTGCATGCATAAGCCCCGCTAAATTCTTCATGAATTGTTCCGCATTGATACTGCCTGTAGGTCGGTGTTGAGGTCGCATTTGTCCTTGGGGAACTTGGCCATTCGGCACGCCGGGCATCGGTTGCTTCCCGATCATTCCACGCCCCATACCCTGGGCCTGCATCTGAGCTTGCATCTGCATACCGCCTTGAAGCTGCTGTTGGAGTCGCATCTGGTACGCAGCCATTTTGCCATCCGGCATGGCCTGGAGTCGCTGTTGCTGCGATTGAGCTGAGGACTGCTGCTGCTGCTGTTGTTGTTGTTGCTGCTGCTGATGCTGTTGTTGCTGCTGCATCTGAGCATATACATTGCCTGGCATCTGGCCCATGGGCTGTCCCATCTGGTTCATTTGCTGGGCCATCATGGGATTCCCTGCCATCGCGTTTGGATTTGGTGACGGACGCGAATTCGACGGTGACTGCGCAAAAGCCGGATTGTAGCCTTGGGAGATGTTTTGCATATAAGGGTTCGGCTGGGGAGTGCCGTGCTCTGAAGCAATAGGCGATGTCTGAGAACCAAACTGTTGAGCGCCTGGGGAAAATGGGTGAGGCGAGGCTGTCGCCACCCTTTGAGGAACACTACCCGGGCGCATTTGGTTCCCCATGATGGGTGACGGGCTTGCGTTGGCCGAACCGTTGGTCTGGAGATGCGAGAACTGGCCGGCGTTCTGCGGAGGCATAGCGCCAGGCTGGAAGCCGGGGAAGTTCTGCTGCTGCGGCGTTTCGGAGCGCGACGTCGGAAGCATGCCCGGATTCTGTCTAGGAGAGCCGGAGATGGAATCCTCACGGGGCCGCGGCCGTTTTGATGGAATGACAGAATTGGTCTGATAGACCTGGGATGCCTGGTAGCCCGCGGGCGAGGCGTGGCGCATCGGGCCGTTCTGCATGGCAGCCATCTGTTGTTGATTGGGGAACTGGGCGCCAGGGTTGAACTGGCCCTGGCTGGCCATGAAGGCGGACGGATCCATCATGGCACTGGCGGCGCTGGGGTCATTCATGTGCGGGAAGCCGTTGCCATTGTGGTTCGGGACTGCGTCGTTCATCCAGGTGCTCATGGCGATGAGCCCGACAAGCTGTGCGCAGCGACGTCAGCAAAATCAGCAGGCACGGCGGCCAAGAGCCCATTGATGGGCGCAGGGATGGACGGAGACGGGGCAGTGACACGGCACAGTGGGTGGTTTGATGGACGACAACGTTGAGTCGCGTCGCGGGTTGGCGGAGAGAATGTATGTGGATGTGTGTGTGCGTGTGGTGTCGGGTGGGAAATGGCAGACGGAGGACGGGCCAGCCAGACAAAGGGCGCTGGCTGGGGGGCTTCTTGGGCGGACGCTGGGCAGGTAGCACTAGCAATAGCAGGCAAGGTGCTGCGAGGCCAGCCTGGCTGGGCAGGCTGTTGGGCCACCTGCGTGCTGAGGCGCTGAAGCCAGCAGAGACCCGGGCGCCAGGAGGGGGGGGAGCGAGAACCCTCTAATCAAGGTACCTCGGCGGACGGCGGCAAGTGCTAGCGAACGGACGTACCTTTTGATACCCGCGACGGGTCCGAGGGCGGTGCAAAGGGTGCTACTTGTGCAGGAGATTTAGGGCGAAAAGAGAAACGCCGTTGTACGGATACTTGCGTTAGGCAGAGACCGCCGCCGCAAGAAGTGCGCGCAAAGGTACCGGTACACTTGTCCTCCTATAAAATTATGGGCGACTGTAGCGCAGGGGCAGTGAGAGCGCGTGCTGGAAGAGAGAAATTTTCGTTCCAAAGGGCGGATCGGCGCTGATGCAGTAACAAAAGGCCACCTCAGCGGCACCCACGCAGCACCCTAAGGCTCGATGGCTCAGGGCAGAGACTTTCGCTAGCCGTCGCGATGCGATAGAGACAGATTCGGTATGTCGCCTGGGGGCCAGCAAAAAGCAAGGAGGTGCAGGCGACGTGAAGTGAATGGAGAGCCAGGTCTTACCTAAGGCGCGTTGAGGTGGATGACTGCGAGTCCTCGCTGGATTGGCAGAATTAGTTTCAGGCCGAAGTGAAATGCTCTCTTTGAGGCGGGTAGCTGTTTCCGGACTAGCGCTGACCGGCGCTAGCGCTCTGGGTGGGTTCCTGGCCAATGAACGCGCCGCGTTAGTGTCGCAATAGTGATACCCGCTGGATTCGTTAGTGATGATCGCAGATTTTGTAGTATGCTTTCTAACAACATGGGTCAACAGCGCTATCAGAGCCCTATCGTTGCTGCGCAAGGCCAGCCAGCTAGTTGCTCCTTGCGTTGTTCAAACAACCGGCGTAGAAAAGACCAACTCCAACTAGGAGAGGATTTCCAAAGAAGAAACCAAGCCTGATCTGGCCAAAAGGGATTATCGCATACACCACTAGACGGCTCATTAGATCAATGAGGCAGCGTGCAGTGCTCTTCCCCCTCTCGCCGATGCAGGATGCAGCTCCTGAACAGATGCCATCGCCACGGCGTCAATTGCAGCAAACACGATTTGCTAAATTGATGTGCGAATAGCCGCGTCAAAATCCACCCTTTCGCTTCAATGTTTGCTCTCTTCTTCACCAGCTTTGTATCGTTTTCTTTTCTCTTTGCCCTGTGATGCGGCTATAAATTTTGGTGAACCCGGCATCTGTGCATTCCAGTTGTTTGAGCTTTAAGTTGCGAGAAAGCAATGAGTTCCTCCGTCTGAGAGAGCCCAAACCGACCAGTCAAATCCTACCGAGCAACATTTACCTCTAGATGCACCTTTTTGGATACCAACTTTGGCTCCGCCGAAATAGGCACATGGAGAAAAATGTTCCCAGCCTATGCCGGGTCTGCGATAAACAAGTGTCGGATATGGCCACAAAAGTCGATTTCTCCCTGGTGGTAATCCGATAACGTGTTCCAAGGCTGCAGCCCAGAATGGAGTGGTACCTCTGTATATGTGTGTGGTAATATAGCCCCGGCCGATGTCCCATATACACGCCACACGGAGAGTGAGAAAGGAGGCGCGGCTGCTGGAGTCAATTTGGATAGAGTATGTCGAGCGCAGCGCAGAGCCCGTCCCTGGCAATCCAAAACACTCAATATCGGCCAAGGTCTTTATCCATCAGCGCGCTGAGCCAATGGATCGGGCTGCATCTTCGACGCCATCCAGTCCCACGACTCAGCTTGCTTTCGGTGTTACTTCCCGCAAGCCTTCTGTGGCCCTGCTCAGATCAGGAATCGACTGCACGCTGACCAGTATAGGTGCCCAGAGCGGCCCCACCTCAAGCCACGAACCAGGCTTTGGCGGTCCAAAGCATTTTGTTTGGCTGAGACGCTCGCTTCCCATCGCAGGCCGCGGTTCGTTCAATTTGCTTTCTGCAGCCGCTACGGCCTCTCGGAGGGATCAAAACTGAGCAAATCCATGGTCTCTGCGCATGAGCAAGTGGACATGGCGCAGGCCTGCTCCAAAGCCGCGACTGGGATGGAATGAATCCTGGGGTCGTCGTGTCGCCTTGTGACACCGTTTGATGCCGCTGTCCAGTCTCCACAGGGTCAGCCACCCCTGTCACAGCGCACGCTCTGATGGCGGCCAGAACAGCGCCGCTGGGCCATAGTCGAGTCTCTCTCAAGGGCCCCTCCGACATGACCGGTTCCCGCATCGGCGAGGATTTTCTGCTCATTGCGCTTCTCCTGAGGGCAAATCCAGGCGTTGACGAGGCCGTTTAGCCCTTTTCCTCTGTTGTTGAATGCGAGCCATCTCTGCGCTGCATGCTTTCGCTGGTCGCTTTTCTCGTCCCGATTGACACCAGTCGTGGGGGTCCTCCACACAGGCTGGGTGAGGTAATCAAATCCAAGCCATGTAAGTGAGCCCGTGAAGCAAAGACGAGCCACGCACGGCAACGCACAAAGAAAAAGGCATCGAGGACGAGCAAAAAAGGGCTGGAAAGAGGGGATAAGGACGCAGGAAAGATTGAAAATGGGAAGAAAACCGCCGAGAAACGGGGGAAGGGGGGGTAGTTATGGGTGAGAGAGACAGAGGCCTAATAGCCTGCCTACCGTTTGGTACCTACCGCCTAGGACCTGGCCTTGCCATGGCCCTTAGCTCCAGGTCTACAGGTACCTATTGCGACCTACTATGCCTACTAACGGTGCCTATAGCGCAGCGCTGGGCAGCACACGCATAAAGCTGGCACACGATTAATGACGCCGCCACTGATACCATCAGCACCCTCGCTTCCGGCCGCCATCAGCCGTTGCACCAGGGGTAGGCTTGGAAGGAGGAGCAGAAGAGAGGAAATGGGAGAAATCGTGTTGTTTTTCCCACTGCGCAGCTCGTCTGCTCGAGCTCTCTGCAGCCCAAAGGGGGGAGGCCAGTTACCTCGCTATATTCGCTCATGCTAGTCCCCTGGAGCCTGTGAATTGCATTGGGAGGTCATTCACCCCCACAGCCCAGCACGTATCACGTACCGAACATGTGTACCGCCCAACCGATTACCACCAACCGCCTGCCTGGCTTGACGCACCATCACGACTGCCTTGCCCTGTAAGAGATCCAGCAGCGAAGGGGGAACCAAGGAATCGAAAAAGGAAAGAAGGAAAAGGTGAGAAAAAGAACGAAAAGTGCCTAAGTAAGAAAAAAACTATAAAAAAGCAGAAGCAAAAGCAAAAGCAAAAGCAAGAAGGGGGAGAAAAAAAAATCGAGAGTGGAGCTTTGCTCGACGATGATACCAGACGCAAAACGTGCTCCTCCGGCTGTTCTCACGAGCCCGCTGCTTTAATTAGTGTGCGTATCTGTGGCAGCACCCTCTGCTGATCACAGCTTGATGGCTCCCGCCTAGTCCATCACCACCTGCGTCACAGAAGAAACAGCGCCCTCGCGCTTATCACCGCCTCGATGGCGAATTAGCAGCTCTTCATTTATTTTTCATTTCTGGATTTCAAGTCACTCTGTCCAACCCTAATTCCCCCTCCTTTTCTCGCTGCGGCCTTTTGGGCTGATTGGGCTAGTTGTGTGCCATCATGCGTGGCCTGGACTGGCCGCCGAGCCAGGCTCTCCCGCCATTCCCTCCTCTTGCCACCCACATTAATAAAAATGAAAAGAAAAGGGAAAAGGGACAAGAACTACCTAGTAGGTGAATTAGCTACATGTGTCATTACGCCGTCGCTAAGCCATTTCGCCCGGGTATTAATTTCTATTTGACAGAGAGATTCAGCCCTTTGGGGGCCGCGGTTGGCGCTGCCGGAAACGGCACAGAGCCTGGACTCGACAAGACGCTGCATGCATTGGCGGCATCTCACAGAACGCTTTGAAACAGCAGACTGATTCTGCCATGGGCCTGACTCACAAAATCCCCAGATCGCGAAAATTTGTCATATAGCTGCCTACTTTTCTCTTTTATTCAAACGCAAGCTTCTCTCAGCGAGTTTCTCCCGGGGACGCGGAAAGCATAGCTGGAGGCTAGAGACAAGACCCCGACGCTAGTTGGAGGGCTTTGACGTTCCGAAACTGTTTGCTACAGCTACTGCTGCCATCAGCCGAGATTACCACCGTCACGCTTCGCTTTGTGCCGCACTCCACGATGTCCACACCACTGTCAATGAATAATTCGTGCTGATCCACGCCGTTTGGTTTGCTGGGTTGAGAGGAGATCAGGGAGAGGAAGAGAAGAGAAAAGGCAAGATCCGCAACACGACGCCATGTGAAGTGGAATCGTGGGCCTCGGAACTAGGCGAGAGCAACAGATCCCTTCACCGTCTGCGGAGACGTGAATTATCATCCAATCCGAAGGATCACACAAGCTGTCTGTCATCGACGAGCCGACAAATCCTGTGCTAGACGAACGTCTGCGAGCCCAACAATTCGCTCATCGTCAAAGGTGACGACCAGGGATCAGTATCCAATCGTGCAAGCCCCCCGCATGCCACCGGCATGACCTCTCATATCTGCAGGTTCTTCGAGCATCTTACGCCTTTTCAAACGCATTCCTTGCCACGGTTTGACAACCCTGTGAATCTACAGCTGAAAACATGGTAGTAGTATGATTAACTACCACTGCTAGGTACTACTACAGTATTGTTGCGACTCATTTACCCCCTTCAACACATCGCCGTCAGCCCTAGGCAAACAGATGTAAGGTGAAGCGGTGGCCGCGTTAGGAAGGTTTATAATAAAGTAGTGCTGCGTATAAATTGCGGGTTTCCGCAAAATCTGTATGCATGTAGGGCAGCGTGGCCCGTTTATTGCAGTGGTCATCTGCGGGTTGCATACTTGTGGTGTTTGTATGCCCAATAAAATCACGGTGTCACTCGCGTATGTACGCTGCGTATCAGTCACAGTACCCGCATGCTGATTCGCCTCTCCATTCGTTGCGTGGGCATTGCATAAATGGCATTCGGAAGCAACCATTCTCCCGGCCAAATATCCAGCCCAGCCTATATATTTTCTTCAAGCTCTGGCGGAAGCCGGAGTGTGGTGTGTACGGGAACTAATGCTCGTCAAGGATTAGCCGCACACCATGGAGACGCTACACTACACGGCTAAACCTGACAGCTTGGTAGTTACCTTGGCACTGCCTTGGGTGCTCTGCAAGTGTTACCGTGGGCCCCAAAAAGCGTACATAGGAATACGATATCTCACCTAAGCTAAGAGAAGCATTCTTCTAAAGAGCGTAAGCAATATAAGTGCGGCCATTTCCCATATCCCTATGGTTGATATACTATACTCCTAACGATCGTAGCAGTATCCTACTACCTAGTACCTTATTAAGTGCTTGGACAGGGGTAATGGCTTGGTGATGCGCTTGACACATGTTTAGAATAGGCGAATGGACTCATTGGAACGGCTTCCTGTATCCAACGAGACAAAACATACACAATGTGATATACAAACCACATTATGGCCAATAACAAAAATACCATATGGGCAGTTGAAAAAATTAATTAATAAAGCAGATGCTATAAAGTCTTTCTAATGACCCACATTGACCAAAGGGCAAACTACGCAAAATGCTGCGCTTCGTGTAGGGTAGCATTCATATACACAAGTCTAAGCCGCTGCGCCCGCACCCAGCTTCTCTTTAGTATGCTCCAGCACCGTCCTAAGGGCTTGGTCCAAGCCCTCCAGCTTCAGATACTCATCTATCCAAGCAATCGTCTTCTTCTCCAACGCCGCCCTGTCCGTAGCGGTTTCAAGGTATGATCCTAACCGCTGCAAAACCGTCCCTAAGCTTCGGGCGAACTCTGCTGTGAATGGTGAGACACCTAAAAGGGGTTGTCTGATATGGAGGTTGCAGGTAGAAGGATCGTTGGGGTAGTGCTCGTCGAGAGCATCTAGGACGTGCTGAGATACCCGTGGCTGAACCGAGAGCTTTCCAAACGAAACAAACATCATATAGAACTGCTCTCCAACCTCGGGCTTGAAAAACGGCTGCTTCCGTGATATATCGAAAATGGCCATGGGGATAGCGCCGTTCATGGCGGGGTTTGACTGTAGCTCCTGTGTGGCCTTTTCGTCGATGACCTTTGCCTGTGCCTTTGATGGCTCCGGAAGAGCCAAGTCATCATCCTCACCCTCTTCATCGCTACCGAGCAGGAGAAGCTCGTCGTCGTCATTTGCGGGGCGCGGCGCCGGTACCTTCTCGCCCTTTGCCTTCTTTCTCTCAATCTTGTCTAGCCACTTCATCTCGCACCTTGCATACTCGAGCCACAGTGTACAGTCCGAAGAGCAGAATCGGCAGCCTCTCATGAAGCAATTTCTTGCGGCCGCCATGTCGCCGTTGCTTGCGAATCGATTCGCCGCCATCACCCACATCTCGGGATCCTTGGGCAACATTCGAAGAGCCCTGGTCATGGTCTTGCGCCAGCGTTTTGCGGCCTTGACCTTGGCCATATACGTAAGATATTCACGCCATAACGCGCTGCTAGCAGGATGCCTCCCAACGCCCCTGTCGTAGATTGACAAGACACGAGCTTGACCGGCGTGTGCAGAGTTGAGATTGCGGAGTTTCAGACGCTGGCAGCGCTTGGAGCGGAGAGACTCGACAGATTGTTCCCACTGGGCATAGGACGACCATTCCAAGGGAGTGCTCCCAGGGGAAAGCACTCTGTGTTCGAAATCGTTTCGCTTCTGGACAATTGATCGGATTTCGTCCTTGATCGTTGGTGTTAGCAAACCTTGTCAATGGAGACTTGCTGCTGCGCTCTCACCTTGGAAAATATCGACTTTTCCTCCCACTCTCGCAGCTGAGGCACCGATCGTTCGAGGAAGAACCTCGCCTTGTCTGCGACTCCGGCCATGTTGAATATAGCCCCGCCCTTGGAGAAATTGAAGCTGTTGCTGCCTGTGTTCAAACGAAGACTGCAGCGGATGTTCGCCGAAGTTTTTCACGAGGCTGCCAGAAATTTTAGTGGAGCACGGCTTGTAACAGAAAGTTTAGCGTGCCTTGGTGGGGCTTGCTCTTTTTCCGTCATCATAGCATAGTGGCTGAGATCCATCAAGTTGTACGCGGACTAGTCTGCTTTCGTTTGTGGCCCGCCCATCAACTGCAATCGTCCTCGTCCGTCCGAGGCAACGCTGCGGCTGTGTATGTTCGATTTTTTTCACTTGTGTTGCGGCATCGCATGAATTACAATTCTAGATTAACTCCCGGACGACTCATAATTACCTGTTTACTGACTCCAGATCGACTCCTGAAGACAAAAAAGAGGGCTGACTGATTCTATTCAATCAGCACCGTCTGCACGTGTAAGGCCGTTTATCGCGATACGATGCTCATTGCTGAAAGCGGATTAGTGGGCTGTACATTATTAAACGTTAGGTGAGAGTTAATTATCGATTCAACCACAAAAAGCTCGCGCCGAGACGTGTTCTCACTATCCAATCCTTGTCATCCCCACAGAGAGCAGGGCACAGGGGGGTAAGTCGCCTGTTGACACGATCGCGACAGGCCCTCGGCACGGGCGACTATAAATCCAATCTCTTATGATTTTTAATTCCCCTCATCCAACTCCACCAATCGTTATTCCCGGATGCTCCGGACGCTCTCTTGATCGCGACCTGTCATTCATTTTTCTGTCGCGATGGCATCGAGATACAAGGACAAGGACGGCGGCGTTGTCCTCAGCTTTAACGGACAGTGGGTTAGCTGGGCGCATACAGCTGTAGCTTACAGTAAGTCTGCTCGCCGAAGGATTGAAGCTGTGCACGGGCTGGAAAATCCAGATTTGCGCAGTCAGAAGCTGATTCTTCACTCGAAAAACTCGCACAGCTGCATTCATCAGCGCATTAATAGTCGGCGTTTCGTTGCATTATCATAAGATCGTGCAAAATGAGTTCTATGGATACCCCGATGAGTGGTTCCCATCCGTCTCAGCGACGATCGGCGATCGATATCCGGAGCGCTCGTTCTTTATGATTTTCATTGCCATCACATCAGGTAGAAGCGACCCTGTAGCTCCATGACTCGAGGGGAAGCTGACTTTTTCAATTCTTTTGATCCCCATAGGGCCTCGTTTTGCGCTCGTTGGCCTGTGGTACATTTTAACTCGTAGGTCCAATTCGAAGCTCCCGGGTTTTGTCGCATCTATGGGTTTGTTGCGAACCTTGACTTGCGGTGGCTGGACGTACATTACATCTACGGACGACCACGATTGGCATGATATTCTCATGATATCCTACATCGTTTGCACTCTACCGTGGACGACTGGTTGTATTGCACTGAGCCCGCCGAATCCCTCCGCAATCCGATGGCGCAAGCGCCTAGCAGGTCTTTTCTTTGGAACTCTAGTACCTTTGATCTATTTTTTCATCCAACACAAGGTGCACCGTGTGGCTGGAGGTATTTGGACCCCCTTGGCTATGAATAAATGGATGTCGAACCGGAACTAATTCAAAATCAGCTTATACCACGTACGCCTTCTTTGAGTGGGCACTAATTCTCTTCGATGTCGCCTTCGACGCGGTGACAGCCCTCGATTTTAATACATTTGAGATTTTGGTGAGGGATGTCAAAGGGACGAGCAAGGGGTATGTTCAATGGCTCCCCAAATAGAATGTTTCTCTTTTTATGCGAAATTGTGTTCAATATATTTATTCTACAAGAAGACCCTCTAATAAGTTCCTCTTTGGCAGTGAAAACTACTCCTCGGTCCCATCTGCAGTTCTGGAGAAAGAGTAAGTTCTTCTGTGCTTTGAGAGACAAACCCTGCATTTGCTTATGAGCGACTCTATCTAGAAAGGAGCAGATTACAGGTGGCTTTTTCACTATCCGATTCACCACTGCGGATGCTCTCGACACTGCTGCCAGCGTTTACCATGGGGTCAGTTACCTTAGTACCTTTCTTTATACTTGATTATGTGGAACTAACCTCTTGGCAGTTTGTTTTTTGGTCAATGCTTACTAGTCTTGGCCTCGTGGTGTGGTGTAAGATTCTAATCTCTCTTCCTTTTTTAATACCTTGACTCCCCTGTTCTGACATGCATTAGACTTCCCGCTCTGGCATATGGGTATTTCTGGATTTGAAGCCTTTGTTATGGTGACTGTCGCACCATCGCTATTGGGACTTGGGCTTGTTCGATCTTTTGTCGTGAACAACTTGCGGCTGATTCATCTCCTGTCGCTATCTGGAGTTGCTGCGTACCTCATCCTTGACCCAGTACTTCGATTGTGTGCTGTTGGACTTGGTGTCGGACTCTCATGTCTTGGATGGGCTAGCTCTCTGCACGCAGACTCAGTCCACAATGTTCGGCTCGAGAGCAAGCTGCTTGGATGGATGATTGGCTTGATTCTATCGTCTACCTTGAAGTTTGCGTGGACCACGAATAACCCTATCTGGCCCATCATGCATGCTGAAAATGGCGGATGGAACGGCACCGGACTCGTATTAGGTGTTCTCGCTGCTCTTCGGTTCACAAGAAAGGGCCCGCTCACCGGTTCCCTCTCGGAAGAGCCAAAGCAACAAGGCTCCAATCTCCTTGCTGCTTTCGGTATTGGTGGTCTGTTCTTCGGCTTGCACTCGCTACTGTCCGATACGAGTACAATGATTCTCTGGGTATGGGAGGGTTTCCCAATCCGCGGCCCGTATTTCTCTACGCATGGCTGGTTTACCATCGCTGCTATGTCTGCAGGCATTTTCTTGGGCATCAACAGACCAGGCCTCGCAGGAAGCTGGCCCCAATACGCGGTGGGATTCATCAGTGCTATGGTTCTGACCTTTTTCAGCCACTGGTTCGGTTACTATGGTGGCCTCGGTTTGGCAGTATATCTCATGGCAGTCTCTGTCCCGCTGATTTCTAATGCCGCTAAGAAGAACCCAGCGGTAACATTTGGCCTGGGCTTCTTGTTTTACAACTTCATGGTCTTGTTCCATGTATGGGTTGTTGCTTACGCATTCGTGCCTGGAGGCCCGCTCGTTCGAGAGCGTACTGACTGGGTGATGCTTACCACGATGTTCTTGATTGGTGCTGGTGTCTATGATCTCAACACATCACAGCCGCACTACCAACCTGCTCGCCGCTCATCCCCCTCGCAGCATAAGAAGTATTTTGGACTCTCAACCATAATCGTCAACGTCCTGTTTATGTGTGCAGCCTTCAGACGGTTCCCTGCCAATGATTACAAGCCATACCATGCCGAAGATCGAATCCTCACGGCGGGTATCTGGACGATACACTTTTCTCTAGACAATGATATGTGGTCTTCTGAATACCGCATGCGTGATTTGATCAAGGAGATGGAGGTGGATGTCATTGGTCTCCTGGAGTCAGATCTTCAGCGTATCATTATGGGCAACCGAGACACGACTCAGTTCCTCGCCGAAGACTTGGGAATGTATGTCGACTACGGCCCCGGGCCCAACAAGCATACTTGGGGTGCTGCCCTTCTATCCAAGTTTCCCATTGTGGAATCTAAGCATCATCTCCTACCCAGCCCGGTGGGTGAGCTGGCACCGGCAATTCACGCTACGTTGGATGTCTACGGCCAACTTGTTGATGTATTCGTTTTCCACTCTGGCCAGGAGGAAGATCCCGAAGATCGACGTCTTCAGTCTGAGTATCTTGCGAACCTCATGGGTTCTACGGATCGGCCAGCATTCCTACTTAGTTACCTGGTGACAGAGCCGCTTGAGGGCAATTACAACACCTACGTGAGCGATACCTCGGGCATGCATGATGTTGATCCAACCGACTGGGACCGATGGTGCGAATATATCTTGTTCAAGAACATCAAGCGGGTTGGCTACGCACGCGTTAGTCGAAGCACCATTACAGACACAGAGCTCCAGACCGCCAAGTTTGTTATTCCACGGTCAGATGCTGAGATCCAAGAGCTAGCAGCCCAGTCTGCCGAGGATCGAGATCATCGCGTAGAGGAAGGGGATGTTCCTGAAGGATGGCGCTATCCCGCCATGTTCAGAGGAGATGGAGTAAGAGATCATCGATACCACGTCTTTGATGAACCACGTTACTTCAATTAATTCGGTACCGGCGGGGAATTGTATACTTGTCTGGACGGAGTTATTTGGCGGTTGTACGGCGGCTGTCTTGGGCTTTCTTTTTGTGTGTTCTCCTTGTCGCTGGAACGAGCGCAGGGGAAAGGGGGGAAACTGGATTTTGATACGGAAAATGGCTGTAACTGACTAATGATCATAAGGGGGATATTATTTTGTCATATAACCTGCGTAGTTGTAGAAATAATTGTGAATTTTGAAACATGAATACCAATCCGTACATGCAGCGAGGATGGGCATAAAAGTGAGATGACGCGAGTTCCAGTTCCTACATTTCCGTACTTCGTAACGATATGCTATATAATACTGGCCAATTCGCCTGCAAGCCATCCTGCAATACTACTTTCTCGTTTAGGTGAGTAGATGGACACAGCCAATAACTGGGCGATTCGACACTGGACTAGATTCCTGGCGCACGATTCGCGTTCCCCCCCACTGTATCTCTCCGGCATATCCTTGCGGTGAACGGAGGCACAGCACAGCCTATTACGACATGCCCATAGCAAATCAGTTAGTAGTTACCGATACGAACGAGTACAGTAAGCATGTCCCGCGCAAGTCTCACTCCACGACACCGCAAAGCTCCACTCGAGCCCGGACCGATAAAGTGGAGAGTGGAGAGGATCGAGCCCTCGCATCTTGGATACCGGCGGCACGACTCGGCTCCGCTTTATGCAAATACGCAGTACAGAAATCGCAGAAAGCTGATATCGGGGAGCGGAAAGGGGGCGGAATTTATTCCAAGGCGCGGCTTCAATCGCTTCATTTTCTGTCTGGATGCGAACCTTGCGATTGTCTCGATTATGCAGATGCTAAGACGGGGAATTACAGAGGAGATGATTGACGAGAGGAGAGGAAGGGGGGGAGCATTTCTAATGTTTTATCTTGCTTTTTTTTTTTCTCCGCTAGAACAATACGATTTGCCGTACAATGGGCGGAAGTGACGGTGTGTTATGCTCATGCTTGTTTCTGACGTGGAAGCATGTATGTATAGGTAGGTGGTGAAGGTTTAATGTCTGACTACTACTACGTACACCTCTTCGAAATCCTATTCCGGTAAATACGTGATGATCAGAGCAAGAGAAAGAAACAAATAGTGAAACTCGTGACCGCAAAGTGGCGACTGGGCTGGCAGTTGGTTGGAGAGAATCGAGCTTTGGATCAGTAAGGGAGTGGATCTCGGTTTCGGTCGTCTTACAGTGCTCGCCGCAAGTCCGGAAACAGAACAAGACACGGCAAAACCAATCCCAGATCTGAGATGGCGCTCCACCATAATTGCTCGTAATCCCGGCCTCCTCACTCGCCGCAAAACTCCCTTATCTCGTCTTGGCGCTTACCATGTAGGTCTATGTGCTACAGACTTGACTTGTAGCTTTCTCTCTCTCTCTTCCCCCGCACAGCACACCGGACGCCCGGGGTTCGCGTCAGACGCTTAAAGCGTTTCCCCGCCGAAGCTAAGCGGTAGTAGGGCTGATTCGAGCCATCATATGTCATCAGCTTTGGTAGCAAAAGCCTGCATCCGGGGCATGCTGGACGAGGCAATCGATAAGCCTGTGCGCGGTGTGTGCCGTGGAAAGCCGATGATCCAATATCAATGAGCTTTGGACAATGCTGGCGGACGGGGTAGCTGTTTTATAATATTTAATTTTTTTTCTGGCGGCGGGCTAGTCGGAGGGATTCAAGAAGCTTTTTTTTGTGGAATATGGGGTTTATTGTTCAAGGGCGGCCGTGGATAAAGTGTGTTTCTCTTCCCTCCTCTTTTCCTCTTCTTTCTCTGTCTTCCTTCAATCGTTTTTCTTGTTCTTGGTAGAGTTCTGTATAGGACCTTGGATGGTTTGAGCCTCTGCAAAGATGTTGCAATCATTTAGCCTACAACATGCACTTGCATGGCTGGGCATCCTGCTCGGCGGCGGAGTCTTCTATGTAAGTCGTGTTCTTTGACGCTGCAGACGGGAGCATGAGCGATGTAGAAATTGCGAAATGAGAAGTTCTGGGAAGCTTCCAAGTCCGGCGATGCTAACACGTAAAACCCAAGGTCTTTGCTATCATCACTTACCGCATCTTCTTCCACCCTCTCGCCAAATACCCGGGCCCTGTTATCGCCAAGGTCACAGATGCCTACCAGCTCTACTATGCGTGGAGGGGCGATCGCCACCTTCAGTTTTGGCGCCTGCACCAGAAATATGGTAAGACAAATACATCTCACACAATGAGTTCTGAAAGACTTGGGGAGAATCGGATCTGACATACCCGTTTCGCAAAGGCAAAATCGTTCGCTTTGGCCCCAACTCCCTCTCATTCAGCACCAGCCAGTCCCTGCAGGACATCTACGGCTTCAAGGCCAACGTCCGCAAGTCCGAGTTCTACGACTCGTTTGCCCACCCCGTTCACAACACCCACAACACTCGTGACAAGGCCGTCCACGCCCGCAAGCGCCGCGTGCTCTCCCACGCCTTCTCTGAGAGTGCCATGAAGGATATGCAGCGATTCATTCTCAACAATGTGCGCCTGTTCTGTGAGCAGCTTGGCATCGAGGATGGTGGAGCCGACTCCAAGGGCTGGACTCAGCCGCGAAAGATGGACGACTGGTGCAACTACCTCGCCATCGATGTTCTTGGTGATCTGTGCTATGGTAAATCATTCCGCATGTTGGAAAGCGAGGACAACCGCTTTGCCCTGGATTTGGTCGAGGCCGCTACCACCAGACACCTTGTTGTAAGTCATTAAAGCTCCGCGGCGTGATTAACGAAGAAGACATCATATGCTAATTGTGAAAAAAAAAAAAAAAGTGCGGTACTATGCCCATCGTTAACAGCCTCAAACTCGACAAGTACATGTTCCCTGCTCTGGCCGCTGGACGTGCCCGCTTTATGGCCTACAGCAAGGCCCAACTGACGGAGAGAACCAAGCTTGGAGAGGATGCGGACCGTCGCGACTTTTTCTGGTACCTCCTCAAGGCTCGCGATCCCGAAACTGGCGAGGGTTTCACTACTCCTGAACTCTGGGCTGAATCCAACTTGCTGTAAGCTCCTTCTCCAGACATATATCACATGCATTTTCGTGAAGTCAGTGCTGACGTGAATCTTGTTATTAGTATCATCGCCGGATCTGATACAACCTCTACTGCCATGGCCGCTACCCTGTTCTACCTTACTCGCAACCCCGCGGCGATGAAGAAGGTCACTGAGGAAATCCGAGGCAAGTTCAACGACGTCGAGGAGATCGTCCAGGGCCCTGCTCTTTCATCCTGCACCTACCTCAAGGCTTGTATCGACGAGGCCATGCGTATGTCCCCCTCTGTTGGCGGTATTCCTCCTCGTGAGGTCATGGCCGGCGGTGCTACCATTGATGGCGAGGTGCTCCCCGAAGGAACCGTCGTTGGAACTGCCCACTACAACATCCACCACAACGAGGCCTACTATCCCCAGTCATTCACTTATATCCCTGAGCGCTGGGTTGCCGGCGACATGAACCCCATCACCGGAAAGCCAACCACTAAGGAGGAGGTCGAGAGGGCACACAGCGCTTTCGTCGCCTGGAGTCTTGGACCCCGTGGATGTATTGGCAAGGCCATGGCTTATGTTGAAATGACCCTGTCTCTTGGCCGAGCCATCTACCTGTACGATATGCGACGAGCAATCGGTGTTAAGGATATCTCTGAAGGCAGCCCAGACCTCGAGTATGGACGTCACCGTGTTGATGAGTTCCAGCTGAGAGACATTTTCACCAGTGGCAAGTGCGGACCTCTGGTTGAGTTCCGACGAGCCCAGAAGGCTTAAATCTTGCCTTATGGTTCATGTATATTAGGTATGATGATGTTGGATGAAAGATGATGACCAACTTTTTGGATATGATGTGTATTGGCAAAGAAAACTGAAATTACGGGGAGGAAGAAATGCAAAAGAGCATATACATAACATAGTATGGAGCTGGGAACGCTCATGCAAGGAAGTAAAAACACAAAAGAGACAGAAAAAAATCAATAAAATCTTTCTTAAATCAAATTAATTTTTATTGTGTGCAGAATGAATAAAATACTAAAGTACCTCAGTAAGTCTCATATGCTACTACGCAAAAGTTCATAAATTCAAGGTGTAATGTTCTCTATCATAGGTTCCTATTACTGCCTGGAGCAAAGAGACGCTACAGTGGACGATTGCGCTGTGATTGGCCAGTATCTTTATCCTAGGCGCTGGAAGGCCGCTAAACCGCCCAAGGCTGCACAAGGCTGCCTATCTTAGCACCTGCTTCTATTTATCCTTCATCGCCGGGCTTCAACTACTTGAACGTATCGTTTTTTCCCCTCCTCTTTTCTCGCGACACCGTCGTGACCTGGTGCTGAAAAGACGGCCTTTCGCGATGGCATAGCCGCTGCGAATACTATATAAATATTATCCCACGCCGACTGCCCACTATGGCGCTATGCAGATTCTTCCAGCAGGGCTACTGCAAGTTCGGCAGTACGTGAACCTCCAACCGGCGTCTCTGTCAAGCTTGTTTGAGGACGAGACGGTGCATTTTTTCTTGGCGCGACTTATCAATTACGAAAGCGGCTTGATTTTATATTCCATGGAATGTTGCTAATTATAATCCGCCTTAGATAGCTGCCGTTATGAACACGCAAATGCTGGTGGCAACCGTAACCAGCCCTCCTCCAACCGCTTTGGATCTCTCGGAGGAAACAACACCAGCGGAGCCGATGCCGCCCTATGTAAGGCACATCAAGCCGAATGCGCCCGAATACTGCTGATTCTTAGGAAAACATAAAGCAAAATATAACATATCAGCCGATGTCATTGAGAAGGACTTGACGACCGAAGCGCCGCAATGGATCCTCTCGGCCTACGCCCCGGGGCGAGACGCTCCAGACCAGCTCTTTGGAGGATACCCTCGAGAACAGAGTTTTGAAGAACTCAGGCTCCATTACATGGTCGGAAAAGCATCAGGGAATGAGCAGCAAGCTGTAAGTCATTCCGATTCTGCTGCATCCACTTACATCGTATATTATGGTGCAATCGAATATACTAACCAAAGGCACGCAGTTGAACGAAGCGCAACAACTATATCAAAATGCGAAGCAGCAAATGGATAATGCGGCGCGAAATCCGAACGAGGCGGCACAATTCATCGTCGGCGGAGAAAACCGACATCCGAATAGACATGACATATGCAGGGAAGGGACACAAGGTGCGCCGTTTGGAGAATTTTTGGTGGGAAAGAGACCGAACCCAGCTGCAAACGCATTTGGGGGAAACACTTCTATGACGACGACCACAAGTGCTTTTGGACAGCCGTCTGCCCTGGGACAGCCGTCTAACCCGTTTGGCCAGCCCTCGCAATCTACATTCGGTCAGCCATCTCAGCCCACATCGGCATTCGGACAACCGACCCAAGCAACTTCGACCTTTGGTCAACCATCCCAGCCAACATCAGCCTTTGGCCAGCCGTCTATGCTTGGGGCTAAGCCTAGCCCGTTTGGTGCCCCAGCGTTTGGTCAAGCATCTCAGCCAAACACTCAGAGCAATCCATTTGGTCAGTCACAACCGCAGCAGACTCAAGCAAGTGCTTTCGGCCAGCCTAGTCAACTTGGCCAGAAGCCGAATCCATTCGGGTCTTCAACGAGCGCGGCACCGAGTGCTTTTTCATCAGCGGGCAACAACGCTGCGCCAGCTGCCAACCTTTTTGGTGGCTCAAGTATCAGCCAAGGCGGTACTCCATCAAGTCCCTTTGGATCAACCACTGCGAGCCAGCCTAACAACGCCTCAAACCCCTTTGGCCAGTCGACAGCTTCAACTGCCTTTGGACAACCATCTGCTCCTGCCGCTAATCCATTTGGAGCCGCACCACAAGGGCCAGCCTCAAATGCTGCCAATCCGTTTGGCCAACAGACTTCCCAGCAGCAATCACCATTTGGGGCACCGACGAACCAGAGTTCTGGAACGAGCTTTGGGCAGAACAATGCAAACTCGTTTGGAAACCAACAGCCTGGTGCAAATCCATTTGGCCAGGCTCAGACAAATGGTGCCCCTTCTCAACCCAATCCCTTCGGTGCGAATCAGCAGCCCCAAGCAGCCGCAGGTGGCAACAACCCTTACCCACCGAGTAGCTCAAGACAACATCCACCTATTGATAGCTACAGCTCAAAGTCAATGGATGGACGGCTTGCTCAATTCAAAGGGAAGCCTGTGACTTACAAAGATGGGCAGCCTGGTATCCAGGAATTCAATGGTACCTGGACGCGGATATGGTTTCCCAACGGCCCTCCAGGATATAATAGGGATACTGAGCTGTCCCTGGAAGAATACAGCGATGCAGCAAAGACGCAATGGAATAAATTTGCACAGACGGGGGCATTTGCCGATGGGCTAATGCCAGAGCTCCCACCACCAAGAGTATGCACACGCTGGGATTTTTAAATAGGTTGAATTAAAGGGCATACCCAACTCTGTTGGGGCTTCAATGGATATGAAGGGGGATATAATCACACAGATCAATATGGCGTTTATCGATATGGTTTCGTGTTTTATATACAAGGCAGATATTTTAGGGCGTTTAACCGGCTTCACTATTACCACGACTGTATAGTCTTGACGCATTTAAATTCACGATTTTACTTGAGAATATGAGTACCATGAAGAGATGGATTATACATGTCACATGAGAGAGAAACAGTCACGATTAATGGAAAATAGGAGAGAAAAAAGAAGTATGTCGTAAACCAGTTTATTGTGAGAAGCCTATCTGAATCGAGAGAGGGTTTAATTTCCCTCGACGTCAAGGAATCGGTCACTCCAACGTCTTTACGATATTGGAAGTTCGCTTAAGCAGCAATGGTGACCTCAACCTCGACACCAGCGTCGATGTTGACAATGATCTGCTTGACGACCTCGGTGGGGGCGTGGAGGCTGTAAGAAACAACAGCGTTAGCGACGAAGAGCCTTTTACAACACCAATGGATCCAGGACAGAGGAAACAATAAACGTACTCAATGAGACGCTTGTGGATGCGCATCTCGAAGCGGTCCCAGGTCTTGGAACCCTCACCGCAAGGGGTCTTGCGGGGAGTGACGGTCAGACGCTTGGTAGGCAGACGGACAGGGCCCTTGGCGCGGAGGTCCTTGTTCTTAGCACGGTCGATGATCTCGGAGCAGACCTTCTCGAGGACCTGGACCTTGCGGGAAGAGAGGGTGATGCGGATCTTGTGGCTCTTCTACAGCAATTGAACAAACAGACGTTAGCTTCTGGGTCTCTTCCTCGTCGGGATAGCAGCAGTGTCGCAATGGATCGGGGTAGGGACTGACAGCCGGCTCCTGGACATCCTTCTCGTTCTTCTGGTAAGACATTTTGACGGCTTCACGACTCGAACGGATCGTTTAAAATGGGTTGAATAGGTGCGACCTGCGTTGCGGCAAAGTGATGAAGCTGTTGGTAGTTGATGCTGATGTAAAATCTAAAGGACCAATATCGCCGAACTTTTTCAATTTCTGGTGGGGTCGCAAATTCGCCCAGCTAGGGCTTTCGCTGTGCGAGGCGCTAAGCCTGATGAGGGAATGGCGCTTGATTTATCGCGGCGCTGTGATTGGACGATGGGGGGCATTCGCTGAGCCTGAGCTTGGGGGATGTGGAGCCCTGGATATGCCGTTAGGAGCATAGCTGCGAGCCTTGTAATGAATCATCCGGCGATGATGGGGGCGATGACAAGTGAGAAGCTTCAGATTGGAAGGGGCCTTTGTTGATATTTAAAAGGCGGCTGCTTGGTCGCGGTTCTGGTTCCGATACTGCATATCACGCTCATTTACGGAATTAAGAGAACCTTTTAGCTTTCTTTTTCTTCTCTTTCTTTTCTTCTTCTTCTTCTTCTTCTTCTGTTCTGAGATACGTCGACAGCAATGGCTTCTCTGCCGCCCTTCGCGCCGTTTCCAAAGGCCTCATGGCGGCTGCACATCTCATCCGACGACTGGGATGCTCTATCGGAAGCTTGGATTGCGCTGTCACAAGCTTATCTGGGCCTGGGAGATGCTGCGTTTAAACAGGCAGCTGCGGGAGATGAGTCCCTGACGATATTTGTGACGACATTTGTGGAGGAGACGGCTACAGAATCTGGCGCAAAGACGATATCACCGCGGCTTCTGAAGACGATATTCCGCCTCATCTCTCGGCTTCTCACAGTATCGCCTCCGCCTGGGCTATTAGACGTCAAATTCTTGGCCGGTTTTGCAAAGATATTCCCGAAGAAGCATACGGGACCGTTACTTTCACAGCTATTCGCGTCTCACGCTACTCCTCTCGAATCATCCTTACTATCTCTTAAAAAGCTCCTCATCCCACAGCTCGATGCCGGAAGCAAGGGGGACCTCAGACTTGTTGAAGCAGAGCTAATACGCTTGAATCCTCTGCTACATGTTTCACCCAATGCGTGTATGCTTCTTCTGGCTGGATCCGACTTCTTCGATGGCCTGGTCACTTGCTTTCAGGTCATCAATCCTCCCCTTCGAAAAGCCATCATCACTACCGTCTATCTATGCCTCATTGGACTGATAGAGACAGAGCCTCCGAAATGGTCCATGATTAGCGATCAGCTATTCGCTATTCAAGCTGCAGCGGAAACACACAAGAAAGGAACCTTGAACCCTAATGATTCCCTGGCGGCGGATCTTGTGACAAACACGCCTATCCTCAAAGCTCTGCTCAGAAAATTAGAGTCATCGCCAACGGCGCCATCCACCCTTAGAAGCCGCATCACCACCCTGGAATCATTTAAAACAGGCGTCATTGTTCGGCCAAAGAAATTAGTGAAGAGAAAGATAGATAAAGGAAAGGGGGTAGAGGCCGCCGAGGATGTACATGCGGAAATGCATGTGCATAAGATGAGCCAGATTACCAATATCCAGGATATCTTCCCAAACTTGGGAGCTGGATTCATAGCGAAATGCTTGGATGAGTATGACGACGATGTGGAGAAGGTCATTGCGAGTCTATTTGATGAATCATTACCGCCCCATCTTGCTACTGCAGATAGGAGTGAGACACTGTGAGTTTTTAAATATCTCTTGTGCTGACATGAATTACTTGGCTAACATTTAAAAAAAGATCACATACGCAGGTCGATACCAAACCACATAAAGATCTTGCACCACACTCTACACCACCACAACTACCCACAAGACGCAATGTATTCGACGACGACGATTTTGACCGATTAGCAATTGACGTTTCCAAAATTTCATTCGGCAAGAACCCAGAGAAGACTGCCGATGACATCTTAAAAGACAGGTCTACTGCTCCAAATAAGGCAGCTATCCTATCCGCTCTCGCAGCGCTCGATCCAGACGATGACGAGCGAGACGACACCTACGATGCCGCCGACGTGGGAGGCACCGTAGACACAGGCGACCAGGAAGCCAACGGTGTAAACGACAGCAACGAGGAGCTACTCTTCCGTGCGTTCCAGGCGGATATTAGGATATTCGCGAGAGACGCGGAGACAAGGAGAGGTGCCACACGCGGAAAGTTACGGGATGAAACGGGCATGGCTGATGAAGCTATCGAAGGCTGGGCAGTGATGCTACAGAGGAACCCTGCGCAGATGAGACGTCTGGAGGCAAAGTATGCCTGGAGCGGCCAACAAGCACAACTCGATCGCAGTGCTTGGAGAGCCAGCCCCGCCGGCTCAGGTGCCGAGGAGAGCGATCCCGACGGCGGCAGCTCCAACAATAGGGGCGGCAGGGGAGGCGGCCGCGCGAGAGGAGGAGGAGGAGGACGCGGTCGTGGAGGTCGCGGCAGGGGAGGCGGAAACGTCGCCGGGCCTTCGGGCGAGAAGGAAACTGAGGCGGCGAGGAGGAATAAAGAGGCGCATAAGGGAGCGAGAGCAAATCATCATAGAAGAGATGCGAGGGCTAGGAAGATGGCCCGTGGTGGATTCCCTGGATGAAGCAGGAGACAGGCATGGTGACTATTCTTTCTTGGCTTACCTCTCTAGCTATTTGATGATGGCAGGCGGGAATATATGCCTTCATTTCTCGGAGAGCAGTAAAGAATACAAGGACATAAATAATAAAAGCCAAATCAGAAAGCATTTACATCGTACGAACCGACTAATAAGATATGTGAGGGTGGCTAACCGGTTACCCCTTTTTTTACCAAAATTTCCCGGCATTCCTTCGCTTTTGGCCAACTTTACATTGACCTTCCATTCAGCAGTCACAGAGAAATGGCAGCGCTATCTTGTATCACAAAGAAGAAACACCCCATTTTAGGAACATCCTAGCCCATGTACATATATACCTACTATAAATTTCACAGCTAACAAAGCTTCTTGAACCCTGATTTCTTCCCAAAAATAACAACGCCAAATCAATGCCGTTCTCCTCCGCCCCCCCCGGCCCCCCTTTCCCAGCCTTTCATGTTTAGTTTTTACAAAGCCTCAGACAACCCACCCACCACATTTCCAAGCATTCTCAAACCGTAATACTTCGCTACTCGTTTCATAACAGCCAGTTTCCGCACAATCTCATCCCGTGACACCACCTCTTTCCATCCGCCACTGCAAGTGCAATGCTCCATAAAGTCATTCACCCTCAGCGCACCGCAACGCTCACATTTGAGATCTTGACAAGCCCATTCAGTCGTCCACCCTTCCACCATGGCGAGTAATCGCTCCTCGATGCTCACTCTATCATACTCGGTGTTGCAGAACCCGCACTGCCAGCTCTGCCCACCATTTTCGCCGGAAGAGCTAAACAGATCTTCATCGCGGCAGAGATCCAGGTCACGCGTCATAGTGCAGCTGTCACAAGACACCTGAAGTAGTTTCAAGCTCTCTGAAGGGTTTGTAAACGTTCCCTCTTTGGAAAACTCGCGGATTTCGAATAGTGCGAGCAGCTCCTTGCGCAACAGTCTCGCCTCCAGTGTGATATTCTTATCAAGAGATAGTACCTGCATGATTGACTTGACGAGCTCGAGAATGGGATTGCGCAAGGGGAGGTGCGAACCAGGCAAGGAGGGGAAGCTGTAGTCCTCTGCCAGTTCTGGATGCATAAGTTCGCGCTTCTGCTGGTTGATGAGACCGACAATGACCTTCTTCATCGGCTTTTCAAATGCTTTGCCCAGGATAATTTGAGTGTCGCCATCGGGCTCCTGCTTTCTATTTGGCAGCTGAGTAAGCCGTGGAGTAGAGTCAGGATCATTGTTTTCTGGCCTCTTCAGTTTATGCATGAGCTGAATGAACTCAATCACCCAATCCTGGAAAATGGGCTGCAGACGAACGGGCAGGAATGTTGCCATCTGCCAGTGCATGATGGTTTCCAAATCCTGCTCTTCAGATTCTGCAACCACTTGACAAGCCCGACCGCCATAGTTGAACTCATCATACCATACCAAGTAGTCCCAATACTCCTTGATCTCCAAGTCTATGAAATGGAATAGAGATTTGCTCTTGATTGACTTGATGATATACTGGCTATAGGCATACGCATTGCCAACCTCAGCCTTGGTCGTCTGGAGAATCAGTCGGTTGGCGCTTGCAAAGATGACCTGCGAGCCGACACGCCTGAAGTCTGACATGAGCTGCTGAAAGGCCTTTCGCGACATCATTTGCACATAGTAATGCAGTGCTCGATCGTACATGAACGAATCTGGATTCTCAACCCATCGGACAAGATGTTGAACGAGCACATCGGCCATGGTGCTGCCTTTGCATGCCTCCGTCCACCACGCCTTAACCATCTCACGAAGAACTAATACTCCGGCGTTCGCAAATCCATTCTCCGAAGCAAGAATCTCTGACCCATCAGCTGTAGGATTGAACGATATTGATTCAGCGCCTTCGAGTTCATTGATCAAAGACGATGTCAAAATCGTATTGATGGTAAGATTGCGGATATCTAGGTCAATGCAGACCGATGAAAACGTCCCGGGGTTGTTGATGCTAGGCATCTTGACTGTTTCAAGTGAGCCAGTAATATCATCCTTTTCATAACCGGCATGATCTGGTCGAGGGTCCGGCGACCACCACAGCACCACTCCATTCGCCTGTAGTCGGCGAGCATAAGCAATGTCAATTAAGAACCGAGGATCGTCACGCTCAAGATTACACAGCGGAACATCACCATAGCGTGCCAAAGCTGTGAGATGCAAGATCCAGGATCCAAGCCCCAAGTAATGCCCAACTAGGCGTCGCGCAACGACTGCTTGCCAGCCCAAAGGCGGTAATGAGCTGTCAGAGGCGTCGTACTTGAGGGGCAATACGGGAAATTCGCCTAGAATGGGGACGTCATGGACAAGAAGGTTGTGTTGAGACGATTGGATCACCATCATTTGTGGTCGTGATTCGTCCTTGCGCAGCTTTCTCACCACATCGGCTATCTCTAAATGAGCTTTGCGCCGGGTTGTTACTTGAGTGATCCTGAAAGTGATTTTCTCCTGGTATCTGAAGCAATCCTGCCAATTCGTACCCGCAGCTTCCCCTGCTCTCTTTGCAAGCAGTTCCGAGTACATTCTTGTGATGTTTGGAAGATCCGAGCCGGAATCTCTTCCTTTCTGCAGTATCACGACGTAGGCTTGGTCGCTTGTAGTAGAGAATAAGCCAAAAATCTGGCGATCTCCTGCAGTAATATGCGATATATAGATATAAGCCAACGGAGACGACTCCAGGTATGTCCTGGTTTTGACAGGTCGTTTCAGACCCGTTAGGTCGAATCCCTGTTCGAGACCCTTACCAAGAACAGCCTCCTGTTCTTCATCAATGGTGCAGAGATTACCCAGTCGAAGGACTGCGCGAATATTCAAGGGTACTTGCTTTTCATACACTCCCTCTACACTAGGGTGGTTGAACAACAGTGAAAATTTCTCTGCTTCGTTGAAATATACGTCTTCCGGCACAGTAAGTTTGAAGAGATGCTTGGATTGATGACCGTTTGGAAGAGTGTAATTGACTTGCTCAACTTCACACCCAGCAATCTCGACGTCTGGTAGCTCTTCCTTCTTGAGATTGAGGAAGACCTGTCGAGGAACGTTAATCTTTAGTGTGTGAATCTTCGCATCTATCAACACGTGCGCTGTAACAATGCCAGGAGTATCGGTTGCTTTGAGATGAAGCAGTTGCCATGTATTCATGAACGTAAAGTGCGCTTGTTTCATAAATGTTTGTTGAATGTTGCTGTTCGCGTTGCTTCGCCTCTCGCCAAAGAGCTGCCTCCTCCGAATACGTGCTTGTTTTTGCAATTTCCACTTCTTCTTCTGATACTCCAAGAATCCAACATAATCGTCTGATGGGTCAGGCATGTTGCCTGATAAAGCGGCCATTGGATTAGGATCCTCTGCTGGCTCGGGAGACTTTCGTTTCTGAGAAGCGGCTTGTGGTTGTGACGACGCAATAAGTACACCGAGTTGTTTTGGTTTCAGCAGCTTGGCACCGAAGTCCTCCATATCTTCTGCTCGATTAATATTTGTAATATCTGCTAACGGTTCTTTGCTGCTGAAGAGATCTGTAAGTTTCTTTTGCTTCATCTTGTCATCCTTGATATTTATTCTTCGTTGAAGCCAATCAGGATGAGGGACTCTTGGTACGGGATTGCGAACTTTCTGCAACGCAGCAGGAATGGTGATGAGCTTTTGGATCACAGACCCAAGACGCTCAGAGTAATAATCCCAATCTAAAAGAGCTCGAGGATCGGTATCTGCGGGCTCCTCCTTGAGCCACTTCTTTAGATATGTTCGCTTCACAGTTTCTTCCGCAGAGAAGATGGCAACAGGAACAGCTCGTTCCGTAACAGGAGCATTTCGTGGCCGAGAACAGATGATGAATTTACAATTTAGACCTTTGTCTTTTACCATCTGTTCACCTAAAAAGTCGGCAAGACGTCGTGCGGTTGTGATACTGGTCGACTTCTGACTTCCGTATTCTTCCAAAGTCTTGGACATGCTTCGGTTCTCAGAAATCAGCTCCATCAGCTCTTCATCAGCGAGGGTAGATCCTTTATTATCCAACACGTCCAGCCATTGATTTGCAACCTTGGCAACGGCGTTGTAACATTGCGTCAAATCTTCTCCTTCCAAGAAAAATTTGAAAATTTGTTGTTGAAAGATCTTAATGAGCTTCAGCTCGCCACGACGTTTAACTTCAAATCCCTTCAATTCTGCCAGACTGCCATCGTCATTGAACACAGCATATCGCTTTTTCAAATTCTTATCCTCCTCTTTCGAAGTTGGCAGAATCATAGCCCTATAAGGACCATCAACTTCGAAGAAGATGGAGTTGTCGCTATGAGTCTCGTATTTATGAGTTTTGGGATCCACCAAGGTCTGATACTGGTGGTTGGTGAATTTGTCATGCACAAGATGGTTAAGCATGACGCAAGGATATGATATGTTCAGCTTTTTGCCGTTCTTTAGCTTGAACGCAAAGTTTTCTGGGAAAGTAGCAGGAAGCATACACCAAATACCATCGGTATCCAGCTCGAGGGGTCTTCCAAGGCGTTCAACAAGCTGACGAGCAAGCTGAATAATTGTGGCTCCTGTTAAGCAGGTAACACCCGCCATCTCCATAGAGTACCACCGAGAACCTTTTCTCATGACGTATCCGTAGAAAGAGTTTAGGATAACTTTGTGCGCAAGCTGTAGAGAATCGTATAGGATGATCATCTTCTTTGCATCGTCAATCTCATTGCCGGGTGCGCCAGATGACTTTAGCGCCTCCGTTTTACCCTTCCACACTTTGGCTTTGCCTTTGTAATCGTAACGACGATCACGAAAATCACGGACAGTATTGATATAGAAAGGGTTTTCACGCTGACAAATAATTGCCTCTCGAACAATGGTAGTAGAGTCGTGAATCTTGTGATATACCTTCTGAGAGTAGAGCTGAAGACGTTTTCTCACCAAATTCGCTTGCTCATCTGTCGTCAAGTCTTGAAATGTCCTCGGAGGAGCATACGGTGTTTTCCCAGGAAACTTTTCGTTCTCGAGAGCATGCCGAATCATGTTATACTCGTCTCTTTTGGCAGGAATGTATTCTCCTCTCCAGGCCCAAGGCAACCGCCGATCGCATGTTTTGCCTGGCCGGTTGAAATCACAAGCCGCGCAATCTGATTCCGAAATCATGGAATCTGGTTGTAATCGATTTGTTGTCATGATGTTGGGATACATAGAGGCGACGTCCAAATGATAAATGAGCGGTCTTTCGTTTCGATTGGGCGTCTCTTTCAAGGCCTCAAGCTTGCTCTTAATTTGTTGCTTGACTTCATCATAATTGGTAACATCGTCTAGAGATTTATTCTCCTCAACAGTAATGACGAATTTCAGCGCATTGTCCAAATCTCGCAAGAGTTCATCAACTGCGCCGGGATCGACGGCAAAATTGACGGGGATATCAGATCGAAAGACACCGGCTTCAATACTCTCGACGTGACCGCCGACATACGTCTCAGAGTCGAGAAGGTGACCATCCCAGAAGGCTTCTTTCGGAGTTACGTGCTTATTCGGCAGCACGATCTCCTTCTGGTATGCTTGCACCATCAGAAGCATCTCACAGAGCGTACCGGTACCTTTTCTTAGGACATCATCTCCTCCCAGTGGCAAGATTGTGCAGAGGGAGAAAATGAAAGGATGTACATACTTCATGTACAGATAATAGGTCGCAACAGCATCGGAGACTGAGTACTCTGCTAACGTCTGTGGTCGCTCTTGCGCATATGGCGTCATCAATTCTGGGTCGAGTTCATCGGGGTCATACCCGAGCTTGGCGACTGTAACAGCCTTCAAACCTCGAGATCCTTGAGGCAAGTAAGAATCTCGGTTGACCCAATGGAAGCAATCCATGTGAACACTATAGTTACACTTGAACTGGTCTTCGCTGTCTCTTTTCCAGCCAATCTCTTGGTACATGTCGATACCATTTATGCTCGCTCTCGCTTCGACAAAAGGCCAATCGAAGAAGTCACCGTTGTAGGTCGCAATAACGGTGGGGCGTGCCTCTTTGATATGAAGAAAGAACCTTTCGATAACAGCTTTCTCGTCCGGTTCGTTGAAAATCATGAAAGGGCCAGGATACTCGGGCTTTGGTGTGTAGTCAAAATCGCCAATGTCCTCAGAAATGATTTCTCTATTTGTGATCAAGAATCCTTGGCCATCAATCATGTATGATATCATCATAATCTGATCGGTAGCGGCATCGGGGAATTTTAGGGGGAGTTTCGATGTCTCGATATCGTATGCCATGACGACTGGATCGGCTGGCAGGGACCTCTCCTCGTTTGGTATAATCTTAGTGACGCCATGCTTTGCTTCGACAAAATACCACTTTCCGGCTCGTATATCTGACAAATTTGTTAGCCAAACCGCCAAGCGTCCAGATCTTGCCATATATAAAGTAATACCTAAATCTATCATTACTCTAACATGGTATGGAACATCGTATTCCCGAATGTCAACGATGAAATCGCTCGCCTCAGAAATAGAATTACTGGCGTTTCGCTCGTCATCTCGTAAGTCATTATCAAAAAGATCGAAGTCGCCGCTCATCCTATAGTCGTAAATGTTAAAATCTCCAATATTGAAGAAGAAAAATGCCCCTCCATGGCATCTGTTAATGGCACTCACGTCGCAACCTCAGCATATGCATCCATGGCATTCATGTTCTTCCTATTTTTTTCTGCAATCGGCATGATATCTCTCCTTGCGGACATCAGATCGTTGACGTTGGCAAACTTGAGTTCGATGAATGTCCGTCGGTAGCCCATCAAGTGATTCGGCATGCTGAGATCTTCCTTTTCCATTCTCCTGACGGACTTTACAACCCCACCACCAGGTACTCTCTTCACCCATTCCTCAACTTCAGACTCTCGGCCTTTTTTAACCGCGATTATAAAGTAAGGATCGTACTCGACGGTAGCTTTGAATGTGCTCCCATCAAGTTCTATGAAGTAGCAGTCCAGCGCTGCTCGGCCACCTGGTATTCTCTCGTCCTCGATAGAAGTCGGCTGAACGTTGACTAGCCATCCTTCTTTCCTCTTTCCACTTTCATAACGTGCAAATCCCATCTTGTCGTCAATGCTCTGGGCCAAACGAGTACGCTCCCACTTTTCGTCTGCAGAGGTACCTTCGGCCCTCGAGGACGCAGCGAAAGTTCGAGTTTTTTGGCCATGGTATGCAACTTTGCCTCCTCTTTTATAGCCCTTTGCTGGGCGGCGGAGAGATGTGTTCGGCATCGCAGAGGCGTTATAGAGGGGTCGCTGCCAATTTGGCAATTAGAGAACTCGAACTCAATCGGTTGATAGTCTCGTCATGGGTTATGATATTCTGCACTGGCTTGCTATAATATCAAGGGGGTGATTTCGAAGCAGCTGCTGTTTTCTTCTGTCCAGCGCAGAATGTGCAGTGGTTGACCGGGCAAGTAGACAAAATCAAGAGGTAGTGGCCCGCACCAAATGACCGTCGCCCGCAGAGGATCTTTCGCGAAGATGTGTGTGGGCAGCTGTCAGGGAGACGCGTTGATACGCGCTGATACGCGACCCAGTCTTGCTAGTAAGCGCCACACCTTTAATTGATTTTCAGCCACTGAAGAGCTTAACACAGCCACAGCCCACTCAGAAGCGCCAATTCGACGATAAATCGTTTGAGCGTCATAACTGCTGCCGGTCGATTCCTAGGCCCCAGAACGTCCATGCTACCAGTTCGACAAGCAAGGTAGCCAGAAATGGCCCCGACCAATGACAATGAACGGCCCAATCCGAACGAAAAAGTTCTGCATGTGTGGTCCAAGCCGATAGCAGAAGGCGATCAGGTTCCAGAGTCGGCCAAGAACCCTGATGGAACTCCGACTTCTCAGACTGCGTTTTCAGCGGCGGTCTCTATGATAAAGAAGGAGGATTTCACAAACATAGCGAACACACCCTGCGCACGGCAAGGACTTTTGACCGGCATTGGGGCTGGTGCTGGCCTTGGCGGCTTGAAGTTTGTGATTCAAGGTAGGCTGGCGACCACATCTTTAATACCAAGAGTGCTCTGGCGGAGAACCAAGCTGTTAACTAACGTTCCTCTTATAATGCAGGCAATGCCGCTAAATCCGCCAATTGGGCAGTTGGATTCTTCATGTTAGGTAGCATAGCCTCTTACGAATACTGCCAGTACCTCCGGCGTGCCGAGAAGATCCAGATGAAGCGACACATTGAAGTGGTCACGCAGAACAAAAAAGAGCAGGCAAGGAAGCTGGCTGAAGAGAGGCGCGAGCAGCAGAGGATAGAGGAAGAGCAAAAAGCCCGAAACAGAGCTTGGTATAAGTTTTGGTGAAGCTTAGGCAGATGTGCTGCCTTGTACCATTATGTGTATGAATAAAAAATTCTACTTGGATATAACGACAAATTTCTTTTCAATACGATATTACGAGGAGGGTTGTCCAAAGCATATATATTGAATAAACCAAAGCCTCAACGGAATTATTGAAAAGCCCTGAATTCATCCCCTGTTTGCTGTTCGCAAACAGTACCATCATCACCAAAAATCCCAACGCCGCCGGCCCATGTTCCTTCTCTGCCTCGAGAGTGTTTGCATAAATATTTCGTCCAAGCCATGAAATTCCATCAAACGCCGTCATTCATCTGATATCGTTTTGATATCATTGCTCATGCCAGAATATTGCTCCCAAGTTCGCCAATCCTCAATAATATCATAATCATGCCGTCATAGTAAGATTTCTGCTCTCCCCATCCGTAAATCTGACTTTCCTTGAAGGTAGTGACTTGTGATCCCGCCTGGCGGGTGCAGCAGCCTCCCCTCGACGTCTCTGGCTCCTCTTGTTCCTTGCTTCGTTCTCTTCTCGTTTTCTGTATTCCGCCATCTGCTGCCGCCTCTTCATGACCCTTGCATGAGCGAGTGCTGGGGTGGGTTTAAACCCAATGCCATTAATGCCAGTGCCATCGTCATCTTTATCATTCGGGTCGTAAATAGTGATTTCGTCCTCATGCCATGTTAGCGAGGCTCGCAAAGGATCTACAACTTCTGCCTCATCATCGGCGTCGGACAGTCCCTCATGAGGATGCCCTTTTTTGAAGCGCAGGGGCGGGGTGCCGGCTCTCTTTTTTCTAGACTGGGACTCCGATAGGCGGTTGATGGATGGATATGCGTTTTGGAGCAGACCTTCAGTTGATGGATGAGGAACCTCTAGCTGCAGTGTTGGACGATCAGTCATTTCAATCACTTCGCCCGTTTCGATCCCTGGCTTGAGCTCCATCTCTGGCCGAAATGGTGGCTCTTGCTGCATCTCCGCAATAGTATGGGCACTTTCGTCTGATCTATGGCGTTTCCTCATTGATTCATCGGATTCTGTGTCCATCTCATCGGCAGATTCAACAGATCTGCCTCCACTTCCGAGAGCCAGGCCGCGAAACCTGTGTACGACGGTTGAGGAGTGTGGGCTGTTGCTGCCATCTTCCGGTGGGCCGGTCGCGGAGAGATCGAATGAGAATTTTAGCGGCGAAGGACATGCATCCGGCCCTCTCTTTCGCTTTGGGGTGGCATTTACAAATTCAGTCATGGTTTTTAACCTTCTTTCTGGGGTTGTTTAAGGCCTGAAGCCGGGAATGAGAAAACGCCGCGGGGAGAGGGCTGGAGAGGATGTTGAGAGAACGAGACGTTAGCGGGTATCAGATAGAAGGGGGGCCGGAAAGCGGTCAAGCAGCCTCGCCGGCAAACAGAAGGCGCCGGCCTGAAGGGTTTCTAGAGGCGCAAGCAAGGATAATTGCCTCTAGCTGCCTTGTTAGAGATTGGTCGAAAGGCGGCATCAGTGGCACGAGCCGCATCAATTGCCTGAAGCTGCCAGAAGCGCAACTCTCTGTCTGGCGCCGGTTGGCCTGCGCGTCACAAGACCCGGCGACGCCTCTGCGAAGTCGACACAACGCCACGTGGAAAGCAGCAGCGATCTGATGGCGCTGCAGCCGGGCAAAAGCGGGCTGCACCTGCGGGTAGCACGCATAAACTCGCTGTAAGGCACGCCTCAAGCTCGGGAGATTGACAGCCGATGTCAAAGAGCAGCAGGTGTCGATAGCTGCTGCGAGTATGACATCCACGGCGGCTCTTTACCCTGGTATGGAGGTGTTTTCAAGCTGCATTCATAGACCAGCATATTAGAGCTGTATGGAAGAGACATTTCTTCGGTCTCCACAATCAAGCAAACCTAGGTGCCGTAGACCAGGTACAAGGCGCTATGGAGTTGGCTAGGAATTTTGCCGGCGAAGAGCTCAAGCCCCCACTGTGAAGTAACAAATGGATATCCTTTCTGAGGCCGCAAATGAGGAACTTCTAACACGCGATGATCTGTGATAGAGGGAGAAAAATAACGTGAGGATAAGCAACCTGAGCGAGTAAATTATTTTGAAAATATTGGGCACACTATGCTGCCACGTTGTATGTAGACTGCCTGTTTTAAGGTGCCTGGTGTTTAAGTTCTGTGGAGGATTGATTACCTCTCTCTATTACCTGATACCTACCTATGTACCGATGTACCTGAGCATCGCTAGCAAGGACAGCCGAGCTTTTCAGATACGCCAAGCAGCTTGCTAGAAATTATTGGCCCTTGATGATGGGCCAACACCATATTTTGGCTATATTGCCTTCCATCTAGGCATCCGCAAGCTTGGCGGGTTGCTCCTTGCAAGACCCCGAATTTTGCGATGCGACTGCGCAGCAAACGTCTCCAACTGCCTCCAACTACCCCGCCATTGCCCCGCCGTCATCGAACGCCTCTGCGTGACGGTGGAGCTCCTTGGCACATATATCCGCGCAGAGGATCCGCGAAGCCTTTAAAACAGCCTGAATGCGCTCCCTTTTCCGAAGAAACGGGGACTAGGAGGCCACAATACATCCGAGATAATCGCCATTGCACCCATAAATTCTCCATAGCTGACGTTGTTGTGCTTGATTTTATACTAGTCTATATAGCTTGTGTATCCGTGGAACAGTCTGCCGAATATAAACACCACCGGAAGACCCTGCAGATTTCCAGCACAACCTTGTTTTAACTACCCATTTGCCCGCATTCCCATCACATCACCATGACCGACGCTGCTTTCAAATTCCTGCCCCTTGGGGCCATTATCCAGGACTTCAAGGTCAAGGATACAAACATTGTTCTTGGATTCCCAGAACAAGAGCAATATGTGAAGTACAACTCTGCCTATTTCGGAGAGACCATTGGGCGCATCGCAAACCGCATCAAAGACGCCAAGATCAACAGCCTCAACGGCGGCAAGGAGTACACGCTTGCTGCCAACGACGGCCTCAACACTTTGCACGGCGGCAACGAAGGCTGGGGCAAGCGTATCTGGAAGGGCCCTACGGCCGTGGGAACCAGAGAGATCCCTGGCGTGCAAGGCTTGAAGGGTGGCGAAAGCGTTGAATACACTCTCCGCAGCGAGGATGGCGATGAGGGCTACCCTGGTGCTGTGGAGGCCAAGGTCATCTACACCACTGGAAACCAAGTTGTTAACGGAAAGGAGACCATCGTCCTGGGCATTGAGTACGAGGCAAAGCTGGTTGGAGGTGCGGACGAGACCATCATCAACCTGACCAACCACTCCTACTTCAACCTCACTGGCGATGAAAACATTACGGGCACCACCGTCACTCTTGCAACCAACAATCATCTCCCCGCCAAGGAGGATTCTATTCCTCTTGGTGGCCCCGTTCCTTTCCCCGAGCTTGACACATCCAAGCCTTTCGTTCTGGGTGCCACCGGACCGGAAATCGATCGCTGCTTCACAACCACCGCTGACCCGTCATCCGTACCGATCGACACTCGTTCACAGCCTCTTGCTCTCAACATGTCTGCCTTCCACCCCAAGAGCGGTATTCATTTGGAAGTCCTCAGCACAGAGCCATCATTCCAGTTCTATACCGGTGACATGACCAATGTGCCCGCTGCTGAGGGTCTGCCCGCCAGAGGCGCACGAAGTGCGTTCTGCTGCGAGCCCGGCCGTTGGATCAATGCGTGCAATGTTCCCGAGTGGAAGGACATGGTCATCTTGAAGAAGGGAGATACTTATGGTGCTAGAATCGTGTACAGGGCCTGGACAGAGTAATTTTTCAAGCGTCGAGCATTTATTAATGATGAACTGATCAACTTATTTTGTTCTTGCTCCTTTGTATGTTCCATTGTTCGCCCAAGCATTTCATTGTAAAAATACAGACAATATGAGAGAAAGAGGAGGAAAAGGCTGTGAAATGACATGATCTTAACCTCTTCTGCGAGATGTTCGTTAAATCATAATTACAATGCTAGCCGCCACATGTTTGACAAATATTACATCCGACACATTGTGCGAGTAGAGGGTGGTTGAGTACGTGACTGACCTGCAGTCGCCTAATCGGAATCGCTGTCATCCCCCAGAAATGCGAGATCCGCGTGGGCTTTCCTTCGCCTCGCAGCAAAAGATGTTGGCTCTTCATCATCACCATCATCGACGTCGTCCTCGTTATCCTCCCCATAGCCTGGCTTGGTTTCCTGTTTGGTTACGCTGCTCTTACTTCTGCTAGCCCTCCCACCTGAGCTTGTGCCCCAGAGGCGGTCCATCTCCTGAGCTGCCTCGACATCTGCCTGTAGCTCTCGCATCTCTTTGATCTCGCGGGCCTTGGCCTCTGAGAAACGCCCGTCCATACCAATATCGGATAACATCTTCTTTAGGTGGCGAATTTTTGCTCCGGTATTGTCCCCATACTGCTTGAGTTCTATGTGCCACAGCTTGCGAACGCCGCATTTGGTGAGTTGTGACTGTAGCTTTTTAATCTCTGCATCTTTGGGATCATCTGTACTGGTGGCCTCCTTCTTAATTGCTGACTTGGAAGCTTTTGGTTTTGATGAGCTCTCTTTCTTTTCGCCTCTCTTGCGTTTTGGGATCGGTGGCTCGTCGATTACATCGGAATACTCGTCCTCCTCATTGACTTCTAGTTTCAACTCATCCTTGATATCTGCCTTTGTATCTTCTGCTTCCGAATCCGGCTGGTTTTTTAATGACGGCCTTTTCTCGTCGCCTGGTGTTTCTTGTTTCTTAATAGCAGCGGAATCACCTTTGTTGGGGGTGTTGTGCTTTGATTCATTTTCAGATTCATCTTTTACGCTTCGTTTCCGACTTTTATCAGGTGACGGAATCTCTCCTAACTTGGTATCCTCTTCTTCGGAGGCGTCTGACTTGGCCTTGCTGCGCGATGCAAGCTTCTTAACCTTAGTCTTGGATTCCTTTTTGGGAGTTTCCTCAACGTCTGACTCCTCTTTCCTCTTCACAGGCCCAGATGCCTTCTTCCGTCGCTTAGGCTGTGGAGACTCAGCCTCAGATGACTGTCTCTTGATACCAACTTTGGTATCAGGTTCATTTTCTGGTTCGGAACCATCTTCGTCAAGCAATTTGTCCTGGTGACATAAAGTTAGCGGGGTAAGCTAGAAATACAGCATAACTGACAGACTGCTCTGCTCGTTATACTAACCACTTGCTCCTTGATAATCGTCTTGCTTTTCTGCTTCCATGCATCGCTAGTGAAGAAGCCATCATCTAGCCCGAGCTTTTCTTCGACATGCCGCCGGACTTTATTGACAGAGGTGCCGTCGGGCTCTGCCTTGTATATTTCGCAAGTTCCTTCAATGAGCGCTTCTTTGAGCTTGGCGGCTGAAGGCGCCATGATGGCGGGGAAAAGGGAAAAAAAAAAAAAAATCAATCAATCGAATTTGTATCTTTTAGTGTTCTAGCAGCAACGACCGGACTTGATTTCCACAGGCCCCAGATGACGTTGTATCTGGCGTTGTCGAACTTCCAAAAGCGCGTCTGTGACGCGATCGGATTGTGATTGGAGAGCTTTAATTGATGCTGGCGAGCTACGCAGTACAAAGTTACATCAAGCGGACAAGGTTCAATGTGCTTAACAGACTAGCCCTCTTACGTCGACATGACCAATGGGGTGTGACGTTGTGGCCGTTTTATGTGGGGATCGGGCCTGAGGTATGCAATGACAGTTTTTGGAGGAGTCGATTTTAGCTGTTATGGGCAGTACTAACTAATAAGCCATTTCTTGAACTCGTCATCTTTGGAAATCAAAACATTTATCCTTTCTACATCCTTTATAATTGATCCGTGACATCGAATATTTTGCTGATTAAGGTTCCAAATCCATTGAGCGGAATACTAGCAATCAGGCGTCTGATCTAGAGCTATTTGTTTCGGCCTGTCCAAGATGTCGGCATCACTTGCACCAGAGTGTAATGAAGTGAAGGAGTAAGCATCTTCCGGGGTACGCACGAATGATAATATACTCATACAAGAATCAAGGCGCTACGATACTTGCTTTTTAAAGTGGTATAGCGAGAGTGAGTTGTGCCCTTTCTTTCCTCATGTTCATGGGTAGTTCTCAAACTTACACATACACAGAGTATCTTCGTGGAGCAGAGAAGGACAACAAGGAATGTGCTGGCCTATTCAATGAGTATCAAAAGTGCCTAAGCGTATGGAATTTCAGACGCTGAGATGGAGAGAAAGGAACGATATCGTGCTGACATTTTGAATTTAGGTTGCACTAAAAGACCGAGGAATAGATAAGCTTCTTGACGAGGCTCGGGAAGACAATAAGGAAAACGACGTAAGGTTAACGGCGCCCAGGAGTAAGTCCACGAATCAAGCGCAAGGAGATGTCCTGTTTTATTAATCGTGGTCTAGAATAATAATGTTTGATTCGATGTTTGGAAAGAAGGGGGCTTGTATCCATGGAAAAGGCCGAGATGCGCTGGCCTGCAGAGCGGCTTAGACCTGGAATCTCGTATTTGCAGCTCATATCTGTACATATAAATGTCGCAACGGCGTTTTCTGACATGTTGTAAATTGACAATCTGCATGCTCCAAGGCGCATGTCCAGCCCAAACAATCCATTTCTGGTCCATTTCTGGGCCGCAGCCGTCGTGATATACGCAAGCAGAGGATACGTCGTCAATTACAAGCCACGTGATTCGCTGCCCGGCCACCGAAGCACCCAAAGCCTCCACTCTTGGCGGGCGGCTGGCTTTTTAGTGGAGGAGCGCTGCCAGCCGCTCACCTTTGCACTTTTGGCTACGTGCCATCAGGGATAGCTGGACAAAGCCTCTCGAAACCCGTCGAGCTGCCATTGAGCGCCTGTTGGCTTCAGTATATAATCCAGTGTGCGGCCCCGGGAATCTGCTGGGCATCCCAATCACCCAGCAGCGACTATCGCGACCATAGTGCTCGCCGGCTCCTAGGGACTTGACGCCGAGCTTACGACGATACGCGCGCGACTCCGCCGTCCCTCGCCCGACATCCCACTTCCGAGCTCACAGCCTGGCCTCAAAGATCGATCCTTGCTCCCTTGGCCAGCGGCATGTCCTACCGGCAGCAGTAACGCTCTATGCACCCCTTCTCGACCGTGACCCTCGGCATCTTCGTCGCTGGCTACATCACCGCGCGCTGGGACCTGGTTACACGCCTCTATGAGCTGGTCTTATTTGCCGCCGAATACGGAGTTGTTGTAAGTCGCAACGGCGTGCGCCATACAGTCTGGGCATGTCTGACGTGTCATCTTTCTTTCTTTGAATCTAGTTGCGTGCAGCCCGCGGCCTGGTGGTCCTGACTATTATCTTCATCACTATCTTTGTGCCAGTGGCTCTGCTAGCGAGGGGAGAGACGAGGCTTGTACGTTTTATATATCAACATTGCGAGAGAAGGCATATATTCTTTTAGTCTGGTGCCGAGGCTAATCACTATGATAGCACCCACGCCAACACGGAACGGGCATCTCTGCACGAGAACAGCTCAGACGACGAGGCTCCTTCTGAGTGCTGTGTTCTGCCTTGCCGATAGCGATCCTTTGTCATGGTAGAGCATGACGGGTTAATGAGAGTGTTTTGGCCGACGGACATTCGCAGATCCGATCGCGCTGGCGTTGTCGTCGGTTGGAGGAACTCGACGCTCGATGTTTTCGTCGTCACTATCCTTGAAGATGTTGATGTTAGCTTTTTTCTTTGCCAAGGCGTCCTTCTTTTCCCTTGAGTCTGATCGCTAATCAGCTTGATGTATAGGCGCATAATGTCGAGTTCCATCTCAAGTCCGGCACCTTCTTCCGGAGTGGCCCCCACTCCCCGAGCCGGATATATGACCTCTGTGGGCATTCGTCGATGCATGTCCTAGGAGTTGCTAACATAGCAAGCCAAACTGAGGTTGACCCTTCGTGGGTATGCGCCAAGACAAGCATCCATAGCCAATATCCCAGGATTGCCTGTGCCAAGGCCTCTAGCGTCCAGCTTATCTTATATGATAGGCCTCACCCCAAGGGTATGCAGTACATATCCTTGAACCCGATTGCGTTAGCTCTAGGAGACAAAGGGTCGTTCCCCGACGATGTAACGAGTGGCGAAGATGATAGCGAAGAGGCGAAGCACGCAGCTGCGAACAAAGAAAATCGGCGCAAACTAATGGAGAAGCTCAAACAGCACAGTATAATAAAGCGAGTACCCTCCGCCAGAGATAAGGCGCTGCCCAAAATCGTCAACCAGGTAAATTGGTCTTGGGAGCTGGAGCAGGTCCTACAGCATAACGTAGGGCGGCTTGGCCCAAGGCCAAAACGTGGTCTGAGTGTCTCCGAGAGAGTAGTAGAGTCTGCCACGACAATGCGGAACTATGTGCTCGTGCAGTTGTGGACTTTGCTTTCTGTATACCTCTTCCCGATTGTGCAGCAGGCCTTCATTCTGGTGCTTTTCTTCCACCGAGTGTTGGCTGAGATTTTACTCATCATCCTGGAATTTCGGGCCAAGCCTGGTTATGCTGCCCTCAAGGATATATCAGCAACAGCCCAGCAGATTGAGATTCGCCTCCAGCAGTTTTGCTACTGGCCAATGCAATACGTCACTCTCCGCCAGCGCAAGGCCAACTGGGCTAGCGTTACCACCAGTCATCCGGATTACATTCGTTTCTACAACAGTCTATGGCTTGTTGCCAACGATGTGATTATTGGCATGGCAGTGGGCTCGTACATCATTGAGCACAAGGAGTGGGTTGCAGACCAAATACGAGATCTCCTTCGCGTCTATACCGTGGAAGCTCTTCAAAGTGGCATATCGTGGCTGATGGACTGGCCTGCGGGTCTAAAGCTCAATGGTGAACTGGCTGCCTTTCTAGGCGATTTGTTTCTCTGGGTTATCGACTATTGGTCAAGTAAGTTGCAGCCCCTTAACCACTGTGAAATTTCTGCAAGCTGACACATAACCTCGCATTGCAGGCTGCATCGAGACATTGAGCCCCGCCCTGCCGCATATTATTTGGTTCGTGGGATTCTCATCCTTTGCCGGAGCGAGTATGCCAATTTCAATGTTCTCTGATCTTTTGTCGGTTCTTACTATGCACATTTACTCATTCTATCTCGCATCTGCACGCATATATCACTGGCAGCTCACCATCCTGCGGTCTCTGTTTCACTTATTTCGAGGTAAAAAACACAATGTTCTCCGCAATCGTATCGATTCGTGCGATTATGATCTCGACCAGCTGCTTGTCGGGACAATTCTCTTCACCCTTTTGTTCTTTCTTTTGCCTACCGTCATGGTCTTCTATCTTAATTTCGCCATTGGTAGAATGATCATTATCTCAATGAAGGCGGGCTTTGATACGCTACTATCATGTTTGAACCACTTCCCCCTGTTTGCCTTAATGTTGAGATTGAAGGACCCGAGTAGACTACCAGGTGAGCACAGATGCAGCAGCAGCATTGATGCCGTTTAAAAATAAGGCTAACTTGGACTTAGGTGGCATTCGTTTTGAACTTCGAGATACCCATGATTATAAACTTTCCGACGCTAATGATAAAATTTCTAATGAACCCCCTACCTCTATTATTTACCTCAAGGTAAGCTTTCCTCATTAATTCATTTGGTTTTTATTTGGCCAAGAACCGAAGTTAATCTTTGTAGTGCATTCCCCTTCCTTTCCGGGCCATGTTTCACCAATACTTTCAACTGGCTCAACGTATACGAAAGCACTATTTGTCACCACGGGTGTTGCTTTGTTTGGTAACTGGGCAATTCGTTCCTCCAATCAACAGAAAAAATCTGTATAGTCTACAGTACAGCATGTTGCCAGCGAAGAGGGCGACAATGTGGGAGATGTGGCGGGCGGTCAATACGGAAATTGAGATTCCTCAGAAGAAACCGTTTCAGCTGCCAAACATCCCCCAATTGCAAAATGGAGGCAAACGGCCAACGGGGTTTGGTAGAGCCAGGTCATACGCGTGAAATAAATAAATAATAATGTAATAAATTAAAATCATTTGATCGCCATTTGTCCATGTCCCGTATTGACCCGGATGGCTTGAATACATGCCCTACGTTCCATCTCCTTAGAGTAAATTCGGCGTTATTGCTGAAGTGAATGTGCGTAAACAAAGATATCATTGTTATAGATTTTTATAGCTCATATGCTTTTCCACAAAAGCCCATTGACTTTTTGGCAGCGGTTGCCCCTTGAAACGAAACGGAACGAAATGCGGAACGAAACGAAACTCGAGAAACAAAAGCATGAAAAGCCACTTTGTGGATAGATATATGTGGGATGGTTTATACTTTACCTCATTATCGTCGATTTTAGAGTGCATCAAGTTTGAAGGTTTTCGTCTTTCAAAGGGAATACCCACGTAGTAGAAATAAAATTAGGAACTTGTCGTCAACGCTTCTACTAGCTGGCCCATTTACAGGCCATCTGGGGAGTAATAGAGTGTGTGGATTGAGATCGATATTGAAATCTGAACAAGAAGTGACGCGGCCATGGTAAACAAACCCAGCTCAAAGTGAGTTTTTGTTGTGTTCAAATTTCTATTAATTCTCCAGCTTCCGCCCACTCGATCAAGAATTTCCTTTGCTCTGCAACCCGCACCCACATATAGAGATATCTTGTATCTTGCACCATTCGCTTCAATCTACAGCACACCGGATTCTTACGCACATTATCAACGCAGTACTTAAGACACTTACGCCATATATCAAAGCAGCGCTCAAGATACTTACGCCAAATATCAACGCAGTGTTTACACATTGAATTATCTTGCACTTCTCAACCTCAAGATAGTCACCATGATGAATCTTATGCACAGACTCTCGCCCCGAGCAATTGGGAGCGGCATCAAGAACCGAGTTTCAGGTCTAGCTACTCGCAATGGGTCTCCTCACGCCAAGATCCTCAATGGCCTCACCAAACTCAGCAAGGTCGCAAAAGAAACCCGGTTTAAGAAACGGAAGTTCTGCAAATTTTCGGCCACGGCACTGCTGATAATATCGCAAAATGGCATCAACTTTCTGTACCAAGCCCTCGACCAGATGTTTAAGCCAGTCATGCACCGAAGACTCAACACGCCGCCTCTTGCTCTCGACACAGCCATGGATATTGACGAAATGCCTGACCAAGCACAAGAGCCAGAGCCGCCGTGCATTCCGACAATTATTGTGACTGCCCCCAACGGAATAGTGAAAGAACTTCATATGATGCCTCCATGGACGCACATCACCAGAAACTACAACGCATGGTGTCAGTCCAAGCAATGGCAGAAGAGCTCGCTTCTGCATCCTTACTTCTTGTCACGAGCTCAGATTGCGGAGATGGAAAGATTGAGGCGTGAAGCTGACGAAAAAGAGAGACAAAGATTGGAGGCTGAGCAAGCTGCAGCATTGGCTCAAGAACAAAACTCGGAATCGAAGAGCGAGGAGGTTTCGACACTTGCTAATGAACAGACCCAAACATCCGAGGGCGACAAGGTTTCGACCATCCCTCAGGAACAGAATCAGGGTTTGAGAAGCAAGATGATCTCAGCTTCCCCTCAAAAAGAGAACCAGGGGCTTAAGAGCAAGAAAATTCCTTCGCCATCCCGAAATCAGAGTCCGTCTCTGAAGGGACCACAAACTCGCCCCCAAACTCCGCCACTGCCGCGAGAGCAACCTGAGCCTCTCTCCATCAAGCGCTCACATGCTGAATGGAAAGCCAGAGAACTTCGAAAGAAAGAGCAAGCTCTATCCCTAGAGCAGCCTCGAACTCCAGCACAAAAGCGAGAGCAACCTGAGGCTCTGCCCATCAAACGCTATTACGCTGAATGCAAGGCCAAAGAACAGCTTCAGCAGAAAGAACGGGAGGTAACACCGCTTCAAAAGAAGGATCAGAACCAAGCTCTTAAGCGGCAGCAAGCTTCACCACAGAAGCAAGAGCAGTCTGGGGAGATGTCCATCAAACGCCGCCATTCCAAATGCAAAGCCAGAGGAGAGCTTCGAAAGCAAAACCAGCCAGAAGCTGATCCTGAGGAGAGAGCTTATCCCGAATTCAAGCCTCTATCTTTTCCTCCATTTCGTTATCAGCAACGACTTCAAGCTAGAGCTTCGACTCGACACCCTCAATTCACATAACCGATCTCGCTTTCTGAGACGGCCCCATGCGAAGATAGGGCATTGCCACCACAAATTGTATCATTCACATGGGGGCTTTGGCGACTGCAAGCCTCGAACAGCGCTCCCTAGCATTTGATAACCACAACGAGTTTGATGTACAACAAGCAAGCGAATGATTTTTTCTTATCCTCGGCGGATGGACGTGGAGGAGAGCGAGGAGACAGCGATTGGTTTTTTGGGTGCAATCTGCACTTTGTATATACATGCTAATTGGCACGCAAGGGATTTAAGGAGGTTGGGGGGTTGGAAACAGTGGCCACGGCAGTTCTTGTCTTTGGCAATCTTTGTTGTTTGGCTCGTTTCTGAATTTATGTGCTCCCCTTTCTTTCCTACTGTATGATACGAGAATGGATATTGGGTTTCTAGCGATGCTGCTCCTTGACTACGTGAATGGCTTTATTTGCCGCATATTGCTGCCCCAATCTTGTGACCACGGACATATAACAGCAGTCAGCATACAGTAAACAGTAACTGTGATACCAAAAGTCGTATGAGCAAAGAGATCGAATCCGCCACAGCCCAAAATGACGTCTCCATGCACAAGAGCCCGTCCCCACCGAACCAAAGCTAAAGCGCAGCTAGATCCCCTGACCAGCTCTGCTCCCTGAACCCCTCTTTTCCCTTCTGCTGTACTATTACTTGCTGCATGTACATAGTATTCTCCAATGCTAATCCCTGTCTTCTATAAAGGGTACGTGGGGTTCGATTTTGGCATGACGCTGCGGTCTTCATTATTGCCTTGCTTCGTGCAGCTCCCCAACTTTTGCCTCTCCTCTCCTCTCTCCTTCTCCCCTTTTCTCTCTACTTGTCATCGTTGGACTCAAACTCTCACTTTCGCGACACGCACGATTGCCCCAAAACTACACGCCGTTCAGAACCCAGCTGTAGCGTTGTTTGTGTCCCGCAGCTCCGTGCAATTTGGCTGCCTCGTGGCGATCGCGTGTTGCGTTGCAAGGCAAGACCAGCTGACAGGCTCCGGTGTAAGAAGAAGCGTTTAGAAGCTGCCTGGGACGGAGCTGGTTGAACTTATACGAAGCAATTGGCCAGGCAGCATCAATACTCCAGATACAAAGATAAATAACTCCCTGCGCACCCTGTCGACAGATCTCGAGGAGCTGCCTATTCTACCATTTTATTCACAAGATCGGAGTTTATACGAATCACTGCGTATCAGATTGAAGCTGCATCATCATGGATCCCAATCAGAAATTCTATCGCCACTTTCGCGATTCCATCGAAGGTTGGTCATTTCCGTATTATACAAAAAAGCTAATTTATCACTGCATGATTGCTGACGTTCCTTGCTATTTCTACCAGTTCTTCAAGATCAGATTGGCCAATTAACTCATTTATCTGGGGTCGGGGGCGAACGACAAGAAGCTACAGACCACATTCTCGCAGGTATTAGCAAGCTTCAGAACGAAGTTGCTGATGCTGCCGAATTCACTCCTGCATACGATCGTCGCCAATACTCAGAAGTCCGTCACCCCTAATAGCTCTATAGTAAGAGAAGCCGACTGATTGCAATGTTAACAGGCAATCAAAAGTCTGCAAGATAAGCTCAATGAAACACTGGCCAAAGTAGCTCCAAAATCGCGGTTCCAATTCAGACGTACGGGTACAGACCACGTCGACATGGGCGCTCCAGAAAACGACCCGAGATTGAATCCTGGCAGCTTATCTCGACGCCCACATGACCCAAAAGACGCACCGGGAGCGACGACGAGAGACATTTCAGACGAGGCCGACGATATCGTAGGAGATCTGTCGCCCAAACAAAAAGACTATAACCTCGAGCTGGCCAATTCAGACCCTTCATCAATCCGCAAGCCAAGCTTCTCTGCTGCTCAAAATATTGGCATCTCCGATCAGACCGGTCTCCACATCATACTTCCATCCTCGGCCTCGCGAGCTACGTCAGCAGGTTGGCTTCGGGACCTCAAGGACTGTGTTATTGACCTTTCAATACCCACAGCCCAAGGAGCCCCATTCCCCGGTCTTATGCTTAAAAATATCGATAGATGCCTTATTGTGACCGGTCGTGTCAGTGGTCCCGTACACATCAACGATGTGTCCAACAGTACTCTTGTCGTTATAGCGCGACAAGTTCGCATTCATGACTGCAAAAATGTCAACATCTACCTGCATTGCGCCAGTCACCCGATCATTGAAGACTGCTCAGGCATGCGTTTCGCCCCTCTTCCGTCATGCTATGTATGTATCGTCGTCTGTTATCATTTGATACCATAATTTGCTCAGTACTGAGCCATGCTAACTCTGTACAGCTGACGGAAGCCGATAAATCAACTGAGAATCAGTGGGACCAAGTTGATGATTTCAAATGGTTAAAGACAACTCAGAGTCCGAACTGGACCACTTTATCTGAAGCCCAGAGGCTTGACGAGGAAGTGTGGACAAAGATTGTACCGGGAAAACCAGGCGTCAGTGTGGAGGGGATACTGAGCAAGGTTGGGATTCCGCCAAAATAGTCTGATGAGAAAAGCAGACTCCCAGTAGACGTATTATCGAGAATTGCATATTTTCTTGATAGCCAACCCGTAGCCACCTGAGAATATCGAGAGATCATTTCGAACTTCATTTTGGGCTCGTGCGAGGTTCAGGGTTGTTGTAGCCGTCTCTCCTCACAACTCCATCTTGTCCCCGCCCGGGTATGCGTCCTTGCTGAATTGCATTCCGTTCTCACGAAGCTTTTCTAGCAAGGCGCGTTGCATCTCAATTCGCGTTTCGAGCTCCTTGATTTCGGCCTTTTGCTCGTCGATGGAGCGATCCATGTCTGGTAACGCGCGGACTTGTGCTCTGGCGTGCTGTACTTTGTGCTTAAGCTTGTCGGTGGCACCGGGAACGTCCTTGAATGAGAGCTGCTGGCCGCCGCTGCTCGGTCCACCAGGAGTAGCTTCTGTTGTAGCACCGGTAGGAGCAGAGGCTTTGAGTCCAGCGCGGACTTTTGCTAGGACAATGGACAGCTCGGAGAGAGAGTCGAGGTCGTCCGGGGACAGGGTGGAAGGCAGAGCGAGGGTTGGGAGCTCCGAGGCCATGGCGACTGCTCGTGTGAATAGAGGAGACAGTGTGTCTTGGCTGGTTCTGCGTTGGTTACACGAGCAGGGCACTGAGAAAGGCTCTGCCAGACAACCGATAGTGATCAATATCGATAGGTAATAGTAGTTCGATCACCTGTTGTAGCTGCGAGCTGCATGCCCTGATTGATTGGCCCACGGAGATTTTGCTTGTCGTAGGCAGCGTTTGACGGCGTTATTGAGGGGAATGTTCGCCAGCAGCCGCCAGAGATTGGACGGAGCCTAGCGGCCAGGGCAAAAAACGGCCCGATGCACGGAGGCTCTCTAGCGCAGCCGCAGCAACAGCCAGCCTGAAGGCTCTCCAGGGAGGCGCTACAACACTTATCGGCGGCGCATCTATGACATCGGTAGCCTATCAACCCCACCATCCAATGCGTTTAGTAGGTACTGGCGGCATGTTTCTGGTTTTGCAGCTTGGAAAAAAATACTTGATCTCCCCATCAAATCACGCACCCAGGGTCCTCTTCTTCCTCCCTACACTCTTCTCATCCCGCTGAATCTGTGCAATTGAGCCCGTATACTGCTTCATTCTGTCTCACCATGTCTAAGACAGAGCAAAAGGCCTGCCTCAGTACGTTATCTTTTCCTCAACCACAGCCACTGCCCCGCCATCCATCTCCTGGTCCTCAGCCCATTCCGCGTCCCAACATGCGCCGCGTAAAATCAGCACCGGCCACGGTCCCAGCGAGCGATGGCCCGCTGCCCAAAAAACCCGATTATATCCTTACCTTTTGCTTCGTGTTGGTGTATCTTGAGCTTGGGTGGCTAATTCTACTACTGTTGCGGTCTTATAGTCGTTATTGATGGATGGGGTATCCCATCTGACGAGAGCCCCAAGGATGGCGATGCCATTGCGGCCGCCGAGACGCCCGTGATGGACGAGCTTTCCCAGAGCGAGACTGGATTTACCGAGCTTGATGCCTCATCGCTGGCGGTGGGACTGCCCGAGGGCTTGATGGGCAACTCTGAGGTCGGCCACTTGAACATTGGTGCGGGACGTGTTGTCTGGCAGGATGTTGTCCGCATCGACCAGTCGATCAAGAAGGAGGAATTCGACTCCAACGAGGTCCTCAAGAAGACTCTTGAGGGTGTTGTGAGCGGCAATGGCCGCCTGCACCTCTGCGGTCTGGTTTCTCACGGTGGTGTGGTTAGTGGCCTACTCAATTCTAGCTCTTGAGAAGCCTCATATGTGGGATGCTAACAGCCATTTAGCACTCCAAGCAGACGCACCTGTACGCCATCCTCAAGGCCGCCAAGAAATACAACGTCCCCAAGGTTTTCATCCACTTTTTCGGTGACGGCCGTGATACCGACCCCAAGTCTGGTGCTGGCTACATGGAGGAGCTGGTTGACTTTATCAAGGAGCTCGGCCTTGGTGAGATTGCCACCGTTGTCGGCAGGTACTACGCCATGGACCGTGATAAGCGATGGGAGCGTGTTGAGGTTGCTCTCAAGGGCCTCGTTCTTGGCGAGGGCGAGGCGAGCGAGGATCCCGTCGCTACTGTAAAGGCACTGTACGAGACAGAGGGCAAAAACAACAGAGATGAGTTCCTTCTCCCCATCATTGTCGGTGGCGACGAGCGCCGCATCAAGGGTAAGTCTTTCGAAAGTTTTGTACTGTCAGATAGAAACATGGTCAGGCTAACCTCTATGGATCAGATGATGACACCGTCTTCTTCTTCAACTACCGATCCGATCGTGCGCGACAAATCACTCAGCTCCTGGGAGATGTTGATCGATCCGTGCTGCCCGACTTCCCCTACCCTAAGATCAACAAGCTCGTTACCATGACTCGATACAAGACTGACTACCCCTTCGATGTTGCTTTCGAGCCTCAGAAGATGGACAACGTTTTGGCTGAGTGGCTTGGAAAGCAAAACGTTGAGCAGGTGCACGTTGCCGAGACTGAGAAATACGCTCACGTCACCTTCTTCTTCAACGGTGGTGTTGAGAAGGTCTTCCACCTCGAGACCCGTGACCAGGACCAGGACCTTGTTCCCTCCAACAAGACCGTCGCAACATACGACCAGGCCCCTGAGATGTCTGCGGATGGAGTTGCCGACCAGGTTGCCAAGCGTCTGGCAGAGCAGAAGTTCCCCTTCGTCATGAACAACTTTGCTCCCCCTGATATGGTGGGCCACACCGGTGTCTACGAGGCCGCTATCGTTGGCTGTGCCGCCACCGATAAGGCCATCGGAAAGATTCTGGACGCCTGCAAGAAGGAAGGCTACATCCTGTTCATCACTGCCGACCACGGCAATGCTGAGGAGATGAAGTTCGCCGATGGAAAGCCCAAGACTAGCCACACCACCAACAAGGTGCCTTTCATCATGGCCAATGCTCCTGAGGGCTGGAGCCTCAAGAAGCAGGGCGGTGTCCTCGGTGACGTTGCTCCTACTATTTTGGCTGCCATGGGCCTGCCCCAGCCCGAGGAGATGACTGGCGAGTCCCTTCTGGCTAAGGACCTTAAGAGGAGCGCTGAGTAAGAGACTTTATTGAGAAAACCGGATACCACATAAAACAGAGCAACAATTACAGATAGAATGATTTGGTGAGCATGATTAAAGAAGGAGTATGGATAGAAGAACGATGAATAAGGGCATGAAGACATATACATTTCAGATAGAAACGACAAATACGAAATATCTACACCTATGAACACTATTACTGCCAAACATGCGGGTGACAAATGCGAAATACTAATACCATGAGCACTACGGAGTACTGAGTACCTAATGTGCGGGTGATAGAAAACGCCGCCAGTCTGTTGCTATAAATATCCATGTTGACATGCAATAAGCAGTGTATTTTCTGTCACCCCATGCCTAACACCACTCGGTAAGTGCAGCTACGTATTAAGTAAACCCTATTGACTCAGTGCTGCGACTTACGTGCTAGGATATAAGTGAATATGGCCAACTTTGGCGCCAACCGGTACTCCTTTTACGCGCATTACCGCAGTAAGGCCAACTGTCAGGGGAGGGGGAATTCACCGAGCTGACACAACCCGAATCTGGTGCTTGAGAATGGAGATCAGTCGGAACGGTGCTTTCTTTCCACCGCACGCAAACTACTGAGAGAGCTTTGTTAGGTCACCATGAGAGCCCCATCTCCCGCGAGGAGCGTTTCCTCCGGTATCCCCGGCGGTGGTGGTAGTGGTGGTGGTGGTGTATCGAGGCGCTATCTGGGACCCTGGATGTCGATAGTTTTGTCACATGGAAGCCATTGGTGGTAGCAGAGGGTCCTGTAGCCCGAGTTTGGGGGCTCCAGCTGCAGGAGGACAGAGCTGTTCCGGGGTGAGTGGGTGAGATGGGAATAGCTTCCCCCCACTGGTCGGGAAAAAAAATTTGCGATTCGCTGCATGGTCGTAATTGCCAACGTCGATCCTTCGTTTGCGTTGGTTATGCGGCTCGCGCCAGCTGTTCCGGAGCATGGCATGATACGATCTCCAAGGATGGAATTATACTTCTTCTTGTACAGCGGATCGACGGTAGGTAAGGTAGTCTGTACAGTACAGTACATCGTCGTAGACGCCGTGTGATTTTCCCTTCGTCTGGATAGAATTCGTGCCCAGTTTAGCCCTCCCGTAGAAAGCCGTAGAAAGAGTACATCGAGCTCTTCTGTACATGGACTAGGACAGACTGGTAGGATAATATTGTAGAGTTGGGAATAACTGCACCAGGCATCCTGCGTCTAGCATCTTCTAGCGGCCGCCATGCAGATCGATCTTCAGGGTCGTGCCGGCCAAAGAGTCAGTGGCAACGTGGCAATGGACAATGCAGGATACTAATTTGCCTCTCGCTTGGCATCATGAACTGATTGTTGGCCCTGGCTCCATCAACAGCATCGCATCCCCAAATAGAAAGCAAAACAGGGGTCCTGGAGCCTCAACGGAGAGACCGACGAATCGGCATGCCCCGAAGCCTTCCCCAGGGCATGGCCGTTGCCTTCTATTTGCATATGCGCACGCCCAGCACACTCGATGCTCCCACAGATTGGTGCTAAAAGCCCGTCCGATCTGAGCTAAGGATGCGGCTCGTCGAGATCGAGGCGGTTTGGGAGTTCACCCTAGGGGCGTAGACGTGGTAAAAAACAAAAACAAAAAAAGGTTAACTTGACGTCGACATGGGCGTGCCAAGGCTGCGGTACTGTGTAAAAATGGGCTGTCGTTGCGTTGCGAGACGAAGCAAGAAAACCGTTCAATTTCTGAGGAACAAAAATAGGTAAGCATCAGAGATACAGTAGACGGGACGGGAGAAGAGGAGGAGGAGTCACAAATCCTGCATTCGTTTTCGATTTAGTTTATGCCAGTGGAGCAGGCTACTATCGATGATTTTTGGAGCGAAATGTATAGGGCCGGGAAGAAGAAGCAGCGTTACGGGGCTTGAATCCTCATTTTGCCGGGCTTTTGGTCTAAATACGTCTCCAGGTCGTACTTGAGGGCATTCCGGGATTTTTTGTGTGCCCTTTCGGCATGTGGAATCTACCAATGGCGAATGCTGGTTAGAGCGCGGGGCCATTGGGACCGTTTGCCAGCACAGTACCGTACTTGGTAAAATGTATGGCGATCTCCATACGTCATTGTCTCCATAGAGTAAAAGGATAACGGCCGTGAACAGGAACTGGTGGAGTTTTCAGATTGTGAGACCCTTCCTGCAGAGAGCCACCTGGTACGTGTAGTTCTGTATTCCGTACGAGAAACTCCAAAGGACCTTCAGTATGCCAATCTATGCCGTTTGCGGGGAAGCTCGCCAATACAGCATCACGTCAGTGGCAAAACACCGGCTGAGGCTGATGGAAACTTAACTTCTTTCAGAGTTTCACTCTCCTGCCATCGTGTCTCGCCATTATGTGAAGGCATCGCCAGATGTCTATGCTAACTGAGGTGATAGCCCTATAATGACTCGCCATCAAGATCCTGCTCACGCCAATCGGCACGGCATGCAGCAATTAAGTTCCGTTACATCACCAACGGCAGCCGAGGCGAGAGGGAGTGGTCCGGTAGACCGCCGGGAGCGGTACCTCGATGGCGCAGACTGACCACACCCCAGAAGCAGTCGTCGCTGCAAGACAGACCAATCCTAGCACATCGACTCCTGCACGGTACGGTTCTGGACTCTCCGAGGTTGGCATGCGACGTAATCGATGCGCCACAATCAGGTCTTTGAAGGTCCGGCCCCCTGACCGGCCTTGGGCTGAGATACATGGGAGAAGCTTCATTGGATTCACGACGACGCACCCTATGCGGGGCGGCGGGCCTGCGTCTGTGCTTTAGGCGCGCATCTCGACGAATGCAAGCGCGAATATGGTGATTGGGTACAGCAACATCATCTGCAATGCCTATTAATGATACAGCCGCATAGTTTGGTGAACGGCATTTTCACTTACACCACAAGTCAAGAGGCACTGCTAGTACATAGTACGAAGTACTGCCAGATGTCTCGGATCATGATAGTTCCGAGGGCGGACCCAGGCAAACACAACTGGCCGATGACAGCCAAAAACAAGATCTACACCCACCAAACCTTGCGTCCTACGGCCCCGCAGGTGATGATGCAAGTTGACCAAGACTCACAGGCAGAATGATGGCTGCCAAGGAAGTGCGCATGCTACTAGCAGGATGTAGCCCAGCTAAAGATCAGGTGGACTCTGGATAGTCGGCTCGCAAAAAAAAAAAAAGCGGGAAACTTGGAACAATCAACACACGAAACTAATTATACACACACAGATGTGGCCATAGACTCGTTCTAGAACGGCTCGTATGGTTAAAAGTATGCACATATTCTCATTTTATCCTCCCCCCTGGTCGAGGCAAAATACATGCATACAGTAAGTAGCAGTCCACTGCTCCCTGGAGCAAGAGGACCGCAGCGAATCATTGGGCCTTGCACGGAGCCAGGTCCGTGCAAATAAGTTTCACACTCCGCTGCACTAAAGCAACGCTACCACAAAGTTGCCTGATTTCTCTGTTAGCGCGGATAGCTAGCGGCGTTATGGTTAGTGCTGAAGGCGGCTTCAACGACAAGTGACAGGCTTGTCTCTACGGAGTACAGCTTGCGGGATTGGAACCGTGGTGACCGAACTAGCTAACCGGTGGGTAGGCAGATAGAGACAACTGCAGGCAATATCTCAAGCTGATAGACTGCCAAACGTCATCAAATGAGGCAAGGCGGAGCAGTAGTTAACGACATTATAGATTGCACGGCCATACTGTAAGGTTGATTCTATGCCGACGTGCCTACATCGCCTCAACGGCCTACCGTTCTTCCAGCTTCCAATCTGAGCGCAACGGTGGTGGCTGTAGGAACCACAGCATTGATAGACGGGAGGCAAAGAGAGGGGCCTGTGTGGACGTTGAGCGGGGGGCCAGAGAAACAGGGCCAGTATAGTGTTTAAGCGCATACAAGCGACGACACGAGCACCTTTCTGTATAAGCCAACTGCGGCGTTTGTGTGTGCATAGTCCTACCCTCGTGTGCTGCTGTCTGATTTGCCCGCAATTTCCGTGCCCTGTGCTGAATGGCAGCTCGTACGGAGTACAGAGGACAAGCGTTTTTGCTCCCTTATACGGAGTATACTAGTACTATGTAGGAGCTTTGCGCTAACAACACCCTCCGGGGTGAAGCACTGAAAAAAAGAAAGACCCTGATTTTCTATGGTTTGGGTTGATTGCTCTGCGATTTGCCCGATCGCGACGCTTTGCCTCTCGTCTCCAAATCGCAGCCTCACGGCCGGCGCCATCAGCCAGGGTTTTGCCCACACGGCACCCGCTCGTGGTGCTATAACTTTCTCGCAGGGGCTGAGGGCGACGATGATCAGCTGTGATTTGCCCTCTCTTCGAAGACCGTAGCTGCAAATTGTTTCCCTTCGCTGCTGTAGCGAAACGCCACCTGGATAACGACCGTCGTGTCGCGCACATGGTCAATTTGCCCTCATTTCCATTTTTAAACCTTTCCCCTCCCCTGCCCAGCTGCCGCGCACACGCCCCTCCTTTTCCCCAATTCTTCCCACGAACTGGCGCGCATTGCCAGCCTCACACGGCGATCAACTTCAACTCAACTCGATACTTGTACCTCACCGGGCCCCATCAGACCCTACTGGGGGGCTGTTGTTGACGACGAGCTTCCTTCACCCCCCCAGGCTTTCATCGTCCTTTTTTTTCCTCCCGTCAGCTTCAGCGCTTCCCCTCAACACACAGGCTACTTGGCCCAATTTCGCCCGAGGCCACTTCCAGCCCACTGCGACGACACCACGAGGTCTGGAGCTGCAGAAGTGATTGAACAGCAAAATTGCTCCTGGCCGCTCAGTGAGACACAGCAGGCCGCAGCTTGGAGCCGGTCAGGGAGACACTACAGCGGCGACAAAGCTGGCTCCGAATCCGCTTTCCCGGCTGTTGTCACTTTGAATCGAATCTTGAAGACGCAAATAGTCGCCAAAGGGGCCAGATTTGATCAGACGACGACAAGCAAAAGTTTTTTTTTTTTTTCTTAAAAAAAGAACAGAAAAAAAAACGATAAGGAGGATTTACCTTATTCTACCAGTTAGTAGACGGACACCTTTTCGGATCGGCGCTCGAGAGGACTGCGGGCGATAAAAGGTGACGGCTTGTAGTGGATTTACATCGAGCTGTTAGTATTTGATTTTTGATTTCATTCTTGATTTCATTTTCTGCTGCCTCATCATACGCGCACGCACTCATTACGGGCTGTGAAATCGAGATTTCACGCCTCTCAGGACGTACGCAAATCTTGGACTGGGCCTTGGATCGAACCGGCCATCTCTAGTGATTCATTCCATTCATTCCGCCTTCTTAACTGCATATTGCTGGACCTAGGCATTTGCAGCACTACTGGTTTCAGAGGTAAGTTGCCCGAAGTTGTTGCGGCCCTTTTTGCTTATCCAGCTCGATCGATCGATCGCCTCTACAGCGCCACGGCCAATGACACGCCACTTTTCGTGCTCGACCAAACCTGGCGCCCCCCCATTCTACTATTTACCCCATTACTCGTCACAAACACCCAAGTTTCCTAAGAAATCCCTGTTAACGATGCTTCTACAGAGTATAGGCTGTTGGCGAGGGGGCCCGCTTGGCTACGTCACAAGTCACATTACTTGGACCCTGAGCTTAGACTCATCTTGCGCCGCTGGATGCGAGAAGCTTCACCAGGCAATCAAAGAGAAATATGGTTTTCTAATTCAACCAAAGAATTGCCAGCTTCTTGATGCTTGGCATTTGAATCTACAATGCAGCCGACAGAGGGTAGTCCTCCAGAACCACCCCTTCTATCATCGACAGGCCATCCTCTCCCCCGACGAACCTCCGGACAAAATTCCATTACCCTGCGACATCACCAGCTAGCTCGCGATGCCTCCTTGAAAGCCAGCCGCGGGTCAGTTCCACCAAATCAAAGCAATGACGAACATTCGTCATCCCCCCGTCGAAATTCGTCGGGCGATAGCAACGAAACCGGCCAGAGCGATGCCAAGAAATGGTTCAATCAGTCAAACCAAAATCCTACAGCGATCTTTGACAGCAATTCCATGGATGGTAAGTATCAAGTCGTTTGCCTGAAACCACCGTACTTCGAGTCGCTCATGCTCGCGCAGTCGATCCACCGTTCTTTCAAAAAGAATCGGATTCGTCCAATGAAGACAAGCCGTATCAGTATCCAACAGCCGAGCCTCCAATGCTCAACGCCGCTCGCAGCAGCAGCGCCGATGACTATCGAAGCGTGATCGATGATCTCACCGTGGAGATCCAGAAGTTGAAGGAAGAGCTGAAGCGGTACAAACAGAACGGCCCTGATATGCTTCGAAAAGATAAACTCTTCGAAATTAAGATACATGGGCTACCAAAAAGGAAAAAGCGCGAATTAGAAGCGACGCTCCGAGAATTTACAGCAAGCCTGGGGTATTCGCCAGATACTACCTCTTCATCGAAGCGCGACAAAAAATCGTCCAGGCATGGTACTCGCGATGGAATGTATTCCGGGTCAGGCTCCATGTCATTATCGAAACATGCCTCGTCTTCGTCTGGATCTCACACACGGCCAGTTGACTCGGCTTATGCGTCTATGTCGACTGGTGCCGGTTCATCTGGAACATCCTTGAATAGGCCACAAGGAGGCTCACGATTCAAGTCCAATGAGCAGAAAGTAGAGAATTACTTGCGCGACATTCCCGAAGGGCTATATCCCCGTTCTCTTTCCATGACAGAAAAGGAAAAGAGGAAGCTTGTGGTCCGACGTCTTGAGCAGATATTCACAGGCAAATTTGCAGGCCGACATGCCCGCCGGAACCAGCCCAATCAAACCGCAGCTGCATCTAATTCGCAGGCCCCACAGGGGACGTCAGGAGTACATTCTCCCCTGCGTCTCTCTTCTATCCAACAGCCGAAACTTAAACCAAGTCCAAATTCTGGATCCGAGCTTCTCCGTGAAGCTCGAATTCTTCCCCATGAACATCATCACGCAGGAAAGAAAAGCAGATCGCAAGACATAGGCTCCGCATCCAACTCCAACGAAGATCAGATGGAATCAGGGGGTAACGGCAATGGCAATGGTAGTGGCTCGGGATCAAACCCATCTCCGCCCATGCCACCACCTCCTGAACAGCGACCCACGAGGCCCAAAGACCTCGATCCTGATCGCATTCAAATCCCATCCGAAAACATGGAGTACATCAGACATTTAGGTCTAGTCCCTCCAGAGCTGATACCCGATCCACCAGAGCGTTCAGACAACGACGTTCACCCCGATGCGGATGGTTGGGTTTATTTGAACCTGCTCTGCAACATGGCGCAGCTGCACATAATGAATGTCACCCCAGATTTTGTTCGTAATGCCGTCGTTGACCTCAGTTCCAAATTTCAGCTGTCGCCAGATGGCCGAAAGATAAGATGGCGCGGTGGTACAGACGGCACCAAATTCAGTAGCGAGAGCTCGGGTGACAATTCCCAGCGAAGCCCCGAAACAGACGACACTGCGAACACAAAAGCAGGGCATCGTAAGAGGCAGAAAACAGGACGCTCAACGGGAGACTCTGGGAGCTCGGGCAATCAGCCATCTAAATTTGGGCCACTGATGACTGCGCCCTCTGAAAGTTTTCACTACAAGCCCCTATTCGTTAATCAGCAATCGCCCAATGGGCAATCATCGATAGAGGACGGTACATTGTCGTCCTTCGGTCCCATCGAAAGCAATACAGACTCGCGGTGGGGTCGGAGCGGCTCTGGCGCCTCTAATCGTCGTAAACGTCTCCGGGACGGCGCTATTATCTATTATAGTGGTGCTCCGTTCTGTACCGACCTATCAGGCGACCCGGGAGATATATCGCCTACGACCTATTTATTATCCAGTGAAAGAGAACAGACGGACTCTCAAAAAGTACAGTTTGTTCGTCCATTGCCCTTCCGATCAGGATCAGGCTCTTCTACGCATAGACGACCCCTGAGTGACGCCGACCTCGGCCTGGGTGCCATTTCCGAGATGAGCACGGATGATGGGGCTAGCGTACCTGAGCTTTCGATTGACTCGGGTGATGAATCTAGCGAGCTCAATCTGGAATTTCCCTGGAGCGATGAGCAGCAGACTCTCGAGATTCATCCGCTTGAGCCCTGCGGTCTTGGTGGTGTGCGGCCAGAAGATCACTTCATGGTGGTGGTAACGACGAGGCGCTCAAAGCTTGATGCTCACGGCGGCCAACACGGCGTGAAGCGGCGCAAACTTTCCGAAGAAGTAACCGACAACATTATTAATCGGCTGGCTTCAATGTCAACGTCGTCGCCTCGCCCGTTTACTAGTCGATTGCCATCACAAGGCGAAGTATCTAGGATTGGAATCGAATACTTGTCCGGCCGCATTAGACGCCTGGAACCAGTACCGCTCCCTCCGCCTGCCATATTTTTCCCGCCTTTTAGCGTAGACTCGTGGTCGGAGGATGAATATGGATCCGATGGAGACGACGAGCTTAATTCTTCCGAAGAGTTTATGAGTCGACGGGCAAACCCTCATCAGTCTGATGACTATCCCGACGGGGTGGACCTGAGCAGCGGCGACGAGGACGGTGAAGAGCCCGACGACGATGTTGACATGGCGGTAACTGAGGAACCAGCCAGTGTCATGGACGGGGTTTCACTACCGGGTCCACGCAGATCACGGGCCAGCACGGAGGCAGTCCCAGGGACTATTCGTGGAAGAAGCAATAGCGCTAGTGCAGAGGTGTTGCTCCGCACTGGAGGCAGCTCCGCGGCGACTGCAGGAGGCGGCGTCGAGAGCGGGAACAACAGCAGCTCCGAGGGGAGTGGCTCATTGTTATGAGAATATTATGTTTATAAATCACCTCTTAGCAATACGAGAGTTGTTGGAAGAACATGAACTCTCTGTGAATTTCAGCGAGCTGCGTTGACACAGCAACCCCGCGAATCTTCATGTCACATACTATCAGCAGCAGCAGCACTTATTGGAGCGATAACAGCAGCTTGTTGGAAACCAAAGAAGAAAAGCGAGCTTATGGTGTTCGTTTTGTCTTGTTGACGGGATATCTGTCAGGTACAACTTGATTTTTGCGGTTACTGAATTTTTTTTTTTAATTTTTTTTTTTTTTTGGCGTTTTTTAATACCTAGGGCGGCCGGCGTTGAAAATCGGAGATATTCCCGCCCCCCCCCCCAAAAGCACGATTCCCCCAAGCGTGCGATTGTTTGATTTAATTTATCTACCTTAGTGTATATGCTGTACAGAGAGATTGTACAGATGGCTTAAAAGCCCGTGTATTTAGAATCAGAATAGCATGTATGTTCATGATATTATTCAGTGTCTGAAGGGCCAATTCCACTGGAGATATCTCCAACGTACACTATTTTCTTCTTCGTTTTGGTTAAAATAAAGACACTATGCGAAACAAGCAATTCATTGGTAACAATATTAACAAAGCAACGCACCGTACTCTGTTGTTTTTAAGTAGATGTAGATTTTAGAGCGTTGGCGGTGGCACCATCAAGCCATGAGTTTCTAGCACCGCCCCAATTATAGCAGGTGGCTAAGCATCAGTTGGTCCCACAGTGTCAGCATTGGGAACCAAATTATCGGGATTTAGTATGCATACCTTGGCATGTAGTACTTGTTGTCTTTTATTGTTTATGATTTTCAATGGCTTTGTCAACGTATAGACTGGTCTCGGTCCGAAACACGTGATATGCTCATCTCAGCACTATCATCAAGCTCTAGCTAGAGTGTGGCTTTCGCTTTGTGGCTGGACTCACTGCGATTCGAGCAAGCAGGAGTACGCAATCAGACCATCCTGCCTGCAGCTTGCACGAAGCTCCTTTTGACCACCGCATCAGGCTGAGACTATAACTCGGCAGGAGAGCGTACTTCGACAGTGCATATCAAGCGATTGATCTCGGTGAATTGCATTGAATAGTTTCTTTGCGGTCCATCTGCGCCGGTTACGTATCTTGTCTCACTGTTTGTTTGTATTCATCGCCTTGCTGTGTTTGGATTGAACTTGGGTTGTGGGTGAAGATGCGGCTGCAATTGGGCTCAGCCTTGGTGGCGGGATTAGCCGTTGCCGCGGATGCTTCCGTGTCGAAAGAAGACGTGAAGCCGGCTGAAGTCAAAAATGTTGCTATTATCGGTGAGTTGCGGTCTGGTGAACGTTGATTTCTCGGGGATATGGGTGGGGATGAATATGAGACAGCAGACATGGCAGCTATAAACTAACCACACAATGTCTCAGGAGCTGGAGCTGCCGGGGCCTCAGCTGCGTACCATCTCCGACAATATGCAGAGGAAGCAAACGTCAAGGTCAACATCACAATCTTTGAAAAGACAGACCGCATTGGCGGCCGCACGCTGACCGTCGACGCGTATGGCGACCCGTCGCAGCCCATTGAGCTGGGCGCATCCATCTTCGTCGGCGTCAACCACATCCTCTACAACGGCACCAAGAACTTCAACCTGACCATTGGCTCCAACTACCGCGTTGCCAACAGTCAGGATGACATCACGGCCATCTGGGACGGCGAGAGCTTCGTCTACGAGACGACGGAGGGCACCTCCTGGTGGTGGGACGCGGGCAAGCTGTGGTGGCGGTACGGCATGAGTCCCTACCGGGCTGTCAATCTGGTCAAGGAGGTTGTGGGCAAGTTCTTGAAGCTGTACGAGCAGCCGTATTTCCCGTTTCGGTCGCTGACGGCGAGGACGTATGAGCTGGGGCTGGTGGAGATCACGGGGATCACGGGGGAGCAGTTTCTTGCGCAGAACAAGGTGAGAAAGAGAGAGATTCACGGCGGATGATTAACTTGATGATGGTGGCCGACTGACTCTGCTTTCAGATTGATGAAAAGTTTTCGAGACACATTATTCAGGCTGCTACGAGGGTCAACTATGCGTCGAATCTGGCGTACCTCCATGGATTGGAGACCATGGTAAGCCTTTATCTGGGTGTTTGTTCCCATATACTCAACCTTCTTGAGATTCTGATATTGAATGTATAGGTCTCGTTTGCTACGGATGGCGCCATGTCCGTCAATGGGGGCAATTGGCGTATTTTCGAGCAAATGGTCAAAAACAGTGGCGCTACGCTGTATCATAACATCACTGTCTCTGCTATTGCCTTTGCAAAGGAGAAGACTTTATCTTCAGCACCCAAGTATGAGATTTCAACTGCTTCGACCGTTTCATCATCTACTGAGTCAGAAGTGGTTGGCACGGTATTCGATGATGTAATTATCGCCTCTCCTTGGCAATTCAGCAACATCGAAGCCGGGGAGGGAGTCATCCAACATCACATTGAAGAGATTCCTTATACAAAGCTCCACGTTACGCTCTTCGCTTCTCCCCACAAACTAGATCCCGAGTTCTTCAAGCTGCCTCCAGGAAGCACAGCCCCCAGCAACGTATATACGACTCTCGCTGAGGGCGAGGAGCCGAAGGAGGGGGCCGAAGGGGTTGGCAAGACGGGCTTCTACTCTGTCAGCACGCTCAGGACGACGCTCAACCCAAAGACGAACAAGACGGAGTTTGTGTACAAGATCTTTTCGCCAAAGCCCGTGACCCCACAGTTCCTGTCCGAGCTTTTTGGCGTCAAAGTGCCAGAGGCTTTTACATCTGGGGAAAATGGGGGCGAGAACGGCGGTGTGGATCCGATTTCGTGGTACTACCCTCATTGGTTTTACTCGTACCCGATTGAGCTTCCGCGCGTGACGTTCCAGGACCCTATTCTGGGAAGTGGATTGTACTACACCTCTGGCATTGAAAGCTTCATCTCGACGATGGAGACGAGTGCTTTGATGGGCATGAATGTGGCAAGGCTAATTGTGGATGACGCGGCCGGCATTTCTCGGGAGGAGGTTCCTGCTGCTGTGAGTGAGGAGGATCTGGGGCTGAAGAAGGTCAAGGTGGAGTTGGTTGTTGAAGAGCCCGGCGAGCTGTAAACTCGGATGAAGCCGAAGGCGGGAGAAAGGAAGAGATGGAGAAGACGATGGTGCTGCGGATGATGGCCCCGGCTGTGGGATAGGATGGTGGCGGTGATTTGGCGAGTAGCAACAGTGAGTTGACGATTTACATGACACAGGATTTTCTGGAGGGAGGGGTTTTTTTTTTTTTTTTTTTTTAGGCAAGCGACACTTTCTTTGATACTCTGATATTTTGATATATGAAACTTGGGAAGGGCCCAGAAATAGTGAATCAACTGTACGTTTCTTTATCCAAAAGTCATGGCATTTCCCACCATCTATTCTTGCCTCCTAAAGTGAAGAAGCAGTGCTAGCAGTACGGGGTAGTAGTAGCACAGTCCTGTCATCATATGATGCCTCAACAATTTTGTAGACCGCTGTGTTGCATCCCGAGCTACAGTAGCATCACAAACTCTGCGTGCTCATGCAGAGAAGATGTCGGAGCTTAAGCTATTTAGCTTAACATCCTTGCATATGCATCTCGTGACCAACAGAGAAGGAGGGACAAAAGGCGGAGAACCTGCATTGGCTGCCTTCAAGGTTGCTTATCTCGTTTGCGGAATGCCACGCATGTCATCTATAAAGCCCATACATACCTGCTGTGTCATTCCGTGTCAATTGGGATTGGAGAGAGGGGTCAATTGAGTTTCGCTTCATAGTTCCTATTTATGCTCGTGTGGCTTTTGGGATGGTGTTCCAGGCTTATTCAAGAAGAGAGCACCAAAGAGTTGCTCCCAGGTCTCTTTGGTTGATAAACCTTTTTTTTTGAAACAATGATGGTGTGAGACAAAACTCAACAATCCTCGTATATGCCTTTGTATCCTTCGGGTCTAGCTGCATCCCAAGCAGGCACCTCTTAAACTTACCGAGTCTTGTCCGTGTTTTTTTAACTGATTGATGGGGCAAAGGATATGGGCTTACTGGTTCCGTTCCCGGGCTTATGCGTGGCACTCGGAGCTTACTTGGTAAGTCTTGCCTCAACGTGGGGCCGTTGCAGCGACAAGACTGGCCGCCGCTAAAAACAAAGGTCCATTGCCATCTCCATCTTATCTTTTTTTTTTGGTCCCCTTCTCTCCACTTGTAAAGCCGAGTAACATACATAGCAGTGGTCTGTATATGAGGTCATATGAGGGGAAGCAGTAAGAGAGACGCCTTTGTTATCTCGCCGGGCTTCCCTCAATCGGACAAGACAATGGTGGTGTTGCATCGTTATCGTAATCGTTCTCAACAATGTCCCAAAGCAGCAGGACATCCCGGAATGCCGCGTCCGATAATCGCGGCCGGCCTGTGTCGGCATCTGCCGGGTGAAGCCACTAGTTCCAGGTGCCGGCTCCGACGGCGCTGGCATCAGCGTCTAGACCCAATCCCATTTGCTAATTGCAAACCACAATGGAACTTTTTTTTTGGAGATGGCACGGCTAGGGGGTGGAAAGGTTTCGTAATGGAATATAAAAAATTTGTTCCTGGCGAGCAGCAGAGACAGGTCGGGGCAACTCTGAGGGGGGCTCGTTGAGCATTAGCCGGTGCTGTGTAAGCGAGGGAGCTCCGTGGATGCCTTGCGTTGGTATGGCTTGCTGATTATTACATATTGCACAGTAGCGTTCGTTGCCATCTTTATCTGGTGCTAGACGACGACGACGGACCCCTTACTCGTTGGCCTGACCTGTCTTTCCGCCTCCAGCTGCCAATTGCCCTAGATATAGAGAAGGAAGCCATTGCAAGAGTGCCGCTACTCACTCATCCATCCACTCACCACTTGGACACTCTCCTCCAGCCTGTTCCCATCGTCAGCCATCGTGGTATCAACCCCGTCAAGCCATCCACCCAGCATGCCTGCCTCCGGCCCCTCAGCCATCAAGACCAAGTACAGCTTCACCGACGACTACAGCGAGGGCGCCCATCCCGACGTCCTCAACGCCCTGCTGCTCAGCAACAACACGCAGGAGGTCGGCTATGGCCACGACACGTACAGCGAGACAGCCCGCGAGCTGATCCGCCGCCACCTCGGCCGCGACGACGTGGGCATCTTCTTCGTGCCCAGCGGCACCTCGGCCAACGCAATCTCCATCGCGGCCTGCCTGCGGCCCCATGAGGCCGTCATTGCCTGCAGCTCCGGCCACATCGTCACGCGCGAGACGGGCGCCGTCGAGGCCAGCGGCCACAAGATCATCAACGTGGCGCCCCGGGACGGCAAGCTGACGCCCGAGTCGCTGACCAAGGCCCTCGACGACAACTGGCACTTCCCGCACATGGCGCGCCCGCGCCTCGTCTACATCTCCAACGCCACCGAGGTCGGCACCGTCTACACAAAGGCCGAGCTGACGGCCCTGAAACGCCTCTGTGAGGCAAACGGCCTGCTGCTCTTCGCCGACGGCGCCCGCATCGGCGCCGCCCTCACCTCCAGCATGAACGACATGGCGCTGCACGACATGCTCGACCTCACCGACATCTTCTGGATCGGCGGCACCAAGAACGGCGCGCTGCTCGGCGAGGCCGTCGTCGTCAAGGACCCCAAGCTGGCCGAGGACTTTGAGTTCTTCGTCAAGCAGCACGGCTCGCTGCTCGCAAAGGGCCGCATCATGGGCGTCCAGTTTGCCGAGCTGTTCCGCGACGACGACAGCCTGTACTTCAACCTCGCCCGCCGCGCCAACCTGGCCGCCGAGAAGCTCTCGCGGTCCATTGTCGGCGCCGGCTACCAGCTCAGCGCAAAGACCGAGACCAACCAGGTGTTTGCGCTGCTGCCCCAGGGCCTCGTCAAGGCGCTGCAGCAGGAGTTTTCGTTTTACGAGTGGGAAAAGTATGGCGAGTTCTCTGTCGTGAGACTGTTGACGACTTGGGCTACTGATCCTGCTCAGCTGGAGAGGTTCAACCAGATTGTGCTTGGCTGGACTCCAGAGACGCAGAAGACACTCTAGAGGGCTCCCCCCTTTTGACTCCTCTTTTCTTTTCTTTTTTTTTCCACGTTTGTTAAGAACAACTAGCGCAATCTTTCCCTTTTTTTTTTTTTTTTTTCCCTTTTTCTTATTATTAATGGGAATGACTGGTTGGTGTCGCATTGTTTGGCATGTGGATTTGTGATTTGAGCGGCAACTGTTGAGGTATTAGGTCTATTATGGCGTTTTTTTGAGGAAACTCTTGGAATTGGGCTCTAAAACATGAAGATATAGAAAACCTTAAGATCAAGCATTAATAGACTACATTCCGTCTAGCTATTTTTCTCTTCGTTTGCCTTTTAGAACTGTGTTTGTGCCCGAGTTTCAAATTCTAAGCGTGGGCATGCCAAGTTGATTGTCATGGTACTTGATTCGCTCGTCATTGTCAACTTCATCAATGGACGGACTGTCAGCCAGAATCAAGACTGTACAATGTCAAAGTCTACGGCTTTATAACTATAAAGTCCGCAGGGACGCCCGCACTGGGCTTCGACAAAAAAAAATTTTATGTATAGGCTAGGCTGTCTAGCAAAGAATGGATCGGGGGCTTGAACTCCAGCCTCAGGGCCGATGCACTGAAGCCATTGGAAACTCAATGCTTTTATCTTCGCATAAACTCATATAACGATGCCTGCAGGGAAGAATTTCTGTAACTGTCCCGTACTTACGGAGCATGAATGACATTTGCTAGATAGGAGCCTGCTGTCAAAAATTAGGGCCTTATGACAATAGCGCATGCTACGCTTGCTCTTTTTCATTTTTTTTTTTTTGTTCGAGGAAAAATTTCATTTGTTCATGCTCAAGATCTAATGCATCAATGTCTGAATGAAGTTGTTTAGCTATTTCCCTTGGCAGAGTTAACTTGGTCAAAATGAAGCTACTTATGATGTAATACACTGCTTGGTAAAAACGGCATTATCCCGCTTGTAGTGCTATCCTCTGCGTCCGGATTAAAGTATCCGAGGTAGATAAATCTTCCAAGTGCTCTCTCTTCAGCTGAAGCATATGAATGATGGATCTTGAAATCATAAGCTAGCTTGGTAAGGATTGCCATAACCAGATAGTATCTTTGCTTTTCATCTTCAGATTCGAGGAGATTTGTTCATTTGTATCCCCCGCCTTATTTGACACACTTGTGCTTAACATATACCTGTTCAAGTCTTGTCTAAATTCTAAATTCTATATAAAACAAATAGCAGAAATATGAAATAGCAGAAGCAATATTCTTACCTCACGTAGTTACCTACCCAACTTTTTCAAACAAGGTGGACAGCAAAGATAACACCACATACATAGCAGAAAGCCGCACCAACGCCCTATTTCTCGCATAAAAAATTCCGTTTTATGGGCCTCTCCGCAATGGAACCACCCTTCCCTTGTCCATTCTACCCAACTATCGTGATGAAATTTATTTTGGGACGAAACGTGGAGAGAAGGGTCTACTTTTGTGGTACAGCACGTGCCGTCCCCATCTTCCCCCCCTCAATGCCGATCGCACTAATCACGACATTCTTATATTGGCAACATATAAATCTTAGTCAAAAATATATTCAAATTAAATGATAATGTTTGTTTTTTGAGTGATATAGAGCTGCCATCGCTTTGTACACTTACTCGTGGATTCTACGAAAGCATTGCTAGAATCAAATAATTTTATGCAGTGCCTTTCTCTTATACCTGCTCAATCTAAAAATTCTGAGATCTCGCACAAGAAAATGTCTCAATAATTGTGGATTTGTATTGTTGAATTGTGCAACAAACATCTGAATCAGCTAAAAGAGTAACCAAACAAGATGGGGTCCTTCGATCGATCTCAAGTCAGTTTCCTGTCCCTGCACAGACACCCCACTCTTCCCCTGACTGTGGCACGCTACATGCATGAAAACGTCATACATGCAGTGAGAAACGACATGTGAAAAAGAAAAAGAAAAAGAAAAAAGAAAAAGTCTACTGCATTATGTCAGTTTCATGTTGCAATACTCTGGATTATTCATTTCATCACGTTTAATACAATTGTAGAAATCACCGGTCAAGGACATGATCGCCGTACTTCGGAATAATAAACAATCTGTATTTGTCTTGGTCAGACAGCGCTAAATAGGAGTCACTATAAAAAGTAAAAAACAACTGGCGAATTTCCCTTCTGAGCAGCCGTGCCGCTAGAGCCTATTCCTCTATAAAAGTCTATCCATCTATTCATGCTTCTTAGTCATGACGATGCGTGTCTCGCAGTTCGTCAAAATAGCACTTTTGGAGACGAGGTATTGTGTCGTAGATTCAATTCCAGATCCAGTCTAGAAAAGAGGATGCAAAAAGGGGGAGGGATAACCCCCAAGCGTAAAAGGGGAGGATTTCATATCTCATGTAGCAAAGTCATTAATTCATTCAGTCGCTGGACTTGTGCATGGAGCCAGTGACGTAGTTCTCAGTGCCAAGTGCATTGATAGTCTCAATGTCTTCCTCAGACAAGTCAAAGTCAAAGCTCTGGAGGTTGCTCTCGATTCGAGATGGGGTCAAGCTCTTGGGCAAGACAACATTTCCTCGAGCAGCATTCCAGTTGAGGAGAATCTGAGCGGGAGTTTTGCCATACTTCTTGGCAATGGCGTTGATAGTAGGATCTTCGAGCTTGTTGCCCCGAGCAAGTGGGGAGTAAGCTTCGATCTTGATACCATACTTATCGCAGAGATCAACCAGAGCCTCGCGCTGGCAGAAAGGATGAACTTCCACCTGGTTGACGGCAGGTACCACACGTGCGTTCTCGATGAGGTTCTCAATATGAGCAGCGCCGAAGTTGGAGACACCAATGGACTTGACCTTGCCAAGTCGCTGAGCTGTCTCCAGAGCACGCCAGCTTTCCAGACGCTTCTGCTCATCTTCAGCGGGAGAGTGGATCAGATACAGGTCCAAGTAGTCAAGGCCCATCTTATCGAGGGAAGCGCAAAGTGCGTTGAATGTGGCTTCATAGCCGTGATCAGAGTCCCATAGCTTAGAGCAGATAAAGATTTCTTCACGGGGTGTGCCAGTCTTCTCCATCCAACGACGGATTGCACGACCGCAAGCTTCCTCGTTGGCATATCGAGCAGCAGAGTCAATATGGCGGTATCCAGCATCGAGGGCAGCCGTGATAGCATCCTCAGTCTCCTGACCGTTGGGGGCTTTGTATACACCAAGAGCAACTTGGGGGATGGCATTACCATCGTTGAGAATAATAGAAGCAACCGAAGAAATAGAGCTGCTGTGGGATCGAGTTTTGTAAAGAGTCTTCTTGAGGCTGGAGCGGCGCTCAGGAGAGGTCTCGGGTGTGATTGCAATAGGGGCCATTGTGGTTGAGGGCTTGAGAAGCTGTAAGGAAATACTGTTGTGTGTCTTATGGGTATAGGAAGTCAAGCAGATGAAGTGAGCGCCGCTTCCTGAAGCGGTAGATTGTGGATAAATGATCTTGAGATATCGTGTAAGTCTGTGGAGTGGTGGATGTTGATAATGGAGAACAACAATGGGTTTGCGGGGGGTTGACGGCTGCTTAAATATTTGGAAATCCAAGTCCTGGGGGCTCCCAATCTGCCACTTCTTCGCTCGTTTCTGTACGGAGAAAGTTCATCCCTTCAGCCTGCCATGGATATGAGATGCCGTCTCATTCGGCATAGTACATTGCGCTCTGTGTGATTCCATCGGCGCCTTGGCACTCACAGAGGTACATGCAACGTATCTTCCTCTTCATAACACCGCCTCTGTCAACTCAGCACAGCGGTGGAGTCGAACGGGCCCCTGAAGCAATACCTACCATCCATGAATCGGCCCATACAAAATGAGACTGAGCGGCGCCAAGATTGTCTGGAGATATGGAGTATGAGTGGACATCTGGTGGAGAGGGCATGATAACACAAATGCGGCATTTTGTCAGAATCTCCAGTGTTTTCTTCTCGCGTCTCCAGCAGCTGTGAGACACAAAATTATGAGAGTCTCCAAAGCCTTGCGAGATGCATGAGCCCAAGGCGTTATGACGACGGCAGTGGAGGCAGCGACAGCTGGGCTATGGGTCTTGCCAGGCCAAAGTGACGGACCAGCTCATCTGTGAGAGCTTTAGCGAGAGAGTCACGGTTTCGTTTCCATCGCTCTCGCGGAAGAGATGAATCCATGAAGCTTGCGGAGTTTCTCGTTCCACTTCGCGGAGAGAGCGACCTGGACAGCAAATCAGCGTCTTGTTTGTGCTGCCCACGGGGAAGATTCCACTGGCAAGCTGCGCGGAGCACCAGCAGAAGCAGCGCGCGGAATAGCTTCAGCCTTTTCTTATTCTCGCCCACATCGAGTGGAGCACCGCCTGTGATTTTAATGGAGCAGCATCAGTTCATTCAGCGCCTCTGTCCGAGGTGAGGCGAGTTCAAGAGTTGCTTTTGTTTAATCTTCAGGGGAAGATGGCCGAGCCTTTGATCCGCACAACTAATCTGGCAAGATCTCGACGGTGAGAGGCGATACTAAATGAAAATTTTTCTCCTATTTTACTGTATTAGCCCTACACGCATTGTTGTCTCTTTCCATGGGAAAGAAGGTGCAGTGGTGGTGGTGGCTGATAGCTGACACGTCAAAATACATCTGCGAACCGTACAGTATACGACGGCAGCAGCCACATACATACATACATACAAGGTGCAGATTCACCGCTGGGACAGAAGGATCGGCAGTACCAGCTTCAACCTGCAGCATGTACCGTCGCTGAGTCCCATGTGTCCCACCACCGACGTAATTTGTCCCACTATCGAGGCATTGTGTACTGCAAAGATCGGCAGCTGGAAGCTCCTGCCCAGCATCCCGCCAAGCCAGCAGCGCTTTCCCACGAGGGAACAGCTACAGATGGATGCGATTCCTCTAACCGAGTATGGCTACTGCCAGAGCACAAAGCGCCTCGCCTGTGGCTGCCGTTCCGCGTCGGCTCAGCCAAGCCGGAGCCCGGCCGCCCAGCGTTCCAGGGCCCCGGCCGGCGTCAAGTGCCTAATATTGACAGTCTACAGTGTACGCCGCATAGAATCTGCCAGCCCCATCTTCAATGGACCTTTCTCCCTCCCTTTTTGTTATCGTTCTCTACATTCGGACACAGCACAATGATTTCTCAGTATTGTACCGTCGACGTTTCCTGCATAAGGATCCTCACCACCACCATGGCGGCGTCGAAGATCGAACTCTTCTGACGTCATATTCCCGCCAAATGTCACCGGCTCTAGCTGCGTAAGACCCCTGAAATGGGGCTGACCTCTGAGCTTGTCCAATTCGGATTGGTGATAACATTCGATTTTGAACTCCATTCTCCTATGTACTGATATGGAGACTGAAGCATTGATATGGATACTGACCTAGGAGTTTGTGGAGTACTTACAGGCATGTATCAAGTAAGTGATACGAGTAGTACCTGTCCAGGAGGCCTACAAAGTCCGTGCTCGTACAACAGAAAAGGTACAAGCACATGCAATTTCTTCACCCTCACCATATCTGTATCTTGCAGTTGGTCCGTCCCTTGGTATACCAGGTACTTCGACGCACCTTGTCTCTTTTCAATAGCGGCTGCGTCATGCTGCAGGACCCTTACTCCTTAATACTGATACCACCTAACCAATCGAATAATGGCTATTGCCACGGCATAAGTACTATACATAGCTTTCACTTAGAATTGTTGAGTATGAGATACACAATACTTGTAGAAATAACGGGTATAGTCTGGAGGTCTGACTCGCGGGTACAAAGGTCGGAGACATTGGGTGGGTCAATATACGTTGTTTATATATACTACTAATGGTAATGCTCTGCTTTCATTGCCCACTATTATACTCGCTTGCAAAACGCTACAAGAAACTGCTTCTTTAGTGGGCACTGCCATTTCCACCCCCAGATTCATATCCCCAGATCAGCAATGAAGCCAATGAGACTAATTATTTATTCTATTCAAGCCATCAAGCAGACTCTGGTGAGGAACCAAGATGAAGCAATCGTTAGTAATCTGCGGAATATATAATCGGAAGCAGTTCAAAAACACGCCATGGATCGGCAGTAAATCTCTCAGGGACTTTTACGATGAAAATTTTCCTCCCTCCCTTGTTCGATCCAAGCCATAATTAGGTTGGCCTACAAAGTATCCCGTAATGCTTGAGCATAGCCCATTATGCCGCCGTCAGGTTGATCTTGTGCATGAATCGGGAATATGATCGGCAACAACAACTGGACCTGTGTCCTTGCTCACTTTTTTGGACGCCTTGGCAACCACTTGTTTGATCCCTGATATCATCTTGATTGGATAAAATGCATAGCTCTGCAAGCCCTAGCACTTGCTTCTGCGCAGGGGGGGGGCAAAGAGCCGCGCGCAAAAGGCTCCCTATGCGGATAGATACAGCGGAACTTTCTGCATCGGTGTAACTACCCACATACATAACAGCGCTAATCTTTTACCAAAAGCTGACCGGATACAGTCGGCAACCTTGTTGTATCATATCGGTACGGAGTACACTATTCGTGTAATTTGCTGTCTTGGTGAATCTAACAGGCCACAGTTCTAATCTGGTATAGAGAACGAGGATGAACTCGGTATTTGCAACCCGAGATGCATATGATACCAGACTTTTTTTTTCTTGCTAAGAAGCCTATCATATTCCTTTTATGGCAGCATAATCTTAAAACGCCATGTGTCACACCTAGTTCGATCTGATTTACAGCCAACCTCACTAGTTTCATGTTTGAAGGAAAGCTCTTCGAGCTCTAATGATGGAGCCTTGTTTCTTATTACTGTATTATATGTATACTTGAAAGGTTACAATGCGTAGAAATGTGCACTACAGTACTTAATACTGTACTGCACTGTTGGCTTCCTATTTCGCGAATACGGAAGGGGACGGCAACCTGATGCCCTTGCAGTACAAACATCTCATTCCGAAAATATGCTGCTACCTATTCCCCCGTAGTGAGCGAGAATATCAGCCAAGTAAGTGGCTATTTCAGGAACTGGCATAATTGCTGTCTCCACAGGTGCGTCAGAGCGGATTTCATAAATATTTCTCATCGGGCGATTCTCTTGAATCGGCGATGATTGAAACGCCGAAATCACACCGCTTGCTTCAGCTCCACCACTACGATATCTGTGGGTTCTCTAGGCAGCTGAGACAAATATCCAGCGGTTGAAAGACTCCCCGTTTGAGGAGAAATGATAACACCGGCGACTAAAATGCGGATTTCCTTGCTGAATCCGCTTTTCTTTTTCTCCTTCTCTCACGTACTGCAAAGGAAACTTGAGCTGGTTGTAATCGCTGACAATACCGGCCAATAAATTTACTTTCTTGATTGAGATTTATACATTTGTTGGAAAAGATTTGTCTGAGTTCACTTCATATCAAAGCTTTGTATTTCCTTTAATCCGGTTACAGCCATTTCCTCTTGTTAAATGTCTATATCTGAATGAACCCCCCCTGGTTGTGGCACCGCGGCAACCAAGCTTAAGCGCGCCCACCCCTAACAGCCTTACGATCTGATCTTGCAGCGCTATAAATCTCACGATAGTTGTCATGTGGCATGTTGCAGGGCCAATTCGGGCATGGATTCTCTATCGACTGGGGACCCAGATTGCTCTACCCCACACGAATCGGACCTCACAAAAGACTGCACCAAACCAACAAATTCATGGCCATCTTGAAAGATTTATTAATCAAAGAGAGCAGACTCAAGAAATTAACAGAAGCAGCTACATTTAGGTAGTCTTTCCACCCTTAGTTGCGACCGCAACCACAGGAATTTGGGACGATTAACCGCCTAGGCTCCACCGTCTTTTACAAGGATCGGTCGCTACCTCTTCCTGCGACGATTCAGAACACCGCCCTACTTCAATTAATTTGGTGACGATGTGCTCAATGGCGACGCCTCTCTATGGTGAAGTGGGGGGGGGGGGCAGCATCCGCAACGAAACTGCGAGCAGGAGAAGGCGTCCAAGACACAAACGCAAAGGGGGTGTCATTCTCTTGCAGCGAAATTACATGAAAATATTAGTTTAATACAGATATTGCATCATTATCAGCATCATCAACAGCACTAACAACAAGTAGTAGCAGCTTCACCGATCCCGGCATGCGCTCTCACATCTCATACTACATACAAACAACCCCATCATGCTCCTCTACTTCCCATCATTAAACCGCCACAAAAAAGGAATACTGACTCGAGCTGCAAATAGCATGCGTCGTATCAATTAAGATTGAATAGGTATTGTTTGCTTAAACTAAAATCTCTTCTCCTGTTGACGCTTAGCATATGTGTTTTGGCAGCCTCGATGATCAAGGCTAGAAGTAGTAGAGCTATTGAAGATATTCTCTTTCTAAAATTACCATTACAAACTCCAACTGTCCCGTTACCCTAGGAATCGGTGTGGTCATGAAAGTAGCATTCTATAGCTAGGTGTGTGTGTGTGTGAACAATGGTGCAAACAGCTCCCTCTTATAACCCCTAGATACACTGTTGTTATCTTGCTACACTTGGATGGATATTGATAATAAAATTCATGAAGCAGGCATACATAATAACCTAGATTGGTGGGTTCTTCCATGTCACCACCATTCAGTGCTTCGAGTAGTCGGAGGTTATCACTGCTCTTCGTGGCAGTGTCAGGCTGTCTTCTTGAATAGCTCCGACGTGATCCCTAATCCTTTGGAGCCAGCATGATGACATATTCTCGCGTACTGTGCCCAAACAGCAGCATGTCTTTGTCCCTCAACTCGAGATACCTACTGCTAGGGATCTTTTCGTCATTCAAGATAGTTCCATTGGCGCTCTCTAAATCAATCACATACGGCTTTACTTTGCCGATTTTGTCGCCATATTCATTTCGTTTCTCGGTGTAGCGGAACTGAATGACAGCGTGCTGTTTGCTGAGACTCGGATGCTCCGCGAGGAGGTCAACCACAGCCATCTCTCGTCCTATTAGCCAGCAGCTCCTTGCACTCAATCCTATAGTGTCGATGATATCTCCGCCTTTGAATACAAAAAGCTTCCAGTGATCACTCGGCGGTGGTTTTCGTGCTTCTCCCGGCTCGTGATACTTGAGCACGATTGACGTGCCGTCTGCCTGGGCAACCGAGTTGGACAAGGCCGCTAGCCGGCCTGTGTTTCCCATATTAGGCTTCTCCTTGGGCTTCTCAGGGTCGCCGTCTCCCTGTGCTGTGCCCGCAAAAGAATCTGCCTGTGAGGGCAGTGGTCCCGATCTTCTGACAGGAGGGCCATCCTGACGCCGAGCTAATGCGCGGCTGTCGCGCTCAGAGTCGTCATCGCCGGAGCGATTGTGCCGTGGACGCCGACGGCTCTCTCTTTCTTCGGGGGAACGTCTAGATCTTCTTTCACGGTCGCCACTTCGGTCCCGATCTCTATCACGTCTTCTTTCTCGGTCCCTGTCACGGCTACGATGTCTCCGAGAAGAGTCGTCCGGCGTTCGAGATCTTCGTCGGTCGCGCCGCCTTTGTCTTTCTCGGCTATTGTCACGGTCGCGGCGAGGTGCTTGTTTCTGTTAGCTTCCATGTCCCTTGATGTCTGAAGCCATGCTCACAATCATCATGTCTATCGCGATGTCGGTGCGACGAGCTATGGGAGCTACGGTCTTCCTTTGAAGCCATAACTGCTGATGCGAACTTCTTGAGTCGTATGGGAATGCAGTAGAATTGAATGAACGGGAGTAGCCAAGAAGAAGGAAAGTAGTTTGAGAAGTGAAAAAGTTCTGTTTGGGGTTAAAAAATCCAATGTGAATGTCGAGGTTTGAAGAATTGGGAGGTTGTAAGAAGCAGAGCAAGTGCCTGTTGAAAATGGAAGCTGCGTCACGCGTATCGATAGCAGTTGCAAGGATCACAGCGAGCGCCACAACGCTATAGCGCCATGCTATTGCTGCATAGGTACATGTACCTGAGTCAAAGCACGAGATAATGCAGACCATTCTGCATATATCGTGGAAATTATTATTATAGATCTGCCACTGATGAATATATCAATAAGATGGCTGCGAGTACTCTGCATGTCAGACTAATCTGACATAGGCAGATATGAAGATAGGTACGAGATGTTCAGCTTTAGAGTGCATTACTCCTACTACTACATCAGCCATCTACCGGTTTGCCCTCGATATCAATCTCAATAATCTTCCTCACAGCCTCGTCGACGCCTTTCGCAATCACCGTCGGCTTCAATCCAACCGCACCGCTCAGTCCATCGATCCAGCCAAGATCGGGATTTCGATTGACCCAAGCACTCCTCCAGCCCGCAGCCCTCGCGCCCAGAGCGTCGAAAGGATTCGAAGACACCAACCACAATCTATCCACCTGTGACTCCATACCCGCCACTTTGGCGAAGTGCTCATACGTCCGTCGGTCAGGCTTAAACACTCTTATAGGGTCAACACTAACGACGCGGGACGTTGGTAGGACAGAGCTAGATCTAGCTAGTGATGGGGATGTGCGTAGCGACGATGCGATCATAGATTCAGTGCCATTGGAGAAGACATAGGCTTCCACTGCGGGAGTCTTGGCAATGAGGGCGAGACCTGCCTCAACCTCGGGAAATGCGTCTAGGCCATTGTAGGCGTTCATTACTTTATCCTCTTCATCTGGTGACAGCTCCTCGCCGGCTTCTGCGGCAGCATGCCGGAATGACCATCGCGTTAACTCGCCAAACGATTGGTACATGCCTTGGCGGGAACATTAATTTGTACTCTATATTACAGCGGAGCAGGGCAGGGAAACTACTCACCCATGCTATTAATCCGCCAAGAATACTCCAATTGGTAGCGCCGGGCCTGCGTCGCAACGATCTTGGCTTTTTCATCTCCGAACAGTTTAGTCAGCTCTTTCACAATGGAGTCGGTGGACAGGATAGTCCCGTATAGGTCAAATGCAATGGTGGTTGGAGCCATGCTTTCAGCTGTCCAGGGTAAAGAACTAATAAGTGAAGCCGATGAGTCAGGCGGCAACCAGTTAGCTTGCAGGCTGCAAGATGCGACTCGGCAAGGGACTCAACTACCGGAATACAGACGATAAAGCTCGAGGGAATTCTGCAAGATTCTACGACAGGAGTAGCATCACTGTTTTATGGAAGTCACCGTAATGTGTTTAAAACGATATATCCTATCAGGTATGATACCTATATAGACTGCCTATCCTCGGTAATCAAGCATGTTCTGTAGAACTATTATCCGCAACCCCTCAATCTAGAAAGTGTACATTCCCCAATCCGGCCACCAGCCGCCCAATCACATCGTCACTCTACGTTAGCCGAACAAGAGCGCTCAGCATCTCGCATAGCCGATTGCCGGTCGATCCGATCTATCTGAGCAATCGTTTCATTGCATTTAAACGAGACAATGCTTGACGAGGAAAGCCTCAACTACCCACTCTTTCGAGACTGTCTCTCCACCACGATACTCCAGCCCGCAACGCCCGCGCCGGAGCCGAAGCGTAGGAGGCGAGCCAAGGCGGGGCCGACGTCACCGGCGCCGGTCGCGGATCCGGAGCGGGACGCCCAGGAACTCGCCGACTTCATCGACTACCTGGCCGACGGCATCTTTCAGAACCTTCCGCAGGATTTACAGGAACTGGACTACCGCTCATGGAGAGAGTCCGAAGCGCTGCAGACGCAGTATTCCCTGCCCCTGACGGAGGATAGCCTGTCAGAGCTCGTCTTGCCGACTTCCATCTGCGAGACGCTCGTCACGTATAATCTTATTTCCCCAGACCTGTCTCAGATTTCAAATCTCCCATGTACCCCTGAGGCATTCCTGCTCCCCATTCTCACATCATATCTCACTCCCCTCATCGAGCCACCGCCGGCTACGGCATCGACTCGCACAGACGCCTGCGAGATTTGTGAGCGTTCTTGGATCCCCTTATCATATCATCACCTCATTCCTCGCTTTGTGCACGATAAAGCCGTCAAGCGCGGATGGCACCGCAAAGAGGATTTGCAAAACGTGGCGTGGCTGTGTGGCGCATGTCACAGATTCGTACACCGCTTTAAGAATCATGAAGATTTGGCGAGATATTATTACACGGTTGAGCTTTTATTAGAGGAAGAGGAGGTTAGAAAGTTTGCGGAGTGGGTTGGGAAGTTACGCTGGAAGGGTGGTAAGACGAGGAGTAGAAAGCATTAGAAGTACCTAGCCAAGAGCTATAACTTACGAGAGTGCTCTGTGTCGCGTGTATCCTGTAGGCACGAAGGTTGAATGTGAAGATGGGCTCTATTGTGTATGCGAGGGCATCAGTTTTACTTTGATCCGTGAATTTTTGTATAAACTCTTGGTGAAAAATCGTAACAGTATTTCTCATAAGATAGATATGCTGATTGACAAGAGAAAAAGGAGACATGAATCGTAAATAATAGCCGAATTAGAAATCCCCTTGCTGGTTTGACTTTTGTGACATATGATCTCGCTCGTCAGCCAGTTTGATGTAGTCACCGCTCCTCCTGTATTCGGTTACAGTGACGTCTTTCGTCACCAATACGCCTGCACTCGACTTGCGCTTTTTACTCCCGTCACCGGAAAAGGTACTGCCGCCTATCGTTTCCAAGGCGATCTGGCCACTCGCCTTGCCGTTTTCACTATCTCCTTTTACTTGAGGTCCTGATTTATCTCGCTGTCTCTTATTCCAGAATGAGTAGAGCGTCGGGGCATTGACCACAAAAGCAGCCGTCAAGAGTTCGGTGCTCGCCCAAGTTGTACGGTTGACCTGGCTAGTTGAGTTATGGGAATTAATGGGCAGTCGGATGATGGTGATGAGGATGATGAATATCCCGAGCGTGAAGAGTATAATCAGCTGGGCTTTTCGACTCGTCGGCGCTTTAAGCTTGAAAATGACTGGAAGCGGTAGAATAATCAACATGAAGTCGGTTACAATGTTGAGGACACCGAGCGCAATCAGTTGGACCTGAGCCTCTGCACAAGGACCTATGCTAACAGTTAGAGAGGCAAAAAGGGGGGTACTATCGTAAAGGAAAAGCTTTAACCATACCTGGAGCAGGGAGAACCTGCCAGTAGAGGTAAAAGGGCTTGCACTCAGCAAAGGTCAAAACCTGGACGGTTGTATATGTAAGAAAGAATACAGCAAGATACGCCCGAATTAGCCATTTCTCGTAAGGTAGATCCTGAATGAGTCGTTGATAGAGATCTAGAAGTACGAGCTTCTGCAACCAAAGACTGCAATCACGCCCCTTGAGTGTTAGATCCTCATTTCGCTAGATGTACTTTGTGCAAAGGAAACTCCATGGGGCATACTGACTAAGAGTTGTAGAAGACTCGGTTCGTGATGGTCAATTTGCTGCCGATCTCCCGCTGATAGATCTCAGTAGGAGTAAAGTGATGATTTGCGCGCTGGGCAGCCGTCATGTTGTTAGTGCCCCAAATTAACACAACGTGAATCATGCCGAGCCTTATGAGGGCACAGGCGCAAGCTGCCATTGTGAGATAGTCGCCCCTGTTGAAGGACTGTCGCACATATTTCCTCCCCCAAAGTCTGAGGGCCATGATGAGGAGGGCCAGCCAGGAGAAGAGCCAGTGGATAAGAAGCGTGGGATCCATGGCTGCGTCGGTGTCCTTCCAGGCATCCTACTTCATGGACCAGCAGTGGATGTGACGAGCGAGAAGGGGAGGTTATTGAAAAGAACAACCAAGATCAGAATAGATGGAGTCAGAGTGAGATTGAGTTCTCTCACTAGAAGATCATCAACGGGCAGCGGGCCACGGCGGATTAAGACGGTGGAGCAGTTGACGATCAAGATGGACTCATGCAAAATGCTCCGTCTCAAGAGCAGCAGCTGCCTTGCTGGGATCTCATCCGTGGCGTTGGCATCATCAACCGGCCTGTGGTCCGTGTGGTCCGCGCAGTTTACAGGGCTGGCAAGGGTGCCATTCGGAGCTGGAAGCGAGCAACTGAAGAAAGAATTGATTCCACAGGTATGACTGTAAACGTATAGGGGCTGGCCCTTGAGACGCCTTACGAGGAACATGTTGCGGCTGGAGAGGCTCTCTTGCTGGGGCGCAATATATTAGGGAGGGATGGCGTGGGGATGCCATTACTAGTACAGTGCCCAGCATACGGCCGACATCAGCTTACTGACTGAGCGAGACCCGGGCCTAGTACCTGCCACTGCCGTGGCGGAGAACTCTAGCCAGTAGGTAAAACCACTAAGCATAAAAGTCTTTCGACTAGCGGTTTACGCGGGCCGTAGCCGTCCGTATATGGGGTTCTTACAGTGCGACTATTGCGGTGCTAAGCGTTCTGACAGGTGTTATTTGTGATCTCGTCAATGCATATCATCTCGTCGTTGGCTGAATGTTTGTTTCTGTTCGTCGGCATAGGCCAGTTCGCCTAAATGATGGCGTTCGACAACATGTTTCGCATTTCCAATGGGGTGTGCTCCGTCCCAGTGTTTTAGCACCTGCTAAGAATGCATGAACTCGCTGCTAACTGCTACCGGCCCATACTTCGCACTTCGTTTGCCGACGGTGCAGCACGGTCGTATCCAGGTGGGATGGCACATCATGGTCAGGCCAGAAGCCGGTCCTTGCTCCATCAGGCGTTAGCACCTCCGCCACCGCTAGCACTGCGACACCGCGGTGAGAAATGAAGCCAAGCCCATTGGATTGTCGAAGGGGAAATGCGGCTGACAAGGATTGAACCCAGGAGCCTGGTAAAATTTCGAGCAGCAGTGCTGATGCGGGCAGAGCGTTTGGAGGTCGAGGCGTTCGAGCATCGGGGGAAAAAGCAAGGAAAATCTGCAGCCGTCGATTTTGCTGGGATCGTCGCACAATGCGTCGTTATTGACTCCAGAGCAGGGGTTGAAGAGCTAGCAAATACCTACTAGTCAAATAATACCTCTATTAGCAGCATGCTAGAAATGCGCTTGTGAGGATGATATTCCTTCGTACGAAGCAGTGCTTGGACTATACTAATACGATTAAGAGCGTCTAGCAGCTATGAACCCTGCAGCAACTACCTAAGTTATAGTACAGGTATATACTATGTATGCACAAGTGAAGCTGGCGGCGTGGTTATGACCCTTGACCTGTCAACTAGGGGGATTGGCAATCCAGAGCTCAGCTTGCTTTGTAGAGTAGAACTCACGACCACGCACAAGGACCGCTGCAGACACAGACACAGGCAGCCACGTATATGCTGGCTTTAAGGAGAACTCATACTTGAGGCTAAAACGTAAGTAGTATTAGACCACATCGGGTGACATGTACTTAGTATTTCACAGCACAGCGGTGCCTGTCGTCTCCTGGGGCACGCATCAAATTTTACGATCAAGGTACGTAAAATGCAGTGCTGGCAGGGCTACCGTATTGGTGTAGAATCTGAACCGGCATAGTGCAGAATCAAATCCACCAACCATGTTCTCGACATGGCCCTTTTGGGAAAGTCTAGTTTTCCCCTGCCCAGCTCCTGCCCAGCTCCTGCTCAGCTCTGAGACACAACCGAAGGGCCCGCCTGCGTGATGAGCGGAAATCCCCAGGCCAGGAAGGAGACAGCGAGGCGCAGGAAGCAGCCATCTCCATACGAATGCAGCTCTCCTTCCCTCCATCTGAGGCTGCACCAGACACCTCGCTTCCTTCCTTCCTCCTGCACGGCCCAAGCTGCCACACTCGCGCATTCCACGTGGAAATCCCAGACTTCCGTATTCAGCTGCATCAAAAAGCAAGGACGAAGCGCCAAGCGATAGTACATACCGTATCATCGCTCGTGCCACAGTACCTTAGTCTGTCTCCTTTGTCGCTGTGTACTGCGTCTGTAGCTTGGCTCGCCATCCACAGCAACGAGGTCCGGCACTCGCCTTTCTTCTAACTCGCACCGGCGGTTTTGGTTGGTTTCATCCCGATTGGAGCTCTCAGTTTTATCGCCATGCGGCTCATCACCACTGCTACCCTCTTGGCAGCTATTTCGGGCTCTGCTTATGCAGATGCCGGCAGCGTGTCAGCCGCGCCTTCAGAGGTCGCCGCGATTCGCTCCTATTTCTATGCTGGTGGCGGCTATGCAGATGATGGCGCTGGAGGGCACATCTTTCGCGAGCAGATGTATGTCGAGAGGCTGCAGCCAGCCAAAGGGGTGACTCGGCCTAACCCAATCGTCTTTATCCATGGCCAGGCCCAGACTGGAACTGTAAGCTCGTTTACTTTCATATCTCCTTACAGCATCTATATCAGTCTACACGCGTGTTCTGTAATCATCATCTTGAAATCTCCCACTGGTGACTGTATGGGTACTATTATCAGACTCCTGAGTCAGGGCAGAATACGCGGGCCAAGCCGAGACATGCCAGCTGTCGCATCCCATCTGACGATTAACCCCAAAGAGATACTCGCTAATTGATGGTTCGCTTAATCTCGTCTAGAATTTCTTGAACAAGCCTGATGGTGGCCGTGGCTGGGCGTCTCATTTCTTGGACCAAGGTTATGAGATCTACCTCGTGGATCAGACACTTCGAGCACGCTCTCCATGGCAGCCTGCTTATATGGCGGTTGAGCCGTCGACTTATTCGGCCGAGATCATCGAGCAACGCTTCACCGCCCCTCAGAATTACAATCTATGGCCACAGGCTGCCCTTCATACGCAGTGGCCGGGCAATGGCTCTATGGGCGATGCCATCTTCGATACCTTTTATAGCTCCAATGTCCAGTTTATCAGCAACGCCGCGTATCAGCAACTTACTGTTCAAAAAGCTGGTGCGGCGTTACTGGACAAGATTGGAAAGCCCGTGATTCTTGTTGGGCATAGTCAGGGCGGCTTAATGCCCATTGTCATTGCCGATGCTCGTCCCAAGTTCACCAAGGCGCTCATCCTCTTGGAACCTACTGGACCTCCTTTCCAGGAAGCCATCTTCAGCGCCACTCCTGCTCGTGCTTGGGGACTGGCTGACATTCCGCTCACTTATACACCCCCTGTCAACGTTCCCGCTGTGGATCTTGTACAAAAGATATATCCTGCGCCTGACAAGAACCATACCCAATGCATCCTCCAGGCTCCTAGTCCCGCGCCACGAAAGCTCACGAATCTAGCAAGCAAGCCCATCCTTTTGGTTACTTCTGAGGCGTCGTATCATGTGCCCTATGATTACTGCACGGTCAAGTACCTCAAACAAGCGGGCTGCAGTCAAACAACCCACCTTGAATTGCCAAAGGCAGGCATCCACGGGAATGGTCACATGTTCTTCATGGAGAAGAACAGCGACCAGATTCAACAGAAAATCCAGAGTTGGATTGCTCATTTGCATTAAAAGGACAATCACTAAATACACTACAATATCTCGAGTACTGTGATTGATTATAATGTTATAATTGGATAGCCTATGTATTTATATTTCTTGCAGAAATAATATCTGCACATTTGTCATTACCAAGATTAGCCCCGAAGTTTTCAAGGCACTTCTTTCATACCTGAATTCAGTCACCACTCCAAATACTCCCTGCTATCTGCAGTTTCAATGGTAACCCCAATCATATTTGTCGCAATCATACTCCGCACATCGTACTTTCAAGGTTTCATCAACTGCTGATTGCCGATTTCAATGACAGCCGACTCTAGTTACTATCAAGTGATACAGTAGTAATGCTAGTACCGGTAGTAATATTACAAGCTACATGCGGCTGAGACACAGCTTCCCCTGACCAGGCGTCTAATCCTTCTGACCCATCACACCCACGGCTAGTCAGAATCCATGTGTTACACACCACCAGAGTTGTCAGGCTCATAATTCGTAATTCATAGATATTATGAAAATATTCGTGTTTTCTTCGTAAAAATACGAAATATTTTCGTCTTTCGTAATGTGGGAAAAATTTCATATTTATATTCATATTCATATTCGTATGCTTCATATGTTCTTTATATACAACCTTCTTATAGTTAAATTCAACCGATAAAAGCCCACTACCTTCTTCATTTAGAAAAATATAAAGAAATTACGAAAAGTACGAATTACGAAATATGAATTTTTTTCATAATTTAGTGGGGGCTACGAAGAAAAGCAGTAGTATTCATGTTCATATATGAATTCCTAGTGCTAGTAGGTAATATTCGTTATGAATTTGCAGCTCTGTCTACTACTAGGTAGTAGTAGTAAAAAGCCACAAAACAGAGGCGGCTAAGACGGCAACAGGGGAAGAAAGAAAAAGGCGGTGTTATAACGGATTATTTGAAATGGTACAAGCTTGCAATGAACTTTGGTAAATTTCCTTTAGCTTCCCTCCTCTCACTCCTATGTATGGACTCTCTCCCCTTCTTCCACTTCCTTTCAACTCCCTCTCTCTTCTTCTTCTTCTATCCCCACTCATCTCAAAAAATAAATAAATAAATAAAAACCAGTCTCACGCTCAGCTAGCCAACTTCATCAATTATATAACACAGTACTCCGTATTGGGTGCGGTTTTTCAGCGTCCGCTCCCTTCCGCTCTACCTCCCTACCCCTTTGTGCGTATTTGTGTTTGTTTGTTTGTTTGTGTGTGCGTTGTGTATTCGATGACGTGATTTAGAGCTTTCCGTCGCATTTTGATGACACGATGGGCTTGTTACTTTTGGGCTACCCCCTTTATATGGCCTCTTTCCCTTTTCCTTTCCATCTCCTCAGTTCGCCCATATCTTGACTGTCATGTCAACACTACCCGTCGCAATAACACAGCGGATCTCTGATACATCTACTGCTGCGGCCGCCCTCCTGGGCGCGGCCTCACTTTCATTGTGCGCTGTGCCGTTGCCATTGGGGCCATCTTTGGGCTTGGCCGGAGCCCACCTCAGGGAAGATATAAAGTGCTCGTGGGCGCTTGACAGCGTCCTTACGCATTTGCCGTCTTGGCTCAGGTCCCAGCATCGCAGCGATTTGTCGTCTGCCACGGAGAGCAGGTACTTGCCTCCCGGGTGGAACATGACGCCCGAGACCCAGTTGTCGTGGCCGACGAGGGTCTTGATGCAGTTACCTCTGGCGTCCCATAGCTTGATCGTCTTGTCGCGCGATCCGGTCGCCATGAACTCTGCTGTGCTGGTCACAGGCGGAGGCTTCTTGAGGCCCGCCAGAGCAGCCAGGTGCTCATATGCGGCGGGAGGGGCGAAAGCGCAGCAGCCGACGACGTGCTCGTGGCCTATTAAAGTGACCTTTGTTTCCGGGTTCGCGACTGTGAGCTCCCACAATCTTCCGGTGTGATCGCCGCCCGTAGATAGGAGGTAGTTTCCGTCGAGGGACGGGCAGACGTCTCGCACCCAGCCCGCGTGGCCGTTCAGCGTTTTGACGCAGTATCCTGTGTTGGCGTCCCATATCTTGAGTGTCTTGTCGCCGCATCCGCTGACCAGCATGTTTCCGGAGGAGAAGAATCCGGTGCCTCCAGAAGGAATAAATCGCACCGCGCTGACGCTGTGTTCGTGGCCGGAGAGCGTACGGATATTTTTATACCCATCTGCCGGGTCCCATAGTTTAATCGTTGTGTCAGAACTGCATGAAGCTAGAAGGATGCCAGTCTTTGGTCCGCCGTAATCGAGATCCAGTACCGGCCTTGTGTGTCCTTTGATAGTCTGCTCCAGGTCGCCAAGTTCCCAATCCCATACCTTTATCGTGCAGTCCTCAGAGCCCGAGGCCAGGGACGTAAATCTCGGGTGGAAGGCGACGCAGGTGACGGACGCCCGGTGTGATTCGAGGGTATGCCGTGAGGGGGCTTTCGGGAGCCAGGATACCGGGTCCTTATTCTTCTGTGCGAGCGACGACGGGGTCGCGTTGTCAACCTCTGACTGCAGCTCGGCGTTTCGAGTCTCGAGGTCCATAATCTGGGGTCGCAACGCCTGTTAGAGAGCCGTCGGGTAAGCGCAGGGCAGCCAAGGTAAACGGACATGCCTTTTTCTGTAGCCGGACAATACTCGTCCACTTCTTCTCTAGCAGAGTCTCATACTTCTTCGTCGTCGCCGCATCGAACACGTCTTCGCCGAGGCTCAGCTCCTCCCTGAGCACCGAGGCGGTATTCTGGAGGTTGTTGGCCGAGAGATACGCAATGATGGACTTGTGTCTATCGAATAGGAATCCATACGGTTAGCAAAGAAATATACGCTGGAAAAAAATATGACGTCTGGTGGTCTCAAAAAGTCCTCCATTGTCCTCTCTCTCTCTACCCCTCCGCCACCAAAAAAAAACCCTTGTAAACAGTGGCCCATATACCTACAGCTCCTCGGCCTGCCGGACAGGCAGCGTTCGACTCATGGTGACGGTGTTTGGGGGGTTGCGCCTCTGGCCACGCGTCAGCCTTGCGCAGCTCTAGACAATGGGCTAGAAGCCACTCTCGACGCTCGACATGAATTGGTTGGGCGCGTTTTCGAGGATCTACCTAGGCGGTCTGGGCGAAGGTGGGATGGTGGTTTAGCCGTCCTTTGAAAGTGGGAATTTTGCGTGGTTGGCGTATGATAGTGCGGCTCTCGGGCAGCTCTGGCAAAAATGACGAGTAGAAACCCAAGGAGTCCCTCAGGTCAGATAGAATCAAATCCCAGAAACAGCTATCATCAAATCCCAGACGCAATCAGTCGTCGCCAATAAGGAACCGCGGATGCGGTGTCTTTTGAAGTGATTGCTGGCATTCACGTGACTCGAGTTCCAGCCCAATGAGTATGGCGCATCATTGAAGATCTCAAGTGGGTTTTCTCTCTTAGCTACGGCGCTTCAGCTGCTACAGCGCTTACCACGTAAACGAACAAACATTCACCACGTTAGACTTGTTCTTTTCTTGATCATTATGTTCAAAACTTTAGATTGTACATTTCTAACTCAGAATTTGATTTCTTCCGAGGATTATACTATTGCGAAAACCTAGTATATTTTCCCATAGTCTATATATCCTTGCATTCAGCTCATTTCTCTGCTTAAATTCATAGCAGCAAACCCCTCATATGCAATTCTCCTCTTATCCAGTTAACGCCAGACCATGCCACAACATCGTTTTCAATGGGCCAAAATGCTCCTTGGCTCTTGACTTGGGTATCTTCTATCTCTATCGTCTTTCTCAATCCAAGCGGTGTGTTTTGCTTGTTTCTGTCATAAAGCTCGCTGCTCTCTCAGTCCTGTGACCTGAGCCGGCCCCACGATGATCACCTCGCGAGTCCCACTTGTTGATCCGGCTTGTGATTCCTTGGTGATGATATCTCACCCTCTTCTTCCGGCACTGAGACCAAGACATGGTCGCTGGTGGTGAGTTGTGACACACTTGACCCTCTTGATCGGGAATGAACAGTGCCCAGGGAGGCCAATGAATCGTCCAATGTAATCACTATAGGAGGGCTGGACGGGCCTGAACTGGTTTTGTAGCCACCAGAGGTTCTGCGACTGACATACTCGTCGAACTGCGTATCCCTCTCGTGGCTGTAACGTCTTGGTCGCTGTTCAACGGGCTCAAGGATGGTTGGGTTCGTGACGGATCCGACACTGAGGCGTGTTGATCCCAACGATTCTCGTTTGTCCACTGAACCTCGCTCTCCTGGTCGGCTCGAATATGAAACATTCGAGTATGAAGTGTCGATGTCCAACCCATCGTTGAAGAGGTACGACTTGGCATCAACAGGGCTGGAGTATTCGTCGTATTTAGACAGTCGACGGTACGCAAGGATAGCATAAATGGCGAGCGAAACAGCAGTGACCCTATTCATGTTAGCTTTGGAAAGCCATCGCCACTACTGCTCAAGAAGCCGCTTACATCAACAAACCATCCATGCCGAGACCGATGAGAGAATAATGGGAGTCGTCTCGCTGCACATATATGACGACGTCCAAGGCGAGAATGGCAGATGCGCAGGCCAGCTTGACGACGTGGGTGAACAGCATAGTCCATGGGGTCAACGACTCGGAGAAGTATCTGGCGATTTCGAAGATTGTGCAGAGCGCCACGACGGATGACATTGCGATGTTGGTTGCTTCCCAGCTTCGAGTTGTTAATATCGATACTCAATGCTCTCAACCAAGGGACAACGACAGCACTTACACATATTCGATGACCGGAGCTTTGCCAGCCTTGTGCCTCTCATCGAAATGATGGACAGTGTCTCCAAGCCTCCAAGAAAATAGACCCAGCATTCCAAGCGCTAGAGTCAGCTGCAACGACCAAGCTGGGGCTAGAATGAAGAGTCGCCATTTTGCACGATCGAACTGTGCATGTGCTCTTGGGTTGGCCATGGTGTATGACGTGCAGGTTATAGCTTTTCCTCTAATCGGAGGCTTTCCACCTATAGTTGGGAAACAAGAAAGTAGAAGAGGAATCGAGACAGGCTGCTATCTATCTAGACTCTAGGACAGACTGCATGCCCTTTGTCTTAAGTTGGATGAATGGTTAGGTCGAGTATGTATGGCTGCTGGCTAGGGCATGTACCACCGGTTAGGCGCGCTTTGGGTCTCCCCCTCGTCCAAGCCTCATGCAAAGAGGCGGACTGCCACAGGTTTATTTATTTATTTTGCTCTTTATTGATTTGATGGTCTTAAGCCCCGGCCGTCTAACTCTCATTAGACACTCCCCACCGCTTGTTGGAATCCGCTAGACCTGGGTCTAGCCGAGCGGCCCACGAAAGCAAGCAAGCCTCATCCCATCAGATAAAAACGGACAACTGAGCCACCGCCCGTCTCACGAAGCAAGGGAAGGACTCCCAGACGTGTCCAAGGGGAAACTAGTCCTACTTGCTTCTGGTAGCCATGTACAAGTCCTGTGGGCAGCCTATAAAGTGGGCTTGTAAACGCGCGGGGGGTGGTTGGGGCTTATTGCGGCTGAACCAGGAGCTGAGCTTTTGCTGTTCTCTCTATTGGAGACACGAAGGATTCAACTTGCACACCACGGCGAATGAAATAACGCTGCATACTCCGTGTCACTAGTAGTAGCTCAATGGGCCTCTACCCAACAACGCGAACAGACAGCTTAGCTGCATGAAAGCCCGAGCCCATTCCATGTAGAGATCAACAGACAGCGCCCTTTTCTGCTCCCACTTGTCTTCCCTTCAGAGTAGCCTCCCTCACAGCATCTCAGAAGACATCACGCCATAGAGGCCAAGCGTATCATCAGTAAGCTGGTTTCTCTTCATTTCTCACCGGTGGCTCACCATGGAAAGGGAAAAGAGGCGTGAGATTTCTATTTTTGCCCTGCAAGAAAGCGATTGGTGCGAATCCGCACCCTTCGTGGTCGAACTACTAATAGCAGCGTAATGTATTTATGAACCAACAGCTAGAAAACCACCTCCCCTCCCAATCGTTCCGCATTTGGTCCCATCAGTCGAGCAATGTTTTGTCGTGTCGTCTTGGCTCCAATTTCACGCATGTCAGCATTTAAGATGGGCGGCGTGCAGAGTCGCAAGCGGAGCCCAGGCTTGCCAGATCGAACCCGCCACATGGCTCCGGGACGCAAATTGGCAGGCAAACACACGTACAGAATGATGGTAGGGCTATTTTTGGGCACCCAAAGGTGGAAAGGGGTGGAGTCGTGCTCAGCTCACGATTGAGTCTTGATTGGGCCGGCAGCATTGAAAGGAGCTTGAACGTTGCCCGCCGCATTCTCACGTGTGTCTATTAGTATCGTTGCGGAGTAGTGTTACGGAGTACTACTACTACGACCAGACAAGCAAGTCTGGGAAGTACAAATACTCTCACAGCAGCATACAGGTGGCTGCAGTAGTTTACAAAAACGGACGCTTCTGCTGTTTGTGCAACCAACGAGTTCATGCTGCCCATAATGCAACGTCGGGATATTCCTTGGCACACTTACTTGCTGTAGTTTATACAAATCTTAATCAAGTAAAAAGGGCGTTGTATTAAAAGCTGCCAAAAAAAGGCTCTCTTGCTTAAGCTAAAGTGGCGGTGCAGAGCGGTATACACAAACGCCCATAGCATCCATGCCTTTGGTCTCCGCCGAGTTCGCCGTTGGAATCATGAAGCACGTAAACCAACAACGGCTCATTGTATTTTTCTCCTTTGTTTATATACTAAACATAGAATCTACAAGTCGCGGTGTGCAAGGTGAGTTAGTACGTGTAAGCGCGCTTGCGGCGTCTTCAACATCCCCTACTAGTCTAGTGCCAGGAAATAAACTGCCCCATAAGACTTCATATACGTTAAAATCCGGCGCAAGATGATTGTCACTGCTCAGCCACAATCCCATGGCCGCGGTGCTGGCGTCTCGCTGGAATCCACGTCGATTCGATGTTCTTTTCTTATTCCCGTTTGATCGACGGTACTAATCAGGAAATGCTACCTCGGAGACCTCGATGCCTTTGGCAGGAGCAATAATACTAGCACCTGGTAATCAGAGGCGAAAAGGGTGCTAGCGGCAGCGATGCGGCTCAGTTCATGCGGCTTATTATTGTTTCCCCAGAGGTACGAGTACTCAGCCAATTTCTGGGCAAGTCGGTACCCGTATTTACTTGCGACTACGATAGAATCACGAATTGCCATTCCAGAATTTGTTTTAAAAAAAGAACGACGCCTCTCAAAGGAGACGCGCCGCTGTATTGAAATATTGTTCACACCCTGCGAATAACTACTCATTCCCCCCCTAGTGCACATTCATTGGCTCTCCTTGCACATTTCTCTTTCCTTTTCTCTTCATAAATTATGTATCCCATTACTCCAAATCAATTCCGTATCCTTGTTTAAAATCGCTTCTTGATGTAGACTCCTCGCTTCACCTCGCCCAGGTGGACGTCCTTGGCGATGAAGGGCACGACGTTGCCCTCAGCATCTGTCATGGCGGGGGTATCGGCGGGGATATCGGCACCAATGTCCTGACGCTTGGCAAAGCCTGTAGATGGGAGTTAGTCGATGATGCTTGATTTGATGTATTCAGGAATTCGCAGATGGGAAGAGCAAACTTACCTGTGGGGCTGGCGATGGCGACGGCGGCCAGAGTAAGAACGGTCAGGATGGAGAACTGCATTTTGAATGACTGTGGGGTATATAAAATTGTTGTTTTTAAGTTGGCGTGGAAAAAGAGAAAAATGAAAGATGAAAGAAGCGATTGAAAAGTCGACCGGCGACAGAGTCAAGAAGATAGAACCAAGAAAAGTAACACGAAAGGGTGAATGAAGGATGCTTGAAAGGAATGGAGAAGGAAAAGAGACGAAATCAAGGAGAGGGAAAAGCAGCCATATTTGTACTATGGGCTCGCAGCGCGCCCCCAGGACTGCTGTCTGCTACGAGCCGAATATTGTCAAACGCACTATTTCGCTGTCATCGGCAAGCCGGAATCATCTCAAACACGGCAAGGCGAGGCGCCGAAACAAAAAGGCAGCATTACAGGAACCTCCAGCAGGTATCCTTGCACGGCCTGGCTCCATCTAATCTAGCACGCAGCGTTCAAGCATTGGAGAGCACCCTCGAGTCCCCATATTCAGGTTTGCGGACTGGTCCTAAAAGGGCAATGCGCTGGCCATTTGTTTCGATGAGTGCGCGAAAGAGGACCGTCACGGAGAAAGGGGGTTAGGGGACCTGAAACGCAGGCGTGCTTCAGGATTTCCCTTATCCGGGCCTGGCCAGGTTCAGAGAGAAACGATCGGGCGCGTATTCTGGCTATATACACATTGATTGATTTGGAAACGTGGAAATTAGCAGAGAATAGCATTGCTCGTATGTGACTGATGTGCAGCGACGTTGAGACGTGAGATGAGGGTTGTAGTAGGTAGTATAAGCGGTCATGTAAGTGGTTGGGTGTATTAGCGGTAGTGCCAGGTTCTGGCCATGAAGCTCTCATCCACGGCAATTTGACAGAGTGCAGCCTGCACGTGTAAAAGGATGAAAAAGGGAATTTGATGCCAAGATAATATCGCTTGAGATTCTTTTTCCAAGATGTTATTCAGATCTCTGGGAACAACAGCATCATTCAAGTGCCAAGAGGCCATCTAGATTGTACACACGGGCTTCCAAGCTTTTCCAAACGGCGTCCCCACAAAGCCCACGAACCGCTGTAGCGACAAGGTTCAGTTCGGCATGGGTGCTGAAATTACAGCATTGGCGAGCACAGCCATGGCAATAAAAGCCCAGCGCTCACATACTGTACAGCACATGTAAGCACTCCTGGCAGCAGCACCAACGTTTGATGCGCCTCATTCCCACGAGTCCGTTGAAACGCAGGCCGAAACAGAAAACGACGGTACGTACCCGAGCCAACGGAGCAACCTTCTCCCCGCAGCAAGCCTCCAGTACGTACCTGATCCCTTCTAAACCGCCAACCTGTTTTCCTGTTTGGGTACGCCTTCATGCGCCACACACGCTCGCTCTGGGCAATGACGAAATCTACTCGAGCATGACCCGAGTTTAGCCACTGAGGCTTGCAGAAAAAGGAACCATGGCGACGGGATCTGAAAAATTCCCCCTTTTGCTGGGTCCGAAAAGCCAAACTCCATTCCTTCAGCCTCTTTTTTTTTTTTTCTCTTCCCAGCCCCAGCCACTTTGGACCCGAGCATCGCGGGGTATCTTCCGGTGGGGGGAGGGAATTGCGGTGCTGCCCGAGAAAACGCTCTGCGCTGATGAATCACGACTTGTGCTCGGATTTCCTGTTCCTCTTTCTCTTTTGCGTTTCTGCGTGTGCTTCCACCTTATTCCTCGCCTTGCCTCCACCTTTGCCACCATCTCTGGCTCGCCCACTGCCTTTTGACCATCGTGGCTGGATTTTTTGCTGCTTCTCCGTGCTTCTCATCCTCCTCAGATCCATCCTCCGGCGGCCACCCACCTCTTCTGATCCTCGCGGCTTTTGGCAGCTGGCAGAGACTTGTATCTTCTTCGGCTTTGGTTTCTTCGTGACGTTTTTTGCTTGTACTTATTCTCACTCTCCTCCGTTCTTCTTTTCCTTCTCCTTCTCCTTCTCTGTGTCTCCTCGCTCTAGCCGCAGCATGGCCACCGCCGAGCATTGTATCGTATGTTTCGAGGCTCTGGATGCCGAACTCAATAACCGCAAATCCCTCTCCCTTGAACAGATCCAGTCCTCCTGGGCTGCGTACAAAGCCAGCGGCTCTACTTCCGCCGACGCTCCCTTGAATCCGGCCCTCCGCCGTCTCGCTGCCGATGGCGCTTCATCTTCGTCTTCCTCGTCTTCTACGTCGCTCTCTGTAGCAGGAGGAGACTCAACGCCAGCGACGTCCACGTCCTCCCTTCCGGATACTCCACCAACAGCAGCTCCCCTCTTCATTACTTGGAATACCGTCGATCCAGACGACCAGGACGTCTCCCTCCGCGGCTGCATCGGCACCTTTGAGTCTCAGCCTCTGACCGAAGGCATCCACGAATATGCCCTCATATCCGCCCTGCAAGACACTCGCTTCCGCCCAATATCCAAGCGCGAACTGCCCTCGCTCCAGGCCGCCGTGACGCTCCTCACAGACTTTGAAGACGCAGATGACATGCGCGACTGGGAGGTTGGCACTCACGGTATTCGAATTTCATTTTCCGATCGCGGCCGCCGCTACGGCGCAACGTATCTTCCTGACGTGGCACTAGAGCAAGGATGGACCAAGGACGAGGCGCTCTTCAGCTTGGTCCGCAAGGCAGGCTGGATGGGCAGTCGTTCCAAGTGGCAGGATTTGGACATCAAAGTAACACGCTACCAGGGCAAGAAAATCAGCCTCGATTATCCAGAGTACAAGAAGTGGAGGGACTGGGTCGAAAGCAAGCAGTAATACATGGCTCATCGACGACGATGTAGCCCGGCAGGGGCGTTTTATAGACACAGAGAGTCAATGTTTTGGGTTTCCAATTGGTACACGTAATATTTCGGGATTTCTCAAGGGATGGTAATGATACACTACAATGCTTGCGAAGCTTATAGACGCTGTGTTATGCAAGGAAGAGTGGCGGAGACGATTTCTCAGCTCAGATCTTTTGTTGTTCTTTTATTCTCATAAATCTTCACCTGCATTTAATGAAAACATATTAAAATCGAGTTCCTTCTCACAGATTAACATAACCACAAAGATCCAAGTCCACGATTCTTCATCATATTTGCGAGAGGTGAGTGGATTTTATGAATCGGGCGAACCTTTTCATCGTGTGTTGAGATAACAGACAATTTGTGGCAATGTACATGACAAACGCCATATACATGGCGCCTTCAATTTGTTTATCAAAAATGGAAGATGTACAGGCCATGTCCACCATTTCTACACTACCTGCTATGCTCAAGACGCCATTTTTCTTTCCTTCTTTTCCTGTATCATTAGTACTTCGTCCTTGACGCCCTATACGCATCCATGGTATATGTGAAACAAACGACAATAAAAAAAAGTGAACAGTGATCCAAAACGCACGAATTATACAAAACATCAACAGGTATATGTCATTTTGTTCTCTCCTCCCCCATCAGCTCAACCTCCCCCACAGCATTATCATCGTCATCGTCATCATCACCAACAACGCAGCTTCTTCCAAAAGCCACCTTGTCCACGCCCGACCTTGTCGCCATTCAGTATGGGACCCCGAACACCAGGACCGCGCTTCTCATCCTCTTCGCCCCCCGAGCCAGGCAAAGGCGTCAACGGCGCCGTCATGCCCCGCGCGCTCATCTCCGCGCCGCCTCCGCCCTCCTCAGCAAGCTTCCGGGCCTCGACCACGCGCTTCACGATGAGCGCAAACGTCTCCTCGATGTTGACCTCGTTGCGGGCACTCGTCTCCATGAAGCCGCAGCCGCGGCTACGCGACCACTCGAGGCCCGTGGCCGCCGGCACCGTCCTGCTCTCCTGCAAGTCGCACTTGTTGCCCGCCACGATCTTGACGGGCTGGACGGTCCTGGAACCCGCGCCGGAGCCGGTGTAGGCAGGGCTGATGCCGGCGATGCGGGCGCGCTCGGCGTTGTCGAGGCGCACCTCGGACTCCATGCTGATGAGCTCGTCGAAGTGCTGCAGGGCGTCGAGGGAGTCGCGCGAGGTGATGTCGTAGACCATGAGGAAGGCGTCTGCACCGAGGTTGGAGGACGCCCACATGCCACGGTACTCCTCCTGGCCGGCGGTGTCAGTCAGGCACAGGTGGTAGGTGACGCCGTCGATGACGCGCGTGACGCTGTAGTTGTCCTCGATGGTCGGGTCGTAGTCAGAGGTCCATGCTGAGCGGACGAGCCGCAGGGTGATGGACGACTTGCCGCAGCCTCCATCGCCGCAGATGGTGATGGAGATGGGCACGGGGGTTTGGTCCTGCGCCGCCATGGTGGGTGATGATGTATGTGGGCTTTTTGCGCCAACAAAGGAAAAAGAAAGACGAGGGGCCTTTATCTTTGGTTGGACCAGTCTATGCTCCGTATAGACAGGCGATATTGATCCTCGGCTCGAATATAGCAAGCACACTCTCCAGCTATCGAATTGAGCGGGCTGCCTATAAGCAGATGCGTGTTATGCCAGTATGCCGTGCAGCAAACGCGTCAGATGTTGGACTCGAGATGCAGAAAGTTGAAATGATATGCAGCAGCAGAAACGTTGAAAGGCTCCGCTTACTCAACTCGCTCGCTTGCTCTAAATGGGTATAAAAAGCAAAAAGAAGAAATGCATAAATTAAAAAAAAGAAAAGCCCTCAGATATGATCGGCAGGCAGTACCATTTGTAAGACAAGATGGAGTGAAGCGAGAAAAAGACAAGATTAAAAAAAAAATTACTAGTAGCAAAAGATACTTTGCGCCAACACGAGGAAATGGGTGTGTATGGTATTACGCGACCCCCAAGACCGTGTCCATGAAGGCACAAAAGCAGAGTCTCGTTGGCAACAAGCAGTAAAAAAAAGAATTGAAAAGGGCCACACCCACACCCAACCAACCTATCGCGGAATTGGGCAACCTGGAGAGGGCCGGGGGTGGCTGGAGACGTCGCCAATGCACTAGATAAATTGGCCGGCCGGCAGTAGCAGCAGAAAGAGGATATTGAAGAAGCAGAATCGGCCGAGCAAACGGCTAGTAAGCAGGGCAAATTTGGTTTAAAGTGGAGGGCGGATGCGATAGAGGAGAGGAGGTAGGGATCACGAGCGCATTGGGCTTGTGGAGGCGAAATTTCCAGAGTTGGAGGTCGTGGAATTGACCAGTCAGTCAGGGGAGAGGGGATGCAGGCGACGAGATAAATGGGATGAGGGGCCAGGATCAAGGTGATGATGCTAAAAAAAAAAAAAAAAAAAAAAAAATGATATTCTCTAGTGTAGTGATGTGTGGTACAGCCAGCCAGAAGCCAGCTGAAGTCTGGGGTGGGCATCCAGGGGGCTTGATCGTGGCAGGAGAAGCCGAAGCCGTCAATACGGCTGAGCGCGATATCAGCATCAGGAGCATACCGAGGCAGTTCTCCAGATGCGAGAAAGCCAGCCCTCTCTCTCCATCTTGCTCTTCTCTCTCGCAATCTCGACTTCTCCTCTCTTTGTCTCTTCTTCATATCGGAGAGCGGGGCCTGCTGGAGGAGACGAGCAGAGGGATGCAGTGCAGGACGCAATGCGGGACAGGCCAGGGACCATCAACGGCTGGATCCCAGCAGCCCGGATGCAATTTCGCTCGTCGCCGATAGGACGGGCTTCATTAGGCCAAGTCCAGTCCAGGTGGCCTGTTATTAGCGAAGCCCCCGCCGCTTGCTGCGCGCGAACCTTAACTGGGCAGTCTAGTAGGGGGTCTGGAGTGGTGGGATATGAATCCAAGCACGATGATGGAATCCAGGGCGGCGGCATTGCCGTGATGATATGAGAAGTCGAGAAAGGGTGGGCAGACACGGAGCAGATGCTCTGGCTGCAAGGCACTGTACTACTACCTATGCACTTATCAAAGACCGGTAACTGGCTCTGTTGCCGCACATTTGCCTATGTATGTATGTATGTATGTATACTGGGCCTGGATCTATGAATATGGTGGCGTCGCGTTGGATACTCAGCTGCTGGTGGGTGCGGTCTCGGTCGATTGTGATTCCGACCACCATGTAGATGAATGTGATGTGATGAATGCACGGCGGCTGCATTATCATCAAAGGTACCCGCAGCCTGAGTCGACACGGCGTCTGTGCACTTGAGGAAAGCTTGTATGGCCCGGTAACGAATCTGACTTTGCCGCGCTTCTTGGCCAATGGCGCGCTCAGATTCATCAGATACCTTCTTGGCCAAGGGTTTACTTACTTACTGTTACGAAACAACAACAGAGATAATAATGATAACGATGATGACATTGAGCGTAATTTTCAGAATCACACAAGATGTATCTATGGGCTGGACGCGTACGATACGGTTAATGTCTTTAGTCTACCCTGTACACTTCGTATACGTGCTGCGATTATACAAGAGTTGGATCTCCCACAACGCCGGAATGGGAGATGAGACGATGATTAATGCAAGGTTATGCATACAAGTCGTGGACTCAAGGGTGACGCATTTCGTGTGACATTGTCTCTAAGTCTCGATGTTGCTCCTGCTCACCAGTGAGCCATCTGTAGCTGGTATCTGAAATTAAGTTTAAATGTCTTAGCAGCCGCGGGATTTATATGCTGGTCAGCCTAGCACATGCATATACGAACTAAGAAACGCATAAAACTCGCCGAAATTGAGAATTTGGCCAAAATCAAGCTTCACTGATGTACTCGTAAGAAACGTGTATTCATATATACTTAACCACTGTGCTGTAAGCAGACTCTCACTCAAGGCTCTATTTTACAAGTACTACTATAACAGGCTACTATTGGGTCAAAGCCCTTTTACCAGCAGGCTCATCACCGTCATACTACTACATGCATGTACCCCTGCCATGAATCATCAACCCCCGGAAGATCATGGCCACCTGAAGCTGCTGGATATCTCCATGTGGCCGCCCCCTGGTAAAACCCGCTTCTTGGCAGCCTGTCGACGTCGACGAGGTACGCACTGACTCGGCGTTAGTCTCCAGTTCCAGTTTTGGGAAGTTGATCGACAGAGTCGCAGTTGGATCTCTTGAGGTGGAAGAAATGCCTCTGTTTGTATACGAAGTGAGAAAGTTTGCAGGTCACAGGTGCGGATTCTACGAGGCAGCTAAACAGCTTCAAGTGAGTGATGATGGATCGGAAATCATGAATGTTACAGTATATTACAAGCTTAACCCATATTTTGTCTACATGTGGCATAACGCAGCCTTCACCAGTAATGGCGCCAACCTGACTTGGAGAGGAATACTGCAATATCACTGGCTGCCTGCTTTTTGGGGCTGAAAAGGGCTCTAGATAGACAGCCTTGCATCTTTGGGTGGCAGCAGTTCATAACGCCCCGGATTCGGAGAAAATACGTGTACATACTCCGTACCGTACTGGCGGAATCCACTCTAATGACACAAGCCAGCCGCTGTCAAAGACTGCTGCTGGATTGTCGTCGCTCTGACCGACCCACTATTAGCATGGAATCTTCAATGCTTTTACATCGGAGCATCGCACTCATAGCCATCGAACAGAGCTAGGTTGCTAGTGCTATTTAACCGCCAGTGCCATGGATCTCATTTCATCCGCGCAGCCCCGACAGGCCGAAGCGAGAGAGTGTGAGCGAGGAAAACGACAGAAGACCGCTTAATGGCGCAATTTGTCAATCTGTCGCGGAGCCAAACTTTCTATGGCGCGCCTCATACTGCCCGGGGGCGCCGTGTATCTGGCAATCAAGGCGGCAAAGACTCGGTTGACTATTTTTTCCCCTTCTTAGTGCTTAAAAATTCCAGAATTTTGCATCACGCTTGACCGAGGTTCGAGGTTTTTTATGCTGCTCTGTAAACTCCTTGGATTGTGCCAGGCTTGTCTTTCTTGAACTAAATTTTATCATCCCACTTGCTTGTCAGCAAAAACGAAGTGAGCGAAATTAAATAAAAAGACCAAACGTTTTTTCCTGCACTTAGTTTAGTTCTATTTGCGAGACATCTTTTTTCTGAAAATCTAGCTTTTTTTAACCCCCCTCGCTTTGGCTATATAGATCGCCTGCCATGCCTGCAATTAGCAACGGTTACGTTGCTAACGGCAAATCTAGCTCCCAGCTTGACAGAGCCGCGGAAACTGCCGATGTACGTGATGATTCCTTGACCCGTTCGCCTCCCAATTGCCATTGTCATAAACTAAACTGTTTTATAGCTCTTAGAATCTGTTCAGCAGCTCATCATTCCTTTTATTAAAGCTGCCGATGATGCCGCTGCCCACAGAGCCACAGGGAATCTGGGGTTGAATGCCGATGGAGAGCCTCAGAATGTTTTAATCGACTCAAAAAAGCCCTTTGAGCTGGTCGCCAAGTTGAAGTTCCTTCTCCCAGAGGAGGGTCTGGGTAAAGATGGCCTCCTCCATAGTATTGAGAGGCTGCTCAAGTATAGTGTCAATACATGGGACCAAGGTTTCATGGACAAGCTGTACGCAAGCACTACACCAGTAAGCACTCTTTTTATATAATATGGTTATGAGAGGGTGGTTTAACTAACAACCATGTAGGTGGGAGTCATCGCAGATCTCATCCTGTCCGTTTTAAACACAAATGTGAGACTCCACTACTGCTCTGTGTCTCGGTTCACTATCTAACAACCCACAAGGTACATGTTTACCATGTCTCGCCAGCCTTGACTGTTATCGAAAAGACAACCACCAAAGCTTTTGCTAATCTGTTCAAATTTGATGGCCCACATGCCGGCGGCATATCATGTCCCGGTGGCAGCGGATCAAACCTCACCTCTCTAATTGTAGCCCGAAACACGCTGTACCCAGAAACCAAAACCAAAGGAAATGGCAAGCATGACTTTGTCGTCTTCACAAGCGCACACGGCCATTACTCCGTGGAGAAAGCCGCAATGATTACTGGGCTGGGCTCGTCTGCTGTATGGGCGGTTCCTGTGGATAACGAGGGCAGGATGAGGCCACAAGCCCTCCGAGAACTGGTTTTGCTTGCCAAGAAGCAAGGAAAGACGCCATTCTACGTCAACTCCACAGCCGGTACCACAGTAATGGGCTCCTTCGATCCCTTTGAAGAGATTTCCAAGATTTGCAAGGAGTTTGGCATGTGGCTGCACATCGACGCAAGCTGGGGCGGCAGCGTCATTTTCTCAAAGGCGCAGAGCTGGAAGATGAAGGGCTCACATCTGGCCGACTCATTAACTGTCAACCCGCACAAGATGCTCAACGCCCCATGCACCTGCTCGCTGCTCTTGGGCCCGGACATGCGGGTTTTCCAGCGCGCAAACAGCACTGTTGCCGGATATCTCTTCCACCGTGGCGACGATGAGGAAGTCTGGGATCTGGCGGATTTGTCTCTGCAATGCGGCCGCCGCGGAGACACCTTGAAGGTTGCTTTGGCCTGGCTTTACTATGGTGCCAATGGCTTCGAGCGCCAAATCGACCACGCATTCGACATGGCCAGCCATCTATTTCGACTCCTAGACGAGAGCGGCGACTTCGTTATGGTCTCATCATACCCTCCGCCGTGTCTGCAGGTCTGCTTCTACTCGGCTCCGGGAGGCAAACTGTCTTCTGATAAAAACGTGAATACCTCGAGAACACAGAGAATTGCACAGATGCTTGTTGGTCGAGGATTCATGGTCGACTACGCTCCCGGCGACAAGGGCAGCTTCTTGCGCGTTGTGGTCAATGTCCAGACTTTGGAAGGGACCGTAGAGGGGATTGTGAAGGCCATGATCGAGCTGGGCCAGGAGATACCCTTATGAGAAGAGAGTGAAGCATTGGATAAACATAGATGGCATTGGGCAAACAGATATTCCCTATCCGGCGGTCTTTATTAATCTCTGCATACTAAATTCAACTTTGGCAGTCTAACATAGAGTAGATAGACATTTCAGTATAAATTTTTACAGGCGTATATTGGATTATTTCTTCACTTTTCTCATTTTGCCTCTGTAGGATGCATTGGTACCATGTTTTTTATCATGATCTTAATAGGCAATGATTTTATTGTTGGCCTAGGCATTGATTCGCCAATGCGCTTCCCCCCCACAGGCGCATTTGCGGCTGGAAGGTACCTGCACATGCACGCTAGCCGCGATAAGATCTTATCGGTGATAATCTTCACTCTAGAAAAAAAAAGTTCCAGGAGCCCATCTTTGTTCACACCAAGCGCCAATCCACCCAATCGCCCAGACCACAATGCCGAAGCCGAGAACAAAACGAGGAGGTGCCCGCGAGAAGCGCAAGAGATACGAAGATGCGGAAGGAAATTTCGACGTAGAAGCGAAGCGCCCGCGCCGAGACGACGAGTACAACGGCAACGAGTATGGCAATGACAACGAATACAACAACGGCAACGAGTACGAAAATGGCAATCAGGAATTCTCACATCACCAAAACGGCCCCGGCGAAAGGGAATTCTTTGGCATGCTTGCCGACGATGAGCAAGAATACTTCAGACGCGCCGATGAGATGCTGGAGCTGAACCAATTCCCAACCCCCGAGGAGCGAGACATCTTCCTGCAGAGCGTCTACCGCGAAGCAAAAGGCAAAGAGTGCAAGCTCGCCAGCAGCCAGTCTTGTTCCCGCCTAATGGAGCGCCTGATACAGCTTGCCGATACGGCTCAGAAGAAACAGCTATTTGAAGCCTTTGGTGGCCACTTTCTGTCGCTTGTGCAGCACCGCTTTGCCAGCCACTGCTGTGAGGCGCTCTTCCTTCGCTCTGCTGGCGTTGTCACGCAGGAGCTGGCTGGATTTGAAGAATTCGTCATGGATACCAAGGGGGCGGATGTTGATGAGCAGCAGCCGGCAGCATCCATGGAGCGCCTGTTCTTGGCTACGCTGGACGAGCTGGAGGGTAGCTTGGGATACCTCATTACCGACCGATTCGCTTCACATACGCTACGAGTGCTGCTGCTGGTGCTGTCTGGAATGCCTTTGGAGGAACAGTCGTCGCGTACACTATTGAAGAGCAAGAGAAAAGAGAAGATTTCTGTTAGTGGATCATCGGCGGCAGATGCGCAGAATCATGGCAAACGAGCTGTACCGGCATCTTTTACCATGGCGGCCAACAAGATCATGCAAGACGCCGTCTCAGGAATGGATGCTACAGGAATCCAAGTCTTGGCCAAACACCCTATTGGTAACCCAATTCTTCAGCTCATCCTAGAACTCGACTTGACGCTCAACAAGGGTGAGGCTAAGGGCGAGAAAGAGAAGACAGAAGAGACTTCCTCGCCTTCTCTTCTCCAACAGCTTCTCCCTGGGGCTCCCAAATCACTGTCTGACGGTTCTTCTGCCGCTTCTGAATTTATCAATGGCATGATTTACGACCAGATCGGCTCACGACTCGTCGAAACACTCATCACTCATGCACCAGGAAAGATTTTCAAGGCTCTCAACCAAAATATATTCCTACCCAGAATACAAGGCTATGTGCGAAACGACATCTCTTGCTACCCTGCTATCCGAGTACTCAAGCGACTAGGCAAGGATGATCTTGCCAAGGCTGTCGATCAGATTGCACCCACTGTGCCCCAACTAGTCTCCAAATCCAGATACAACGTCATAGCAGCTCTCTTTGAGCGATGCGCAGCCAGAAACATCAATGATGAAATCAGAAAGCTGATGAAGGGACTCAAAGAAGGATGCGGCAGTAAGCCTGCGGACCTAGTAACGACTCTTTGCTCTCTTTCAGTCAGTGAAGAGGAGGATAAGAAAAAGAAGAAGGATGTTCAGCAGCTGAGCAAGAACGAATATGCTATCCAATCTCACGGAGCAAACCTCCTTACTACCCTGCTGTCAATCTCCGGCCCCGCCAAGGGTGTTCAAGAATCTATCCTCGCCTTGCCATCCGATCTTCTCATTCGCCTCGCCACCACTTCCCTACCTACCGTTACCGTCCTCACTACCGCCATCGCAACGCCCTCTACCAACTCTATCTTCCAAAAGGGCCTTGTTAACACACTGCTGCCACACATCCCGGAGCTAGCTACAAACCAATACGGCCACAATCTCATCAATGCCATTGCCGAGATCCCTAGCAAGGGCAAAGACTGGAGTGTACCCCATCATATCAAAGACAAGATCATGACCTCCTTGGGCGCGCATGAATCCACGCTGAGAGAGTCGTGGATGGGAAGAAGCGTTTGGCGGACATGGAAGGGAGACATGTGGAAAACACGACGCTTTGATTGGAAGAACTGGATGAAGGAGCTTGATGAAATCAAGGCCCCGGCCGCTGCTGCTCCTAAGAACAAGGGAGATGCAAAGCCTAATGGAGAGGGAAAGGCAACTAAGGAAGCTGAGGTGGTTGAAGAGGAACAGCATAAGATGGATGAAGATGGAGAGAAGCATGATGTAGAGGACGATGAGAACAAGGAAGAAAAAGACGAGGAGGGGAAGGAAGAGAAGAAAGAAAAGAAGGAGAAGAAAGACAAAAAGGAGAAGAAAGAAAAGAAGAAGGAGAAAAAAGAGAAAAAGGCCGACGAAGTAGGAGAGGAGAAGGAAAAGAAGAAGAAGAAGAAGAAGAAGTCCAAAAGTGAAGATGTGGAGATGGCTGATGCTGAGGAGTAAAGAGACCGCTCTCGTGATCTGGAGATCTAAATGTTTTGACAAAAGCGGAGACGAAAGATGCTTAACAAGACCTTTGCATATATTGCTCGCATGTAATAGAAGTCTATTTTTAGGAGAAATGTATATATACCAAAAAATTGTCACCTTTTCAGTATCTAAATGCCGGGAAACTGGTTAATGTCACAAAGCCAGAATTCTTCTGTCCACAAATATAATATTTTCCCCACGTCAAAGCTCTGCAGCACCAAGGCATTACCACTTTCTCCATTCTCTCCTCTTTCCCCCTTTTGTATGGCTATTGCTGCTGTTCTGTTGCTGTTGCTGTTCCCAAATATGGTTCATTTCAATGAGCCTTCCTTTAGACTCCCTTTGCCGGCTGGCAAACAACAATCTGCTTAGTTCCCGCCTAATAAGAACAGCCTTGCAAGGGGGGGGGGCCTGCCCCCTTTGTCGGTACAAACGCCCATCAACCGACTGGCCGGTAGAGTTTGCGAATCTGATTGATAAGTGAGTCTGTACCCGCGTTGCGGAATCGCGCATTCGCGCAGGGCACGGTATTCGGGAGTGAGACGGCATCATCATGCCGTTTGCAAGGCTGCTTCACTCTCGAATACACATAATTTCACGGCCGCGCAGAGACAATTATATATCGGCTTGGTGAAGCTCATCTCTTAAGGGTCTAAGCATTTCGAAAACAGTATCTTGTCTCTATCATTACCTTTTTTTTTTTTTTTCATCGCCGCCGCCGCCGCCTTTCGCCTATAACTGCTCTTCACTTCAAGCACCTGTTACTATTCACCAAACGCACATCCAACAAGATGCCCCGATCCGGATACGACTTGACTGGAGCTGCTCAAGGCTCGCCGGCTTCTGAGGCCGCGACTCGAGCTAGACAAAGGGCTGATACTGCAAGCCGCACTCCTCGTGCAGGCACTCCTACCAATCCATCCCGCCAAGATGGAGATGACCAGGAGATTACTCCTCGAGCGTCTCGAATCGGTGTCTTCGCTGGGACTGCTCCTGCTAACTTTCAAACGATCTTCCAGATGGGCTTCATTCCGCAGCGCATAGAGAGACCCGAGCTCTACCAGAACCCTTTGAGCATGAGCTCGGCTCAAAATGCCTCTCAATCATTGATGATGCCTGTCAACCCTCAGTACGGTTTTAGAATCCCTCCTGCGGCACAATCGACTGCCTTTGCACGAGCTGCAATTCCTGTTTCCACTAGCCAAGACATGGGGTTCCTCAACGCCCAAGCACCATTCGGAGCTTCTAGTCGCCAGCCAATCGACTCTGGAGCCGCCAACTCCAGAGCAGAACAGCATCTCTTTCAAAGAAGCGGCGGTCGGTTCCATGCTATGCCCGTCAGCCAGCATGTTTTTCCAACCCACCATAACAGAGACCCGAATGCCCAGTCGCCTTTTTACAGCTCCCACAGTCGGACAGGCACAGGACCATCTGACACTGTCGACGAAGACGCCGAGATGACCGATGTCGATGGCCAGCGTCATAAGTGAGGTGTTTGCTTGGTCATGCCCATGTGAAAGGTTTGTATTGATCGTGTGTATGTTTTCGAAACTCGGACTAGCTAACGGTTTTTAAAGTACGAGCTGTCGATAGAAACGGGAAACGCCATTAGTCGAATAGCGGAAGCATCTTGCCAGAGAAATGTTAGTAACAGCAATCTAGATGAATCGCAATGCCAAGATCTAACCTCGAATAGATGATACAGGAAGGAATTCAAAGTTTCAAGGAAGGGATACACATGAATTTTCAAGCTTCGGTCTATTTATTTATTATTTTCTTTTCTTTCAGGTAGAAATGGGGCTGCTAGATTTGCAAAAAATTCATTCAGGGGGTTGCTATGCTTGTAAAAGGAAAGTCTGTGTTCCCTTATTTTGATGCCTGACGAATGTGTGCCTGAGGTATTGCCCCAACTCCGTGTCAGGCTCCAAGAAGCTCATACAAAAGTGAAGGAAGCATCAATACTATGGAAAGTGCGATAAAGAAAACATCACTTGAAACTGCCTGAAACACGCATGTGCTAATCAGCTACTGAGTATTGGGTACATGTAGTTTCCAGCTTGTGAAAACCAATTTTTCTCGCCAATACATCGGTCTGGTGGACTTTACTTAGGAGTGTGTACTTGGAATGGCCTCCTTTGTACACGAAATGGATGGTGATGTCTGAAATTCCGAGTATTTATCAATGTATTCGTGCATTTGATTTGTTCAGATTTTGAATTCAAATTCAGGAGTGGCCACCGAATGGACTTTCTCCTCTCCCGAGCCTCGTACCATCGTTTATTATTATTTCCAGCAGGAATACATTGCCGATTTGGGAGTGCTCTGCTGGCAAGCCCCCTGGCCATATATGAGGAAATTCGCACAAAGGCTAACAGCGCATTTTGCTTCTGCGTTTAAGAGCTGAGCGCATGGGCTTCGCTTTACAAATGGGACTGTTCGCTTATCCAAAGCAATTAACGAGACCTAGGATAGCGCAAGCTCAGGACAGCCTGCTTGATTAACAGCCGGTTTTCTTTGGATAATCCACGCGGAGTGCTAGCGTTGTAGATTGATAACTGTGCCTATTGAACTCCCTTGTTCTTCTTGTTTGCCCGGGCTTGCAAGAACCGGAGCTTTTCATGTTCCACTTGATCTATCAAATTGGTAATGATGAGCTCATGCACCTATGCCCACGCCCGGCATTTGCACCATCAAGCCTTTTTGGCTTCTCCAACCGTGTCGTCCGGCTTCATCCACTCGATGTTTCTGTTAATATTCCCATTCTCCACTACATCAAGCGTGGAGACCGTTGCGTTAGTGCTGTCCTTTATTGCCCGTCTTCCCACCTTCTTTCCACATAATATGGGCCGGATGATTCAGCCATCACCTACTCCGTAGTAGGCAGAAACTTACACCGAGTACGTATACACCCGCCGGAGTTTTCTCTCCAGCGACTGCATCATCATCACATCTCGAACTATTGAAGAATTGATTTTTACCAGCGACTCATGCTTGAAAATCTCGAAGGTATGAGATGCCTCGCGTGGCGAAAAAGACTCGCCTGGTGCAATATCAGTAGTGCTAGCGGGGACTCTGCCGCCGTAATCTTTTTGCCCCTTGTCGCAAGTAAAACACCAACTGAGGCCTCAGAATTTACGTATATCGACATTGGAAAAGCTTCATCTGAGAGGCCTTGGTATGATAGTAGACTGCCCTCTTTCATAAACCAGGTATGCGGCCAATTCCATGTTCTACCTGCAGCTTTTGTCTCTTTTCGGGTATGCGAACTCTGCTTATGGTTATTATCGCCGCCTCTGCATTTGGAGTATCCTGAAATATGTGCTCCCCCGCCCGCCCACAGTAAGCCAAGAAATGAAATGACTCAACTCCAGCCTCATTTAATGATGCTTCACAAATGATGAGACGTCTCCATACATGATGACGAGATAGTTCTACAGCCACAGCACGGGTTCGGAGGGCCTACGACACATTTGCTCGTGTAAGCCAGCATCTGGGTAACCATCCAGATCGTGTAATCTCCAGCTTGTTCCCTACAAGTTGCCATATTGCTTCATTAGAGCGTACTCTAAATTGCTAGTCAGGCTGAAGCTTAAAAAGCCAATCGCAAGTCATTGACAGGAGTCGCGAGGAACGTGTAGTTCTAGTACAGCCACCGAGTGCCAAGTTTCCAAAGCGTCGGCATCATCTCCGAAACGAAAGAGCAAATAAAAAACAGGCTTTTGAAATACATGCCAAATATCTTCTCATCCACCATTCTTGGCGCTGAGCAGAACGAAGAAGAGAGGGCAGTGGTTTTGTAAGTAGACCCGTATTAGGTTGCACACCTGAACGATTGCAAATCGCTTGTTTTTAATTTGTTATTTGCATGAAAAGACTCAAATCCCGATCTGCAACACGCACAGATATAATTAACCCAGTTCAAATCCTAGAGGCCATGCCCAGCCACCGCTTTTCTGCGATTAGGATAGCTGGCAGCATCAGTGTCATTTATCTAATTGAAAAATAATATCTGAGCAGTTGCATTAAACATGTAAAAAATATTATTTGATTTTGATTTTGCTTCCCTCCCTTCTATTGATTCAATCGCCAAAATCCCTGGACATGAAGAGGCGCAGCCGCTCTCTATTCAGGAAGGTCGACCTGCAGTTTGGGTTGACGTGGAGGTGATCAAGGCCAAAAAAAGTATCGCCAGTACGCGACCAGACCATCTTCACGAAGTGCCTCATTTTTTTTCCCTCCCTAAACATCACAGATAGTCCGTCATGGTATCAGAATGACGCTCCAATTAGTCCAACACACGGGCTTGAAGCTTCTGGAACGGTCGCAGTAGTTCTGACCCAACTGAGAAGATACGCATGCAGATTCGTTGCTCGGCAGGCCCTCTGACGCAAGCCCGCAGTCACGCAGTTCCTGAGCTGTGACGTGCGTCTGGGGTGAGGTGCCAGGCTTATCGCGTTTAGGTCTAGCACGCGGATAGCGAGCAGGGGTGCTATGGCTAGATCCTTGGGAGGGGCTGTTAAGAGGCGTTTGTACCGCCAAGTACCGCCACTTTAGGGGAGGTCTGGCGCAGCACAGGATGGGGGGCGGAGCAGAAGCTCCGTGGGCGCTGCTGTTCTTTGTTCACGGCGGTTGCTGGCAGCAGCAGTGCCTTGGCATGAGTTTTTGTCTTTTGCGGATATCAGCGGTCGCCATTCTGGAGACTCGGATGGATTGAAATTGGAATTCCGATTGTGGCAGAAATCTTAAAAGTCGCCAGAACATACGGGCGAGAGGCGTAAACTGGAGACTGTTGAGTGCCGAGAGAGAACTACTATAGTAGCTACCTATATGGGATGTTATGTATCCTCGGACAACAAAGGATACACTCCAAAACAGATGTGGGGGAGTGTTTCGCTGCATGCTGAAGCAGGCAGCCAGCAAGGAGACTGAGGAACCTGCATTCTCCATACAGCTACCAGCCCCCAGCACGAGGGCAGATATCTCGTCTTATACGAAGCCGTCTGTGGCTGTCGCTGCGTTATCTCCCTTGGCCAGGCTAAAAAGGCACTGCCAGATTAGGCAATGAGCGACAGCTGGCGCCACACCAAGCTACCTCGCCGGTACTTTGGCCTCAGTCTCGCACTAACTGCTTCTCGACATCGAGATCGATCGCCTTACCAAGAATCCGATGGTCCAAACTTGGAGCTGCACAGATCGAATCGGGAGCTTGTATTAGCCTCGAAATCCAGAGCATGGCGTTTCGCAGGAGCCCCGGGGTTGGCACATATAAACGCGGCGAGTTTCCAATCCCCTTCCCGGACTCATCCATTCTGGTCAACCACTGCCGATTTATATCTCTAATCGCTATTATCTCAAATTCGATAATAGCTACCATCATTTCATCATACCTCGCGAGACGCTGGTGACAAAATCGTCTCACCAGCCACACTGCCTGCCGATCTATCCTGCGTTTTGCTTGTCCCTACTAGCTCTCTCCCGTGATGGCTCGGCAGACAGACACCACCAAGCCAAAGGGCACCACTAAGCCAAGACACACCAAGTCGAAAGACGCTTCATCAGTAAATGGCGCCGGCAAGAAGGACAAGAAGGAGGTACGTTTTTTTCCCATCTATCCTGACTACCAGGGCGATTTCGTAAACTAAGTATTCGCTCCTGCAGAAAAAGCTCCCCCGTCTCGAGTTCACAGAGCGTGCGCTGGTTGCTGCCTCGCGCCGGGATGATCGCACCTTGGAGCTTCGGATAGAATCCGCCTACAAGGCGAGTGCCATACACAAGGCCCGTACCGGAAAAGGATTCTTCGTCTCAGAGGCCGGAGTGCTCAACAAGGAGATGTACGAGGAAGATGCTCTTTTGCCCAGATTCACAGCCATGGGTCTAAGCGCGCCACCGGGATTCGTCGTCGATCCCAACACAGTCAGAGATCTGCTGGCAGAGTCTGACCGGAGCTGGCGCGAAAACGACGTCAACAAGATGTTTGCTCAAATGTTTCCTCATGCCGACGAGCACGCTCGCCGATTCTCTCAGCAGTCCTCTCCTCTCCAGCCATACTCTCCTCCCGAATACTCTCCTACATCCATACCATCTTCCATATCTCCGACCTCTCCGCCCCCGGCATTTGAGTCGCCTGCCTCGATGCAACTGCCTCAGCATTCTCCTCAGTTCCCACAGTGGGATTCCAACAACCTGGATTTCACCATGCAGCAGCCGCAGGCACAGGCACAGGCGCAGGCACCGACGGACCTTTTCCCACCCCTTTTCGATTTTTCATCTTCCTCTGCGAGCGATCAATCCATGTCTTCAATGTCAACTCCCTCTTTTGGCGGCTCTCCCATCCCTGAGTTCCTGCACATCGACCCAGCCCAGACGCAGCACCAAATGCTCCACCACCAAGATCTGTTTCCCGTGGAAGACTCGGCTCTGTTTTGGGAATAGGAGCGAAACAAACTCAAACGTACGTCAAGTGTATTTAGCGAATGTTTATCTCGAGGAGTTTTAGGTATATGTGGAGTTGTCGGTTTACACGAGGACATGTACTCTGTATAGGCGGAGTTTCGGTTACTATGTGCTAGAAGCTGGGTAGCGGATCATGCCTGATATGAGCTGGTTCTTTCAAGGTACATGTAGATTGCTATCTTGTAATAGTTAGAGACACGCAGCTATTATAATGATAATGAAGCTGAGCGCTCAGTTGAAATATTGCCATGACCAGTTCATAACTGAGATGTTCCATGTGATCAGTCACATATTCTGGCACAATACGTAACACGTACTGTACAGCAATGTTCTGGTGGTGTGTCGCCGCCTGGACAAGCCCTTGAAATGCCACCCATCGATGCTTATATTGTGGAGGCAGGCCCAAGATCGATCTCTATTCATTCGTCGTATGACGATTGACGGAACCTTAAACCACTTCTCCTATGAGCTGAGCTGCCTCAATGAGAGCAGATTATGTAAGGCGCTTTGGGACGGGATAGGTTTCACAATCACATCACCCGCCTTTTCTGAGTCGGCTCAGCTCTTCTCAAACAACTTCACACATCGCCACGCGCGCCACCACTCGGACTACTGCGGCACCCGGGAAAGTTTAAAAAAAGTCCCCGATTGCGCATTCACGCAAATGCCCATGTTGCCCTGCCAAATAGTACTACATGCCTGCAATAGTACAGTGAATAGGTAGAATAGCACTAGCGTGTGCAGGAACAAATAAAACAGAGCAAAGTGCCTCGTCGCCGGTGGCCAGTCGGGCGAAACACGGGGTCGAGGTCACGGCTTGGGCTGGCCGCCGCGGATGCCATCGCCAGAGCCAGCGGCCAGACCATGTGCGCCGATGATTGGCCTCACGGATCTTCCGCCTTGGCACGGGCATGCACGCAGGGTCGCCTTAGCCTGGGATTATCTCGCATGTGGTCAAGTATGTATGGCGGCATGCAGTGCGTGTGCAGCATTCAGAAGTAGGGCAAAAACGCGAGATATTTATATGTCAATGGCACAGGAACCGCGAGGGCAGAAGATGTCTCGCGATTCTTCCAGTAGCATCCATCCAGACATCCACGATCCTCCTCCTCCGCACGCACCGGCAGTTCCCATCCGTTCGCCTCCAGCGTCGCCCGGCACTGAGGCGCATGCAGCTTGGCGGCGCTCGTGAGTGGTTGCCGCCGCGCTGGGAATCCCTGTCCCCTGGCCTCTGGGACCCTCTGGTTACCCCTCTGAAGCGCCACAGCTCGGCCGGCTCCAGAACTTTTTTTTCCTTCCTGTTGGCTTGGCTGGGGCGTCGCAGCAAAAGTGAACCACTTCGCTCCTCTCACCTGCGTCTTGCAACAAGGCGCGCGACGCTGCGGTCAGAGGCAGACAAGCACTCTTTTTTTTTTTTGTCTCTTCTCTTTCAACCACGCCTCTCGCGGCCGTTCATCTCTGCAGCGCTTTCCTCCCTTTTTACTCGGCAAAAAGCGGTGCATATCGATTAGCCGGCCCCCTTCATCCCACGATATCGTTGTTCAGCCTGTTCTAAACTCAGGGCACCATGTCGTCATCAACACCCCCAACCGTTACGACGCCGGACGAGCCCCAGAACGAGGGCTCCAAATTGCGGACCTTCTTGGGCATCTTGAAAAAGTATGGCATATCCTCTTGCGCCCCTTTGTTTGATGCAAGGCCTCTGCGCAACGTGCTGCTTCGCTGGCATAAACGATGCTATTATATCGAGTGCCGTCACGCGAAATCGGCGGTAAAGCCTAGTGGGGCTTTGGAGTCTCGACACACAGCGCCGCCTCAACGAACGAAAGGGTCGACGTGCCATGCAAACTGGCTCTGATCGGATGCGAACATCGGATTCTGCGTCAGAAAACATGTGCTAATAACGGGTTTTTTTGGGATTAGATTCATCGGCGTCTCTGATCTCGCCAGCGTCCGATTCTCGCTCCCCTCCCAGCTGCTCGAGCCCACACCGAACCTCGAATACTGGACCTACCTTGATGCACCCAACGCTTTCGTCGCCATCGGCACGTCCGATGAGCCTCTCGATCGAATGCTTGAAGTGGTCCGCTTCTGGCTTACAAAAGATCTCAAATATGCAAAGGGGAAGCCCTGCAAGCCATATAACTCGTGTCTCGGCGAGTTCTTCCGGGTGAGCCCAGCCCCACTACCCGGTGTTGGATGCTGCAGCCGACATTCGTTCTATCAAAAACTCCAGCAGACGACATTGCGCTAACCTCGAGTTTTCTGCAGTGTAACTGGGAGACAGAAGATAATGCACCCAGGATAAATACTGTCGACCTTCAGACCCCCGGCTCAAGCTCGAGTTCGATCAAGGGAGCCGCTGCAGCTTTGAAGGCGGCTGCTAAGAGCGAGAAGAGCTCCTCTTCGGTGTCTCTGACAGTCCCTCAACACGGCACTCTTTCTGGCGAGAGTGCGCCGCTCGTCCGAATCTCATACCTCACCGAACAAACTTCACATCACCCTCCTGTCAGCGCCTTCCATGTCACCTGTCCCGAGAAGGGCATCTCGGCCCGGGGCTTTGATCAGATTACCGCCAAATTTACCGGCACATCTGTCAAGGTGTTGCCTGGCGAGCACAACATGGGCATCTTCATTACACTGGAGAAGAGGGATAACGAGACCTACCAGCTGACACACCCCGCGGCCCATCTTGGTGGCCTCTTCCGCGGATCGTTGAGCGTATCGGTCAGCGAGATGGCCTACATCACATGCCCCGATACCAAGATCAAGGTCATTCTTCACTACGTGGAAGAAGGCTGGTTGGGCCGAACAACAAACAAGATCGATGGTGTTGTTTTCAAGTACGACCCTGAGAACGATACCAAGACTCGAGTTCAGGACGTTCCGGATGAAGACGTCTTGGCTAGGTTGAGTGGTCCCTGGAGGGAGAAGGTTGTCTTCACTTTAGGCCCCAGGCCTGTGGTATGTCCCTTCCCCCTTGTGAGATGTTTATGGACTCGGTATAGAAGAGAGCTAACCTATTCTTCTGCTATAGAAACTGGTGCCTCCCGAGGAGCAGCACGTTATCATTGACATTATCCCACTCAACGTTGCGCCCAAGATCCTACCCCCAAGCGAGCAGATGCTCCCCAACGAATCGCTTCGCCTGTGGTCTGGCGTCACCGAAGCCATTCTGGCCAAGCAGTACTCCAAGGCAACAGAGGTCAAGGTCGCCCTCGAGGAGGCCCAGCGAGAAAAGGCCCGAAAGCGCGAGGAGAACAAGGAGACATGGCAACCTGTCTTCTTTGAACACGTCGTCGGCAACGGCGGTAAGCCCGATCTCACTGAGAAGGGAAGGCAAGTTTTGGGTCTTGCTCAGAAGAGCGAATGGAATCTTGAGGGCGTTTTGTAAATAGCATGGGGGGGAAGAGAGAAGGGAAGGCGAAGATTGGATACAGCATATTGGCATAGAACCTTTTTTTTTTTTTCTGGATGGATATGAGAGAGAGAGAGAGAGAGAGAGAGAGAGAGAGAGAGAGATGTTGAATCTGGCTTGATATACATATACCACGCGGGTTGATTTGGCCTATACGCATAGATTGTGTTCGCAGCACACTACATAGTTGTTTTTGGGATAGATATTTCGTTCTTTTTTCTTTCTGTGCAATCTTTTTGGCAATGATAAAATTTTGAAATTGATTTTTTGCCATGATATCAGTCCATAAGAGGGTGGCAGCGTTGGCCGTTTATATAATACATGAGTGAGGACATTTCCCAAAACAAACAAAAACATCAGTTTTTTCTATAGTCACAAATGTTTGTGTCGAAACCAAACAACAACAAAAAGTCATAACTTCCCTTCATTTTCCACTCTTTTTTGACGCAAAACCGTAAAACCAAATCAAACCCAAGCATTAGATTCATACACTTCCCCTTCTTCCCCTGTTCTCCCATCAGCTCATTTAAGCATCGACGAAAGTGCGGACGTTCTTGAGCCAGCGGATGTACTCCTGTTGCTCCTTGGCATCAACGTAGTCGGGAACAAAGACAGCCAGAGACTCGTTAATGCCACGCTCCTCGAGGAAGCGCTCCATCAGCACCTGCAGGTCCTCGTCGAGGCTGCCAAAGGGAGGGCCGGGGTAGACGTCAGCGCGCTTCTGGGCGGCCTCGGGGGAGTCGATGCGGGCGACGGTGGCGTCCTCGTAGAAGAACATGTTGTCGACGACGATCTCGCCGTCGCGGGCGGTGGCGTCGATGTTGAGGGCGCCGTCGGTCTTGCCGGGCTTCTCGATCAGGATGGAGAGGTTGATGGGTGCGCCGGCCTCCTCGTCGGCCTCACCGTCGAGGGCGTCGTCGGGGTTCTGCTGCTTGTCGGACTGGAGGGACTCCTCGGGGAGCTCGTCCTCCTCGAAGAGGTTGTCCTCGGCGTATGGGTCGAAGTTGGTGATGTCAGCGATGGAGAAGCTAATGGTGATCCTGCAAAGAAAGAAAAGTTGGTCAACTTTCATGCCTCATATCAAGTGTTGTATTCGAATTGAGCTTACTTCTCTTCGTTGAAGCTGCGGGTCAGCTTGACAACCTCCTGGCCGGGAGTATCGATAAGCTCAAACGGGCTGTTGTCCAGGAAGTCCTTGATGCTGGCGGGCTGCTGCTCATTGACCTTGATGTCCTCCTCAATCTGGATCTCGCTGTCGAGCTTGGCAGACAGGGCAACGTCGACGTCGACGTCGTCCTCCTGGTTTCGGCGAACGGTCGTGGAGAAAGCGGCAGCTCGGGTGGGCAGCAGGGCCCTGATGGCGGGGGACTTGATGAAGGTGCTGGGGCGGGCAATGGCCGATGAGCGCAGGGAAGCTCCGGCTGTGCGGCTGAGCGTCCGAGGAGCAGCTCGTGCGAGGTTTCTGACGAAAAGCATTTTGGCTTGTTTTTGGGGGAGGGAGGGAAGAAATCGAATATGGCGTTGGAGGTGGTTCGTGAGAGGGATGATGTAGTAGCTGCGAAGTAGTGCCAAAGTTTTTTTTTTGTTTTGCTACCTGACCCCATTTTTACTGGAGCTGCTGGCAGCTCTACGGCCCCACGTGATTAATCAACTGGCATGCAAGCACTCTAACGGATATGAGAGCTTGTGGATTTCTTTACGAATCGGCAACACATGGTGGAAATATGCAAGAAACTCATAGAATATGAATCAATTAACATGAAATTTTTATCTGATTCATATATAAAATGCATGGCTTTGTAAAGCCCGCTGTCCCGCTAGATGAAGATGCCCAATCTCAGTGCCTGAATTGAGAATGGGAAGAGCTGGCGAAACGGCTTTTAACTATGTGATATGCCGTCCAAATTTGCGCCATGTATCGTAGATTTTATACCCAACCTCATTCGTGAGTAGCTGGTACCCTTGTACGCAAATTTGATCTTCCTGCCTTATCCCAAGGCAACATAGCTCCATCATTATGTTCCGATCTCCCACGGGACCAGCGTATGGTCGGGGAGATGCCATGATGGCAAATTGGAAGAGCACTTTTAAATCGCGATTGCCTATGCTTGTGGTGATGCGAATCAGTTGAGCCCAGGCAACTAGCAGCCACCTTGAGGGTGCTCCATAGGTTTACGGTAGCACGGCTCGCTTGGGAGCTGTTGATTGCTTCCTCGTATGTAAGATATCAGAGAATAAACTCTCTCAGTTAAGGGCCTTTGAGGGCAGCTCAGATTTGCGAACATTGCCGGTATTCGTGACTTTGATCCAGGGGATGGTAGTAAGGTATACCCAGGAGCCTTCCCAGGCATCCAAGAGCTTGACATTCTCCGCTGAAGTAACATCGGGGAGCACTGTAGCAATGTGAGCTTGACAATCTTGCTTCTACATTATAAGTACGGTTGAAAATAACTTACGGAATCCTTTTGTGTACTCTTCTTCAAGCGCGGCTATCTTCATCCTCAACAAGTCTTCCTTGGTGCTGGCTGGTCGCCCGGCCCGGCGAGTCTTCTTCACAGCCTCGTACTCTTCATCGTACTGGTGAACAAATCTTTTCCATTGGATGTATAGTCAGCTTTCAGTCCTCAGGCATACCTAGTAAGCCCTGAAGTACTCACGTATGGATGAGTGCCTGGATGGCAGCCACTTCAAGCGGCTCAGTGCCTTGCTCTCTCACATTTTGTTGAAAAAAGGTTACGCGTTCCACTAAGGTACTGGTTAGATATGCACTGGGACTCATAATCTCATATCTTGACTCCGTACCAATGGGCTGTTCCCTCTTGCTCCTAGCCGCAGCGAGTTTCTCCAGTCTTTGATCTCTCACTCCGGCTTTGTGCAGCCTCATGGAGTTTCTAGATTTTTCATGCAATGCGTTGACGTCTCCATTGCGCTTCTTGGAAATCTGTTTGCGAACTTTCTGTAGTGTGCTAGGCATTTTGAAAATTTATTCGCTTCGTAATGGATGTTTATGGCTGAGTAGGTGATTCCAGAGATCAATGCTGTATGCTGTAGTTTTTTTTTTTTTTTTTTTAATCTTCAATTCTTTCACTAGCGGCGCTGGCAGTCGTTAGGCGCAAGGCTTTTTTTCTCTATGAGCAGGGGTCTCATGCTAGATTGGGCAAGTGGCTTGAACTGCGTCGCGGCTATAGTTCGGATAAAGCCTCCCAACTGGCTCAGTTCACTTTTACCTTTTACTCAGCGTACCTACCTATCTACTGTGCACCTATACATATGTATGTCTTCTACGGCATGGCAGTGCAAATTTTGATTGCCTCTAACTGTGATGCATGCACCTTTTCTTAGCAGCTACTAGGTGCTTACCTATCTGTAGCTATAGATGCTGCGGTCCCCCAGCCGTCAATTTACGGCACATCATAAGCGCATCTCATTATCCCTCCCGCCCCGCGCTCTAAAAGTGACGGGATGCTGTTAGTCAACAATGGCCCCATGTCAACAGACAAGACAGACCGGGTTTCCCTTTGATTCAAGACCTAATCTGCTACCAGAATCTCTGTAGCTGGGATATGATGATCCATGTATCAAATGCCTTTTATACGCTTTTGAATTCCTGCGCACTCAATCCGTCTTGCGAAGATATTACAGGCTCGCATAAAGTAAATAGACGGGACCCGTTGCCAGGTCAATCTATCCCTGTTCGGGCATCTTCTCCCACGCCAGCAGCGCTATGGCACGCGCTCCAGGCGCTGTGGACCCGCCCATTAAGCCCCCCCAGCGCGTCTTGCTTGCCTGTCTAGAGCCAGACGCCCGTTAACCGACATTCGACATGCCCGCCCGCTGGTAGAGTCCAGGGTCGTGAGCCGTGAATCTCCTCCACTGCGAATCGCCTCATTTGCTACACCGACAGACGCTCCCCGTCTCTCTCAACCCTCCGCCCGACCAGGCCGCTGTCACGACGCGTTATCCGGGCCTCTCCTAGTCCATCGCCTCCAACCGCTTGGCGTGCCCTGTCTGTTTGAGCCCTGGGCTCAGCAGTCACCGCGTCCAGAGGCTTGGCTGTCGGTTCATGGGCGCACTCGCTGATCCACGCAGACACCAAGAGAGCGGATTGGGGCTTTTTGCAGTGGAAGAATCCGAAATTTTGCTGGTTTTTTCACACGTGAATTTTTGAGTGGGGTTGCAAAATGGGTGTATCAGGTATGGACATGACATGGCACGACATGGCAGCGGATGCCATGGTCAAAGCCGCTTATTTGCTGGGGGGAATTGTTGTGCTGACTATCGGAAGGATTGTTGCCGATTCTCAAGTCCATCCAGAGGCCAACAGAACTGAAGAAGTTCAAGGGAGAGACGCTGGCTGTTGACGGCTATGGATGGCTGCACCGCGCTGCCTATTCATGTGCCCCCGAGCTGGCCCAGGGCAAGCCTACGAAAAAGTGAGTTTGAGATGCTCAGTTGCGGAGGAATCAAGGGGATTAACTGACGACATCTTTCAAGGTTTATCAATGCGGCTCTGCACCGAGTTAGGATGTTAAAGCACTTCGGCGTCACCCCTTACATGGTATTTGATGGCGATTATCTCCCTAGCAAGGCTGCTACCGAAGAATCTCGTGCCAAAAAGCGAGAAGAAAAACTCAAGATTGCCAATGAATACCTAAAGGCTGGGAAATCCTCTCAAGCGGTGCAAGAGTTTCAAAAATGCATCGATATTACGCCGGAGATGGCGTCCGCCCTGATCCAAGAGTTGAAGAAGATGGATATCCCATATGTCGTGGCCCCCTACGAAGCCGATGCTCAACTCGTCTATCTCGAACGCATTGGCTTAGTCGGAGGCATCCTTTCAGACGACTCAGATCTGCTGGTCTTTGGTGCCAAGCGGCTGCTTACCAAGCTGGACCAATACGGAAACTGTATCGAGATCAACCGACGAGATTTCTGTGCCTGTCGTGAAATCTCTCTGACCGGCTGGAGTGACACTGAGTTTCGACGAATGGCCATCATGAGCGGCTGCGATTATCTCAACGGTCTACCCGGAGTAGGACTGAAAACAGCGTACCGGCTACTACGAAAGTCCAAATCTCCCGAGCGGATTGTTCGCATGCTGCAATTCGACGGGAAGCGCATATCAGAGAATTATCTGACCTTGTTCTACCAAGCGGAGCTCACGTTTTTACATCAATGGGTGTTTTGCCCCACGAAGAAGGAACTCGTCCATCTCACAGAGCTAGATGCGAACCGTACGGCAGAGGAAATGCCTTTTATCGGATCTTACGTTGAACCAGAGATGGCTCGCAAAATCGCAAATGGCGACGTAAATCCCATCACAAAACTCCCAATTGCCTTACCTATCTCGCCGTCTAAAAGGCGGCACTCTCAGCTCGCTACACCTACCGAAACCCGTCCACAATCCAAGCCCATCAATTCATATTTCAAAGGCCATTATCGGATACCCATGGCCGAGATGGATGCGAACTGCTTCTCCGTCGATCCTCAACGAATTTCACAAATTACTGCCGAAGGAGCTGCTCCACGCGTGTTTCCATTACCGAGACCTTATATACCAGGGTCACAGCAGTCAGGAGAGTCAGGGGAAGACAGTGCAAATTCTCATCAGTCAACACAAGCTGCTCCACGAACTTCACCCCGTTTGAATCGACGACGAACAGAGCCGATCGCAAATCTATTAGCTAGTGTTTCAAACAGTCAGCCTCCCCAGGCAGAAACTTCAACCAGACCTCCGAAGAAGGCCCGCCTGTGCGACGATTCGTTTGACGTTGAGGCAGATGGCTCACCAAAAAAGAGTCGGTTTTTCCCTGTTCAGAAGAATAAGGTGGCCAAAAAGGATCCACGGAAGACAAAGAGCGAAGCATACTTGCTTTCAGAAGATTCCCTAGATGAAGCCCTAAATAATCTACCTGACATTGAAGGGTGGGCGTCTGGGGCTCTATCGAAGAAAGGTGTATCAATCTTTGCCGATAAACCAAAGGAGCCGCCTCCGAGCGAGCCTGAAAGTACCGGTCAAGACTTGACGCAGACGGATGCAACACCGCCAGATGATGTCCAACAGGAGGCTAGCCAACAGAAAACCAGCCAGCAGGAGACTAGCCAAGTTTCGAATGCAAGTCAAGACACAGGACTCACTTCCCTAGAAGCCAGCCAACAGAACCCTATTGACACACCCGAGTCTTCGGTCGATGACTTTGCGCCTCCCCCAAAAGCGCCTGTCTCGACATCTGAAATCATCCGTACCCCTCCTCGTCCAAGTTTAACTCGCTTTGCCTACTCTTCCAAATCTTCGGCTACACCAGCTTCAAGATCCTCACAATACTCATCTGTATTCAGTCCCGCCTCTACTGCCTCCACTGCACCATCCACAGCCCGGGCAAGACAGACGCCCCTTCAGCGCATGGGAGCATGGGCATTGAAGGGCCCGGCATCATCTCCAAGTCTCCCCGCGCCACGAAAGGATGTTGACAAAGGCTTTGGTGCTAAAGGGCTGATCAACCCTGCACTTGTCCCTCTTCCCAAGGTGGACTTGGATGAGATGGAGGCATTGAATAAGTCATGCGGAAGCGAAGACCAGATCATCCCCGATAGCGACGGAGAGGAAGAGGATGAGGACGAGGAGGCCAGACTCCCAACCAAAAAGCTCAATCTCGCTCGCTTCGTCTATTCTTAAAAGACATTGATACCACTTTACTGATACCACTACCTGTCTTTTACTATAAGACATATTGGAATTTTTCTTCTTCTTTTAAATCGCTGAAGTTTAATGTGTTAATGATGATACATTCGCAGGCGTTCATTTTAGAGCTCATTTCTTTTTGGGTTTTTGTCGGTCCAGGCTTTTGGGGGAAAATTCAAAGGCTCCGTTGGGCGGACTTTGCGGGACAGATGGTGTTTGTATTAGCTGCTTGTTTGCAGGGAACGAAAGGAAAGGATCTTGGCATCGGTGCTTGTCAAAGACTTTTTGTGTGTGTGTGTGTGTGTGTGTGTTTGACAACATTGTGTTGGGAATGGAACGTTGATATTGTCACTGGAAATAGTATAGCATGGCAATGGATAGCTTTAGGCATTAGGCTAGTAGAAGAATTGAATGTTGAACCCAAAGAAAACGAGAATTAGGGAATTGTTATGCAATCTTACAGTTTCGTTATCTAGCACCCTAGCCGTACCTAGAGTCGCGAATTTACAACTACATGTATTGGATTGACCGCTTCATTAAGCTACGGTTGGACTCACGGATGGTAAACTGAGTTCCATGAAATTATTATCAGCTATGACTAGCTCTAACAATCAGGTTACAAGCCATATTCGTATATGGTACACATAGTGCTTTACAAATTCAATATAATTCTGACAAACATAACAATAGCAAAGCCAGGGGAGGGGGAGAAGGGCATCGGAAAGTTCAAAGCAAGACTAACATTTGCTATCATCTATTTCCCTCTCAAGGATGCACTTTATGTATCATGAATCCTCGTTTTCTAAGCGAGTGCATGCGCTAGCCATACGCTGAACTAAAACAGGGGGTACGTATACATACAAACCAAAAAGGAAACCAAAGAGCAAAAATGAATAGATAACAGGGCTATGGGAAGATGAGGGTTAGAGGGTGGAAACAAAGGACAAAAAAAGAAACACAGAGTACCAAAACTAAGCGGAAGAAAAGGGGAGGGAAATCGTATAATCCACCTGCCCCCCAATATACCATGCCAAATTCCTTAGACGCCAATTGTTAAGTCGTTGAATATCATAAAATAACACTACTAGTAGTCTATGTTTGGGGGAGAGAGGAAAATTCTCGACGCTGCAATGCAAATATGCTGAATGAGTGGGGATGACTCAACGTCGTCGACAAGAGAAGGAATAGAAACGTCCCGGCTTGCTATATGAAGTATGTATGCCTTAGTATGCGGGTGCACGGTTTTTATGTGATCGTGTATGCAGATGTTGAGCCACGCATATTCTCCTAGTTAGTCGCCCCTCGATCATTTCGTATGCCGGTCCATTGCGAGAGTGACAACGGATTTCCTAGCGGCGGCCTATATCAGCCTATTTATCAGAACAGTCACTGATAGATCTCAGCAGACGGGACAAATTAGGTAGTCTAGTGTTTGTTAAGCAGCAATGTCGATCCGTTCATGAGATCTGCGTTAAATGTCCACTTGGCTATAAGTTGATGTGTTAGTGGATATCAAAAGGATAACGGTTGTGAGTATGCATCGTGTATCATACCTTTTGCAAGATTCTCGGCAGTATCTTCAAGCAAAATGATACGTCTCTTGTTGCAATAAGACGTCTTATCCATGATGTCGACCTTCAGCTTCGGGTCGGATAGCTCATTGATGGGTTTCTCAAACATCTCAGACAAGTTCTCAACAGCCATTTCAAGATCCTTCTGGTTGTCCTCAAAAATCTCCGTCAAGTTGGTCTTGGCCAAATAGAAAGCAAAAGCGTAAGTCCACTTGAGAGTCTGTCTGCATGTTTGGAGTGCCTGGGACGCAGAGTTGAGATACTGCACTTCTATCCAAGACATGCCAGATGTAGTCTGGAGCTGTACCATCTTCTTCTCAGTCTTCTGCGCAATATCCTTGTCCAGTTTGGCGGACTGTTCGTGGTTGGCGTATCGGTTGTAGTAGTGCAGGTACCGTTCGAGAGACGTGCGAGATCTGGTCTGCGCATCTCTGGCCTCGGCTCCGCTCTTCTCCTCATATCTATTGCAGTTGTACCAACTAGTTCCATGCTCAGACCAGAGGCCCATGCACATCCAACAAAACTCATATTTACATTTCCTGCAGGTCATATGGTTACACCCGCCATTCTTCTCAATCGTCGAACTGCATTTGGGGCATTCCTTTGTGTGCGCCGAAATCCAGTTGGCTGTCTCTGAGTCATCAGCACACTTTTTCAGCCATCGCTTTACTAGATCGCAGGGTGCTGGTTGGTGGTCAGGGTTTGCACATCCAAAGCAGAACCTGTTGCCACAGAGGCACTCAACGGTGGGAACGATCTTATCCAAGTCCTTCTTCTTGACGCCGCATTCAATGGCGTTGGGGCAATCCGGAGCCGGGCACCATTTGAAGGTATCTTTATCTTCCACGTACGTGCGGTTGAGTAGCTCATTATAGCGATCAGTCAGCTCAGGGGTGACGAGGAGGTCGAGTGACCGCGAATCCAAGATACGACCGCATCCATCCGAAGGACACTGGATCCTTGCAGACTCTCCTTCGTCTTGGATTTTCTGTGTGAGGTATTGGCGGTAGCAGTTAACACAGTAGCGGTGACCGCACTTCATAGCAAAGGTTTGAAGGCCTTCCTCATCTTCACAACAGATGTCGCATACAAAGCCGGGAACGGCTTGCAGTTTTGGCTGACTAGAAGAACTACTGTTCAACCCGGCGGCTTCTAGAACCTTTTCTGGGCGATCCATATAGTCTTCTAGTAGTCGTTCTTTGTTCCATCGAAAGTAGCGCAACATGATGGCTGCATCCTCCTTGGTCAGGTCAAGAATCAGGTTGACGTCGTTCATCATGTCATCTTGCTGGCGCCTAATATCGGACGGTTCGAGGACCTTGAAAGACACCGCATGGGCGGCCGTCTTTTTCTTGTCCATATCTTTCGCTGAGAGACCAAAGTCTGGGTCGGGTTCGTCGAAATCATCCTCGTCAAAATCTGAGAAACAGCATGGATTAGTCAGGCTCACGGAGAAGGAGCTTCCGAGAAGGCCGGTTGAGTGAGGGAAGCAGAGTTGGACGTACCATCTGGACCGGATAGTTCATCACCGCTGTCATCTTGCATGATTTCATCATCATCAGTAGAGATGGGAGACATGTATTCTTCCTCGGAATCCATATCGCCGGTGGTTTGGGGCGTAGGTGGTGCGGCAGGGAGACTGGCGGAGGCGACGATTTTTTTCTGGGGAATGCTCTCAGCGTCTGCAGATGTGATCGTCGCCTCGGCAGCCTTTCGCTTTCTCGTTATGGGAGGAATCGTGACGGTAGTTGGCGGGCAAGCAGCAAGCCTGCAGGTCGACGACGGTGCGCTGGCAGACGAAATAGTGATGCAGCACGCTAAGAGGGGCCCTTGTGACGGCACTCGGTGGACTCAGGTGCACGCCGGATCGGTGGGACGATAAGGATGGGAATCAGACGAGGACAGCGCGCTGGTGCTTGTTCCGGACGGTGCAGGGCGGTGCAGTGCGAATGTGAGCGAAGATATGACGGCGTGGCAAGCCGGGTGAATCGAGCAGAAGGAAGACTCTGAACGGATCCGTTAAATCATCGTATAAGTGATTCAGAACAAGATGAAGAGAATCGAGTTGGGCAGGTCGAGCGTCGACTAAGGCGCCGGCATTTCTTCGGCAGCGGCTGAGTCAGGCAGCGGCGGTGGGCCTGCCATCAGGTGGCCAACGGCAGGCCTGCGGCGAAAGATCTTGCGGGCAGTTTTAGCGTATCGCAGCCGCCTAACTGGGGCTGTTCAGGCAGCCAATGGCCGGATGCATCTTGGCCGTTGGCCGGCTTACCAATGGGAGAAAAAGAGAAGGGAAAAACGGTTGGATGCCTAAGCTAACATGGAAGGGAGTGGGTGCTGTCAAATGTCTGGTAAAAAAAAAATCCCTATCAGGCAGTGTTAATTTTAACCTTTTCTCAGCAAACAAGCCAGAACTTCTACTAATATCAGTTGCGTACATGTATGAAGGTATGCATTTATCATTACAACGCTCGAGTAGCGGTGTATAAAGGACGTGTTCCCAGGATCTCAGAATGCATGTGGACAGCCTCAGCTATTATTGCAAGCCTCGTCCAGGGATTCACATCAGGCAGGAGGTTGCAGGCTTGTTACCGGTGTCTTATGTCATCCATGACTCCCATCTCACGAGCAGCCTTAAATTGAACTTAGTAATTAGGCACAGATTAGTTTTCTTTTGCTATTCATTGTAGAGTGATAACTACTGCCATTATTAGGTGTGTAAGCAGCATGCTTCCTTGCTATCCAACAGCACATCTATGGACCAATGCTCGAGAAGAGAGCAAGCCATACATGCCATCACATGGCCCCTGGCACAGCTGTTTCCTATAAAACTGAATCTTTTTCCAGCTATTCATCCTGGCTCTTAGTTGAGGACCTGCTCGGCCATTGACACTATATGAAACAATGAGTCGGAATACTTCTCGCCTTAGCAATGCTTTAAATTGAACAAAAACTCACCCGCGGTTCCGGTGCTGTCTGGCTCGACAAAGGTAGCCGTGACCTTGCCGTCTTCGATCTTCAAGGCGTAGCGCTTGCTTCGAGTGCCACCGAGGACAGGGGCAGCATCGTCAAAGTCAAGCTCAAGTGCCTTCGTGAACTCGGCAGTGGGATCGGCAACAAATCGAATCTACATATAATTAGCTGCAGCTCTATTGGTGGTAATTCACAGCAGGTCGACTCACGCCAGTCTCTCCGGCGGGATCCAGCTGATCTTGCCAAGCCTTCATGCTATAGCATACGATTAGCATCATATACAGGCATCTTCATGAGATGGCAGCAGCTCCTTACACGAAGGGGTCATTGACGGCGACAACAAACACCTGGCCGGATGTCTTGAGATTGGGGTGGTTAATGTACGAGGGGATGTGCTTGCTGGAGCAGGTGCCGGTGAAGGCGCCGGGAACGCCAACGATGTAGCCATTGCCTTTCTGGAACTCCTCAGCCAGGTTGACTTTGCTGGCAGCTGAGTTCTCAAACAGCTCAAGGCTAGGGAGCTCATCCCCTGCCTTGACCAAAGCCCGGGGCGTCGAGTGGAAGCCACGCGCGACGGCGGGCCGTGCCAGGGCAATTCGGCGGAGGGGCAGACGGAAAGCCATTGTCAGCGGTATTTAGGCTTCGGTACGTAAGTCTGACAGCTAAAGTGGTGATGACGGGGATAATGGCGAAAATGGACGGGTGAGTGAGCTTCAGGCAATGAGGACGAGTGGCGTCAACGAGCTGCTAGTAGTACAGTCAGCCGGGCCCCCTCGGCTTAGCCTACCGGCCCCGCCCGCTCCGTAAATTCTTGTCCTCCGTTGGCCAGTCCATGCTGGTAAATGCATGCAGCGCCAATGGATATTGGCACTGGGTATTGAATCTGTCTTACCCTACATATGTACTCCGTATATTGGATAATATCACTAGGGAGCTCCATTGATATGGGCACTCTATCGTTATTGGGCACCCATTGGAACTTTAATTACTAATTTCTTCAAGTTATCACACGTAAGAGGCTGTTATACTTTCAGCATTCATCTAGTTTACGGTTGCTGCTCGCGACATGCTTCACAATAGGGAAGCGTCTAACACCTAGTTGCACCGCAAAGAGATCATCCCAGTGCGATATTTGCCCCAAAAACAGGGGTTGATAGAGTTCACCAGCAACAGTGCCAGGAAGCCTTTCCCTATTCGTCGCTCATCGCGCTTCCTCTCGTCATAAACGATAGAATTAAGATGCAATCTAGCTCCGCGCAATTTAATAGTTTGCGTAGCGAAAGGAAGACGAAGAGGCCAGGTGGGTGATACGAGCTTACAAAGTCTAATCTGCATCTTGGCATATGCCTACATTTTCTTCATAGCATCACGGCATAACACCGTGCATGCATGTAAGTGTATCGGTAGCTTGTTATTTAGAACTGCCATAGTATCCGGCTATTGAAGTGGTTCATGCACCTGTCCGTCGAATGGCTTCGTCTATCATGTCCCGGATGAACTAGTGGCGCTTGAGAGGCTTGCAGGCAAAAGGGGCTACTCTGACGTACCATGCCGGCAAAAAACCTCACTCGGCAACCAGCAGATCACAGGGGGGAGCACGGGCAGTGCAGAGGGACGTGCTTTGGCGATGGACCGTTGGGGAGTTTCCTGCCATTCTGGGATTGCTGTGAGATTGAAGGACTACTGGCACAAGAGGCACCGGAGGCGATATGCGCATGTGTAAGGGGACACCACATGCAGTCAGATGCCAGGCATGATAAAGTCGGAGCGGCCTCAACGACGAGTGCGCGTTTGGAAGATGGCCTGAGGATTTTTGGATGCTACCGGCTGGTCAGAGAAAGAGAGCGTGGGGGGGCGAGCAAGGCGCATGTACAGTAGTTGGTGGTAGCACAGAGTATAATTGGATCTTTGCCTATATAGAGGAATCACTGCATTAGCACATGAGGAGTTGCATGAGGATGGCGGTTATATGCGCCGCCGCAAGGGTTGGATTATCTATCCGAATCTGAGGCTCCATAATACATGTGCTACTACTGCTGCTACTACTGCGAATTGATCATATTTCTCGCCGTTTCTAGTCGTTTTTCGGGAATTATATTCAGTTGGCACTCCGTAACCCGTTCCTGGCCCTATGCCGTATTTGGCACCAGGCCGTTCCCCAGCGATTTTATCTCACTTTTTTTTTTTTACCAGTCATGGGACCCCTTGACGAGCGGATATTTTTTTTGCAAGTGGGCTTGCGCAGGGAGCGAGTGGAGGCCGTGAAAGGATGCAGGCTGTGGAGGGAGGGGAGAGGTGCTCATCATTAAAACGGTGCTGCAAATAGAAGCAATAGCTGTATGTGCTACTGCCACGCGAGTGTAAGGGGCTGCGTATGATTTGACATGGCATGGAGAACCGGGAGCATAGTTCGACGAGAACTCGTATGTTTTACAAGACTGCGACGCCGTGCCTACGAAACATAGTAGGATATCGCACGCAATCCAAGCATCGCAGCGCCAAGGGGGGGAAATCGATGCAGCACTCGCGTTGCAGAGCATCCTCCGTCCACAGCGAGATAGGCAAAGGCATCTGGCTCCAGTCTCCACCTGCCCCTGGCGCATCATCCATGCTACTCCAGACATGGCGACAGGCCGCTCACCAGCAACTGGTGCGTTTCAGCAAAAAGATGTGTGCTGATACATGATGGCGCTTGCCAGGGGCTGGTCTGGAGTGCATGTATGGAGTTTTGCACGGAGCACGAAGTACTCTGTACTAGTCGATGCTAAAATCCGTCTATTTGCTCCCTTAGCATTATACCGTACTAGTACTGCAGTCTGTGCGAACGCTTCTGCCTCTCGTACGAGCACTAGTCTCGCAGTAAAAGAGCACTGGCCAGACGTCATCCTAAAACCCCTGAATGAGCTGCGTTGAGACATGTAACAAGTACCTCGTCTACCTGTAGATGTCTGAAACACGGCGTCCACGGCTTCAAGACGGGCATTGGCGCTGTGATGCGAACGCAGCAGAGAAAACAGCACAAGGGAGTCGTCGACGGCACCGTGTTTGATTTTTCGGCGAGCATCATTTGCCTGCTCTCTCGCTTACTGGCGAGAGTGCGACTTCATGGGGGGCCATGTTGCTATTGTCGCTACAAGAAGCATCATTGACGGTAGTTTATCCGGTGGCTGGAGCTAGCCAAGGCTCTTGAGGGTATCATCGCCCAGAATCGCGATGGACAGGCCAATACGACGTCCATACATACTTTGGACTTGTATAGCTCCAGCGCGCATGCAAACTCAGGCCGAGTAGCAGGTACATGCCCGTGGCTCGGCGCTACACGCAGCGCTACCCCGCCGCCCCTCTGGATTGTACATTGGATCAGCGCCTTACTCGTGCTAATGGCTCTTTGCTGCGTTCGAAGCAAGGCTAGACGGCACTATGCCTTGAACTATCTTTTTTTTTTCTTCGTGTCTTGGGATATTAACGTAACGCCCTGCCGCGGGATGACGACGGTGGAAAAAAAAAAAATTTAAGAAACAAACAAACAATAGAGCGAGAGAGAGCGGGAGAGATGCTAGTAATGGTACCTAGTTTGGTACTTGATATCTTGAGCGAAAGAGACTTTTGTACATGTAACGCATGCTGATACCTGTGCTCCGTACAGTTTGCAACTCTTATGCTACGAATGGCCCCATGAATCACATCATTCGCCGCGCGCACCCTGACGCCTGCATGCCGCATGAAGAGACCCTCCATCATTCTTCAACGCCAAGTGACTGTGCAGAGCATCCTGCTGTGTGACGGGGTCCTTCCAGCGCCGAGATGGCTGCATGCTCTTCGTATGGACCAGTGCGATATGCAGGTGACGGCCTCTCTTGTCGACAGAGGTCCATGCCAGCGCTATGGAGGCCACTAGCGATGGTGGTGTGCGCCACCGATGCCCCTGGCCGAGAGCCCTGCCAAGCGTGGTTGGTGCACTGCAGCCCTTTCCGATAGACGGGCGGGTACTCCGTCGTCTGTCCCTGAGCAGGGCCTGGCAGCGCTACCCCAGACCGCTGCAGGGCGGCCGTCGTACAGCAGTGCTAGTGCCTGGGCCTGCCTGCTGCTAGCGGCGTGCTGCGCTAAGGAATGGAGTCCGCGTGTGGCGCCCCAGGCACGTCGTTTTGGGGCTGTTTTTGCACATCACTTCACTAAAAGCTCGTCGCCGCAACCTGAAGGCGGGCTCTCCCAGCCTAGCTCGCTGGGGCCTGGCCAGTGGTGCGCCGATGCTGCTGGGATTTCCTCGCCTCTGCTGATTGGGACAGGCCGCTGTGCAGCCCCTGGACCCAACGTGCTTCCCCTCTCCTCGAACCCGGCCAGGCCATGGCCCAAACAAGACGCGCTGCTCCAGTTTTATTGCTCTGCACTCGATACCACCATCACCACCAGCCGTCGCAGCCACAAACCTATTTCCTGCTGCGCCGTGCCCTCGTCTCGTCCGTTCTGCAACTCCTGCGCTCCCGCTTAGACGAGACGCCGCGGCACACTGTTTTTGCATCGCATCGCATCGTTTCGCATCGCCTCTGCCCGACTCAAACCTCTGCCTGCCGCGTTTCTCTCTCTCTCGAACCGAGATTTGCCTGTGTACCGCTCGGCTAGCGACGCTGCCCTGACGTCTGTCGCGCCCACCATCCATCCCGCTTTCTCTCCTGCGCGACGAACCATCTCGCCTCTTAATTAATCATCCTCGTTTCTTTTTTGGATTCAGCACGTGTGTTCCTGTCTTTTCTGAAGCATCGAGCATAGCTTTTGTTGTCTTCTTTTTGCTTGGTCAAGATAGAATTCTGCACGCTGTTTGATTCGGAAAGCGATTTTTGACACCAGCGCTCTCGCCTCTTCTCGCCCATTCTTCGAACTGCACGGGATACCCTCGATCGAATCGTTACACCATTGCTGGATCGCTTGTGAAGCTCCTCCGAACCCGACGCAAACTGTACTACAAGCGTGCCATTAACAATTGCATTTGTTCTGAGCTTCTATCTTTTTTCTTCTTTTAATTCTTGATTCCTTCTCTTTGGTGGCTACAGCCTGTCTGTTCCCCTCCATCGCCTCTATCAATCTCATCGACGACGCATGAAATAAAAAAAAAAAACAAACAAACAAACAATCAGCTTGAGCAAACCTCGATTAGACAGCAACCTTGTCGAGTGATGAGCATTATCGCTTAGAAGCAGCTATAAACCTCCCCCATCGTCAACAATTCCGAGGCCCTGGGGCGACAAGGCCCGACCCTCCCTTCGGTCGCACAGCGCCAATACGCATAATGCCTGTCATGCTACATACCCCTTCGAGAGCCTCCACAGCATCAACTTCTTCCTTTCAACAGCTCTCCCGCCAAAACACAATGTCCACCTACGATGGCTCGCGCTCTGCGCGCCAGTCGAAGCGGTACTCCATGTCCGCGCTGTACATGTCCATGACTGCGAATGAGGGAGAGATGCAAATTGAGGACGATCTCGCTAAAGGTGATAATGCACCAGCCACAGCTGCGGACCTTGCCTCCCCTATTGTTAACATGACTGACGCCCCCCCGACCTATAGCCCAGAAAGCCCTACGCGATCTCAAATCCAAAATATCCTCCCAATCGAAGAAGAACTTTGTCCTCGAAAAGGACGTCCGCTACCTTGATTCGAGAATTGCGCTGCTCATCCAAAACCGCATGGCACTGGAAGAAGTACGTTTTTAATATGCGGTGTGTTTTTTGCTCTGATGACACTTTCTAATACCTACCTACCTATGCAGCAAAATGAAGTAGCCAGCCATCTTGAAGAAGGCGAAATGGAAGAAGGTGTCTTCCCTAACGACGACAAGACTCAGAAATATGGCAACCTCTTGTTTCTCTTGCAATCTGAGCCTAGGCACATTGCTCATCTATGCCGACTTGTCTCAATGTCGGAAATCGACTCGCTTCTGCAGACGGTTATGTTCACCATTTATGGAAATCAGTATGAAAGTCGAGAAGAGCATCTGCTGCTTACCATGTTTCAGGTACGATGCACTCTGGGCTTGGTTACGATTGCAACACCCAGCTAACAATCATCTTTGCCGTTTAGTCTGTCCTTACCTACCAATTCGATAATACCCCTGACTATTCCTCGCTACTTCGAGCCAACACGCCCGTCTCCCGCATGATGACGACTTACACTCGAAGAGGCCCGGGTCAAAGCTTTTTGAAGATTGCGCTGGCGGATAGGATCAACAGCTTAATCGAGTTGCGAGACCTGGATTTAGAAATCAACCCCCTCAAAGTGTATGAGCGCATGGTCGAGCAGATCGAGGAAGATGCTGGCACGCTGCCTCCCAATCTTCCAAAGGGTGTCACCGCCGAACAGGCAGCAGAGAACCCTCAAGTCCAGGCCATTATCGAACCGCGACTAACGATGCTCATTGAGATTGCCAATGGCTTTCTGTCTACCATCATTGACGGGCTGGAGGAGGCCCCTTATGGTATTCGCTGGATCTGCAAGCAGATTAGAAGCTTGACAAAGCGTAAATATCCTGATGCTAACGACCAGATTATCTGTACTTTGATCGGTGGCTTTTTCTTCTTGCGCTTCATCAACCCGGCCATTGTTACCCCCAAGTCATACATGCTCATTGACGGAACGCCCGCCGAACGGCCTCGCAGAACCCTCACTTTAATTGCCAAGATGCTCCAGAACCTGGCCAACAAGCCCTCTTACTCCAAGGAGCCTTACATGGCTAAGCTCCAGCCGTTTATTCAACAGAACAAGGACAGAATCAACAAGTTCATGCTTGACTTGTGTGAGGTTGGCGACTTTTATGAGAGCCTAGAAATGGACAATTACGTCGCTCTTTCCAAGAAGGACCTTGGGCTTGAGATTACGCTGAATGAAGTCTATGCAATGCACTCGCTGATTGATAAGCACAACAATGAACTGTGCAAGGATGAGGCATCGCACCTGTCAATCATCGTATCTGAGCTGGGGCCGGCCCCTCCTCAAGTGCCTCGCAAAGAGAACCGAGTCATCAACCTTCCCCTGTTTAGCAGATGGGAGACTGCGATCGATGACTTGACCGCGGCTCTGGATATTACACAGGAGGAAGTGTACTTTATGGAAGCCAAGTCCATCTTTGTGCAGATCATGCGAACGATTCCTCAGAGCAGTGCCGTTTCTAAGCGGCCGCTACGGCTTGAGCGTGTTGCAGATGCTGCTGCCACCAGCCGCAATGACGCCGTCATGGTGCGTAAAGGTATCAGGGCCATGGAGCTTTTGTCCCAGCTCCAGGAGCTTGGCGTGATCGACAAAGCCGACCAGTTTGATCTCTTGAGGGATGAAGTTGAGCAGGAGCTCCAGCATCTTGGCTCGTTGAAGGATGGTGTGATTGCTGAGACCGAGAAGCTCGAAGAAGTCTTCAAGACGATCCGTGATCACAACGCTTATTTAGTTGGTCAACTTGAGACTTACAAGAGCTACCTCCACAATGTACGATCACAAAGTGAAGGCACTAAGCGAAAGCAACAAAAGCAGCAGGTTCTCGGACCATATAAGTTTACACACCAGCAACTTGAGAAGGAGGGTGTTATCCAGAAGAGCAATGTCCCGGATAACAGACGGGCCAACATCTACTTCAACTTCACCAGCCCGTTACCTGGCACATTTGTCATTTCCCTACACTACAAAGGTATGGCTTTCCTCTTTCTCGTTTCTACCATTGTCAAGTAATTTGTCGGGCTAACATGATGAAAAAAGGCCGAAACCGAGGATTGCTCGAACTCGACCTCAAGCTCGATGACCTTCTTGAGATGCAGAAAGATAACCAGGACGAGCTGGATCTCGAATATGTCCAATTCAACGTCCCCAAAGTCCTTGCATTGCTCAATAAGAGATTTGCTCGGAAGAAGGGGTGGTAATTTACGCCCAATGATGGCCACAGCTAATACTAATTTTGCTGCCATGTCGAATGCATATCATAATCAACGCATCACGACTATATGCAAAAGGGGGGATGGGGGATGGCGGAAAAGAAGGCACCGGGCGTTATGGAGCATCACGGAAACTTTTTGTTTCCTTTGTTTGAGTGTGTCAACTAGCAATGCGACTCTAGTACACTCCTAGTTTTCAGCTACAGTTTCTCTTGTCTTTTTTCATCATTTTTTTTTCTTTTCTTTATTATTTCCCTTGGAGCAGGTGGATGGACTGTAACGATACTTATTTATACCTCTGGTAATGATGGGAAGGAGAGATGCCGTATTATGTGTTTTTCCCTCTCAATGGCTGGTCCATGAACTGGGAGGAATTTTCGAAATCTTATGCGAATGGATAGTTCGTTTTGTTTTGCCTTTTTTTTTTTTTTTTTTCGTTTTATTTTTATCCTCCCCTTCTCCTCGTTGTCATTAATAATGAATATCTTTGGTAATGTGACAATTTACTGGGAGAGTCTTGGGAGCTTTTGCTGTATTTTTACCTAGCTTGATTGAAATGATGCGCATTAGGAACTATCAAATTTCTTTCTTCAGCTTTATGATGTATCCTCTGGTTAACTAGTCTAATGCTGTCTATTCCACGATAGTGGACAATCCATATGGTACACTGTAAAATAGGTTTCGGTGTAGTTTATACATTCACACACGTTATACTATATCTTTCTCATCTCCGCTGGCTGTTCTTCTCACCCAAGCCCAGCGCCGACGCCATGGTGGTTTGGCATTCCCGCCAGCACCGCCATTTCCCCCAGAGCCACATTCAGCTTGCCGTTTTATAGTGAGCCTCCTCTTGCGGCCTTTGGACGGCGAAAGCGCAGATATGGACCGGGCATCCTTGGGAGTAGAGGAATCGAACTTGCGAAAGAGGCGAGGCAAGAAGCGAAAGAGACGGAAGAGTAGATGGGGGAGGGAATGAGATATTTCGTTAATCTTTTGGATACACTGGACAAAGGGTCGGGTTTGGATGAGGTAGAGGAGGATTATGAAGGGGACGCAGACGAGGACCATGGTGACGGGGAAGCGCCAGTCTGTTACGGGAATGTGGAGTTCTGTGATGCCAAAGACGGACTGGTGGTTTAATTTGTTAGTCTATAGGCTTGGGGACAGATGAATGTTTGTAGTTGTTATCTTTATGATGGTGATGATGATGATGAAAATAGGGCACGAGATGGGGATTTTACTTACAGTTACAAACGTAAGAGGCAGGAAGAGCATGCTTATCACAGTCAAGATACGGATATTATCCCCCTGATCAATCGCTCTCCTGCTCTCCTTGATGGAACTTCCACTAAACAGCTGATCCCTCAGATTCTCAATCTCCTTCCGCGTGCGCTCGTTCCGCTTCAGCACCTCACTCAGATCACTGACGACTTTATCCAGCTCCCTCCGCAAGACAGCCATCTTCGCGGCATAATCCATTGCGTCGGGAGACTGCGGCGGCAAAGGATGCGGCCATAGCAGCGGGTGCGTGCCGGCCCAGAAGTCGTCGGTGAAGGTGTCGACGTAGGCGGAGATCATGGCCTTGATGCCGGTGTTGATGACGGCGAGGGTGTTGTAGGCCCAGAAGTAGCGGCGGATGTAGGTGAAGTGCTTGTCTTCGAAGAGGAGCTTGTCGCGGAGGTGGTGGTTGAACATGAACTCGGTGGGGGGCGTGATGAGCTTGGTGATTCGCTCGTGGAGGATCTGGTTCCTTTTGCCGGCGTCGCGGTACTCGGTTATGAGGAGCTCGAGGAACGCATATGGGCCGTTGCAGAATCGTTTGAGGTCCTGGAAGTCGTCTCCCCTGACGGTGTGCTCGTCGTCGGGGAAGCTCTGGATACTGAGCAGGTGCCAGGGCCCGAATGTGTCGAACAGGAATCCTTCTTTGGCGCGCTCTCTGCGAGGTCTCATTTTGAGCGTCTTGGTCGGTTCGCCTTCTAAAGAGAGCGCAAGGATGGAGCCGCATTCGGCAATGTCGATGTGGTCGTCGAGACGTTTGTCCGAGGGGCGTTTTTCGTAGAGTTGCCAGGGCGCGGGATCGAGATCTTTGGGAACAAGGGTGTAGTATTTGAAGACGAAGAAGAAGGATCGTTGTCGGAGGTGAGAGGAGGAGGGGGAGGTTGAAGATGTGCCGCCTCTCATGTTGCTGGATGTGTTTAGGGGTGATAACATGGGAGATGCTGAAGACGCATATGCTGACGAGGACGGAGATCGCTCGTAGGCGCGATGCATGAACGCATGGGTACGGCCACCGCTGGGGTCGTCGGAGAGGAGGTGGTGAAGAAGCTCAGTCATGTCGAAGTGAGGCGACATGGTGAGATGCAGGGCGGCGAGCATGAGCGGCGTTGGTTCCTGAACGATGCTATCTCTGTGATTTAGTAGAGGGAATAGAGATGATTTATATTTATGTGCTTGAGATTGGAATACACAAAGAAATGATGGCTGATGATGACAGCATAATAGGGCGGAGGACAACGTACGTGATTCGACCAACAGCCTGGCCGCTGAGGTTGATATCCTTGATGGATTCCCAAACAATCGGCGCATCGACAATAAACTCGGGAGACTCTGGCAGCTCATCGCCAGCGTACTTGACAAAACCTTGGACATCCACATCCAAGTTTGTCTTGACAGCTCTATCATCCTGCCCAACCTCGTATACTTCAAACGTCGAACTGTCAAAGCGGCTCCCCTCGACAGCAGCAGACTCCCGGAAAGACTGCATAGAGTCGATTTCCCACTGCGGCAAAGGCTCGTCCTTGTCGTTGAGTCGGCTGGAGAACTCGCTATAGAACTCCGAGTCGCGGAGGTGTTTGACGAGCTCTTGGTCGGAGAAGCTCCGTGGGGCGAGTATCCCACGGACGTGTGAAGACGTGCCATCGGCGGCTGGGTTATGGCGAGCAGAGGAACTGTCTAGAAGGGGGATGAAGGAAATCTCTTCGTCCGGGATGCTGCCGTAGCCGCTGCCGGCTGCATGGTTGAGACTTGGAGTGAGTGGAAGAATCCTGGGAGACGGATAGCAAGAAGGTCTGTCATGAGTGTCGGGGGTGTCGCGGCGTGGACGAGGAGGCAGCAGAATGCTGTTGGCATCGCTGGTGAAGGTGAGAGCGCGCAGGGGGGGCGTTGCCAGGCCTTGGATGTCGGAGCGCTCTCTTTGATGGGCGCTGAGGGTTTCGTGGAAGCTGTGGAGGCTGCGTAGGTACTGCTCGTGGTGGTGTTCGACTGATCTGACGAGCTCTTCCAGGCTGGTGTTGCTGCGTGGCTGAAGAGCCATCGTTTGAGTTATCTTTGTTAATCAAGATGAAGTGATATTTAGCATAAAGTTGTCTGAAGTGTATTTTATTATTTAGAGATAGTAATAGTATTTCTGTAATATTGCAAAAGTAGAAAAAAAAAAAAGAACAAAAAGCTCCATCTTATCAGCCCTCACAACACAACATGGGGTGGGTGCTATATATCCATCCAGCTTCAGCTTCAGACACTCCGCTCAGCTCGGCTGCCTCTTTCATCCACCGAAGCCAAAGAGGATGACGCAGCGCCGGCCACGTTTCGGAGTCGCCCGCCTATTTCATTGCAAAGCAGACAGGCACGGGCATGGAAAAGCAACAGACAATGCCATTCCTTTTCCTTGGCGGCCGCGCAGGCTGCAGCAGTTTTGCGCGATGTGAAGGCTGATTGATCGATGGCGTCGCACACCCACGTGCAGCTGTGTCCTGTGAGCACAGGATCTCAAGGGCCCGGGGAAGAAGGCCGACGGCTGTCTAGCTGTGCTAGCTCGGTGTCTTGGTGTGGTTGATAAGAGCCCCTTCGCTGCCTTGCTGTTGTTCGACGTTTCGCTTTTGAGTAAAGTCGCTGCTTGGCATTCAAAAGTGAGGCGGCCGAAAGTGAGGCTGAAGTCGTTTCGCCCGTCACAGCTTGGACAGGCGGGTTGGTGCGGCTGGAGGCGGCCGAGGCTATGAAGCTGCTAGCAGCAACACCCCAAACTGAAGTATTCCATCAAGCCAGAGATGTCTGCTTGTCATACCGTAGTGCGTGGGGGGGCTTCGTGGCGTGTAATAGCAGTAGCAGATCTCTGCGTGCCGAGTGCGGAGAAACTTCAAGATTCCGCTTCCGCAGCCCTTGACGCACATCTCGCACGTGAGATCTGAGCCATGGAGAGGACTGGAATAACGGCGACGCCCCGCCTGTCCGACGGGGCAATGAATCTTCCACTCCAGCGGCCGAAGACAAATGCTCCTTAGTCACAATCATTATCCGTTATCAACGCCATGGCAGCCTCGACAAGCAGTGTCGTCATCCGTCATATGCTATCATTTTGTCTTCCTGTCACTAAATATAACAAGATTTTTGAGGATATCACAAAGTATACCGAACCGCCTATCCACCCCTCCCTCCCAACCGATGCCATCCCATCCCATCGTATCTTCGTAACTCTATGTCCTGTCTAAATGGCACAACGCCATAAAAGCAAAGTGTGCTCAATACCTGTGCACACAGAAAAGGCTTGTCGAAGCCGCGCCGTCATGGCGTCAACTACGACACAACTGAAACGGGGTTGTGAGCGGCTGCGGCACCATCAACTTCCATGGCATCGTCGTCACCCTCCGCTTCACCTTCGCCCTCTTCCTCTTCTTCTATCTCGTCTTCACTTTCGCCCTCAATATCGACGCTGCCATCTTCAGACATCTCGTCCTCTTCGTGATCGTGATCATGTCCGTTCTGGTGCTCGCCCTCAACGCCAGCCATCTCGGCGTCTTCGCCCTTTTCCTTGGCAGCTTCTTCAGCAGCCTCTTCCGCAGCCTCATCCTCGGCTTCCTCAGCACCATATTCTTCCTCGTCCGCAGCAAGGTCGGCCTCAGGTTGCTCAGGAGGAAATTCGGGGGGCGCAGAGGCCTCAGAGTCCCTATTAACAGCACTATTAGAATTTGTCATTTAAATGTGTGGCCTAGGATATGTTCTCACCATTTGATAGCGAAACGTGTCACACGTGGCTTCTCGGCGAGGACGTTTCGCTTCACTCTCTCAATGATCGGCTTCGCAGGGGGTTCAGCGTTGAGCTCCTCAGAGTCGTACTCGTTGTTGACGTAGTATCCGACGCGAACAAACTCGCGACCATCGTAGGCACAGGTCAGGAGGATGACCGTCACGCCAAGAACATCGGCGTCGGGGATGCGGGTGGTGTTGGGCGCCTCAGCTTCAAAGACGAACTTGTTAACTCCGACTGGGATGGGGCCGACAAGAAGGGAGTCTAGCTCCTGGTCATATTGATCGCTGCGATGGGTTAGAACTGGTTGGAGGGGATGATGCCCAACGAAGATGGTCGTCTTACGAGGTAGCAGATCCGACGTAGGTCAGCTTCCACTCGAGATCTGCGCGCAACCAGTTAGAAAAACTGTACATTAAGAGGTCTGGGGTGCTAAATCAACACGACTCACCCTTCTCAAGTGGCTCAAGGCACTCGAATGTGATCTCAAACTCGTACTTGTCGGTGAATTTGGCGGGGTTGTTCATCACCCTAACGCCAAGAAGTGACACGACAGACATGGTGGCGGATTTTCACCAAAAACAACAGAGAATTAGTAGAGGTGAAGTGTTGGCTGCGAGAGAATCTCAATTGAACCACGCGACGGGGAAAAGTTTGCGCAGGGCCCAGTCGTCGAAGGGATAGAATGGACAGAGAAGTTGTCGGAGGGGCAACCAAGAAAGTCGGTAACCGTGGAGATTACGAGAAGCCTGAGAAAACGACTTGCGGCGGAGAAGAGGAAGCCGAGTCGTGACGCAAATGCAAGAGAATCGGCAAGTCGCTGGCTTTGCGTGTGCGTGCAGAGGGAAGAAAAAAGACGCGGCTGGTGGTGGTGGAGGAATTGTCGAACTGACAAAAAGGTGAACACAACTTGATCAAAGTTATGCCTCTAGCCTCTGGAGACGCGACCGTAGCGCTTCGCGTAAAGTGGTTGTGTGGCGCCTGTGATTTGGCCGATCCGACAGAGGTACACAGGCACATGGGCAGGCGCCTCGCAGATGCCTTGTCGCTGAGGTAGCGAGTACCTTAGCCGCCCCGAACTGAGACAGAGACTGCTGAGCTGTTCAGCGGGTCAGGCGCCGGCAAGCTAGCCAGCCAGCACGTACCTGCCGCTGAAACACTCAGTACTCGGTACCTCCCTCGCGCAAGACGTCTAGCCTGGCCCACAGCCTTCCCCAATTGGGAGCTTGGGTGACTCTGATTTTCAATTGCTCCAATTCCCACCTCAGAACAAGCATCACCTCGGCCAAACACGTTTCTGGCACGCGCTCCCTGCTCCTGATCTAGGGACCGCTGTTTCGCCTTGCTCTAGCTGGACTGCAGCTCTGTCGCGCTGTATCGATCCCGATTTTGCACCTCCTCACGGAAGCGCTACGGCTTCTTGCCTGACGCTGACGACAAGCGACGCGGTTTGCTGGCCGGCGAGGACGAAAACGGTATCTACCTTGCTCGCTACACTGCGGCAGCAGCACAAAGGTTTGGAGCTTACTATCATTTAACATAATGACTGTATTTTAATTGGAGCCTCATAGTTTTTCAATCTCGATCGATTCGTAACCTGCCGCCACCCTCGCAGCTTCGCGGCTGAACGAGAAGCTCCGATTTTTTTTTGCTGCGTGAGCCATTGACGCTCCCCTATCGTCAAAGTATTGCTCAATCGGGTCTTCACTGATATCCCTTGTGGTGCTCTGAGTTGAAATATAAAGAAAGCCTCTCGAGATGGCTTCCGAAGGCACTTCGTGGGACGATGATGGATTTGCGGCCGCCGAAGGCGCTCATACTCAGCATAGCGACGAACAAGTTGATAACTTTGCTCAAGACTCTCATGTGTCAGGTGAATCAGCGGATAATGGAACAGAGGATGGAGGGGATTATGACCCAGAATATGTCCCCGTTGAAACAGTTCTCCCAGACCCTCCTGTCCCTGAAAACGCCGCTCCCGCTGCCCCCGCTGTCCTTTCTCAACGTCCAACACCCAAACCAAAAATGTCTGGTGGCTTCTTAGTGGAAGCCTCAGACGATGAAGAAGACGATGAAGGAGACAATGCAGGCCCGGCCGAGCCCTCGGTATTGCAGAGCCAAGTTGGTCAGCCCACTGAGATCAAGACGGCCATTGTCCCAGTTCCTCCTGTTCCCACTAATGTTCCATCCAACGTGACTGCAACGCCCGTGGCTAGCCTTGACCCGGTAACGTTATTCGAGGCTCGCATTAAAGAGGACCCTCGGGGGGACATGGATGCTTGGGTGAATCTCATTGCCGAGCATAGGCGCAACAACAGATTGGATGATGTTCGCAAGATTTATAACCAATTTTTGGAAATCTTTCCCCAATCGGTAAGTTTGAAGAGGTTTACCTGGCCGGCCGCTCCGAATTTGAAGAGGGACCCCTCTTTCTTTTTAATCTTGATGCACAGCTGACAGTAATAGGCCGACATGTGGGTAGAATGGATCGAGATGGAGCTCGGCATGGACAATTTCGTCAATGCTGAGCAGCTCTTTGGACGATGCTTGATGACCGTTCCCAACGTCAAGCTCTGGACCGTTTATCTCAACTACATTCGCCGTCGAAACGACCTCAACAACGACTCGAATGGCCAGGCCAGGAGAACTGTGACCCAATCGTATGAGTTTGTAATCGATAACATTGGCGTTGACCGGGACTCGGGAAATATCTGGCAAGATTATGTCCAGTTTATCAAAAGCGGCCCTGGGCAAATTGGAGGTACTGGTTGGCAAGACCAACAAAAGATGGACCAGCTGCGTAAAGCGTACCACCGTGCAATCAACGTACCCATGTCGACGGTAAACAACCTGTGGAAAGATTACGACCAATTCGAAATGGCGCTCAATAAAGTGACGGTACGTCTTTCCACCTATACGTAATGGTACGCCTTCTGCTAACTCATCAATAGGGACGCAAGTTTATCCAGGAGCGATCTCCTGGTTACATGTCTGCAAAGAGTGGCAATATTGCCTTGGATAATATTACGCGGGGCTTGAAGCGTTCAAACCTCCCCAGATTGCCACCAGCGCCAGGTTTTGAAGGTGACCAAGAGTTTCGCGATCAAGTTGCGTTGTGGAAGAAGTGGATCGAGTGGGAGAAGGAAGATCCGCTTGTGCTCAAAGCAGACGAGCCCAAAGTTTTCGCACAGCGAGTCCTGTACTGCTATAAACAGGCATTGATGGCTTTGCGCTTCTGGCCCGAACTTTGGGTTGATGCATCAGAGTGGTGCCTTCAGAATGATGTAGGAGACGTTGACAAAGAGATGGGTGCCGAGTTTCTGGTACAAGGCATTGCTGCGAACCCTGAGAGCGTTTTGCTAGCTCTGAAGCATGCAGACTACATTGAGTCCACTTCCCCACTGAGAGAAGGAGATAAATCCGAATTTGCTAAAGCTGTGCGGAAGCCTTATGATGAGGTCTTGAATACGTTGTATGCGATGGGAGACAAGGCTAAAGAGCGCGAAAAGCTGGAGATTTCCACTCTCAGGCAAGCGGCTGCGCAGGAGGCCTCTGTTCAGCAGTCAATCGAACAAGCTTACGACGATGACTACGAAGAAGGGACGCAAAAGAAGATATCTACTGAGGAGCGCATCGCTGTAATTCAGAAAGGCTACGCCGCAGAGACCAACCTTCTCTCTCGCACTATTTCATATGTGTGGATTGCCATGGCAAGAGCAATCCGCCGTATTCAAGGCAAAGGCAACCAAACAGATGGCGGATTGCGCAAAGTCTTCACTGATGCCCGACAAAAGGGGCGCCTGACCAGCGACGTATATGTTGCTGTTGCTTTGCTGGAGTCGGTAGTTTACAAAGATACCGTTGGCGCCAAGATTTTCGAGCGTGGAGCCCGTTTGTTTCCAAATGATGAAGGCTTCATCGTTGAATACTTGAAGTTTTTGCATTCCAAGGACGATACTACGAGTAAGTTATTCAGTTGCCATCATGTATTAGTTGAAGGATAGCATATCTAACTGCCATTTTAGATGCTCGAGTAGTTTTCGAGACTTGCGTTAACCGCCTTGTCGCCAACCCAGAGACACTTCACAAGGCGAAGCCTCTATACGCATACTTTCACAAATATGAATCTCAATACGGCGAACTGTCTCAGATTCACAAGATCGAAGCGAGAATGGCAGAGTTGTTTCCTGAGGATCCTAAACTCAACATCTTTGCTGCCCGCTACTCAACTGACAAGTTCGATCCCGTCGCCGCCCCGGTCATCATTTCGAAGGCTGCACAAATGCGGCCAAAACTTGCCGCCCCCATCACTGAGCAACCTGCATCAGCACGCAACAGCTTCCCCCCGCAGCGAGAGCTGAGCCCGCGGCCGCAGTACGTCAGAGCTACGGCTTCCCCAAAGCGTCCCCTTGGTCCAGATGACGAAGAGCTCAACCCTCCAAAGAGGCTCGCCAGAGGATCATCACCTCTCAAAGGGGCGGCTGGCCGACGGCTCGACCAGCAGCGCCGCAACCAGTCATCGGCTCTTCATCGTGATATTACGTTCCTTCTAGGAATTCTCCCTCCTGCCCATACCTATGACTCGCAACGACTCAGCGCAGCCAACATGGTCTCGCTCCTACGCGATACTCCACTTCCAGACTACGGGACTTGGAAGGCACAAACCGGGGGACAGTATCGCTTTACCGCCCCCGTACACGGGCGACAGCCTTCGGGAGACTTTCCGAGACCGATTAGCCCGTATGGCCGAATTGCGCCTGCTTCTAATGTCTATAGACAATCGCCTCTAAGGACAGAGACCGGCACCACGTTCCCAACGATTCCCTACGGGGCGACTGACGCAAGTGGAACTCCAACCCAATGGCCCCCGGCACCACCACCATCTGGATACGGCGCACCAGCTCCAGGCCAATATGGAGGATATCGCTTTCAATAGAACAAAGAGATTTGGTAAATTGTAACGAGGGACTTGAGTATGTTTAGCAAATTGGACATTTATGACTGGATAATGAAGGGGATACGAGAGGGGAAAGAATATAGCTTGTTGTTCGAAGATGAGGGTTGGCGGTCAATGCTTATTCTTCTTGATGCATTCCGAAGGCGTTTGGCAGGAAATAAGAAGTTGGACGGGTTATTTAACTTAGATATCACACTCAAGCATTTGTGCTTGCACCTTTTGGTGAGGGTCAGATTTAGGACGGCCGAGCTGCGGTAGGCAGTTGATGATTTGCAAATGGATATAACGTGCACTATCCACCTTGTGGGCAGCAAGTGCAGTGAAAGTACAGTCACATACCTCTTACTGTGTCAGACTTTTGGACCTCGATGCTATATGTAACAACTTGAAATGGGGATTGTTATTCAACCCCTTGAAGTCGTGTAATCCAGCATCCTGTTTATTGCCTAATAAGGTGGTTAGTCCACAGACACAGACGCATACACATACGCACGTATATATATCATTAGAGGAGGTAGAGGAAGTAGAGCAGATAGAGAAGATAGAGGGAGTAGAACAAGACTAGAATGGCTGTTAATATTTGCCCATCCGGCTGTTTCTTTGATCCCTTGCGAACGAGCTGCGAATGTGCCTTGATCATTGCTCGCCTTGACCCTCGACGGAACTGAACAAAAAGTCAAACATAGTGCCCAGAGCTTGACTGACAAGCTTTGTATCACCAAGATGTTAGTTCAAATGCCCGAAACCTCCCATTTGGTCCGCCCATCGGAAGCACAGAGCCGTCAAACGACATAATTAAGCAAGCAGACGCCCTTCCCACGGCTATGTGCATAATAAGAGCGGTGGAGAGACAATTCTCCCATAATTTTATACTTGTTCAGACCTCTAGGCCTCCTACTGTGCAACTCTCTTTGTAGCACAGACTGGGGATCTGTGGAGTTGTATTTATGCCTCCCGCCTTCCCACTTCACTCGACTTCCCTTTAGCTCCGGAAACTCAGCTTCAACTTTCCATTGAGATTCGGTCCCATAGGCTCTTTCTACTCCGGCAAGTCTGCACTGATCCATAGCGACCTCGCGCATTACCGCAGCGCTGTTGCAGCACCTATTTTTGCAGCTGACCGACACTCGGCCTCACGTGTTCAGCTGCAATCACTCCTCCTGCTGGCACCTTCCCTCACAACTATAAGATACCCTCTTCTCTTCCTCTCCATCCTCTCCTCTTTCCTTCCTCTTCACTAAGCTCGCAATTAATCTTCCGTGCAGCAATTCCGATTTTCTGTGCAAGATTCTTTGATAAATTCTTCTGGGTCGATTACCTTGACCGCACAGAGATCTTGTGCTGCCTCTTTTACGAACACAGCTTCTGGGTGAGTAGCCTCGTTCTCCTTTGCTACCTTTTTCGACTCCTTAAACTGCCTTCCCGCCTTTCCAACCATTCTTTGTATGCTATCTCCGGCTATTCGCTCTATTTATATCTTTCCCACTCCTCTTGGCCTTTGCACTCGTGCGGCGTCTTTGGCCATTGCGTTTTTTCTTTAGCCTAACAATCTTCTTATTGGCATCAAGCTTTGACCTGAAGGTGCTCTTCTCTACCGTGATCTTGCTCAGCTTGTCCTTTCACCTGTCATTTTCTTTGACCTCAGCCGTCTTCCATGTCCATCACTCACACCAGCTCACTTAATCACATTCCATATAACAAAGATGCATCTTTGGGCTCTTTCAGCAGCCACTAAGCACCCTCAATTTTCTTCCACTTATGGCCTTGTCAAAGCACACCAATAGATCTCTTGATCTCTTTGCGGTTCTCTGATTTGATTGAATCATTTTCACCGCTGTGCCTCAGTATGTCATGAGCTGCATCTGCTAACATATATATTCGTAAAGACCACCCTGCAGAGATCGTTTTCGGCATTGAGCTCTTCTACAAATCCTACGATCATTGTTTTTATGCACGACACTCTCAAGCATAGCTAGTAGCGGCTACATATACACTCGGGTACGTCTGCTACAGGGAAGCTTCTCTGGTTGAGCCATTGGATCAGTAAACACTTTCTTTTCTCTTGATTTGGATGCCTTATTTTGTATATCTGCTCAGAGATATCTAATCCTGTTCTAGATACTTGTCGAGAAACCGCAACTAAGGAACAGCGACCGCTATACGGCGTAAATCAAGGCAGGTCTCACATTCATTCATCTCTCTTGACCTCGCTCCTCCATCTTCGGTATATGTTACTGCATATGTCTGCAGGCTTGGGTGTTTACACACAATCATACACAGATGAATTTTTTCTTGGTTTATTTTCTTTCTTCTCTCTTTCTTTTGGTTTTCATTTACTAACTAGCGTCTGCAGTCAGAATGTCTGATCGAGGCCGCTCACCTGCCGGCTCTGCGCCTGGCACCTCACCCCAATCCCGCCAACCGTCTCGGTCAGGCTCTAGTCGAAGCCGAGCGGCTTCTCCAGCACAGACTTCAGGCTCCGGTGATCCCAAGACCGGTTGGGCGCCTAGTATGGGATTCGACCCTGCAAAGCCACCAAGCAAGGATCGAAAAGGCAATACCCGCATGGAACTGCCTCCAGATGCTTTCATCTCTAACGAGGATCGCAAAGACATGTTTGCTACTCGCGGGAATAAATTCAATACTGAGGGTCGTGCGGAGAAGGTTGAAGTCAACCAATTTCGTATGACCAAGTTTGACTTCAGTAAGAAGATATATCAGTATGATGTGAGTAGATTTGGACCCAGGCTCCTGAAAATCTTATCACTGACGCCTCTCAATAGATTGTTCTTTCCCCTGAGCCGGAGAAACGCGGACCGGTGATGAAGAAGATTTGGGCTCACCCAAGTCTTCGACAGGCGCTGTCTGCCTACAACTACCAAATGTGGATTATCGACGGCTCTAGACTGGCATGGTCTCCTTCTTTGGTGGATCGCGGCGAGATTCGCGTTATTGTTGATCTAGATAATGGCCAACCTGCAGCTCGTGCTGGCCGCTCCAACAAGTTTCACGTCATTTTGCGCAATACTACAGAGATCCAGATGGCCGTTCTCCGAGGATATTTGGAGAGAAGAATGCAATTCAATAACAGCGTCCAGGAAGCACTCAACTTCATGGACCACCTTATTCGCCAATGGCCATCGGAGCATTTGCTCGCCATTAAGCGCAATTTCTACAAAAAGAATGAGCCTGGAATTCCTCTCTTGCGTGATGGCGTTATTGAGGTTCACAAAGGAACGTACGCTTCGCTGAGACTATCCAATAATCTTAGCAATGGCGGTATTGGTCTAGCTCTTAACGCAGATGTTACTAACACCTGCTTTTGGACTGGCCGACAAACATTGGATCAGGTTATGATCAACTTTCTCGCCACTCTTGATAGGCGTTACAAGGGAATTAACCCGGCCACCACCACAATCTTTAGGCCCTCACAAAATAGTAGAGGAGAGTGGCAGTCCTCTGATGCTTTTAAACAGCTTCGAAAGCTGCGAAAACTCAAGTTTACCATCCGACACAACAATCGGGACCCCAAACTTTCTGAGAAGGTATACACGGTGGTGGACTTTTTATTCGACCAGAAGTATGGAGGAGAAGGCGCCAATGCCAGAACTGTCACCTTCAACTACAACGGACGACAATTATCTGTTGCCGATTACTACCGAGAGAAGTACAACGCTCACTTGCGATTTGCGCATCTTCCACTCATCTCTACGGGCAAAAATGGTCACATCCCGATGGAGTTCGCTTTTGTTGAACCGATGCAGCGATACGCATTCAAGCTAAACCCCGAGCAAACTGCAGCAATGATCAAAATTGCCGTCACTCGTCCAAATGTTCGCAAGAATGATATTATGAAGAACGTCGGAGACCTTCAACTGCAAAGGGACCCTTATCTCAAACATTATGGAATTCAGTTGGAGCCTGCATTTTCGAAGACAGAAGCTCGAGTTCTGAATGCGCCTCTTGTTAGCTTCAGTCAAGGTGTAGCTGATCCCAAATTCTCTGGCCGTTGGGACTTACGTGGCAAAAAGTTCTTCAAGCAGAATGTGGCACCTCTCATGAACTGGGGATTCTTGGTGATGGACGACTGCGTCAACCCGAACCAACTTCAGCAATTTGCTCGGAGTTTCAAAACAACTTTTATGGGTCATGGAGGCCTTTGCAAGACGGATCCAGTCTTCGTTACCGTGCCCGGTAACATCAAAACAAACGTCGCTCAAGCGCTTGCACATGCGCACGACCAAATTACGCGAGAGCGAGGTTATACTCAACTCATCTTTGTTGTTGTTCAGCACAAGAACAGCCCTCATTACGAGCGTTTGAAGAAGTCTGCCGACTGCCGTTTTGGCATTTTGACCCAGGTTGTGAATGGAGCCTCTGTTGCGGCAAACAATGGCCAGTACCACTCCAATGTATGCATGAAAGTTAACGCAAAACTTGGTGGGTCGACATCACGTACGAATCCTCCGTGGAGACTAGCCCAAGGGGGCACCTATTTCCCTAAAGAACGTCCTACAATGGTCATTGGAGTTGACATCTCTCATGCAGCTCCTGGTGGGCCCTCGCCTTCTGTGGCGGCTATGACAATGTCTGTTGACAGGGACGCAACCAAATATGCAGCCATGGTTGAGACGAACGGTTATCGAGTAGAAATGCTCACCTCTGCCAACATAAACTTTATGTTCGGACACCTGAGTAAAGTGTGGATGGGTGGTCATGATCGCCAATTCCCCAAGCATGTCATGTATTTCCGTGACGGCGTTGCAGAAGGCCAGTTTGCTCATGTTATGGAGCAAGAGATTAAAGAGATCAAGGCATATTTCAAACGAGCAGCTCCGGATCAGCCACTACCTAAATTCACCGTGATTGTGGCCACCAAACGCCATCATATTCGATTTTTTCCGGAAAGGGGAGACCGAAATGGCAACGCCTTGCCTGGCACTCTGGTCGAGAAAGAGGTGACTCACCCATTCATGTTCGATTTCTATTTGTGCTCGCATGTAGCTATTCAGGGAACTGCCAGACCCGTCCATTATCACGTTCTTCTCGATGAGATGAACATTCCGGTCAACGAGCTACAGAAGATGATTTACCATCAATGTTATTCCTATGCCAGATCAACAACACCAGTATCGTTACATCCAGCAGTATACTATGCTCATCTCGCTGGTAGTCGAGCTCGTGCTCACGAGAATATTGCAACCAGCGAAGGTTTCCGAGCCGGTGCAAAGGGTCACGAGATGATTCGTGACAAAGTAGCCAAGGGCGAGTCACTCAGTGTCCCTCAACGGGGAAGTGATGCTCCGGCTCTACTCCAACTTGGCGGTAGACCCGAGAATGCTAATAATCCTGCCAATGGAGAGATGAGGCAGAGAGACTTCTTCCGAAGCACCATGTGGTACATCTAAGTAGCCATTGTGCTGTAAAGCACGGAGGCGAGGTTTGAGATAGAAATTTGCTTTCATTGGAGGGCGTGGATGGATCATCGATGAGGGGGTTTATAGTAGAATGTTTGAGAGAAAGTTTTCTTTTTTAGGCCGTTCTTATACAGATATGGGACACACTCCAGTACCCAAGATGAACAAAAGGGGCGACCGGATTGGTGGGAAGTGGCGGCGGAAGTAATTTGCTCTTATAATGGATTCATATAGCTTAGGCAGCTTAACGTAATTGTTTATTCTTTAAACAAATAGCTACGAAGTTTTATGAGCTACCTTTGGTGATGTGCGCTACCTTAAGTTCCAACGTTGCCTGCCGCGGGAACTAAGTATCTACGTTGTGCTTGATGTATGAAACTTGTGATAGTGGCATAAAATGCATGCCGCTGCCGAGCCATATTACACAATTTCTGTAAACACTATGACCATGTTCGTCACAGCGTTATTCTACTGGTTCTACCGGCCCTGTTGTTTCTGTATAACATGAAATATTTTTCATAAATCTCAGTATTCTGATTCTTCTTTGTGCGTGCGTGTGTGTGTTCGTTCTCATACTGCGTTCTCTGTTTTTCTGCTTCCCGCTTGCTTGTAACCAGTACGGAATTTGGCCGAAACTGATGCTTGGCGTCGACATCAGCTGCTTTTAACTACAGCGGAGGCGCAAAATACATGTAAATGCCCACAGGCGCTTTGGCGCTGTGGAACTCCCGGTGGCTTCGGCTCCAGGACCCCGCTATGGAGCACTGCCCCGGTCCCACCTTGTTTGTTGCTGAGCTCGACTCTTTGCTCTCCCTTTGGTTCAACCTCCCGCAAACCAACTAGCTACGGCGCGCCATGGCTGGCTTTCTGCGAGGCAAGCAGGCAGGCATCCAGAATGACCTGTCTGGCAGCATTCGACCAGAACTCTTTACCCCCGACGATCATGCGCGATACGGCCTCAACTCCCAGATAAGGTGAGTGTCGACTCCAGCAGCTATGACGCAACAGATGCCCCGCCATGCCACGAGAGCGAAGACGACGATGGCGATCGAGATTATGCACAGCGGCGGCAGGCGACATGAGGGGAGGGGAGAGAAGTGTGAATATAATCTCTGACACGCGATAAACAGTTGCTTTGCATACGATCCTGTACAGTCTCTGCTTGCCATCGGAACGGCCGAGAGCAAGTTCGGCCCTGGGAAAATCTATGTTTTCGGCCAACAGCGCGTTCAGAAGACTTTTGATCCGCCGCGACGAACCTCCTTCCAGTCCGTGCAATTCAGCGCAAACCGTCTCGTCAGTCTGGACAGGAATAATGAGCTCAGCATTTGGGATCTGGACACGGGGGAGCGGGTGGCGACGCAAGTCATCGGCGGGACTGTGGCCGCAATGGTGACGGATCCAATGCTCGACTGGGCTTTTGTTGGCTTACAGAATGGAGACATCTTGGCGTATGACCTCGATAGACACGGCCTCGCTCGGCAGTTCCGTCTCCCCAACTTTTGGAGAGACAAAGATCCAATGCAGCACACTGTCACCTTGATCACCCTGTCGATGCATCCTCGAGACGCTGGTAAGCTCCTGATCGGATACAGCCACGGCGCAGTCGTCTATACGTTTAAGCAAAACCAGCCGCAGCAGTTCTTGGAATATGTTTTACCGCCTGGAGCGCCTGGTGGAAGCAGTGTCGGCATGGATGCTGTGCGCCGCCCTCGTTTGACTCATGCGCTGTGGCATCCTTCCGGAACCTTTATTCTCACTGCACATGATGATGGAAGCTTGGTCTTCTGGGATCCCAAGGAAGGGAAAGTCGTCATGGCAAGGACCCTCACGGAGATGGGCATCCACCATGCCACCCCGAGCGCACCAACACCGGGGTACTCTGATCCTTTTGTCAAGATAGCTTGGTGCTGCAAGCAAAACTGTGATGATACAGGTTTATTGATTGCGGGTGGCGAGAGTGTTGATGCGTCTCCCAAGAGTTTGACATTTATCGAGCTTGGAGTGACGCCCATGTACGCTACCTCCACTTGGCAGGCTTTGGAGAATCACTTCCGCGGCAAGCGACATATTCCGTTAGCCCTGCCGCCTGGAGCGCAAGCGGTGGATTTTCTGCTTATCCCAAGAGAATCCCCTTATTTTGGAGGCGCGCAGGATCCTATCGCCGTAATTGTGCTGCTCACTTCTGGGGAGCTGATTACATTGAGTTTCCCGTCAGGATACCAAATCAGCCCTACAAACCAGCTTCATCCATCTACCTTCTTCGTGCATCCCTTTGTTACAAAATTCAATGTATCCAGTGTCGATCGGCCTAGGTGGCTGACGATGGTGGAGAAGAGAGACCAGGGAGAACCTATCCTGAAAGGCGGAGCAGCGGGCCCGAGGCCGAGAAAACGATTCGAAGATCGCACAATTATTCAGACTGCGCATGCTGATAGTATTATAAGGCTATGGGACTCTGGACACGCTGATCAAATTGAAAATGAAGTCCAGTTGCAGGTTGACCTGGCCAGGGCCTTGGATCGATATGAAGACGTGGAAGTGACGGCGATGAGCTTGTCCAGCGCTACTGGCGAGTTTATTGTTGGTACCAAGACTGGAGAGGCTGTCATTTTTCGCTGGGGCGTAAACCACTATTATGGAAAGAATCAGCCCAAGCAGCTAGATCCGAATCCAAAGGGGCTCTCTGACATCAGCTCAAGGGCGGAGCCGAGCCTAAAGGAAGGGCTACAGCCGGCTGTCCTGTACGAGATGATGCAGGGCCCAGTTACTGCCGTTCAGATATCAAACGTCGGATTCGCTGCGGTTGGGTCAGAGCTTGGCTTTCTGACGCTGATCGATCTTCGCGGCCCCAAGATTATTTTCCAAGCCCCAATGACTGATTTCGCAAAAACCGAAAATAGAATGTCATTCCTCAAAGGCCACTCGAGATCGAGTTCAGCGCCGCTGAAAGAGTGGCCTACGGCGGTGGAGTTTGGCGTGATGACGCTAGATGATGATAAATACTCATCAATTTGTTGCTTTGTCGGGACTAACTTGGGCAAAGTTATTACATTAAAGCTGTTGCCCGGAGGAGGAGGATCCTACACGGCCGAGGTAGCGGGAACGGTGACCTTTGATGGTAAAGTCGTGTCTCTGAATCCCATTCAGGCTGATACGGGTAAACCAGCGCTAGCAACCGGACATACTGTGGGTGGACTGCGAGAGGGACGCCAAGTGAATGGGGCACTCGTTGCAGGCAAGTATTTACTCTCCTATTTGATCTTTTTATCTTTGGTCGGCGTTGGTTGATCGACGAAGACCATATGACTATCATTAAATAAACGGTCAAGCTAATGCTGAGAATAGTTACCGAAAAGGAAATCAGGATATGCAGACCTGCTCACTCGAAGGGCGCTTCTAAAGAGTTTGATGATGTGATATGTGATTCGGCTTGTGTGGCAGAGCTTGAGTTAAATGGGTATGCTATTGTTGCGGCTTTCAGAGACGGGTCAGCTCGAGCATATAGCATTCCAGGCATGCGAGACCTCGGTAGCGCGAAGCTTCCAATGGTGGATCGTACTCGGAGCACAGCAAGCATTGTGACGCAAACAGGCGACATATTTGCCTGGGCAGGCCCGGCAGAAATGGCCGTCGTTCACGTTTGGGGGGCGGGCAAGGAGTTGCAGCAGTCCCCAGATGTGCTGATCAACCCCAAGATCCCTATTCCGACACGCCCGACAATTTCTAACCTTCAATGGATAAGCGGAACACAGCATGTTTCGCCGCTGGATCTTGACCTGTTGATAGGAGGCCCCAACAGACCGCCTAGTAAGAGGATGATGGAGGCCGCTGCGGCAGAGCAACGTGCTGCTAAGATCGGTTCCACGGTAGGATCATCCAAGGAGGGCTGGGGAGACTATTTAACGAGACAGCTCAACGAGAGAACGGAAAAGCTGAATATCATGGGAGATACGATGAATACATTGCAGGAGCAATCGGAAGGATGGGCCGACGATGTCAGCAAGTATGTGGGGAGGCAGAAACGGAATATGGTTATGGGAGCTATAACGTCGAAATTCTTCTAAGAGATAACAAGGAAGAGAGAGGGGGATTGACATGGCGTGGGACTGTGTGTTTGCTTTGTTCTCAGAGACTTGGAAGATGTGCGGCAATACAGCGTTGTACAATATATGGGATACCAGGTTTGTCTTTGCTGGTATGCTTTAGATCGAGATGAAAGACGCGACTTTATAGCAGTACTATGGATTATACCTTGAAGGATGTAGATGGGAAGTAGCTCCTTTGGGTCACACAAGCAAGCAGCAGAAGCAGCAGAAGTGATGATTGCAGGAGGTATTAAAAGAGGGATCGACGATGATAGTAGTATTCACTGTTATAATCCCCCCAACCTTGAATATTATAATTAACCATATATTTCATCGCCACTTGTTAATGATAATATTACTTATGTGCGAAAAGTCTTTTTCTGTCCCCGGCTTATACAAGATTGTTATTAAATCTACGCTGCTCTAATAACGCATTAGGAAAAGTAAAACGCTTGGCTCTAGTGTGAATATGGAAAATAACAAGATGCAAAAATACATCTAGACAGGGAACTAAGACAACCAATATCCCTCTAGGATCTTATGAGTATGTGTAGTAGTCTTGCGGTCTAACCATGAGCGCCATGGTATTTGGGTACTGAATCTTGATTTCGACACCCTTTTCACTCTTCAGTCGACCAGCCATGACAGTTCCAATAGCAGCAGGGTTATTAGTAGATCCCGCTCGATACCAATACTCGTCTTCTAAATTAAAATCCTCCTCCTCCTTCTCCTCCTTCTCCTCCTTCTCCTCCTTCTCCTCCTTCTCCTCCTTCTCCTCCTTCTCCTCCTTCTCCTCCTTCTCCTCCTTCTCATCCTTCTCCTCCTTCTCATCCTTCTCCTCCTCCTCCTCCTTCTCATCCTCCTCCTCCTCGTCAGACTCCGAAGGAGAGTCCCAGCGTATCTTCATTTCATGCTTGAGCCAACACTGCGCAAAATCGATCATAAATGGCTGTTGTGACTCCCGATCTATAATCACATTGCGCGGGGAACAGTCCTTCATAACCAAGCCGGATTTGTTAATCTCATGAGCTAAATCTACAGAACGCTGTACCAGGGGTTCCCATTCCTTGACATCTATTGATGAGCTGTCAAGATTGATCAAATTGATTCCAGGAATAAACTGTAGCAGAATGCCTTTGACGTCCCAGTATTTTGCAGCAGGGTCGTTGACGAGATCTAATGGAATGATAGAGCTTGCGCCAGCTAGCCGGACACTGGCCAGTAGACGCGGAATTCCCGTGCCTTGGAAGTCTTTCAAATGCTCATAGGCCTTGACTTCACGGTTAAACATGTCTTCGCACTGCTTCCAGAGAGCCGCTTCGTATTTTACGCTTTTATCAACGCCATCATCGTCATTGTCTTCATCATCGCTTTCTTCGTCATCTTCGTCATCGCTGTAAAGAAAGTCCTGGGCTGCGATAGGTAACCTAGCCTTCTCCTGGTCTTGGGCAAGCTTTGTGAGAAAAGAGTCGATGGCATTGCGCCTTACAGAGGACTCAAACAACGCTTCCTTTGCAACTGTCAAAGGCCAGTGTTCCGTCAAGTATCCGTTACCGCGAAGATCAACACCGAAGCGACGGTCATATAGTTTGAGAACTGCCTCAACACGCCTGCCTGAGTCCAGATGGATGATAACGCGCATCACTGAAGACATGGTGATGTCGAGTATCTTGGTGATACATGCTGAAGTCGCTTGGGGTAAAGGTGAATCCTGATAATTTTGAATGATTTCAAGTTGTATCCAGGCGCCCTCGACGTATGGTATGGGGACGGCCTCGTCAGATCTAATTTCAAGGTTAGCGGACTAGCCATTTGGTAGCTCGCCAAGTGTCTCCTACCCGTCTTGGGCCACTTCTGTAGACATGGCAATTTGGAATTGGATGTCAAGGATATGCAGCGTTACAGAGTCCAGAGAAAAAGAAACAAAAAACTTGATTAACGATGGGAGTTGTTGGCCGTTGATTGAGGGCGGGCCACACGAAACATATGCGTTGCAAGCGCCCACTACATACACTGAGGCTCAGCACCGGCAGGCGCTAAAGATTTATTCAGCCAATCACGGACGCTAGGCTGAAATGTATGAATTCAGCCGCCGACCCTCAAATCCCATCACCAACAGCCTCATGTTCATCACCAACGCGAGGCTGACGTAGTCGTGAGGGCTTCAGCCAATATGTAGGCAGGCAGTGCTAAAATAGGCCCAACGCAGGTATCCAGGCGCCTAGCTATCCAAGGAGGGAGCCAAACAAAAAGACCACAAATAAGAATACACACACAACTAAGAATAAGAGCATTAGGACGACAAGGAACCCTCCTACAAGTAAATTAGTATGTAGGTAGTGACTCAAATATTAACATCTTTCATGAATACCTATGTATCTTATGCATAATGGTGCAGTTGCGTGCAGGTCGATGTAGACTTGCCTGTTTTCTTTCTCTCTCTCTACCAACCTTTCTCTATGTATTCTCGGCGTCTATCCAATTTCTTGGCTGACTTCGTGCCATGGACTCCCTCGCGGCCAACATAATGGCCCAATTTATGGCCAACTTCTGAGGTCAAGTCGAAGTCAACCTTGCAGCCTCTACCATGGAAATGGCATATGACTACGTGTACCATGGTTTAAGTACCATAGGCAAGTATAAAATGGTCGAAGTCTTCCATGCTCCCGTTTGCATTTGTAGACAGACATAGCGCTCTTATCAAAGAAATCACCTCTTCCATCCATTCAGTCAATATGCCGAAACCCAAACGCCCGGAGACTGTCGCAGTCTCTAAGTCTGACAAACGGCATCTTCTCACTTACCTAGAGCATGCAGACCCAAACCATATTCAAGTTTCTCTATGGGATGTTAGGTGGCGTCCAACACACGGAGAAACCAGATCCGCCTCAAGACTCACTTTTCATATCGGTGTCCGTTTCGTTCAAGGCGAATACCAAACATGTATCTTAGTCGATTCTGAAGAAGGAGAATTGCCAGTTGATGATACTGTTCGAAATTGGGGCCCCTCTATGCCAAATTTGGGGGAGGTACTGCAATATTATCAGAAACTGTTCGGAGTCCAAGCTTTGAAGCCTCTGATTAGGAAGCAACAGCCTCGTCGGGACGATGATGACGACAATGAGGAGGGCGGTTCATCTAGCCGTGCGTGGAGAAAAAAGATTCAAAAAAGCAACAAACCTGGATACTATTATTACTACGATGAACAAGAAGAGTATCGTGAATGCGATGAGAAGGGAAATGATATATACAGAAGCTACAAGAACTCAAGTCCGCAAGGGATGACCGGGAAAATTGGTTCGCAAAGTAGTAGGGGGGAGAGGAGGTATGAAGAGAGGAGGTATGGAGAGAGGGGATATGGAGAGAGGGGATATGGAGAGAGAGCTTCTGGGGAGCGGGGGTATGGAGGGAGAGCAGAGAGGGGATATGGAGAGAGGGAATATACCCAGACTTCCCAAACGACTTACCACACCGACACAAAGACAGGCAAGATATACTACATTGACAAGTATGGTAAGTCCCACTGGGCTTGAAGTACTTGGGCATTGGGGAATAGCTCTTGGGAGGAATTGAGCTGTCCGGTGTCTACTATCTCTACTGCCTCTACTAGTTCTACTGCCTCTACTCGTTCTACTGTTTCTACTAGTTCTACTGTTTCTATCGCAATTTGGATACGTCTCTTATTTCTACTGCTTCTCAACACACTCTTGTACAAAACTCGCTATATGAACTGTAGGTAGATAATAAGAATGGTGTAGATATAAGTGGACCAATACGTATACAAGTTAAAGCTATATGAGCTGGAAGACCGCTGGATATAATTACTACATTTTCGTTATCGCGGTCTAGTTAAATTCTTGCTCCTCCCTGCCACTCTTCAATAATCATTCCCAACAACGTACCCACTATATATCGTCTTGCTTTGTCCTTTGTACTATTCACTATCGATTTCTGACATTCCTATGCCTTTAGTAGTCGTGTATGCAGGGTGATATGGAGGCAGTTAGTGCAAATTTCAGTTTCTTATCTGACCGATCTTGTTCTTGCTAAGCAATCTCCCAGAGAGGAGTACGAAGAAGAATCTCAGCGAATAGGGAATAGGCATTCAGCTGGAATCACGCCACTTTTGCTTCCTTACATGTACATTCGCAATCTCGCTTATACTGTATGATATGGAATGTAACAAAGATAAGCCTGTCTATGTTTTCGAAGTAGGTAAGCAAAGCCTTAGAGCAAGCATCGACGTAAAAATGGTATTGTGGTGGGGCAATATATGTAGGTGTTTGCCAAATAATTATACCATTACAAGCTGAAAGACGGGACAGAATGCGCATCTAATACGCTGCCGAGTACGACGTGCGGGATCGGATAGTGCACCGGATACGAACTACATAAAGAGTACATGTACCAGACAACATAGTTTTGGGCACTAATACTAATATTCTCTAGCACTGCTACCCAACACTGCGGCTTATATTATTACATGTAAATTGCCATCCTCCAAGGGAGCCCCCTTTCTCGGCTCTGCTGTTGCGACTCAGATACTTGTTGGGCCTTTTCTCCTGCCTATTTTTTCTCTACTCTCTTTCATCGGAGAATAGAAGCCGGATTGTTATACGTATCACATATACATATTAACTGAGCTACCTCGCTCATGGTCTCAAATTACATAGTCGGCACCAATGAATTTTTGTTTTCTCTATGCTGTAAGTCCTCGATCCCACCAGTCACACCTGCTGAAGCCGGAGAAAAGTCTTGCGCTGCCCTTCACATTTTACCATTTTTCACGTTCTTCTCGTTTCTAGGTTGAACAGCACTAAACTAATACTGGCCTTTTATATAGGTACAAATGCATGAAAGTTCATACCGCCGCCTCGAGTTCCAAGCGTATCATGCATTTACGTATAGTATTTCAAACTAATGAACTCGACGCTGAGTTTCGAAGTAGTATATTTTTGCTTTTCTCGTCAATAACGGTGAAATGGAGGTTACACACAAGCCATTCCATTTCGTCCGCCGACTGGCATATACCCCATACACGTTTCGAGATCAAACCCGTCCATGATCAGAAAATACATACGTACATATTTCGCACATACTTATTATCTACAGCGCTTCCTGTCGGGGGAGGCTTTATTTCTTTTATTTTTCCTTCCTTCCCTTCTTAATGTGGCCTGTGGAGCAAGGCCATGTTGAAGGTCCAATACTCTAAACTCGGGGATCTTACTACTACCTAACCCCGGTTTTCGCCAATCTAACACAGCACTCAAGTGAAGGGCTTATTCGACGCCAGCTTTAGCGCGGATCCGTTTTGAGTCTTCGCTCCGTTTACGAAGCTATATTATTGTCATCACTTTTTTGCTACACGGCATTCATACACGTTAGTGGCCACTTTGCCACGCCTCCGTCCGGCGTATTTCGAAGATATCAAGCGTCCTAGGCTCCACTGATGAACCTATTAATCGTGGTCTTTCTAATCGTTCCCCACATTTCCACGCACTCTAGCAGATGGTAGATATGCAATATGGTATCAAGACCAAAACTTAGAGGATCGGAATAGACAATAATTTACTGTGATCTGTAGTAAACGGCTGTACAAAAAGTCTCCAGATCTCTAGCTATGTATTGTGTAGCGTTAACCCCCAGACTCTCTCTTTCACTATTATCGTTTAATACTTTACTGTTGTCGCATCTTCGGTTGCCCCTCATATTGGTATAAACACCGTCTTCGTTATTCCACTTGGCCTTTTCCCTCTCCCATAATTCTCTATATCTCATTATTATAGAGCCGTGCCATGCTTTTTACAGAGACTCCTGCGCTAAAGCTCTGCTGGATTCATTAAAGGATAGTTTTGGCTATGGGGAAGCAATACTATTGACATTTTCTTATAGCGAAGCATCTACTCTCTCTACTATCTCTACCATTTCCGTTGCCTCTACTATAAAACCCTTTGCAGATATGTGATCTATTTTTAAGGACATAGTCTTAACCATTAAAGCCCTTTCTCAATGTTCAGATTTATTTCCGGCAGCTAACCGATCGCGTATAATACGCAACTGACATACAAAAACATGAAAGCACAATGTTTGACATTTAAGATTTAACTTGGGTAAATTATTGCTAACAGCCCAATTTTATGTAGACAAATCTCAATCAGACGCCCCTACGCAAGAGTCGTTTCCGTCTTGGGGTTGACATATTCTCTGTTAGATGCAGATGCAACTCAGCAATATCACCCATACTATACTTGAAACTTAGACAATTAGAGATATAAGCACTAGTGGCCCAACAACTCGGCTGGTCCAATGAGAGTGGGATGGGAAATGAAGAGAATCCTAAGTTAGTAATGACCGAGGTGAGATAAGGAATACAAGAAATATGTGAGGAATCACGGGAGGGCAATCTTAGACTGGTACGACACCAAGCGAAAAGGCCTTTCCTCCTTTATAACTACACAGCTACAGTTTCCCGAGCCTTATTAAGATGTACAGGGTGTGTGAATGATAATAATCAACAGCTAGGTTAAACAAAAATTGATTTTAACGGGCCGCCGCGGGCTCAACCGCAACTAAGTGTTTTCTATTTTTAGCAGAACCTTTCACGCAGACGAGAAAAAGCCGAATGATCTTCTGGGCAGATACAAGGACGCATCAAAATGTAAGACGCGTTACCAGCGCATCTCGCATAGTCTGCAAAAACTCTCAATCTGCCTAGCTATACGCCGATGGCCCTCCTACACAGATTCTGCGGTCCGTATTTTTACGTAATGCGATGCAGGATGAAGACATGTACAGCAATAAGTCTGTGAGAGCCAGAAGCAGTAAGCCTCACTTTGGAAACCAAATTCGACCCAAAAGAAACACTATTACATATCAATTAATCAAGGGTATGCTGAGCTCAAACCACTTCTCTGATGTCTCGAAGCACTGCTGACGGCACACGCGATCACAAAGACACCCAAGACTTACGCTTGGAGGCGATGAAGAGATTGCTATTTGGATGCTAGGTGGTGCCACTTCCTGGTGCCCTTGTTCAAGCTGAGTCTCTCCGAGAGAAGACAGGACATGCTACATAATCACGACTATGTACATACCATAGATACTAAACCTGATCTAGATGTTTCATTTCAGTTAGTTTATTTGCGCGTACCTACATGTATGTAAGGTCTCCTGTGATCATCCTAGATTGTAACTGTAAGGGGTTCAGATCATGGGAATAAAGAACTTTGAATTACCTAACGGAATTAACGACTATCGAAAGCCGGCACGTAAAAGTGCAAAACAGGGGTCAAGTCATGTCGACGGATGCCGATGTATATGGATGGGAGCCTTTCTATAGATCACGTCTCGTACTTCTGCCGACCCAGACTCCAGTCTACTCTTTCACTGCAAGGCTTTCATTACAAGGACCCTAGAGATGAGCCGTGGGCTCTATACTTCCGTTTTGGGAAATTATTGCAGCTATGAGCTCATCAAGCGTTGACACGTCAGCTCTTCTGCCTCTCTTGCAACTGAAACCGTTATAGTAGAAGAGGGAAAAACGAGTACAACTTACACCGAGATTGCCAATGATGGGGCCTGTGTAGGAGCGCTGCAAATTTGATTCGCTAGAGCATATGCAAGCCAACAAAAAGGGAGAGAAGTCCTGTGAGATACGGCGAGGCGCTACGGTAAACGCAACGGAAAAAGACAAGGAAGAAAGGAAGAGAGCCGTTAGTCTGGAGGGTGGAGAGGGAGTTTGTTTACATGCCGCGTCGTGCAAGGCTGAAGAGTACTTCCGCGTGTTCTGAGATCCACCAGCCTTTGGGACGAGCTGTGGATTGTCTACAGGTAGGTGCACGTAGTTGGTGGTGGTAGCGCGGACGGTCGCCACCTCTTTCATGATTTGGAATTATAGGTCTCTTTCATGGCGTGACCAGCCGTTTTGCCATCAATGGACAGGTAAAGAAGGTTATAGTGTACATCGTAGAAGCCGTAGCAGATGGGGAAAGAGACGAATTTACCAGTTTCAGGTGACTACTATTATAGAAGACGCTCCACGCACACTTCGACGCCATTGCCACGGGGGCGCCACTTCAATGTTGCCAACACATGTACTCACACCTCAAAGGCAGCCCGTCTAAATACATTTTACTTATCCATGTGTGGAGCTAAAGGACAATGGTCGGGCAGGGTAAATCCGTACGCAAAGGACATGCGAGATAGATTCCGCCTCGTCGTCTTGGCAACTATGGAGGTTTGGCACTCCAACCTTTGTTTTCCCCATAGTAAACTGGGTGGCTGGAGAGATACTAGTCAGCCCGCACAAGGCCGAATTGAATGGTCTCATGATATCCAAGGTGGCTCAATACGGCCTCAAGGTCTCCAAACCGGGCCTGGTGGGCCCTCGCCGGAGGCAGCCAGTCATAAAAACAAAAGCCATCCCTTTTTGCCCCCTTTGAGTGCCTTTCGTTTGCGTAATGCAACCACGGCTAAAAAAAAAAACGGGAAAAGAAAGCTAGTTGTGGAAATGAAGGAGAGATCAGGCTCGCAGGGCTGTAAACCGCGGGGCTTTAGCTTAGCCTTAATATCTAGATAGCTACATGCAAATTTAGGTGTCTCATGTTCAAGGTTCATTATTTCTGGCAACTTGGCTTTGGCGGCTTTGATTTTATTTACTTAAACAGAAAATACTTTCCTCGCGCACAGCTAATAGTTGATTGTTGATTGAGATATGACGCCCGCTTAGCAGCCCCAATCATTTCCCCATGAATATCTGCCAGGTGTGCCAGGCTCATGCTAGCCATGCAGGGATTGATCGTCATACCAACACAGCTACAATCGCTGCCACCAAGCCAGCGTGAACCACGTGCTGGGTTGTATTTGTACGTCAATACTGCATGGGGTACTAGGATGGTACTTACGACTGACAAGTGTATAATAGGCAGGATACTTTCTTTTTGCGATATTCTGCGCTGCACGCCCCCTACCCCTCCCCCCTGCCTCTACTTACCAGGGTATACCATTCTCTCTTTTTCGGAAGTATACAATACCAGCTTCTATAACTCCAATAGGTAATTTCTAAAGATTTGAACGAATCAATAGATAGGCACGCCAAAGCTTCGGTGAGTCACATGAGGATGCGGTGAAGAGTACATGCCGACCACAACGAGCGCCGGAAGACGGAAGAGTAAACCTCAATATGCGGAACCCCCCCATCTCTCTTAGCAAAGGCAACGAAACTCGAAACCAAACGCAAAGTAAGTTCATTAGAGGCCATACACTGAAATGGACCGCAATCAACGGACGTAAATAGGCGGTGAAAATGTTAGTCATGAAGAATACAAGAACATGATGGCTCGCTGTGATTGGTAGACAGCACGATGCTAATCAACACAGAAGAACAGAGGAGAGGACAATGAGGGAAAGAAGGGACTCCGACGTCTCATGGCACTCATCACTTTGGTAGACTATCGGTGTCAATAGGCACCTGGTAACCCAAGTCTACATTTTCGCCTGATTGGTACCCAGCCTTCTATGGCGCTACATAGATGCTGGTGACTGAATGGGCCGCGGACTAAAACCCACCGGCACGCCGCAACCTAATGCCGTTGATACCATATCAAGCCATCAAATCGTTGCCCTCAGTAGCATCAAGGAGAGTACAGACTGATATGAATCTCATCGGCACAAATCAAACGGGTCCGTAATAGGACTAATAGGCGATCGCGACCGACTAGTACTGGACCCTATTCCCCCATCCATGCAATTTCTCTTTTTCCTTTTTTTTGGACCACTATACCCTTCTGCGGAAGATGCGGAGGATGACCCTGGGTCCCGGACTGTCAAGGTGTCCGGGACTGCTGTACTCCATGCATGTAAGTGTGAACGCAGTGGCTCGATCGTCGAATGCATACTCAGCATTTCACTATTATATAAAACGCCTGGAGACTAGGGCATACCAGCACCTGATACTCCCTATGAATAATCCTATCATTATCTTTTCATCCTCATATAATCCAATAATTACAGAATCCATATCAATCAACCAATAAGCTTACAAATTCTCATCATGTCCAACCGCAGCAACAATAATCACAGGGAATACTACATACCAATCCCCCTATTACGAAGATTCATTTGCTGGTTTGTAGAAGTGCTCTGTCTTAATTGCTCGCTGATGTCCAATCCCCGCGCCTTAGGACCTCCCTGCAACTTCAAGCCATTCTCGCGGCTCATCTCGACCGATTAGACGCACAACACGACCAAAGACGCGGTGGCGAACGCGACGAACGCGACGAACGCGGCCAAGGAGATCGCGAAGAGCCGGATATGGAGGACATCGTGATGGGTGGCACTTCTCCAGATATGGAAGACGTCGTGATGGGCGGCACTTCTCCAGACATGGAGGACATTGTCATGGGCGGCACTTCTCCAGATTGAGTGACTCCGTTTAGGCGGCCGTTGTTACAGCTTCAGTAGCTCTACGGTGGACAACGTGATAAAAATTTAGCGAACATAGACTGGAAGGATTCGTACTATTTTCTAAAGGCGCTGAGGTTCGGTTATCTCAAACACAGGAGATAGATGGGAAAAAAATATAAAAAGGAGGGGAAAAAGGATGGGAAAAAAGCGTGCCCTGGCTTCTGTTTCTTACTACAATGTTTTTTCAGCGTAGTACCTATGCTATTATTTCTGTTTACACATACCTAGACATGCGTATCTTCTCAAAAGATGGCTTCATTTCTACCTACTTGCTCCGGTTATATTTCACTTCATCTTATTTACGTACAGATTCTACTACCCTCCAGATCTCTCCTACCCCTAAGCATTTGTGCTACCCTACAAATACCTTATGATGGGGGGTTTTTTTGGGAGTTGCTACAACAGCCCAGTTTTGTTATCCAGCACTCTAGCAGTAGCTAAAGTCATGAATGCAATTATATGTATTAGGTATTTTAAGCTTCTACTACCTCTACTACCTCTACTACCTCTACTACATCTACTACATCTCTTCACAGTTTCTTTTCACTATCGAGAGTGCATGAGCATTAACCTCAGAGAGCACGCACAACTCATGGCGATATCCGGAAATTATTACAGATATTTGTACCGAACTGTTACTCAGCTTTGGCCGAAATAGGATTAAATTCCCGCAATGCTTCTGGTAAACTCACCGTATGTTCTTCAGCGCAGTTTGGTTTGAAGCATGACTTCCATTACCAGCACGACCACCCACCACCTCCCACTGCGCGTCGAGGTGCGAGTTTGGTGCAGGTTTTGCACCCGCATCCTTCATTGGCTATCAAAAAATTCTGCATCATCCTGATGGGTGTGGCGTGCAGATTTTGGCTGGGAAAAGGAAAAAAAAAAAAAAAGACAGCCCCCAGCATGTTTACCCCGTCTCAAAACCCCGAAAATGGATCGAAGAAGGCTGAATAGTGACACGCTTTACAAGCAAGCAGCGTACACCCCTCTACTTGGAACTTGTCTTCGTTCTCACCCCCTCACTTTTATCTCCCCTCTATATTTTTTTTCTCTCACTAATTTTTTCTCTCACATTTTCCCAACGTGTTGCTGCATATTTGTTGGGTACTATATACTGTATGAACGAGTGAGCTATTGAGAGATCTTTTAGTGGTCTGACGTGTCAGCTGAAAAGGCGGTAGCCCGGCTAGCTGCTACATGTAGTAGTATTAGGGAGGAAATTTTCTTGAGATTCACCAAGAGATTAGCACATACGGTATGGAGTAAACCGAGATAACGCATACAGAAGTGATGGCTTCCCTGCTATGCGTATTGGTGGTCTCTTGATGCCGGCGTTGCCTAACCAACCAAGGATCCCACCGCCTTTTATATGAACCCTGTGCTATGCGAAGCACTGCATGTACCTAATTCGTACATGGTACATGCAGGTATGCACTGGCATATTTGCTTGACAAGGATACAATTGATACGTCCTTTTTCCATTCCACTACTATGACTTTCCTTTTGCTTCTTTCCATTTCTTATAACGAGTAAGCGTGCCTTAAATGGTGGGAGTGTGGTAGCATTGACCCGCCAGCTAAGAAGGGGGAACAGCGTAGAATTTGAGCCATTTGCCGGAAATAAGACCCTTGTCATAGCGAGGCGACAAAAAGGGATGAAGAAAACAAAAAATAAGGTACCCTACGTTCTTGTGGCACGTTATGTGCTCTTGTACCACTTCGCCCATAACAAGCCTGGGAGTTTAGACAACTATCGGCCACTCAGCTCAAGCAACCACTACCTGTGCTGAGCCGTTGTCAGCCTCGACCACAGCGCAAACCAATTTCTTTCTTTAGCACAATTAGCTTTTTGTACCTCCATACTATCAAAATTATAAAAGCCCAGCCTGTCTCCATCTCGAAATTGACCAGCCCCCTAAGGGCTGATTCCACGCCTCTACATCGACAATAGCTCTGTCTCTTTAGCACCAGCTGTTACTGTCTCTCACCTGTATTAGCGCGTTTGATAGTGCGCTGCAGCATAAGTTGTTGCGTGCTGCATGGCATCAGGTACCCTCTATGTATCTATCTGTCCCCCATACCCTGCTTGATTCATGCTTACAAGTGAATACCTAGTACGAATAAGACGGCTGCTTAGTCGTATCTCCCCGGGAAGTTATCCATAAATCCGGTTGGACTATGCGTACAAATCGGAATAAACTACTGTTCAATTCGATAATGCCCGCGGTATTAAATCACCTGCCGGAATTATCGACCTTGCTTTATCCATATGTGGCACGAAGTTAATCATCTCACCATGCATGTGCTGGAAGATTTGCCACGTGTCAAGTGTCTTTATTACTTTCACATGGATGAATGTCCAGTGAGGTGGTAATGGCAGAGAATTAGATAAATGTGGTCATCACCAAGATACAATGGTGTCGTTGGTACCAGGCACCTTGGCAAGGACGTGGTACTAACCCTCGATCTAGATGCCCCAACGCGATCCTCATGGTCCACAGCACTATTCATGATCTAGAGATGAAATCGTCAACGATCACCCTGGTAGAAAATGCGGGGGTTCCAGGCTGCCGTGTTAGCCCCCTCATCGTGGAGGAGTTCTAACCAGCCGATCTGGAGATGTAACTGCATACGGGGAGCTCTTCCGTGTTGCCAGCAACCTGACGCGCAGTAACTCTAATTCGACTTCATTCATGTCTACGTGTATCCAGGGGGTATCCTAGACTGATGCGGTCCGACGCCGGCGGACCGATGCTATGCGCACTCCACATGAGAGTGAATAGTTCGACCCCTTTCCTTCCCAGCAGCGGTATTTTCAATAGCGTTATTTCCTCCAAGGAGCCCTTATTTCTTTCATTTCTAGCTGCTGATACGAAGATATATACGTTCCACGGATTAGCTAATTGGCTAGATTTCCATACCGCTATATCCGGCAACATCGCAAACTGCCACCCCCCTAACTCTTCATATACACCGCAACTTAGGGCAGCACATCCTATTACAACTCTTCACAGCTTCTCAAAGGTATAATAAGTTCTTGAAGCAAAATTTTTCACGGTTCATGTTGTTGAAAAGGCGCATCAAAGGGGGGATCGCCCTCTACTCTGTCCCAGTGCGTATTATTGTGACAACCAAAACCTATTGTTTCTACCACTTTTAATATAAATATCCACCCAAGTATACCACCAGCTATCTATTTAAGATATCTTAGAGGTAAATGACAACAGCATCCAATGCACTAATGCACCATTTCTCCTCGACTCGACTCTCTTCGCTAAGTTACCAAAATGCAACACTAAAGTCAACAACGCTCAATTATGTTAATTCGAGGGCAGTCTTAGTCGCCCTCCAATTTGTTCTGCTCGTGATATCAATGATCAAGTTGTGGCGACAGAAACTCCAAATTCACACGGCCGTAATCCCATAACCCCTCCAAGATTCCCAGAGGCACATCTCCCGAGGAATGTGTAACTTCGGGGACATGATCTACTTCTTGTGGGGTCCGTACATCGTCTGCGGATGGTATAGAAGGGAGTAGAGTTTCAAGAGTCCTCTGAGTTAAGTGTAGCTGCGTCGTGGTTATATCATCACTTTCCCACTTTGGGGGTATAAATTGAGTGGGGAAAGGGTCCATATAGAAGCATGTTGGAGGAGAAAGGATAGAGAGGATATACTCTAAAGCGACCTGTTTGGCCCTTTTCTGGAAATTCCAAGGTAAAATTATAGACTTTAGGGAGACGATCGCTTTGTCCAAGAAGAACAGGGTTTCCTCTTGATTCGGCGCCGTCTGGATTCATCAGCCTCGGCCTCTTTCTTTGATGCACATCATCCTTATTCAGCAGCTTCGACATTTCGTTATAGATGGGGCTGAGAACTTCATAATCCTTTTTCGCCATCGGCGCTTTGTTGCTTAGCTTTTTCAGCATACAGAGTGTGCTTTGGACGGCTTCCCAGGTTGTAACGCGCATTGGCATGCTTGAATCGCTGTCATGCATAATTGCAGAGCACAGAAGCGTAGCCACATCGAAGATTAAAAATATCAGGGTGTGGTAGTTCGCGTCGTCGGGGAAAATAAAACGAAAGAATTTGATTAGCCAGTTCATGTATTTGAGAGCTACTCTTAGACCCCGTTGTCGAGGCTGTAGCTCCGTGATCGGGGAAGCTTGCGATAACGGTTTAATAAGATGCGAGCGAAGGGAATACAATGTCGATGACAGACGCATAACGGAAAGAATGAACTTTTTCAGGGCGATCCATAAATTAGCATCGAATTCCCCGCTTGTATCACGCCAGGAAATGTTGTCTGGCAAGTGATCTGGCATGGACGGAGGCTGGTAGTCTTCCTTCTCAGAATTTTCATCATCAAAGTCTTGTGATTTTGATCATTGTCAAATTTATGCTCCTCAGATGGATCCTCGATCGCTAAGGTTTTGTCAAAAGAGGGAGGTGGGCCGAATTTCTCCAAGAAGCTGTCGGCGAGCATACACTGAAGGGCCGTGGACATGATGGGAGAGCGGCTGGATTCTCTTAGGTGGCCGTCCAAGTGCAAACTAGGTAATTCAATGTGGTATTCAGTAGATCGAAACATCAGAGAGCATGGAATAATAGCCGAGAGTCGCCTAGATATGTGATATTTAATGTTAGATTGTACAAGCAGTCAAGCTAGATGTTCAGTAATGTAGCTCACCAATTCCAGCTGGTCATGACAACCCAAGCTCGTTTGCCTATTTCCTCGAGATAATATGAGACCTCATTGCGGTTCGCAGTTGAGGATCCATCAGAATAAATCTGCTTCTCAATGCCACCCTCAGTGAAGGTCAGTTCGTTTAGTCCACGAAATGCTAAAAAAGCACTCTTTGAGGCGCCCCAGCAGTCAGCGTAGCAAGACCTGGTCTTAAGCCAGAAGGATGAATGAAGTAATTGCTGAACTGTATATATATGCAATGCGTCTGGAGGAATGGCACCATGAAGCCTATTTGACAATTCAGGAGCTGGGAGGGCCTGATCTGCCTGGAGGACTTGTCGAATTGCATCGTTGGGATGTTGAGTTGAACAAACATAAACCATTAGAAGAAGAGAGGTCCACTGGAGCCCGAGAGGCTTTCCATCGTCTCTATCAGTCTACCATTGGTTGTATTCCTGTCTAAACATTTCAGGATGAACAATATATTAGCGATAGTTGACAACGGTTAGAAAGTGATCCACCAAGGCATCTACGTTCAAATACACTTAGCTCAATTTAGAGAAGAAAAGAAGGATTCACAGGAGGACATTGAATAAGGGAATCATTATCCAGCATCCCAGTTTCATTATCAAGCAACCCAGCCATTACCTAATAAAGCAATTAGCCTATAATATAATATGATTTAATTAAATATAATACTTAAGAAATAATAGTATTAATAGTAATAGAAAAAGTAAAAGTAATAAAAGTAGCAGAGGTAGCAGAGACAGTAGAAGCATAGAGACAGTAGAGACTTAAAACTAACACGTATAATTGTATTTATAACTTTAGCTCGCTAGAGTGCTGGATAATAAAACTGGGTTGTTGAATAGCAATTCCCTTTAATACTTTAAAAAAAAAATGACAACATACCAAGGCACTGTCTGGACGGCAAAGCTTGAAGAGCAGTTTTTAACTGCGGAAAGTCAGCATGGCCTCAAGGTATTGTACATTGTATTATAAATCTTTCTAATGGAAATATATGTCTTGTAAATAGAATTTGCCTTGATGGTGTCGATCAAGGCCCACGTACCTCCGAATCCAAGGTAGAGGCGTATCCAAACTGCTCGAGATCCTTCCCAGTACTCTCACTGTTACCGCCCACTTCTTCTTCACTAAGAGGATGAGAAAAGCAACATTTTCCCTTCATCCGTGATACAAAATCATCTATCTGAGCCTTGCGTTCATCGATGGATTGAACATCAAGAACTGTCCGAAAGATACATTGGTTTCCAACTCGTCTAGTGCCGCAATGGTGACATGGCCAATATCGGAGGCACTACAGGGCATGTTAGAATGCAAACGACGGCAAATCTATAAAGACTGAAGAGCGAAAGTATGAAGAAGTATTGACGAGCAGTATAATAAAACAAGACAAGGCCGTAAAACCACGCACCTTTTGTTTCCGGCGTTTACACTCCGAACAAGCGGAGCGAATGAATGCTTGAGTCTCGTTCTGGAAGTCACCCGCCATCAAGGCATTCTGTGCTTGGATGCACGGAGTTGTCTCTGTAACAGCATCCGGCATATCGTTGAAGAATCCTTTGCAAAAGGAAAGAATCTTTTTATTAAAGAATGCACAAAAGGGAGATGTCCAACACGGAGCGGAGGGGCGTCTCGGTAGTTGAACCGAAAGCCGGTTGGCCGGTGGAGCTGATGGTGTTGGTGGTGGCAACGGTGCTGCAGCGAGAGAGACTTTAGCGGGCAAGCCTTTGCCGTAAAAGCACGAGGCAGATGGGGATTCTGTTAGTGCAGAGACTAGCAGCAATAGTATGGTCAATACCGAGTGTATTCCGGGGATGGAGTGAGATGAGATAGGATCAAACGAGATGAGGCGAAGTGGAGTGTGGTTCTGGCAACTTGCTTGGTATATATACTCAAAGAGCCTGGGTTTGATCTCGGTCTTCACAAGGGAAAAGAAAAGAAAAAAAAAACGCATGATAGAAACATACAGAAACGTCAAGCCGCCTACGGAGTGATATCAGAGACCCAGCTCATGCCAGCAGAGACAAGCAGCAGCTGCAGCAAACAAATCTCGGAGGGTTTCATAAGATGGTGATTGCTCACTTACTCTATCGCACCGTTTTCAGTCCCGCAGCGGGCCCTTCATCCGGCCCATGTCTCGGTGTTGCACAGGCCTGTGGCAACTCTGATTCGATGTACTCCTCGCATGGCGCAGTCGTCGCTCTTGAAGTGATTGTTTTCGCCATAACGGCCCCCAATCGTGATGCACGACTACAGGTGCCATCCCTGCTTCCAGCAGGCAGTCCTATTTCGGGCGCGCTCCAGGCGCATTACACAAAGAGCGCCAGGCTCCGCTGCGAGATGCAAGACTGTTGAAGCTAGAGAGATCCCTGTCCGGACAACGGCCAATAGCGTATCCAGACCATTCATTCTGGCATGGGAGGGCCCTCGCCGTTTTTTTTTCTCACTTTGATCCTCCGAGATCATTTTCTCCTACTCTATGTGAGGGGCAAGGCACATATACATACATACATGTATCTATTGTACTAGTAACTTGAGTGAATTCAGATCAGCGCGGCAATGCCCGTATATGTATCTTCTTAATTACTGGCCCAGGCCGAATATCTTCACATCTCTGGAGTTTTGGCATTGGCGTTTGGTCGCTGCTGAAGGGAGTTGTAATACAAGTAGCACTCCTCACATGCTATCTTGTGCAGCTACTCCATGGCGCTACTCGCACAGTTGCTGGGCATATCCTAATAAGCCTCACTTACAAGGTTGTATTGCTCCATGCGCTTTGCAGGACCGTTGAACTCGGTCCATCTTCCTTGCAGCCCCATGACTGACACCCACATTAATTTTGTATGGACCGTGCAGAGTAATATCTAGTATGTACATGTAATCTACCTATGTGCGTATGTATGCAAAAAAGGATCCTGTAAGTGAAAGGTGCCTGATAGATACAGAGACCTCATCTGCTACTAGGGAGGCAGTCAATGCAATAAAACCACCCGGTACACGTACCAAAAGTACGGCAACATCTCGGATATTTTATACCGTGCCAGAATCTGAATTACGCAGCCCCTGATCTTGCTTGTTGCTCGCTCACTTTCCGAAGCACCAGGCTATCGGTGCAGTGGAGATTGCGCAGACGCATGTCTCACTCATGTTACTCTATGCAGGACGAGTGCTCTACTGCCTACTCCATATATTACTATTACTGCTGCTACAACTCAGATGATTCTCCCGGCTTCAAACCACAAGCATGTCCAAAGTGTATAGTATGCACCAATCAAAAGACGTTCAGACGGCCCAAAGGGGGAAAGAAAGCACCTATTACTGCTGCACGTACGAAATACTCCCAAGGGAAAATGAGAAAACAACCATGATCCATGCCACGTACAGAGATCCATTCAGCCCAACGGATGCCTACATAGTATAACTGCCTACCTTATACATGTAGCCACCTGGGAGCCACTCGTTCTGGACCAAAGGCGCCATGATGCTCCAGACCTTCAGCCGCACGTTTGCTGCCTTCACATGACGTTGGCTCCTCGGTTCTCAGTCACGAATCGAGACAGGCGCAAGCCGATGTCCCTAAAACAACGCTAGCCCCAGCGCCATTATAGCGCTGTAGCCCCCCGGTAAAGCAAGATCCAGCGCCTGGAGCCAGAAACCGGTCTGAAATGCCATTATTGATGTCTCGCAATTCGATTTAGCAGCGCCATCCATCCATCCATCCATTCTCCACCACCCTGGCCATGGTTCTTCTCTCCAGCTTAGACCGACCTCAACAGTCCTCCAAACCACGCCTGCAGCTGCTTCCAGCCATCTTCTCCCTGCAGCGCCGTTACAAGCCCGATGTAGCCGTCGGGGCGCACCGCAACAATGGCTCCGCGGGCTGGATCGACGCCATAGCGCTCATACGCCCTGCCGTGGCCTTCATGATGGGTCTGGCCATCGACAAACACCTTGCCATAGTCCCACCCGAGCTTCTTGTCAAAGGGATGGTAAACCGGGTGCAAGTCCTGCAGCAGCTCAATCTGCTCTCGCGACGCCGCATGCACCAGCAGGACGTCTACAATGGACGGATCCTGATCCGTCATCCACTGCGAGGAGCCTGATCCTCCCCGCGGGTCCGGACCGGGGGCGAGGCTGATGCGCGGCGACTTTGCTGGCGACAGCAGATTGGCCTGGAGCCAGGCGCCGAGCTCGTTGACCGTAGCCAGCTGCTTGGCTTGCGAGATGTCACCACCGAACACGACAATGCGGAAGCGTCCATCCGACGGCATCTGCAGCTGGAGCTCCCATGGCCGAGCGTCGGACTGGGCCATGACTTTTTGCGATGCAAATCGTGTGCCCGGCCTGCAGTTCGTAGCCAGCCCGGCTGTGCTTGCTGCCGAGCTCTGGGGCGCTGTCTCAGCCTGAAGGCCTCCTCCCAAGTCTCCAGTGTCGTCGTTTTCCTTGCAAACGAGCAGACTGGGTTGGTAGCGGATACCCACGCCCGTTATAAACTAAGGTCTGCATTAGCAAGAGGAAATCTAAACCTTGCAGCCAATCGCAGCCTGCATCTATCACCCAATCTGGATAATAACATCCGTCTCAATTTCCGGTGAGAGCTGGACAGCCCATTCGCCACGACTCAAGGCCAGGGAGATCCCAACTATCCGTCAGGGAAAGGGAGGTGCTGCTTACCAATTGTGCTTCCCGGAATGCCTCCTGGAATTCGCTCATGGATGATCCCTCGCCAGAGCCATCTGTGGCAGGCCGTCCCGAGAACAATCTAGAGAACTTGTGATCAAACGCAATGAGTTGCCTGGCAATCTGCCTCCGCTCCAACTCGTAGGTATCGAGGACTTCTGGCCGCAGCAGCTTCTTGCAGACGAGGCCTAGCTTCCATCCGAGATTATACGTGTCTCCCATCGAGACGTTCATACCCTGGCCGGCTTTGGGAGAGTGCGTGTGCACCGCATCTTGGCTGTGTGTTAGCAAACCTGATGGCTCCGCCGCTTTTACGCAATAGGAAAACGCCCTGCTCACCTCCTGCAAGGAAAATGCGATTGTGTTTGCTAAAACGATCGCCGACTCGCTGTCCAATTTGATATGCGGTCCACCTGCAAATGTTTCACTCAGCATGCAGCACTTTGTGTATCTGCCTGATAGGCTCCTCCGGTCGGTGTAATCCAACGCCGCTCGGACAGGTGAGGCTTACCAGTCAATGTAGTGGTAGTCAAGGGTATAGGGACTCAGAATCTTCCTCGCCGTTTGCAAGATTAGCTCGGGGGTGATTTGTGATCTGTCGACTCGGCCAGTGCCTGTGGATACTTCCTTGAGCTGCGTGTACACTCGAACAAGCTTGTTTTCTCTCGGAATGACCATCATGGCTCCGAACTCGGCACTATGGATCATGCATCTGCTTCTGATGTCCGCTATTATCACGTGTTAGTCTCTTCATGGACTGTAGCAGCGTCAGGGAAAGCTCTTACGGAAGTCTGTGATGGGGATGATATCCAACACTCCCCTTTTGGCAAGTTGTTAGCGTTGTTATCGGTGTATGTCTTGGACCAAAGAATCTCACCAGATAGCATCGGTCGATTCGCCCTTCATCTCAAATCCTTCACCCAGTGTCTTCCTTACCCATGAATGCGCTCCATCACATCCCACCACGTACTTGGCCTGCACCTTTTCCTCTCTAACTCCCGAAGTATTTGCAATAAGCTTCTCTGTATCATCCTCAGCCAGATTGCTTCTGTACAGCCCATCTTGCAAATTGCTTAGCCTCTGCGTCGGAGTAGCTTCTTCCTCAGTCAGGTGCCGCAACGTAACCTCCACAGGATATGCGTCTTCATCGTTCACACAGCTCTCGTCAATACTCAGTGTTGTCGGCATAACACTCCGCTCAATCTCAATAAGTGGGTGTTTTGGGGAGGCAGATGCTCTTATCGTATCAATGAGGAAGCTTTCAACCCTGCCTTGCTGTAACACAGACTCGGTGAATCGCGAGAGATTCGGCTGAGTGTTTGGGCCACGATGGTGGCGTCGAATCTTGCCATCTTCGCCAGGGTTCCAAAAGCTGACCTCTGTCGTTTGTGAAGGTGAATCCTCCATTAGCTTACATGCATTCCCTTCTGCAAATGAACAGTAGGGACGATGCGTATCTCTCACCTAGCATGTGATTCGACTCCTGCCATACCTTCTGGCCAATTCCGAAGCTGTCAAAAATTTCTAGGGTACGACACTGAAAGCTGTGATTTTGCGCTGCATTAGATCCTGATACCTGCACTGTTCTACCCCTCACCTTCACTCTTGCATGAGGAGAAAGAGAGATGATTATTTACCCATCGGCTTGGCCAGAGACAATTTTGCCTGTTCGTTTGTCTACTACTCTAGTCTTGATGCCCAGCTTAGCCATCCAAAGAGACAGCATAAGACCAGCAGGACCGGCGCCGACAATGAGCACATCGACCTTGGATGGTTCCATACCAGGCACTGGCTGTGCGTGATGTGGACGCCTTGTTGTTTAAATTAAAAAACGAAACAAGAGGCGGTATTAAAGCCAAAATATTTATTACTTGAAATGATTCCGTCTTTTTAAATGGAATATAATAAATTTGCATACTACATCTGCATTTTCACCTCATAAACGACCAACGCCGGTGGTATATATAACAAGTCTATTATGTTGCGTTTACGAAGCCATGACAAACCTTGGGAAGTTAAAGGCTCCCCACGTCCTGCGTAAGTAATCATGGGTCATTTCTGACCAACGTCTGTTCAAAACAAGGACGCGACTCGTACTTGTACGCTGCATCCAAAGCTCATTGGTCAGTTCTGACCATTGCTCTCATCCCCGCAGCACCCGCAATTTTTTCTCCCTTTCCTCTTAATACTAGCTGACGAGATTGTTGCCAATGAATTCCCTCCCTTCTCCTATGCTCAGTCACCCCCGGTATTGCGGCCTAGGTCCCTCCGCACTCTCCACACACGCGACCCGACTGGCCGCTTTTGATTCCCCCGAAGCACCTCGACCCACGGCAGCGCGGTTGAAGAGCCGGCATTTTGATCCAGCGGCGCATCGGCCATTGTGGCGTCCTCTTCATCGTCGTCGCCAACATGATCTTCATCTTCGTCCTCGCTTGTGTCTTCGCTTGTGATTTCGAGAGGTTTGTCTGCATTAGTATCCTCTTGCCTGGTGCGCTCGTAAGAGTCCTCTGTGTAAGCCCAGGTGGGTGCATCGAACTTGCCGTGAACCAGCACGATTTGTCGGCCCTGCAACCGTATCTGCTCTATTCTCTGAGGCGGAATGGGGGTGAGGATATGGAGCGTCTTAGTGGCGATGTCGATGCCTCGGACGAGAACGAGGCCGACGGTTTGAGAGAAACGAGGATCGAGCGTGATGTCGTCGGTGTTTGAGATGTATGGTAGCCCTTCTGCCGTCTTTGAGATGACGGTGTTTATAGCAGAGTAGCCATCTTTATCCGCGTCATCCATTGGTGACTGAGTTGTATTGGCGAGATTGCGGAATGCTTTTGGGTATTCAATGTCAACTGCTGCAAGGATCATTCCATTAATGGCTTCTGAGAGCAGCTCAGACGGAGCCTGGTAGTCGTATAATAAAATCCCAAAAACTCCTCGCTTTGGGCCCGAATACTGGACTTGCCAGGGCGGAATGGATGCCAATGGCGATGAATTCCAGCTTGACCGCTGCGCAGAACTCGGGCTACTCTGGCCTTGCAAGTGAAAGTACGACATAGCTTGCATGGCTCTTAGGTGAGCGGCGGTTCGAGACGCGAATTCGGATGGCTGTGAGGGAAGCGTAGTAAAGATTTTCTTTGTCGCGCCACGCAGAACTTCGACAACGTCCGCAGGGCCATCTTCAGACATGTAAATCACCTCAGGCGGGTTGACCCGAGTGATGATTTCAACCAGCAAGTCTTGACCAGTGCCTAGAATCCAGCCCGGGGTGTTGATGAGAAGATGGCAATTACGGAGCTGTCTTCGGTAGCTGTCAAGAAGGTCAAACACGCACTCCAGGTAGTGCTCCGGAGCCGCGGCTGGTGTTATGGACGCCAAAGCATGGCATCTAATGACTTTGTAGGAGTCATCTTCAAGATCTGGATGAGTAAAGGCAGCACTCAGGTTGGGCCGGATGACATGAACCAAAGATATTGTCCCGCAAGGCGCATATTCAGGCTGACCAGGATCCAGGTCAAGAATGGCGACACCCGTTCGCGCCGCCGTAGTTGTATCGCTCGTCAAGATGCGATTTACAAGCATCTTGGAGAAAGTTGACTTTCCGGCAGATTTAGGGCCACATACAAGGGTTGTGAAAGGACTACCTTTAGCCACTGACACGAGATCAGCTAACTTTTTGTTCCATGCTGGAGGGGATGAGAGCTCTTGTATAACACACTTCTTGGGAGCGTCATCGGAGCTGCATACCTGTGAATAGTTAGCAATCAGATAGATGGAGAGAGAGGGTGAGACTCTAAACGCACAATCTGGAACGTGCGCCCCCTTCCTAGGCTTGTCTCTGTAGGTCCATCTTTTGATTCGCTCCATATGCCTTTAAATAGAGGAGATAAACGGCTCAGGCGCCGTAAAGAGTCAGCATTGGGGTCATTGTGAAGCTCGAGGCTGACCTTTTCCGAGGTTCTGAGAACGGGAATGGCGTGACAATGAGGTGCGTGTATCCAGTGTATGGGGTCTGATGGCCGGAGAGTGGCTCCAAAAACAGTTACTTCACCAGCTATGGCCTTGATTCCAAAGCTACCAATAACAATAAATCTCTAAATGTAGTTTATTAGCGGCTGTGAGAAGTTGAATCCAGATGAGTTCTGACACACCTCACTGTCTCTTAGTTTCAACGCAACGGTGCCCTGTGATGTCGTACGGCAATTATTTTTACTTAGTAAGAAGGATGAAAACGCGGTTCGAGAAATTGTAGCTGTCGTTTCTTGTATAGAAGAATCACTTTTGCATTGAAACTCCTTCATTAGTTCGTGAATATGTCATTGGAAAGACGATTCGGAGAACAATTCGACCTACCTGAGCTTACTGCCCTGTGCTGCGGCCCTTGGTTCGCCACGAGTGCCTTTTGGCCCATTTCTTTTGGGGGATGGCTTTGACGGCTCGCTCTGGGTTTTCAATTTCTGCAAGACATTGAAGGAATTTGTCCTGGCCGACGCTCGTTCTTCAGGCTCGGGAGAGGAGCTGGGCTCCTTGGCGGGTGTGCTAGCAACTAAGCGACGGCGAGCTGCAAGTGCGCTTATTGCGCTTACTGCTGCTGTAAATTGATGTTAATCTACGAGCCTGTTCAAAAGAGCCTTATGCAATGCCTCTCAAGACGATATCTGGCGAACTTACATGAAGGGGCAGCTGGAGTATCGAGTTTACGACGCTTGTTTGACGACATGCTGCGACGGCCTCTGAAAAGGACGATTGACAGGGGATTGAAAACAGATGAGACGCCGCGGTGAGGCAAAAATAAGTATATATACACTGACACAAGGGTTCCCGTTTAGAAAATGTACATTTGTGAGATTAACTTGGCCAGTCGCATGATAAAGTCCAGATTCTAGTGTAAGCCATGGATGCTGGCGATAGGCACCCCCAAACTGCTGAAAATGGGCTTATCGATAACATCTTTAGCGCACTAAAATCCCAAAAGTTTTCCGAGCTCCAAACACGTCCCGCCATCAGCGCGCACTTGCGAGCAAGCTTTGCCCAATTCGGTCGCGCCAAGGTGGGGCCTATCCTTGAGCATCTCAAAATTTATCTGAGCCTCGCAAAAAAAAAAGTTCAGCCAACCCTCGAACTCTCCCATTGAGCACCCCGCCAGGCGCATTGTACTATCATAATATTCAAAAATGGCGCCCAAAGAGCCCTTCAAGGTTCATTCTTTGGCCAAGCATGTCGAGGATACCAACAAGGGCCTCAGCGCCTCTGCCCAGTACAACCGGCGGCCTGGTTCCAAGGCGGCTACTGTGCCTGTGAAGAAAGAGCCTGGCCTTGCCAATGCCAGCCTTTTCGGCAACAATGACGACAGCGACGAGTCTAGCGATAGCAGCGACAGTGACAGCGATGAAGAGAACAGCACGGATTTCATAAAGAAGATCGGCGCCAATGGCACAAAGCCTTCCGCAACTCCCACCCCCAAGCGGCGCAACAGGGACGAGGAAATCGCCGATAGCGACGTCGAGCGCAATGCTTCTGCTAAGAAAGCCGCTGCTGTCAAGAAGGAGAAGCCCGAGGAATCTTCATCTGAATCCTCGAGCGACTCCTCTAGCGAATCAGAGTCAGAGGAAAGTGAGCCGAAAGCGAAGACAAACGGAGCCAGCGCAAAGCCTGCTGCGGCCGCCCAGGATTCGTCCAGCAGCAGCTCTGAAGAGGAGAGTGAAGACGAAGACGAATCTAGTGATGAAGATGAGACATCCAAAGCTGTAGCAAAGATGCTCACCATACCTGCCGCTCTGAAGGGTACAAAGGACGCCGCCAAAGCAAATACCAAGGCCGCCGCCAAAGAGAGTTCCAAGCCCGTCGCCAAAAAAGATGAATCGAGCAGTTCTAGCGAAGAAGAGAGCAGCGAGGAGGAATCAAGCGACAACGAAGCGGAACCTACAAAGCCCGAAGCTACAAAACCCGCAGCCGCAACTCCTAAAGCTGCAAAGCCAGTAGCTGCAATGCCTAAAGCTACAAAGCCTGTACCTACAACACCCAAGGCTGCCGACCCCGAAGCTATAAGGAAAGCATTAAAGGATTCATCTATGGAAACTGAATCCGAATCCGAATCTGAGTCTGAGGCGTCTGAAGAAGAAGAAGAAGAGAGCGATGACCAAGTTGATGAATCTATGCAAATTTCTGACCGTGAGATGGACAAGCAACTTGGAGTTCCGAAATTCATCGCTCCCGACTTTACTCTTCGCAAGGGAGATGACGGAGCCAATGGACAAGATGTGGCTCGAATATGCAACGAGGCAAACTTGCAGGGCAAGCAAGTCTGGTACTTTACAGTTCCCTCCAACGTTCCCATCTCTGTCATCCAAAATATGGAGATCCCTATGGACCGGTCGCAGCTCGGTGGTCCTGTCTTTTCTCACGACGGCCAAGATTATGGCGTCTCTTTTGACGCGATAACACCTAGAAGCTCAATCCAGATCTTGATTCCTTCTTCCGGCGATTCCAATTACCGTTCTGGTTAGTAGCTACTACCCAAATCCCCATAGTTTACTGTCAGTTGCTAACTCATATTCTCAGCTGGCCAACAGGTTGATCAGACTATGCATATCAAGAGAATTACAAACCTTGGTGGTGCCGGCGCATCTACTACTGGCCCTGCGCCTCGTCGTGCGCCTCGGCCTCAGCCAAAGGGCCTCAAGGCCAGGTACCAGCCCTTTGGCGTGAATACCCCAATGGGCAATATCGGAGCAGATACGCCTGGGGATGAATATGTCGAGATGGAGGAGGCAACCCAGACGGTAGCGACTCCGAAATCCGCTAAAAAGTCAAAGAGTAAGGATAAGAAGAAAGGCTCCGATGAGGCCGCCACAGCCGATCGCAAAGGCAAGAGAAAGCACAATGCTTCGGAAGATGATGCCTCGGACGCTGCAAGGCAACTAGCAGAGGAGAATGAGTCTGCAGAGACTAAATCCAAGAAACAGAAGGTGGCCCGGGCTTCCAGTCCTGATCTGGGAACAGAACTGCCCACGATCAACAAGAAGCAGACACCAATTGCACCACCAGCCATCCCCTCATCAGCATACTCATCATCAGCTGTCGCTGTTGCCACTCCTTCAAAACCAGCAGCTGCTACTCCTAGCGCAACGAAGAAGTCTTCTAAGAAGGCGAAGCCTGAGACTCCTGCCCCTACACCGCGTCAGACAGCTGTTCCACTTCCCAACATCCCGCTGACTTCCCGGCCCAAAGAATCACCGGTTCCCCTCCCGCCGTCCTCTGGCCTCGTAGCTTCTACGCCGCTGCAGTCAAAAAGCAAGAAGAGCAAGAAGAGCAAGGACGGGGTAACCGCCACCGGATCTTCACAGCAGAGCCCTCCACCAAGTGCTCAGGGTGGTGATAAGAAGAAATCTGCCAGCAAAGCCAGCAAGTTGGGCTAGAGCCCCAGATTATACAAGTGGGTTTGAGACGCAGCTAGCTATGGCTTGCATCTCAAAAGATGCACGGCTACGGTAACCATATTCATAGTGGTACTACTACCTAAACAAGCATGGGGTGGAATCGATGGGTTTCGACTTTCCACAAGAACTGTGCGGTTCATGAAGCTTTGTTGCTTGCAGTTGGTTGATCTTTACTAGCTCTGGATGGTCCGTCGAATCAGAGCTTTTTGTCATGATTAGGAGACATTGGCGTTCAGGAAGAAGTAGTTTGCTTTGCTATCTTAAAAATAAAAAGGTGAGACAGAGGATGGGGATGTGCGTTTGGAGACAGAGTATGGGGTCTAGACTTTGGAGAGAAAAGGACTCGATTCATCGATATTGCAGATGGCAATGCGTTGCATTTTTCATGTATATTTCACATCTTGCGAACATAGCACCGATGCGGGTGGGCTGTTCATTGGAACAAACGGGCTTTCAACAATTGAGGGCCCCTGAATGGGCCATGCGTAGGATAAGATTCGTCTCACGAACGTTATCAATCTAATTCATTGAACAATTTGTAAGCTCCAGCCAAGTGTATATGTATGAAGCAGTAGCACATATCATTTCGTAGAATATGTGGACAAGTTGCCTGCTACACACTCATGTCTCGTAGCGGTATCACGACAGAGTACTCGTGGTTGATATGTAGAAGCCAGAGCCATCCGTCCTACGTTTACTACTACCGGGTACCATTTTCACCACCGCTTTTCTATAACCGATACTATATCATGTCTCCGGACTCACCCCCTGGCTCGCAAAAGACCCTGGGCTAGTCCAACTCTCTCGACCTGGATGTTGGGGCGCTGAGATGGACAAGATCGGTCAACCGATTCGTGGAGTGGATACAGACGCGGACTTGACACGTGCTGACCACTCGATCGGTGCAGCCATCGGTGAGAGAAGAGAAAGAAGCGGGAGAGGCTTAGACGAGGCGGTGATGCGTTTGGTGGATGAGGGCCAAAAAAAGGGGAGAGATGTACGTGCATGCATATACAGTTCTCCCGTATATGCGAGGTACGGCGCGGCCCTTTTTTAGGGGAAGAAGGCTTACGGAGTGGCTAAAGTATGGATATTATTACGGGGATTACAGAAGCATTGGCCCAGTTTATGCTTCGGACTCGCAAATGAGGCTTTGTTTGTTCTACAAGGGGAGGAAACGGCCCCGGGAGGCAGCGATGCCTGCATATTGTCTGTACATACATACGTGGACGGAGGGTACTGGAGCCGCGGCACTGCAATGCAGGGGCAGCTAACGGCAGCACTTGGCACGCAAAAGAATACATGCATCGACCGAGTGTGTCGACTACAGAGTAGTAGTACGTGGCTAGCTGCGACTCCGCGATTCCTGCTGGGCGCTGCAACGACGTACTACCGTTTGAGGGGTTCTAGATCTACAGTGGCACATTGAGTGTGTACGCGTTAAACGTGGCTGGTTGATCCTTTTGGTTTGGGCTGTGCTGGCGGCTTCTCGTTGGGCTGATTTTTTTTTCTTGCTGCTAACGCCTATGCAAACTACTACTACTTTTGAGACGTAATGTCACCAACGTCCGAGTTGTACCTGTACTTGAAAAGTGAGTCGTGAGTCCTCGTCATCTGAACGGAGCTTTTTACGTGGCTCATTTCGTGGAGGTGAGACAAAGAGCTACAAGTAATTTAAGCTGTTGCTCGTGGGGGGGCGTGCGATATGCATGGCGTTGGGCTGAGGCGCCCCCGTATGGGAGAAGTTTGGTTAGTTACGGCGAGGTAAGCGGGCGGTTCTATTAATTGCTCTGTTTCTTATATGCTGCTGGATTGATTATTACTCGGTGATACTATTTGGTGGCATTGTGATGGGAACTGCAAGGCTCGAATAAGGACTCATTTTACGAGGCCATCAGCTCTTAGGGTTTCCTCGTGAAACTGGCCCAGCAGATATTAGTAGAAACAGCAATTAACCAAAGCGCAGCTCTATACTGAAAGTAGACACAACAGCAAGGTAAGGGGGGCCCAGGCTTTGAGCAAGGATCGTGGCTTTTGACGCGGCGATGGGGTTTGTGAGATCGCCGCGCTGGATGCATTACCTATTTGTTGGTGTCTTTTTCCCTTTCCCTTCCCTTGCCAAGAAATTAAGGAAAATCGAGGGCCTGCCGTGCACGGCAAAAAAGGGGAGCGATCCCTTTCATTAGAACGCTCTCAGGTTTCTACGCACTACTACAGCTGTAGCAAGGTGTGAAATGTAATATTAACATGTAAGCCTAGAATGGTTCTGGGGGATACAAAGATGCATGGATCGTGGTGTGATTCTTGTGGCAATTCTCCTTGCATTCACATGCAGAAGACAGCAAATGGAGAAGAGAACCAAAAAAAAAAAAAAAAAAAAAAGAGCCAATACATTATTTTTTTTACCCATTCTTTTACAGTGACAATTTCGGGCTTATGGGTCGGGATCGGCCCATTGAATTACTGCTACTGCAAACTTCAATCGTTTACCGAACGATCAAGATGGATTTTTTTTCTCTAGTTCATGGGCCAAGCGAGCTATCGTCTCCATCGGAGACTTTAGATTGGCCCGCTTCGCTCCCCTCTCTTTTTTCTCTCTCTCTCTTCACTAACAAAGCTCCTAGCCTATCGGAGCGGGCGGATCTGGCCATTTCCAGCTACGTATTGGCGAGTGGTGTGATGTGATCGGACATGGGGGGCTGCCAGTCGAAAGAAATTCACAATCTCCCTGCTCAATTCAAACCGGCGCTCACGATGCTTGAATCTTGGGCACTTGGAAATAGAAATGTAGTTTTGCAGCTTTAAAGGCTAAGCCATAGCTCGAAATAAGGTACGGCACATGACTAGAGCTAGCAGAATACGCAATTGGGCAAAAGGGAGACTGATGGCAAAAACGAGGCGCAGCGCAGCGTATAGAGTTCGCTGCGTTTGGACTGGGCTTTGGATGAGGCGCAACAAGAGGCCCCGATCCTGCTGAGCTGAGCTGACGTGATGTACACAGCTGCAGTGTCGTCACCTCCATCGAAAATGGAGATTCATGTCGCGCTCGTTAAGCTGTCTTGTCTCATGTGGTTTTGATGAGTTGCGGAGCAGAAACAAGGGACGTGCTCGCTAAAAAAAGACCCTGGAGAGCGAGCCGCCGAAAATGAGAGAGGGAGCGCGCACCAAGTACAGTACAAGGCAGCAAATCTCGGCAAACGAGAACGAGAATGCCGGATCTTGGCTTGTTCTCGATTTGCACCACGAAGCGCATCATCCATCCTTCGATACATGCGCCGCGGTATGCCATTTTTGCCCCGGGCAAATAAAGAACAAGAGCCTTAGCAGAGAAGATCCGCCCGACTCCGCGGCATCTCATTCGCCGCTCAGCGGTGCCCATGGGGCTAAAAAGTACAGCTACATAGAAGCTGGCTGGAATTCTACGGATCGGTGCTTAGCTGCTCGATGTCGTCATAGCCTCTTCCTTTCGCTCTCTCGCTCAGCCCGCGCGCGCAGTAGCCGCGGCTAGGTTAGAAATCTTGTACAGTAGCGTAGCTCGACTCTCAGGCCATGTTCTCTGTCTATTGTCTTTTGGAATTGGCACCAGGTGGGCAAAACGCTGCAGCAGCAGGTCGAACTGCTTTGAGTCTAGGCGCAGATGTTGGGAGCTGCATGCCCGCCCCGAGATTCCCGCGTTTCCAGCAGGGGGGGGCTTCGTGAGAAAGACAGAAAGAGGGTGGGTGGTGGGCATGACATATTCTTGTCCATGGACATGTGCTTTTTCGGCCGACGGGGCCCCTCTGAAGAGGAAAGCTCTGCGCGATTCGGCTTCGTTTGATCTTTGCATTGTTCCGCGAGCCGGATCCAGCGAGTCAAGTGCCAGCTTGATACACGTATCTCTCTCATATTCTCGCATCACCAAGCGGAGTAGGGGACCACGCGACCATATGGAGTAGGTAGCTGGTGCATCTGTTTGTGCTTCTCCGGAGATGGAGGTGCAAAGTCTGATAAGGCAGCTGCTGTTTTAAAAGAGACGTGGGGGATTGCCCTTTTATGATCTACCTATAATTTTACACACACAGTCACAGTCACACTTACATGCGTTTCGATACGCCATGGCATGTTGATTTATGCTCCCGTCTTTTAGAGCGCAGCTTATACGACGGAGTAGAGGAGGGGGAAAAGGCATAAAAAGTAGCTTGAAATGAGACTTGTCCAAGCAAAATGCTTACACCACAGACCAGCGCAAAGCGTACGATTTCGTTTGTCTGAGACGAGGTTGTAAGAGTGAGATGGAACGAGAGTCGAGACCACTTAGTGCGGCCAAGCTTTTTTCTCACCTCGATTCTATTTTGTAACCCTCGTCGAGCACTGTAGCAGCGATTACTGCGTTTGGCAATCGCCCAATCGTACTGTAGCGCTGCTGCAACTAGCAAGCGATAGTAGCTGTGCTGTTACTATCTTTGTAATTCCGTTTCCTTATGACCAATCTGCAGCACTCGCTCTTCTCCACCGTTATCAAGTGGTTCATTCATGCAGGCAGAATCACTCGTGCGTCCGTCTCTTTAGCCGCGTGTTCGAGATGCAGCAACTGGCGTGATGTGATGGTTGATAGCGAGGATGCAGTGACGCCGTGCCGGAAACCCGCCATGGCCAACTCCACAGCACGCTCCGAAGTGACGATGCATCGGGCTGTGACGGAACAGGATGCGGCCGAAGCCAGTCACTTGAGACACCTTGAAAGAAATAATAATAATAATAATAAAGGTCGAGAAAGAAGATAGAAGCTTATAGAGCCCGTCACCAATACACTCTCACGAATAACACCATCTCGTCCACCCATCTGCCTCTCCCTGAAGCACAAGACGCGGCCGTGTTCCATATAAGCGCTCCGTGTGCGACAAAGAAAATCCGCTAACGCTGCCGGAGAGCCGTTCTTGGGGGGGGGATCTAAAGCGTTTTTAGCCCCGTTTGAAACGGCCTGGTTTTTTCTCCTCTCTCATTCTCACTCTCACTCTCACTCTCTCAAGCGCCTGGAGCTCTGCTAAAGCAGACAGGGGTAACGTGGACGCAGGGCCAAGCCAACCCATCGATCCCTTACGAGTAGGTATTTCACAGGCTTGGTACACGAATAAGCGCCCGGAATTGTCTTGGCCAAAGATGTACCTGTTCCACCTTGTCCTTGCACGAGCAATTCTAACTAGCAGTATTACGATGGGCGGCCTAGCGGCATCGCACGAAACTAACGTTTTAACTCTCAATTTTGCATCGTCGCCTAATGCTAGGCAAAGTACAGTTACCTGGCCGCATGTTTTCCGGACGATTGATTGGGCTACGGACTACGGACTACGGGGCATTTGGGGGGGACCGCCATGCCGAGGCGGCGGCACGCTCACTCACCGCACGGAGAAGGGAAAAAAAAATTGGCGATGGAGCATTGGACGATTAGAAGAGAGAAAAAGAGAAAAAAAGTGGCTGTCATGCGCTAGCCGAATGGTCGTTTCTTGGCGCTTTAACTGCATTCGAGGCGCGGTCGTGGCCTGGCTGCATCATCGGCAGCTCTGGCATCTTTCCATCGTCGACTGGCTTCCATCGCGTGACCGGGCTTTGCTTCGATGGCTCTGCTCGTTGTATTTCATCCTTGGGTTCTTCCTTTTTAAGGCTCGGCTCTTGTCCCATTGCAACGGCGACATCGTCATGCTGCAGCCGGTATGCACGTGTCTGCCGTGGACTGGATCCCGCAATTTGTGCGAATCAAAGTTGTCATTGTCAGCTTCTAGCCAAAAATATCCCAATTTTCGCTGCCGCCATGTCTTCTAGGTATATTCCGTCTTTCCATCCGCTCTCAATCTCAATGGGCAGATTTCGGTCGAGCTGGAAGATCGGGGGACCCTGCACCGAAACGTCCGCCTTTCCTCTTTGATGCCGCAATGATAACCCACAGCACACTCGGGACGCTGTAGTCAACTTGTCGGCATTTACCAACCTCCGGTAGCCCGCGACTGGGGACACTATCAAACAGCGGCCGTCTATCTGTCACGATGCCCACCGTCCAGTTACTTCGTAGTAAATAAGTGCTTAGGAAGAAAGAAAATAGCTACAGGAGCGCTGCTAGCAACAGCGCTTTGTCAATGATGCCATGCGGTTTGTGTTGTTTATATGTCGACTGCAAGAAACGTTTGCCCCGATGGCATGAATGTGTTGTCCGCATCTACAACAGTTGGGCCGATTCCTCAAAGAAGTCAAAAACGCGTTTTAGCGCAAACCCTTAATTACTAGCACCCACAGTTCTCGGTGATAGTAGTTCGCGGCTGTTGTACTGCTACCATAGTCGGTGTGCGTACAGGTACGCAACAAACAAAGCATAGAGCGGAGTTTATTACTGTCTAGCAGAAAGCAAAAGGAGGAAATCCGTGGTACGCGTATCATGACTCTTGCAGGAGATGCCAAGTGGCCCTTGGTCAAGTTCACCGAGGCTCGTAAAAGAAAAAAGAGTGAAAAAAACGCTCGCGAGATACCGTCAACGCCGAAGCATGATTTCTCTGGGCCTCAACGTTTTGGCCGGGAGCTGCACGCATTAATTGTGCGCATTTTCTAATGCTCCCCCATGCCGGCATTCTCGGCGCGCAACGCCCAAAAGTCTGCGATCCCCACCGAGAGGCAGCCGCAGCCACTCATCGACCCTGTGCAATTTCACCATCAGGCGCCCAGGGCCAAGGCCGCCAAGACGTCCAGGGATTGGGGGATTGGCAGCGGCCTTGCGCTTGTGCAAGGTGAGAATTTGATGTGAGCAGCGGTTTTGGAGTGGCTGGCCAACGGAGCAGCAGTTTTTCACCCGCACGTCTCGGAGGGGGGAAGCGCAGAGTGCAGTGCCAGTACCAGATACCTGCAAGATGCAAGCCGATACGGGGCGCCAGCGCAGAGCCCCAGGTATCGTTACCTGCGCACAAGGCACTTGCCCTGGAAGTACCGGTACTCGTGGGCCGCAGCTTCCGGGGCCACGTCCCCAAATTAGCCCAGGCCCTGTGTCTAACGATAGCGCCTGAGCCCGACGCCATCTGCGCGTTGTTGTGCTGCTTCGTCGCTGAGCGAAAGGAGCCCGGGTGCCCGCTGAAGCGCGCTAAGGGGGGAACGGCGCTGGGCTAGACGAATATCTTTTCTCTACGGCAGGCAAAAAAAGGAGGAAGCAGAAAAAAAAAAAAAAAAAAAAAAAAAAGGCGCCTAGTTCTTCGTGCTAGGCTTACTGGACCTAGCTAGCGCATGTATCGCTACCCGCGGTGCCTCGTGCAGATTTCGCTCTCCGCCCGGTACAAAGTGCCTTGGTCCATGTCCGAGAATACAAGGTTCTTGCCGGGCTCCAGCGCCACACACACGCCCATTCGGAGGTACCTTCAGCGCCAGCTGCACCTTGTCATCATTCCCTGTCTTACCTCACCTCTGCTGCCACTTACGAACCAAGACCCTCCAAGCCTCTGCCTTTTGCTGAACCTTTACATACTAGACTTGTCCCCTCCTCCTCCGTTTGGCTTCATTCTCCTTTGTCCTCTCCTATCCCCAACGCCTCTTCGCTCTTCTCTTCCCTCGCCTTCCCCTTTGGCGCTCCTGGCCTTTCCCGCCCGCAGTCCCTTGGAAGAACAACAACCCACCGCAGGTTTTGTTCCTTCGCAAGCCCCCTGCTGAGCCTCCGACTCCCGTCGATTCGGCCTGTGGAACTGCTGCTCGTCGTCCCTCCGACCCCGTCGCCGACGATTTTTTTTTTTTTTTGACCAGCTCTGCACGTGCTCGTTGTATCTCTCATTCGACACGCTTTTGCGCGGCTCTTTGGGATTGTCCTTGGGTATTATGAGGTAGCGTTTGGGACAATCCGCTGTATTCATACTCTGCCGGGCTCGAGCCGACCAAGCATCGACTCCTTTTTGTCTCCACAACCGTTGCTTTTTTTGCTACAAAGAATCGCGACAACCTCTTCGCATTTCTACGACGACGGCTTTTCTTCTTTATTTGCCTTGAACATCTATTTTTTTGGGACAGATTGTAAAAAGAAAAAAACAAATACGATGGATCTTGGATCGGGAAAGCCCAAGTTGCCGGCGCTCCTCACGGAGCACGTCAACTTGGCTTTTCTCAACCGTCTTCCCGCCCGCTACGCTCGCCGGCGCCCCCGGGCAAAGTCCAATACGACGCATCGCGGCGAGGACATCACGAGCCTGCAGACGTCCTTCAACTTTTGGGATGGCCTGCGAGACCTGCAGAAGCACCATTGGCGACTTTCCGACCTGCAATACGCCGTGCTCCTTGGCTTGACGCTCTTTTCGCTCTGGATCGCTCCCCCAGCTGCGGCATTGAAGCTGTTTGCCCTCATGGGCGCCACATGGCTTCTCTGCATGCCTGCCACTCGCCAATTCTTCCTTCCGTCGCTGCCAATCTGGGTCTGGCTCGTGTACTTTTTCTGTAGTCGGTAAGTTTTCAGCCATTGATGGTGGACCTGGTGGTTAATCGGCTCGCTAATCGCATCTCATTTTTCTCCCCTCAGATTTATTCCTACCGAGTATCGTCCTCATATCTGGGTCCGAATCTTGCCTGCTCTGGAAAACGTTCTCTATGGCGCGAACCTTTCCAACATTCTCTCGGCTCACAAGCATGCTATTCTCGACATTCTGGCTTGGCTTCCCTACGGCATCATTCACTTCGGAGCCCCTGCTGTGTGCTCCGCAATCATCTTCGTCTTCTCAGCTCCCGGCACCACTCCCGTCTTTGCCCGTGCTTTCGGCTGGATGAGCATCCTTGGCGTCTCCATTCAGCTCATCTTCCCCTGCACGCCGCCATGGTATGAGAATGAGAATGGACTTGTTCCCGCTGCCTACGGCATGCATGGATCTCCCGCTGGATTGGCTCGTGTTGATGCCATCTTTGGTATTGATCTGTACACTACCAACTTCACCAATGCTCCTCTACCTTTTGGTGCTTTCCCCTCTCTCCATGCTGCGAATGCTGTTCTCGAGGCCCTGTTCATGAGCCACTGCTTCCCTCAGTTCAAATTCTTCTTTGCAGCTTACGCCGGCTGGGTTTGGTGGGCAACCATGTATCTGAGCCACCACTACGCCATCGATCTGGTGACCGGTGGCCTCATCGCTTCCGCGTTTTACTACTATTGCCGTGCTAGGTGGCTGCCCCAACGCCAGACCGATAAGCTTACCCGATGGGAGTACGATTACGTCGAGGTCGGTGACCGCCACAAGGTCCAAGACGAAGAGACTGGCCGATACTTCAGCCTCGGTTTCATCGACCACCATCGCTCCAACTCTAGCGACGGATGGACCGTCGCCAGCAGCTCTAGCAGTGGCACTCTCAGTCCTACTACTTCAGAAGCTTCTACACCCGGAATCATGGATCTGACCGGCGACGGGCAGACTTGGGATGGACATATCCCGCCAAGAGACGTTGATTTAAGTGAGGTTGTTATTTCGCGGTAATAATATTTTGAAATCCGATCCCGTCGGAAATCACTTTACTCGACGATTCAAGTTTTTCACTACTTCATCTTTTACATCACTCAACTCGGCACCTAATACGACGGGATGTCTGAGCGTTACGAACCTGCTTATGATTCAATTCAAAATTCGTAATTAATATTTGGCAGCAAAGCCTTCTTTTTTCTAACATCTTTGGCATTCATCGGCACAGCGAAATGGCGCAATGTGGTGTTGATTTTTTTTTTCTTGGTGAAGGGGGATCAAATCCGGTTTCGTTATCGCCCAACCGGATACCGAATATTTAATACTGGAGGGATGGGAGTCCGGATCGGGGAATTACGGGAAAGAAAAGGATATTATTATTTTCCATTCAAACCTGTCAAATGATTCGACTGCATATATTCGACAGAGGAAAGGGTACTACTACTTCAAATGATAGAGTACGTAATGTATACATACTAAGTGGATAATCCGTGCATGGAGGATGGATAGGGTTGAGTACATGCACTGAACGCTCGCTAAGTGAGCCATGAGATGAGATGGCCACTGACGAAGGCAATGAGTTGGGAGAGACGCATCCGTATCGAAGATAATGGATAAGGCTTTCACACAAAGGAGGGGGCGGTCTTGGGAAAGAGTTGAACTAGGCCTATGGCGAAGAACATACCAAAGATGCCGCTCGCTCAACCTTTTTGAACAAAAGGTACAAATGAACAAATGAATAAAAAAATGATGAAAGCCAAACTCAAAAGTTTCTACATGATGAATAATAGTGACTGAATTGAAACGAAATCAAGTGATATTTGCCGTGTATCAATCAGTCATGGCTCTCAAACAATAGCGTGACAACCTGTTACACTTACGACTGTTTCAAAACACGAGGTTTTCTCACAACATAGAGCCCCAATGGTAGTTTCAAATAAGCAATTTTGTTATATTTCCCATTCGTGAGCTCAAAAATACGCGTTCATTTCCATTGCTACATAGCCCGTAAATGTTCTCTTATGCCTTCTCCTTTCTCTGCTCACATGACTGACTTGTCTGGGGGTTTCTACCACTCAGACAACAGGCGTTATATATATATAAAATAAAATCCTATTATTTCCCGCGACTTTAACAAACGATAATGAAAACAAAAAAAAAAAAAAAAGGTGAGAATAAGGAAAGAGTGAAAGAAAAGGGTAAAAAAAAAGTGTTCAAATTCAATTTTTTTTCTTCTTCTTCTTCTTTTGTTTTGCAAGGCAAATGATGGAGGCAGAGTGAAAATTCCAAAACGACGATATATCAAATCCATCACTTCATTCTCTCGTAGCTGGGAAGCACAAAATAGAGAAACGATTTCTTCCCCCAAGTAGATTCTATGAGAAACATGGCTGGGTATCAAGTGGGCTGCCAGCGCCGGTGCACACATACGCATGTTCTCTCTTCTTTATAGAGATACTCCTTTTCTCTCTCGCTACTTGGTGCTGGCATGCCAAAAAGAACAACAAAAAAAAAAAGAAAGAAAGAAATGCGGTTATTTACCATACCTGTGAGGCAGAGGTAAAGCTACCTGGCAGCCTCGGGGTTCCAGAGGCCTTTGCTTGTTTGTACAAGACGGTTGGCCATGTTGCCCGGCTGTAGTGCTGCGGGCACGTCAGAAGCAGGAGTTGTGTTGCCCATGACTACATCGTCGGCTTGCCTGTTCGCGCTGGGTTCGCTGTCATTGCCCTGGCTGGAGCCCATAGAGATGGCGCTGTCGTCTTTGCGGACACCGTTGACGGGAGGGCCCGGGATGTTGGGGCCAGCACCGCGGTTGCGCGTGGGCTCTTGGGAACGAGCGCCGTCCATCATGAGATTCTGGGCCTCCCGTAACTTGTTGATGGCGCGGACAGTGTCGATAGCCGCGTGCAGCGTGCGCCGAGCGTTGAAGTTCTTCTTGATTGTGGGAAGCAAGTTCTCGCCAGCGCCGTCCGAAGGGGCGAGACCAGCAACGAACGGATGCTGAAGGGCCTCGTGGGCGGTGATGCGCTTGTCCTGGTCGATGGTGAGGCAGCGACGGATGAAGTCCTTGGCGTGCGAAGAGACGCCGCGCCAGTACTCGACGGGGGTGAAGCTGTAGTCGGCGTTGAGAATGGCTTGCATCTCCTCAAAGTCGGAGTCTCGGTCGAAGGGGGTATAGCCGCAGAGGAGGAAGTAGGTGATGACACCGATGGCCCACAGGTCAACGGGCTTACCATGGCCGGTCTTCTTAAAAATCTCAGGAGCCATGTAGCCAGGAGTACCGCAAGTCGTCGTGAGAACATGGAACTGCTCCTCATCCATGATGCGGGACAGGCCAAAGTCGGCGATGAGCAGGTCTGCATTGTCCTCGGGGGTGCGGAAGAGTAGATTCTCGGGCTTCAAGTCACGGTGGACGATGCCGTGGTCGTGGAGGTATGCGACGGCGGAGAGTGTCGCCCGAATTAGATCAGCCGCATCGGATTCGTAGTACGAGCCCTTTCTGCAGATGCGGTCAAACAGCTCGCCTCCGAGAGCCAAGTCTGTGACGAGGTACAGGTTGTTCATGGTCTCGAAGTAGTCGACCAGCGTCAGGATGTTCTGGTGTCCCATGGACACCTTTTTCAGGACGGCGATTTCATTCCGGACCTATTCCCCCATCCCAAAACTCGTTAGCATTATTATCATAGAGGCATAGCGACAGCATTCTTCGGGATGGGGAGCTGAAGAAGAGATAGGCTCTTGCATACCATGTGTTCTCGCCCCGCCATAAGTCGCTTATTGATAACCTTGGCGGCATAGTAGCGCCCGGTATCGATATGGACGCATTCCTTGACGACCGAGTATGAGCCAGCTCCCAGAGTTTTCCCAACCTTGTATCTACAAGGCTGGACCTGGGGCTGCTGCTGTGGCTGCTGGCGGCTCATCGTGGGCCGACTTGGATGGCTGAAGAGCCCGTGGAATCCCGGATGCTGTGCGAGCGCGTGGCGTTGAGAGACAAGAGATGTAGAGGGGAGAAAAGGTGGCGGAGGGCGTTCAGTTGCCAGCTGCGAAGAGCAAAGTGGTGGGTATACACGAGACGAATTTTTGTATTGATGCGCCCAAAAAGAGGAGCCGCTTAAGAAGATGGATTCTTGCGACCTTGGGTTGGAGGAAAAAGATTTTGGGGATTTGCAAGCTGGTACGGCTTAAGGGGAGTTTATGGCGGTCTTCAAACAGAAACCAGGTGGGGGAGGGGCCCAAGGGGGATGCCAGCCTGGATAGGCTCGATCAGCGGCCTATCAAGCCCGAGATTCTGGGGGCTAGCAGAGGCAGCCTGGTCTGTATTTTTAGTAATGGAGGATTCCATTTGCTTTGTATTACCGCACATCACCTCACATTTGCCGGCTTTTCTTTGTCTTCTCGGCCTCTTCTTCTCCCAGTGAATGAGTGTCAGGCCACTCTGGGGGCCTTCAAAAGAATAAACAAGAAAACGATATGAAGCAATGAAATACAGCATGGTGCTGGTACTGGTGCTTGTTATTGCGGTTTTAGCCGCAGATGGAGAGGATGCCGCTAAGTGCCGGACAGCCCAGCTTAGAATATGGGACTGGTATTAGTCGCTCTCTTTATTCATCATCTCCTTTCTTTTCGCTCTATCCTAATAAGATGTATCTGCTGATGTATTTAACAGGTGCTTACATCTATTACAATTGTTTCTTCCTTTTTTTTTTTTGTCAAGAGGTTTTACGCCGAGGCTCGAGTATTAAGGCTAAGCGGCTGCAAAGAGAGAGGGTAAGCTTACATGGCGGCTAGTAACGATGCCGCTCTCCCAAACAGCCAATGGCCAAGACGGCCACTGTAGGGTTGAGCAATTTGCCAAGCTGATTGGCAGCTGTTATCTAAATAGGTAGCTCGTGGTGCGATCGGGGCTGAAGAACAATCTGGTGAAATCCGGCGCCGTTTTCACTATTCCGGTGGCCCCCTCCGCGACTGCTTCTTGGCGCTGTTGAATTTTTTGTCCTGGACTCGTGCCTCGTGGAATCGCTTCTCTCTGCTCAATGTCAGCCCCAGTGTTGCAATTCGTCTTCCATGATGTTATATACATACACCTCCTGAAACTTCTTCTTCTTGTCAGAGCTTGTTTCAGCGGGAGTCATGTCGCGATAGATGCTCATAACCTCGTCAATGAGCTTCCTCTTGTTCTCATCAAGATTGGCAGACCTAGACCGATGAGTCTGCGCCGAGAACGTGAGCGAGTCATTGCCAGCAGTGTAATACTTGGAGGACCGGACTGCGGAATGAAGAAATTTAGGGAGAACGCCAAGTAGCTCTTTCACGGGATAGACCGTTATTGCCTTAGTTTCAGTTCTTTGAGCCGTTGACGTTAGCTACGTAGCTTCATCGGGAAGACGAAATCAACATGCAGAGTTTCCATACTTGTTGACGTGCTGACCTCCGGGGCCGCTGGATCTTGCGTATGTAGTGCTACCTTTGGGCAGCTGTGATGCCTCAAATGAGCTATACCACAGCCGCGCCTCGGCCAAGGCATCCTGGTCCAGTCGAGCATCGTATGCTTCGTAGCGTTTAATTTTTATCGACTGAGATAGCAGAAGCCTCGGCTGCCTCGGCGCGGTTGCCGATAGCACTGCTCTTTTCCGCAGATAAGACAGCAGCATGGTGTATCGAGGTATGCTGGTAGCGATTTCTGGTATGCACTCGCAATATTATCCCTTCTATGAGCTATACAAGCCGCATGTTGGCCCGCGCAGATCCGAAAACGCTTTGCCCCCCTTCACCGAACCCTTTTCTCATTCGCTCGGCGATGTTACCCAGCACCTGTCCAGCGCTAATCAGCATCAGCTCAGTGCCGACGTCCTGTGCCGTCCAACACAAATCAGCAGATGGGCCGGATGAGATACAGGTGGTAGATAAAGGTGGTATGGAATATACAGGTCGTTATAGGCCCAGGCCTGCTAAGCGTCCCTAATTTAGCGGGCTGGCTGCCTTACCGAGTTTTTCAAGGGCCCCGCGCCGAGTCCTGCCGCGGCCCAAACAGGACTAGCCCCATGACAGAATTTGAGGCGGCTTCTGTCTGCCTCGAGCTCGCCAGCCTTTGTGCCTCTCTTCTTTGCTCCTCCAACCAACACCCGCTGCTCTCAACCTCGAAGCCTCTTTTCAACGTAGCACGTCACGGCGCATTTCCCCGGGTCGCAGCTTGGCGGTGTTGCCCGTCCCGTCACCGTCTTCGCCAGAGCAACCACCACTTCTCTCGTAGCAGGGCCTAGCTTCTCGTGTCGCGAGCACCATCGTTTATCTGCGTTCCCATACTACCACCTACTACATACTACTACTACTACTATTACTTGCAGCATCAAAGCATCCTTGCGCGCCCACTACCACTACTATCAGCCCCACATCGAACCATCGTCGACAACAGCTTTTAATAATCCCTCTCTCGCCTCAACCGCCGACGGCAACAGGTACTCCATAGTGGCCTCTCTGCGCGGATGCTACCACCCAGTCTCTACCCCTTAGATCTCCTCTAGCCCGCCAGCCCAGCTTCATGCCAGAGCCAGAGCTTGACCCCGAAGCAACTCTGCAGGCTACAGCCAATCTCTCTCCCGTCTCTCCCTCGCCTGTCCACACGGCCGCGTCTCTCGTGGTGCCAGCGCTCCAGCAAACCGTCGATACCATCGACGCCATGGTTGCTGCTACGGCCGCTCTCCCCAACGGGGTCGCTGACGCCCCCGTTGTCGACCCTTCCCTCGCGACTGCTGGTGAAACCGACGATATTGTAGATGATGACAGCTTCAGCGACGCTTACGGCGAAGACACGGAGGAAATGGCCGTAGAGCCTCCTCGGCAGGAGATCGTCGACAACAACGACGACTACGCCAAGACGTTTGACTCTCCTATCGGTCCTGGGGAAGGGGAAGACCAGGAACCCGAGCATGTATCATCAGTACCACGAGAATCCAACGAGAATCCATCACTTTTATCCGATCACTTGACTAGTCGCCCATCAGACGTCTCTCATGTCGCTGCTGATTCATCCGCGTCTGCCCCAGCTGCTCAGAACCCATCTGTCTCTGCTGTTCAGCCCGAAGCTGGCCCTGAGCCTGCCAGCGCAGCTGTATCTCAGCCTGGCGATGCGCAAGCGGCTTCCATCCCGCCAGTGGCCCAGCCCACGCTGCCCGGAGCTGACCCTACCAAGCAAGATCCCGAAAACTCATCATCTGTTGACATCCAACAACTCGTGGCTGACCTCACTGCCCATCCAGCTGAGCCTAGCCCCGGAAACCCTGACCCAACGCCGGCTTCTGCGTCGACAGCTGATGTCCCAGCGGCTTCATCCAACCCCTTTCCCCCTTCTACTTCTACTCTCTCCTCCAACATCACCGCTACCACTACTACTGCTTTGCCACTATCTTCCTCTCTCCCACCGCGTCCTCCGCTGCCCCAGGTCGCTCCCCAATCGTATGCTTCTCAGCACCATCCTCCCGGAACCAATTCCAATGTCTCAGCAACTGCCGGGGTGCCACCCGCGCCGGGACAGCCCTCTAGTTTTGCTATTGCCGGTGCCCCTGGAATCTCAACTGAAGCTCCAGGGACTCTCCCACCCCCTCCTGCCACAGCTATGAATCCCCCAGCTGCTGCTGCCTCCATAAACGCTTCCTATGCTTCCAATCCGCCCGGATATCCTGTTGACCGAGCCCATGATGCCGAATATCAACGCCAGTGGGATCAATTCATGGCCGATGAGCGACAGTACATGTCGGAGGCCAAGTGGGATAGGTTCCCCGAAGGCTCACGCATTTTTATTGGTTAGTGGCTTTGCCTTAAAACTCATGTTCCAGCTCCCCCAATTAATTGTGTATGAGTGCTAATGTGATTTTCTTTTTTTTTTCTCCTTGCCGTAGGGAATCTCTCTAGCGACAAAGTCTCTAAACGTGATGTTTTCGACATTTTCCACAGATTTGGCAGACTCGCCCAGATTTCCCTCAAGTCGGCATATGGCTTTGTGCAGTACCACACAGTCGAGGAAGGCCGTAGTGCTCTGGAAAATCTTCAGGGTATGGAAGTGAAAGGACGCCGTATCCGTAAGTCACTTTTCACCCTCCCTCTCTCTCTCTCTTTTCATTTGTCCACCCCCAGTATTCATTCACCTTCTCTTGAAATTGAGACAAGTGCTGACAATCTGCAGATTTGGAAATCTCCCGCCTTCAAGATAAATCTAAGAAGGAGAGAAACCGTAGCCCTGAGCGAGCTCGTGGCGGACGTGGCGACGGTGGTCGTAGGGGAGAAAAGTATCGCGACGATAACCGATCCACACGCAATCAATCGCCTCGTCGCAATGACTACTATGGCAGGAACGATAGAAACGACAGAAATGATAGAGCCGAAAGGGCCGACAGGACTGATAGCTACAGCGGTCGAGATCGAGGATACTATGACTCAGGCAGAGGCCGCGGCCGCTCACGATCTCCTGGTGGATATGGCAGAAACGAAAAGGACTCCTATCGCAGGAGAAGCCCCAGTCCCTACAGTAGACCGCGACATGAGCCAGAGCTTGATCTACCTCGTCGATATGGTGCGGATGTTCCAGATGTGCAAATCGTCATGCAGCCAGATGTCAGCCCAGATTTTGGCACTTGGGTTGAAGGCGCCTTCAAGGCCAAAGGATTGAGAACCCACGTCATGTACCTCCACCCGCGGTTTCCGAAGGACCAAGTCATCCAACGACAGGCTGCTGAAGGCGTGCACGGAGTTGTAGACCTGGATCTTCGCGCTCAGAGCACGGCCAAAATTCCAGTCCACTCGTTTGACCGATCTGGAGGCATCCACAATGTTCGCTTCGAGCAATATATCGACCTAGAGCCAGGTACAGCAGCAGAAGTCATCTTGCGAGCAAAGGCTTCTGGCAATGCGGCTTATGGCCAACCATACGGCGGTGCTGGTGGATATCCCATGCAGTACGCTGCACAGGCCCCGCAACCTCCTCATGTCGCTGCGTATCCTGGCATGCAGCAGCCGGGCTCGTATCCACCGCAACCCGCACCAGCTGCACCATCTGTGCCGTCTGCCGCCGACATCGCGAATCTCATAGGGCAGGTTGACAATAATACGCTACAAAGGCTTCTATCAACCATCCAAGCGGGGGCTCCGGGAGCGATACCAGGCGGTCTTACACATGGCAGTACCAAGCCTGCAGCGCCAGCCGCTAACGCACCACAAGTTGATATTCAAGCAATATTAGGATCTCTCAACGGAGGTACAGCGGCGCCACCTCCACCTCCGCCACAACAACAACAACAACACCATGGAGCCCATCCTCAGATGCAGTATGGCGCCCCATACGGTGGTCAGCCTGCGGTTGTTGCGCAGCCAGCAGGCACGGGCGATGCGGCGGCCCAGGTGCAGAACATCATGGCTCAATTGGCTCGTTATCGGCAGTGACGCAGCCCTCTGGCTTTCTTTCTTGTTCTTCTTCTATAATTCTTTGCTTTTGCTGCGGCTTCATTCCTTGAAATTTTGGAAGTCGAGGCTGCGTGAATGATTCTTGACGATTGCGTAATTTGCAGATTCTGATACCACATGGAGGCCTAGCACAATTGCTTTTTACTTACGACGATGGCATTGTGGAGTTTTGAGAATAACGTCCGAAACAGATAGATAGACACTGCTGGAGATAGGGCTCGGCATACCTTGTTGGATTTGCCAGCACTTTCATCTATTGACTTGGTTCTGTTTACCAGGAGGTATTGCAAGGGGGTTTAACGACCAGTATGTGAAGAGGTATGAAACGCCTAGAAATAAAAATTGTTAAAATGCCATCCATGTTCTCTGCCATCTGAATAATTATCCAATAACATCGTTTGATATTCGTTGCTCGTTTATCTACGTTTAACAAATTTGTCTATATCTATATACACATCAACCGCACTTCTAATAGAACAACGTCGTTACCACCCAAAGCTTTCATTATGCCACCACACTTCACGGCCTTTTCTCGCCCACGGCCCTATCCGCCGTCGTACCTCCCTGCTCATTTCCTCTGGGCCGCAGACTAGGATGGCAACCTTTTCATCTACACTGTGGCAGAATACGCCATCTATAATCTTTTGAATATTGGGACGCCTGCTGTTGTGGCTGCTTGCGGCGGAACGCTGTTGGCGCGACGACGCTCTGCTCATGTTTCCGAGCTCAATAGATCCATCGTGGCTATGGTCATCGTTATGAAAGATATTGATATTCTCCGTGAGATAGAGATGAACATTATCATCATCAAGGAGGGATTTCTCGAAGCCATTGTCAGTTGAGGCCCAAGTGGCGTCGCCAGCCGAGCGGATGGCCCAGATGAACTGGGCGTGAGCTAATGGGAGCTCTCGCTGGAGAGCGTGATACAGCGGAATGATGAAAGTTGCTCCTACGCCACCAGCAATAAGGAGGATGCGGGAGGCGCCCCAGGTGAGAAGATGTTGAAAGTGCTTGCCTACAGCACCATGGGGACCTTCTATGGCGAGTGTGATTTTGTTGTCGCTCTCAGAGGAGAGAGACGAAGTCGAGGAGGCAAATTGTGAGAGGATATCCGTCATGGGGCCAGCTCGCTTCCTAGCGACTAGTGTGATGCTTTGGCTGTCTTCGCTAGCGGAAGCAACCGTGAATGGGTTGAAAAGAAAGTCGAACATGAACGACTTGGAGGCAGGGTGCTTTGTGGTTCTACCTTTAGGGGGGAGACTGAGATATATGTGAGAGCCTGGTCGGGAGCGGAACTCTTCAATCTTATGGGAGGGCATGGGAGCGGAGATTTTGATGAGGTTTGTTCCTGGGATTGCCTCGAATGTCGACGCTGCATGCGTTATGCCTGCTCTTCGAACCGCGAGATCCACAAGGAATACAATAATGCTCTCGGCAGCGTATAGGCGGGCGGAATGAGCATGGAAAAAGAGCAGCACGGGAGCGAGCAAAGCAACGCCCAGATGTGTGATGAAGAAGATGCGATACGAGTAATTCCTCACACGGCGTAGCGCAGTACCAATCAAACCGTCAAAGCCAAGCATGGCCACAACTCCGCAGAAGACGACTGGCGCGAAGAAGCGCTTGAGCCAGATGCCGGACAAGATGAAGAAGATGTTGTACAGGATGACGTGACAGATGACGAGAGTGTATGTGACGCGGCCGAGGACGCGGTGATAGCGGTTGATGTGCTCATGAGACGAGTTGAAGGCGTAGGCGTAAGGGTTGAGCGCTTTGAGGGCGAGGAGGTACTGGATGGGGAGTTGTGAGATTGCAATGCTGCCGAAGCGCTTGGTGAAGTGAAGGTAGTCTGTTGTTGTTGAATCAGTTATGGTTTCATGGATGAGTATGTATATGTTATGTGAGAGTGAAATGAGAGACTCATAATGAAAATGTATGAGTGGGGGGGTATGAGATGGTAGAGAGAGAAAAGAAAAGAAAAGAACGCAGAACTATAGAAATGACTGTATAAAGTAAGATCAAGGAGCAAAACTGACCTTCTCCGGTCCCCAAAACACAGAGAACGAGTAACCAGCTCATCCAACCAAGCCCCAGCAGCCACTCATCTCTCTGTCCCCAACTTACACCCAAGAAGACGACATCGTCGCCAAACCACCACCGCACGGCCCTCCACCGTGCCGCTAACGTGCCGAGCGTACTATTATGCTGAGCCTTGAGGGTAGGCGTCCCAGGGACATGAGCATACTGGCCACGGTCATCAATATCATCATACCCCCCAAGACGGCGTATGGGTCGCGCAGCACGCTGGATGAGGCGGAGGAGGATGAAGACCACTGCTGGGGACAAGGCTGAGTAATGGGCTACGCTGGCATAATAGTCGATGGTGTGGCGGCGGAGGAGGATTTGTTCCTGGGAGAGGGTCAGGAAGTGGTATGGCCAGCCCATTGTGACCCTTTTTGGGGGAAGAGTTTTGTTTGGTATTACGCGGCACGATTAATACGGGCTATCATAGGTGTGGTATCGTGTTAATATACATAATACAGTCCAGGGCTTGCTGTATGGTATGGGGGATGCGCCACAGATGACGATGTGTGGCTGCGGGGCTGAGCCACAGCGGGTGCCTGGTTTTGCTTTTTTGAGACGACGCAAACTGACTGCTGGGCGAGAGATACCTGGTCCTTGATTGATAACATAGTAACTTTACTGTTAAACTACTAATCTGGCATCGAGATGATTACAAGCTCTTAGTTTTTTGGAGACAAAGAAGATGATTTCAGTGCTTCTTACTAACTTGGGCACGTCTACTTGGGTATCATCAGCACATGTATTTACACTCCCAGTATAAATCTACATTGCCTGGTACCTACTCCATCTGGCAAGAGGCAAAATTTTCAGTATTCCTGCATCCTCGCTATACCTATCTGGTGCTGCACACCATGCTAGCCCTGCAGCTTCAACCCGTTATCGCTCTAAGGCGGGTTCACAGGTTGAGATATTAATTGCCGCGTAGGACGGACTGCGAGCAAGAAAAAGGCGCCAAAAAACCGGCGACAAATGAGAATGACAGCAGCTTTTGCCAGGCACACCGAATAGCTGGTGAATTTACAGTGGACCGCCGTGCCCCTCAGCAGCTCCCAGGCGCCATAAGCTGCCGCAATGGGCACGGCTGTCGCTGATTCGCACAGCAGGCTGTGCCCCACGCCTGACTCCCCGCTATCCGATCTCGCCGCATTTGCTTGTGCTATCTACAAAGCGCCACGGAAAATTTTAGTCGGCGCATTTTTTTTCTTTCTTTTTCCTCACCACCTTATTTCTCTTGCTTCTTCTTCATCTTCCCTCTGAAGGAATCAATCCCGTGGTCAATTTGTCCTCTTGGCCTCTGCTTCACTGTCGATTCCCATCCCACAATCGATATCCACCATGTCTACCTACGCTCTGTCGGCCAGCCACAAGGAGGTTCGTTTGTTCGGCGCTTCTTGCCAGCAAGAGGCCCAACTTCGTGAGAATTCAAGCAATATGCTAACTTGATTTACTATGTAGATGCTTGAGAAGTCTCTTCTCGAGTCTGACCCCGAGGTTGCGGCCATCATGGTACGTTCTTTGCCACTTGGATACCCACCATGACTCTGCTCTCTCGAGCTTGAAGCATTGGCTAACAAACAGCTTGCAGAAAGATGAGGTTCAGCGTCAGCGCGAGTCCATTGTTCTCATTGCCTCCGAGAACATCACCTCCCGCGCCGTCTTCGATGCCCTGGGCTCTCCCATGTCCAACAAGTACTCTGAGGGCTACCCCGGTGCTCGTTACTATGGTGGCAACCAGCACATTGACCAGATCGAGCTGCTCTGCCAGCGCCGTGCTCTCGATGCCTTCCACCTCGACCACGAGAAGTGGGGTGTCAACGTCCAGTGCCTCAGTGGCAGCCCTGCCAACCTGCAGGTCTACCAGGCTATCATGCCTCCTCACGGCCGTCTCATGGGTCTCGACCTGCCCCATGGTGGCCACTTGAGCCACGGCTACCAGACCCCCCAGCGAAAGTAAGCCATAGACGAAGCTTTACATGGCGTATCTCAGTGATGATTCTTCGACTAACAGTCTGCCGTTAGGATCTCCGCTGTCTCTACCTACTTCGAGACCATGCCCTACCGTGTCAACCTCGAGACTGGTATCATCGACTACGACCAGCTCCAGCAGAACGCTATCCTGTACCGCCCCAAGGTCCTTGTTGCCGGTACCTCCGCTTACTGCCGTCTGATCGACTACGAGCGCATGCGCAAGATTGCTGACTCCGTTGGCGCCTACCTGGTTGTCGATATGGCTCACATCTCTGGTCTTATTGCTGCTGAGGCCATTCCTTCTCCCTTCCAGTGGGCTGATATCGTCACCACCACCACCCACAAGTCTCTCCGTGGTCCTCGAGGAGCCATGATCTTCTTCCGAAAGGGTGTCCGCTCTGTTGATGCCAAGACTGGCAAGGAGACCCTCTATAACCTTGAGGAGCCTATCAACTTCTCCGTCTTCCCTGGCCACCAGGGTGGTCCTCACAACCACACCATCACTGCTCTGGCTGTTGCCCTCAAGCAGGCTCAGACCCCTGAGTTCAAGGCCTACCAGGAGAAGGTTATCTCCAACGCCAAGACCCTGGAGGTCAAGTTCAAGGAGCTCGGCCACAAGCTCGTTGCTGACGGCACTGACAGCCACATGGTCCTCCTCGACCTTCGTCAGTTCAACCTTGATGGCGCCCGTGTTGAGGCTGTCCTTGAGCAGATCAACATTGCCTGCAACAAGAACGCCATTCCCGGAGACAAGAGCGCTCTGACTCCTTGCGGTATCCGTATTGGTACCCCCGCCATGACCAGCCGTGGCTTCGGAGAGAAGGACTTTGAGCGCGTCGCCCTGTACATTGACCAGGCCATCAAGATCTGCGTTGAGACTCAGGCTTCCCTTCCCAAGGGTGCCAACAGACTCAAGGACTTCAAGACCGAGGTTGCCAGCGGCAAGATTGCCAAGATCAACGAGCTCCAGAAGGAGATTGCTGCTTGGACGAGCACCTTCCCTCTCCCCGTTGAGGGCTGGCGCCTGGATGCTGGCATCTAAGTGCAAGATGCTGGTGACCAAACAAAATATTTTTGATTTAAATCATTGAGCATGAAAACCAACAGATACCAAAATAATTAAAATGGAGAACCAAAAAAATCAAGTCCACCTCAGCATTTAACATGAGATGAGACGGAAGCCATTTAAAAAAAAAATCCCAAAAAATCGGCGAAAGGTTCAACAACTTTGCAATTTTTCTTTATTTATTCATGAAGGGCTGGCGTACGTTTACAATTTTTTCCATTTCAACCGGAAATGAGTGGAAGAGGAGTTTTCTTTTGACTGGGCAAACTTTTGGGAGGATTGACTGAGGCATACAAATCTTTTATGTACCAAAAAATATTCAACGTCGACAATGGGTGTTGACCTATATCCCTGCTTCAACAAGTAGGCAAATAAGAAGAGAAAAAGACTGTTCTCCGTATGATTATTTTTGTCTGAATTTTGCATACTAGTGAATCCAATTGCCGCCGTACTCATCATTTTCATATCTGGTAGTGGAATTCTTACGCTCGCTTCTTTTACTATTCACTCGCGAAATTCAGGTCATCAAAGGCTGTGTATTTTGCCTATCTGCTAATATTACTCTCTACCCGTTTTCCCCCATACCCGCCACCCTTTTTACTCATCCCCTACTCTGGGATCAAAGAATTAGGCGTAACACATGACATAAAAAGAAGGGACGAAGGCGGAAACAAGCGAAGCAATCGATTGACCAAGAAAGGCCCTTTTTCATCTAAGCGGCCAAGGTCCGGGGGGGAAACCAAATATAATCAAACAACCAAAATCTCTCTCTCGTAATAGTATTCGATACTCTAGAACCCCCGTACCAGGAAGGACAATTTAATGACAACACAAAGGGGGGGTTTTCTGTTAAAGAAAAAAAAAGAGAATGTAATAATAATAAGGAGAATTGCGAACTGCGAACTGCGCAAGTGAGGACATAATTAAGAAGAAGAAAAACCAAAACCAATAAATCTTGCCACCCCAAATGAATTGCATCAAAACGTCCACATATCTCCCTGCTTGTCGTTCTCTTCTCTCTCCTACCCCTTCCCACCCACCTCCCTGTTTTTTTCGTAATGGCGATAGCAACCATGTAATTGCTCCGCCTTTTGTATGTTGAAACTTAACTTTGGATAATCGTAGCGCGTATTTTTTGTTTGTTTTATCGATCTCAATTTTCGGTTTTCCCACAGGTCATTGCAAAGGTCGCAATAATGGCAATAGGGATATCATCCTCTCTCGCTTTATTTGGACGCAAGGGCATTTTCCAATCATACCCGTATCAAACGCCGCACAAAGAATAAGACCGACCAATTCAAGAGGAGACGGAGACTTTGATTGGAAGTAGAATAAAGTAGTAGAAGGAAGAAGGAAGAAAAGAAGAAAAAAAGGAAGAACAAGACTTCCCAGTCACTGCCCCAGGTCTTATAGGGGTATATCGGGGCGAAGAGTTTGAGATCATTAGAAAGTTGAAAACGCATTAGAGTGTTGGATATACATTTAATAACACAAATTCCAGCTGAGAATTCCTTGAAGTGCTTGATTCCACGATGGGGGTTGTTCCGTATCGATGGATCAACGTAAAGGGGCCATCATAGTTGACGAATATCGTCGAACAGGTCGTATAAAGTGTGTTGTGTATGTACAAATATTAATAAGATAAGACAAAGTGACCCTCAAGTCTTGGGTAGTCTAGAGCCAAATGCTTCCCATTACTACTGCGCAATGCTCTCTGGGCTCATCATGCCAGTAGTGTCATCTTTGTCAGTTTGGCTCATGCCACCCTGGCTTTGCATACTGTCCGTACGCTCCATGCTTGGTGCCAGAGCCAAGAGCGCTGGGTTGGGAACGGCACCATTCGGCATGGGCGTAGGCGTTTTCTTCACTGCAGTTGCATTAACAGCCCCGCCTTTCACGGGAGACGCATTCAGTCGAGCCTCAGCTGCAGCAGCCTCCAGCTTCTTTTTCTTCTTGGCAAGCGCCAACTGCTCCTTGGGTGGCCGCTTCTGAGCGGAAATAATTTTGCCGCTTGCACCAAGACGAGGGCGAGGTTTGCGTTGCTTGGTAGGCAGATCTTCATCTTCAACCAAAGGTTGGTCGCCATTGGCGTGGAGCTTGGCCAGAAAGAAGTTCTTGATAAGCCCGACTTGGTGTTGAATATTCTCTTTCGTAACAGGCTCAGAATTGGGCAGTGTTTCGAAGATTTCACTGCTTGACCCGCCAGAGGCTTGCGATTGCATCTGGTACTGGTTACGCACTCTACTCTGCAGTAAGTGGAATGGTACCGACACAAAATCGAGGCCCATTTCCTTGTCCAATCCAAGAGCACGGAAGCCAAAGTAATCGATCCCAAGATCCTCAGCATAGTCTCCGCTGGTGAACTGATCGCTGCCGTCATTGAAAGCACCAGCACCGTCTTCGCCAGCATCTGCCGTAAGCGCCGGGCGGAGAAGATCTGCTAAATGGGACTTCATTCTGTCGTGCAAAGCGCTGAGCTTAGTTGTCAACCTATCAACTTCCTCTTTAGTATAGCTCTCCAGAGATGCAATATCATGCCCGTTTTCGTCAAGAGTGTGTAGAATCATTTCCTCTGTCGTGAAACGGGGCTGTACCACTGTCTCGCCGCCAATCTGAACCGTTTTCTTTTCAGCCTCGCGATAGACGTTGAATGTCCTGACCAGCTTTTGGAAATAATCGGCTGCAATTCCCGTAAAAGCATCTACGGCAGAAGGCTGCAGCTCCTCGAACCCAGTAGTATAGAGAATTTTGGCAATAGAGCGCTTCAGAGCATTCTGGCAGGTTTCAGTGGCCATTATTGGGCCATCGTCTGCGATAAAATGCGGCTCAATATCCAATTCTCTAAATGGTTCGGAGTTTGACTTTGGAAATTGGTTCGTATAAACCTATACTACTGTGAGCTTACTGCAGCAAACCTCCTTAAATCTTCATTGGGAACTTTCTTACCTGAGACTGAACCTGCATTTGTTTGATGACGGATATTTTTGTTGCTAGTTTCCTTGTTTCTTGTATCTGTCGGATATTTTCGTCCATCTTTTTCGTGAATTTACTTTGAGGTGAAACAAATGAATTGGGCGGCACGAGTCGAAGAAACTCTTCGTGCTGGTTAATGACCTGACCTTCGCCGTCTTCCATCCATTGCAACTTTGAAGGAATATCCGGGATACTGCTCAACGGTATATAATAATCGGGGATCACTTGCTCTTTTTCCTCTTCAATACCTTCAGCTAGCGTCTCAGGCGCTTTATTTGGAACATCTTTAGCTTTTTTCGCGGAATCATCAAATTCAGTGCTGTTGGTCAGCTCCGCCTCCTTTTGACGAGCCAAAAATCTTCGCATGCCAGCTTTGCTTCTGAGCAGGGCAGGTGAGTCCGCGCTGAGCTTGTTATCTTTGAAGAGCAAGAAGCGTTCTTTAGCGGTGAGAGCTCGATCTTTCTTTGTGCTTTGCTTCCAGATTTTATACTCTTCATCTTCATAAGCTTGTTCAGCAGCCTGGCCAAATGCTTGGTTCAAACTCATTCCATTAATGCTAGGACCGTCAATATCCATAGCATCAGCGTTGCTTGTAATTCCGGATGGTCCGTTCGCTCCGCCGGGAGTAATAGAGCCAGCAATGGGAGGTGTAGCAAAGCCATTGCTTCCATCTATTTCCGAGCCTTCACGACCTAGCTTACCCAGCAACCCATTTACTTGTAGGATGGGCTTCTGGTCAACCACAGGAGTATCTTCTTTTGGGTCATTGGGAGCTTTTCTTGATTTATTGGCTCCCTTGGTTGTTGCCTTACGGCCACGGGAAGACATGATAGGTTCATCATCAGAATCTTCGCCACCGTCATCCTCGCCACCGTTTTGCTTCCGCCGTTCCTCAGCTTCAACTTCGGCGCGAGATCGAATGGTAAGATCCGGTATGAGAGGAATCAGCTTTTCAGCCTCTTTCCGCATACCGTTGGCCATTCGGCGAAGAGGATGGTTCATATCCTGATTATACTTCAGGCAATTATCCCAAATAAGATTGAGATCAACCACAAATTCTGTCTTTGACTTGTATGAGAGTGATTTTAACTTCTTAGTCATTGTGCCTAGATCCATTGGGTTTTTGATAACTGTAACCTTGTTAGTATACGTTTATGGGAGAGGGGGGGCAAAGACGGAATCCGGCCATACAATTATAGTAATCGGGAGCATCTCTCTTGTTGACACGAGTGAGAAACGGCGTTGAATACTCCGTATGCGCCTTGAGCTCCGTCAACACCTTTTCTAAAGCTTCGTACAGCTCTTCCTGGTTAACATTATCCTCGCTTGCCCATTTGCTGCGATTCTTTCGAACTTCGTTCATAAGAAGTCTAAGCTCAGCATCTGAAGCCTTTACTTGGTCTCTCTTCATATCTATCCTGGCAATGAGATGTTTGAGAGTGAGACTCGACGCTCCGAGGTTCGCGCTACTTAGAGAGCCTTGATTCGCAGCCTGCGACCCCGTCACATTCGCATTGTTATTATTCTCCATCTCGGCTTGGAGCTGCTTCTCAGAGTCCTCCAGCTGCTGCTGTTCAAGCATGGCTGTTCGGTCATTCTCCAAAGTATATATAATGGTATGGAAGCTCCGTCGGGCGGCGGCTTCTGTCGCTATCCTCACATCGTCAAGCTGCTTGATCGGATCATCATCTCCAGGCTTGCTTTTGGTCTGTGAGCCATCCTGAGATCTTGCTTTATCTGCTATTCTGCCAGGTGAAGTGGCCGATAGTACCGGAGAATTGCCCGATTTCGGCGATAACAATGTATTTGAGGCAGCAGCCGCGCTCTGAGGTTTGGGTACGGCGGACGCAGTATCCTCGTCATCCTCATCTTCGTCGTCATCATCATAGTCATCTTCGTTTATTGTACGTTTCGCCTTCTTTAGTGGCGGCTCTTTAATAGGTTCGTGGTCGGTGGTTGGGGGGAGGGTAATAGTAGGGGTTGGGGGGTATCGTCGGAGAGCCTCGATCGCGTTCAAATTATAAGAACCATCGTCGGCAAAGAGCAAAGCGATCTTTTCTTCCGATTTTTGAAACAAGTCTGCGAAATGGGCGCGTCGTCTTTCGTCTTCGATATCAAGGGTGGCCTCAGGCATCAACACCAGCGAACTGTCGACTGGGGTCGTTACACGCGCCAAACCATCATCAAGAATCTGCAAATTCCTGCTGCTGCCGGAGTGATGCAGCCCAGGCGGCGGCCAGGGCGCCTGGCCATTAGGAAGTGACATTTTGGGCCCCGGGCGATGGAAGCGACAGCAGGGCCCCTTTCGCCATGCGCCAACAAATGCGCTCGCGTGTGGCCGGACCGGAGGCGAATGAGAAACTCAAGACGGCATGGGACAAAAGAGCGACATCGATATAGATGGAGCCCAGGATTTCGCGACAAACAGAGATGAACCGGCCGAGTTTTGATGGATCGCGATCACCTGGTTTGTCTGCGGATCGAGAGGTGAGGTTGAGGATTTGGGAGGCTTGTACGTATGGGGAACCCTTCCCCAAAGCGGAGACTTTTCCACAGACACTGGGTCACTGTCGGCGGCAGCTGGGCCGGCGGTGGTACCAGCACCAGGCAGGCTATGGGGCGCGTCTACCGGAGTGCTGGAGCAGGGCAATGCAAGAGGCGATTCTGCATGGAAATATCGATAAGGCGTGCTTTGCCAGGCTTTCTGCAGGTTTCTCGCTGGCCGCGCTGGTCATTGGAGGCATGGACCTGCACTGTGGTACTTTTACAGATTACGGATAGAGGCATTAGCATTTACAAGGTACATACCTCGCTGCGCTCAGCGACTTTTTTTCTTTGCGCTGCACTGAACATAGCGTCTCACGTGATAAAACGTCAGTCCACCAGTACCTGTCTTCATAATAGCATGCATCAATGACTATTCATAAGGTATTCAGCATGATATTATGCTGGGTCGCTAGTTTGTGAGCATATTTATTGACATTTTGAACAATGCCCCTCATCCGCGCACATCATGCCACTTCAGTAGACAACAGAGACGTTGGTCGTGAACGAAAGGTGAACCGTGCCAAATGGCCCTTCATAGGCACAGGTACCTGCTGTAGCACCACTCACTCACGCTGAGCTGGTGGCAGGCATTACGTATCTAGGCGCCCTGCGCCACCTGTGGCCGCAGCTCTTCCAGGCCAAAGCATTCCATGTCAACACCTCCCCACGCCAATTGCATACAAACTTTTCACCCTCAAGCTATATTCAGCCCTGTGGTCTAGAGAGCTTTGCTGCTCTCCAGGCCGTCATACCGCCCAGACCTTTACCATCTTAGGAGCTGCCTGCTCGACTCACCCCTTCTAGCCATGCGGATAAGACTGCCCTTTGCAGGTGTGTACGTCATTGGCTCAGGCCTCACAGCATCATTACAGCTTTACTCCCTTGCATGAGGGCTAGTTCCTGAATAGCATCCATGCGCGCTGGGATGGGAGATGCTAATGTTCGTTTCAAGGTGTTTTCCTGCTTTTGCTGCTGCTGGCTGGCTACGCCGGTCTCTCTACTCTGCAGCTCGGCGGCTATGTGAACGACAAGGTCCTCCATTTCGTAACCTTCTTCCTTCTGACGATCGTTTTCTACTGGATCGTTGATACCAGCCGCCGGAGAACTTTGAATATGACTATCCTTGTCTGCACTGTCATCCTGGGCATCGGATCCGAATTCGTGCAGAGTTTCCTCCCCAACGATCGAGATTTCGACCTCTATGATATCGTTGCAAACATTATCGGCAGTTTACTCGGAGCTGGAATTTGTGCATGGTATCACAAGCGAATGCTTGAGCGAAAAAGACAGCGCAAGCATTATGACGCCGTCCCGGGCGAAGATACCGAAGACGTAGAGCTCGGGGATGGCCAGGAATCGGGAATCCTGAGTGCGTCGACCCGGAGCAGGACTCTCGAAGAGGAGGTCGACAATTGGGATGAGAATGAAGAGGATAACTGGGACGATGACAACGCATTAGATACCGAGACGCCGCCAGCTGCAGCAGCCAATGGAGCCGACGCAGCTGATAGCCGGGAACCCAAGAAGCGTACAGACTGAAAAATTGGCTTAGTATCTGGAGTTTAGGGATAGCCTGGGCACTATTTCATGTCTACTACACAAATACGGCCATAGAATTGGGCTGCTAGCTTTTTTTGTGTCAAGGGGCATGTTGCCAATGCATAATATATAGATTGCAGTGGGCGGAGGAGATATATGCGCTCATATTACTTAGCTGTCGGTTCTTCGGAAATGAAGGATAAAAATCTCACTACTAGCTTACGGATTTTCTTCTCACGAAGATATGAAATACAAAATTTCCATAACGAGCACTTACGTACGTTATGGCCATAGCTGGTTACAGACCCAAGGTAGGTACTAGCTGTCATATACATGACATCTGCTCTGTTCTTCAAATACAAGGTAGATTTACAAAATCATAGAAGCAAAATACACGTATTTTATCAAATTTGACAGTGTCTCTCTCTATTCACAATATTCAAGCTTCCTTTTATTGTACATTTCCCTTGGGATTGTTTTTATCAATTGTTGGTAATTTTAACTCACAGTACATGCGGCCAACTGCAAAACAGCAGCATTATTACAATTCAAAAGTAGACAACACATTAATTAAAATAATAGTAGATACTTTGATTTTCTTTTTTAACATGCTGTCCATTTACTTGATTACACTCATTTACTCATTTTCAGGTCTAGAATACACCGTCTCTGTCGAGTTTTCGTTTACCCTGCAATCATCCTGCGAAGACATATCCTTGTAAAAGAACCCCGCCATCTGCCCCTCACCGAGGTGAGCTACCCACTATTATTCCTGCCAATTGTCAGGCCTGGCATAACCTCCAGAGCGTCGCCTCAAAAACCTCTAATTGCATGCGCCGAGAGACGCACGCGCAGGAAAAAATGGCGAGCTCAGAAAAACAGCCAGTCGTAAGGTAAGCGCGGTTACAGGTACAAGCTGTCAGTCTAAGCTACAGGGCGTGCTAATCATCTCGAGAGCAGTGGTAAAGATGATGCCCCTACCAATCCAAGGGGCATCCCGTACGCTCCCTTTGTCGACAAAGTCGAGGATTACGTCTCCACACGGGATGATGTCGAACCGACGCTTCGAAGTTTCCAAGAAATGATATCGTGAGCTACGTCAATATCGATCGTTGCCATGGAAAAGGGGCTAATGAGCCCGCGGTAGGAAATACCAGTTCATGGAGTTGAACCTGCAACGTCGGATGACGGGGCTCAAGGAGAAGATCCCGGATATTCAGAAGACACTGGATACGGTGCAATTTTTAAAGCTACGAAAGGTGCTTCCACACGGCGCAACGACAATGAAACACTGCTCATATCTGAAATTAGGACGCGGCCGATCCCATCGAAACAACCTTTGAGCTCAACGACACTCTATACGCCAAGGCGAATATCCCACCGACAGAGGAGGTTTACATTTGGCTAGGGGTATGATGGGAGTACTAGGGCCATTTGAGTTGCCAAACTGACTGTGCGATAGGCCAATGTTATGCTCTCTTATCCGATTGATGAGGCCGAGACATTATTAACCTCGAAACTTTCAGCGGCTAAGACCAGCTTGTCAAACTGCGAAGAAGACTTGGACTTTCTCCGAGAACAGATTACTGTAAGTGTTCATAGTGGTTATTCAGATGTTGGCTGCTGACGAGGAATTTAGACTATGGAAGTTGCTACCGCTAGAGTTTACAACTGGGAAGTAGTGCAAAAGAGGAAGGAAAAGATGGAAGAGGAGGCCGAGAAGAAGAAGTCGAAAGACAGTGATGCGTAGTAGATACTTGGAAAGGGGTTTGATTTCTTTGTTTGGGCTGGCCACGAAGAGTACTATTCTGATCTGTGAAATATGATATACTGTAAAAAAAGCATTGGGCGTTTTTCTGTTCTTCCACAACGATAGTTGGAGACTATTTGAAATCATAAAACTTTTGAATGCATGTTGTGAATCAAATGACCAGATCGAAGAATGACAGCCTCATTTCCGTTTTCTTTGAAGTTTTGATCTGAATGGATTTAATCGGACCAGAGTCCGGCATATGGAGGGAGTATGGGAGATGGAACAGCCATGGACCCACTTTTGGGCACGCCCCGATTGTTGCATGGCAGACGGAATTTGAACTTTTGGGGAGACTCGCGATTGTATTGAGCTACTCCTCCAGCGGCCCAATTCTCGCGACAGAGGCTTTTTCGACGGATCTTTGCTGACCATGTTGGAGGCATTGGAGATATGAGGAGGAATGCTCAGAAATGCAACACGGAAGTTGGAGCAAAGGCGGCCAGCGCCGTGCCAACTGTTCCAAACATCTTTGGTAGGTTGCCTTGCATTTTAACGAGCTGGTATCCGAGATCTAACATTTTGCCATTTCTACAGACGGCCTGTCGACCGCTGCTGCAAAGATGCAGCCGCCGGATGTTCGCCTCATCTCAATCTGCCGTCGCCGAAGGACACGAGACTGGCAAGATTTCCAGATTTGACCAAGACGATGGCATTTTTGAACCCCAATCTTCTCGGCTGGCCTCTTGGGCGGCTGCAATTCACCCACATAATTCCGACACCCGGTACGCTTTTCAACATAGGCTTCCAGCGGACCGTCCTACGCGACAACAGCGGCCTAGGGAGACCTCTACCGACCCTATCGATCCCGACAGTGCTCAGGGCACTTCCACTCAGTTGAACAAGTCCCTGCGCCCACGACGCCGCCGCAAAGCTGAGCCCGTCTCTGCTACTCTTGAAGCGTGGCGCAACAGATCACCCAGCCTCTTTCTAAAGAAAGTATTGGAGCCCAACGAACATGCCCTGTACTGGAAGAGACTCGCCGCGGAGAGCCGAAGTGTTCGACCTCCAATCATCTTGCTACAGATGATAATTCGCAAAACAGCGGCGCAAGAACCGAGCCAGAAATATCTTCTCGATTTACTCCCATCTGTATATGAATGGGAGAGAGCAATGAGTATCGCGCGGCGAAATGGCCACTCATATGAGGATTTGGCCTATTACATGTATATCCTCGAAGGCAAAACAGATGATGTGCGATGTGAAAGGTTTCTTGAACGCGATTCGTACAAGCCGGCCTTTATTTTCCATTTTCTTCTAAGATCATCGTCCAGGTTTACTAGCCTCGACAACCTCAATCGTCTGATCGATTATTGCGGTTCTTGGTATCCAGAGGCGGCGAGCAATGGACTAGACAAATCGAAAGCTAAATTCTATATACCACCTAGAGGGGCATTCGGATCGGCAAATTTCAACCTCAACATGTCCCTGCTTGCACGCCATTGCATTCGACTTGACCCTAGGCTCATCATCAAACTAGCAGATCTAGCAGTCCGGTATATCGAGGCTATAGCGGAATCATCCTTGCCACAAGAAGAGATCTACCAAGCTCAATGCGCCGTGTTCAATCATGGCCTCAAGCTACTTGGTTCGGACCACCGCAAACGTACGATTCGGCAGTCATTGCCTAATTCTTTCTTTTGGGAAGCACAAAGGATACTTCTCGCTGTGTCCTCCAAATTGAAACGACAACTGCTTGTGGATGCGGAGGGATTTCGAGCCATCAGAACAGTATTAGCAGGCATGCCCAAGAATCACGTTGAGATACATAGTTCTGTCAGACACGCGCCTACGTGGCCCCCATATCTACGACCGGGAGACGGCATGGACGAAGAAATGGACCCTGAAGACAACTGGAGTCGGTCTGTACGAGCGGGAGTGCTGATGCAAGAGGCCGGATTCGCGAAAAATGACTATGACGACGCTGTTGATATCCTGCAGGGAATGTCTCCAGATGGGACACCGACAATCCAACAACGAATATTACCAGGGAAGCGCCGAAAGATAGGGATTTGGGAAGCCTCTATTAGAGCCACGCGCAATGCACACGAGGCATGGGACAGATTCCAAAACCCCCCCAAAGCTGGGCTCAAGCTCGGCTTGGCGGAATATACAGCGATGTTCGAAAAGTTGACGCAGAGAGAAGCAGACGAAAATACAAGAGCTTTGCCAGGTGACAGGGCGTTGAACTTCCCTACTACACAGGAAGCTAATCTTACCGAATTCGAAAAAGCCCGAATCCGCCCACCAAGCATATCTCAGCTGTATGAAAGGATGCAGCTGGATGGCATCCGTCCTACAGGGAGCTGCCTTCAAATTCTGGTAGCCAACACGGAATCGATGGAAATGGCGCGGAAATATCTGCATGATAGCGACGGAACTGGGGCCTTGTACCGTCTAATGTCTCAAGAGATGGATGTACAAGCTCTAAAGAAAGTGCCCATAAGTCTCATATCAGCCTGTATCCAAGTAATGATACGGCAAGAGGGCAAACTAGCGAGGAAGTACATGATACGAGCTATTGAACTGGCAGAGCAGCGACTGGGAACCGATCGAACTCCACTGTCCGACTTCATCTGGGGCGCGATTCTAAAACATCTATCACAGCACCACTACGGCTTGAGGATAGCCGTTCATCAGCAACTCAAGCTGTCTCTTCATATTATTAAGAAACTTGATGGACCCTCTGGGATTACACTTCCCCAATTTATCCAATTTAGCAAAACCTTGCGAAAAATAGCCAAACGCGAACTTGGACAACTTTCCACGGAAATGGAGTCTGGCTCGTTAAAGATAGAAAACCACGCCTTGTGGCCTTTATACGATGGGAAATCTAGGCATAGGGATGCTATGCACTGGGACACGTTTGACGACAAGTCAGGAGCCCTGGATTTGTTCCGTGCCCTACGAGCTTCTACCCTTCAAATGAACGAACTGTTTGACAAGCTTCTCTTGCACGAGAGAGATTCACGGCAGTTACTGGGTGCAAAGGAACTGGAACCATTAGAAGGGATGATGTGGCGAAAGGACCCAGCTCGTAGCGAGCATGCTTACGAATACATGCTCTCCTTGGCATATCTGGGCGAGTTTCAGCAAATGGCCCAGCTGCTGAAGTGGTTAATTCAGGAGTGGGGGCAGCCTGGCGTTGTCCAAGCATTGTCTGATGTGGACGAGCCGCCGCCATATGCTGACTTTGTTGAAACTCTATGCGCTTTTCGACTCTTAGCCGAGCCGATGCTCGAACAAGGAGAGGTGGAGTCACTACGCGAAGCCATTGGCGTAGCCGGACTGAATTGGTCGTGGCCTGACGAAGAGGCTGTGGAAGCTTACGCTGAAATGCAAGAGGATGAATCCATCAATATACTGGCGCGCGTATTAGAGCGGGTGCGCTTATCCTGGGCAGATACGAGAAGGGAAGCTGAGACTTAGGCCGGAAAGTGAATGGCAATTTTTTCCGGCTCGACTTCCATAAGAGACAAGGAATCTGTGCAATTTTTGAAACATGAAGCATGAGGCGAGGGCGTTTTTAAGAAGGGAATCGGATTTGAAGAAAACTACATGTATATACTGGCTGGATGGAAATACGACTGCTGGGACTTGCGAATATATCTGACGAATAGAATATATAAACTGTATCATTACTCGCAGCTACACACTAGCTATATCACACATGTGGTCGATTGGCCAGAGCTTGGAGCCGATCTATGCATGCGCGTAGATGCAAATAAATATGCGTCGCAATCCACTTGGTGCTACCGTGAAATTTCAGGTGCTTCTATTCTAAGAACCAGAGGCTGATGAATGGGACCGGGTCTGGAGAGACGAGCGGCGGCTATCTGTCTCATCTTAGAATCGTCGTCCAGGGGCAGGGATCGATAGAGGCTCCGATTGGGCGAACTACTACTAATATCTGGTCGAGGGTACGGTAGGTACGGCAATACGAAGTACAAGAGATCAATGTGCAAACATTTTTTTTGTTATTAGAATTTAAAATAAAATCGAAGCTTTAAATTAAAATTGAGAATGGGATTGTGAGCACAGCCGAGGGAGGAGCTTAACATGGTAGCAGATAGAGCTGAGACGGTTTGTTCTTGTTAGCTAACTGTTTGCGGGTGGGCAATGTGTGAATGGATAAGTAGCACAAAGCGCAACTGCTTGCTAAAGGCCGTTCCACGCTTTGACACCACGATCACGTTGTCATCACGGAATGGACATCCGAGAAAAACAAAAAAGCAAATGAAAAACGAGTGCGTAAATGGGGAAAAACTCATTCCTCTGGATCCGGCCGTGGAATAAAACAAGGAAAGCCAGGCTGCAAATGCCTTCTGGCGCTTAATCAGGCCCTTGTTGCTGAGCCACAGGTGGCAGCGGTGGGGCGGCTCTGATAGGCCAGCACGCCTCGCCCACCCAAACGGCGGCTGCAGCGCAACACCATAAGATTAGCCAGGCTCCATGCAAATCGGCCTCTGGGTACAACCTCAGCTTGTCGGGGCCTTGCGCTGGCCAACCGCGCGGATGCAGCCGGACACTCTCAGACGACGGCCTGCCAGGGACATGGAGAAGCTATTTTGAATTCCGGTGAAGCAAGAGAGAGAAGCGAGTGGGCTGACGGCCTGCACCCCTGGCTTGGAGGTCGCGGCGACGGCTTGGTATGCCGAGAAGCAGAAGCAACGCGCGCATCAGGCCCGAGATGGATGGACATGGATGGAGAGGGCTTAGCGGATAGAGAAGAAGGGGGGGATACTTAATGCAGAGGACGATCCTTTCCCAATGGTTCCTGTTCTTGGTTCCTGATCTCAAGATATTAAGGTTGCATATCGTGTCTCTCCTGTGTGTTTCCGGTGCTCTGGAATTTCCTTTTCCTTTTCCTTTTTTCTTTATCTCTCTCTCTCTCTCTCTCATTTGTCTGTCTTTGCATTTTCCCATTCTTTTTTTTTTCTTCCCGTTTCTTTTCCTTTCTGTCGATCAATCTCTTTCACTTATACGCTGCTTTTGCCGAGTTACACACGCCAACTCTCTTTTCTTTGCTATTCACAGCTAATCTTGACTGGGGCATTTTTGTTTTTGCGGGAAAACAGCAATCCACCTTAATAATTCTCATTCCTTTCCTTTCCTCTCCTTTTCCTGTTTACGGATCGGCCGCTTGTTCAAGCAAGTTTTTTTTCTTTCTTTCGCCGAGCTCTCTCGTGAGACCCACCGAACGCAACAATCTCTTTGAGGTGCTGAACACGCATTTTTGCTGTCGTGGATCTCCAGACCTCGTTCGCCACTAATTATTTATTTATTCATTCATCCCCTTTGGCATAACACAGCCTTGCTTTTGCCGATCTTTACCAATACCGTGTTTCCTACTTTTTTTTCGTTTCCTTGCCTTATATCGCTGTGCGATAATCTTCTCTATACCAACTACAACTCCTATAATGCGTTGTGATATGCTATTCAATACGGCTCTGAGCGTGCTCTTGGCTGCTTGGCTTGCAAAGGCGGGCCCGGTGCCGCGTCTGGATGCCAGAATGTATGAGTCCTTATCCTTTCTGCCTCTCTCTTTAGGTTTGCTTCTACGATACTGACACGCTCTGTGATATACAGGCCCAAAGTAGCCAGAGCCGAGACATCTATACCTGGGACATCTGAAATCCCATCAAGACCGGAGTATGTTCTTCTCTTATCATAAAGATGAAGAAGAGAAATCTAACTTGAACATAGGTCTTCTGTCGAGCCTGTGGCACCCACTGCCTCAACTCCTCGGCCGGTCCTCGAAACCTTGACGCACTCAACAGCCAATATCCCCGACTCACTCATTTCCAGCACCCCTACTCAGAGCCAAATCTCAGCCACAACTTCGGCCGAAGTATTGTCTGTAATTCCCATTGTGGCTACAACGAGTACTACTCAAGGGGGGTCAAGCACCATCTCTAGTGCTGCTCCTGAGACATCGAGCAGTGTTGGGAATACTTCCAGCACAACTGCTGTCCCTACTGCTACGTCTCACAGCGCTGTGGAAAGTTCCAGTACGGTTGCTGCTCTAAGCACGTCTAGTAGCATTGATACCACCACCACTACAGTAGCTGCCTCAGCCACTTCAAGCGGCGTGGTTAATACTTCCCCCTCAACTGCTATCCCAACCACATCTAGCAGTGCTGTTGATAATTCTACTACGGTTGCGACGTCTGTTACCTCTGACAATGCTGCTGGCACGTCCACAACTGTTGATATCCCAGCTACAAGTGCCAGCACTACGGTAGCAGGCACCTCAACTTCTGTTGGAGAACGCTCATCAACAGAGACAGACGTCTCAACGTCGCCAGCAACTGCTTCAATCTCGGGTAGTAGCTCTGCTGAAACCAGCATTTCAAGCTCCTCTACAGCAAATACGCAGCCGCAGACGTCAACAACCGGAGCTACGGCATCTTCAACTTTGCCATTGAGAAACGACAAGACTGCGTCTTCTCCAACTAGTGCCACTACAACTACGAACAATGCATCAGATCCTGTCACGACAGCAACGACGAAAGCTCCTACGACAGAGGCCACTTCTTCAGCTACTACCGAGCCTCCCACTACCACGGAGCCAGTGTCTACTACTGGATCTGTAACCACAGCTCCTGAGAGCCAGACGACCACCTCAGGCTCCGGGACTGGCGCCCCAACCACAGGCTCTAGTCAGACTAGTCAGACGCAGTTGAGCTCAAATACTGGCAGTGTAGCGGCGCCGTCTAATTCTTCTGCTACAGAGAGTGCTTCAGCCTCGCAGACCGAGCCTCCTCCTACTACTACTGCTAGTTCTAGCACGCATCATGTTCATACAAAAATAGCACCCACAGCCGCAAATTCGACTCGGTCTTCTTCCACAGTCAATACAGCCCCTGTCACTAGTGGATTGGGCAACTTGACGTCGAGCACTACAGATCCTGGAACTATCACCACCTCTGCCGAGATTACGACTTCCGCTGCCGGGGTGCCAACAACGACTGTGCCGACCAGTGATGCAACTGTTAGCTCAGTGTCAGTCCCATCTACCGCCACTGCTACTTCTAGCAAAACGCTACCTCTGGGCTCGACGGCCTCAACTGAGGTTACGGTACAGCCGGATGCTACATCATCCACTGTCTTGCTGACTTCCAGTTTGCCATCATCTGTGACTAGCAGTACAAACTCAGATGTTGTTGTATCAACTACAGCGTTGGAGAGTACACAGCCTGCTAGCTCAACGACGTTTGAAATCCCATCTCCTTCCTCAGCCTCGTCTCTTCAATCCACCACCGGCCCTGCAACAACTGCTGTCGCAGCCTCTCCATCATCATCGGCCGTGCCTCCGCCCCCAACTTCAGCCCCCACGACTACACTAATCAGAACGACATCTACGGCTACCGTCCAGGTTACCAAAGCACCCGATGACAATATTCCTATACCCACCGCAATCACCTCTTTCCCCTCTGGCACCTCCACTGTCCCAGCTCAAGTCTTTGCAAGCAACTTAGCTCAGGCTCAGCAGTACAACAACATCTTCAAGAGCCTGACCCCTCAATCTGCTTGTACTGGCAACGCAGTTGGTTGCATTGATGGCCAGTTAGCTAGGTGTAGCTCCAGCAGCACATATTCGCTCGAGAAATGTCCTTCTCAGCAAAAGTGCTTTGCCCTACCGATGGATAACGTTGCGGGTGTGATGGTTGGATGCCACGACATCACTGATGCAGAAAGCATTCTCGGCACGGGCGGATCTCAGGACAGCTCGTCGGCCACGACGCCTGTCTCGACATCGGCTCCTTCAACAACACTGGCTCCAGTACCGATTGCGACGTCGGCTGCCCCTGAAACGAGTGCTCCGGCTAATCCTCCGCTTGTCTCGATATCGGCTCCTTCAACAACACTGGCTTCAGTACCGGTTGTGACGTCGGCTGCCCCTGAAACAAGTGCTCCGGCTAATCCTCCGCCTGTGACTATTACTACTGTAATAATCGTCAGTGACCTGCCGCCTTTGCCTCCCACAACCACACCAACCACTTCAACTGCTCCATCAACTCCAGTTCCGGCTGCTCCCTCATCTTCCACCGCAGCAGCAGCAGCCCCATCCCCTCCTCCAGCGGCAGATTCCCCCCCACCAGCAAACAGCTTGCCTCAGCCAACTCCTGTACCCGCACCCTCACCAACCACCTTCCAAACTGTCATCGCCACCCCTCCCCTTCCCCTTTCCAATATTCCAACCCCCCCCTCAGCCCCCTCTTCTACAGTTATCCTTCTGCCCAACCCAACAAGCCTCATCGTCATCCCCATCCCCGACGACTCTGCCCCGACGGCTCAAGCCGTCCCCACCAGCGACACCAACCCTCGCACAACAGAGGTCGTCAATGGGACTCCCACCGTGTCCGTCTTCTTCACCGTAACGGTCACTCAGAAGGAGAAGGAGACTGAGACCGTCTTTGTCACGGTTGCCCCCTAAAATGCGTGGATGAGTGGAAGAGCGTATATGTTGTGGCATCTCTCGCTACGACTTTGCTCAACTAGACATGACTTTACTGTCTTACGACTGCTCATTTTGCCTAATCTGTTCGGAATCTTTTATGTTTTTTTTTCAGTTTTTGTCTCTTTTGTTGCTGTTTTCTTCCCTTTGTCTTAATACAGATATAATACTCAGGTAGTAAGTGTGCTGCACACGAAGGAATCATGAAAAAGATAATACCTGCTGGAGGCCGAGATCGTTTCTCCATATTGCGCTGTTGAATAAGAAAAAAATTATGTTTAACGAGATATATACACTATATACCAGATGAAATGGAAAAATCACAAAGTATGGAGTTTGATTTCAACGTTGGGAGGATAGCAGTCTGTTCTGTTTTCTCTGCTCTGCTCATGCAGTTTAATTCAAAATTTTGATCGCTGTTTTTTTATGTACATATAATGCCTAATGCGCTCCATGAAGAAATACCATTTCACCGCTTTGATATGGAAAAAAAAAAGGAAAATAAAGGGGGAAAAGAGAGAAAAGAATCGGGCGTATTGTTCGTTCAGCACCCCTTCAGTAAATCAATGCTAATTTCGGGGTTCCATGTTGTTTCATACCCCCTCGCGATACTTCCGTCTGCGATCAATCTATAAGAGTTCGTGATAGAGCATTTCCCATAATGCAAATGATCCTGATGTAGAAATAGAAGAAAACCCACTCAGGAAAGAGAAGGGATGACTGGTGGATAAAGCTACCAGATAGTAACGGGGTGGAAAAAGAAGTATCCAAGAAAAGAAATGTCGGCAAGCGCTGATGGTCTCAAAAAGGTAGAAAAAGAAGTTGACATTAAAAAATTCGTTTTTAGGTCGCGCCGGACAAAGTATCCCAGTGTAACAATACTGAAGTAAGAAGATCAAAATAGAAAAGTATAAACAAGTGGCTCAGAACAACAAACGTAAGAGAACGGCTTCAAATCACTCGTTAGTCTTTGGCGCTGAGCTCTCACTTTTCAGAATCGCCGCTGTGAAGTCCGAAGCCGATCTGCTGCGGTTTAATCGCTAGTTTGTCCCAGGCCGACCGTTGCCTACAAAGGGGCTCGCAACCTCGAGTCTCTTAGCTGCTGGTTCACGGCTGCCGGTTTCTTCGTCTACAACGCCGTATTTTTCTTGCCAGAGCTTCCGCATAACTTGGTAGATAAAGCGATATTGGAGTTCGCCTTGGACCATGCCGCGGCGCTGCTGGCGAAGGGTATCAACCGCGTTATAGACAAGATCGGAACGCTCTGAGGGCAGATCATATCTTGCCAGAACACCAGAATCGAGCTCCCTCATCAAATGCTCGAGGCAGATGAAAGTACCTGTACGGCCAACTCCGGCGCTGCAGTGGATGATGCGAGGTGTGGACGGTGTGCTGTGTTGGCGGGACAGCTTCATCAGTTCTAGAAAGCCATCCAAATCCTCGGCAGTCGGAACGCCAAAATCAGGCCAGCGCTTGTAAAGGAAGTGCCAGACGACGCGTGGTTCTTTTTCACCATGGACGTGAAAGAGCAACTTGCGCCTCTCAATGGCGCCCCTGGCAAGCTGCTCTACAGACACAAAGGTAAGTTCTGCTCTCCAGTTGTCGCCCCATGCATTGTAATCGTTGATGGCCCAGACGGTATCTCGTCCACCGGTGAGCATTTCTTCGCCCGTAGGAAAATACTGGTCGCACTTGACTACGTCAAGCTCGACCATATTCGTCAGCTGAACGATAACTGCATGAGAGGGCATCTGCTCTGCAATCATGCGCCAAACATAGTCGATGGAGGAAATGGTAGGTCCCTGCATGGCGATGTAACGCAGCGGTGGTTTGCTCGGGTCCGACGGAGACGTAAGAGTAATGGCAGAGGCATTGACGTAATCGACCTCGCCTTCTGGGACACGAAGCTTGACACGGTTGTACGCCCAGGGCTTGATGTTAACATATCGGTCCATCTTTTCGTGCGTTTCTATGTGTCTGTAAAGCGTCCATCGCGAATCCCCTAGGCTGTCGTCTCGCATGCCTTGCGAGACCCGAACTCGCTCGGCCCAGGTTAGTTCCTGAAACTTGATATCGATATCTGCAATAGCGCGCGTGTGGTTAGCGGGGCGTTCGAGTAAGTACTTGCAGCGCCGGCGAATATGACGTGCATATGCATTCGGCATGCAGATATGACGCACCTTGCTGCGATAGCGACAAAAATACCGGCAAAGCGGGTGGCAGCTGGTTGACGCTCCTGCGGCGATCCTGCACGGGCGGCGATTTGTGCTGCGCTGGCTGAGACGCTGGGCGGGCGAGCCGTGGCGGCGACTGGATGCCATCTTGCGCCACCACTACAGCTGACGGGGTTGTGGGAGTGAGTTCGGATGGAGGGCTGTCCCTCGCGCGCTTCGACGGGCCACGCAGTCGCAGACTCTTGAACGCGGACATCTTGTGATGGGTTCTTGGCGACTCGGTGGCGCTCACATTGTCGGTGGCGATGCTGGCCCTGCGATCGATGGAGGTCTCGATGACCGGAGGTTTGGGCTTCCGGCGAAACTTGGGGATCTTATCCATGGCGCTGAGGGGAGAAATCTTGGTCGCTTTGGAGGCTGCTCTTCGGACAGCCCTGGCCAGGAGAGTGAATATGTGGGCTATCGCTGCTGCTTTTGCCGCCGTCGTCGCCGCTTTGCCCGACAGATGGATAGTTTTCGCTGTGGTGGGTGTCTAGAGAAAAAATAGAGGTATGTATAGCTAGGTACTAGGTAGATTCCTGGATTAAGAAGAAGAAGAAAAGGTAAAGTTTCTGCGAAGGAGCGTGCGAAATTGAAGAAGAAAGAGGGAAATGAAGGAGAAGAAAAGAAGAAAAGAAGTCTCGGCAAGTTTGGAAAGAAGAAGACGCGAGGATGAAGAGCAAGAGGAGAAAAAAAGCAGCGGAGGAGAGGAAAGGAAGCGGCAGTCTATCCGAGTCCAGCGAGAGGGTCTGGTCCCAAGTACCGCGCATAAGCTGCAGCCAGGCGCAAAGGCGAGGTCTCGGGTACTTGGCCCTAGCGGCGCGTGCGTGGAGTCTGATATGAGATGAGATGAAGCAAGATGCTGACGGTGGAGGGGGAAGCGCAGGGTATATGAGTGCTAGTCAGTAGTCCAGAAGAATAAAGCATCGAGAATCGACATGCACATGCATGCTTTATACGAGCGAAGCAGAGCAGAGATGGATGCGAGGGCCGCTGCAGGATCTGCACTGCTCCTAAGCGATGATGCATGCGCACGGCGTCTGTCGCCTGTCATTTGCAGCACAGCAGCACGGATTCCATTCTATACCCGAGGATAAGACCGCCATCGACGCATCCTCCAGCAGCGTCGTTGATGCCTCCCCTGCTGGGCTTATGGAGATTCGCTATATTGCGTGCAGCAATCCGTGCATGCAGCGCGCGGTGCCGCCAATAGTGCGTCCCGCCAGCGCGCCGCCGGTGGAGTCGCCGCCGGCCGCATCAAATGGCATTCCACCACCGAATCTCATCACACACGACTCGCTGGGGAGTACCTGCATGCGCATCCGCCGCTAGGACGCCCAGCAGCAACGCCGTATGATCCGCTGCGTTTGCTCCAGGTCGTCTGATTCGCTTCGTCCGCTCGACCGCGCCATCGCTGTCTCTCATTTGCCCGTCAGCTGAATCATGGCGTGGATGCGTTATGTGTGGTTGTATAATAATAGCTACATATCGAGATCCCTATATCGTACATGCATATTTTGTGGTAGTACAGCAGAGGCAGGAGTGTTTTTCCCTTTTCCCCTTTCCCTTTTCCTTTTCTTCTCCTCCCTTTTGGCCCTCCTCTTTCTTTCCTACCTTTTCTCTTTCTCTTTTCCTTTTTTAAATTTTTTTTTTTGGTGTCTGTCTTTGCGTCGCCTTTTTTTTTTTTTTTTTTTTTTTCTTTTTTCTTTTTAGACTATCAGTCCATCCACACCTCCATCAGCAAGAGGCCATGAGGCGATGTTAAGACATGTGACACACACCAACTCGACACACCTAGCGATGCTGGATTGCTGGATGGATGCGAATAGGGAGCAGGTGCAGCTAGCATCTCGCACCAGCTGAGTCCCAGCCTGGCAATGCTCATGCCTACCTTTCGCAGCCTTTCCCCATCACCCCATAGCTTCTCGTCCTCCTCAGGTTCGTCAACTGCCGTTATACAGCAGAGTAGACACCTGTGACGAACTTTCCACATTCGACCTTTTGCTCTAGAGTCGCCTTGCGGCCCTTGCCGCCTTCTCCAAGCCGGGCGGTTTGCCTGGGTGTCAGGCATAGCCTGTGCACTTCGCCTTGCCGCCCATGTGCGGCGTCTCCTTCACCTCCGTCCAACGGCCCAATATAAGTTGGCGTATTCAAATTATTTCGTTTGCCAGTTCCTAGCTGATAGTGCTCATTACCTCCCCAGAAAACCACATCAGAGCCCCAATATGTCTCATTCTCGGAAGACCGGTTCGAGACAGATGTCTGTGTCACATTGTCCATAACCGCAGCGCAGTGAGTTGTGCCGATGCTTAGGGCTTTAATTTTGATAGGCATCAGCTGGTTCTTTCTCTCGTCAAACTCTGAGAGCCCTGAGAGCGACTTGACTTTGGTTGGCCCGAGAGAAACGTGAGTCCACCTTCCGGTGCCTAGTGAGCCACAAGTACCTTGTCCTGCGGCCCAGAGGTCATATGTGCTGTGAGGCAATCTCTTAGAAGGCGCTGGGGTGCTAGCCTCGCTGCTAGAAGCACTAGGCGTATTGGCCTCACAAGTGAAGAAAGTATTTACACCGCCGGCAGCTATTGAGGAGGCAGTGGACACCGGTGCACTGCTTCCATATAGCTTATAGATCGGTACAATTGTAGGAGTAGAGATGAAAGGATTGCCAATCTGGGTTTCAAACCCCAGCTGGCCAAAGGTATTGTCACCAAACGTAAAGATCCGGCCAAGTTTGTCTAGAACGGCCGAGTGATAATCACCCGTCGCGATCTGCTTGATGTCAAACCCCTTGAGCAAGGCAATCTCGTGTGGTTGATCGTAACGACCTTTGGGGCGTGTCTCCCAGGTGAGACCCGGAATACCCATCTGCCCTTTCGATGGGAAGTTTGAGCCGCTCGAGGCTGAGGAGAAAACTCGCCCGTTTGATGTGAGCATCAGACAATGCTCAAGGCCGCTGCTGATATCAGCAACACGCTCGCCCCATCCAAGGCCCGCCGGAGTCAGGTTCTGAAAGCTGATAGCTTCTTTACCAGACGAGGACCATAAAGACCACGATGTCTTTTGCTGTTCTAGCTTTTTGCCACCCTCTTGGTCGTCGCGCGAGGCGGGGATGGCATATACCGAGCCACCCCGAGACAAAGCTATAATCCGATCTTCTGATACCTCAATCTTGGCAAGATCCTTGCCCTTCAAGGTCACAACCGGTGTTGCATCTGCCTTGTTAAATCCTAGGCCCCATTGAATAAGATCTCCCTTTTCATTAATAGCCGCGCCAAAATTCTCAGTAAGTTTCAGGTCGCGGAGAAGCTGATGATCAAAATATGATATCCTGCGCGGAAGTTTGATGTTTTTCTCATTCGAGACAGGGTCAATGACCTTTCCCACGTTGGAGCCCCATGCGTACACTCCGGGGTGCTCCCAGCTGTTCTTTACTTGCAAGTGCTGAGAGCTAATCAGCTCACGGTTATCTTCCTTTGATACGCCATGTTTGCGGGCCTTCTCAAACTCCAGTTCGGCCTTTTGATATCCAGTCTCTTTCTCTTCTTCGGGAGCTGCCGAACTGAACTGAGCTCGGAGCCTAGGATACCAGAATGCGCCCGCTGCGGCGACGGCGAAGACGGCTGCAAATCCCACTGCTTTCCCTCCTCGTCTCCTGGGTCTCACGCCCGCAGAATCGTTGATGTAGCGAACCCATTGGCGCTGGCTCACACCAAGGCTTGGTCGAGCTGAGAGGCCAATGCGAGACGCTCGTCGAAGGGCAAATTGTGAGGTGCTCATGATTGCAAGTCAGGCTCCTCGTCCAATAGCTGCTGTAATTGCTCCAGAGCCCACCGAAACACTTCTGGGGCCCCGCTCTTGGTCCAGTTTGACCCGCGTAGATGCTCGCAGCTGCAGCCTGTGAAGTCGCAGGTGATGTGAGATCATGCAAAAGCTGCGATCTCCAGCTAGAGGCTTAGTGCGTGCCGACTTCTCATATCCCTGCACTGGGGTTCCCGTGCCGAAGCTCCATGATGTCAACTCCATTTAGCTGCTCGCCAATTGGCTGGGCATCTTATCGTGCCACTATCGGCGCCCGGAGCAAGTCGCCCCGCCTGGACCTTGCCAATGGCACACGCGTGGCTTTAAAGTTAGCCGTGCTTCAGTAACTTGCAGCCTCCTGCTTCGAGCCCTGGGCCACCATGTACGAGGACGGCTGGTACAGCTTCGTGCCGGAGCTTAGCAACAACAGCAACGCCAGAAACGAGACCTCCAATGGCAGGCCTCGCGGGCATCAGCGCAAGGAATCGCTCCTACAGCAGCCTAATGTGCGTGTTGTCACCATCCACTGCTTTGTGTACAGCGGGCAGCTTACCGTGTTATAGGAGGCCAGCAACATTGCCGAGATCCTTGAAGATGTGCTAGAGGAAGCAGAACATACAAACGACCCTCCCGAACCCGCATTGCTCCGACGAGCTGCCTCATACTCCGATTTCTACGATGTTGTCAGGGCCGAGCTCTTCAAAGATGCCCCACGCAGGCCACGGCGGAAGGCTGGCAGGAAGAGCAGGAATTGGGAGGCCTTGACGCTCTTCAACGAAGAGTCTACAACTTCTCAGTATTACCAGACGGAAGAAGTGTCCTCAAAATCTCTGGACGACCTATTGTTGGAAGAGAGCCAACAAGAATATTCGTAGGATCCCGGACGCATGTGCCATCCGACCTGGGCTAATCAAACTAGGCTGTATCGCGACCAATTGAAGATGACCGAGCGCCACCTCGAAGGCTTAATTGGCAATGCCAACGATAGTTTGAAACTGTTGACCACTTTATCGCAATCATTTTTGTCCGTTGAGGCTCAGACCTCGACCTTCCAAGCTCAGTGCGAAGAGCTCCTGACAGAACAGCGGCGGTTGGAGAAGCTTGCCGATGAGGTCGGGACAGATCTCTACTATTACGCCTATCTAGAAAAAGCTACAAGACGCCTAAATGCTCCCGGTGCCGGTCGCTTAATAGAGGATGATGATTTTAGTGAGATGGTGGAGAACATCGATTCTTGCATCAAATTCATGACTACCCACGTAAGTTGATCAGTTTTTGATACTCAGTGCGCCCCGTATTGATAGGCAATAGGAGAATTACCGAGAACGCGACTCATATCTAGCACGATACAGCGCCTTACTTACCAAGGCCTTGCACCTTCTTGACCACGGTTTCAATAGTTCTTTGGAAAAGGTCTCCAGTGACATTGCTCGTCAGATTGCAGCTACAAAATCAGAGTCTGCTCGCCACGCTTTGGCATACGGAAGATTCGAAGAGATGATGGCGGATTCTTATTCTCTATTGCCAAATACTCGAAGAGTAGTCCGATCGGCCTACCATGCGTATGGGCAGCCAGTAGAAGTCTCAGCCACCTCTACGACATATGTCAATGCTGTTAATACCATCTTCCGAACATATTTCACAACCCGCGATCGAGACTTGAAAGTAATGGCACAACATGATCTAGATGAATACCAGAAAGAGGTCAAAAGTCTGTCAGTGGAGACAGCTTCTAGGAATTTCATCAAACAGTTATTCGAGCGAATGTATAGTGAAGACGTTCTTTTTACCAAAATTTTCAACATAGAACTCGCATGGAGCCCTCTTCCGGAATCGGCTTTCCAAGCGGTCAAGCTGGTCAACACCACAATGGTTCATCCTGGCAATATCGTGCCATTAGCGACGAATTTACAGGCCGTCTTTCAGAACGCTCAGCTCACAGAAACGTGCAGCATAGTTGGCTGGCTAGCTAATGAATATGCAGTGGCGGACTTGGATGAAGATGAATCTCCATCCTTTAGAAAGTACAGGGAATATGCCGCCAGGCTGCTCGCAGATCATTTGTGGCCATTTACCGACAACTTATTTGAAGCAGAAATCGTGAAATCAATTACCAGGGCCCCAACTCAAGATGGTTCTTTGAAGATTAGCCCTGTTGTAGACGGAGTGGCTTCTTCAAACGCATATCCCTTGGTGAAACGAGCCATTGAGCTCCTCGCCATGTTTGACCGGGCAATGCCTAAAGAGCGATCCGTAAGTCTTTATGTTGCTTCATTCCCTTCCCTTCCATCTTGTTTTCCTCTAATCATCTGTCTGGCCCGTATTCTAACATGATCTTACACAGGCCAAGAACAGCCCCGTGGTGTTTAAAATTGTGCGAGAAACAATTCAGATTCTTCAGCGAGCTGAGGCTAGGATCAAATCACTCAAGACCGATACCGATCCGGATCTCTTCATGGTCAAGAATTTACTCATTATTAAGAATGAGCTGGTATCACTCGAGATTGGTGATATACGAAGCCAACCCCCAGCCATGCAGCATTTTGGACAGATTTGGGATACACTGAGTCCCCAAAACTGGGTGGGATTTTTCGGAAGCGTCATCAGCGGCAATCTCTGGTCTCGAGGGGCGCCTTCAGTTACAGCCAAGACGCTGACAGTAGAAGACATGAGCGAACAGCTAGACGAGCTATTACGCCAGTCCATTTATGCATTCACAAAGCGATGGGGATCTCTCATCAACGATTCTCAGAGCAGAAAAGTAGGAGTGAAGCCTATAGCGAAGGTAGAGGCTGATCTTGAGAACATACTCCAAACAGCGTTCAGCAACCAACCTGAAGTAATTGCGAAGCTGAAAGAAGCCATTCAGCTAAACGCGCAAGCACAGACGGACGCAAAGAATGCAGACAATGGGGCACGGAGGTACTAAAAAAAAGGACCATGAGCGCAGAGCTCGAGCACCTAGAGGGCGCAGTAGACCTGAATGATGATAATGATTTTGCTCAATGATACATGATGACCCGAGTGGAGATGTACAAAAACAAGTAAATTGAGGGGAAGTTGTTGGGCTATTTGGCCGATCATTTCGGTGTTGTGTCAACGAAACACGAGACAACTCCAATTCCTAGTTCAGCCGTCCCTTATCGCTCTCAACTATTGGGGGCTCAACCTGTGCAGTTGCGTAACCCTTGTGGGGGTTATCCTAAAGTGCTCGTAAGCAACTAGCATAACCATCATAGCCTACCTCGGCAGGTAAGCTGTATATGATTTATGATGGGCTTTGAGCTCCATCTAGTCTATGCAATTCGGTGACTCAAAGCTTGGCTCTTGATGAATGTATCGCGATTATTCAGCCACAGGTACGCATAGAAGTGGCTCCATTCCCAACGATAAACTAGGGATTATGACTGATGCCAGGTGGGGTATTAAGCGTGTTGCGAACAAAATTAACTATGGAGTAAATACGACATTCCTCGGTTCGAAGCTAGCACTCAACTTATGCATGCAAAGCTATTCATCCTACGGTGACTACGTTACTTAGTAGGTACCTAGTAGGATACGTATACCTCGGAACATCGCTTATATAAAAGAGACAGGACTTCATGAGACAAGTTACTTTCTTTCCACCTCATCTCACCAACAACCCAAAATAAGAGGCATTATTTGCTCTTTTCGGCCCTTCTCTTTTCTTCAACCCAGTGTGCTCAACAATATACTGTGCTTATATAAATCACACGAGGTTAGTATGGCTGAAGCCGAGATAATCACGTATAGAGGAAATTGTCATTGCGGGGACATTGTATTCGAGATAAAGGCGCCCGAAATCAAGAAAGCAGACAACTGCGAATGCAGCATCTGCGTGAGACAGGGCTATCTTTGGCTCATGCCAGGGATTAGCAATGTGAACATTGTCAAGGGCAGCTTAGAGCAGCTGACGACGTATACTTTCGGCGAAAAGAAAATGAAGCATTTGGTAAGAAAACATTGAAGCATGCACAGATTTGACGATAATCTTTTTAACTCAGTTCTTCCGGGAATGATAGTTCTGCCCCAAGTGTGCTACTGCTGTGGCAGGTTCTTGGTGGAAGGATGAGGAGGCAGACCCACAGCATTCTCTGAAACCAAGCTATGTCAACGTGAGCGAACATTTCCGTCCATGATGGTTGAGTTTCGAAACATGTTTGTTTTGACAAGATTCTGGCAGGCAAATACTATTCAGGGCCTTAACTGCTGGGATTTAAAGAAAATCCCGTAAGGCCATTCCCTCTTCTTCTTTGTTCGTTAAAGACATCGGCCCTGATATAATTAGCAGATATGATGGTGCTTCCAAGGGGGAGCCCTATCAGCCCCCAGCTCATAAAGGAGAGCTTCCAAAGGCCGAGGAAGGGGAGCTGGTGTACACAGGCAGTTGCCATTGTGGAGCGGTGACCGTAGCCACGACGAGCAAACCAATTGACGAGACTCACGAAAGGGTCATCGAATGCAACTGTACCGTCTGTTCGCGTGTAAGTTATCAGCATCTATGCAAACATATCTCATGCTGGAACTCACTTTGGTTCTAATTTGATCGCTTAGATTGGCTCTCTCTGGGTATACTCTCCCACCACGTCTGTTGTCCTATCCGGAGACGAAGCCAACATTGGAAAATACGAATTCAACACGGGCATGCTTTACAAGACGTTTTGCAAGATTTGCGGCGTCGGCATGACGAACAGCCCCAACGAACTTACTGAAGATCAGATTGCTGCGTTGCCAGAAGTCATGCGGGGGCATTATGAAAATCAACGATTGCGCACGGGTGTGAACGCACGGGTGCTGCATGGAGTGGATGTGAGCAAGTTGAACACCGTCAAGATAGATGGATTGAATAAGATTCCTGGGAATTATGTGAATCCCTAATGTTGTTTTTTGCTGCTTAGAGGGTTTGAAAGTATATACGGTGTTGAGGCGGAGCGTGAATAGCGCATAGTATATTTGATATCTTGTAAACAGAAACTATATACATGTTGCAATTGAAATAATGCTGCTTTTCCGTATGCCTATGGATGTGTATTCTTGATATATCAATAGTTCTAACATGTTGTAACATGTATTCTACTCCCAGAGGCTCCAATCAGGATTGATCAAAACACGCTGCCCTGGTACATCATAAATGGCATTATCGTCATTAAAGTCTGCCATAGCTTCAAGGGCATGGAAATCCTGCGGCCCTTCCGATTCGACAATGTACCCGCCTTCACATCTGGTGAAACTCACTTTCACTTGTCCTCCGTAAAAGTCATCATAGTCGGATGAAAGCGCATCGAGGAGATTGTTCACCTTGCCCGATGGGTGCAAGCTCCTCCAGGGGTGGGTGCAAGATTGCTGCTTGCAGGATTTGAGGACCATCATGAGAGCGTCTAGGCGATCGACCACACGCTCAAGAGGCCATTCTTGATGACTGTTGATAACGAGAGCACTAGCGCTGGCCTTCCCGTCCTTTGGCGAGAGGAGGTTATTTATCTGTCCTGGATCGGCCTATGCAAATTTGAGGTTAACAAAGAGGCTCTCCCTTGATACTTTTGAGGATTCAGCTGGCCGACCTTCATGTCATAGAGCTCCCTTTCGTTACTACACCAGACGGAGTAGTAAAATCCATAGTCTTCGGCTTCAATGCGAAGCCCCTTGAACGTATTATTGACGTAAATAGGCTCGCCGCTCTCTCTACCAAAGATGCTCTCAGCGAGCCCAAACCCCCAAAACTCAACGGCGACATGTTCTGAACGAAGCTCAACCTCGGCATCATAAATATCAATTGGAGAGCCATCGAATTTCTTGTCATTGATTTCAACGCCCGCAATCTTCAATATGGTAGGAGCGAGATCCGTGTGTGAAGAGGGGGTGCGAGTGATTCGCTGCGCGGGAACGCCAGGGCCACGGACAACGAGAGGCACGTTGATGTCGGTCTCGAAGCCACACGTCTTGCCAGGATGCAGCCGGTGCTGACCAATGTGGTAGCCATTGTCTGAAGTGTAGAAGATGAAGGTGTTTTCGAGCACGCCGGCCTGGTCGAGACGGGTGACGACAGATTCGATAATCTCATCTACCGCCTGCAACGACCGGAGACGCAGCCTCTGGTATTCGTCGTCGTAGTCAACAACGCTCTCGTTGAGTTTAGGGAGCTTTGAGATCCAGCCCACGCCGCTGGGGGAATCGGGATTGAAGTTTGGCGTCCGGGGGATCTTATACTCGGGGAAGAGGCCCTCGTGCCGCTCTGCAACTTGTGGGGGATCGAATGATGCCCTCGATCCCCCGGCCACGAGAGCATGAGGTGCAATTGGTGCAAGTGTTATAAAAAAAGGAGATTCTTCGTCTTGAAGAGCATGATCGAGGAACTCGTTGGCGCTCTCGGCTACGATATCGGTAGAGTACTTACCGACAGGGTTGGTTGGAGGCGCTCCGTTCTTTGTGGTGCTGACATTGTAATATTGGTACGTAAAAGGGTCAAGAAAGAAGTTGGACTGAGTATATCCACTGACAGGAGGCGAGTCATAGTTGTAGACGGTGTGAGCGTTGAAGAGCTTTCCCGCGTAGTAGGTGTTGTAGCCTGACTGCTGTAGCCAGAGGGCAAGGTGGTGGTCATTGTATCCGTTCTGGACGAATTTGGGATAACCTCCTTTTTGTATAAATCAGAATCTTGACATTTTCCCTGTATACATATGGGTAAGGGAGCATACCCCAGGGAGGATTCACGTTTGTTACGTTGGTGTTATGAGCCAGCTGCCCAGTCCACAGGCTGACCCTGGCCGGACAGCAAATGGCCGCTAGATGTATAAACGAGAATTAGTTTTCTGCAAATTCACCATTTGATAAGGCAATTTTGAATGAAGAAGACAAAAGACACGTGGTGATACTTACTGGAGCAGTAATGTCTCTCAAACGTGGTGCCCTGATGGACCAGATGCTTCTGCAGCGACTGCATATGATCCAGTGTTCCCATATGATTGTCTTGGTCATCTGTCAAGATGAAGACGATATTCGGGCGATCGGCAGCCGCATCTGCCAGGAGAATGGCAGAGAAGAGCCATGACGACGCAACAATTGCGCGGCTCAGCCTAGTATACATTCTAGGATTTTGATTGAGCGGGCTGTGTTAATGAAGTGTGCTGCGAGTTGTGCTCCAGTGCGGTAGAGCTCATGCATTGAGTTGGGGTCCGGATTGAAGAGTGCATGCCTCTCTTTTCTCTTCCGTCAAGATATATATGGCCATCGAGAAATATGGAGTCTTGAATCCATTGCTTTGTTTCCCCCACGTCACGGCGATCACCAATGCGTGAACGCGAGGAGCTACTCGGGCTTGCGCCATGGCTAATCTCTATGCCGTGCTCATCCTTGCATATAGCGGCAGGTGAGTCGGGGTTTTTAAGCGCCTAACCGACAACCCACAATTCCGACAGCGGAGAACTCTGGTTAAATCTTTTCAAAGGCACAGTACTGAAACCCCGTTTGGGATCTGGTATGAGACTGATGAGTATTAGAGAATTGGTCACTTTGTTGCTTGATGATCCGGTGGTCGTGATGCGGGCTATCAGCTTTGGAGGCTATCCTACTATGTTAGCTAATATTTCTCATGGATCGAAATTTATGATTGAGTTTGTATGGCAATCGGTCGCACGTAAACTTTTGTGCTGATAGAGCTTGATGCGAATAGTCGTCGGACTATTTGTACTTTGCGTCTCAGACTAATACGACTCAATTAATAGCTTGTGTCCCGTCATGGTACGGGATCTCAGAGCATATGTATGCTGGCCCCACCGTAGATAAGTATGTGTTGTAAAATGCAGACTCAAAGCTCAAAGCTTCTGATGACAATTAGCAACTGTAGTTATAAAGTATTCCACCTCATCTTAGATAGCTAGATTAACATGAGAAAGAAAGCTTGCACGTCTATGTGCAACAAATCAAGTCGGCTTCATATTGTTTGAAGGGTTGTATGCCGTCTTCCGAGTCTCTCTGAACGTGTATAGCAGGTGGTATTCTGCCATATAAAAAACACCTTAAAACCAGAGGCTAATGACTGGGTCGAAGACCACTGCTGGCTGGTCAAATCTATCGTGCATCTCCCATGTGGATTGTACCTGGATTTATGCAGAATTCTGCCGCGAGAAATCTTATACGGGATGTTATTTGTGGTGCCCCGCTCGCAGGGTTGCAGGCAATTCGAACGGCTTTGTATGGAGTACAAGCATGTTGACTTTTCTCAGGACCCAATTGTCGGCCTCCTGCATGAGAGGGGAATGTGGCAAAGAAGAAGCGCGACACATGTCTCGTGCCAACAACTCACCAGGTACAGACTACATACTCGCTCAGTGTGTACTCGGTGGCATTCGCATCTTTTCCGCCCTTTTTTTTTGGTGGCAGCATTTTGCTACAAAATATTGTCGATTTTGATCGCTTGCCTTTCCATTACAGGCCTTTGGCACTACGGCGTTCAATTGTTGCAAATTCCGACAGCGTCTAGCAATCATGGATTATGAAATGGATCAGGCAAGCCTCGATCTCATCATCCAGCTTCAATTGGAAGATGCCCAAAGCATGGCCAAGGGAAAATACCAGGAAGGCAAGGCCCCTGACTTCGAACTGGCACTTGAACTTTTCAACGCCGAGCTCGCGTCATTTCACGCTTTTATCCACGATCGAGAAATGAGCCGCAGCCTAGCTCGTGCCGTTGTGAGCGATGCAGACATCATAAGACAGTTGGTCAACGAAGAGGAACAAGCGACTCGCGATCGGATGCTTGCGCTTCATGGATTTGATGATAATGACATCGCTGAGGGCAACCTCTTTCCAAAGAGACAGCCACCAGATACAAGTTCGTTGAAAGAGAATATCTCTGATGAAATGGTCAACAAACTCATACTTCTATTTCATGACGATGGCGGACCTTCACCCATTGCGGAGTCATCTAGGATGGGAGAGCGAGCTAATAGAATGATGATGACCAAAGTGGCCAATAGACGCCGCTGCATTGTTTGCAGTGAAGATTTTCCATTCGTCGACACATTGCGATGCCCTTGCTCTCACGATTATTGTCGCGGATGCCTGTCCAATTATATTAGTAAAGCAATAAACGACGAGTCTATATTCCCCCCTCGATGCTGCGGAAAACCGATACCACTCGATGGTGTGAACCAGATCTTCATCCCCCCGGAAATACTTGGAAGATATCGCGCCAAGGAGCTCGAGTACGGTTCAGCGAATAGGATGTATTGTCACGTACCCAATTGCTCGACCTTTATCCCCACGCAGTTCATTAAAGATGAGGTGGCGACGTGTGTCAAATGCCGGAGCAAGACTTGCACCATCTGTAAGGGCCCATCTCATACGGATGACTGTCCTAAAGACACGGAAACGGCCAATATTCTTCGTATTGCAGGAGATAATGGGTGGAAGAGATGCTTTAAATGTCGGAGAATGGTAGAGTTGGCGTATGGATGCAACCATATATGTAAGCTTCTTCCCTTCTCATTTTTTTTTTATCATCCCGTGCTTGTTTTTCTTCTTCTCTCCGGGCCCGAAATTAACACTCTAGTAGATTGTAAATGCGGAGCACAATTCTGTTACACCTGTGGGAAAAAATGGAAGTCTTGCGGTTGTGAGTTGTGGAATGAGAATATGCTGGTCGCTCGAAATATGGCTGCAAATCAGCTCGCAGGCGGACAACGTCAAATTGCGAATCAAGGATGGGGTCTATAAAAGAAGAGAGGGGAGAGAAGAGTACATAGAGGGGATGAGAGACATTTTACAAGAAGGTTGTCGTTGGATGATGGCCTCTCGTTGTTGGACACTAAAGTATGCAGTGGCTGAGATTGAAATTCTACTAGACCGCTAGACTAACTCAATATATTACATAAACGTTGGAAGTCTCAACCGCTACACGCGGAATAAACAGCGGTATCTGCTGAGTGAAATAAGGGGGGATTTCGACTCTCGCGGTAGGCTTGATGTTGATATAAGTAAAATCACACATCCTCTCTCTTTATCCATATCATAATATCAAAGTGGGTTTTTGGCTTCCTTTTCACATCCAAGACTCCAATACGGAGTAGTTCTCCATCATATCCACCCAATTCGTGGGGGATCCTTTCACTAGCAGCAATACGTCTAATAGCCCCACTTGATAACGACATCGGGCCATCGGCGCCTCTCCAGACTTGACAAATTTCAGGCCCTTTCTTTTCTTCAATCTCTCCTCTCTGCTGGCCCTACTTTTGCTGTTGTTTCCTCTTTTCTTAATTTTCTCTCTTCAATTCACATCTCTATTCGCTTCTATTGATTTTCCGATATATACCCTCTGCTCGAATTCGACGTAACGTATCTCTCCATCCCCGCCACTTCTATCCGTTATCGGCCGCGGGGCCACTCAGAAATTACAACAAAAAAAAAAAAAGAAAATGGCGGCAGTAGAGCTGGAACAGCAACAGGGCGGAGGGCTCCAGACGGCGAAGGATCTCTTCTCCGGCGCTGTTGGAGGCATTGCGCAAGTCTTGATCGGTATGCGATTCCATTTCTTTTTTTCGGGCCTTCCTTTTCGTTTTGAAGGAGCAGGATTGGGGTTCGGCGCAATTCTGGCGACGGCCCGGACGAAACGCTTTCCTACGGCTTGCATCGCGATAGACTAACACCAGCCCCAGGCCAGCCCTTTGACATCGTCAAAGTCCGTCTCCAGACGTCGAACCAGTACTCGGGCGCGCTCGAGGCCGCCGCCTCCATCTACAAGCATGAAGGCGCGCTCGCCTTCTACAAGGGCACGCTAACGCCCCTCATCGGCATCGGCGCCTGCGTGTCCGTGCAGTTCGGCGCATTCCACGCCGCGCGGCGCTGGCTCGAGGCTCGCAACGCCAGCCACGGCCACAAGACGACCGACCTCAGCTACGCGCAGTACTTCGCCGCGGGCGCCTTTGCCGGCGTGGCCAACGCGCCGCTGTCCGGCCCCATCGAGCACATCCGCATCCGCCTGCAGAGCCAGCCGCACGGCGAGGGCCGCCTGTACAACGGGCCCCTGGACTGCATCCGCAAGATCAGCGCCCACAACGGCGCCCTGAGCGGCCTGTACCGCGGTGAGGCCGTGACGATCTGGCGAGAGGCCTTTGCCTACGGTGCTTGGTTCACCACCTTTGAGTACCTCATGAACTCTGACGCCGCGCGCAACGGCATCGACCGCAAGGACATCCCCACCTACAAGATCGCCTTGTACGGTGGCCTTGCTGGAGAGGTCCTCTGGCTTGCCAGCTACCCCTTCGACGTCGTCAAGAGCAAGATGCAGACCGACGGCTTTGGCGCCCAGCAAAAGTACCCGTCCATGCGGGCTTGCTTCGCTTCTACATTCCGCGCCGATGGCATCAGGGGATTCTGGAAGGGTATTGGACCAACCCTTGCTAGGGCAATGCCTGTGAGCGCGGGCACCTTTGCCGTGGTGGAAATGACCATGCGAGCTATCAACTGAAAGGAGTCATTAAATGAAAAGCGAGCGAAGCGATTCGAAAATGAAAGAGATATATGAGGGGGAAAAAAGCCTTTTCTTTTCTTTTTCTTATTTTGGCGTTATTGGCTTAGGATGGGATCAGAGCCGAACAAAATGAATGCCTCCTTGTTTTTTGCACGGAAAAAGGGTCGAAGCGAAAAGAAATTCTGGGTGGATATAGACGGAATTTGGGAAATTGCCTGTTAATTCTAGACAGCCGCATGGTTTCATGGAGTGATGTGTTATGAGAGCCAGACATTCAACATGGAATTAATCGCTTCATCTTCTTATAAGCTGTGTTGATTTCGGTATCTGGCGGATACAATGATAAAGTTCTATTTCTTATCTCTTTATGCAAAAAAAAAAAAAGTCAAAAATCATTACACCTTACCATCCTACGTTCTCGTTGTTCTCCACCCGTCTCTGAAGAATTTGTCTTGCATTCAGTGGTGTCAAAGCCACGAGCTGCAGCTCTTCCAGCACCGCACGCGCCTCGTCATTGTCGGTAAATGCTCGGTCACTAGCTTGCTTGAGCGTTATAGCAACGGCATCCTCGCTCTCTGCCGCTGCCGTCGCTGGCAAATTGAGCAGCACAAGTCCCTCACGAAGAGACTCTAGGGCCGCCGAACCGTTGGGGATGAACCGATCTACAAGCGAAAAGATGGATGCGCAGTCATGCGCAAATTGGGCGGCTCCAAGCGTGGTGAATGTTTGGCGGGTGAGGATACTTGTCCATAGCAAGTCTTGGAGCTTTTCGAGTGCATCTCGCCAGACACGCCGGAACGAGGCCGCAGAGAGGGCTCTGCCTAGGAACTCCAGGTTTCTCTTCAAGGTGCTCAGTGCTTCATCCAGCTCAGGTGTAATGGAAAGCGTTGAGGAGTCATCTTTTATTTCAAATTCGATATTAGTAAGACTTATAAGTTATTCGTGGCAATAAAGATGTATATCAGGGCTTACCGGGAGTGGCGCTTTCGCCTATTGTTGTCCATTGAACATTATGGGTATAGGCGCGCAGCGCTTTGGAGTGAGAGTCGACCAAGGCACCCACGAGCAGCTCTTCGCCGGCCTTGCGACGGTTGGTATACGCTGCAATGGTTTCATCAAAGATGGCCCCATTCTCGTCGCCATCATCAACTGCGGCGACGGTGCGTTCCTTGAGATCATGGCTATTCCCAACCACGTTACCGATAGCGGAGCCCTGTAGCTTTACTTGTCGAGATTGACGTCTGTGCAGCTGATCCCACAGGATGACATAGAACTATACTCTGAATTAATATCATTCTTTCAATTCGCACAAGGGCTTTACTCAAACTCACTTCTTCATCTCCCCATTCCGCCAGGGTATTTGCAACATGGTCAGAGCTGCCAATCACTTTGCACAACGTCTCCAAAGTACCAGTTCCTTCCAGGGCAGCGAGCTGTTCTTTCGTTACACCGTGAATGGTCCGGCCCAAGGTAGAAGTCAAAGACTGGTAGGCTTCCAATGAACTTCTCAGACGATCGTGATATCCATCGAGAATATCTAGTTGAATATCCGTGAGAAACTTGAGCTTCTGCTTGACATTGCGAAGGCGTTCGTATTTTGTAGTTACCACCCGTAGCAAGTCCGTCAGTTGAACAGCCGCAAATGTAGGTTTCATCTTTCCAGGCAACGAATAATCATAATCAATTTGGCGCCCGTCTCTTGACTCTAAGATGGTTTCAAACCTCTCTAGCGCAAAACTCCTTTCAGCCTGGAACCATACATCAAAGTACTTCTCGAGGATGATCTCTGACAGCCCTGTCCAGCCATTCTCCGGGTCACCGCCGTCATAGCTGAAACGGGATCGGATATTCTCGTCCAGAGTCATGACCTGAGATATAAAACTGCTCAAAAATCCGGGATTCGTATGCGCCTCTGATGCCACTACATCAATCTTCTCTCGAACAACGGGTAGCATTGCAGTGATGAGAGCACACGCAGGATCCGCATAGATGGTCTTGTTCGCCACGGGTGTGTCATGAAACTTGGATGCCAGCAGATGGCCCAGATTGTCGCGAAAGAACTCCTCCCATTTTTCCAAAGTTGTCAAAAGCCAGGGGAAGCAGTGGGTACCAACTGATTGAGGGCTGCTGGTTGGTTTATCGCTCATAAAATGGAAGCGAAACTCGGCAACGAACATCTTAGCCATGACCTCAAACGGCAAGAGAGCCACGATATCTGCGCTGTGGATAACTTCTGGCATCTGCAAATCGAGAAGCTTCTCCACACAAGCTATCCATTCTTCATCCATTTCGGACTGAGGGTCGACTTTAGGCCAGTGTTTCTTATTTAGCACAGTCTCTAACTCGGTAGACATGATTTGCTTCATTTCATCCCAGAGATTCTTCGTCATCTTCTCAACATGATCCACCAGATGAAGGTCGTCATTTCCGGGCAGGGATCTCAGCTTAATCGCCAGCTCTTTCAACTGCGCATACGGTTCGAGTGCCTCTTTGGGGCTGCCTGGAAGATGAGATCGAGCCTCTTTCCGTAGTCGCTCAGCGTCTTGTAGCAGCAAGAAGTATTTCTGAGCCAGCTCGATGCTCTGTAGCTGCTTCATGGGCTTCTGTAGTCGCGCAATAGCCTCGCTCGGCGCATCGGAAGCAGCAGCTATTTGGACGCGCCTGTCGATGCTTTCTTGCAGTTCATTGAACTCGGCAATGCGAGCCTGAAGGGCAGCTTGGCGTTCGTCGCTTATGCGCCTCGCCTCTTCCAGCTCTTTTGCGGCATCGTCGAGCTGCGATTGGAGCTGGTTTCGCTGCAATTCGACATTGGTGAGTAGTTCGTCGAGGTTGTCGAGATCAGCGGTCGATTGAAGCTTATCCTCGAGATAGTCCTCGACTCGGCTATCAAGAGAGCTGCCATTGAGAATTCCAGACAAGGTCGCCATGGTTTTTATACGTGGCCATATCAAGCTGCATCGAAGCTGGAAGGTATGACGATGCACGTTGCATGTAGCTGGGGGTGCTTATCGATATGGGTCTACCGAAGGTTATCCGAGGCACGATGCACGCACTACTACTAATAATTCACAGATAGGTATATAGTAGGAGGCAAAAGCACTATACAATTCACGTTTGTTATCCAAATTGGGGTTAAGAATGTTACAAAACCATTCAATTCGCGATTTTTGTCTCACCCCCATATACTTTGCAGAAATGAAGATATTCATTTACTCGTGGCTGTAGTATTGGCAATAACACCAATTATTCTGCAGGTACAGTCGCGGAACAGCTGCTCCGTACTAATATAGCGAGCTGCAGCCATTATCCGCAAAGACAAGGGGGCAGAGATGGCAAAATACCACCAAGAACAGCGCCGAAAAGCAGTGCTTACGAGTAGCCCTTACTGGCACAAAGCATTGCTGCATTAATAAGGGGCATCGTGACTCTTGGCTCACCGGTCGGGACGGCCAAGAATTGTAAAAGCCGTATGTTTACTCTGCGTTTTGTTCGGCTTCGTCGACAGCAGGCGACTGAGACTACTCTAATTTGCGGGCCATGCACTCTGCATTTTTACCTGTTTTTGTTACGAAAGCACAGGCATTTTCCAAATGTTTCCTCCGCGTCTTCCGACCAACAAGCGAGTAAAAGAAGATAAAGTTGCTATATATAAACATAACCTGTTTCTAAGCGGTCAGTAGAAGCTGCGCCTCGCTCTTCACCTCAATCCATGTACGGAGCGCCAATTAATGCCTGACACGACCCTAGACATTAGCTCCGGCGCAGCTCGACTTGGCTGTGAGAGCCACGGATTGTCATGGCAACCCGCCAAGATACGAGGTGCAAGTTGGTAGCGCTGATGGCTGGGTGCTGTACACGGAGGTAAGAGTGTTGCTTGATACTATCTCATTTATAATTCCTTGTAACTTTGGTCAAAGAAAAGCTGGAAAGGAAGAGAGCTATATGTAGAGTGAAGACGTGTAAGATGCCGTGTAAGTGCACGCGCCTGTGGTAGCACTCCATTCATGTTTCACATGACAGACCTACATAGTAGATTGCACCGTGGACGCCGCCCATAAAGGAAATCCTCAGGCTGCAGGCCCGCGACGAATATGCGTGTCTTACCCACCCGTCTCTGCCGCCTGAATGCCTTCACTGACGATCGATCGCGCGCAAATCAAGATGTGGCCAGCCTCCAACTGGCTATCCGAGGCGCGAGCCCATCGGCCCCGTTGGTCGCCACCAGCCTCTGGTACAAAAACAATGAGCGATCTTTAGCGCACTGATCCCCTGCAAGGCACCCGCTGGAAAACGGAACATACCCACCAAAGCCCCGGCCTCTGCGGCGCTGCTGAGCCTCTAGCGAGTCCAGCTGCTACAGCCTCCAGCAGGCTCTTGCGCAACGCGGCACCAAAGCGCCTAAAAACTGCGCGTCTTGGTCCCAGCCAAGCTTTTTTGCCCCGCGGCCCCACCCCTGCTAACGTCACCCTGGTTTCCCGGCCAACCAAAGTCAATACCAGAAATGGCGTGGCTGGACGAACCAAAATGCGAGCCCATCCGCCCAAGTTGGAGCGCCAGAAGTGCAATAAGCTGCACGATCTAAAGATACCTTTCCACTATTTCCCCAGCCATCTGAATTTTAAAGAAAAGCTTGGAGAATAGCGAAGCCAGAGAGAACGAGGGACGCCCTGCGCTGCGGTTACGTGTTACGTTGGCTGCACCCCTTTCTTGTCAATTTTTTTCTGCAGTTCCTCTTTTGGAAGAGGGCCTCTCTTCTTCTTCTTTGAGCTAAGTCTCGTCCTGCACGTCGTCCATGACAACTGATGCCCACGCACCACGCAAGACATTCTTGTCACTCTAAGCATTGCAGGGTCTAGGCGGGATTCCACGCTCGTTCCGATTTTCTTCAATTCCTCTTCCACGATTTTTGAGAGGGCAGCCCAGGCGACGCGCAATAGCGCCTTGAATACCAGCCTGGTTTGAGTGGGCTTCTCACCGCTCGCCCATTCCAACGTGCGTTCCCGCCATCCTTGCCTCCACGCGACATTCTTGCGCGAATCTGCGTCGGGATCCATCAACGAACAATTCTGCGACGAGGAGCCTCTGTGCTTCTGTACTGGGGGCAAAGAGTTGAACGCAGCGCAACAGGGATTCTGCGCAGTTCGGACGGCTTGCGCTCGCGGCGCTTAATCTCCCGGACAATCGCCCCTTCGTCTCTATTATCTCGACACTCGTCTCGTCCAGATTTAAAGAGGGGAATTTCCCTCTGATAAAACAGTCACAATGGCGACGACACGGTCGGGTACGAGCTCTAGCTCGAGTACCACGATCATCTCGGTGCGCCGATTCCATCGAGGATGGCAGAGTGAGTCTCGCATCGACGGGCGATTGGAATGCGGCAACACTAACAATGTGTCTCAACAGGATTCGTCCCATTTCTCGGATACCACCACGTGCTGATGATTCTGATCGTCGTCGCAATCATTCTACTATGTACGTCGCCAAATAGCCAATCCAATTGCTCATACGCCTTTGCTAATCGCTCATCACAGCGCTGCTACTTGCCGGTTGCTCGTCTTCATCGCCTCTAATTCCCGGCATCTTCCTGCTTTCCATCTACTACCAGTCTTACGAGGCTCACCCCGATACCGCGCAAGTTGACTATAGCTTCTACACTGCTATGCAACGCCTTACTGGAAACGCCGAACTGCAGGCTCGAGTTGGTTATTTCGGCATCTGCGTCAACCCGGATGGTGGCTCGTGGCTTTGTAGTAACAATGCGACAGCCCTGGCCAGGGAAGTCTCAGTTGACCAGGACCCTCTTAATCTCATCTGGCTGGCTGCCCAATTCAAGGATATGATTGTGTTTCCATACTTGATGTGAGTATTCCTCTACATATTTGTGTGCGCATATGCACTTTGTCATATGCACTTTGCTGACATGAGCCCTTAGCATCATCGCCATCATCTTCGCCTTTATCTGTCTGCTCCTCCTCGCCACTTTCCCTGGATGGCACGAGGAAGAAGATTCTGAAGGATCCGAGCGCGAGGTCAAGCCGTTCCCCTCTCGTCCCGTTTCTCAAATCGCACTGGCCATCATCTTCATCGCTTCCATCTTCGTTCTCGTTTCAGTCCTCTGGCAGCATACCGCATCCGTCGCAGCATCCGTCATCGCACAAGACTTTGGAAATGGTGTTGTCAAGAGCGGTGTCGGCACCAGCGCCATGGTAATGGGTTGGTTCTCGTTTACGCTACTTATCATCGTCACCATCGGCCTGCTCGTAATGATCTTGAGTATACGTGTTCTGAGTTCGATGGTGTGATGAAGGCGGGTTTAATGGCGAGATGTATGCGGCGACAATAGGTTAGGGAATGATATATGAGATGGGAAGACTACATGTATATGTGATGGGCAAAAACCAGGGCGTGTAAACGGGCGGCACAACTTCGACTTTAGGGGGTTGGTTGGTTTACAGGCAACATCAGCATCGGAGTTACCAATGGCGTTCACGAAGAATACATAATGCAACACTACAACGACAAAAACTGAAAAAAGAAGAAAAAAAATTCTCCCAATACCCTTCCTTGCTTTCTTCCGGAACAGACGACAGCTTGAGCCGGCCCCTACGACAAACCGACCTTTGCCTCTTCCTACTACGGCCATTGCGCAATGATGGACACCAATCGACGAGCCTAGTGCAATCAACATGACGAGAGCGAAGACGATAATTATTTAGGGATGAGGTCGAATGGGCGGCCGGCCAAATGTCACTGAGCGAACTATAGACGACGATAATGCACCAAGTTTTTCCGACGACAAATGTGTTATGTGTTATTTTCATGGATTTATGTTTTGCAATGTCCCTTTCTTTATTTTTTTGTGTATGTTTGGTTTGGGGAATACAACTGGGGACGAAAGGGGGAAATCGAGATATGGGCTATACATACTTATCTATTGATCTTTGATGCCTTTGTTATTTTCCTTTTCTGTGCAGGATGATATTGAAAAAAAAAATTGTGTTTTCGTGTATAGTACAGAGGATCATGTTGACTGCTGTCCATTCGGCAGTCAACAACCGCGGGATTGTCGAAATATTGCGCGATGCAATGATATACCAATCATGGATGAAATGTACATACATTATGCGGGTTGGTTATGCTCTTTTTTGTTTTCCGAGATAGATATTCCAAGTGTAGCAGTACCTAAGTGGGCGACATTAAATCTTGAATCCAGTTCACTTTCATAATGGTAGCATTTTCATGGCGACACCATCAATATCTCTCTTAACGCCCTATCGTAGTATCTAATTCCAATACCTATGCAAAAACACGTACCCTTTCGTTTCATGGCTCTTGCAATGAAAAACAACGGAGGAATAATAGGAGAAAAACATGCTGTGCTCAAAACAACAAGTAGCCCGAGACAATAACGCGATGCTGCCCTAACAATAACAATAACGATAAAAAAAAACGATATTTTTTTTTCTCTCTCTTTCCTTTTTTTCTTTTCATATTGTAATTACCCTATCCATTTATTCGTTTCATTACGATTCCTTTCTCTTTTCTATCTTATATACTGTGGCCAATGACGCTACCCCCCGGCCTCTTGAAGGGATGGGCCTCCGTGTTGAGCACCCACTCGTCCAGGCTGATCACGCTCGGCTCCGAGAACAGCAAGTAGTAGTACTTGAGCGTCTCGGCGAGCCAGAAGCTCTCCATCTCGTCCTTGAGACCCGGCTCCTCGCTGTTGACGTCGTCGATGGCGCTGTTGGCTATCTCGGTGCGCGTGGCGCGGATGGTGGCCTCAAACATCTTCCAGCCCTTTTCCATCCACGTGGGGTCGCCGGTGATGCGGTACATGTACCATACCGATTCAATAGCTTCGGGTCTAGTAAGTAGCCAAGGCGTTAGCAAAGGTCCTGTTCGTTTACAGAGTTCGTCCAAGCACTTAAATACTTGAACTGGGAAGAAAAAGAGGAAAAGGAGGTAGTCTTACCGGAGAATATATTGTCTTGATGTAATTTGAGTAACGCCAGGAGCAAAACCCCAGTCCTTAATCCTCGACTCTACAAACTCTTCATGCGACTGCGGCCGTTCGGGGACAATCACTTGCTGCTCGTCAAACTCCTTAGGAGGCAGCCTATTGGCTTCCAGAACCGAGTCAATGGGCGCGTTAGGGTCTCGTTGGCTACCAACCTCCGCCTTTACTGGCTTCTTCTGGTTATCATCGCCCTTGAGGCCAATCTTGTCCTTGAGTGACTGTGGGAGCTCTGAGCCAACGTCGAAGTCCTCATATGCCGGGGCTTTACCGTCTTTCGGCACTGGAACTGCCGCCCTTTTGCGGAGAGGTTTAGTAGGGGTAGCAGTAGAATCGCCGGATGAGGCAAAGTCCTTTGCACTCTGCTGCAGGGCGTCACCCGCAGTCTCCTTTTCTTTATCACCAGTCTTTCTGGGATCGCCGTCGCCTTGCTGAGGATTCCTGGGATCGCTGTCGGGTTTTTGCTGGATTTTCTTTCCTTGCTTCTTCTCAATCTCTGCTACCTTTTCTTTCCAATCCGCCATTTGCTGGTCTCTCCAATCCTTTGACGGGTCCAACTTCTCGTACCAGAGAGTCTGGTTGAATTCGCACTTCTCTAGGGTTGGGCAAGGTAGAACTTGAGAGCCTTCCGGCATGACGCCAGAGACAGTAGACTGATAGGCCCAAACGCAGCCATCAGTCAGTTGCTTGGCTATCTCGAGATCCTTCTCTCGGCCAAAGATCTTACCACCCAGACCATACATACCGCCAATAAAGCACGTCAAGTGTGTAACTTCAAACGTAGCGCTCAAGTCTTTAGAGGGGTTTCCATTCGTGCTGACCTTAGCCGGGAAGAGGATGTCCCAGTCGCCATCTACCATCGGTCTATAGAGGAGCCACTCATTGGTCGCCTCGATAGCTTCCTCGTACAGCTTCTGGTACTTGGATTCCAGTCCACCAAGCAGGAGATACTCCTTCGGGAAGTACTCGTACGCCGAATCCTGGCCACCTCCCATGTGATATTGCTCGAATCCATATCCACCACTTACTATGCCTTGCGAAACGCAATCCCACTTGGATGTAGAACCATCTGCTCCAAAGGGTGGCATTCCTCGAGGCTTTGTCTTCACAGGTGGCACTTGGTTGGACTTCTCCAAAGGCTCTTCGCTTGGTGGGGCATCTCGGCGGCGGAGAGAGTCAGACGGGCGAGTCTCCGTATTATCATCCTCACGGGGGCCCTGTTTGGCATAATCCGGGTTCTCAGTGCTGATTTTGCCGACTGATGACTTTGCTCCAGAAGCCTCGGTGGATTTTTTATCGTCTTTCGGGTCCTCTGATCCAATCTGGTCAACAACAAACTTGCTCGGCGCTTCAGCAGGCATCTGCTTAACTGGTGGCTCCTCGCTTCCCATCTTGGCGACAACGAATTTCTTTGATTCCGCATCAGTCGTGCCAGCGGGTGCTTGCTTGTCTCTTGGATCCTCAGAGGTAAATTTTCCAACCACGAAGCCATTTGGCTTTCCGGCGGGCTTCTCCGTAGACTTATCCATGGCCTTTGCTCTCGCTTCATCAGCAGCTTGCAATTTGGCAAGTGCGTCATCAGCACCGAATTTTCCAACGATAAACTCATTTTCCTCCGCAGCCTGGGTCTTTTGGGTGCTTCTTTCTCCAGTCGCTGGCTTTGACTCAGTTTGGCCAGGAACATAGCCAACTGGCGCTTTGGAGACATCTTCACTCATTTGCTTCTGCGCCGCCTTGCTAAGTTGATCGCGGATGGCCGTTGCAGTGTGATTGCAACCAGAGGCATCGAGATTCTCGGGGAACAGGCCAGGAATGGCAGTTCCTCTCGATTGTAGGTCAATCAGGGCGTCGGTAATGCGATCCACGGCGTCGTAGTACTTCATTTCGCTGGTAAGCTGCGCTAGGCGTGTAAACTCCATGGACAGGGTTCCAAGCTCCGCAATGCCAACGGAACCAGCGCGGTGAGGCTGAGAAGCATATTCTGGTTGCCACTGGTAGTACAGAATTGGCATTCGGTTGGGTGTATCGAATATTCCCATCAGGATCTCAGCAAGCTCAACGGCCTTGGTAAGAAGCCAGGGGTAACCACCATCATGGCCACCACTGACATCGAAGGCGCCTAGCAGGCCACCTAGATATCGAATGGTAGTTTCGAACACAGGAATGTTGTGGCGAGGCGTGGTTGTGAAATCAATCTTTTGAACCGCCTTGGCTGCTTCGTCGAACTCTTCCTTGAGACCTGCAATCCAGAGGGTATCCAGAGAATCGACCAAGGTGGCAGCCCAGCCGCAAAAGGGATCGCGATACTTGGAAGAGACGGGCGAAAGCTCATCGTGCATCCACGCAAACTTCTTGTAGCCCGACCATGCTCGCGCAATCTCTTTTTGAACCCGCTCCTGTCTATTGGCTCGTCTGGATTTGGCCTCTGGCGATTCGACGCCAAACTCGTGCTGAACCCGGGGTACTTTGAGCGGCTTCCCCGTGGGGAGGCTGATGATGGATTCGGGAGGTAGTGGGAAGTGCTCCTCGACGGGGTGCCAGTGAACTCGAGTGTCCACCGGGGTTCCTGGAGGGGTCTTGGGCGGGTTCTTCTGGTGAATGCCGTTTATCTCTTCGTCGTCATCATCGGATGTGTTGGCATTGGAGGCAGAATCCTTGCCATTGGTCGGTGGTATCGAGTAGTCGAGGTCCTTAAGCTTGGGAAGTTTGACGCCGGGCTCTTCATCGTCGTCCAGCTTGCTCTGCTTCGGCTGGCTGGCAACATTTTCCGGCGCCGGCTTGGATTCGGGCTTCTTTGGCTCGGGCTTGGATTCGGGCTTTGGCTTGGATTTAGAAGAGTCAGGTTCGGCCTCAGTCTTGGCCTTGGACTCTGGGTCGGTATCGAGCTTCGGGGCAGGCTTCGGCCGGCTCTCTGGCGCTACTGCTGGCGGTGCAGCGGGCGAATTCGAAGAGGGAGGATATTTGAGGCTGGCATAGCGCGAAGGGTCGTCCCACGCATTCTGCGAGACTCTGTAGAGCAGGAAAAGCACAACCGCCGCACAGATGGTAAACAGCCTATACCTGCGTCGTGCCATCGCGGTGGTTGTAGGCGGAGCACTCCCAGCGCCGCAACGAGACGATCACTGCCCCCTTTGTTAAAGGGATGTCGTCGGGCGAATCAACGCCCCGAGTCGCAGAGCAGCGCAGCGAGCACCAGAGGTCGAGTCTCCAGCCCGGACGTGGAATTGGCGAAGATGGAAGCAGAAAAGCAAAACCAGGGCCAAGGAAACGCCTCCGAGTCGTTCCAGCAGCCACTACGCGCACATGAGCAGCGATCCAAAGCTAAGGGGGGAAACGCCACACAGGACAGGCAACGAGAAAAAAAAAACAGGCGGGCAGATACGAGAGCAAACCGCATCCCAGCAGAGAGCTGCAGGGACCTTTTTTGCCCTTACGGCGGTTTGGCAGCATCGTGCTCCGAACTAGTGACATTAAGCCGTGGTGGATTGTCTTGGCATTTCTCGCAAAGCAACAACTGGAGGCATCTCGACCAGACCGGAGCTGAAGCAGGTACATCCACAGGTACCTCTGTGGTGCCTGTGCAGTGCCTGTGCTAGGGATGGGGTACCCGGCATAACCTTGAGGAGGAAGTCCGGCACGCGCCGAGCGAATTGAAAAAGCATAAGCACTTGGGCGTACCGTACACAAGCCAAGTTGTTATCTAGCAGTTGGATACCTACCTACTAATACTACCTAGTATACACTATAAAAGCCACCAACCAAATAGCAGACAAGAACAAGGCTAAGAGAACTTTGAAGATCAAAAACTATGAGCAAAAAATTATAACTATAGTACCTAGTACTGCAAGTTCAATAATACTGCTAAAGTACTATTGCTGTACAGCCACGGAAGACTGCCGAGACTCGGACCAATTCATACAATCTCAGGATGGAACCGCTGAAACGGCTCTGGTGAAGCGCCCGCCGCACCTCTCCAAATCCCCAATATAGAAGCCAATCATACAGTCTACAGTACCTTACATACTTGGGTACGTACCCGTAGGATTGGATATCCATACTACAATATGCCCCTACACTACACGCCATGGCCATTTCCATCTCCCCCGATTGACATGAGCCAACAGCCAGCCCCATACGCTGCGAGCGCACTCAAGAACAAGTCCCGGATGCCGCCTTGGAAAATCCAATACTGCTGCTAGCATACTAGGAACCTATGTAGTTCGATATGCCCGTTATAGGAAGGTCCAGCAACCACCATCGTTTTTTTAGCCGTCAGCTCACGTGTCCTTTGTCCCTTCACAGTGGTTTGGAATCCAGCAGGCCTCCAGTGCACCACCAGCTGCCTTGGGTGTGGTATCCATTCGTCTGCCAGGGTGTCCCATTGATCTAGAGACCGAGACAAGCTCGAGTCGCATTTGAAGATGACTGGGGCTCCTGGTCAGAACAGCATCTCCAAAGCTGATACCGAAACCACCACAACGGGGCATACAAACACAAACCCCCATGTTTGCCTCTTCAGACAACAGGAGGCCCCCCGCTTGTCTCGAGTTCTCGCAACTAGTAGTACAGAATAATTCGGTGCTATTGGAAGCCAATCAGTTCATCCTCCCCCGCCTTATAAACCCTTCCCGCGGTCTCGACCGCGTCTTTAGCCTGGGGTTAAATTCACCAGCGGCCAACAGCCCGGAGAGAGGTCTCCGTACAATAACCTTAAACTAGAAGCGCAGTGTACCTTTTTTTTGCTTTTCTTTTTCTTTATCCATCGGTTTAGGCATTTTCTTCTTTTTTTCTTGTTTTTGTGACATGTGGCATAAAATATAAGTAATAGCGTTTCATTGGTCGCCAGCAACCGCAAAAGAAAGATACTAGACTAATAGCCAACGCCGTTCTCTCTCTCTCTTCTCCAAATCCACTCTAAACCATCACGCCGGGGCGCTGCCCCAACCCAAGTTTCTTTTTTTTTTTTCCAAAAACCTAAGCCCATCAAACGCTATGCGCAGCCTTAATATACAACCAAGATATCCTTTGATTTGCACAAAGGATGTGGAAGAAACGGGGAATAACAAAAAAGAAGCCAGAAAACAAAAGAAAAAAATATTGCATCTCCCACTGACATCTCCCACTGACATCTCCCATTAACACTCCCGCTTATATCTGCATGTGTCGTTCAAATCATCTTATGCGTTTCTGGGCTTAATCTTCTTATACAAGACGGTATCGTAAAAGTTGTAGTTGGAATCCAATTCGCAAAACGGATGCTGTGAAAGAAGTACGTCGGCTGTTGGCCGATCAAATGGGTTCCTACATTACCAACGTTAGCACAAGCTGTTCTCCCTTGATAGAAGTTTCTCCCAACGTACACTTGGAAGCAATCCATCATAAACGCCACCGCGAGGTGCCCTATGGTTTCTTGGATATCTTCAGGGATCGGGGGCGTCTCCCCGTTTGCAATCTTGTAAATGGCTCCAACAGCCTCCTCCTTGCTCCATGGTCGTCGTCCAGCAAACATCTCCAACACCACGCATCCCAAGCTCCAAATGTCTACCTTGGCACTGTATCCTTCGTTCTGTGACCGAATAACCTCAGGCGCCATCCAGAATACAGATCCCTGCATGTTGTTCGACTTGTCATTGCCGTAAATGTTATCCGTCTTTTTGGAAATTCCGAAATCACTAATCTTGCAAGTTCCATCTATGTCAAGCAAAATGTTGTCTGCCTTCAAGTCTCGGTGCAAGATACCCTCTCGGTGCAGATAAGCCAGTCCAGACAGCGTCTGACGAGTAAGGGACGATACGACTGGTTCTTCGAATTTGCCGTGCTTGCGCAGGCATGAACCAATGCTACCACCAGGAATGTACTCTAGGAAGATGCTTATGCTGGCTTCTTTCCTCTCGCATCCCAAGTACTGTACGATATTGACATGGTCTAGATGCTGCATGGTGTCGATTTCGCGATCTAGAGCGGCCACGAGCTCCTTCATCTTATTCTTATCTCCAGCCGCGGCTTTAGGATTGACTTCCACCTCCTTGACGGCTAAGAATTCGCCCGTCGTGGCATTCATACCCAGGTACACGCGTCCATAAGTACCTTTGCCAATCAGCTCGCCCTTGAACCACCTAAATGTGGTTTGGCGCTTCGGCAGGGTGTCCTGCGGAACCTGTGGGAATATCATGCTGCCACGTTGATCTGGGCGAATCTGTACAATCTTTGCGTTGAACATTTTGGTGCTCTTGCGACGCATGATTCCGCTGGTAGGAACATTGCCCGAGTTGTGCGGCGCATGCGTGAACCGCTTGTTAGCCTCGTGAGCGCCCCGAGCAACTTCACGGATAGACTTCATTCGGCCCAACCCGCCAGAACGCCTCATGCTCCTTTGTGCCACAGTTGGTATAGATGGACGGCGCTCCAGAGCCTTCAGTGTGGACTCGTCAGAGCCGAGAGTATCACCATCATAGACGGATTGACTAGAAGATGCAATGCCAGCGGGAGAGGGGTTAATGTTATCTTGATACATCGCGGGGGCCGGTATTGGAGGAGGCACACTCTGCTGCGGCGATTCTTCGACTTCAGGAATCGGTGAAGTCGCCACCAATGTCGAGACGCTATCCTCTAGCACGGGCTCATCAAGATTGTAGTTGGGGAAGAAGTCGTCGAGGTTGTTGAGCAAATCGTCAGTGGCAGGTCGATTTGCCCACACATCCTTCTCGATAAAGGACTTCCGACGACCAAGTTTGCTCTCCTTATCAGACTCCCATTGTTCGGAACCAGGGGTTCCAGGAGTTCGGCGTGATCCGTTTCCAGTCCTGTACCAGTCATCGGCGTTATCGCCTATCGATTGGGGGGAAGTGAAGGAGACTGATAGCGTCTTGCTCTTTGGCCGGGAAGTATTCACAGTCAAGCTAGGTTTCTGTGCGTGCCCAGGCCCGCTGCCTTCTCCACCACTCGGTCCTTTGCCTTTACCCCTACCAGCAAGTGGAATGGCAAACAGCCCGTCATCGGAATCGTCATCGCTATCGTCTCCCGGCGGCGGACGACCTTGCGATGACGAGGACATTGGAGTAAGAGATGGCTGAGTGAATTGAACATCGGTATCTGTAAAGTCCAGGTCTGGACCAGGAGACTTTGGGTTGGTAGGCTGAGGAGGGGATGGCGGATTGGCCACCGGCGGCTGCCGGGCTGTACTGGGGCTGAGCTCTGCCGGCGACGGCGGGCGTTGCCCTATCATCTTCATCTTAGTAACTGCTTCATCCTCTATCATTGTCATCGCCAAAGGGGGCGAAGGGGCAGGTGAATAGTCTGGCACAACAAAAGACATGTTTCTAGGGCTCCAAGTAAGAACCTTGGGAGAGACTGAGCCAGGACTAGATCTATCCGAGCTGGGTTCGCGAAAATTAACAGTAGACATAGCTTTCTTACCTATCGGCAGCTGCTGTGAGCTGTTGCCAGCTACGACTGGCTGTGACGCAGCTCTGTTCGGAGATACTCCTCGGGGCCCGTTGGCCGTCGACTGTCCAATGGCTGACAGGTTTCTACCCATGCCAACAAGTGCTGCGCCAATAAACCCGCCTTTAGTTGCAGCAGGCATGCTGAACATGCCCTTTTTGCTATTCTCCGATACCTCAGGCTCAGTGGCAGCGGAAGGCAGAGGCGGCCGTGGCGCCGTGTGTCCTTCAGCAAGGCCGGTCATATTCCGCCCCGTTTTCTTGCTAAGTGAATTGGCTTTGATCAGTGTGGCAGAAGGATCGCTTGGTGGCGCCGGCGGCCGTCTTTGAGGGAAGAGCTGATCAGGTTTCCTGTCTTCGTACGGCGAGTTTCGAGGCTGGTCAAAATCAACATTCCTTCCCACGATACCAAAACCTACAATTGATTCTGGTGGCATGGTCGGGCTCTCTTTCTTGTTAGCTTGCTTCTTCTTTGCAAGGTACTCGCGTTGCTTTCGTTCTAATTCGGCTCTATACTCGCTCGCCTCCTGAGCTAGGGTCTGCTCGGCCGAGACCTTCTCATCTGACTTCTCCCCTATTAACGTATTGGATCGGGACGTAGGCGGGGACGAGCTAGATCTCTGGCGCCCACTGAGGCGCGCATACGCCTCTTCGTCTATTCCCGCTGGGTTGCCATATGGTGACAACAAAGTCGGCACTTCACTGCTCAAGCCCGGGGTTAGCGCACTATGTGAAGAGACGAAAAATTTCAATGTCCCCGTAGAGTCGGCCTTCACGCGCTTATTCGATAGCAGTTTTTGGTCATCCAGAGGTTCTGTATGTTCAAATTGGCCCAGTTCAGTTGCGAATATGGAAGAATTCTCAGTGTCGGGCAGGCCAAGACTAAGACAGATTGCTCGGCGAAGGTCCGCAGCCGTCTCGGCATCGGTGATGTCGCACATTCGGTAGTTCCACAGGTCCATTGTGGCCAAAACATAGATTCTGCCTTGAGTGGTGCCACTATGTTTTGGCCTATATTGCGAGGTGATGCTAGATGTATCCAGATGAGCGTCGCTGCTAACATCGGAGCCGTGCATCCCTAGTGATAGAGGCTTATGAAGGGCTGCCGGTGACGTGGGAGAGTCAAGATCATCAGGTGATGGGAAAGCGCCGTCTACTTGCTGGCGCTTCTTCCTAGATAGAAAGCTGAGGAAAGTCTTCGAGTCCTTGGCAGATGATGGAGATTCGGCTGGCTTGGAGTAGCCTTCTTGATTTCTTGATACGGACATCAGTTCTGCCAAGCTCATACCTCGGGTCAGCAGTCCAGCTGCCTCAGGTGGAAGCCCAGATCCATATATCGCAGCATTGGATGCGGCAGAATCGGTGCTGTTTCTAGAGCGATGCGTAAATTTGGACGAACTTGGCGAAGAAGAAAGAATCGGAGTGGTGACTGAGTGAGAAAGGGTAGGCGGGGGAGCTGGGCTACCGCCTGGGGTCGAGCAAAGAGTTCCCTGCTCGGCAGTGGGACTCTGGCGTCCAAGATCAAGGTTCTTTAACATTCCTCTGTGATTCGTGTCGGCTCCATTGGCTGTCTGTATTGCCGGTGGCCTAGTCTGCGAAAATCGCCTGGCTGCCAACGTGGAACTGAGCGGCACAATTGGGGACTCAGCAAAGTCTGTAGTATCTGAGCTCGCAGTAGGATGGCCAGATGCGGAATGGTTGGTAGATATAGACTCCTTTCGGTTGTGCGCAGGAACTGCTTTGGAAGCCTCAACTGGTCGTCCAGTGACGATGCTCCTGATTAATCTCCGCATACGTTTACCCTCTTCTCTCTCCTTCGGCTGGTCCCATCCCATTCCGCTGTTCGCGCACTCTTGCGCCAGTCGAGGATACACCCGCTGGTGCATCATACCAAAGTTTCCACGGCCGCCATGGGCACTACCCAGCTCTAGGAACTGTGCGCCATACAAGTTCAAAGATCTGAAAGTCTCCTGCCAGTCCTTGGAAAACTGGTTCTGTGCCAGCCACTGTAAGACTCTGTCCAGTGGCCACTGCGCCGCTATCTCTGGTGGGATTGTGCTTGGCGCAGTGGCGGTGGTGGGCGCATTGGGTGCGTTTGAAAGCCCCTTGGCGTGAGCTGCCCCCGTATACACCTGCTGTTGCCTTTCATCCATAGGTGTTGTGGTGGTCTCCGTCCCGCTCTGCGGTGTTCCCCCGTACTGCCACGTATTCTGCGTTTCCTCCCGACCAAATCCCGGTATTCCCACGCCCTCTCCATACGTCTCCCCCGTCGGTATATACGTTGCACCCATTCCGTTCCCAACATCATTTGGGCGTGGAGGGGGGGGTATAGCCATGGCGTGTCCCGCTTGCATCGCATTGTAAAACTTGGTGGGATTATACGGCTGGTGCTGGCTGGTGGCTGGCGGTGGCGGAGGTATGCTATAGCCAGGGCGTCCATCGTACAGGCGGCCAAAGTTTCCATGCCAGTTTTGGGATTGCATCATGCTACTTCCAGGAGGGGGGCCAGGCGGTGGTGGGATCATGACGCCTTGGGCCGACCCAGGCGCGGCAGGGTATCTCATCGGCGGGGGAGGCGGCAGGCTCGTCATGTTCATCTGAGGCCCAACCATAGGAGGCGACAAGGTCGGAGGGGGAGGAGGGGGAGGCAGCTGGTAAGGCCTCGTGGGATCGTTGCCCGAGACATGCCTTTGACCACCCTGATACATAGTCAACAGTAGGGGCGCGAGAGGGATGCCCGCTTCGAAGAAAGAGATGGCTCGAGGGAGACGATCGCGGCCGTCGCGGGCCGCGGTCGATGTTCAACGGTCGACGCTAACCAGCGGATGTTTGTATATCGCCGAATATCGAGGATGAGGGTCGCTGTGCTGTGATCAAAGATTTCTCCCACGCTACTCCGTAGAGCTGGTGACGATGGTTCTTATCGGACCCGACGACTGTGGCGCTACGCCGGGAAGCTATTCTTCGTGGATATGGTTCTCGCTTGCCCGCACGCTCGCTCGCTTGCTCGCTAGTGTGTGCCTGTCTCTCTGCCTGTCGCTGCGTCTGCATCTAGCAGAATGTTCGATTCAAGCGCCTACAGTCCGACGACTGGCGCTGGCAGTCGCTCCAGAAATCGAGCGCGGTACGTCAGTTAGAAAGGTTTTGGCGGGAGATGAGCCGATGATGGAACTTGAATGGAGGTCCGCCTAGAAGCTCCAAAAAAGATGGCCGGTGGGCCAGCACAGCCAGCGGCGCATGGGGGCTGGCCTGCGATTCAACGGCTCTGGGCTTAGCGGCTGGGGCTTAGCGGGTCGGCCTTCAGTTCTAGCAGCCTGCAGGTCGCCGTTTTGCTGCTCGAGAGCGCGCCGCCGCCCACCAAAGCTGTCCCCAAAGTGCTGGTGCCAGCAGCCTCGCAGAAATTGATAGCGGACTAGTACCTGTTTTAGAGGCTTCTTTCAGCGGGTGCACCGCTAGCACAAACTCGTAGCGCAGGGGCCCCTCCTTAGCTCCTGCAGCCCCTGCAGCCCCTGCAATGCTGCCAGCCCAGGCCAATGAGAGGCGCCGGCGCGAAGCATATTGACGAGAATCATTTCATCTGCGGACAGAAGCCGTGATCCATCGCACCTAGTCGATCACCGCACATGCGGCCGCTGCTTGGGCGCCGGAGCCAAGGCCACCCGTTGGAATCAGCAAACAACAACAATGAGAGCGTTTATTACATCCATGCCACAAATGCGATGGGTCACCACATTCGAATTGGCTTTGGAACAAAGGCCAGCGGCGCCATCTGGAGCTGCGAAAAATGGCTATTCGGGTTGTTTTATTGTCATCTCCACTGGCCGTTTCGACGATCACCGAGCTCATCTATTCGAGGACAGACAGCCGTCCAATCTGCCGATACAGAGCACAAACTAATTACTGCAAGGACCACGCGGTACGAGGCAGCGCGGCTTCACATGTGCCGGAACCGAAGTTCTCGTATCTCCATTCACTAGACCCAGGCGGCCTCTCCGAGCAAAGAAAAACGCGACGATGAAGCTCCGTCCTATTTTGGCAGCATTTTCTCTCAACTCCATTGCTTACAGTCCGGACCTTACGAGCGAAAAGATGGAAGCAAAAGCCCTTGGTTCTTCAATGATGTCATATTGGCTCTCTTTTTCTTATTTCGGACAGCTAAATATATGCGCAGAGCAGCAAGCAGGGGTTTTCTCTCGTGCCGACGACGATGCGGTCCAACATCAGCACTACTCTTCGGCTCCGATAAACGCTATTCCCACTAGCAGTATCTTTAAATGTCATCTGATTCCAGCTTTCCATCTGACTGGTAGGCCACGAACGCACGAGTCAATTAATCCATGCGTGCTTCTCCAGAGGCTGACTGTCCCCATCCTGGCAGCCTTGACCCGTTGGTGTTGTGCATATTCTGGCCCCTCCTCTCCTAGGACTAACAAGCCTTAGACAAAGTGCATATCATAGCGAATAACGGCATTGGCATTGGTTTCAGAACAGAAGAAGCTGACTAACAAGCTGTGTGTATCCGGTAGGGGGGCCTTTTGCTTTCTCGTACAAGTATAATTATTGCCAGACATGGTGGAGCTCTCTGACAAGGACTACGTGAGATTGGCCGTTAAATTCAACTGCTGTGGTGAAATACCGTGAACCCTGGCAGATGATTCCAGTAAATAGTCCAAACGTGTAAGCTTCGGCTGAATGCAAGGAACCATCTTATTGGTGCATATATGTGTAGTGAATAACAAAAAGATTTCCCAAATTAATTTTCAAGCGTTTCTGTAATGGGTCATAGAGCCGTGAGCGCCAGCAGACTCTTCACACGGCCGGCAAAATATGGCTACATGTACTTCAGCAACATGTTCTAGCAAAGAATTTTAGATGATTATCATTTTGAGCCAATCTCTTACGCAAACTCTCGACAGCCAATCTACTAGTAATAGGTACATATCAAGTGTAGATCGCAGGATAAGAATACAGCATCACAAGTGACTGAAATTTGGCAGCTCAAGGGTAATACAAACCGGCGTTACAAATAGAAATATTTCCTCTTTGTCAGGGGACTAATAATTGTCAAAAGAAGTCTCATTTGATATGGAAACTGTTGATAAAAAAGCATTGTTGCCTCCAATAGTTAACTGTCCTATCATATAGAAATCATGCCACTCAAGGACTACACTATTGTTCAAAAACACCGTAGGAAGCAAGCAATACATGAGTACTGAAACAGATCCCAAATATCAATCTGTAGTATTCTGACTTAGAAATATTCGTAAATCTCTTTGCATCGAGTCGTCAACCGCGCCCGCGTCAGTCGGCTTCAGGTTATCTCACGGATGGGAAAATTAGATTCAGCTCAGTATCTGTAGTCACAAACCAAAAATATTGCAAAAAGCTGCCTTTTTTTTTCAAGGGAGACTTACAAAGCGAACTGAGATACAAAGGCGATGAGGAAATGTTTAGTCAAAGATTCGGGTTAAAATATAATAGATGCCACAGGCAAACAAGAGTCAGTGCTTTCCTATCCAGAAACGCAGACTTCAACATTATTGGCGTTACCTTGATAAATCTCCTCCTTATTTCAGAAGCTAGCGAGTTTACCACCTAAGACAACGCTACTACAAAGCCATCTTCACAATACGGCAGCCGTTTTTGAACGAGCAAGCGATGCGGGCTTTCCGTCAACATGAGCAGTGTTCAGCGTCCAGGTAACCAGCAAAAGGCTATGTAAAATTAGTACAACCAGAGGCATTTGCACCACAAAAATCTTCAAATCTCAACAGCAAAAATGGTGGAGTCATCGAACAAGGCCAGCGCACGCCCCTCTAGTTGACTCAGCGCTCAATCCAGTGCAGAACACTGTGTATATACATCTGTCGATGGTCATGGAGACAACTCTAACAACCCAACAAATAACCCTCAGTTTATCGGCAAGCATAATATCCAACATCATCTTATCAATTCCACAAAGTCAAATGATTCAACGTCATGGACGATTTCGAGGGCCCGTTTCTTTCCTGGAGAACATTGACGAGAGACGAGAGATTCTTAAGCGAGCTGTTTGCCACTGAAATGAGGACAAGGCTGGACCAATCTCAGAGACCTCTTTACCTAATAAATACGGATGATATCGACGAGGTTGCGACCGAAGCGTTTTTTTCCCCCAGAGGAGAACAAAGGAAAAACCATCTCTCCAGCCGGAGACTAAGTCGTGTATTCAGCAGTTGGCTGAGATCTTCCGCCAAAAGACGGGGTCTGACGTACCCCAGACTGTGGGGGATTTTGCAAGAATGCACATGACTACGTCTAAGTAGATGAATACGATGCTTTCGTTCTTTGAAAAGGAGGGCCATTGTGCGAATATTGATGCACTGAGGAAGTAGTACCCGCAGCTGGCAGATCTAATAATACGACTAGAAAATATCTCCCAGTCAATACATCAATGAATAAGTAACTTTTGAGCATTAATTTCGTATGCTATCTATACATATCTAGTTTATTTGTACTACAAACAGAAAGCATTAAGCGAGGCGACTTGTCACTTATGAGACATCGTGCGCATGCATGTAGCAGCCTCACCTCTAAATCCACTCTCAGTCTCATATGCTTCTATCGTGTTCTACCAGATCCTATTCATCGTTAACTCTCGTCCATCTAAAGATGCACTCCGCAGTCGCAGATTTGCTATTATTTATCAATACATGTTTTGGTGTTATTTTTTGAGAGTTTCGCCGACATACATCCATACAGTTATATACATATTCGTACTACTTTTTCAGCTACCACACCTTGATATTAATTTTCAATATTCAGGGAATGGAACGCCACTTATAAGATAATCTCATGTCACCTTGTTCTTCTTCCATTGAGATGTTATGCACAGTATCTGATGCCTTTCACGCCATTAACCTTATATCAAAAACGAGCACCAATTTCCACTAAAGGATGATATTAAACTCTCTCTAAAAAAGTCTTTGATAAAGGGGGGTTAATGCTTTATAGACATCGTAACTCACATCATAACTCGAGATTGACACCAAATGTAATATGATTGGAAGTCTAGTGGTGAGACAAGAGCATATAGGTAGATTGGGCAACGCCAGAGGATAACTGCAACGTAGAGTTACATGGGCCAGCTATCAAACGCATATAGAGAAAGCTCCAGGCAATATTAGGCAGTTATAGTCACGTAATGCAATTGATCATCCCCACAAAGTACCGTATCGTATCTGAGGATTCCCGTCACCAACGTTGTGAACTAATGCAGGGAGCTGGGTCACACGGGCTCCGACAGAGGCATATGAGTTTGTGGATACGGAGACAGAAAAAAAACGTTATTAACGCAGGAGTTTGCATGTACAGAGTACAGCACAGGTATATAGTATTTCGCTATCGATGCGTAATTCGTGTATCTGGAGAGTGAGATGCTCTCATCATGTAGTGTCCAGAAACGGCCCAGTATCTCTTTACACAAAAAGAAACGGGGAAAAAAAAAAATTCAAAGTGGCTGTGCGATCAACCGAGTTGTAGGAATGCCTCTTCCTGACCCTAGTGCCCTTGCTGATCTTGCAGCAGCCATGCCAATGCAACACGCTCAAAAGGCATAAAGAGCAAGAACGCCAAGTAAATCCTTCCATCGTATATTCCATAATTTGTACACCATCATGTTATCCCATTAAAACAAGTGCCACGCCACGTTGCAGACGCCTAAACCATACAATTGTTGGAAAATAAGAGCTGGAGAAGAAGAAGAAGAAGAAGAAGAAGAAAGCTAATAAAACAAGCCGTATGCCATTTCAAGTTTTGTGAGTCCTATTGGCGACAAAGGTGCCAACAGGGCTCCATGCAGCGCCTCGGCCTTTTCTCATCCGTTTTCATCCGGAAGTGTCCTGATGCTGGGTTCCCTGAGCCCTCAGCGGCATTTATGGGGCAACCAGAGTAGCGGTGGAGCGGTGAAGGCAGCTGACAATGACTTTACCGCCAATGAAGTCTTCTCATTCGGCATATCGAGGTTGTTCGAGCGCCATATCGGGTATTAGTGTATGTAACTGCATCTTCCTTGGCGGCATCTTCGAGGTGGTCTTTTCTACTATTCCCATATCAAGGCAGCATTTCCAAAGATTAGTCGGCGTATGCACCCCTGTCGCCATACGCATCAAACCGAAGTCAGTGAAAACCACTAAAAGGGCAAGCAAAAAAAAGTCTCAGTCAACTATTGGCCCGTCGGTCTCACGGGCTTACGAGCGTATACAACGTAGCTATTGGCCGTTAGTAAGCTTCTCCTCAAGCCTGAAGTCATGCATGCATTAGACGATTTCGCCAACAAGTGTACTTACTAAGGCCAGTAGGCATGGACGCCCAGATCTCGCAATTCCTTTCGCAGCATGGCGGAAATTACCAAAATCTCCTCTTCTGTCCAACCCAGGCTCTTTTGGAATAACCGCATGGTCATGCCCTCTAAATGATTCATCAAGTTGTGTTGTTCCCACGCTCCAATGAGCTTCAAGCGTTGGTCCTTAGCCCAGGGCGTACAGGGCATCTTGTACACCTCTTCCGTTACGCATTCGAATCCGCGTTCTTCAAACCACTGTTTAAATCGGGTCGGATCATCCACTGGAGTGCCAAATCTTTCGCATGCCGTCTTCGTGAGATTCGCCCAGTTCCGAAACGTACTCTCATCAGATAATGTGCCGTCGTCGCAATGTAACAATCCGGTATAGCATTGAAATTCAATCCATCCACCAGGTTTTAGATGCCTGTTGAACATTAGTTACATTGTCAGTTCTTGGAGATGAAAATGAGAATGCTCAGGCGAGGCCTTAGTTGAGGAGCGCGCTGTACCTGTATGCTTGGTCAATTAACCTGGGAAAATTTCGTATTGATAAAATCAAATCACGAGAGAATATGAAGTCGGCGCTATCTGATTTCCACGTCCAGTTTTGTTCGATGTCGTCGAGCTCGAACTGGCAGTTTGGCGGTACCCTTTACAGATACATCAGTATTCTGATACTCTTCGTAGCTCCAATCTCATACGTACCATTGTGGTTGTGTTGGGGCTATATCAACGCCAACAACCTGAATAAGTCTACGTTAATGCCCAGCTTTCACATCAGGTCTCTTTGGATTAAAAATCTTACCTGTGCCCCGGGGTAATCATCGGCGACCTCAACGCACCATATACCTAATTGAACTAACATCAGCAAGTGACGAGATGACATCCATAGTTGCGAGTTGAATTACCTGTGCCGCATCCTAGATCCAGTATCCTCTGGGGGTTCTCGCCAATCGGTGATAGAAAGCGTCGCTGCTTCAATAGAGCGTAGTATTTGGTGTGGCACAAATCCATGCGATCCAACTCTTGGTCGTCCATTGGAAGTCCATACTCTGAAAGGAAGGGAAATGCGTTAGCGCAAGGTTTGGAGCTAGCGAGCAGCAAGTGACAACAAACTTGAAGCATGAGAACAATCTGGAGTCTACATACCTTCTTTGCCATAGGCAGCATACACACGCTGGCCTTCGCCCACAACACCATGAAGGATAGAAGAGGTAACAGAAGTCAGCGAAGACTGAAAGCTTCCGATATCGTTGCCCTGGTCCGGTTAGAAGTTGTCCCAGCATCAACACACTAAACTCATGAAAGCGCATTTGATAAGTCACTCACTTCGTCGAAGTCGTCCGGCGGCGACACCGCAGACTGTGCCGAGCGCATTGTGTTAGCAGTTGAGTTGAACAGCGTATCGTCCACAGGTGGCATGGCAGCAAACGGGCGACGCAGCCTTGTCGTACACACCTCATCGGGGGGGATCATTCCGGACGGTTCTGTCATTACAGCTAATGAAGGCCGTCTGTCGTCCATGCTACTCAAAGCCGAGAGGTAGCCCTCTGGCAAACTGGCGCTCCACCTCAGTAACTGGAATGAGAGGCTTCGACTTGGGCTGTGCACAGTAAGAGCCCTCCTCTCCTTTCGCTTGCCCCCTTTGATGGAAACCCCAGGTCCGTCGTGTTGCCGTCAGCCAGAGTTGCGTTTTGGCGGAAGTTGACAAATCGTGTGGGCGGCCCGATCGCGGGTTTCAGAGTGCTGTTGTGGTATCAAGCTGAGTTGTGGAGGGGGGAAGCGACAATGAAGAGCAAGGAGTATCTAGATGCAACAGCCCATGCGAGTCGACAGAGTGTGGCGTCTCTTAGTTTGGTTTTTAATTTGCTTTGATCCTCGTCGACAATTCGTGGGAGCTGCAGTGGGAGAGGCCAACGGTCCGTTGTGTTTCCGAACTTAAGGTTTCGCCCAGCCAGACGTCAATCTCAACAGGTTAGAGAGAGAGAGAACAGAAAACGCTAGCCGATCTGCCCGAGGAAGAAAAAGGTTCAAAAGCTGGCACCCTGAAACAGAGCGGACCGGAATCGCCGCCCAGCCTCTCTCTCCTCTCACAATTCAGTTGACAGGAGCACATGCGAGTACACGAAAGAGCGGCCGGGGACAGCGCTGGCTGAGCTGGGGCACGCTATTACAGCACAGAATACAGGTACTGTGCCAGGCGAGAGGAACCGTCGACTGGGGGCAATGGCTGGAGGGGATGAAAAGACAGTAAGATCCTCTTCTCGCCAACGATTATCACCCTAGTCGTGTCCACTTCGTCTAGGGCCCGAAGCGGTCGTGGCGGATTGTCTGAACGGCCGAGTCAGGCGTGAGTTATTAGCCGCTTTTTGCGCCCAGGAGAGAATGCAGAACCAACCAGCTACAGCAGGATATAGAAGAGAGGAGGAGCAGAGAAGGAAGAGGCGAGGCGAGGGCTGGCAGAAGAACTAACAACTCGGAGACGGCCCGGAGGGGAGGGGAGGGGAGATGCTGCGATGCCCAAGACACGGGCTCAGGTACGAATCGAGTACAGCATTAGGCACGCATCAGCCTCGAGCTCAGCACGGAAATAGGTACTGTAATGCCCTGCAAGAGCTGCTTAATTCACAATGCGAGGGTTCTCCGTACATGGATGGATGGAGGTGGCATCGCCGTCGTTGGCCTTGCCTCGATCAGTCTTACTACGCACACCTAGCGAGAACCACGCACTCAGCAAATGCATCAGCCCAAGCCTGCATCTGCAGGTTCTATCCTTGTACCTGTACGAAGGAGAAGCACCCGTGTCTTTTTCCTAACCTCGTACTCGCCGTAGCTGCGCCGTCTAGGCACTTGACTTTCCTGCATCGTGAGCTGCTGGGTCCCGCTGCCAGGTTGCATACGAGCGCTTGTTCCAGTAATGCGTCCGTAACGGCGCGCTGGAAGACAATGGAATCCGCCTCCACACCAGGCCAGATATGCGATATGCTTGTACCGCCACCTTGCCCAGGATAAACCGCCATTCTGGGGGGCTCCATGAAAGGAGAGGCCTGGCCTTGACAGCTTCAAGATTAAGGTGGCCCAGGCTTCGGCCGGCTGTCGATGTTTGACGCAGCTAACAATACGCCGTTTCGGCGTGCTAACTCGTTCCAGGCAGCCCTCGAAAGATGGCGAGTGAGCCATTAAGTGTGAAGTGCCGAGTACCACCTTGCCTCGGAATCGGAACTTCTGTACGCTGGTTCCTGGAACCTACGACCACTCCCTGGCTATTATGGCATGATTAAGTACAGGTACAAACTCTGAAAGTACCGACCGGTACTGCTACTAAGATAGCTCCCGTCTGATACCTACAATGCCGTTAGAATTGTATGGGTACAGTAGTGCGCAATAACAAAAAGCAGTGCCTTTACACGGGGGCCATTCCACTTCAACTCTTCTCTCTTGTACAAGCACCCGTCATTGTCCGCTGTGATACGGAATACAAGTAGTACCTACATGTTTCTCAGCGGCCAGCCACAGAGTTGCATGTCTCTCTCCTGCGGTAGGGCTAGCAGCGCGACGGGCTAGAACTTTCAGCTGCTGCCGTGACTGGCTGGGTAAAACGGCAGCGGCACGAGAAGCAGCCAACTGAGCGCTGCAGCACGCGGCCATCCAGGCCGTCAAGCCCATCATAGCGCTCTACCGCCCCGCCTCGGAGGCTAAACGCCTAGCGCTCTGTGGGGCTTCCCAGGTGCTAAAGCGCCCTGCACGGAGCAGCGTTGCGGGCAACTTTAGGTCCCGCGAAGAAAGCACTGGCCAGCTTTGGCCGACAACACAAACGATGCCCAGACCTAGAACAGGCATCAAACACATACAGTATGTCTCGACCTCAATGATCTCTCTTCAGCAGCCTGGGAATCAGCCGTCGCACGCTATTGAACCTCTCCAGGGCTCCAGAGCATGTCTATGCGCAGGCAGTATTACTACTAGGCAGTAGCAGTAAGCCGTACAAAGCTATCCCATGCCATGCACGGAGTATTCGCGGGATTACTGCTGCTCAGCAATGCAGAAACCTGACAAGTGGGCAGATCATCGTCCATGACCACAGGTTTCTGCAAGCGCCCTGCCTTCTAGTCAGTCTTTTCGTTAGAGCCTCGTTCGGCGCCTCCTTGGCTGGAGAGAAGGACTTGACCAGCGCGGAGTTGGGCGGGTCGAGCTTCAGTTCACAGACAGACAGCTCCTCCGCCTCGTTTGGTAGCACTTTGCCGTGCTTCGGCTTCTTGATAGGCCAGATACTCAGCCAGAGGGCGGTGTGCACGCCGGTGCGTTCAACCCGCTAAACCGTTGTTTATCCAAACCTTAGAGCCCAGCAGCTTTGATCCAGCCAATGCCCATGCTCTGATCGCCGCGGCTTAGCCTTACCAGTATCACCTTTGCGGCCGATGACCAAATTTGTGGTCGTCTGCCCGCAATGGAACGTCTTGGCCTCGATGGCGGCCTTTTCATTGGAGAGAATTACGCAAGCGTTGTTGGCCCTACGGAGTATTTGTATGGACAGTAGTGCTGCTACTTCGTATACTCGGCCTGCTATTCGCGCGAATGGGTGTGCATCACCTTTAGCCATGTGAAGAGCGCTCTGCAGGTTGGCACATGCAGCGCAGGCAGTCGAGGCTCCGATTCGGCCACGCACAAGTGCTACTTCTCACGGGCAGAGCCGGCAGTGTCTGAACGGAATACCACCATTGCTTCGCACTCCTTCTTGCACGGAGTTCACATCCATCCATGCTACGATGCAGGGAATGCTGGAGACGGCCCTACCCGCCTCTTACGCCTCGGCAGTCCGCTGACCCTGCCATTGTTGCATGTACTCTGGCTGCTCCTCGACCGAGGAAAATACCTCTGCTACAAGGGCAACGTAGAATCGACAAATCTTCGTTGCCAATAATGCCCACTGCCAAATCTGTGGTCCGTCGATGGCGCGACTCTTCCCACGTGGCCGTAAATTGCCGAGCCTCGTGCGGACATTTTCGTGTGGCATCTCCTGTTCTACAAACTACTTGTTCTTACTGATATCAGTAGTCATTCTCCGTTCACACCACGGCTTCATATACACCGAGTCACGGGGCCTCATATGCGCTGCGACGTGAGTGCCGTTGCATCCATTCTTTTAGCTCAGTCTACTGCCAGCAGCAATGGTGGCATTTGCTGCTTACACATGCGAAGGTTGTGGAAGAAATGCTTTGACGCCGAGTCTAGTTTCTTGGATGACATCTTCATGCGTACCGTACCATACAAGTGTGTCAAATGTCAAAAACCTTCCTGGATCCTTCCATGAGCAGGGATCAATCGACTAGGACAGCCCAGCGATAAGGTAGGGCCAGGCGCAACATTCACTCGATTCGGTGCCCCTGCACACTCTCCCTCATGCGGAGCTACAATGCTACACCAAGAACCTTGTGCGAGTACGGCCAGTGCCAAACATCAGCATTTTGAGAGACGACTTCGCAAGTCTTGGCATCCTCCAACCAGCAACCAGGGTTTGAATGCAAGATCCCGCCGGCAACAGGCCTTACCCGTACGAGTTTGCCAAGTTCCCCGAAAAGGCGCGAGAAGGCCTCCATAAAGCTGTTGTCGCTACGCTTTCAGCTAGTGTTGCCCTCTCGCTATTTGATGTGCGATATTGCGTTTTAACTACCATGTAGATTTGGCATGAGTAATTTCCCGGTCGTCTTTTTGGGGGGAGTTTGCTAATCCCGCAGATAAATAAACGGGTCAAACCCGTGTCTTTAACTACTGCCTCTTCTTTGTAACCTCTTTTCTCCTTTCTAGTGGCTTGCGTATACATTTTGAGAACCGAGAAGCGAGGCCCGAGCAGCGAAATGCATACAGTAGGGCACAGGCACCTTCAACCCGGGACGAACGGCTCATGACAATTTCCTAAAAGCCTAAAAGCCGCGTCTCTCGGGCACTGCAACGCCCGGAAGGGGCTTCAGGTTTTATCAGTGCTTAGGTTTATGTATGTAGGTTAAGATTGTCGCAAGTTCCCACTTCAAACGTCATGCTCGATGGCACCACATCAAGCAATTAGTACCTACTACTGCCCTCTCCAGGCAAGGGACCTTGACAGCCAATAGGATATTACAGGATGAGTCAAAACGCCAGCGTTACATGTACGCCACTGTCGCTTGAAACAGCCAAGGCAATGCTGCTGGTTGTTGAGTAATGGGCGAGAATCAAAAAAAGTAGTTGAGACAACCAAATGAATGCATGTATAGAGAGCATATAACGAAGAAAATAAGAGGGCAAACATGAGGAGAAATATGAGCACCACTCCAAAGCAAGTTAAATCACTACTCTTATGCACGTATTATCTGATTGTAGTTGCCGACCATTTTCTAAACGTCTATTCCGTTTTTATCCTCTTGAGTAAATAGACAACTTAAGAAACCCTTAGAGGATACAGCGTAACAGAGGAAGAAAAAAGATGCACCTATTAAACGCCCATTTTAAGTATATTTAATGCAGGATTCATTTATACCAACACAATAACGTACAAGTTGTGAAAAGGCCTCGTAGATATGTAAGTTTCTTCCTTTTTCATAGGTATTTACTGTTGTACATGGTGTATATTCATACACTTTTTGTCCTTTTCTTCTTTTTTGTTCCCGCCCGCTGCCATCAACTACCACAACCGCCATGGTCTATTCCCCCATTGCGTAAATCATGAGCATCATCATATCTTTCCCGTCAGCCAATCCCTCTCCTTGTTTCTGCCCGCGTTTCCATAGCCCGTCACAGGCAGATCGCGCTTCTTCAGCTCCTCCTCAATCACCTTCCAGCGTCCCACGGAGACCTCCTTGTCGATAGGACCAATCTTCCGGTCGTGCACGGTGACATTGGTCAGCTCGTTGAAGGCATTGCGCTTCTCGAGCACTTGGGCTAGTTTCAGTGGCTTGGGATCCTGGGCCGCGAGGGTTAGGATGTGCTTTATGGTGTTGGCGGCTGCGAGCTTGGCGTCTGGAATGAGGGTTCCGGTGAGCTGGTAGAGACGCTTGCGGAGCTATATAATCACATAGAGTTAGCCATAATCATTGACAGTGTCGTTGCCCAGACTCTCATGTATAGGGGATGTGAGTAATGCACCCTCTCATAGATATGATTGAGCCTTCCTCTCCGTATAAGAGTGACATACCGCAAATCTTAATGAGTTATCCAACGCAATGTTCTTCCATGAGGGGTCCCACGACTTGATCATTTCTTTTGCCTCTTCAACAGAAATTTTCTCTGTAGACTCAGCCTCTGGCAATTCGCTCGTCAGAGCCTCAACGACCGATGAAGCATCTCCCTTCAGAGTAGCCTTGCCGTCCTGCACCTCAACCTGCAGAGCCAATGCCTGCTCCAGCTCGTTCCTAGATGCTCCCTCTGACCACTTCTTCGTAGCCCATTCCGAAAAGGCTCCAGTCTGCTGTAGCGCCAGTGCTTCGACAACAGCGCGTCGCAGATAGACCTCCAAGACCTCCTTCTCCACGACCTTTTCCGAGCTGCCGAATCCCCTGAATACACTCTCTTCTCCCCAGTGTCCAGGCTGCTCCCACCACGTGCTCAGCGCGCCAATCTCCTCCAGACCCTCTGCCTCAGTAGCAGGCACATATGTAGGGTCAGATGCCTGCAGCTCCTTCTCGGTAGGCGCCTCGCTCCGCCTGTACGGCAGAGTCAGCCTGGTGTCTCGCACGGCTGCAGGCGTCTTGTCCTGTCGGGGCCGGCTCTCGAGCGCCTCTTCTGGCAGATTCGATTGTGTCTCAGGCTCCATCCTCTGCGTGTAGGGATCAGCAGGGCCGGGCGCCTCGCCCTTCCAGAGCTTTCCTCGGATCCATTCGGTGTTCTTGCCCTGCGAGGGGCTGGTCGTGGAGATGGCGCGGGCAGCGGCAAAAGAAGGTCTGTTTGCGGCGCATTGTGACGGCAGGGACAATTGCAGAGACTGCAGTCTCCGCATCCTCGTTATTCGTGCCATTGGCGAAGTCTGTGCTGGGAAAGCCTGTATGCGGTGCCCCCAAAGCGTCGTCTGTAGATTTTTCTTACAGCGATTTTGGAGAACGGGCTGCAACTTTTCCTTGTAGAACGTGGGGCTGAAGCGTGGCGGCTACAGACCAACCAAAGCGCAGGACGGCCAAGGGGGCCCACCATTGCGACCAGCCTCGCAGCCACTATTTGGTAGAGCTACCACGCCTTCTACTCCGAAGATACAGTGAATGTCGGCTTCCTCCAGTTCATCGCAACAGGCCGCTCTCTCTAGGTGCATCGGTCCGCAAATGCGCCCAGAGTCGCCATGGCGCGAATTCATCTCCTCGTGCTGCTTCTTGCCGCATTCATAGCTCTGGCCTCCGCCTCCTGTAAGTGAACCGCACGCCGCGCAGCTCTGCGCATCGACAGCCCAAGTCCTGACTCTTTTGCCATCAGCCGCGCAGAGATTCTGCAAATGCACATGCTTTAAGAACAGCACCATCATCCCACTCGGCCCGCAGCACCAGTCCGACAGCCGGTCTATTCTCTACGACGCATCCTTCTCTCCCCAAGACCATGTCCCCCGGTCGGCGACGTCGTCATGCTCCGAGTGTACCAAGGCATTTTGCTTGAGTCAAGGGATAGCCTTTTGCAAGGACGCAGAAGAAGATGACGTCGTGACCATGTGCTTCCAGCGCGATAGCAACAAGGACAAGATCATTGTTTGGGGGTTCATCTTTGGGACGCTGGGGCTGCTGGGCTGGGCTGCCTTCAAGAGGGTGCTAGAATGGAGAGAGGCTCGATCAATAGGACGGACAGGCTCCAGTTATGCAGCTGTGGGCAGTGCTACGCGATAGAAGGTATAAAAGTTTAAATGAGATAATTTACAATGCAAAAGAATCATGAATATTTAGTTATTCATTATGAGCAGCAAACTCGACGCATTCAGGCTGCCGACGCGCCAATGTTGTCTGTAAATCAATGCTAATATTCTAAAAAGGCTTTTGTAAGCCATTGCAACTATGGCTGAAGATGACATATACTTTTGATGGTTCCTTCGATGCGCCAATTTTGTGCATTCCACTTGAACGCACTCCTTTAGACCTTGATTCGGCCAAGGATAAAGCCAGCCGCAGCCCGCATAGGCTTTGGGGGTTGTGATACCTCGAAATCAACAAACTCACCCCTATCTTTTCTTTCTTTTTTTTCCTTTTTCCTCCGATTTCCAGTTTGGACTAATCCATACGACACCAGTTGATTTAATCCTCCTCCAAAGTGCTCACCTTAGCCTCCTCGCTCGGCACACCAGAGTTGACCTTTCTTCTGGCGCGGACGGAAGAAGCAAGGTCTTCCAGAACTGTGACGGTGTGCTCCCAGTCGATGCATGCATCGGTGATACTGACGCCATGCTTAAGACCGGCAGGACCCTCTGCAGGAACCTTCTGGTTGCCCGCACCGATGTTGGACTCGATCATGACACCAACAATGGCGCGCTCACCTTCCCGAACCTGGTCGGCAATGACCTTGGCAACCTTGGGCTGGTTGTTGTGGTCCTTCTGGGAGTTGCCTATGATCCCGTTAGTCAAACTAGTTATTCGAATGCTTTCAAATGCAAATCAAGACTTACCGTGAGAGCAGTCGATCATGATGGCCAATTTCTGGCCCTTGTCCGTCAGCATCTTCTTAGCTGCCTGAACACTGTCCTTGTCGAAGTTGGGGCCCTTGCTTCCTCCTCTCAGGATAACGAAACCGTGCTCGTTGCCCTTGGTGCGGGTAATGGCAGCGAGACCCTGTTTTGTGACACCCATGAAGTGGTGCTTGGCGGCAGCAGCGCCAATGGCGTCAATGGCAACGCCAAGGCTGCCATCGGTTCCGTTCTTGAAGCCGATGGGGAAAGACAGGCCGGAGGCAAGCTCACGGTGAAGCTGGGACTCGGTTGTTCGGGCACCGATGGCGCCAACGGAGATACAGTCGGCAAGGAACTGAGGGGAGATGGTGTCGAGCATCTCTGTGGCAATGGGCATGCCATTGGAGGTCAGGTCAACGAAGAGCTTGCGGGAAACGCGTAGGCCCTTGTTGATCTGGAAGGAAGAGTCGATATCAGGGTCGTTGATCAGGCCTTTCCAGCCGACGGTTGTGCGAGGCTTCTCGAGGTAGGCGCGCATGACGATGCAGAGATCGCCGGAGAGCTTCTCGGAGAGCTGCTTGAGACGGCCAGCGTATTCGTGGGCAGCTTCGGGGTCGTGGATGGAGCAGGGGCCGACGACAACCAGTAGTCTGTCGTCCTGGCCCATCACGATATTGGCAGCATCTGTTCGGCCCTTGAGAATGGTCTCGGCGGCAGTGGCGGTCATGGGGATCTCAGAGATCAACAGAGCCGGGGGGATCAAAGGATCCTGACCCAGAACTATAAACGTCTGTTAGCATATCATGATATAAAGCACGAATCCCACTGTTCGCATAGTGCAGTGCCACAGCCAAACTGCCCAAGGCGCAAAAAGCTATTGGCAGTAACATCGGCGCAACATGTGCTAAACATCCACAGGCGCCTTGCAAAGTCCCCAGCCCCACGGCATTCGCCGGGATCGCTGGGTGAAGCTCTCGCAGACTGGAGTAATTGACATTTCGCTTATACGTACTTCTGGTGTCATCTGTAGTGATAGTTGCATCAACGCCGGGCATTTTGTCGTTGGTAGTGTTGCTGTGTGTCAGATGCGACAGGAAAAAAAAAAATTAAGAGATTTGTCTCTTAAGGTGGGGTGTTTTGCGATGTCGGGGTGAGCCAGATGCAATTGTCACTTCACAAAAAGCTAAATGGGGTATAATTTGGACGGCAACGAGGCCAATTTTCAGCGTGATATGTGTGAAAGGAAAAAGAGATTTGATATAAACCAGAGAATATTTCTAGAAGAAAAGACGGCCAAGATAAATACCGTCGCAGAAGTGTCCAATGAGTCAGATTTACCCTTGACAGGTATCTCGGAGCCATGCTGCCTTGCTACCGGCCGTGCTTCGGAGGAGTGGAGTGGTGGATGCGCCGCGACACAGAAAAAGAGAGGGTCCATCCACAATAGCATGGATGTATGTACGTCAGTTTAGCTCCGGGAGTGGTCAATCGACGGCTCGCAATTGGACCAGCGGTTTGCGAGTGATCGCAGCCTCTAGCAACAAAGTTTTTTTTGCTTTTTTTTCTCTTGGGCGCCGTTCGTTTTTTGATGGCTGATCCACGAGTCTAAAAAATACAGCTAGCCATAATGGACGAGAGACTCAATGCTGTTTAGAGCATATGTAGCTAGAAACTAAATGCTATTTTTTCTTTGTTTTTTTCTGTTTCTGGTGCAATTGCCGCTGCTATTCTGGCCCTATTTTCCTTCTTATTCTTACGACTCTTGTGCTGGGCTCTCTCGCAACGAGTCTCTTTACTAACACAGTTATCGATGCTGATCAAGCATCCAGTCTCCAGTGGCCAGCATCATCCTACATGTACGTTCAAGCAGTACACTGCTCGGTAGTAAGCTGACGACGCTGCATGGGATTACTACACACCTTCCGCTCTCGGTCCAGATCTTGCCGCGATGATGTATCCCACTCTAGATGGACGAGCCCTGCATTTGCGAGGTGTTTTCGGTCGTACGGCGGGCCAGCCCGTAACCACCCAGTGCATGAAGTAGAGAGGTGTGATCAGGCAACAGGGCATTACTGGGTATTGTGTATAGCACCAATCCCTCTCGTAAGCATTCCTCCTAGCCCAGCATTCCTACAGGCTGTAATACTCGTAAGCTGGAGCTGCTTTGCTTCTGATAGTGGCATTGCTTCCGAGTGGACTGCTGTCAGCAGCGGGAAGCGGAAGCATGGGGGGGCTAATTGATCACCACATATAGATCCATGTTTATGTCACCCAGCGGGTTCTTCAATCCGGCGCTTGCGGGATCCTCAAAAGACGGTCAGCATTCTATGCTGACTGCTGCCCTGTTTTGCATGTGGTAATACCTCCTAGCAGTAGCAGTACTACCGTTTTAAGGTCTAGATATACTGTTTCTTTACGTGCATTAGATTCTTGCCTATGGGTAGGAATCTCCGATGTGCCTGGCGGCTAAGCTTAGGACACGAAACGCTTCTTACCCTGCAATATGCATGTCAGTTACAAATTCTCCGCGCTACTTAGCAGAAGCGGTAGTAGTAATACTAATCTGGTATTATGAAGAAGAAAAAAATCGATTTTATAAAGCGATAAAAATGGCAGGCTTTTATAGTTGATTGACTTATTTAATCTACCCCTTGCACTCCTTGGTATTTGGTAATATGCTTGCAATGTGATGAGTCTTTGTGATTCATACATAACGTCTCTGTCTTAAAGCTACAAGTTGCGTATAGCGTACCCGGGATGCGCTCTAAGAGGACATGAAACCGGGGATCCGCTGCGCACAGTATAAAATAATCATCGTATTCTGTAATAAAGTATCCGAATAAAATGTACGTGTTGACGTTCAAATTGGTTTCTTCCAATTTTACAATTGATGTAACCGCTGATGTGGGATATTTGCTTCAATCTTTGGCTTATAAGTATCTTTAGAAGGCGTCGAATCATCAATTCCTCTGTGGCGCAATTGGCTAGCGCGTCTGACTGTTAATCAGGAGGTTGGAAGTTCGAGCCTTCCCGGAGGAGATTAGATAAGATCCGATCTTATATTTTTGCTAATTGATCTTTTAAATCTTGACCTTCGTTCTATTTTATCTCTCTCTCTCTTTTTACGTGCCTCCCCTTTATCGAATTACACGTAATGAATGAAGTCAAAAAGCTCGACTATCTTATCAAGATACTGCCCATGTATACACAGAACGCAAAGATTACTACCTAGTAGGTAGATGCGCTGCAGCCCCAACTGCTACACCGCTTCTATGATGTGAGATAGACAGACATAATAGGAACTACTAAGGGACTACGTGCTGTAGACACCGGAACTGAGCTCGAGTGCACGTCTGTTAAGCACAAGTACCACTGCACGGAGCACGCCTCTCGTTAAGTGCATCTTACGCAACTTGGGATGAAAGCCGAGATTTCCCTATTTCCCCAGGTTAGAGAGCAGATCATGCAGATCAGGTTACACACTGATTCCACTAGCACTGCGAACGGTATTTTGCCTGTAGAGATAGTATGGAGATGATGAAGAAGCAGTGAAACAAGTGCCATGGGAGCTCAGCCACACGGTGGCGAAAGGGAAAAATTGAGGAAAAAAAAAAAAAAGAAAAAAATGGAAGAAGAAAAAGAAGAAGAAGAAGAAGAAGAAGAAAAAGAAGAAGAAGAAAAATAGCAAAGGCATTTGACTCGAGCTCAGAATCGAATGTTACAGCACTCTTACGGGTTTGCTGACTGAGCGAGCGATTGACGGCTGCGCGCGCGCCGGAATGGGGTGCATAGTGGGGTTAGGCAGTCACTTACAGAGGGCTGGGCCTCTCTCGGCAGCTCAAGCACCGATTCTGGAGCGCCGCTGTACCGAGCATACGAAGACACTAACTGAAGCCCACCAGTGCTATCTTATCTTTTCCTTGCCAGCAACTTCTCCGCGCCAAAGTTGAATACTTACTTCCATGCTTTTCTGTAATCCAGTCTGCTGTTGTGCGCCGACTCGCTGCTACGGAGAGGCACCAATCGGGAATTCCAGATTCCATAGGCATCTTCAGTCTTTTGCACAAAGGCCGGAAAAGCACCACCACGATTGCCTCTCCCAGCCCCCTGCACACCGATCGATACAGGCCTCTCTCCCCAGCCATCGGTGTTTGCCTGTCTCACATACTACGGGCTGCTACTAGTACAAGCAACAGCAGACCTTACACCGTACCGGAGCACTGCCCGGGGCCAACTGCTCTTCTCTCTTCTCCTCAGCAGCGCCCCCCCTTTTGTATTCTTCCTCCTCTCCCCAGGCCACCGCCACCGGACTTCTATAGATGATCATTGGCGATCCGGCAGTCTAGGCTGAGCTCGGCGGCAGGTGGCAGCGTTTCTCCTTGCGTTCCCCTCACCAGGTCTTCCGATCTCGAGCAGGGCTAGCTCCAAGAGTGGAAGAACTGTCTTGCCTCAGCTAAAGCCCCCAAGCATCTCCCCAAGCCACCACCTTTTCTTATTATTGTTTTTATTTTTTATTTTTTGAAATCAGGCATTCGCTATTGCACAAGCCACAGTCGCCGCCTTCTGTACGACTGTGCCGTTGTCGAGGGCTCACTGCTCCGTAGAATCCCAGGGGCGTCTTGTGGTAGCCAAGGCGGCGGTCACCCACCTGTCACTTCTGCTGTATTTCGTCTTGCCTGATAGCTCCGTCATTGGATACAGGTACTCCGTCACCGCGCATCGTTTTCGTTATCTTTTTCTGTTCTACATATTATACCCCAGATCACGCACATTGCGATTGCGTAGGGCCACTGCAATGTTTGATACACAAAGCTACATGGACGTGTCCGAGTCTAGCCGGAAGCGTGGCCGAGATAGTGAGGGAGAGGTGGACGGTATCTCCATGGGTCTGGAGGAGCACCGTAGCGTGAGTCCCAGCAGAGAGATGCTTTAAACAGCCTGCGAGGTATGCTAACTGGTGGTGTAGAAACGACTTCAATGCCTTCCTCTTCGAACCTCGCCAAGGTCGTCGCAGCAGTGGCCGTCCGTATCGTCTGTGGGCTCCATCGGCCTCGAATCCGACGGCAAGGCCACACAGCTACTGTTTTCTCGCTGGTCACATTCGTCCATGGGAAGTTCTGGCTCTCACGATGATACCGAAGTGAACATGATGAGCTCTAATCGGATGCCAACACCAATACAGCCCAGCTTCGCTGCGCAGGTGCGTGGTCAGCAGAACGAGTGGGCTGGCCCCGGGCCTGTTGTCACGACGCTTAATGGGGTTATCAACATGGGCCACCACCCCGCGGGCTTCTCAGACGACCAGTCTGTGCCTCGTGTAATGTCGGGCCTGGAAGACTGGCAAGCTGCGCAAAACCACCGAAGACTACCGTCACCGATTTCCGAAGTGGAAGACAACGCGCTGGATCAGGATTTCGGTGAGAGCAGTATGATGGTGGATGATGGCATGGGCGTAACCATGGATGCCTCCATAGTGCTACCGCCGTCGCCGTCACGCGCCATGGATCACCCTAACGCCATGATGGACATTGAATCACCGCCGCGCTCGCACTTACACGGAGCTGACAGTGAGGGCGATGCCCATTCACCCAGCCCTGCTCGCAGAGGTCATATGCGAAGCAAGCATACCATTGACAGTTGGACATGGCAACCCGGAATGAAAAAGAGCTTTAGCATTGGGTACCGAGCCGATTGCGAGAAGTGCAGACTCAAAGTGCCTGGGCACTTCAACCACATCGTCATCTCATAGCAGGGGAAGACAAAAGTCATCAACCCCAAGTCTGACCCAGCCTTGTGGGATGCCGCCATCAGACCCCTCAACTGGCAGGAAAAGCGACGGCAGCTGACTGAGACCTCTGACCGGAGCCAATGTGCTAGACACCCTGCATTCAAGTGTACAGAGAAGCACACCTTGCCAAATCGTTGCTCGATGTTGTCGGCCTCAATGCTGGGGCAGACCGCTTCTTCGCTGTGTGACAGGGCCGGGAACTTTTTCTGGAAGCGCCAACGACTAATGGTCGATTGTGATATCCAGGGTCACATTATATAATTTCTTTTGTTTTTACTTTGTTTTCTTTGCGATCATCACATTCTATCGGAGTTTGACGGACGGCCAAGTTTTGCGACGCACTCATTGATATCACGCATCGACATTTGCATTGTGTTATAAAAAAAAGAGAAAAGAGAAATTCTGGTTGGGTTAGCGATATGCACACCCCTAGAGAAGCGTTTATTGAGGAAGCGATTGCTAGGTATAGCAGTCTATAAATATTCTTATTTTTGGGGCGCAGCATTGGTAAACATTGGGGTCAGGCATTTTACATTATGAGAAGCGACTCACCATCCTTCATATCCATGACATACTTAATAACAGCAAACACTCTCCTTATACATATAAATATAAATGTTTACTTTTTAGTTTCCTCTTAAAGTACAATACATCTCTTTGTTAGTTCTGCGTGTCCAACAGATTCAGATGCATATGATATAGTAGTTGGGAGGTGTATCTCCTTATATAATACATACAACAAAAATGACTCCCAACTCCATCTAGTGCAAGCCATGCAGTTATGATACACGGGCTGCTGCCCTCCTTACCCAAGTGATATATGACATAATTTTACGTTTTCCCTCCCTCTCTCGCCCACCTTTTTTTGTTATCGCTTTATATGTAGCTCACCACCAGCCCTTCTTCTTAGATTCCGTAGAGGAGCTTCCGGTTTCCAGGGCAGGGACATTTAGCTGATTCTCTTTCTCTTGCTCCCACGCTGACTGAACAGCACTAGAAGCGGTGGTGCTCGCCTCGTTCTTCTTGCTGTCACTGCCTCCCCAGATGTAGCCCAGGATACCCTTGCCCTTGCTCTCCGTCACCTGCTGGCCGCCCTCAAAGGCAGACTTGACGTGCTCCTCGAAATGCGTTCGGTGCTCGGGCGGGGACAGGAGGGACGGCAGCTTGATGCCTTTCTCCTCGGCTTCTCGGTTGGCCTCCTCGACGAGAAGGATCTGCTCTTCTGTGGCGTCGCCCTTGAGGTAGGCGATACGGGCGGTGGCGAGCTCGTCGGCCTCGAACTTCTTCTGGGCCTCTATCCATTCGGCGCGGCGGGCGCGGTTGTAGCGCAGCATGTCCCATACTGAGTACACGCTGACGACACCGGCGACGACTAATTATATCGCTCTGTTAGTTTTTCCTTCCTTTCCTCTTCATCATTCCCAAAGAGTTATGTTTTGAGCTTTGGGATCCAGCTGCAGGCTCCAAACGAACGCACCTGAGAACATGACGAGCCCCCCCACCGTCCACCTGTGCGCCACATCGAAAAACCGCCTTGATGCGTCAATCACTCTGTCCGTCCTGCTGATCTGGGCCTTTTGCGCTGCCAGATGGGCCTGCCTCAATCGCTTTACTCGCTGCTCGGGCGTCTCGCCGGGGATTCTCATGGTCCTGGGCGCGGCGGCGGCAGAAGTGGCAGATTTCGATGTGGCGTGGGGTATAGTAGAGGTGAACCTGGTGGCGTCCTTGACGCTCCGGGATCCCATGCGGGATGCCATTTTTTTTTCTTTCGAAGGGGAGGAATTGAGTAAAAGAAGATTGCGTGAAAATTAAGAGCCTCTTTCAGTGACTGTGGTTAGAGCAACAGTCTGAGAGGGATCGGCGAAGGAGGGGGAATTGGTGGGAAGAGGGATGATTTGGGAAAAAGAGAGATTTTGCTGATCTCGGAAATGGATCGTTTCCGTGAGATTTTTTGAATGAGGTGCAAAGCATGGAAGACCGAGCAAAGTGGAATTCGGCGCTTATGATTGGTGCGGGATAATCCCGGGCATCGAGAAATGGGCTGTTTTTTTTTTTCTTCTTGGAGAAGAATGAGGAGAATTGGTGCTAGGGACGATAAGCTACTAAGCTTCTCGTTGATACCTGCATACGTACTCCGTACAAAGTAGGCTAATAGACTACTTGCGGATGAAGCTTTGTATTGTGGCAATGGGCAGATTGGACATTGGAAAATTACTGCGCGAGTATAATTGGCTGATATTCATGGGATGGGAGAGTTGACCGTTGTACTAGGTATGCAGTTTTCCACCTCGTCTCTTGAAATGGTTGTCTTTTCATATCAAAACTTGCGTATCATGCAAAACCTCCCTGCGAAATAGCTAATGGAAGCAACTTTCTCTGCATGTACTCCGTACAGACGTTACTACTGAGCAAGGTACATACCCGTTCCTTTATGTGATGTCTCAACTTATGGCGTAAAATTTCCACACGCGCCTACAATAATTCTGCAGTGACGCGTTCTGCCTATGTGTCCCGTGACTCCATCGTCATCTTTTTTACTCTACGGAATCATCTTCTTCATGCGCCTGCATATAGCAGCCGTCACAATGAAAACGGAGTGGATATATCAAAAATTGCGCCTCCCATGGCCCCGAAGGACAATGGAGCAAGGAACGACTCCGCGCTGTGCAATGCAGGCCTTCCCAACTGAATACCCCGAATCTTGAACTGGGGTATTCGAAACAAGGTAAGTATGAAGAAGAAAAGAAGAAAAACAAGTAAAATGGTGGCAGCGTCGACGGCACTTTATAGCTTCGAACGGATGCCTGGCGCCAAAATGTTCCCTCTAAGGCATCAAGGCGCTAACAATTTTTAAGCGGAGCACGTGATTGAGATTCATTTTTGGTGCGCGGCAGGGCATGTCCCCACGAGGTACGTATCTGTGGTAGGGCACGAAAACCCTTTGACGAATTTGACGAGCCTCATCCTCCGAAATCTCAACGCCTACCGAACAACGAGCATCAGAGTCCACGTTGATCGCAAGCAGACACAATGGTATGGATAGATGCCCCCCAATGGAGCATGTTGGATTGCTTGATTTCATTCAAGTTACTGACTTTTTATTTTCAAACAGGCGATCAAGCACAACCAGACCCTTATCAGCAACCGTGAGCATCTCCCCGACTAGGAAAAAAAAAGAAGACGAAACGGCGATACGAGCAATGATGAACGGCGACTGACATGTTCCCACAGACTTCCGCAAGGATTGGCAGCGACGGGTTCGCACTCACTTCGACCAGGTACGCGATTCTTGAAACCCAAAAGATTGAAAAAAAAAAAAAAAAGTTGCGACATAGGCAAAAGTTGGACCATTTGGATACGAGATATTGACTTGTGATTTTTTCTTCTCGAATAGCCCGGCCGCAAGACCCGGAGACGTACTGCTCGTCAGGCCAAGGCTGCTGCTCTGGCTCCCCGCCCCGTCGACAAGCTCCGACCTGTTGTGCGATGCCCTACCATCAAGTATAACCGACGGGTCCGTGCCGGTCGTGGTTTCACCCTCACCGAGCTCAAGGTACGAATTGATTGCGCCATTCCCATTTTCAGTCCCCTGGCCTCGCAGGGACAAGACAAACCAGTCTCTTGGAGGCCATGGGATCGAAAAACCGAAAGAGACGAAAACGAGTGATGAGGTTTATTTTTTTTTGGTTCTAACAAATCCTACAGGAGGCTGGTATCTCCAAGTCCCTGGCTCCCACCATCGGTATCTCTGTCGACTTCCGCCGACAGAACCTGAGCGAGGAGAGCCTTGCCGCCAACGTCGCCCGCCTCAAGGCCTACAAGGAGCGCCTCATCCTCCTCCCCCGCAAGTCCAACGCCCCCAAGAAGGGTGACACCAAGACCGACGTCTCCAAGCTCGACAAGGTCTCCTCCATCGCCTCCGCTCTGCCTATTGCCCACGTCTCCGCTGGTGTCTCTGAGATCAAGAAGAGCGAGATCCCCGCTGCCGTCGAGGGTGGTGCCTACACCAAGCTGCGCGTTGCCCGAAGCAACGCCAGATACCAGGGTGCTCGTGAGAAGCGTGCTCGCGACAAGGCCGAGGCCGAGACTGCCAAGAAATAAACTTTGTCAACAAAAGGGAAACTGGTGTTTTAAGGGTTTTTTGCTCTTTGCGTCTCTTATCGGGAAGTGTGTGGCAAAGGTTCGGTTTTCGAGGCTTTGATATGGAAGTGCTGGGCCGTGGGTACGGGAGGAATATTATATGCTCTTTAGGTCCCCAGGTCAAAGAATTATTTGCATGATCAACCGACCCTGTCCTGTACACACTTAAAAAGATGAAATTAGGGTCAAATGGCAGCATTTTAAATACGCACATAAGGCATACGTAGTCTCTTAATTCCGTGAAAAAAAAGTTTGCGTCTATTTTCTTTTTTTTTTTTTTTTTTTTTTTTTTTTTTTTTTAACCGTGTTCATTGTTCAATTGGCTTTATAATGGCTATGTGCACTATGAATGGTCTGACAAAAAAAGGAACAACGTACTAAGAAGTTCATCCAGGTATAGGACGCATTAGGTATATATATATGTATGTATGTATATATGTATAGACGCCTATATGTTGCTACAGCCCACCCTTCTTTCTTATATAGACGCTTATCCAAGACAACCAAAAAAAGAAAAGGTTAAATTAGTACATATATATATATATATATATCCACTGTATCTCTTCTTCTTTTAGCTGCGGTAGACATAGTTCCATCAAGTTCACAATGTTGCTGCCTTTTGTGCCGCCACAATCTCCGTGCCCTCCTTGACCAGATCTTGCAGGATGCTCAGCCTCAAACCAGGTAGTTGGTTGCCCCACGTCCGGAGAAGTTCCGTGCACATCACCAGGGCGTTCTCCCGATCCACTCGGATCATGCTCTCCCGCTGTTTAGGATCTGCCTGCTGAGGCTCGAGTCCCAGACCATCTGCCATCGACGTGATCTGGCCGTCAGGAGCTGAAGCAGAAGACAACGCCCCCTCGATATCATCGCCACCTCCAACGTCGCTGAGGGGAGTTTCTCTCCCAGTGATGGCTTTGATGAGCTCTGTCATGGTGTTGTGAATTTGAAGTAGCGTGATGATGACGCGACTGCCCTCCTTGGACCGACACATGAGAGCGAAGATGAACCACGCTTCCGAGCGAAGAGACGGCCATTTCTGCTGGCTGATCAAGAACGAAAGAACCCTAGCGACGTCATGTTTGCTATAAAAGTACTCCAGTCGCTGACTTTCAGCATCTGCAGGGCCGCCGGACGAGTCTGCTTCGATTTCGACAACCGGAGGCTCCCAGTCCGGCAACAAAGGCGCAACCGGGTTGGAGTGAAGCACACGACATATGGCAGCGACAGCCCGGGCGGCTTCAAGCCTCGTGGGCTCGGCATCGGAGCGCTCGTATAGTGCAATAATGCCGTGGACGCTTGAGCGTTCGCGCGCTGGGCTGGCCGGGTCTGCGCTCAGGGGGGCACACACGCGGGCAACGTTGGGCGGACAGTTGACGACCAGCAGTCGGGTCAGAGACACGGCGGTGAACTGCACCTGGGGGGAAGTATCCAGGCTAAGCAGTCTCGGTATGCAGCCCACGTCCAGCAGACTGCCGAGAAGCGGCTTGTTCTGGGCTGGGATGGCCAGATTTTTCAAGAAGGACATGGCGGAGTGAAGGAGCTGCGCGTCGGCGATTTCGGGGTTCGAAAGGAGTCTCATCAAAGGGGTATGCGCGAAATGGATTTGAACAAGAGCTGTGGAAACTTCATCAGAGCGGGAGAGATTGCCCAGAGCGAGGCAGCCCGCGGTCTGCAGCTGCGGGTTGGAGCTCTGAAGCCAAGCGAGAAAGGTTTGTGCAACTTGGCTCTGCAACGGATGGCACGAAACAAACAGGTCGTTGCCCGTGATGTCTGCCAGAGCGTTGAGGAGGGCGGCGTAGAGCTTCTTCAGGGCCGCTGCCGTGTCGGCGTCATCAACCTGGATCATATTAAAGTGAGTATGCGCGTGGTAAAACGTGGAAAGGAAAAGCTGCAGCAGAGGGCCCTGGATTAAAGCAGCTTGGAATTTCTCATCGGAGAGGTAAGCAGCCGCCACGGTGACAAGAGATATGAAGTCGTCGAGGTCGTCTCGTGACGGCACGCTCGTGGCCAGCTTGAGGGCAACTTCAACGGTATTCGGGCTTGCGCGGCTTGTTTCGCCCTCTTGAGAAGTGAGCAAGATGAGGATTTTGCAGAAATAGGGGATGAAGACAACGAAGTTGGCAAGGTTTGGGGAGCACAAGAGAGCGATGAGGCGTTGGTTGAGATTGGCCTCTGAAGCGGCCAGCTGTGCAGGCTCTTTGCAGTGGCATGTTAGTTGTTTTGGCCGTCACGCAACGGGGTTGAGGAGTTTATCGGTCTCACCATAGTCAACAAGAATGTTGAAAAGCACGGGGATGGTGAAGGGTATCAGGCTCTCGTCCTGCAGGTGGGTTAAGATGGTGGCCAAGTGGTTTCCCTGGATGACCCTCGCGCGATTCACGTCTGTATCTGCACAAGAGTTTCCAACCAGTCGCAGTATATGGATCTGCAGGCCCTGTTTTAGGCCATCACGAGCGAGGACGCGGAGGAAGAACTCCAAGATATTTGAGTCGCCAAAAGGGACCCGCCAGGCAACTATAACGACGCAGGTATCAAGTCAGTCGGTGGCCGCTATGCTGTTGAAACTCGTGTTGAAGCTTGAATATCCCGAAGCTCTTATACTGGCTTCGATAGCCACTCACCATCTCTGCTGCCGTCGCCTAGCTTCTCGACCATGAGCTCTATCTCCTCAGAGCCAGAGGCCCATACTTCTCGACAGGCTGCCAGCACAGGCACCAGCAACTCAGTTCGCCTCTGGGTGGCGCCCGCGGTTTCTGTAGACTCATCATACTTGTCAGGAGAGACTTGACTGCCCTCTCGCTGCAGCATGTCCTCAATCTCCCTGGGCGACATGATTGCTGTCGAATTTGCTAGTTTCCCAAACTAAACAACACGCTATTGGGCCGTCTCGAGCTTTCAAATAATGCGATAGAGGAGCTAATGGATAAGGAGAAATCAACTATTGGGTGATCAACGCTGTTTTTGAGAATTCTGTTCACATGCAAGATGATGACGACTGCATCGACTATCTTTGTTATTAGTAGGCTAATAAAGTAGGCCCTCACCACCAAACATGAAACAAAGCTGGCCAAAAAAAAAAAAAAAAAGTTAAGCCAGAAAGAAACCTGGTCAGCCCAACGAACCAGCATACGCGGAATACGGCAGGCTAAATTAGGCGTATGAAATGCCGGAGAGTATTTTAGCTTATTATGCTGCGTCGGGAGTGTAAATGAAATGAGAAAAAGGCCCTGCCAATGAGCAGCGCTTTGCAAGGGCCTGGACGCAACGGCTCAGTGGGCTTCTCAGCAGGCAATTGCGTGGCTCTCAGGGGATGCCCTCGCTAATATTTCGTATGCGATGGGATGTTAGTAATGGAGGGGGGGATACGATACAAGCGTGTGGGGGTGGTTTTTCTCTCTGCCAACGGAAAAGAGGTGCGGCTGGCGGCCTGACCGCGGTGAGGGATCGGCTCGGTCAGTGGCGGATCCTCGGGTAAATGAAAAATCGCAAGCCATCAGAACCGGCCGATTGCCACTGTCGCAAAACTCGGAATTGGGAAAACTCACGATTGAAGACGATTCTTGCCTTTCTCGACCGCGGGACGGTGCGCACACCCTTGTCTTTCTTGCACGGCCGGATATACAAAGATTATACAAGTCTTTTGGCGAGAGGGCACTCTTTGAGTTGTTGGAGCGGGCTTCTTGATCACCATGGTATGCATGCCGCAACTCTTCTTTTTTTTGCTCGCCGAAGCCCCGGAAGCCCATGCTGCGATGCGAAACATTGCGGCAGGGCATATCCGTTGATGCTGCGGAGCTTGATGCTTGTATGGGAAACGTTACTAATCTTGAATCCCTTCTTCTCACCCAAAAGGCGCACAAATTCGTCCTCACAGCCTTCCTCACCGGCTCTCGCATCCTCGGCCGATCGTTCATGGCTGCCTACCGACAAGCCCAGGCCTCGTCGCAATACCAGCGTGCGCAAGCCAAAGCAACCGGCGTTAGCGCCTCGGGCCGCGCTTCTCTAACGGCGGGCATGACCCTAGAAGAGGCCTGTCGCATCTTGAACGTCAAGCCCCCCGCCAACGGCCAAGCCAACGTCGAGGAGGTGCTCGAGCGGTACAAGCGGCTGTTTGACGCAAACAACCCGGAGAAGGGCGGCAGCTTTTACCTCCAGAGCAAGATTGTAAGAGCAAAGGAGCGGTTCGAAGCGGAGCTCGGACCCATACGGGAAAAGGCTGAGATGGAAGCTGAGGCAAAGGAGGGGTGGAAGCCCAAGATTTACAAGGATGAATGAGCGAGGCTGACGCGGACGATGTGATGTGTTCGACTAACGGGATAATACGGCTTGGAGGAGATGAGGGCTTACGTGGCAGGCTCGCATCAACTAACTAAGAGAGAGAGAGAAGAAAAAAAAAGAGAGGACCTTTGAAGGATCTATTAAGGGGGAAGCGAGATATAATCCTCCTTCTTTTTTTGTACTATGTTTCTTTTTTGTTTTGTTTTTTTATTACCACATCTTCACTCGGCACTTGACAGTGGCATGGCACGGCGTTTATGGAGGAGAGGACATCTAGAGGCTTCGAAGCCACAAGGGGGAAGAGATTGGGTCTAGACCAAGAGAAGACGAAAAAAGCAAAGGCGTTTTGACATTTGAAATCAAATACGCGCTGCCGGCACGCTTGTACTATACGACAAAACAATGTAACATACCACTTGTGTAAATTGATGATTAGATGAAAACCTCCGTTTTATTAATTTGTTTGTTTGTTGCTGTGAGGTTTGTATTGTATTGTCATGATTCTAGCTCAGGTTTTTCTACGGACCAATCCCTTCCAATAGTCGAAGCTATTCTCATCGCTTTGCAGACTCCACACCTTTCCATTCCCTCGTCCCTCAGAATCTGTCTCCTCAACACGCAGCATTCCCCAGTCTCGAGTGATGCCCACCACTCGCGCCTTGACACCACCCTCGGCTTCTAGCGTGATGGACTGCCCTGTGTGTAGCCAGTGGCGGTAGTACCTCGTCTCCAAGCCTTGGGAGAAGCCCTCGCGGCGGAATTGCTCGTAGATGGACTCTAGGCGGGTGAGGATGCGGGCAAGGAGAGTCTCCAAGTGAAGTGGCGACACATTGGGTGGGAGCAAATCGGAAAGAGAAGTTGTTGGGCGAGGGTTGGTTGCGTTGATGCCAATTCCCAGGACGACCTGGTATGAGCCGTCAAAATAGCTGCATTGAGATAGAATGCCGCCGATTTTGACGTAAGATGGGGGAGATGCTGGCTTTGTGGGATCAAGAGCATCTGTTACATTGTGTCAGTTACCGGGAAACACAGCAGTAGTATCTTTGGCGCCTCATGGATGTTTGAATAACTTACATATATCATTGGGCCACTTCAGCTTGACCGGCATATTCTCATAGCCCGTATCATAGGAGCGAATGGCTTCGACAATGGCAACGGCTGCGAGATACTGAATGAATACTATGGGCCGTGAAGAAGCGAGGTGAGCTGGGTGGTTGATGATGACGGAGAATAGAAGAGATCCTGGGGGTGCGACCCAGACGTTGGTTCCTCGGCCCCGTCCTGCGACTTGTGTCGAGGCAGTAAAGGTGAAACCTGTCGGCAGCTTGGTGTTGATCTTTGGATTTCTGAATCTCTGCATATTAGCACTTGTTGTGGTGAAATCTGGATGGACAGGAGTGGAAGGGGGGGGACGCACTTCTCTAGGAGAGTGTTGGTGCTCGTCACCACATCTCCGTATAATAGGACATCACCCCATTGATAAGCCCCGGATTCAATCTTTCTATAATGTCTTAAGCTGGAATAGAACCGCTCGTGGCTGAAACGAGGTGTTAGATCATCGCTGGGCAATTTATTCTCATGCGGAATAATCTTTTTGATAACCAAGCTTGGGTCATCGATAGTCTCGGCCTGTGGCAAAGTATTTCGCAGCTCACTCAAGTCCACACCATCGTCTTGAGCCACAATTTGAAAAGTGTCTGCCTCTGCGCGGATGAGCTCGTTGCCATTCTCCTTTTCGATGGCGTCTCCCAAGTCACACAGCAGCTCTGTCACCTTGCCGCTATCGATGGCGGTGAGATGGAGGCCGGACAGCGATGGAGGCGTGTAATCGTCTTGGGCAACTTCGAGGCCTAGTTCTGACAAACACGCCTTTAGAAAGCTGATTCGAGACCTGTCATCTGCGGCAAGTCTATCGACTAGCTCGCCATATCCCGGAACTTCTGGCTGGGGATTGAGATTGGCTGGGGCAAATCTGAGAAAGGAGGAAAAAGGAAAGATAATATCAGCACAAGATCCCTCTTTCATCAATGTTTTTTGTGAACCACGCATCACTTACTCTGGGTGCGGTCCGCTAAGAATTGCCTTGCCCTCTCCTACATGGCACAGAACAACTGCAGCCTTTTGCTCACCACCATCCACGTCTATATCGTCCTTGTATGACGCCAAGACCTCAACTTTACGCCCTGCTGTTGCATTCATATTGACAAAAACACCACCGCCATTGTAGTATACGGCGAATTCCCCAGGCATCTTGTCCTTCAAAGCCTGCTTTTCCACCTTGATGGTAGCAGCTCGAGCCCCCTTCTCGCTCCGGTATTCGAAGCCCTTGAAGGCGCCGCCGCGACAGGTTCCTGGGAAGAATCCGAGCTCTCTATTGCCAACTACCTCCAAGGATTTGTTGCCAACTTCAAACTCGCATCTGCTGCTGCCATAGTATCCGCCGGCGCAGAGCCCAAGATATGCCCCTCCTCGGCGGACAAACTCGCTGATGCGCCTATTTCCCTCGCCATTGAACACCCTGCAGTAGCCAAGGTCGGCGCCTCCTGGGAAGACGAGAAGAGCGCATGTTTGTGCCCATGGCTCTTTCAAAATGGCCGTTTCATTGATGGGGATGATGGCATAGTTGGGGGACAGCAGACGGCGAAGCGTATACATGCAGTGGCGGACAGATTCCGCCGTCGTCCCGGTGCCTTTTCCACGGTGAGTAAAATTATTTATCCCTCAATGAACCAGCATCTGGCTCTTAAAAAAAATGGACTGGAAATTCACCTGTGTGGACCAGAATATTAAGTCGGCTGGGTGCCATGATGCTTGGTTTCCCGATTCGTTTGATTGGTAAGTCACGCCACCTAATGCCCGAATATTTGCTCTTTTCTTCTCTCTTACATCAACCGGTCCACTGCAGCAACACCAAGACCTTTTGCCGACGTTCGATAATCCGCAAAAATCGGTCGAAATGCCTGGAGACGTGAAGGAAAAGCCACCGGCAACAGACGCCTCAGCGGCCGCGGCAATTGAGGAGGATGATGAGCCGGACGAGTGGTGAGTGACGGCTTAAGCCCGCAAAATTAACTTGCGAGAGGTTGCCCCGACGCTAAGCCGCCGGCCTTTTTTTTTTTCTGGTGTACTACAGGGACAAGCGGATATTCAGCACAGGATGCGCAGGTGAGTTGCGATGCAAAGCCGAATTATTGTTTTATGGTGTCTTTTTGGTCTTCTTAAAGATATCACGAAGAAGAAAAAATGGGAAATTTTGCGGATCAATGGCGCATGTAGAGTACCTTGAAGGCTGACTCGGAATTTGCGAGCGCTGCTTGACTAGATGAAAATATGAGGATGACAGACTGCTACTATGAGAAGAAGGATTGGAGAGCATGCACAAAGGAGGTAAGTAATCTTTATTGCATCGCTGAATTCTCATTCATCTCACAGGCAGCGACAATTTGTGAAGGTTACTCATACTGACTGAAACATAGATGGAAGACTTTAAGGAATGTTGGAAGCGCCATGGCAACGTTGAACGGACCAGCACCAAAGATAACTAGGAGAATCGCATGAAAAGGGTTTTCAATGTAACAATAGTATATAAATGGATGGACTGATAATAATTACAAACATCTACGCTCATATAAATACATGAAAAGGAATTCAGTTTGAGTTCTAGGTGCGGGCCCGCCTCGATGCCAATTCTGAGTCTAGTGGTGTATTGACAGCTATTATAAGGAAGCAATAGTGAGATCGATTGATTTGGAATTCTTGCAGTATACTCCACGTATATTCCATCTTGTAACTATGCACGCCTCTAGGCATCTTCATTTCGCTGTTGAGGTCCACTCTCTCCCTAGCCTGTACCATTTTGACCTGCTCCACTAGCAGCAATGCAATCTAATCTTACAGAGACAAATATATAAAAAAGAAAATAAAGTAAAGTAAAAACCATATACGTAATTGCTATCTATCCACAGAAAGTTAGAGCCTAAGGAGCAGCGATCTTTGTTTTAGAGAAGAAGAATTACATGTACACACCTTTGTCAGTGAATTATGGAAGCCCATCCGAACTGGATAGATAATGTATATGAAGAGCCCAACAAAATAAGTAGCAATACTATAACTCAAAAACTGAACAGGAGCCTGTAGCGCTAGAGCATTCATGATCTTATTTTCATTCAAGTAATCATATGATGGCTTTCTAGCTGATAAAATGGAATTCTGTTGGAAAGCCATGAGAGTTGAGATTATTGCTAGAGTTAGAGAGTTCATCCAAAACGCAGTCACAGTCCAATGCGCTTCTCCTATAGCAGGCCAGGAGAAACTAGCCGCCACCGTTGAAGCGATAAGCGTGCTCTGGATATGACCAATTTAGTAAAAAAAAAAAAAAATTCTAGAAGGGAGAACTGATGAGGTGTATGAGTTAGACCTACGGTGACCGATACAAATTGCAGTTCCGCAACCTTCTTTTCGCGCCAAATATCAACGGATTGCCCATCCTCCAATATGTCATAGGCATGAATCCACGTAAACGCAACAATTTTAAGTGTAGATCTGAATATACGCTTCATATCTTTATTTTGACCGACGAGTTGGTAGCGAGCCATGATTTGGTTATAAAAGCTGAATGTTGAATGAGATATAATCTTTGTAAATAAAAGCAGGACATAGTGCTTTATGTATTTTTTGTTTAAATACTGTTCCTCTTTCTGAGGGGCTTGCTTGAGCACGAAACTACGCGAGTCCAACTGATTCCAAATAAATGCATCAATATTCAGATATGGTCGCTGTTGCATTTGGCGGTGGTAGTACAATGTAGGTAGATACGTGTAGGTACATATAGATGATCACCGAAGAGAAATATTATTGGAGTTTCTCAAACCAGGGTACGCCCATAGCTTTAGTAATAAGCATGTGTACCCAAAGCAGTTATATTCCGGCCACAATCGTATATTTGTGTTATCTCTGGCAGATCTCTGGCATAATATACATGCTTGAATTTGGAAAGCCTTGCAAAAATGCCCGTTCTTCGCTGTTACGATTGAACTTTGACTTTCTTCTCCAGCTGTCTTTGAAAGTAACATTGGACAAATGTGAGCGAAATGGCGCTAACACAAAAGAGAAAACAGTTGAATGTTGATAATAAATGTCAAAAGTAAGCTTGAATCACTTATATTGTATAGAATTATCCTTCCTCATTGAATCGGCATCGCATTACCCGCAGCAGTTCAATATTGCCACGTTTACTCAATCCATTCATCTTTTACGACTATATTATTTCTTGTTTCATATTTTCGTTCTCGCTGCCTTGAACAAACCGCGATTGTTGTGACATCTATTTTTCCTTTGCAGCCTGAGCCTTGTGTAACGATACCAGGCCACGACTTCTTGCATAGTGCATGATAATAAGGCCTGACCGACATTTCACTGTAACCCTGTCGGCCATGAGAGTAATGAGATGGTGTAGCAGAAATGAATCTTATTGCTAGTAGACGGTAGCACAACTAAATTCAAACATTACTACTTTACCCAGCTAGAAGATTTTCATTATAAATGTAAAATTAGAAATATACTAAAAATATAGAATATATAAAATAAAATAATATGCTTACTGCACTCTATATAGAAGTTAGTCTAAAGAACCCATAATGATCAAATTCACCACGTGTAATATACTCCTCGCAGCCCTATCTCCCCACCTCTAAATTCATTCTATTCATTCTATTATAAAGCAAGTCTCAACTATCTTCCAAATCTTCCTAGACAATATCGGTGCGCTATATAAAAATGGCAAACATAGCAGGCAAGTCATGTATCGAAGAGAAAGCTCTCGAGAAAATCTTCTCTCAGGTTAGATGTGAAAATCCTCAAATCCAGACGTTCACTTTACTCACCATGTCGACCTTGTGAAGTAGTCTCACCCGCGCAAAGATATGAGCAGATAAACGACTCTTATGGCTCAGCCGACTGTGGGATAATAGCCTTAAATCCTAGCGAGATGAAGACATATCCGCTCACAAACTTTCACAATCATCTGCGACCGAATTCAGACCATGCCGGCTGGGTTGTTACAAAAATAAATCACATGAAGAATTTCCAATATTCACCCGTCTTCCATGAATTTCTTAAAGTCACTATAAAACCTACCAATACATTAGATGATGAGTGTATCCTCATTATTGAGCGAATGCAAGACCAAGACCAGGTTACTTTAGGCTGGCACCCAGTTAAGTACGAGCTTACAAAATGGTGGCTCATGAGATTACTGAAGGGCAATTACAGTGGCAGTTCAAATGGTCGCATAGTGATGGCATCGTCATCGACTGACATGCCTGATTGGAGGGCAACTGGCTATTCAGGTTCAGATTTCCTGTGCTCTTTAGAGTTTAACCCAGGAATTCGCTTGATCGACTTTATTAAATCTGCACAGATAATTAGTGAAAACTTGGGGGAATACAATGCGATAAACAAAAATTGTTACGCATTCGCTTCAAAGCTATACGGAAAAATGAAATCGCTAGCGAAATTCCCATCCACATCGCCAAAATCGCAATGTGTAGAAGTTATAGGAGGCTACCATAACCATAAGAGCAAGTTTGCTCTTCTTGAGCTCCTCGAGAGCAAAAGCGTGAGTGGCTTTTTTTTTTCTTAACGTGGGAAAAGTCATCCAAGGTAACTAACAAAGTCTTCAAGAATCTATTCGTTCTTCGAATATTCGATAAATTACTCCCGGCTAGCCAACAATGGGGATCTTGTTTGAAGGCTGCCAGCTCTAGCGATGAAAGAAGGAGAAAACTTATTCAATACCTTCTGGCCCTTGCTGCTGCACGTAAAAAAACACAAGGCTATAAGTCGATGGTCTAAATAGATCTATCAAAATTACTAACTTGAGAAATAAACCTCTTTCACTGAGAAGTAATTTACTATACAAATCAATCTTACATCATTCACATAAATGCGTGTACCTTGCACGTAAAGAGGTGCAATCGGAAGGACACTAGCCTCGCGGCGGCGGAATTTTCTTTTGCCGGGGCCTCTCACTGACATGTCTATGAAAACTTCTGGATACCGTGAATTCTAACCATTTCGACAACAAGCTCCCAGACCGTCATTTTCTGTACTGCACAACATGTTTCCTTCTCGTAGAGCTTTTTCAGCGGCTTCTAGGCAGCTCGCCAGCCGATCCTTCCGACCAATCCAGCCGTCAGCCCGCCTCTACTCTGCAGAGACAGCTACGTCAACGACAGAACAAGCAGCTACATCAACACCTCCCGCAAAAGCTTCCACTTCCACATCAACAAACAGCAGTTCACCAAGATATGCCAAACCGGCGGCTAAAGCGGCAAAGCCGGCGATGGCGGCCTCTATAACATACGAGGATGTCGTCTATCAGCCCAAGAGCATTGTGTTTGAGGATGCAAAGGAAGAGGATGGCGAAGTACTGGATGCAGCCACCGTGGACTGGACGAAGAGCTTCTACGGCATTTCAGCGAAACCGGTAACAGAGAAGCAATTCAAATCCCTCTTGCAGCCGGTCGAGGAGAAGGACATCGAGGTCAAGCCCGACGGCGTCATCTATCTGCCAGAGATCAAGTACAGGAGGAGATTAAACGAGGCCTTTGGTCCCATGGGATGGGGCTTGATTCCCAAGGGAGAGGCAATTGTTAGCGACACGATTGTGACCCGGGAGTATGCCCTCATTGTGGGCGGCCGGTAAGACCCCTGCGAAATCGCTGTTGCTTGTACGCCATTTGAGCGCCTGCTAACTGCCATGCCAGATTTGTCTCACAAGCTCAGGGCGAAAACTCATACTTCTCCCCCGAACAGCTACCCTCCGCCGTCGAAGGATGCAAGTCCAATGCCTTGATGCGATGCTGCAAGGACTTGGGCATTGCCTCGGAACTGTGGGACCCTCACTTTGTACGATGGTTCAAGAAGAACTACATGGAGGAAGTGTGGGTTGAGCACGTCACAACCAAGAAGAAGCGATTGCAATGGTATAGAAAGGGCGACGTCGACGTACAGTACCCTTACAAGGTCAGCAAATAAAGGCTACCTCCGGTTTGATCTTATGGCGCTGAGCGGATATTACGATGATCTGGGCTTGGGGAGAGTTTACGATGCGGAAAATCACGGAAAACCGCTGTTAAAAAGAGGATCTTGACATGGTTATGAAAACTATGGTGCGGGTGGACTTGTACAATATTTGGAGACGATTTCTGTTTGATGCCAAGGAGCAGGCATTTTGGTCAGATTCATGGGCCCGGGTGTACAAAAGGGAAGGGCAGATGGCCAGCGCCCATTTGCACGAAGGGATCTTTCACTCCCCTCGATATATAATGACATAATATCCCAAAGAGCGCCAGGGGCCTCCATCTCTATCAGCAGGATCCATGCGTAGCTTCCCGCGACATGAACGGTGACAAGAGGTTTGTCTACGCGTTTTGTCCATACTCGCATATCAGCCATTTCCTCCGCCGCTCCAGTTCCTCCTAGTCATCTTGCCCCGAGCTCGTACCCCCGCTGCGACCCCAGGGCATCCACGAGCCGCCTGCGTCGTCGCCCCCGGCATGACGGCGCCGGAGATTGGACTCATCTTCGGCCCCGCTCTCGGCATCGATCTTCTCGAAGTCCGTCTCGCTGCGGCTCTTGCTCAGTCCGCTCCATCCACTGAGCCCACTAGGCGGTCTCTGCGTGACGTCTTCATCGCTTTCCATGTGCCTCGAGCGGGATCGAGACTGCGTCTGTCCGCCGCTTCGCTGAAGCTGCGCTGCTTCCCGATCAAGGGCGGTGAGGAGGACGTTGAGCTTGTCTCGTTGAGATGCGATGTAGGTCATCTTCTCATTCGAGTCTTGTATATGGGATGGGACTACCGATGCTGACGAAATATCGCCAGCCTCGTTTCGCGCCCCTGAACCGGTTGCCGCGGCCACGGCACCAGCCAACAGGCCGAAGAGGTCGGAGCCTACATTGCTAGGAGCAGAAGGCCTCGCCGCTGCCGGGATGTTAAACCGAGCGAGGAGCGATTGTGTATAGCTCTGGTAGGCGGGCGGAGCGGGAGGCTCGGGCTCGCTTGGAGGTAGGCCAAGGACATGTACTCTCAGGTAGTCAATGGCCTTTCGGAAGTAGTCGATGCCAGCCGCCTTGAGACGCTCATGGGCGCTGGCGATGAACTCGTCGATCTGCGATTCGTTTTCGCGAAGGAAAGGATGGATGTATGTTTCGTAGAGCACTCGAGCGCCCTGGGTTTGCGGTAGAATCAGGTATAAAAAGAAGAGAAGGCGGATGTAGCCGTAGAATGGGACCCTGACAGGCCAATTGCATGAATATCAGAGGACACAGCAAAGCTGAGGGGGTCACAGGGCGGCGTAAGACGAAGATGGTGGGAGCAGCTGTACGACGTACCACGCAAGGATGAAGTAGACCCAGGACTCCACAAGCAGGCAGCAGCTAAAGACGACCCAGTACATGAGCCATGGCATCAACTGCGCGGGATCTGAGGTCTTGAGAGCTTTGTATGAGGCGAAGATGGGGAAGAGGAAGGATGCGACAGAGCTGTTCGTTGCTTGGGGCGTTAGCGCTGCTTAGCAGTGACGGCATTGGCGGGGCAGACGATACGCACGATAAGAGCATCGCAAAGAGGTCGAACATGATTGCGGCGGGAGGACGAGGCCCGGCAAGGCCTTTTGACGTCCAAAAGGGGAGTGTTTGTGGTATATAAAATAAAAAAAGGCGAGGATATGCTTATAAAGATGTCTCTACTCCTCCGCAACGACGACGTGCACCACAGCGAGTTTGTGGAAATGGGCGAAGTGGTCGAGGCCGGAGTTCTGAGGTTGGGTGGGAGAAGGAAAGAGTTAGGCCCAACGGCGGCTTTTTGTTTCGGCCCAGCTTAGCCCAAAGCCAGAGCCAAAGCCTCCATAAGCCTGGAGCGAGGCGGATGGCGGCGCGCTGAAATGTCCCTTGGGCCGACCAGGTTTAGGCCTCTCAGCAGGGGTCGTTGGGCTGTCGTGTGAGCAGCAGGGCGAGCACCTGAGACGCTGAAAGCGGAAGAGAGCGAGCGCTGACGGCGTGGTGCGACGGTGTAGAGAGGCGCTCCCCGCAATTGGCGAGGCCTGGCGGTGCTCGTGACTGGGCTACTTGCGGCTGGAATTGCACTCTCTTGGGGATGACGCAGCGTGGTGTCTACCTAAGCAAGCCGGGGGTGAAGTTTGTATTAGTAGTAGCACGAGTACATTTATGTAGGGGGGTTTTAGCAGCGTAGGTAAAAAATAACACGAGGACTCGAGGAATGTTGACTGCAGGGTCACAGCGAATACCTACATGTAGACTCTATCAAGAAGATGGATTGGCAGTGAACAAGCTGGGCTGGGCTGGGTACATGTGCATAAAGGGACATTCACATGTCATTCAACAGAGCTGGGTTCAAATGCAAGTGTTAAGGTACATGTAATCTATTTTTAGCAATTCGAATTAATACCTAGAGGTCGCAGTATATTGCTTATTTGTAAGTTTATAGATACCTAGCATTTTGGGAGATGGAGTTTATACTCCATTTGACGCCCATTTTATCAACCAAAAATGCCAATCACCTCCGACCTCAATTTCCTTAGTTTACTCATATTAAGCCCTCTTCATCGTCAGGCTGTAGACCGATGTGGATAAGTTCCCGATCGTAGACCTTTATATCGCTTTTTGCTGTTCGCCGCGCCTCGGAATTGAAGCCGATGAATAGCAGCCTGGCAGTCGGTTAAAATAACGGCTTTGTGTGAAGTAATCGAAGCCTTTGTCATTGAGTTTCTTATTTTTGATATTGTAATTGCTAAAGCGCCTGCAATACCAGCCTATTCAGCCTCAAGATAATAGTTGCCTCCTGGAGGTACTGTAAAAGCCTTCACTATCCACTCATTGCTTTCTGTAGCTTTATATGCAACCGCGGCAGTTAGCTTGACCTTTTTCCGACGAAGAGGAGGATCACGAGATTGGTATTGTAGCTCTTTGGGGGAAACCTGGTGAACAGGATCCTGTTCACTCTCTCGAATATGAGCAGCACCATCAGTATAGAAGGCTATCTGTCGAACTTTGTTGAAGGATCAATTGCAAGAACAAAAATACGGCAATGTGCAGATCATCTGGCGCATTATATCAAATGGTTGGAAGAAAGACAGAACGACCAAGCAAACATCAACCAGGAAGTTGGTCAAACAGCAAGTCCCTCATGACAGAGAAGATGGAAGGTATTGAAAGAGAGCTGAAGAAGTTGCGCAAGAGGAAGCATTGCCGCGCATTTAAGACGGTGGAAGAGGAGGAATGACCGACTCATTGAAATAAACTAACTCATCTGCATCAACTTGATCATTTATTGGCAGACATTGCCTCAGCGAGATAGACTCAAGAATGATAGACAGTCAGTCAGGAACGATGGCAACGACAGCCAATAGTCAGTCACTTGATAAAGGAACGATGCCAGTAATAATGAAACATTTCTATCGCTTTTAAAATAGTTGCCTCCCTGGGCTGGATAACCAATTGGCCATGAAAGCGTAGAATGGATGTCGATGCGAAAAGGGCTGCTTCGGTTTGTATGCTGGTCTTTTCTCGTGGCTTTTTGACCATGGATATATGTTTCGCAGTTTCGCGAGAGATCTGCTTCTCGGGGTTTTTCTTCATTTTGAAGCTCTAGGCAAAGATGTGTTGTTGCGTTATTAGTCGGGGCGGTGTGTTGCTGGGTTGTGCCTTTTATATATGTGTCTGGTGTTTGGGAGGTTCGCCTAGTAATACCAGAGGAGGCTTCTTCAAAGTTCCCGCACAAACGCAAAGCAAAAAAAAAAAAAAAAAAAAAANAAAAAAAAAAAAAAAAAAAAAAATCAGTCACGTCAGGTGAGAGTTGAAGTTAAGTTTCGTTCTTCTCCCTTTTTCGATTGTCATCCTAAGTGGGAGAAGAAGCTTTTCCCTTTGGCGAACTTTTTATGCCTCTAATAGGTTCACAACCGAAAACCTTCTACTTGCTCTCGCAAGCATAGCCATCAGGGGATAAATAGTCATCAGAAAAAGTATGATGAACGATAGTTGAGTTCGTCTATGCTGGCCTCATAATGATCAGCAAATTTGTCTTTGCTGTGGTACTTGTATTCGAGAGAAGATACATTGTCATTGATGAAGCGTTGCTGGCAAGAATAGTCATCTGGTCCTGTATTTATGATTATAATCATTTGTCGCACTGCTCTTTAATGTTGATTTGTAATCTTCGTGGTATGAATAGAACATATTGTGCTGGAGACAGAGATATAGCCCTGATATGTCCCCTGATTTAGGACAGCCAAATTTTGCGGTATGTCTTGACACCTATGATAACTATAGTATATCACCTACAGCTCATGATCTTAGAACATATTTTTCAACTAGCGGGTTTTATCAGATCGGGGATTCTGGCAAACTTCAAACAATGAAAGGGCATCTTTGTCATAAATTGCAACAGGCATTGATGTTTGCTTAATACTGTTTTAGATAGGTTCTGAGGAGGACCGAGAGGGAACCATCACCGCTTCCAAACAGATGATATGGAGAAGAGAATATTAAGCTAAATTACGAGTCAACAATCATAATTCAAGAGATCCTCTGTGGCGCAATTGGCTAGCGCGTCTGACTGTTAATCAGGAGGTTGGAAGTTCGAGCCTTCCCGGAGGAGTCTTATATTTTTGCCATTTTCCCTTCCGTTTGTATTCTTTTTTTTTTTTTCCCGTTTTCGTTCTTTGGTCAAGTAGGGCTTGTTGATTTCGATTCGTCATTATGAACATGTTTTGTTGCATACTCTTCCTGGAGATCTAACGAGCTAAACCAGCAGTCCACTTGATGGAGTCAATACAATCGCTACGAAAAATGTACACATAAAATTGAAAAAATATATATGCAATGCTTCCTCGTGGATCAATTAAATAAGAGTCTACTTTTCTACAGTAATTGCTGGGCCTGCTGCCACAAGCCCTGAACAAGATGTACTATTTCGCTCTCATCTCATATCATGGCCGATCTGGCCATAGCTCCCTCGCAATATCCCTAACTAGCCTCAGCTTTACAAACATTTTCTCCTCTGTCATCCCCTCCGCGCCAATAGCCACACTGGCAAATCCGCATTGCGGGCTGATACCAATGTTCTCCATAACCTCCTCGACGCTGCGTTGTTGGCCGTCTGCAATAATCTTTGCGGCCTCCAGGACTCGCCGCTTAATCTCCTGGGGATCTTCAAGCTCGGGATCTTTAGTTGTGACTACACCAAGGACGACGTTTTTGCCCTTGGGGAGGAAGCGCAGAGGCTCGAAGCCGCCGGACCTGGCGTTGTCATATTCGAGGAAGAATGTATCGTAGTTGAGGGCGGTAAAGAAGCGTTCGGCGATCTTCTCATACGAACCTTCACTGAAATGAAGCGACTTGGAAAAGTTGCCTATTGGAAAACACGCAAAGGTTAGAATGGGTCAAAACCGCTATTCCTTCACCCAGAAACCGATATACCAGGCTGAGTGGGGAGGGGGGGGGGGACCAGTATCACAACTCACCTCGGCAGATATGAAGCCCAACATGGAGACCTTCAGGGCGATTTGCAATACAATCATTGTGAGCCTTTAGGTATAAATCAAACAGCTTGTCCGGATCTGATCCCTCGTTCCGCAACGACTCTCGCATCTCATCCGAGCAGAAATATGCCAACGTCGGGTCATCGATCTGCAGATTACGCAGGCCCTCATCGTACAAGGTCTTAATCTCCTTCTGGTACGCTACTGCCAAGTCCGCAAAGAAGTCCTCGTCGCAAGAATACGCTTCAGGGCTGTAGCATTTGCCCGGAGCCAGCCTCAAGTGAAAATAACAGGCCGGGGGCATCGTGAATTTACACTCAGCCCATTGCTCCTGCGGTACAGTATCGCGCAGCAGGCGCCAGTTTTCAAGATACGGGCTGCTCTCGTAGCGGATTTTGCCTTCGCAGATGGCGGCCATGGGATACTGCTGTCCGGTTTTCTTAAGCGCGGCGATGGGCGGCGCGGAGAGCCTCGTGAGCTCCCATGGCACGGGGCTGACTTCACGGAAGCCCGTGAGCTTCTCGAAGAATCCTGAAAAGTAGTATTTGCGGTCGAATTCGCCAGAGGACAGAGCTCTTATTCCGTTTAACTGCTGTTTTTTGACGATCTCTTTGATGACTGATTGCTGGACTTGAAGGAGCTCCTCTGCGGAGGCTTTACCCTCGTCGAACCGCTGTTGGGCTTCAGACACAGAGTCGGGGCGAATCAGAGAGCCGATATGGTCTGCGTGAAAGGGAAGTCTCGCCATCTTTACTCGTTATTCGTCGGACTTCGAGGTATGCTCAGGACGTCGCTGTGAGAGAGAGACGAAAATGAAGCCGCAAATGTTCGGGCGACACAAGCCTCAATATATGACAACATACAAACTACTTATCTTTAACTTGCTAATCATTACGAAATATGTACGTTGCCAATTACATCAATTGCTGAGATAGTCCCACAACTAGTGATGCGACAAAAAGTCGTTCCCCCGCAGTTCTCAGTCTGTAATGTGCGGAGGACATGTCCATAGCTCGTGGAGCTTCATCGAATCGACGCAGGAGCAGCACCATTCAACGAAGGCCGCTGTGTGATGAGTTCCCCCCAAGCGCTGCAACTCCGGTGGGGTTCGTTTAAATGCCAGCGTCTGCTAGCGTATCGGCAGCTATTCGCGGCTGTGCATCTGAATGAAGTGCATCCATACTCGAGATATGGATTTGCAAGGGTCTTGCGATCGCCCATTACGGCACGACTCCATCTTCCGGATAAAATCATCTTGATGGAGATGGAGGGGCTAAGACTGGCTTCTCCTCATCGCGGGACTTAATGGCCCGATGCAGCGAATGCCATGACTCGTATTAACCCAAAGAGTGACGGGACAAAAGTGGCATTGTGGCAACAGCCTGTAGATGGAGAGACTTGATTTTTTTTTTTTTTTTTTTTTTTGGCTTACCATGATATTAGCAAGCACGCTAAGGATTTTGATCTTGGAAAATGAAGTTGATGAAGATTCCTTCCCCGAGGCGAAACAGAAGAACCTCTAGACTTGAAGAGGAAATATGATAGATTCGACAGCCTTTCTTTCTAGTACAAGGTTAACGATTGTATTTTGACTGAAGATGCTCTTTATAGATCCTTGTGAATTTATGGCAATGTTTTTAAAGAGATCTTGAGTGTAGAAACGTCTGGTTTTGTTTTTAATTTTTCTGGATCCAGTGTGGAGTAACAAGCTTTACTGATTGATAGGTGCGTGTATGCATCATATCTTCCATGATATAAGCTTGTGTCCATGTACTATTACCTCAATAAAACCATCGCATCTTGCAAGAAAAATGTCTAGTAAAAGACTCAATTGTTTACTTCCTAACATCTCTTCCAGTACTATCATTGAGAGTTTAATGCAACCCAAGTTTACCAGGCAGTTCATGCTACCCTAGAGGGATCACTCCAGTCCAGTTTATGACTCTGAAGCCAACGGCTTTTTTGTGATTAATGAAGTAAGCTGAAAATATACCCTAGTACTTGAAGCTGTAGTTGTGTTATAGCTACTGATCCGACCGCGCGTCCATATTTGACTTTAATGCTCGTAGAGCTTGTTTCTGCAAAAGAAACTGCACACTAGCACTTCAATAGTTAGCATTCTCTTCTGGGAGCCACTTGGCTCTCTTCAGACCTTTATAATATCTTTGCAAAAGTATTATTTTGATTTTCTGTTTATACAGCGCGGCCATGCAATCCCATATTGCGGAATATTGCTTAGGCAATAGTTGATAGACTCTCACGACCCCACCTTCGACGCTGGCCTATTCTGCTCAACGTAGATGTCATTCTTTTTCAAGGCATCGAGCTTACTATGATGTGAAGTAGTTCGTACTGATACTAAATTTCATCATAGTATATATTGATATAATTATAACTATGAGTGTGGTCATCTATATATACCGAGCCTTATAATAGAGACAATTGTTACACGTATAGTGAGTTCACTATAGGTTGCGGTTCTCGGCTACCTTGTTTTAGCATTGGTTATTCTCCCTCCCCTCTTATAGGCCAGTATTTGGCCTACTATTCTTGCTCGCGGTCGTATTGGCCACAAGAGCAAGTTTATCGAACCTATTGGTAGACACTGTAATTCGTTATCAGCTCCTGCATAAGCCACGAACGTTCTTCGTTTTCTTTGTCCTTCTCTCTATATAGAACTGTTGCCTAGAAATGATGCTGGCCCAAGTGTTTCTTCAAAGCAAGGCAATTACTAGGTGCCACTATGTTGGGTCGGGGGACAGACTTGGCCTGTTCCGATAGTATGGTTCGGCGATAACCCGTGCGCCCACGGACATTATTAGTATGATTGCGAACGGTTTTGACATCGTTTCACGCTCAAGGCCTACATAAGATGAATGTCCTCTACTTCTTTCCATGGCATAGTCGGAAAACTTACCACTGATGACTTGATTATAGATCCATTTCCAGGATTCCATCTCTCAATTATCTAACTGCCACCTATAGAGACGCAAGATAGGAATCGAAAGCAAAGAATAAATCATTTAAAGTGGTTAGTAAGCTGAGTACGCGTGATATATTCTCCATGCACCTGTCGTCAGACGGGGCAATGTTCGGACCGCATAGCGGCTGGATGATATCCGCCAATTCGCTCAGACGCAAAGTCTTGACCCAACAGGCAATATTGGTGCGTACGAATCTTGGGTGACAAGGGGCAAAAAACCTCACAAGAGGAGCCTGGAAAGGACAAGTCGTCGGAATAGATTGCAACCTCGCCCCAGATGGCCTACTCTCCTAATCTTGATCCGGCGAAATAACCGACGACTAATGAAGCAGTTGGAGTTGCCAGTAGCAAACAACTCTGCAGGAATACGAAGTAACTCAAGAATTTTTTCCGTCTGAGAAGCAAAGCGCACGCACGCACGCGTTCCATCACAAGTGTGATATACTGAGCTGTTTCTGGCTCATGACAGTGAAGCAAGCCTCACAGTATCGTGGGAGGGCTTATAGACAGACACTGACATTCCACTAGAGCCGGCGGAGAATATGCCCGATAGGGTAATCACATGTTAATACCGACACCTACAAAGAACGAGAGTATTAGTTAGAATATGGCTCTACTATAATAATTCTCTGCAGGTTGGCCTGGGCTGAGCAGCCATCAAATCGAATGAATCCCTGCTGGAGGCTTGCATAGCAAAGCCACCCGAAATAGGTATGAGCGCTTTACATGCATGCAGTCTCTGCCACGTTGCTGCCATGTTCCGCCATCCACTCTCTAACACGCAAATGGAAAACATTGCGTTGGCATGCCTGACTAATATGGAAGAGACGAAGACATGGCTTTGTACTAAGAGGAAGGAGAGGAACCGTAGCTGCCTCCGTATATACTTCGCACAATACTCGTAAATCTGTTCGTATCCATGTCAACAAGTATCTCTAGCTTGGTGCCACTGTGGAGCTGTAAAATTGTCAATGCTGGCCAATATTAGGGTGGATCAGTAGCTAAACAAAGGCGCTGTCTAGCGTTCCTTTCCGTCGGGTCGGGGCAAAAGCGTCAAAGCCGGCCTCAAGATATTCTTAGCAGTGAAGGAATACGCCTACCGGTAGCAGAATGGGGGCCACAAAGCTGTCAAGATGTGGAACCAGTGAGAAAAAAGATGCTCAGATGTGATAGATCGCTAGGCTGTTTTAGTAGGGCATCCTTATGCCGTTTAATGAATGCTATGCTGTCGCATCACGGCGATCTAAGAACAGACAGGATTCCATCCTTGTCTTTGTCTTTCTTGGATAGGTCGGCAGCGTGAGATATTGCAATGCATAGATAGGTACCTTATATGTCGAAGAGAGAGAATATAAATTCCAAGGGCTGCGTTAGCCGGAAGTTGGGTTGGTCTGCGGATGAGCAAACTTTTGTCCCGGCTTGCACCTTATGGCGAGACGAGCTAGAAAGCAGCAAAAGCGGCGACTGCAGCTACTGCATTATTGCTAGTAGTTGGCGGCAAACTGCAAGCTCGAGGGCTGCTAATCGCAAATCAAATAACATGTAGGTACTAGTGGCAGTAGAGAGCATCAGGTAGTACTTTTAGGTACACATGTCGTATCTATGAAGTCCATGTATGTGCATTCCATCTGCGGTGATGGCGCCTGCCGCAGGGAAGCTGCTTGAATGGTAGGCACTACTTGCATGGAGGCGTTCCTTCTGTGAGTTGCCATGCTAGATGCGGAAGTAATGCGGTAGGAAGGCGCGCTTCTAGAAGAGGCGAATGCATGGAAGTTGCAGAGGAGATTGAGCTCCGTAAGTAATACATAGGTACCTATAGTAAGCAGTAGAAGCAGGTTCGTGCCTTATACGAGTAGCATTCTCGGCCAACTGCGCGAGCATCCTCTCGTTCTTCATCACGGATTCTGCGCCGAACAAGCGAATCCACCGCACTTGCGCACTTCTAAAGTCAGCAAGACTAAGACAAAGAAATTGCAAAAATTCGCCGACGGACGGAATAATGAAACTAAACCGCGCCAGCCCGCGCCAAGTCAAGCCCTCTGGCTCGGCAGCCAAGCGGTTCTGGAAAGCCCGCCGTCGGCCGAACAGTATCAACTACGGAGTATAATTCGCTGCAATGCACCAGACCCATTCCCTCGGTACCACCTAGCGCCAGGACTATGCCGCACTGCCAAGTCACACTGCTTGTACTCTCCATAGGCTCATCTACCTGAAGAGGAGAAGAAGCTCAACAAACTGACACCTAAAGTTGATTGGGATGGGGCTCAGAGGACTCGAGAATTTCAAGAAGATACTTTTTGGTCAGAATTTCGGTCTATAACAGCCACTCAGCAGTTGCATCAAAGTCACGCCATCCCCACGAGCTTCTATCGGAATGATGTGCAAACATTGGCTTCAACCTATGGCTAGTGGGCCGGCGCGCCAACACCAAGCTTCGCCAGCGGTTCAGGGAAATATGACGCTGCGGGCGCCATGCTTTCCCCTCCCAGAGACTGTGCCAGCCCGCGGGGCTGTCCTGGGGACCTCATGGCCACCAAGCCATATAAAGCTTTATGCACGACGACCAAGATATAGAGAAGACATTGAAATTTTTGTATATGGAGCATCGAGATACAGCATAGAACATAGCACACCTACCACGGCTCGGGGAAGAGTGCCGGGCCACGTTATTACATGATACCAGTGCCACGTACTCGGATCTGGTCCGAGCCCAGATTCGTTGCCTTGTTGGAATGAATAGTTCTCGCATGTTGACAACAGAAGAGCGGCCTCGTGGTTATTCAAAATTCACCCAGCTAATCCCAGCTAGCCTAGCCTTCAAACTGCGTTCCTTTTTCTTCTCCAACTTTGTACAAGTAGTGGCCGGAATCGAGGATCAGCTTCGGACCCGTGGGCGGCCTGCTTTGAGCCTGTCTAGCTTCTCTGCGTAGTGTTGGCCTAGGCCAATCCCTGTCAATGTCATCTTCCTCGTGGTTCCTGGCACTTCGCTGTAATACTTGTACTCCGCTATCAGGTGCTTGTACACCAATCACCCTGCGCTTTAATTTCATTTCCCTTTGACTCGGATCCCTGCCTTAGGCGTGCTATGAGGCAAGTTTGAAAGCCAACTGTGCTTCAGGCGGCTTCTGTTTGCGGGAGTGTGAATCTGCCACCTGCGAGATTGCGAGATTGCGAGATTTGGCGCCGACCCAGGGTTTAAACAGCAGCAAGCACTCGCTGCGTTGCCGGCCTTGCAGCGCTACTGCAAGAGACTGCCACCGTGACCCGACTGGTACAGCAACCCTTCTGTCCTTTCACGCAGGCCCCATCGTCGTCTTCGTGGGCCGGGCCTAGCGCCGTCTAGTTGACAAACCCACGCCATCTCGCTGAGAAGAGCCGCCGTGTGAGAATCGTACATTAGCTGGCGATGCCCCGGTAGGCTAGACGACATTACCCATCCGTTTCTTACCTGGCGACAGCTCTATCCCTTACAGCCGCTGTCGAGACACTATCCGGCTGCTAGCTCTCAGCTGCGTTCCCGAGCCTGGATGTCGATCTCGAATGTGGAGGAGACCACGGGATCGCCAATTGTTACTCGCAACGTTGTATTCATTCGTATACCTGTCACGCTCATCCATCGATCACTGAAAAAGCGTTTCCTTGGATCATAGTTCTTTGGCATCGATACACGCACCTTATTCAACTCGCACTCTGCACTCACCAGCCACCTGCTGCCTTTAATTCACATTATAACGCATGCCTACAATACCAACTATTGCCTAGATATATCTCTGCAAACTGTCTTCCTACAACTCTAACCGAACCCCTTTCTTTTCTTTCGGCATCTAAACAATGATAATCGACGATGACAGCAGCGGGTCGATCCCAAACACTTTCGGCCGACCTCCGTCACCAGCCTCTACCGGCTCAGCCATCACTGTCGGCACATCACAGAACGCCCTTCTGATTAAAAGCCTGGAGCAGGGCGAATATATTCCTGACGATGAGTCATGGGACGAAACGCGTAGCCTTACCGACAGCATCCGCCAGCATATTGTCGATGGCGGCCTACGATATCATGCGTACCACGCTGGGCAATACGCCTTCCCCAACGACGAGACAGAACAGTATCGAGACGACCTCAAGCACAACCTGACCATCCACCTTTGCGAAGGTGCCTATTTCTTTGCTCCCATCCATGACCGGCTGCTGCAGCCTGGTGCTGAAGTTCTTGATTTAGGTGTGTTTTTCTAGGACATGTATAAAAATCTTACTTTCGCAGACGACTTCTCCAGAGCCCAGTTTGTTGTCTCTCTTTCGGACTCTGGTTTGTCAAAAGTCAAACCTTGCGCTAATAGTAAGGATTTAACAGGTACTGGGACTGGAAAATGGTCGATCGAATGTAAGTAACTCCTAAAACGACGGCTTAAAGGTGCTACAACGCCCTGACGGGTCAGAATTATCATTTTCTTACCTATTCGTATCTGCTATGCTTTGCGTTATTGTGTAAATCTGATTGTTCTAATCTTTCCCCCTCTCTAGTGGCGGACATGTATCCTAATGCACAATTTCATGGCATGGATTTATCACCAATCCAACCTGATTGGGTACCCGAGAATGTGCTTTTTGTTGTTGATGACATTGAACATGAAGCTGGATGGACGTATCCTGAAAACTCATTTGATTATATCCATATTCGTCACACCTGTCACTCAATAAAGAATCGAGCTGAGCTTTGGGACCGAGTTTACAAGCAAGTTTATTCGCCTCTCTCCTTGGACCTGCCCTTAGGGTGTCTAGCTAACGTTTATCTCTCCTTCAGGCATCTGAAACCAGGCGGCTACGTTGAAGTTCAAGAGTTTCAATACGCTGCCGCTTGCGACGACGAGTCATGTAACCAGCCATACGCTTGGCGCGATTTCTTGCGATTTCTGGCAGATGGACTTGCCGCCCTTGGCGCTAATCTCCATGCCATCTTAAACGTCCAGGATGAGCTTGCCGCTGCCGGTTTCCAAGGTATTCGGCGGGTAGATCTAAAGTGCCCCAACGGTCCGTGGCCCAAGCTAAGACGTCTCCAAGAGTGTGGTCACATCCTCCGAGATGTCATCATGTGGGGTCTTGTTGGGCTGGCTAGACGACCCTTTATGCTTGGACTGGGATGGACCACTATTCAGATCGAGATGTTCCTCGTCGATGTCCGCAAGTCCATTATTGCAGAAGAAAATGGCTTGCCTAAATTCCACTCATATTTCCCTTTCCACAGCATATACGGCTACAAACCTCTTGACGCTGCTTTAAATTAGCCAACCATGCGCAATTTTCAATAATACCTCTCTGTTACGACGATATACGATTAAAGATTCAAGACATATGTGCGGCCCAAAATTTTGGATTGACGTGCTCAAAATTGGCTATGGACCAATTGTGAGAAATGCGTTTATGATATTCGCCATTTTTATTTCGGGACGAAAGCATCAGTATAATGACCTTACTCTCACCTAATTTCATCTTCTATGATATCTGTCTCTGGACATGAACACGGTATCTTTACGTCTTAAATACCATTGGATTGCATATAGAAGATGGTGGGAGTGTTGCGGTATGTACAATGGGGTTGTTGGTTTAAACGTGGGCTGAAGTGGGAGTTGCTTGAGTGTTCGCTATGCATATATCTCTGATAGCTTTTGTATCTACGGCACAGCAGGCAGTAATCTCCTATTCTCATTAGCGAAACTAAACCAATAGCAACCAAGGCCGATCTGGCGACTAGCTACTAGTTGTGAAGGCGACTTTAGGTCTATTTGGGGGGTCGTGTTAATCGCGTTGCTTCCTATACGAATAGATTTATCATCATTCATTGACGCTGGATTGCAAACTTCATATATTACACGGGAGATAGATCGAGAACAAATGGCAAGAGATAAATATAAATGATGAGTAGCCTGTGAGCCAGCTTGACTTGTAAGGTAAAATGTGGTTCACGCGTCACAAGGCTTAGAATTACAACGTAATTAGTTGGAAAAGACTGATGAGGAAAAGGTGATGTGATGGAATATGGATAGTATTGGGAATAGGAACATATAAGTAACCAGATTGATGAAATAAGTGAATAATTAGACCGGCTCTGCTTCTGTCCTATGCTTGCAATTTTGGGGGTGATGGCAAGCTCCGTTTTAGTAAGGACACAAGCCGGATTGGATTGCATTGAAGTATAGGTATTGTAAGATTTCTGTTGGAATTTGGTATATTGCATAAGCCGTGCTGAATCTCCAGTCATGATGGTCATGATTCGTCGTCGTTGGTCCCTGTTGTGTCTCTAAATTTTGTAACAACGTTGAGAGCCATAGTGCCTTCTATACGTAGTTGAAGTGAAGAAATAGATGCATTCTAGAACAATGATTTGACGCATTCTATTTCTTTTCGTCGTCGTTACACTCTACATTCTCGCTTCAAATCATTAGAATTATTTGCATTTAATGCGTTCTGAACACAAGTCGATTGCGAATACGGCGCTTGATGTTGACAGAATTGGTATCTCACAATGGTAATTGAGAAGATTACTGCCAGTATACTGTATAGCAGGCTGTTTTGCTTACTCTATTGATGATTTGGAAATGATTGAAATGTATATGAGGTTTCGCAAGCAACAATACCAAGACTTTGCGGTTCAGGGGACTGGTTACTAATGAACAGTATCCATACGCGATCTTAATTACGCAATACATCTCTTCACAGCCTTTTTCTACACTCTAGCCTCCACCTTGAGCACTTCCGAACATATGATCCGATCGATCGGCGCTGTTCACCCCCCGACCCGGCCCCGCCAGCCGGCCGCCGACAAGCCCTGCCGGAGATGGCTCGGTAGCTCTATCTAATTTCGGCTTTTCACCACTGGGCGAACCGCATCAGGTACACGAAGAAGGCAGTATCACGGAATACCAAACGCACATAAGCGAGAAAGAAGAACGACAGGTGGAGCGGCACTCGCATGATTTACCACATTGATGTATGCCGGCCGCCGAGAGAGACCATGGAGGAAGGCGAGCTTCGGCTACACGCAGGTTTTGGTTGATACCCCCTACTTTTACCCTCTCTTGAAGCCATTTGGGGCACATGAACTGTTAGACGGCTGCATGATTTAGCGGCATACAATGTACGCCGTGGGAAAGAACCCAATATATGCAGCGTGCCGAGCGCATAAGCGTCCAAAAAAGAACCAAAAATTCATTTTTTGCCCGTTTTAGCAGCAACATCTGGCAGCTGTGTGGAACGCCGGCATGAACAGGTTACATCAAAAAGTCCAATACGGAATGAGGGAAGAGTGTTTTGTGCCCGCGCGGTTCTAAATCCCTGGGTGGTGTATTCCAAACTGGCAATTGTGTGTGACTGATGATGACTCTCAGCCATGTAGTAGTATTGGCCCAGCCGAGTGAGCATGTAAGACGTCAGATTCCTTCAACGCAGTCATGCATAGGGGTGCTATGACGATTGCTCCTTTTCACTCTCTATTTTTTTCAGTAGTTCGTCTCTGACATAGCCCTATGGAGCATATGGACCTGCATTTCTCATCCGATGTCTTGGGATCTCTTGGTTCTTCCTGGATCCTTGTCGTGATGCAACACGCCCACAGCCCACAGCCCACAGCCCCTCGGCATGAAGCAGGACCGAAAAGTCTCATCCCTCTTCAGCTCGTTTTCTCCATAGATACCCACTCTTGTGGAGGAATTAAAAAAAAAAAAAAAAAAATAGAACTCAAAGGAGAAAAGGAAAGGAAAATTCACCGCAGACTGTTGCATCCACTTGTGCACACGCAGGCCATTAAACCAGGTGGAGCCATGATTGGCCTCACGGTTGCAAATCCCTCCTCTCGTTGCTGCACCCTTTTCATCCACAGCCTGTCAGGTGAGTGGATTATGCAAGTCATCCACCTAAGCGCCCATATACCCAGGCCGTGCTCTTGGTGGTGGTACGTCTTAGCTAGAGAGCAATTGTGCAGCCACGTTATTTTCGAGAGGGGGGCCGGCAGCGTGGCTGGCTGGGTAATCGCGGCTTTCGGGGCGCTCCGAAACTACTGGCCCCATCCATGTCTGGATTTTATTTTGATTTATACAGGTGCCCAACCTAACTTATGCGTCTGCCGTTGGGAGCCAAAACAGTACGCTGTGCTACGGCGTGGTTTATGACAGGTTATTCGTGCCCATATAGACACCCAAGCTGGGCTCACAAAAGCGTGAGAGGGGTAAAAAAACAAAAGGAACGTGGACAGAGAGAGGCGAGGATCAAAAAGAAGCGGCCAACGCGCCAATGCGCAAATATTCTTCCAGTGTTTGATGAAGAACGCCCGGGGTGCCCGATATACTGCGTATTTATCTCCGTGGCTAAGACAGGGTTGAAGAGCAGAATCCTCCTCTCCTTCCACCGGGTGATACCAGCTCCTTGTAAGCTCAACCAACGCAACGTGTGAGGTGATGTGTCTCCTAGTGACACAATATTGTGGCTCCAGCAGGCGTAGATGATTTACGCCTCTTACTCAAGGGCAAAAACGAGCATGTGGTGATACAGACTTTCTTTCAGCTCGCTATCCCTCAACTCCGAGACCTAGAGCCCTCCAATGACAGCGGTAAGGTGATATATAATAATAGACACTAATAGGAAACAAAACATCAAATGGGAAGCAAATACAGAGAGTGAGATAGAGCGTAAAACTAGGAAAAATACGTTCTCCGCATGAAGCCTAACCCATCACAGAAGCAAAAATGCAGAGAGAAAAAAAGAAGATCATGGAGGGGAGTGTGCTTAAGCAGCCCATTTCTTTCCCCTCTTTCGATTGCGCAAAAAAATATCGTGTCGTACAGCGCAGGTCCTTCGGCTCGACTTTGGATGCATTGATTACCTGTTTGATTAGATTAACTACTGCCACCTTTTACTATTATTATTTTATTAGTCCTAACAGCGCTTGTATTTTTTTTTCTTGCTCTCTCTATTTCCCACGTCAGCCAATACTGCATATGCAAGTTACAACCTGAACAGGATGAAAATGGAACGGCTCAGCTCTATAGAAGAGTGAGGCTGACGGAAAAATCCATAGATGGGTTTGCTTGCTAGGCGGCATTCCAGCCTGATGGGAAGAGAGACTGGAGACCGATATACGAGACAGAGTGGCTGGATTTTTGCGTGCTCTGCCGTCATGCTGCAGATAGGAACAGCAGAGTTGAAATCCCGAGACAGAAAATAGTACTACTACTTTGTAAATGGCAATTATGAGAAAAAAAAGGGGAGAGCTGTTTTTGTCATACTTCAAGGTGGCCAATATCACCGCCCGCAAGACAAGACGGCACACATTTTTTGCTACCTACCTAGCCGTGAGACAGTGGATTTTGAGACAAGCACAGCCTCCGAGCAAGCACGGCGCACGTATTCAGAAATTGCCCTTGGCTTAACTTGCCGCGGAATTTTTTTGCACCAGGCACTTGGTTAGAATAGTGAAATAACATCTTGATTGAGAAAATGGATTCCAATTTGCAGTCTTCTACTGAACAGTGCCTTGGCTCAAACTGATATTCGCCTGATCCCGCTTCTCCATCAATCTCATCATACGTCGTACTCATCTCCCGACCCCAGCCAGAGGAAATCCCCCCCCCAAAAAACAAAGAAAACAAATCCAACACTATATTGCACTGTAAAAACCTGAAACATTCGGGCCCGTCTTGTCTTGCTCTAGGGTCGTACTCGTCACATGTGGACAGCCCACCCTCATCCTTCTCTACTCTGGCTACTTTGTGCTTCCTATGGTCATGCATAATGATATGAGCGAAGAAACAGAGTGAACAAAGTACCGTAAAGAGAATCGTTATTCCTGAGACGCGCAAACGCCACGCCGAGACATCATGTTTAACATTGTAACGGCGGGTTGATCCAGTCCCTCAGCATGAATCTGTTGTCTCTACGGGACGTCATTGCCCCATAAGGATATGTATCGTGTGTATCCATTTGCAGCCTCCAGAGATTTACATAAAACTAACAAGACATCTATCCACCAGACCTGCATGCAGGGCATGGCCCCTACTCACCACTCCACAAAAAGCCTACAGCAGAAATTAAATAGCTGCAGTAGAAGTCATTAACATGGCATCACATACATGAAATGGACACTGAAAGTAATATGTAATAGAGGGGATAAAAATATATTCGCGCTCATAAACCAAAACCATCATCATTGTGCAGTATACTAAAATTCTCCATCTAGAAGTTCCCAATTTCTGAAAAGAAAAATCACTCTGTAATAAATCCATATTGCCACAGCGCATTAAACCGAAGACATTGAAAGAAAAGAAAAAGAAAAAAGTCATGTAAAACAGACAACCTCGCCACCTTGTCGTCGCCAATTTTTTGTTCCGCTCCTCCTCTCCTGCTCGCGACGCGCCCGAAATGATAACGCTGGGTATCTCTAGATGGAAAAATGCCCCGTGTCTCGGTGTCTCCTCCGCGTGTTCATTGGTGGTAGTACAGGTCGCCCATAAAGGAATCTTTCTTTTGAATAGCCGAAAGGAAAAAAAAAAAGAAAAAGTAAAGAAAAAAAAAGAGTAAAGCATAAAAAGCCGTTCATCGCTCCGAGAGGCCGAGTTCAGAAAACAAAGGAAAAGAAAAAAGAGTCCGTAAGACTGGGTATCCATAGGAAATCCTCGGACGGGAACGATAACAGCAAGCAGTAGTATTAGTGTACAATCTCTTGTCTTCTTGGCCTTTCCATCCTGCGGAGTAGGCCCATATCCAACTTCGATGGTCCGGAATCCTGGGGAAGTTGCCAATTTGGTGAACATTAAAAAGAAGGATTAAAACGTTACGCGAGATGCTGAAAGAGTCCAGGGCAAATTCGTATACATCTCCTTTTGGGGAAGAAGGTTTAATCCCGGAGGAATTCCTCTGGGTTTATAGTCATCCTGGATTGGAAGGATTAGGGATTTAGGATTGCTCCAGGTCATGATTAGAGATGATCCATTTAGGAAGATGGGTTTGCCAGAATACTCTCGCAGTTGGCATCGAATCTCACGCTGAACAATCTCAAGCTCTGCATGAACTTCTCCGTCTTGTTCAGCTCCCGGTCACGGCCAAAGAGGGTGTCGACAAACTCGACACCGGAGTTCTTGCCCAGGCCTGACTGCTTCTTCTTGGCAGCCTTGAGCATGGGAGCCTCACATGCCTTGAGCAGCGAGCGGAGCTTATCTGTGAGACGCTCACCAGACTCGATGAACTCATTCATAATCTCTCGGTTCTCGGCGCTTCGCACACGGCCAATGATATCCTCTGCACGCTTGACCTTTCCGGAGAGCTGAATCAGAAGAAGCCAGAGTTCGCCTGCCATGTCGGCAATGGGAGAGTTGGCACCGGCTCGGTAGACGGTCCAGTCGTAGATCCACTTGCCAAGGCTGTTGGCGTCAAAGACGCTGCCAAGAAGGAGAATGGGCTCCTCTGTCGGGTCCCAGTTCTTGAGGGAATAGCCCGTTGGAATCCGGTGCTTTCGAGCATCGGCCTCGGTAGCCTTCGGTGATGGTGCAGCAGCGGCGGCGGCGGCTTTGGCGCGGTAAGCCTGTGCGGAAGGGCGAACGGTGGATGGCCTCTGCGGGACGTTTGCCGCTGCTGACGAACGGCGAGTGTGGCCGTGGCTGGTCGGAGGACGGACATGGGAGGCGGGGATGTGCGACTGCGGAGAGTCGTAGGCGTCACGGTAGTCGGCATAGTAGGCTGCGGTACCCTGTGGGTAGTCGTCGAGATTAGTGTACCGTATCCCCTCATAATCATAGACATGCGAGTTCCTGCGACCCTTTGCTCGTGACTCGGCAAGCAGCACATATGTACGCCCCGAAGCCTCGAATATCTCGTCCTCGTCGGATTCTCCAAACGGAGTTGCAGCCCGGACATAGGTGTGAGAGAATCGGCGGTCGCGCCAGGCAGGAAATTGAGACGACCCGGAGGGCCCGCGCGATGACGAAAAATGTTTGGGACTCACATCAACCGTGGCATACTGGCCGGAGCTGTTGTATCGGGGCGAATCTACCGGAGCGCGAGGCGTAGATGCGCCGCCTTGAGAATAGCTGCTGGCCCGGCTGTGAGCTGCTCGAGTGGCTGGTCGTCGAGGCGTGGTCTCGAGCCAGCTTGGCCGCGGTGATGGGGTTGGAGTGGCGGACGACATTCGTGTGTATTCCCACTCGTGGATCGGAGTCGATCCAGGTGTTCGTGGTGATGGATAGTTCATTCTGTGTTTGTGTGTGTGTGTGTGTGTGTAACGGCTTCCTCTGCGATGTCCGCTCTATGACACTCGCTCCACAACCTCTTCCTCCAACGAAGGAACTGCTGTTCGTTGACGGTGTATATCGATGAGGATGCTGGCTGCTGTCGTCCGGCGGATAATAGCAAGGCGGAGAGCTGACGAGGTTTGAAATGCTCAAACTTCTGTTCTAATCTGCTCTCAAAGGGGATGGATGGGGGGATACAGGGAATTATGGGATATTAACGCGAGGATGTGCAACAAGAAGAAGCAATAAAAAGCCCGTCACCTTGGTATGTAATCGGAAGAGTAAAAGTGAGAAGAGTTACGTCTTGCGTCAAACATGACCAATCTACAACAGGATGGTTTTATTCGTCTTGTCTTCCCGGATAGAAGCGAGCCAGAGTCCGACGTTGCGGCCTGGCGGTGGTGAGATGGGATGATTGTGGATGTAAGGGAGACGTCGGCGCTCTCAGGGTCGACGGTGCATGGATAGCTGCGATGCAGGTGGAGATGCGATGCGGTTCATTGGCACAGGCCAAAGCGATATCAAGAGTGAGAGGTCGGAGGAGGAAAGAATGCAGCGCGGGCACGCATTCGAGGTATATATTGTGGACGCTGATAATTTTTGCCTTGGGTGTGGGCAGCCTGCAGCGAGCAGGGAAGGCCGTTAGTGAGTTTGGTGAGAGAGGGCAGGCATCGCTAGCGCCAGTAGCACCGGCATGCGACAGGGGCCCGGGGGCGGTGGAGGGGGCGTGCGGGTAGCAGAGGCCTGGCTTAGTCACTGGCGGCGGCGGTGGAACCTTCCGGCAGCGGCCACACAGTGCTGGAAGCGTCGTGATGACACTGGGCCTGCGTTATCGCCCAAAGCAAAGAGCGCTGCGTGTCTGCGTGTCTGTATGAGTGTGCACTTTGTAATGGATGGATGGTCGCTCCCAACGCAGCTCCCAGCCCAGTCCAGGCCGGTCCAATCAGCAAATCTGCGGGCAAACGGACGGTGCGATGGCTGCGACTGGTCGGTCTGCGCTGCTGCACTCTGCTGTAATCGACGGTGCCCAGTCAATGAGCGAGCGCTGCAGCTTCCAGCAGCTTCTGGGCGACGAGTGAGTAAGGGAGGCAGCCCGACTGCTGCTCTCGATCGTGATTTGCCGGCGCCAATTCGTAGTCTCGGGCCTGGTGGGCACTTTTCAGCCGGCTTGCGCAGCTGAATGGGCTCCCGCGATCCTCGCTGTGACTCCTCCCAGTGGACGACCAACGACCGAGCGAGCCTGTTCGACAACGTCGCTCGTATCGCTCTGACAAGTGAACTTGGCTCGCCGGGGCTCGTCGATGCTTGTCCTGGCTTGTGCTTCGGACTTTTCACGCTCGGCAGGTATCTCAAATCGACTGTGGATGACGACTCGCGGCCCTGGTTCTCATGCACTGGAGCCTCCCCCAGTCCAATTTACCGAGACGGGATAAGCGAAATGATAGAGCCTAGGGGTATGAATCCTAGTTTCCGCGAGCCCACCGACTGTCTTGTACGATAAAGGTATCTCTCGGTGAGTGAGGCAAGGCAAGGGACAAGAAGAAGAACGAAAAAAACTTTTCGTCTTCCCGATCGCTGTTTTGTCTCCCTGCTGGTGGCTTTTCCAGACGGGCAGGTGTCAAACGCCGAGGCCGTCGATGCCTTGAAATTGGATCCAAGGCAATCTCAAATCCCTGTTCCATTTAGAGACCTGCGCAGCAGCAAATGCACGAAGCACGCGCACTCACTGTGAATTGATTTCCCTTTTCAACCAGGCTTACTTGTCCTCTTGCTCTTGCGTAGACCAGTTGTGGCTGATTGTAATACGCAGGTAATAATACCAAAGCGCCCGGAAGACAAAGAGGCTGTAACGAGCGCGAGTAATGCTAGCGGCAACACGGCGACCAAGACGGCTCGTACAATGAAAAAGGTTATTTGTTTATGCGCACGCTCTTGCGGGATGCCGTGAAAAAACAAAGCGTTGTATTCAATGGTCCGAGGCTTGGGTTCAATTTGTTGGGGACGATGGCGACTGATATTTGCGCCGCCGGTAATAACACCTAGGTGTTTGGCATGAATGACAATCAGTGCGTAATGCGTACTCGTATCATTGATCCCGGCGCAGGCTTACAGCAAGTTATTGCCGTCTTCAGCCTTAACGTCCATCTATCCGGAACAGGCACTGGCTGAGGACGACGAAGAGGAAGTGGGCATATTTATCATCCTCCATCGTCAACTAACCAACGGCCCCCAGTATTACGTATGACGGGTGCGTGGAGGAATAGTGGGAAGCGCCTGGAAAGACGCAATCAACGGCGAGCTACGGATCATCCTAGACGCACAAAACCTACCATGTCCCCTTGGATAGGCGCCTATCTGGATCGGACAGCCCTGTGACCATGCGTCAAGGAACGCAAAGATGGCTCTGGCTGACGAGTATTCGCTCATCGTTGCGACGATAAAAGGGTGGTTTGCAGTCACATGGCGCAGCGCAATGATTGGAGGGGGCCACATTGCCCGCAGCCACGCAGGCCGCTGATTGGCCCGCCTTTGCCAAAGCTGTGTGACAAGCACTATCGATAGATTTGCAGTGCTACTACTGATATTAGTAAATCGCTCAGACGGGAACGTTTGTCCTTGCTATCCTCTCGTCTTTGGAGTTGCAGTGCGTCATGATGGTGGTGCGGCGATGGTGATGGGAGCAGCTGAGAAGCGCCGAGCTTCGGGCGAACGCTGGCGGTTAATGGTAAACCTCCAGCCTGAGAAGGTTGCAGCGAGATTGGCTGTGCTGAGAGAAAAGGGTAGTATCTGCGTGAAGACGGCCCCAGCTTTTTCACGGTTCGTTGGGGTTGGTTGATTAATTTGCTTAATATATCAGGGATTATGTACAGTGCAGGGCAAGGCATTGAAAGCAAGCACTTTATTCAGGCCTGTCAGGATGTGCCACATCTGGCCACAGCCCTGACGGGAAAGAACAGGAAAGACGATGCATATTAGCCATTTATCCAGATCCTGCTTCTTACCAGACATCTTTGTAGTAGTACCTAGCAGTAATAGCGACAGTAGCAGCGGTATCGATATCAGCGGTAACATAGAGAGATAAGCAGCTGTTATAATTGATGCCCATCAATATCTTTCAGCGGGCGTGCATCTGACATGTATTCCCAGATCTGACAAGCTGCATGAAATGTCCAACACCTTCTGACGAAATTAAGAACCCCAGAGTAGTATGCAAATGCGGCTGTGACTGCAAAAGGACATCAATATAGGTAGCAGTCGTACGTTCCGCTGCTACATGTACTCTTATTCGCTTGCGCACGTCCGAAGCCTGTCCGAGAGGCGTCCAGTTCGGTAATTCGCAGTACTACTTCGTACAAGGCCCCTGTTGGTTTGGCGAATGGGGTGATTTCCGACCAGTGCTGTGCAGCCCATGGGAAACCAGAGTCTCAATTGTATCAGTAGGCAAAGAAGAAAGAAAAATAAAACCGGATAGAAGCCACAGACAAGGCTGCACTGATCACCGTTTGGCTGGCAAAAAGCCCAAAGTCAAGCCAGGTTGAATAACACACGTCTCACACGATTTAGCTTTGACCCCCAGCTTGGACATGTCTCGTCTCGAGAGCCTTTGGCCCATGCACCGATATCCATCCATCCGCTTTTTTCCTATACTATTTCTTTATTGTTTTCTAGCAAGGGGAGCCTGCAATGCACACACACCGAGTTGACCAGCGGCCGCGAGGAATATGACCAGGGGGGAATAGCCCAGTCTCCAAAACGTGGCTTTTTCCCTTGTCTGCACGGCGCCAATCTAGGTGAAGCGAGCCTACCAGGCCGCGGCATAATGTGATGGACGCAGCCTCTCTGGTCCCGATCACGCTGGAAGGATTCATGCGGAACGGCAAGGGGAGCCTGCCCCTTGCTTGAAAATTTTTTTGCTAGCATAAAAGTATATTCTTTTTTTGTCTCAGCAGTTGGTTGGTAGTCTTGAAGAGAAGGGAACAAAAGAGCGGTTGGTCCTGTTAGCTTGTGCATTTCCTGCTTGGAGGTGGTGGTGGTGGTGGTGGCACGCAACACACCATGCACGAGTGCATCCGCACCTACATATGCACTCATATATTATTAGCCCACTCCGCTTAGCTGCTGCCATCGACAAATTCGTTGCCGTGATTGGCCCAGTCTTTCTTTTTTGCTTCTTTTTCTTCTACATACTTTATATCAGAACGTATTAGGACAAGCTTTTGCACTAATGTTCAGTTTTTTTTTCTTTTCCCTGGTCAGTTCTGCCCTTCGCTTGGTCAACATGCGGTACCGGCACTCAAGGGCGTGAATGGGCTGCAAGTGTAAGTGAGACATGGGCATCCAGCCCCCAAGGAATCCGCTTGGTAGGCAATCAGAGACAACAAAAAAAAAAGGAAGCACTGGAGGACAAACAAACTTGTAAAATCTACCTGCAAGGCCGTAAATAACACAAATAGAACCAATCTGCTTTAGACGTGGAGCAGAAGGCGATTGACGGAGCCGAAAATTGAATTTCGGGCTACCGGCGCTCCATATCCCCAGCGAGTGGTATAGCTGAGTGTTTAGCGGCCGATAGCCTAATGCACTCTACTGGAAGTGGCCCGGCTGCAGAGTGTCAGTGCCTGGGGGGGGCCCCCGCGGCAGGCCTTCCGGGTGCTAACCTAGCGGTGAACTCTGGCACAAATGGCACTTAACCCCATGGCCCGTCCTTTTTTGAAATCTTCTTGGTGGTTTCAAGCTTTTCTGTCCCTGAGGCGCACGCATAACGGCCAAAGTGTAAAACCCAACACCACGTCCACCACTCAGTTCGAGATCACACAATCACGCTGCGCTAACAAACACGCACACACCACTCCGTGCCAAGCGCTGGCGTTTGCCTCGTACTCGTAAACAGGCCATCCTCCCTTGTCGAACAAAGCGGGCCTCTTGTCAGCCCCCCCAGCTTCCCAGTCTGGTCTCTTTTTCGCCCTTCTCCATCATCTCCAGTCTTCCCGGGTGGGACCTCCGGCTTTTGTCCCACAAACCACGGGAGCTCGCAGCCCCAAAAAGCATCCACGCCGCCGCAGCGTGCCGTTCCCGCGCACTTCTTCTGCGCCAGGCACGGCACACTGTATGGAAACGCCAAATCCAGCAGCAATCAGCTCCCATACGGCTGCTGGACTGGACAGAGAATCCCATCTGCCAGCGGAGTGCGTGTGCCAATGGTATGTACGTTGGCGATTCCATCCCATCTGGCATCACTTGTGCGAGCTGACCTGTACCTGCATCTGCTTTAGGTCCTCTCCCCCGTACTTTTCTTCGCCCTTCGTCTGAATCAAGAGGATTATGCGAGAAGCAGTGCCCGGATTGGTATCGCCCGAGAATTTCTTTTCTTCTGTTTCCATTCCTTTCCATTCTCCTTCCCCTTTCTCACACAAAAGCAATACCTGTTACATTCATACCGATGCTTTTTTTTGCATGGGATACAGACATGCTTATACCGACTTTTCGGTTTCTGCAACTTGTCTTCCTCTGCGTGCAATCATAGCGCTCTGACTGGCCCATAGCAATATTACTGCTTACTACTGCTGCTACTACAATGTGGTAGCATGTCTGTTTGTATCCCGGTCTGAGCCTCAGCAAACGCCGCTCACCCCTTTTCTTCATAATATCGGTCAAGACAATTCTCTCTAACATCAGACGACAGGCGCATCCTCCTCGCTATCAAATGCTGCCCTCCTCTTCCTCCTGCTGGCTTTGAGCGCGGCAGGATGCTGCGGCTCACGTCTCCGAGCGCTCGCCGATTTCTAGAAGAAGCAACTTCACACCTTGAAAGTGGCCCCCCGGTAAAGCACTGGCCTGGCCTCGCTAGCTTGCACCCCCCTTGATTCATCTTCCCTTCCCCGAAGCATCCATGGTCCGTCCGCCCTTGAATCCCTGGAGCCCGGAGGGTGTGGCCAAAAGAGGCTGCCTAGAGGCCGCTAGGGCTTGAGTTTTTGCCCGTCCCTTGTTTGACAAGTGAAAAATTTTCAACATCTCATTTCGTGGGCCGTCCCTCAATCAAACCCAACACTGGCCCAAACAAATTTCTCGTGTCTTTGCTCTCCCGCAGGATGCCTCCTTGCAAACGAACGGTTTGTTACTCGTCTCAACTTGCTTCCGTTTTTTGTGTTCGCCTCCATCCTACGAACCCGACAAAGTGGACAGTGACTCATACGAACGCAAGCCCTGGCGCTTCGTAGAGATAGTCTCCCAATAGATGGGCAGCAGAGCTGTATTGATGTCCAAAGATGTTGTGGCTGTCGAATCGGGCACTGAGCTGCAGCATTTTTGGGCGCCGATTGGCAGCCGGCTGCTCGCCCCCAGTTTCACGCAAAAGCCACAAAATGCGCCATGCCAGTGCGAGGAAAAAAAAGCTGAGAAGAGAGATAGGAGGCCCACTTGGTCTGAGTGCCAGGGATCCGATCCATTCGCATGGCGCTGCAATACGCACCCCCCAAGCAGCTAAGCGGCTGGTAAGCAAATTCGCTAACTCTAGGCTAGCCACCACCTATTTGTCCGCTAGTGAAGGCTGTCTGCGAATATCAAAAACACCACGGACACTTTATTCTGGCGCTTGCTTGCCGAAAAAGTAGCCTATCTTGGAGACAGCTCGCTCGCTAGGTAGCAACGACCACACTTTTCTCTTGACCGACACTTTCACTTTTACTCAAGACGTATGATCTGAGAAAGGGGGGAGGGGAAAATTTTTTTTCTTCCCGCGACCCGCACACCGTAACGAAAACCCAAAGCGCATCTCACTGGTCCGTTTGCCTATCGAGGACGAGGAAGAGGACAAGGCCTCCTGCGATCACGGACGCAGAGGGAAGGCAAAACAAGTTAGTGCCTGCAGCTCTGATACGTGAGAAGAGAGGACATGCATGGAGACAATGCACAATGATGGAAGCCAGATCTCTATGCAACGGCATCCGTGTCTCTATCCCCATCTCCATCCCGGCCTGCTTTTGAGAGCCTTGAGTCCCCTCGAAATCTCGGTGACAACGTCCCCATGTAGCTTATCGGGTGGCATCTTTGGAGAACGGTATCGGACCGCTCATTTGGCTGACCGATCTATCAACGCATGGGTTCCGAATGAGCATCTGTATGAGTAAACAAGGCAAGGTATAGTGCTACTACGCGCAGTTTTCCGGGCAATTTGCACTCTAAGCCGTATATATCACGATCTTGGCATTATTCTGCGATGCTCAGGCCATACTTGGCTGGCCCACTGGGAGTGTAGAGAGCAGATGTGGGACGATGACTTGTACAAATGTCTACCACATGATAAATCATGGCTCTAGTCTAAGAGCTCATATTAGGCGCTTGTGGAAGAGATTCCACAGTAGTAAACGGCTTTGTCTGCTCAGCCTGCCATATCATATTCAAGCAAGTAAAAGGCACTGATACGGTAGTGTACGCTCAGCAGGCTGCCGCAATGCCCACGGCGATGCCCAAGTTCCATGCAGCGGCTGCTCTCGGTGACAACTGCACAATTCAGGCCGCAGACCGCAGATACGTCGATCCGCCTAGCCTTTTGTATGAGTCGGACGCCCTGTGCCATCTTTTATATACTCCTACCGGCATTACTGGTTCATGCAAAGGAGACAACACAGATGAAGATCACGATTCGGGTTGCAGCAGTCCTAAAATCGCTGCGCACGTGTCGTGTCTCTTCGTAAGGTAAGCGCGCAAGCAAGTAAGCCAGCAGCAGGAGGTTGCGAAAACCCTACGTGCTTTGTCTCTAGCTTGGCTATGCACAGCCCTACATTCAAGAAGCCATTTCAGCCATTGCCAATGGCTGGTTTGTATGCAATACGGTCCATTTCTGGTTTGGAATGCCGCTAGTATTACGTCCGACAGCATCTTTTTCTCAAGCACCCCCCTCTACCTAGCTCAGGCCACGACAGTCCTGCCTGGATTCATGCCTTACGATGCGGCAGCAACACCACCACCAGGAAAGAGGCGCATGGATGATGAAAATGTTGATTTACGCCTTGTCTATCCGAGCAAGTACCTCAGCCTTGGATTCCATCTATGTTGCGCTGCCTAGCTGTAATAGCAATGGGCGGAGCCATATCACAGGTAGTCCTGGTAGGTAGGCAGTTTCGTGCCTATTAGGCGGCATGGTGTTGGGCAACAACAAAGCATTACAGTATGAGACGGTGTGTTTTTTCTTCACCTTTTGCATTGCTTTGCGTCCATTCCATTGGACAGCTGCTGGGCCGCAAGGGATTATTTACACCACTCACTACATCATAATACGCTACGTGTGTATATACCGACACTCCCTTGCTTGAGATTCTCCCCCACTCTGCACAGCTCAGAGTGGGCAAGCTGGAAGAAAAGAAACCCACCTGGATCTGTCAAAGTTTTGTCATGCTACTGTACAGTACATACATTTTATTCCCCTTTTCTTCAAGGGTCGCATCAACGACATGGGGCTGCTGAAAATAGAAAGAAAAATGATCGCTCATGCTAATGCACTTGCGCCGAAAAAGCACAGCGGCTTAGACGAGGTGTAGCAGTGCAGTACCGCTAATAATTACCGTATCATGCAGCAACACGACTCTGCTTTAACTCTGTCCAGACCGCCCACACAGACCACGGCTTTGCAGAGGCGGTGACGGCAGTGCGCATTTCATTACACATCACACGTGCAGAAGATTTTTCTTGGTGTCTTTTTTCCCCAGACGATTTCGTCACTGAGTGTTGATCCTTGAAAAGTTAAACAATTGTTGAGTACGATTTTCGCGTTAGTAAAAAATTATTGCGTTTGTGGTGCACATACCATGTAGAGCTGGGCGCAAGCTGATTTCCATTCCCACGCAACCAGGGTTCGTAAAAAAAAAAATTCACATGTCTGAGACGCGCAAAGACAAAAATTCAGCCTCCTCTGCCTTGAGCGTCAGACCACATTGTAAACAAAAAGAAAGAGCCACCAAAACATCCTTAACCTTCTCTCTCTCTCTCTCTCTCTCTCTCTCTCTCTTTATTTTTTTTTAGCCCTTCACCATTTCTTCCAGAACTCTGCGCCACACACCCGGGGGCGTAACCAAGATCGCGTGCCTCGGGAAGCCGAACGGGACGGGCGTCTGGGGAGGGGCGCAAAAAAAGGAAGCCACCCCAAAAATGGTCAAGAAGAAGAAAAAAAGATTTGATATTTTGGTGGGGCATTCCAATTCATCTCCTCGGGCAAGCCACGTGGTGTGGGGTTGCCCAGGTGGCTGTGCGCGTGCATCAATCTGCCGAGTCACGTGACTAAGCCAAAGAACCGGGACCGCCGCCACAAATCCTTTTTTCTGATTCTCAAGGCGTTACGTCATAAGCGTCCTTGCGCATATGAAACAGAGCCAGCTTCAAAGTTTTTTTTTCTTTTGCTTTATACGAACGTGTATTGGACTGTGTGATACAAACTACTCGTGCTCAGGCGCTAAGAAGAGCTGCGTGCCGATCCAGAGGATCTTTTTCGCCCGTTCCAGGGCAAACTTTTGGGGAGCTGCGAAATTGACTTTTCCAGTTTGCCTATTGGGGTAGTTTCCCCTGACGTGGCTGACAGCGAAGATGGTTGGGGGTGGTTGGGGATGACCAAAGGAGTATTCAAGGATGACGCAATGAGCTTGACAAAACGGATGAAGAATTGGGCATGAGAAAACGGGAATCTTGTTTCTCCCCCTTCTAGCTTCTAAAAGAGGAAGAAGGGAGGCGGGCATGATGAATCAGACTGGCTGGCTGCTTTGACTGTGTGTATGGCGCACGCCTCCATCAGCCTTGCACGGCGTGGCGCAATATTGAGCTTTGGTGAGAAAAGAGACGAGTTTGCATACGAAGTAAGTACAGACATACAACATGGTTCATCCACGTAATTCCAAATTTCCGGGGCCAAGATATGCAGATTGGATGGCTGGGGAGAACAAAGCATTGGGATGCATGAGTCACAGACGTTAAAGACTTTCTTTGCAAAACATACACAGCCCTGTTTGCTATCCCAAACTCACAACACGAAAAAAAAAGCAGGCAGTAAGTTGGAATTAGGAAAACATATCCGTGCTTTTTTCGCGAGCTTCTTTTTGGGGGCGGACGGGAACGAACGTGAAAGTTATTTGCCACGCGCCCCGTCTCTTCCTTTGCTTTCACATGCGGGAGCTAAAAAAGAGCTGTGAGCGCCCTGAGAGCTGAGGCAAACACACAAAAAAAAAAACGCCAATCCTGTAAGGGGCGAGGTTTTTGTGGGATTAAGTGACGATGGCAGGCAAAAGCGACGCGCGTTAGAATTTCTCTTTTCTTCTACGCGAATTTTTAACCAGTAGCATTATGTATGTACCGTGTCGTGAGGCGAATAAAAAAGAGGATGAAAAAAAAAAAAGCGTGAATCGTGAATCGTGAACGAGGCTAAGGAAAATAGGCAGCAGCCAACCACCGAAGTTTCAGAATCCAGCGAATAGCAAGTGGCGAAGGAAAGGGAGGGGTGGTCGGCGAGCGAATAGGATCGCGTGTAAGTCGAGATAGGCGCCAGCGCGGTCACGTATAAGCCATTTCCTTTGATGCGAACTCGCGCTTTGAGATGTTCACGTGCTTTTTTTTTAATTCTTCATTGTAGTTACATGGTAGTATCTAGATATATACTGCAGACGCGCGTGAAAGGTTGCATACATACAAGGCGATCAAGCAAGGCAAAAGGGGCAAGAAGAGTCATCGAGAGCGCGTGGACGTGGAGAAGGATTTGCGCGCATGCGTTCTTTTATAATCCAATCATTTCTTTATTTGTAGAAGCTTATGCTGAGGACGGCGAGTCGATGATGAAGCTATTGGTTTAGATGAGCTCGTTTTGTGTGCTAGGGGAAGCTTTCCGGTACGAGACGGCGATGTGATGGGAGGGGGGAGGGGTGTATGATGGGATGTAAATTGTGGCGATGTTTCGTCCTTTCCATGGGAGAGGTGGTTGGGATGAATGACGAGCAACGGGAGAATCAAGTCTCTCGCACTGGGTTGATGTTAGGGACTTTTTCAGGCATCTAATTGGAGAGTAGGTGCTTGACGCTGTGATGTTGACCAGAGATATCTGATCGAGTGACTGACATTTTGCCTTTGAGTTGTGCCTCAGGATGGGAAGGCTCATCGTTGGGTTACAGACCGAGTCAGCCTTGGGCTATACACGTCAAACAAGGTGAGCATATAGCGCCAATGCGCATAAGTCACTTGATACAGTGGTATCTCTAGTTGATAGGATACGAAGAAAAAGTTGAGTCAGTTCGATAGCTTTGCTTCTTATCAACGTCATCTGTGTCTATTGGCGGTGTAAGTGTGACTCAATGCATTGCTCTTTGGGAGATCTTTCATATTCATATCGCTGTCACCAGTAGCCTGCATACATTACCCTTGACTAATTGGCGGCTATGTATAGTTCTAAATTTATTTTAGAAACTAAAAGAATAGGTAATATTTTAAAAGGTTATGCACATCTCGGCAGTGCAGCTCTGGCATATGGCGGCAATGACGAGCATTCTGCTCGAAAACCATTGAGCAGTGATCTATATGATATGTTATATACTATCTTATATAGCTTCTACATTAGATAGCACTTCCCACCCCGTTTTGCAAGTGAGTTTTTATATTTAAGTATACAAGATATAGTAAGAGAATAGTCAGAGAAACAGGTCTCACGCTTTCTACATAGACTCGGCCATATCATCTGGCAAAGCCATAGATATTTCCATGCTCTTGAAAGCAAATACTGTGAAAGATACAAAATGTCAAGTTTAAGTCAATATTTTCTTTGTAAGGGGGATGCAGACGGTCCAAGTCATGTCGTCTACTGCACTTGTATGAAGTTAGCTCTACATGGATTCGATATGCCCAGGGACTAAGCCTCTTCTTGAGCCATGGTGACATATGTTATTAGGCAAAAGAGGAAGCTCATAAATGGGACGTAGTTCACTAATTAAGCTTTATTTGCTTCGGCTTTGTTCAACAATACTTAGCTCATGTATCTATTACTTTATGTTTTCTCACCTTCCCCCCTTAATACCGCTTGAAGTCACATGCTGTGCTAAGCTCAGAGATCTACCGCTGAGTATTGATTTGACATATTTCATATATGTTCAATTAAGCAAGAAGGGAGCTAATAAATACGTATAAATAAGTGCTCGTACACTCATCTCTCATATCATGAATCAGGACACGTTCATCGCACCTCCGCAAAGCTTCATCTGCACAACCTGTGCATTCCAACTCTACCCATGAATGATAGAACAAAACGCTCCAAAAAACCACGCAAACACACATTGTTTGAGAGTGTATGGAGAGGAGCCAGCATGACTAAGGAGTTGAGCTAACAAATCATCTTCTCTGTGACATGTAACGTCATCCGCACGAGTGTATGCAAAAGGGTCAAATATTGCTATGCAATTATCTTGGAAAGTTTAAGCTTTCCTCTCATATTTCATTAAGCTACTTTTGATTGCTATTAAAGTCTCTACATCTAATTAACTTTGGCCCGTTTTCAATCTCATTGCCCCTTAAAACATGGCTTGCTGAAAAATCGCTAAACTTTTCTTATTAAAATGTTCCCAAATCATTGGCAATTATTTGAATGCAATATTTTCATTTCAATCATCACCCCCTTTCCCGTTTTACCTCTTGTTATAGTTGACGAATTTGCTCTAGAAGAATTAAAGTTAGCATTTGATTTAACACTGCAAAGGGGTGGGAGAATAGAGGAAGTACATACACCCAAGAAGAGGATAATGATGTTGCTGCCAACAAAGCAGAGGAAAATACCCAAATCTCTCCAACGATGGTCAAAGCTCAAACCCAGCGGGGTGTAAAACTCATCACCAACGCCATACTCGCAATATTCGCAGTTTTGGGTCGAGTTGGAGACCAGGTAACCAGGAGCTCCCCTTTCGAAGAAAGGCTGCATGTACTCGCCGCAAGTCGTGCCGTTGGGAGCGGTGAAGCGGTTCAACTCACTGCTCTTGCAGACGACCTTGAGATCATGGAGCGCAGTGGTAACACAAGCGCTGATGAGACGGGTGAATGGATCCAGCTGGTAGAGCCAGGAGCGCCAGCCTTCGGGCATCTGAGAGGGCGGGATAGTGACACCGCAGAAGAGGGCAAAGACGATGGTGATGAAAGGATCAAACTGGGTGGAGACACGAGGTGAAGGCGTGAGTGCGGAGAGACCTTGGCCGAGAGTGACGGAGAACAGCTCAGTGATGAGGACCATGAAGAACTGGAAGCCAGCGCGCGAGGGAGTCGTTTGGAAGCCAGGCATGAAGTACAAAGGCAAGTAGAAGCTGACCGCACACAACACGGAGTAAGGCATCTCAGCGAGAATGATGGCCGCAACGAATGACGTGGTGGAGTACATCTTGGATGAGGATTCGCGGAAGAATAGAGCACGCTTAATGGCATACATGATTTCGACCTGGGACATGATGATGGCAGGCAGGACAGTAATCTGGAACATGACGAAAACCTTGTACTGCAGAGAGGATTTGGAGTCGTCCAGGTTGAGATATGTGAGACCCGTGATGAGAGCGACGGCAATGTGAGCGAACAAGCGGGTGAACAAGTAATTGGGCGATCGCCAAAAAGAGCGGAACATGCGGCGAACAACGATCTTCATCTGGTGGTAAAGAGGAGAAGCGTACTCCTTCTCGAGTTTGTGACCAGCCTCGCTGTTGGCAGAGATACGCTCTCGCTTCAGCTCGATAATCGCATCCTTGACATGAGCAAATTCAGGGCTATCCTCCCAAATGTCAGCCCAGTCGCGGTCACCGACACGAGGCATACTACCAGCACCAATTGCCTCCAGCATATACTCAGCAACGTTGTCTGTTGGGGCAGCTTCGGCACCGTAGCGCTTCAGATAGGCACGCAGGATAGCAGCATCTTTTCCAATATCGCCAAAGTACACGGTGCGTCCTCCTCGCTGCAGCAAAAGAAGCCTGTCAAAGTTCTGGAATAGCGCGGCGTTGGGCTGGTGGATTGTGCAGAGAATGGCCTGGCCAGCGGCAGCCAGCTTCTTCAAGAAACGAACAATGTTGAAGGCACTCTGGCTGTCCAGACCGGAAGTAGGTTCGTCCAAAAACAGGAGCAGTTCGGGTTTGGCGGCAAGTTCGACTCCGATGGTAACACGCTTGCGTTGTTCGACGGTCAGTCCAGCCTCGGGAGATCCAATGATGCAGTCGGCAATGTTTTCCATTTCCAGCAAGGAGATGATCTCTTCCACGTAGGCATGTCTTTCGGGGATAGGGGTTTCGAAGGGCTGGCGCAGTTCGGCAGAGAATCGCAGGGCTTCACGGACGGTCTGGGTAGGCTCGTGGACATCAAGCTGCTCAGCATAGGAAGTGGATCGCTGGAATTGTTTTCCGGGTTTGGCACCATCAACCAATACGTCTCCATAAATGACACCGATATTCTTGCGAGCAGCCAAGACATCGAGAAGAGTGGTTTTACCAGCACCAGAAGCACCCATAAGCGCAGTCAGCTCACCAGGTTTCACATAGCCGAAGACGTTGTTGAGAAGTCGTCGAGTACCGCCGGGAACGGGGACATCGTAGTTGAGTTCCTCCCAAGTCAACACACTGGTAGAGTTCATCGTCAAATCAGAACCTTCCTCGTTAGACTTGTCCTTTCGCTTGGCCTCACGCTTCTCGGTCAAGGCCGCATTCAATGTTTCCAGCTCTTTGGTGGGCTTTGCGTAAACCTTGAATGAGCTTCCTCCCATGTTGAACTTGATGACTTCACCAAGAAGCACGTTCAAGAAGAGGAAAAAGACGATCAGGGCCATGACAATACCCCAGTTGCGCCACAAATCGCCGGGAAGGTACTGGAACCCATTAGAGATGTAGTCTCGGCCCCTAACAAAGGTTGTGCCAGAAGTAGAGCCGGGAAGCGTGCAGACTTGATGATTGATGTCGGTATATCCAGGACCTGAAGGAATAAGCGATTCTGCTGTGCAGGTGAGATCGATTCTTTGAAACTCGTTCTCCATCAGAGAGCTGAATGCGAGACCCAAAACGTTGATCCAGTAAATCCATCGAAGCCATACTTTCTCAGACTGGTACTGAATAAGATACCCAGATGTGGTGATGAAAAGCGTAATGATGACGACTGCAAACTTGATAGCATAATCAAAATCGGGACTGATACAGCCGAGAATTCTGAAAAAGAGCGTCATTGCAATATTACCGGAGAGAATCATCAGATAAAAGGTGAAGAATGCGCCTGCATCTCGAACCAGTCCCGTCATAAAGTATACAATGATGGAGAAGATCAAAATCTGAGAAGCCGCGAACGCCTGATCGACGAAGATCTGAGCAATCCAGAGAGCCGAAGGTCGGTGAAAGGCGTATGCTTTGTGCTTATTCACGATTGCGCGTCCCGTCATTACTCCAGCAAGTTCCGAGAAAGCCTGGAATGCGTTGAACAAAAGCGCCACGAACAATAGACCACCTTTGCTGAAAGCACTAGCGGAAGTTTGACCAAGATTCAGATAGAGGGTACCGAGAACAATAGCGACCAGGATACTACGAGCCCAACCAACAGTGAGATTGAAACGATCCTGAAGCTTGAGAATAAACTGTCGCTTCATAATGGACCAGACTTGAATGTGGAAACCAACTTGGTAGGGGCTTCGCTTGGACGTTCCGCGTTTGCCCTCCTTAAAGGCAACCAAGAAATCGTCGTGTTGCTGTTTTTCTTGCTCGAGGTTAGCCTTGTATTCGGCGATTTCATTTTCAATCATCTTTTGATAGGGGGATGCTTTAAACGAGGCCAAAAGAGAGTCTGGGCTGTGGGGGGCATTTTCAGGAGATCGTCCGGGCTGGTATTCGCGTTCGAATTCATCGGTGCAGCCAGTCACGTAATCGGGTGTCGTTTGTCGGGGCTGGGGCAGAAAGCCGAGGCCTTCGAAGTAGGCACGAGCATCCTTTGCGGGTCCAAAATAGACTTGACGTCCCTCATCGATGACCATGACCTTGTCGAATAAGTTGTAAATGTTCTCGGAGGCTTGGTACAGAGAGACGAATGTACAGGTTTTGTAGAGATCGGTCTGAATTCGCAAACTTTTGGTGAAATCGAGAGCGGTACTGGCATCGAGACCACGAGTACTGTTATCCCAAGAGAGGATACAGGCGTTTGTGATCATCATCTCGGCGATAGAGACACGCTTTCGCTCACCGCCAGAGACACCTCGGACGAAAGCATCGCCGACAATGGTCTTTCTGGTGTGCTCAATGTTGAACATCTTGAGGAGCAGGGAAATGACGTGTTCCTTGAACTCAGCCTTGGACATGCTTCCTGGTCGCTTGGCAGGCATCTTGACATCCAAAGCGAAACCCAGCGTTTGCTCAACAGTCAGTGTAGGGTGATGGATGTCATCTTCAGCGTTGTATACAGTCTCGCCACGGTATCGGTCAAACTCTTGTGCTGTCCATGGGCCGTAAAAGACATCTCCTTGGACGCCAGTATATCCGTATCGTTGGTTGGCAATTGTCTTAAGGAAGGTCGTGCAACCTGATCCGGGCTTTCCTAAAACCAAGATCATCTCTCCGGGTTTACACACACCCTGAAAGCTGTCGAGCAGCGTGGCTTCTGTGAATTTTGGGCCGAGGCCTACCATGTTCAGTGCCGGAGTGATGACGTTGAAGAAGTCGACGATGGCATCAGGGAAAGTCTTGACGAAGTTGGTAAAACCACCAATGCCCCTAACCGTCAAGCCATCCCAGCAGGTTCCAATATGCTTAGACCGTATTCCAGCTTGTGCGCTAGCATCAAGGTCACCTCGCATCGCAGCCTCCAAGTCGAAGAGAGAGACGTCATCATCATCATCTTCTGTTGTGACTGTGGCTCCTTTTTCAGGATCGGATGAAGACTGCTGTTTATTCTTGCGACTGGCTCGAGAAACACCAGTAAACTCACGCTGTAGAACAGCAAACTGAGCTTCAGCTTGCTCAACAGAGACTCCAGTTTGCACTCTGGCAAGTTCGTTGGATGAGCGCTGGCCTTCAACTTGAGTTTCCACAGAATTTGAATCCAACTGTTCGCCGAGCTCCTTTGCTACATCTGAGTTCGCCGTACTGGGCAGCGTCTCCCCGTTAGGGAGCTTCTCCCCCGTCATATTGACCGACTTGGTAAACTGTTGTATCGTTGGATGATGTATGGTGCGATGGAAATCGTTGACGAGTTGCTGAAGGGTGTCTGATCAGGATACCTCGAGGGTCCTCGCGTCGCCAAAAGCGAATATCGAATGATGATGTGTTCGGGGGAAAATATTAAATTCCAAAAGATTGTTGGCAAAGAATATTAGTCAAGGTGTTGACAACAAGTGAATGCAATTATTGCTTCAAATCGTTTGTAAACGACGAACAGAGTAAGCGGTGGGTTAAGGCGGCGTGATTCTGCCAGATGAATCTACCAGATAAATAAAGAATTATACTAAAATAAAGAAAATATAAAACAGCACCAACAGCAACACCTCTACTGACAGCCAATGCTGGTTGACAAGTAATGGCCAAAACCACCAGCTGAGCAAAACCAGGCGGCCCAGAGTTTTGTATTCTTTTTCTTCCCACGGTTAGAAAACGAAAAAGAAAAAAAAAACGGGCCAGCGGAGCAACCAAAGGGGCTGTTAGTCTGCCAAGATTGCTGGGGCTAGATAACAACATACAAACTCGCCTCACGGCTGGCATTACAAAGTTCTCTCGGCATCTGGCCAGCCAACAGATCCACCTGCAGGGCGGTTGGCCGCAGCCCAAGTTTGGCCAGCACAGCTCAATCGTCAAAAGTCCGAGCGAGAGGGGACATGACCGGAGCTACAGCTGCCCACAAGGTAAAAGCCGCCAGGCGGCGTTGAAGCATCCACTCTATACGCACATATTGGGGGTTACCGGGGACGGTGGAGCCAGCAAGGAGAGCTACGAGTAAACGTTGTAGGTACTTGTCTAAATGAAGTAGGCAGCATGGAGTGTCACGCCGAAGATTGATCCATAAGGCCCAGCTACTAGTGAATATGTGCTATTAACTTTCAATGTGACAAAGGCTGACACAAACGGGTCCCCCTGACCATAGGAACTGACCTCTGAACAACTACAAATAAGTACACAGTTGGGCGGGATATCTTATAAATAGGCCGTTCTCCGATGCGGAATTACGGAATTACAGCCACCAGCTTCTCATCACTCGAGTCACCAACCACTCCATGAGAACGGTGAAAGTTTGCTTTTCTGAAGGTGGCTTCCTGAACTACCTATCTGGTCAAAAGGTGATTCGTTCAACACGCTATCGCCGCGCTCGTACAGCATTGGCTTCCATTGACACATTCGTTGTCAATGAGACGGCAAGGCTGCCACCAAAACTCAACAACGTAGTACCGGAAACGGCAGTGCGTGTGGGATGGCGCACAGCTCGTGGCGTTGCTACGCTACATGGTCAGAAACCGTGGGGCGTTTAGCGCTGGGGCGACTCAGCAGGTCCGAGCATTCATTGCTGGCACCAGGAATCAGGAGGGTCAGAGTTTTCAAGCTCCGGTCTGCTGCCGTATCACACTAGCATCGTATTACAGCTAATGGGTGGTCTAATACATCCCGGATGTAGATGTGTACATGCACTCTTTCGGAATGCCGTGAAAAAGCGCTACTTCATCACTCCGTTCGTCTCTCCGTTAACCAAACTCCAGGTATGGCAGCATGTTGAATCCAAGGTAGAAGCGTTTTCAAGCATTCCGACGGAACAGATTTGAATTTGTCAACCTCCAGCCCCCAATGCCATGCAGGGGCCAAGACATGATATCCACAGCCCTCTCTTAGGTTACAAAGCAACCGCATCCTACTTATCTTCGCTGCATATTGCCATACAATTACAACCCACTTTGATCTCCGACCGAGGGCCGCATTACTTGACGCCAAGTAAGCCAGGATTTACACGTATGATGTATGTACTTACATGTAGCAGTAATAAGAGGACTTGCTTCTTCCGCTCACACGCAGAACTAGCAGTTAGCACGGTCGCAAATTCAGTGCTATCGCTCGCTCTCCGGCGTGGAGAACGCGGCGCTCGGCGCTCGACACTCGCTGAATTTTTCTTCGCTCCCTTCCGAGTTGGCTTAGTATACCGGCGGGCCGCGGTTTGCCCCATCTCGGTCAATCTCCTTGCACTGCTTTGTTGGCACCCTGCGGTGTTGATAGCGGCGCAGTGCCGTAGGAGCAAGGCCGCAGGAGCAAGATTTCATAAGAAGGCTGAGACATTCCTTCAGCTGTTCCACGCGCACTGCAACGTAGTCTATTGTATTTTGTATGCTTGTCTCGTTCCAACCTGGTACGTGCCTGTTTCATTGTTCTGGCATTCACATCTCGCACCTTATACTAATCCAATCCAGCTCAGTCATACTTGAGTATTTCGGTCTCCTCCGAGGAACTAGGCCCATGGCCTAAGCAGCGCGCGCGGCGCCCCGCGCAATCTTGGTCCCTACCAGCTGCCGCCGATCTTTGTGAAAATGGAAACTATCTTCCAAAATTCTAAGTGAGAAAGGCAAATGATTGTACTCTCCAAGTGGGGATACAATTGTGAGATGCCCTTCACTATACTACACCACCTCTGTCTCACCAACTGCCCTGCATAAAGGATTCAGATCAGCCCGAGAGAAGACCGGCATCGACTTTGCCATGTTCTTGGAGGTGCTCTATAAACTTGCTCTATAAACTTGCTCTATAAACTTGCTCAGGTGAAATCTCCGGCGTGCTAGTAAAACCGTGGAGTAATCATCGTGTGCTAGCCTCGCTCTGATTAGCCGGCACTCCACCTCCAATCGCTAGCCTTGGATCAGGAGTATCCGAACTTGTTCGCCGGATGACTCTTCCCCTACTGCGCTACTTGGTAGTTTACCCGCCGCGGGGGGCAGTGTCGCCCTTCGCTAATAGCAGTGTTGGAATCATTATACGAGGATCGCCAACTATGTCCCTTTTGCTTCAGCGCAGCCACATGTCGACTTGGAGGGAAGCAGCACAGCAACTGATACAATACCGCCGCGGGACCTCCTTCACGTGTAAATACATCTGACATGAAGATTACAATTGTCACCAGTAAGAAGAATAACTTCACAATATCCATGACGTGTTTTCGGAAGGAGACCGGCTGCATCTACTTTTGATGAGAGCAGGCTGTGGCTCAAAGGGGATGAACTCAACCAGTAACATCTCGGCGCATACAAGAGCACGCATATGGGGCGGTATCTACCAATATGGGTGCAGAGCAACAGCATGTGCTTCGCATATGAAAACTCCGTCATCTAACTCCTAATTCCGACAACCAACACAATGCTGAGGCCGAACCAACTTCTGCCGTGAAATTGACCTTATCAGCCCCCACCCAGCATAAACATGCAAGGAGTAGAAAAGCAAGTAATCTCGATTCTTGGTACCAACGGTGAAATCTTGGGCGTCTACGAGAGACTTTTAAGCATGTATATGCTATCCACTAGTTACCCGCTAGCAAATTCACATTGGACGAAATACATGTATCGAGTAATTAGTCTCTCGCTGAAGGACTGCATCCTGACTCAGGGACTTACTGGTTCATCCATGGCTACTACTGGGTAACGCAATAAGTCATTTTTTTCGTTTGTAAGTACAGTACAAAGTTAACAATACCAGAGACATGAACCTGGATCATTACTACGTATCAGCAACACCTGCAATCATTACAAAGTACAGGTAGCGTATTACAATTACTATATAAATTTAGATTAATTTCTTTGACTGTTCAACATTTCATGAGACATGAAACATTGTAAAATACAGGTGACAAAGAGGCAAAAGAGGCACTCCATACGCAAATAGACAACATTGCCTTTCACAGGCATGCGTCGGTGATACAATTTCACATTTGTCATATATCCTCCTCCATCACTTGATCATCCTGACCACATGTAATTGCTCTGTAATCACACCATGAAACTCCGCAACTTGCTCCAGCTCAGTGGATCAGATATTCCGCAAATACGGGGACGTTGGTCGCATCGTCACTCATCTTCACTGCAACCCATGCAGCTGCCATAACAAGCATACAGAACTTCAAGTGGGCACAGCGTGTTCTCGGATTTGTTTTGCTATGCTTAACTCATCATACTAAAGAGAATGGTAAATACTACTGAGATTAGGCATTATGCTAGTACTTTACCCCTATATAAGTTGCTTCATTATATACATGGTGTGGAATTTGGACCTTCCATCTCCGGAAGATTAGTTGCTGAAGTTGTACGCGAAGTTGCCACAACTATTGCAAAGCATCCTCCTTTATCCTGTAATCAATGAGAGTATCTATCTCTGTATGGGTCTCGTGGTGCATAATGGCATTCCCACGCTTTAAGGCCTTTGACTTAGCTGAGCATGCCACAGAATATAGACGCTCGATCGTGGCTGTCTGCTAGAACTAAGTCATAAGGCTCTGCAGGTATATTGAGTCGATCTTTGTGTGCTTCACGCAAAACTCCTTGACGGCTCAAAAAGATTTCTAATGGCGTTTGCACGCGCAGGTTCCTATTCAAGGACAGTAGAAGTAGAAAACCCCTGACGAGAGCGGAGAGATCCGAGAGCGGAGAGATCCAAAGAGTGAATGTTCCACTAGTCACATGCCGAGTCGTGTCTCTAGAAGTAGCATCGGTATAATGTAACGCGCCAAGACGCTAGATACTACTCTCATTCCCTCATTGCAGCTTTTCGTATAGATACAGTTCCACAGATTGCGTCTCTGCGCCAAGTACAGGCAGTGGCAAAGTTTGTCTATGCAGCTCAGCCCATCCCTCTTGCGATAGCAGGTCAAACAAGGCCTCTTCCGAAGCATGCCGCGGCTTCGTTGCCAAGAAGACTTTTGTTGACTGCGGCTGCTCGCCGGATGATGTGGATGAGGCAGCCACATGTGCCATGTTGGATGCGTGCAACGCAGATAGCGTCTCAACCAGCGCGGGAAGCATATCCACGTTGTACGTGCAATCACTAAGCATGACAAGATCCCAGCGGTGGCTTTGTGTTTCCGGACCAAATGCACCCTTTCGACCTTCTTCCCAATCAAGGTTCTCGTACAGAAGCTTCACGGGAAGACTGCTGTTAGACTTCTTTTTCCCGACTTGAAGGAGCCGAGACATGTTGGACCTGGTTCGACTCTCTGCTTCCTCCAAATCTGTCATGAGGATGGTGCATCTGCGACTTGGTGGCGGCCGCATCCTTGGTAATACAACACTCAAGCCTCCTCCCAGGATTCCAACGCCGCATCCTAGCTCTAAAACATTTATGGATTTTGGCCCAGCGAAAAGTTTCTTCAAAGCCTTTAAGCCAGAAGGTTCCGTATCTGTTGGCATTGGCAACATCCATGACTCGGTAATTGCACAGAAAGCGATTACTCCTGCATCCCAGATATGTCTAGCAATGCTCTCGCCAATCTCCTCCTCAAGCTCGACGTAATCCTCTTGCTCAGAAGTCCCGGGTAAATAGAGTCTCCTCGTAGAAACTTCGACTTCGGCTCCATCGTGGCTCAATGGGATCCAGACCGGCATGATTTGTCCAGCCGGCTCGTCTTCCTTCGAAACAATTGTAGTAGCGAGAATTTCGGATACCCTACGTGCAGAAAATTTCTCTGTGCTAATGCATATAGCAACTTTGCTCTTGGAAGTCGATGCCTGCTGCATCAACCCAGTTATGTCAACTGAAGGTTTCGCGACGCGCATTCCAGATCGCCATTGCAGTTTTTCCGCCCCTAGAGAGAGATTAAATAACTCTCTCTTTATAGATGACGAGTCAATTGATATTTCGGCATGGATAGTGAGATTGATTGGCTCATCTGGATATAAAAATGAGTCTCCCAAGTCGGTAGTTATTGTAAAGACCAGATTTAGCATGTGCTTCTTCCCAGAGCGAGACTGAGTTGGTGATTTGAGAAGCCGTATGTAATGCATTATTGCTATAGTACTAATATTGGCTAAAAGCTCCCTGCACGACAATTGAATTGAAGTTGAGCGTTCGCCATTCATGGTGTTTTCTTTGACGGAATTTTGCTAATGGCTTAGTCATCACACTACATGTATACATATGTACATAGGGGTGCGTACAGCAACTTACCACCACCTTGTTAAACGCTGTACTGCTGGATCAGAATCATTGTTTAAAAAAAAAAGTTGGCCCATTCAGCCAAATTTCTCTTACTTGACCATAGTCAGCTTGCTTAATCACGGCTACATAAAGCTATGATATGGTCGGAGAGAATGACAAGGCTTAGACTGCTGGGGACTTTTGCCGCTTTAATTGGAAACGCCTATATAATTGCCATGTATTACACTCTCCCTTAGTTAGACTTCGATAATTTCAGTAAAGCTCAATGTATTGCTTGAAAATCCCCCTAATAATCGCTAAGAACGAGTGTGCCTCTTCTAAATAGCAATAGTATAATTTTTTTTTTTCAGGTCTAGAGCAAGAGGAGCAAGAGGAGAAGAACCAACTGGGCAGACATGTCGAGCAACCGTGGCATATGCCAAGAGAACTTCTACGCTCCTAGCTGATAATTTCTATAAGTAGGTAGACTGAAATGACTGCATTCATTCTTGTTTCTCCATTTTCGGATAAGAGGAGGGAAACGGAATTCTTCGAGTCTGCTGCGTGCTACTGACCACCTGACCTTGAACCTCCCAACAAGCTGATTGCTTCGATAGAGACACTCCGATACAACTGTCTGTCTCATGGATACACGGTTCACCGTTAATTTTCCTTGTATTATAAAGCCTAATGGATGGCTTATGCTCATGCAGCTGCTCTGCCTTAGGATGACCCGTTATTGTCTTACTCGAGCTGTAACTATATAGATACTTAAATTGGGACGTAACTACTTGGGCTTACTCTTCTAATGAAACCTTAGTATTTACGAATATCGGTTCTTTCTGGATACCTGCGTCCTTTCAATCAGTTCCATTATTGCCATAATGCATACACCACAAACGCACTTGCTGTGCCAGACAATAGACACGTGCATCTAAATAAAGATTTCTTATGACTCTCATTCCCATCTCCTTTTTAACATCATCGCCATCCAATCTATGGTCTTTTAATCATTTTCTCGCTCGCTTCTCCTCCCCTTTTGCTTAGGGTTATACACTCCTATTTTTTATTTGAACTTCTTCAAACATACAACTTACATCCAGTTCTTCACACTCAAACTCTCTCATCCAATCTATTGGACTGCCGGGGAACAATTCGTAGATTTGACACATGCATCTTTCCCAAACGCCTCGAGGGTTTTCCTCACCTTTGAAGAAGTCGATGAACCGTTCTAGATCATAAATCACCAATTGATAAGGTTCTTGCATTCTTATAACATGGCCTGGATTCTCCAAGTCCCGAATCATTGTGAATAATATTGTACTTGTTATTTCGATGTCTTTATGGTCTGTAGCCGCATTGTATTCCCTGATTTGGCTACCAGCGGATTTTGGTTCTTCTTCCTCAAATTCGTCTTTTTCTACAATAACGCTGAAACCATTCAGAGTATTAGCCGTGTAGGAACGCAGATTGGCTGCTAATGGCTCTATCTCATCAACAATGCGCGGATTAGATAAGGCTTGGGTGGAGTTTCCTTCCTTTTGTATGGCTGATAAGATATCCACGAGTTCGTTGAAACGCGGCTGATAGGTGAGAGCTTGCTCCAATGGAGACTTCATGTTTATGTTATCGTATTTTGTCGTAACTAGTGTATCAAGGGTACGCGGTATCAGTTAGGGATGGTAGGAATCGTAAGTGAGTAAATTGCTTGGGGAGCTTGATTGCTTGGGGTAATCTACATCCAGTGGAAAATCACCTTCTTATAGGAAATGCGTGCGATAACAGCGAATTGAGAAGCTTCATCACAGAGATCAAAGAGTTTGCATCATTCTTTCATTCACCGATACAAGTTCCTATGTGCTCTACATGTGTTGTAAATGTGTAAATTTACGTTATCAGAACAAGGCCAAGTCTAGGGGAGGATGCCAAAGCATTACATAGCTACATGATAGAATAAACGGTACTCGATGCAAATACTAAAAAAGGACAGATTAGGCGTTCACAGACAAAGATTTATAATAACAGCACACTTATATTCGGCTACTGCCAGGCGCCGCCTTGAGGAACTTTAATTTTTCGACATTTCAAATCTTCGTATATTTCCTCGAATGGGAACATTTCGCAGGTACATTAGTCTGCTTTGCTTGCCTTGTTTGTTTTTTCACTATGAAGGTCGTAGCTAAGATCAATTGATCCATGCACTTCAATGTTACAAGTACCCCCCTTTGTGGCAGTAAGGGCAGCGACCTTGTTCAGTTCAATAAAAGAGCGCAATGTGCAGCGATCAACTCAACGTACTTCCTGGGTCGTCAACTATGAGCAGTAAATAAGGAGATGAACGATGTGTAGGAGGCGATTTTTGACTTTAGGCATCAGCATAATTCAGATCCCCTGACGCAAAACGATATCCCCCCGCTATTTACAGGGCCTCGTGGCGCATTCTAGTTGCATCCGGCTGCAGCTTAGGCCGTTTTCCTAGCTGCTAAGTGGCTGAGGCTGTGCCTCCAAGGCATCCTTGCAGGCAGACCCGAAGGAAAGGGAGCCAGAGATGCATTGATGCTCGGTTGTGCTGCCGACGTCTTACTTGGGTATCTAGATGTTGTTCAACAGGCAGACGCAGTAAGCTGAATAATAACTGAAAGAGGTCATAATTTAGAGCCGACTGTATTGTGCCTTGTGCAGGATCCGATGATAGAGCCAGCGGAATCCCACAAGGTGAGATTCAAAGCTTCATTTGTGAAAGCACAAGCCAACCACTCGATTGTTCTAATGCAGAACAGAACAGCGCCACCCTTTGGGATGCCGATCAGCCACTTACTGGAGATCAATCAGATGGATGTCCTCATTACGGTACTAAAAAGCTACCCCTGCTTTCTATCTTTCATCTTTTTTTCCTTCTCTCTTTCTTGACCCCTTCTTAGTATATGGTTGCCTCTTGTTTCTTACACGACCCCCTAGTCGGCAATGCCTTGAAACAAGGGGAGTAACGTGCGTGCATCCATCGTGAGTGAGTTGATTCGGCCGGCATCAGTCAATGCCGCTGCTAACGCTAACCCGGCTTCTGACAGTCTTGTCAAAGAACTTTACCAGGCCAAGACAAGTGATTGAGCCTAACAAAGGTGAGTAGATCGTATTCTAGCGCAGGTAGCCGTAAATGCCTCCACTTTGTGTGCCTCCGAAGTGGATGGTCTCCAGAGCATAGTCCCTGGGGCTGAGGGAGAGTTGGGACTAAGCCCAGCAAGATATGGTCACCAGCTTATGGTTTCAAGCAGGCGTTCCCTCTCTTTGCATTATAAGTACGGCAGTTGGGTGCCTCAGTTAACATCATGTGTCAGAGAACGACTTCTTTCACTAAAAGGAGGTCTGCCATCATCTACCTATCCCCGCTAAAGTGATCCCTCTCTGGGCCATTTTCAACATTTCAGGGGCCTCGGCACATCATCACAGTCATGACCAATCTCAACAAGCAGGCCCAGACGCCTGGAATACCTGTTGTCAGCGTCCAGCAGCAAGAGCTGCCCATCCGTGGAAATTCCACTGCAGACAGAGACACAGACGCAAAGGCCCAGGACTCAATAGATCCTCCTCCCTATGATGCTCAGCCCAGCCCAATTGATCTACAACTTCATCATATTGCCTCAAAAGATGCCCTTGTTGTCAAGATTCAGCCCCCCAAGACACCGTCAAGGTCAATTAGCCATGTAGCTTGTGATGTGGTGCTCGTCATCGACATTTCCGGCAGCATGTGCTCGTCCGCTCCAGTGCCTGGCGAAGGCGAGGACACGGGCCTTTCGGTGCTGGATCTAACCAAGCATGCTGCTTTCACAATCATCGAGAGCATGGACGAGAGGGACCGCCTCGGCATTGTGACTTTTGAGACTGAGTCCAAAGTGGTTCAAGCGCTAGAACCCATGACGAATGGCAACAAGGAACAGGCACGCAAGAGAATAAGGGCCCTGAAGCCAATGGGCTCGACCAATCTCTGGCATGGCATGCTCGATGGAATCAAGTTGTTTCAAAATGAAGAGGACAGCCCTCGGGTGCCGGCCATCATGATCCTGACAGACGGCGAGCCAAACCACATGTGCCCTGCCCAAGGCTACATCCCAAAGATGAGATCCATGGATCCGCTGCCCGCTACCATTCACACATTTGGCTTCGGATACAGCCTTCGGTCCGGACTGCTAAAGTCCATTGCCGAATTCAGCGGCGGCAACTATGCCTTTATCCCCGACGCAGGCATGATTGGAACCGTCTTCGTCCACGCCGTGGCCAACCTACAGTCTACTTTTGCAACCAAGGCTTCGCTAGAGCTAAGATACGCATCCACATTGGAGATTGAACAGACGCAGGGCGATGCCGTTGACAAGCAAGCGGCTATCGACGCCGGCAAGGGACAAATGCAACTGACCATTCCCTTGGGAAATATCCAGTACGGGCAGTCTCGCGACCTCTGGCTACGTCTCAAAGGCACTACGCAGGCAAAGCAGATTTCAGACTATGCCATCGAAGCCACTCTTACCTTTGAAGAAGCCGAGAAATCGGTTCCCAACTTGAGCTTGGCCCGCCTCGGTGACGGTACAACTAACGCAGTGGCAGCTCTCTCCACTGACGAAGCGGTCTATCATGAATCCCGGGCCCTCGTCTGCAGCTTCATCTCGTCGCTATTCCCTCTTGGATCGGATGGAGAATACCGGGTCCTCGTTGCAGCGGAGAAAATAGCAGAGAAGCGACAAGAGCTGGCACAACTTATCAAGACGTTACCCGGCCGAGATCTCGCTGACGGATTGAATAAATCACTTATGGAAGATCTCAAGGGTGACCTGCCTAGAGGACAGATTAGCCTCGCCATCTCCACGCCAGAGTTTTTCATCAAATGGGGCCGACATTTCCTGCCATCATATGTCAACGCCTTGACTCGCCAAATCTGTAACTCGTTCAAGGATTCAGCGCCCCTTCAATTCGGGTCCCAGAGTCCGCTCTTTATAGCCTGCCGCGATCGTTTAGACAATGCTTTTGACAACATTCCTGCCCCACCACCGTCCAGAGTCGTTTTACGCCATAATGGCAGTCGTCAAGCCCGATCATTCACCGCCGCTCCCTCATCCATGGCGAGATATCGAAACGCTTCCGGAGTGTGCTTCGCCGGCTCGACTCTTGTGGAGCTCGCATCGGGTCGAATCACCGAGATTCGGAAGCTGAAGCGCGGCTCTCGAGTCCGCACACCTCTTGGTCCCAGAAAGGTACACCTGGTTCTCAAGACCAAAGTATCAAGCGAGACACTCTACCGGATTGGCTCGCTGCTTGTCACGCCCTGGCATCCCCTCTCCGTCGACAGCAAGAACTGGGATTTTCCGGCCAACATGTCGGAAGCGCCGGTGCTGTACACCGGGTTCATATACTCGGTGCTGTTGCAGCCCGATGGCAGATCAGATGCGCATGCCATTCGTGTTGGTGATGTTGCTTGGGGTGTTACGCTTGGACATGGTATCACTCGAGGAATGGACACTCGGGCTCATGAGTTCTTTGGCGACTACATGAGAGTGAGAATCGGGCTGCTGAAGCTGCCAGATGCGGGCAGGAAAGGCGTGGTAAAGGGACAAGGAATAGAGCGAGATCCGGTGACTGGACACGTCAGCGGATTCCGGAGTATGGCTGCTGGAAATGCAGACGTACCATCTGAGAAGGATATGTCTTGACTGAACTGAGGTGATATCGGAGAAGATCTAGTACTAACGAGTCAACGACGACAAAAGAAATGACGCGAGAAGAAAATCTATAGTAGCAGGTACTATTACCGTAGTTTACGAAAAGGAACAAGCAAATGAATAAATCTATGATGAAATCTAAAAAGCCTCACTCTCCTTGAAACTCACAAAACAAACCACCAGCTTGTCCCTTTTTAAGTCCCTTTTTACCCATTTTTCTCTTTTCTCCTTCTCTCCGAGCATATATATTTTACCATCTTACTCTCTCACAAACAGTCCAGCCATGCCCATACCCGTTCCAATACACATGCTCACAACACCAACCTCTCCACCATCCCTCTTCAACCCATGCATCAGCGTGCTCGTCATTCTCGCACCCGTCGCACCTAAGGGGTGTCCCAGCGCAATCGCACCTCCATCAGGATTCACACGGCCCTTCTCCCACGCCTCCATCAGCCCCAGCTTACGCAGACAATAGACAAACTGGCTCGCAAACGCCTCGTTGAGCTCCCACCGGTCCACGTCTTCCGTCTTCAGACCGAGCTGGTTCAACAGCTTCGGTATGGCAATGGCCGGCCCCACGCCCATCTCGTCCGGATCACAGCCAATCGTCGTCGCCCCCACGAACTTGCCCATGATGTGCGACCCGAGCCCAAGCTCCGTAGCTGTGCTTCGCTTCATCAGCAGCGTGGCCGCCGCGCCGTCTGAGATCTGGCTCGAGTTGCCCGCCGTGGACTTGCCATCCGGTTTGAAAGCCGGCTTCAGCTTCGCCAGCGACTCGGCCGTCACGCCGTCCCGAATGCCGTCGTCGCGGGTCACCGTGATGGTCTTCTGCTCACCCACAGGCTGCCCCTGCTTGTCAACCTCCTGGAAGCGCGTCGTCACCGGCACAATCTGCGAGTCGAACCAGCCATTGTCCCTCGCGCGCGCCGCCCGATTGTGCGACGCCGCAGCCAACTGGTCTTGAATCTCCCGCTCAACGCCGTACCGCTCGGTCACGTTCTCCGACGTGATGCCCATCGGCATGACGCAGTCCCGGACGTGCTTGTTCGGCGAGTCCCGCAGCTCGGGCCACACGTCTACCGGCACGGCCCGGCTGCCGTAGTTCCTCGTCATGCTCTCCATGCCGGCGCCGATGCCTGCGTCCATGATGCCGGTGCGAATCTGCGCCGCCACCAACGAGATGCTCTGCAGCGACGATGCGCATGCGCGGTTGGCGGTAAACAGGCTTGTAGAGTTTGGATAGCCCGCGTGGTTGAGCGCCATGCGCGCTGCTTTAGAACCGCCCAGCTCGGAGAGCACGACGCCCACGCCCACGTCCTCAACCACGGCTGGGTCCATTTCGGGAATGGCCTCGCGAGTTGCTTTGAGGACTACAGAAAGCAGCTCCTCTGGGTAGGCGTCCTTGAGGCCGCCCTTGTAAGAGCGACATACTGGCGTGCGGAGGGAGGAGAGGATGACGACGTCGGAGGGGGCCTTGGTAAGGATGGCGGAGAGCCCTTTAGACATGATGGCTGTGTAAGTGGGTGTGTGCGTATTTATATCAAGCTGTAGTGGTAGATGTGGTTAAATGGTCCCGGTATATAAGAGGATGAGATATGCCAAATAAGCACGAGGAGTATTAGATGCCAGTAAAGTGCTTGGTTATTACCACTACCGGGTACTAGTATAGAAACGAAGTAATAATAAGGTACAAAAAAAGGTGTAAAACAGAACAAAATGGGAAATGAAAGGAAAAAAAAAGAAATCGGAGAAAATGGAACGCAGAGAACGTGAAAGAAATATAAAGTCATCCATCGCTCACTAACCTCTTACCAATTCATCCCCAAGTTCCGAATCGATGCCCTTTTTCTCCCCGCAGTGCCACTCTGGGCCCCGCCCGTATCCGCCGTGCTGGCAGTTGCTGTCGGCAATGGGTCGGACACTACCCCGGAGTATCCCGTACCAGCACATGCGGTGATAGATCCATTTATTCATGCTAAAGAGCTTCCATATTGTGTCACGCAGGCACTTGAATACTGCATTTCATTGTTCTTCCGCTGCACCTGCATATAGCAATGGGTCCCTCAAGCTGCTGCACTCCGAAGATGTTCATATCAGCCATTCGGTGGAGTCTGGAGTCTCCGGAAGATACACCCGGGCCGGCTATCGTTGCCGCCCTTCTCCGTGCATTGCCGGCTAAGATCTTATCCTACAACGTGGCAGACTATCCGTTGTATATTCTCTCGCTAGTTGGACAGTATTATGATAACTCTTTTTATTTGCACTCTTAATATCCACTTTTAAGCAGAGTATACCTCGCAAACGCGAATCTAGTCCCCAGCCTGAATTGTAAATGTGTGCTGTATTACCGTTTGATCCTAGCCCTTTACGCTCTTTTTGGGCCGTCTCCCTTATCCGACTTCTTTCCGACAACAACCGCATCTCGTCTCATTCCACTACCACTCTCAATCATCACCAAGTACTAACAACCAACCAGCTCAATCAAATATAGTCATCATTCGTCAAAAAGAAGAACAAGTCAACCATAAAACACAATAAGCAAAGACTTCCAGTCACGTGCCGACTGGGGGATATCTCTCGAGTAAATCGCTTCCATCTGATCTGACATGACCCGGCACTTGGTCTGCATTCCTCTCTCCATTTCTGCTAGTATTGAATGCCCAGTCCAACACGGCGGCTATCTGATGCCGCTCCACCAGCTTTCATCTTCTTTTGTGGGCTGTCCGCTTGACTCTCTCCTTCAGCCCCCATCTTCCGCTTTTCAGCCCCAGCTGCGGTTTTGCTTCCAGTGAAAAGCTTGGCGTGCATGGCCGCAGATTTCTCAGCAGGCCCCTCCGTGGTGACCAAAGGAGGCGCACCGCTATACTCCTGGCCGGGATATTGGCGCAGCATCTTGGCCGCTGCTCGACTCGCATGGCTATCATAGACTTGCTCCTCGTCTTCTTGCGAGCTGATTGGCCCTCCTGCCGGAACATCTCCAGTCGGCTGGGATGACTGTGTCTGTACTGCTTTTACCGATTCTATGGCTTGTCGAGCAAGCTCTTCATTGTCCTCCATTGAGATTGTGCTTTCTCGTCGTCTTCTTCGCGATTGCCGCTGAGAAGGCGGAGTTGTGGGAACAAATCGTCGCTGTGAATAGCGCGATCTCGGTTCCGTTTGCGCCACGAGATTTACTGACGGCAATAGGCCGCTGTGGTCTCCACGCAAGTTGTGCATGGGAGTAGTGGGGAGTGAGGACATGGATTGGGCGTTGCGTTGGTGCCTCCTAACGAGCCGAGAGGCAGGGCGAGCCATGACCATGGGTGTTGATGGCGCACTGTTGTTGTTGGCGGCTGCGTTGTTTTCTTGTGTCTGACTCTGGCTCATTGCCTCCAATAGTGCAGACAGTCCGTGCTCTCGACCATCAGTCTCTTCTCGGTGTAGAGTGCGAGACACCGCCCCACGATGCTGCTGCGGTGTCGATGTAATCCCATGTTTAGGCGTCAAAGCGCCATGAAAGATGCCTCCGGGGCTGCATAGCATGTGAAAGTGCTCGCGGTTCTCCCGAATTCGGTTAAGGAGCATCTCCCGCTCCTCTGCGAGAGATATGGTCTCCTCCTCCTTCTGTTGGATGACCTTCTTGGCCAGCTTGACTCTGCGGCTAAGAGCCTCGTTCTCTTCTACTGCTGATTCGTACCACATCTTCATCTGCAGGTACTTGTTCTGCAGAGACTCTGACGCCGAGCTGAGTTCGCGCTTCGCCTGCCGAGAATGCTCTGCCATGCGCAAGGCGTCCACTTCGCGGCGTATCATGTCGTGTTCCACCGCGGCACGTTTTGACTCCTCATCCGCTTGTAAGCTCAACAGATTAAATTGTAGTTTGTGGTGCGCAGCCTCCATCTTCAGCTTCTGATTCTCGGCGATACAGGTCTGCAGCATGGAGCGGAGCTCGTCTGCTGAAGCCTCGAGCAGCTGGTGAGGTGCCGGCGGTGTAAATTCGGGTTCGATATCTCGTCCACGCATGGTATTGAGAATGGTGGCGGGCGGCGAAAAGAGAGCCGACTGCTGAGAGTTGGAGTAGGCACGTCTCGAGGCACCATTGCTCGCCGCGACCTGCGTGGAAGGTGGCGGGGTCATGGAGGACGGAATAACCGTGATGGCCGGCCTATCGTCGATAACCTCCGTTTTGAACGACTGGTTTGGGTCAATTGGCGATCCCGGGATCTCCGTGGACGGTAGTGTTGTCTGGGACAATGGCTGAGGTCCTGACTCTTGAGGGGTCGATGGGTTGACGGCGGCGAAAGCGAGGTGCTCGACGGTGTCAGCTCCCGCGCCATTGACGCGAGGAGCGTCCACATCCATCTCCGAATCAGACGCCATCGTATATGTAGTGGCCGGTGTAGATACAAGAATCGTTTCGGGCGGTAGATTGAGCGGGGAGGAGGAATTGCGTGAAGCGGGCAGGCGATATCCAATGCGTTCAGCTTCCAGTTCTGTTTCCTCCAAGAAGCCCAGCTCGCGAAAGGTTCCAAGGGAGAAAGTGTGATATGTGGATCCCGGGGCGCCTCGGCCTTCTGTCGCCCAGTCTCCCTTGGCGCAAGGGCAGTTCGAAACGCTCCCAACGGGTCTCGTGGCTTGCGTTACGCCGTGAACGAATGACGAAGCTGCTGGTCCCAGACGGAGCCAATTCACGACGTGCTCGGCGGTGCAGCCGCGGCGAACGGGTCGGTCAAGGGCTGCGTGTATCGCGTCGCGCTGCGTCGAGCCTCCCTCGGTATCCGTGCCGGGGGTGGAGTTGTGGAAGACGAGAGGTCGAGGCTGCGAAGGGGGTCATGGGTTGAGGTTTTGTGAAAACGAGGTGGTGGTACAAGCAAGTAGCACCATTTGGCTGGCGCCAGTCAGAAGCGCCGATTCACAGCTTGTACCTCGTACATAGGTACCTGCACCAGGCACGGGAAAAAAACAAATTGGAGAGGCTGGCTGGGTTACCAAAGGCGCTAGACCTACCTCGGCCTGCCTAGCAACGGCGAGCTGACGCAAGGCTGCTGAGCTTGTGGCGAGCCGAGATTTACCCTTCCGGCAGTCTTGAAGATAGGGTAGGCTCCAGCACTTCGTAGTGGGACAGTCTAGCTGGTGTCATAACTCTTGAAGTCTCTTCTTTATTACTTCTTGATGCTATTATCGATGCCCAGCTATCATTGTCTCGCATAATATAGAAGAGAATAGTAATTTGATAGTTGCCATAACCTCTCCCCAATCTATGTAACCCTTACCCTGAATACCAATTATGCGTAAGGACAACAAACACATCCTTCCACCACAAGACATAATAAAATAAAATAAAGTCACTCCCTGTTCCTTTCCTCGTTCTTCTCACTTCATACTTCTTCCAAACTCTTCCTCGGCCACAGTAGTTGCGCCTCCTTGCCTTTCGTCGTCCACCGCTTCACAGCACACACCACTTTCGTTACAAACAGAACCGGTAATATCAATGGCCAGAATACCATAACTGCCATCCACCACATCACAACCATCGCCTTATCTCGCCGCGTTCCATCTGAATCGAGATACCATTCCGGGATCCATCTCCCTAGCTTTCCTCGCCCGTTGATACACAGAATACAGATGACCCCAAAGAGGAGCCACCCGGCTATAGAGATCGGTATGAGCACTCGGACGATTGCGCGCGGATCGTACGGTGTTCCTTCGCCACTTAATTCATGTGCTGCGTTTGTGCTGTGTGTGACGTTGGATGACAGACTCCGCTCAAACTTGAAGCGGCCTGTTGCTATTTGGCTGCCAGCGCTGTATTGCAGCGAAGTTCTCGGCAGGAAGCTAGGCATCGCAGACCCTGTAGTAGTAGAGGCCATCGTTCGGAATGATGCGTAGGTATAAATATGGAACTCTCTTCGCAGTATCAGAGATGATATTCAGATGTTGATATTTGCAATCATGGATGGATTGTTGAGTTGAAACAAATCGAAAGCTGCCAATGGCTGGCTATCGATTCAGAAAAGCCCGAAATCTCATCCTGGATAGCGCCTTCCTCGTCACAGTACTTGAGCTACATATATCAATACATGTATTTAGGTTAAGCTCTACGCTCACAAGCAGCGATGGAAATGGTAATCGCCTTCGTCGAGCACTTTCCAGGAGAATCACCAAAATTGGACAAATGGTTAACTTCAAGTAGATTTGTTTGAACAATTATATACATTACGGATTATTATACATATTTTGCAAGCTAATGCAAGACCATAGGTATCTATACTACCAGTTCCAACCAATACTCCGAGTGTCGCTCTGCCTGCGCACTCGATCCACCGATAATAATAATAATGATATACAGCTCTACCCTTCAAAAAGAGAGACTAAAAGAATTAAGTAGCAGAAAATATATAGTACATGACCTTGCCATAAAATGAAATTAATAAAGTTACGGTTGAAGGGAAAAAGATACCACCCGCTTCGAGTTTAATCCACGTCAGAGTCATCTTCCCCGTTTTCAGCTCTCCACCCTTCCATCTCTTCAGCTGGAACTCGTCCTCGGAGCCATTTCATTGTGACTGCAGTCCCCTTCTCCAGAATATTCCACTTGGGCACCTTGAATCGATTTCCCGTCACTTCGAGCCGCTCAAGCCCGTTTTTTCCACCCAAGAGGCCGAGCCGGGGATCCAGATGTCCAATGTCATTGCTCGACACATCAACAACTTTGAGGCCCTTGACGGCAGCTGGATCAAGCTCTGTTAGTTGGTTGTTTGACGCGACGAGAACTTTTAGGTTGGGAAAGCTCTGTTTTAGATCGAGAGGAAGGGTGCTCAGCCGATTGAGCGAGACGTCAATCTTTTCCAGTGCAGGTGCTTTAAGAAATTTTGTCAACGGACCTAGGCTGGTGATGGTATTCGAGCTCAAATTCAATTCCGTGAGAGCCGGTAAGCTCAGATCTTCTGTCAGATAGGCCTCGCCCGCAATTTTGTTGTGGCTCAAAGACAGAGACGTAAGAGTTTGCGAGAAGAACTGTAGGGATCCGGGGAACGCACTCAGCAGATTATGATGAAGCTGTGCCTGCCTTATTTGGTAACTCCTAGAGAGTTCGGCGCACATTTCCGGACTCAATGAAGATGACTCGGTGCGTGAACGGTCGAGGAGCCCGCCTGGCTTGACCGGCCAAGTCTCTCTCACCAACGTCTGAGCTCGCGATCTAGCAGGCGAATGCGGCGCAGACGTTGGAGGCGTGGCAAAATCATCATCACCTTCTGATCTGCTGTCTGCATCGTCGACATTGATTGTTGCCATATTATCCTGCTTCTTCTCAATGTCAAGTTGGCTAATCATGGTGGTGATGGGTTCCTGACCGGCCGGCTCCTGGTACGGGGGAGGGGGTTCCAGCCTTGTCGATAGCGCCTCCTTGATCTCATCCGTCGAGGCCGAAGCAAATTTCTTGTCACGTAGCGGGTTACCACTGAGTCGAAGCAAAGTGAGGCTGTCCATGCGAGAAATCTCGGGCGGAACTACACGGATATCGTTGCTAGAGAAGTCTGCTTGTCGTACTTTTTCGAGGCTAGTAAAGCTTAGGGGTATGCTGGAGATATTGTTCGTGTCCGCTGCAAGGGTCAAAAGACTTGTCCATGCGGCCATATCTGGGAGCTCCTGCAACCGATTCATAGAGAGGGTAAGAGTATGGACAACGGGAAGGTTGATCGAGGTATCGGCAGGCACAAGCCGCGTCAACCTATTGATCGAGATATCAAGGCTTTGGAGTGTCGGTAGAGAGCTAATGGGTTCTTCAATAAGAGTTCCTGAAAGCTGGTTTTTCTTCAAATCAAGCTCAGTCAGGGGCAATTTCGAAAGTCCCTCGAATAGAAGCGATTCAAAGCTGTTTTCGCTCAAGTTGAGAATACGTAGTCGAGAAAGGTGTTCAATGTTGGGGGGCAGGGCCGAGAGTTTGTTTCCGTGAACATCAAGACTCTCTAGCGCACTCAAACTAGTGAGGCATGGGTTCAATGGTCCACTGAGGTGATTGTTTGCAAGTTTGAGATCTCGGACGGCCGTCATCTGCGCGATAATCTCAAAGCAGTCATTTCCTAGGCGATTTGAAGACTAAAAAGTGTGAGTAAAGGATTTCGAAGAATAACAAGACGACGGAGATACTCACCAGATTGAGAGTGGTTAGCTGTGTGAAGCGGCGGAATCCCATAGGAATCGCTAGCAGCTGATTGCCATGTAAGTCGACTGTTTCGAGCCCTCCAAACATGTTACCTCGGCCCTCCTCATCGTTCTCAAGCTCTTCAAAGCTACGGTCTGGAAACATGGCGTCGTCCAACGTCTCCAACTCATTATCCGCAGCGATAAGCCTGGTCAACTCCACGCTCTCTGCCCAGCTCCCACCAGCGCCAATGGACTCCAGGTCATACATTTTCATAACATCGCTGGGTATCTCTTTCAGCCCCAGAGCTGCAATATTCAGCTTACCGCTTGTTCTTGCTGCTCCTATGCGCTGTTTCAAGACCTTTTCGCCAGTATCTTGGCCCTTGTTTAAATTGAAAGGATCATCGAAAGCTGCATCGTAGTTGAAACCACTATTTGATGGAATCGCTGCTATATCATTAGCAGTCGATGCTGCACTGGGCGCCTGATCTTGATCCTGAGTTTGCTTCATAGCCGCTCTCCGAGCTGCTTTTGCTTTAGCAATTTGATCTCGAAGTGCTCCTGATGACTTTTGAGCCGCCTGGTTCGACTCAACAGCAGCTTCTTTTGTTGCTGGAGCGGGTGGCGCAATGTTACCGTCCCAGGAAGAGGCACCACTTCCTGAATTGTCGCCGGCGCTCAGAGCTGCTTTCTTGGCAAGACCGTGGGCAGATGTTTTTGGCTTCAATGGCTTAGATGCTGGCCTCTGAACTGTTTTCGTTGGTGTTTTACCTAGCTTATCTGGGGTTGAGCTTCTAAATTCCGGCATGGAAGAGGTCGGTTTTGAAGCTGGCCCAGAAGCACGGCTGGCTGGACGAAGTCTCTGTGCGCCGTTGGAGGCAGCGCCTTGAGCTCTATCAGGAGTACTGTGAATAACCGAAAGAGGCCTTTTGAAAAGATTGGCAGATGACATCCTGGGATTCGAGAATCCTGAATCATCTACTCCGCCGCTCGAACCTGGGCGCGACGGATGCCCTGCGGATCCACCAGAAGTGTAGCTGGAGCTTGGCCTTGAGGCAGAACTCTCGGCTCGCGACATAGGCCTACCTGAATCAAAGAATGATGATGACCCTTTTCTGAGAGCAGGAGAAGAAGGTAGTTGTGAAAGAGTTTCAATAGTGCGATCAGAAAGCGAGGGTTTCGGTGCATTGATCTGGGGCGTGTCTCTCCTCGGGGAGGAAGCCGGGGACAGAGGCGAGAGAGCTCGAGGCGAGAGAGCTTGAGGTGAGAGGGCGCGAGGTGAGAGAGCCGGGGATTCTCCATCATCAATCTGGTGTGATAAGCCTGCAGAGTCATTCAAATATGAGGTGAGCAGGTCGTTGGACGTTTCTGCTGAAACCTCCTCCCCCTCAAAATCAAGCTTGCTGGATTCAGATGGTTCTGCCCAAGGCTTATACTGCGCCGTTGGGGCGTTTGTGATAGTGCTCCATCTTCGGGCTGCAGATACGTTTCGTATAGGCTTCGATACAGGGGCGGCAGGTTTAGAGGCAGGCGTACGAGCCGAGCTGGAACGAAGCTGAGTATTCGACGTAGAGTTTCGTAAAGCTGGCTTTCGTTCGCTGGCGGCGGTATTGGCGGAAGGCCGCAACTGGCCACGGGAAGTAGAAGCCCGGAGCTTTGGGTTCTGGACGTCTCTGGCTCCAGCTGCGTCTCCGGCTAGACTATCACGGGATGGCCTGGGGCGAAGCGCTGACGTGGAACTGGTAGTTGGAGCTGGAGCTGGAGATGGAGCTGGAACTGGCTGGACTACGGAGACAGGGCGAGGAAGCCGAGAAAGGCGGGGGATGCCGCTGGCTCGTCTCTGGGAGTTATCCATTATACATCAGTGGCTGGTAAGAATCGGTTTCGAAGGCTAGATTGAGAGTGGCCTGTTGAACTGGGGTGAGTTTCGGGTGTCGATGGATTTCGATCGATCAAGGGCGAGTTGCGTTCCGTGAGGGGCAGAGCCGCTTGAAGCTGTGTCTGATATTGAGATTCGCTTAGAGCGGTGGGTGTCGAATTGGAATGTAGCGAGTGTAATCGTCAACAAATGACGGAATCGTTGAGCAAAGCGAAGATTGTCGAAAAGGAACGACCAATGCAAAAATCCACAAAGCGCGACTGAGAAGGAAAAAAAGAAGAGCCAGATCTCAGAGCCACCAACACCGTTTGTAACGGATGACCCGCGTCGTCAATTATTAGAATTGCGGCTGCTCATCCTAGTCAGGGGATTGACAAGGAGCTACCTATCACGTGGGGTTAATTTATCACAGCACTAGAAGCAGCACTACTTGGGCTAGCTCGCGGGAGACGAACAGCGCTAAACTGGCTTGTGGCTGCCCGAGAGGTGCGAAGCTACAGGAGCTACGAGGTGTCGTGACAGGTACCGCAGGTACTCATTTACATGTGCTCCACTGCCATTGTCGAGGGCAAGGATGATGGATGATGGGCAATGCTCCCGAAATGCAAGTCACATCGGCGCTAGGGCCGTTGAGTCGAAGAGGACAAGGCGCTCGGAAGTACCTACTCCGTAGATTCTTGAGAAAGAAGACACACACTGCAGTATGCCAGCGCATGAGGTACTAGGTAGCTATAGGAGTTTTTCCATTTGCTTCTACTATACTTGCTAGAACAACATGTACCCTAATACTATGTACAGGTACTATCTAGTAGTAAATTGATACAACGTATGCTTGCTTCACTGGCTTCTTGCTCTGTGCCTCTCATTACAGCTCCATAACAGACGAGGTTCCTCAGAGACAGCTTCAATCCAACCAGTCGCTATCGATTTCATATTCCTCGTCAGAGTCTACCGCATCAGACAATTCGTACGAGGCATCGCCATCTTCCTCTTCTGAATCTTGGTCTTCGTCCGCAGAAGAAACTCCATCTGTCGCCTCATCTTCTTCTGCATCATCCTCGTCCCGCGTCAAGTCAATTATCACCGGCTGTGATTGATTCGCCGCCTCTTTGGAGGGTTTTGAACGAAGGCGCTGCTTTGAGGCTCGCTTGGATACTGCTGTGGGCTTGATTCTATGGCCCCGTGCAGCTCCCGCCAAAGATGCGTGCCGTTTCTGAACCACCCGGGCTGCAACACTTTTCCGGGACCCTCCCTTATTATCCTTCCGGACAGAGTTGCCTAGGTTCACCACTGCCGGATCGCTGGCCCATTCGACTAAAACCTTCGAAACTTCCTCTCGGGTAGCGTCTCTGGCGGCGTCTCGGTCTTTTGACGCCTTGGTGATTTTATCATAGTCCGTATGGCGGTGGCGAATATGCGCTTGAACTGCTAGGTATGCTTTCTTGTCCAGGTCTAATTTTCCTGTACGACCGACCCTGCCGCTTCGCTTCTTAAGGGCATGCCTCAAGATTGTGTTCAAATCCTGTTCTGGTATCTTTGCAAAAAGCCTCTTGATGGTCGTTGCAAACGCGTCCTCGGCTGCTGCATCTCGTCTCTCAACAGCGCCGCGTCTTCTCTCTCGAGTTGCTTTCTCTTCTGAGAAGACCTGGTGCAGAATCCACCTTGGTGCTCGTAACCCTTCTTGTTTGCCTTGGTTCATCACAACGTATAATGTCTTTCTGGCATCTAGAGTTTTTCGGCGACAGAGCCCCGTCATGAAAGGATTGCCTTTTCTGAGAAATCCGTAGCCCTTTGGCATTGGCGTCTCTGGAGAGACTGTTTGTTGGCGAGCCATCATCAAATAGTGGTAGCGTTTGGTTGAGATTGAGAGAATTCCCCAATGAAAATTGCAGGTAAGGGCGTATGAGAGGCATGAGCGATTGCTTCATTTATGTGAAAGATATGACAGTGCCCATGACGAACACGGAGTGCGGGCATTGTCCATATTATCCACTGATTGAGATTCTATTCATTAGGGGCGATGCAACATTTTGTAGTGCGCCGATTACTGAGGGAGAGGAAAATTTTGAAGATTGAAAACAAACAAACGGAGAGCAAAGATTTGAGTTGCTAGTAACCCGCGCTGTCGGTAGCGCTCCGCCATCGCCTACCATTTACGCCAATAGCGGGCCCCTGCAGCGCCTTACATTCACTCGCTGCAATTCACCAGCACATGCATGCAGACAGGCATCGAAGTAAAGACCGTGAATAAATACGAAGAATATTACCAAGTTTATATTTTATTATTATGCGGCGAATATTTCCAAGCCTTCGGTAGCGAAGCTGCCACTGAACATGTCTGGGTCGAGCTGCAGCTGTGCTTGCTCCATCATTTCAGCTGTAACAGCATCTTTCTGCTTGTTCCACACCATATCCCAACGACCCTTGAGAGTAACAGACGCCTTTTTCGTAAGTTTGGAGGTAACAAAGTCCTTGAGAACAATTTCTGCTGTTTGACTTGCGCTTGGCTCTAGCTGAATGAGCGATTCGGGACTAGGCGGCCACTGTCTCTGAATCTGGAGCTTTGGCAAGTCTAGAGGCTCTGAAGCACCGTCAGGCGTGATGGTGAGCAGACCAATAGAGGGCGCGGCGACATCCAACGGCGAATTATATACGAGAAATGTCACCGTATGGTCATTATCATTAACGACGGTGATGGTGATGGTGAGGGGATATGTACTGGTCTGCTTGACTGCCACGCGCAGACCAGCAATAGGATTTGGGCTGCTCTCCATTGAGGATGAGGGCGAGAAAAAGAGTGCAGCGAGCACGAGAGTAAGACTGATCCCAAGAATAGCACGCACACTTGGGATGCGATTAAGACTCATTAGAAAGCATAAGATGACGCTTAAAATGAAAGAATATTTAAGGTATGGTAACGTAAAAGCTTCCTTTGCTTGGAAGGGAAAATTGAGTAGCTGTTCTTTCGTAGGCCGACGGATATCCTCTTCTCTTTGGAGGCGGGTGGATAAAACTAATGACGTCGACCTCGGCAGCAGGCTTTTTCATTAATTCGCTCTTGTTAAATCTACCGTTATGTTGAAGGTGTGTTGACCATACGCGCACCAGTGGCTGCACAGGAGCATCGCAATCAAACCACCTTTGATAAGAGCGTCTCTGTACTTAGACGAAGAGCATCTTGACTCGGTAGCGCCAAGCCTGCAAAGGGACCAAATCCCCACGAGAGGGGTCGAGCGTCGTAAACGATACGAGCATAGAAATATAATATAGAAGAAACATTATGATTGTCTGTGTTAGGTTGTTCGGGCTGTCGCCTCCGCATAGATACTTCTCAATCCTTGATAGCCGCGGGTCCCTCCCCATGTTTCTCCTTTAGGCAGCTAGTGACGCCATGCGAGGCACTTTTGTATGCCAACAATGGAATTGTGTTTTTAGGTAGAACTAGTGAGCCGCCTAGGAGTGTTTATTAATAACCTTACGTTATGCTTGTCTTCGAGGTTATTCGTACTCCTTGGTTCATTCCATGAAGTTGCTCATCCACTTGGTCACCATAATAGCACACGCAGGTTGCATAGTGAGAAAAATAGATACGCGTTACACCAATTGCAAAGTTGAGACTGTGGAATAATTGGTATGCTTCTTTGGCTCTTGTTAAAACCCTAGTTCTATGCCAAGGGTGCTGTTGAAGCTTAGGGGCGCAGAGAATAGAGGTTATGCTTGAGATATCGTAATAAGTGCTTATGTATCGCCAAGAATGCAACCCCTAGTCCGAGATAACGACTGAAAGAATACAGTTAGCTTTTCCACTTGTATTTAGCAATGGGTAAGTGGATATCATAGGCTTGGCTTTCCGTGGCGCGAGCTTCCTCGTTGGGATCGTCTTCCGTCTAAGACTGCACAGCACGGTCATCTACCGTAAAAAGCCCCAGTTTCGGTAATTATACAAAGAATAAAAGAGGAAGGTCTCAAAAATAACCAATTAGATGTTGAAGCAACCCTAGCATCCCGCGAGCTAAATGTGTGTAGCCGATCGAACCGAATTGGCAAGATCTGTTGCGCCTGTCCGGGGATCATTACCGAAACAATAGTGTTCGACTATTTCATATATAAGCTTGAATGTGTACATATATGTATGCCAAGAAGTAATTCGCCTAAAGGCTTTTCCGGAAACAGTACACCGTCGGATTTTATTAGCGGAAGTCGCCAGATTCCTAGGAAGACAGGCTGGAAATATCTCGTTTTGGAGATGTGCCGAGATTTCTAAAGCAAAGCATATACTATATCTGCAAATATAACATTCATTTTTGAAGCTATTTGCCTCATATAGCATTAATTGCTATGTAGCTCAGAGCCCGTATTAAATGGCACATGTATCTACCAAGTATGAAAAAGGTAGGTATTATAGCCCACACCACAGCTATGTTTATGGGCGCCAAGAGCCAAGACACTACTACTGTCTGTATATGCCGCCATGCAAACACGATAGTCCAATCATATCGCATTATCCTGAACTTCAATGAAACCGGAGATTTTGGACTTTTTTGGAAGCTGTTTAGGCTGGTACATTGTCGTTTTACGCTTATCGCTTGGCATTGAGGGGGGAAAGCCGAGTTTGTCGCCAGAGTCTATCGTATATTGAATCCGCACCTTAGAACCGGGCCAATGAATGCATAAACCGCTAGAGGAGGCTAAATTGATTATACACTTACAACACGAATGAGAGGAATTCATCATTTGCCGCTGATTTTCAATGCCTGAAACTTTGCAAAATGAAGGAAACCAGTTCAGAGAAAAGACGAGAGAATTATTCTTTGGAATTTGACATTGTATACATAGTTTCATTTAATTATCTCTTTGTAACGACTATATTCTCCGTCGGATAATACAAGGTATACTATCCCAATATGTACAAAAAGAGATGATGATGAGTAAAAAATAGACCAGGCATAAAAGCCCCGGCCTTTTGACCTTTTGCCAACGGATACTGATCCTAATATGGCAGCTGAAATATATTGGTGTGCATAAGTTCCCTATTTCTGGCCGATATTCTTGATAACAATATTGCATGAATGTAGGCGAAGACGATAATGAGAAGCTGTGTAAGTGAGTCGAAAAGCCAATACCACGCTCTTCTTCTCAACGTGAGAATTGGCTAGGGTTTCATAGATGGAGTAAGGCTGTGGTTAAGAAGAACTTTTGTTCACATCCTAATCGAAGTGGAATGGCCCAACCATCGTGATGCTCCGTAGAAGCCATTACCATATCGTCTTTCAAGTATAAATTGGGCCATCCGCCGTCCGATATTAGATTCCATATCACTGCAAGAATCCAAACAACCATCTCATCCAGTCAATTTTTCCTCTTCAAAATGAAATTCGTCGCCGGTCTCATCGCCCTCGCCGCCTTGGCCTCAGCTGCCCCCGGCAAAGCTCCCACCCCCTTGGATATCAAGCTCGAGAGTGCTGGCAACGCCGAGATTAAGGCTGTCATTACCAACACGGGCAAGAACAACCTCAAGATCTTCAAGTCTGGCACCATCTTGGACAACAGTGCTGTAGAGAAGGTCTCGATCACTTCTGGAGGTATCTTCCACCCTCCAGCTTTACTTACATATCAACATACGTACTATCGCTAACATACTCTGTAGAGCACACTGTTGCCTTTGACGGTATCCGTCAACGCATTTCTACTGAGAATCTGGGTGAAGATGCCTTCCAAAGCATCCCCGCCGGAGAGTCCATCGAGGTGACCTTTGACATTGCTGAAGCTCACGATCTCTCACTTGGTGGAAAGTATGATATCCAGTCTGCTGGTGCCTTCTCTTTTGCTAAAGAGGGATCCACCGAGCTCGTCGGCTCTGTGCCCTTTGAGACCAACAAAATCGAGGTTGACATTGATGGCGAGGCTGCTTCTGCCCGGCGCATTGCCTTCCACCAGAAGCGCACTCGAGTTCAAAGCGACTGCAGTGGTAGCAAGCTCAGTGCTATTCAAACCGCCATCCGCAACTGTGCTTCTGTCGCTCAGCTCGCCCAGCAAGCCGCTGCTTCTGGTTCTGCATCCAAGCTCACGGAATACTTCAAGTCCTCTAGCTCCAGCGTGCGAAGCACCGTCTCGGGAGTCTTCAGCCGGGTTGCCTCCGAATGTGGCTCAACCAGCGGCGGTAGCTCTTCCCTCTACTGCTCTGATGTGCTTGGCGGATGCAGCTCAGGAGTATTGGCCTACACCCTCCCTAGCAGCAGTCTCATGGCCTACTGCAGCCTCTACTTCAGCGCTCTCCCGTCCCTGTCTCGAACATGCCATGCGCAAGATCAGGCAAATACGGTCATTCATGAGTCAACGCATCTTTCACAAGTTAAGGGCACTCAAGACTATGGTGGCTACGGATACAACTTCATCCAGTCTCTTTCTGCTTCCCAGAACCTCAACCACGCTGATACTTATGCCCTCTACGCCAACGCCATTTACGTTGGATGCTAAGTGTAATATTTCCAAGAATGAGAAACTGGAGGTGTACAAATGCTTCAAATTGTATTTTAAGGCTGGATAGCATACGTTTTATGAATGATGATGTGTTTGGAATGAGATGATTGACCAATAGCGTATATGTACCGAGAGGTTTCTAAGTGTGAAAACACCGCTTAACATGAAATGAATAGGTTTCTTCACACAATACAGTCTTTTGTATGAAAAAAAAGTAAAAAAAGTCGCTGGCATAGAAGGTTGGAAAATCTTCGTGCAAGCTGTTCTCAACACAATTTTTTTTCTGTTATAAAGTTTTGAACGTCACATTTGGGCGAGATTCCCTGTCGTCTTTAGACCCACCAAGCTACCGCCGTGCTGCCTGCTACTGTAGCAAAGGAAAGAGAACCAAAACCTTGTAGCTTTTCATCGGTATGAAACTACGTGATTTGAAGTTGAAAAAGTTTAGAAATATAGGCTTATTTGTTTCTTGATAGGCAGGGCTTGCCTCCGAAGTGGCCTGATATCACGGGTACGAATGTGCACAAACCTAGCTCATCCAGGCGGCCGCAGCCTGACTCGGAGGCGCCCAAAGGTCAATACGGACTAGGCCATAGCCCAAGTGGCCAAAAGGGCCCCTGCAGTGGGACGGGAACACGGATGTGAGATCTTGGCTCCGACCCAATGGGCTGTGGCATCAGCCAAATGCCATCTGCCGCGATGGGTTCGCCAAAGCGGGCGATGAGGGCTGTGCTGAGCGAGGACCGCTGCAGGGGAAGTGGAAAAGGGCATTTATAGAGAACCATTGGTCACCGGAGGCGATGCATATCTAGCGGCTGCCCCGTATTGAGTGCTTCGTAGGGTCATTTGGTTGGGGGTTATTGTGTAGCTGTCTACATGTAGTGAATGCAGTCACAGGTGGTGGTAATGGGGTCAGTTTGTCCCCAAACTCCCTCCAGGCATCAAAACCACTGGTGCCCAAATGACAGACTTGATGTGAGATTTTTTTTTCTTGGCCCTTGCATATTCAGGATAGCAAGCGCGCAGCAGCCTTGCTGCTCCCCAATACCTCTTGTCTGAACTTGTACAAGTGTTGATTCTTGGTTTATGCAGGGTGGATTTTGAACCTGAATCTAGTCCATGTATGGTGTGCTAACAGCCTTGATTTTCTACGAGCCAACCAGAATCAGTGAGCTGCAGTACCGAGACTGGATCCAGGTGCCTTCACAAAAACGTCACCAGGGAGGGCCCCTCACCGGGACAGGAAGAATGATCCATCTTGGAGTTCATATCTGCAGAGCCACATGAGGTGAGCGGGCAGGAAGAGTAGTATCGGCATCTAGGACGCTCGAGTGCTCCGAGACTCATCGTCTCCCGTGCTCTCTCTTCTCTCCCTTTCCCGCATGCTATTTTTTGCTCGTATTTCTATTATTGAATTTAGCGAAGCGGCGCTAATACGCAAAGTCTCTTTGAGCTGATTCTGTCGAGCTGAGTCTCACCAGCCACACCTCACCACACCATCGCAGCAATCCTCCTTGTGCCTACCGCAGGCATCACGAGCGCCTCCCTTGTCTCGGGCCTCTCACCCACGCGGGCCTCAGCCAAACCACGCTCCGTGACCTCACTTGTGGCTTATCACGGGGCCTCCCTGGCCGTGCCGCTCACCACTAGCAGTTGGTGTTGCCCACGGCTCGCCGCTACTGGCGCCAAGTCCAGCAACCCCTGCGCAAAACTTGGAACAGACCAGAAGGCCAAGCGGGGCTCAGCACACAAACGTCATCGCTTGACCCGAAATCCACTTCCAGAGAAGAGGGCTGTTTCATATAGCCGGCTGGCCCTTCGTCTCACCATCTTCTTTCAACTCTCCAGCGATAGTAGCGAGCTTGAAATAGCTGTTTGAAAGCCTGCATTTTGAGCCTTGTGCCTTGCGTTTGTCTTCCTTTGAAGCACGGCGCTATTGGGGGTACAAAGAGAGGGGCACGTCCTTTGTTACTCTATCTCCATTATAAAAGCCACTTTGTCCGAGGAGTTCTTGAACAGTCGCCATAATCTCATCTAATACGCCCAATAGCATCTCATTGTCTCTCGATTCACCATGGCCAGTCGTGGAGATCGCTGGGAACGAGATCGCCTGGATCGGGACCGCTTCGCCGGTGAGAGAGATGAGATACGTGAGAGGGATCGCTTTGAGGAAGACCGGGTCTTTATGAGCGGCGGGCGGGGTGGCCGTGATCGCTCTGAGGAGCGGCTTGGCAGCAGATACGGCCGGACATCCTACGAAGATGATATTGTCCGTGATCGCCGGTACTACGAAGATGATATCCGCCTTGATCGCCGTCCCGAGCCTCGCCGGGACCCTCTCCGGGACCCCCTCCGAGATCCCCTTCGAGAGCCCCTTGAGCGCCGTGTGTTTGTCGAAAAGGAGCGCGATCGTGAATACTATCGTGACTCTTCCCCGCGGCGCCCAACGATGTTGCGGCGACAATCGTCTCTCGATACATATGACCGTCGACCACTACCCAAGTTTTTCGACCAGCGAGAGGAGCTTCCGCCGCCGGCCCGCCGCGAGGACATTCTTCGTGAAGACTATCGGGCCCCGACATATACGCCTATTCCTCTTCCCAAGACCCGCGGCTTGCCGCCGCCTCGACGATATGATGACCGTTTCTACGAGGATATTCAAGTTGAACACGATCGTATTGAAGAAGGCATCCCTGCCGCCCCGGTCGTTCCTCCAGAGCGCATCGTTGAACGAGAGATTATTCGAGAGAAAGAGAAGGAAAAGGAGAAGCGAAGCCGTAGTCGGGATTCTCGCTCTACTAGACGAAGCCATTCCCACAAGCGAAGTCACCGAGGCAGATCTCATGCATCCAAATCTTCTACCCGGTCTTCCAGCAGCAGCAGCAGTAGCAGCAGCAGCAGCGGTGGTACCACAGTCAAGAGCACCAAGAGCGAGTACCCAAAGAAGGGCAAGACCAGAATTCCCGCTAGATTAGTATCTAAGCGGGCCTTGATTGATATCGGCTACCCTTTTATTGAAGAAGTACGTTTTCATACTTGTTTGGCAGAATATTTCAAGAATCAATCTAACGAGGTGCTTAATAGGGCAATGTCATTGTCGTTCAAAAGGCTCTAGGACAAGCCAATATCGACCACCTGCTTAAACTCAGTGAAGAGTACAAGTCAAGTGAGTCAATTACTCTTATCTATTGTACATAAGCTGGCTCATTACTAACCTGAAATCTCAAAAGGTGAACTCGAAGTTGCTGCTGCTCGATCTTCAGCTGGCGAGATCATTCGGGAGCGCAGAGAGGAGCTCATCATCGAAGCACCAGCACCTCCACCTCCACCTCCACAGACGGTTTATGCACCTCCACCACCACAGACGATTTATGCTCCAGCTCCACCCCCAGTTCCAGCTCCAGCTCCAATTCTAGTCCCTGCGCACTCAGCGCCCGTCATCATCGAGGCTGCGCCTCGTGGAGGAGTTGAATTGATTGACAAGACTGTCTACCGAGATGATAAGACTGTGTACCACGAAGACAAAAGTGTATACCGAGATGACAGAACCATCATATACCGAGACTACTCGCCATCATCGCGCGGCCGGAGAAGCAGGAGCCGCTCTCACTCTCACCACCACCACCATCTTAGCGACGACTACCAGCTAGTGGAGCGCCGTCGTTCCCGATCGCGGAGCCGAAAGGATATCCGCTCAGAAATCAAAGCTCTCGAAAAGGAGCTTGCTTATCGGGGTAAACGAGACATCGATCGCGAGATCGTCCGAACCGAGAGACTTCCCAACGGAGACCTTGTGGTGTACGAGGAATCGATCGAGAAGATTTCGTCCCACAAGCCGGCGCGTATCGAGAAGGACAAGAAAGGTAGGATGTCCATCAGCGTGCCGAAATACCGATGAAGGTGCGCCGCGTTTTTGCCGTCGCATTGATTTTTCTGGTTTCTGTTATTCTTATCGAGCGAGGTGGCTGACTCGGACTGTACAGGACCGTCGCCTGGACTTGTCCGTGCCATGTTGGCCACTCTGACTTGAGAGCGTTGGTTGCGAGAACGATTCGAAGTTGAGCGTATAGACAACGAAGTCACGAATTAATGAATGGATTAATGAGAGAATTTTCTTTTCTTCCTGTTTTGGACATGATGTGTAGAATGATTCATCTTTTTGGATTTGTGAGAATGGTCGTCTTGGCTTTGGCTAGTCGCTGAGCTTTTTTTTCATATTTGTATGCGACGGATTGGAATGAATATCTGGTATCAAGGTATATAAATACATATTGGATGTCTTAAATAATTTGACGAATTGACGGAACATTACGAGCATTATCTTTGTACAAACTGAGGCACATGTCCTTGCCTCATTGCAACGGCGAGCTTGTGCGTTTGCAATAATTGGTTTCGCGGATTTAAGCTGTAAAGCGCATGGAAACATTGAAGTGAGCGCGCCTGTGAGGAGCATCTACAAAACGTACCCTGCCCCCTGGCCTTCTTTTGCTGATTACGCAAAAAAGGAACTAGATTGTTAATATTTCAAGCTACAAAAGGCCCTTGAACGGGCGGCGGCATGATCCACCACCACAGCCTGCCAAGATTTTTTGATAAGTGACTACATGTACATACATGTTAGTATGCTTGTCCGGACTTACAAGCGCTCAAGGATAGAGATGCGCTTAGAACGGGTACTGTAAACGAACCCCGCCGTGACAAAGAATCGCGAAATCTTGAGCATATTAAATAGAAAAGAAGGGCCTTGAAATTTCGTTTTGTTATTGTTTGGTTTTATGCGAGCCCAATAGGCTGACTCCTGTAATAGGTGGCTCGTTTGGTCATTGGGTTCCAAGTTATCACAATCCCGAGAGCGGCAGCGTCAACTTCACCATGATTGTCTCCAGGAGCGCAGTTGTATCGGGCATTTTGCTCGCAGGAAATGCAGCAGCTCATTTAAGGCTCCCACCATTCTTCCCGAAACAACATGAATCATCAGCCCGCATCTCGGATGGGTTCCAGCTCCAAAGCTTCGACTTTGGTGAACAACGACCATTGGCCGGCCCCAAGGCAGCAACAGCCTCCTCCTCGGAAGATATCTTTCCCCCCTTTAAAGCTGGCCAGTTTACTTTGACGCCGCAGGATGATTCCACGTGTGCTACATACGGCGAATCGCAATGGACAGGTACAATCGACGTGACGGATTCACACCGCTTGTTTTTCTGGTTCTTTGACAGCCGAAATGACCCTGCTAATGACCCCATCATCATCTGGATGAACGGAGGACCTGGCAGCACCTCGATGCTGGGGCTGTTTAACGAAATGGGAGCTTGCTGGCTTGAGCCTGGCGCAAACACCACCGTGCCAAACGACTTTGCTTGGAACAACAATGCATCGGTGCTGTTCCTGGACCAGCCTGCCGGCGTTGGCCTCTCCTCTCGCGCAGAGGGATCGCCCGTTCCGGCGTTTGATATCGAGGGCGCATACGATTTCCAAACCTTTCTCAACATCTTCTTCAAAGACGTCTTCCCAGACCGTGCCCGTCTCCCAATCCACATCGCCGCAGAATCCTACGGCGGACACTACGGGCCGGTCTATCTCAATCATATACTCGACTCTCGAAGGCTCAACTCCCGGGATGCCTTCTGGGGCAACATCTCGTCTCTGATACTGGTAGATGCCGTGATTGACTTTACTGCCCCCGCTGTGGGCGTATACGAGTTCCTGTGCAAGGGCTTCGGGAATCATAGCAAGATTATGAATGATACGGTCTGTGAGGCGCTGGGACTCAGTGTGCCCAAAATATTCGAGCTAGGGCGGAACTGTGATGCGAGTAGCGATGGCCACGAATGCTGGGGCTTGATAACATACGTAGAAGAGGTGGTAAATCCGTATTATTACGCCGAAGTCGAGGCAGGAAAAAGAAATCCATTCAATGGTGAGTTGGGAAAAAAAAAAAAAAAAAACTTCTTCTCCTCGGCCCTGCTATTTGCTGTATTGACCACCGTTATGTGAGCAACAGTCCACATTCCCTGTCCTAATTGGCCCTGGTGCGCGGACATCAGAAAAGGCAACATGACAGCCTATCTCAACCAGGACCACATCAAAAAAGCTCTACAGTTCCCCTCCTCCTTCGTATTTGAAGACATCGATCTCGACGTCAACTCCGCCTTTGTCTACTTCAAAGACCCATTCAAGCCTACAACTCGCGAGGTTGCGCGAATCCTCGACGCTTACCGCACTCCAAACTTGGGCGACATCCGAGTGCTTGTGCTGCAGGGCAACGAGGACTACATCGTCAACACCCCGGGCAATATGTGGGTGTATGACAACTTGCGATGGAGCGGGCTAGCGGACTATCGGCTGGCTCCGTGGCGGGAGTTGCCAGAGCGGATGGCTGCCACCGGATTCTGGAAGAGCTCTGGTCGACTGGCTTTTGTGGCGGTAGATGGGGCTGGGCATACCGTGCCGGGAGACGTACGAGAGGGGAGCTATAGAATTGCGCAGGAATGGCTTGAAGGAGGATGGAGAGCTTGAAAGGGGTGTTAGTTTGCATGTGGGCCGAGGCATCTACACAAGTATGCGTGGGTGAGTGAGTGAGTGTGTGTGAATCATACTGAAAGTAGTATATCTCAAGTAAGATAGCTGAAAGAGGTAAATGTTGCGTGAGACAATAATATGAAAAACCAATGAGAACACGAGCAAAAGACAACTTTGGAAAAGCCGATTCTCCCAGTTTTGTGTGGTCCCCGCTAGGTTAACTCGGACGTGGGGAAACCATCCGATCCAACGTGGAGATGTGGCTGAACTAAGAAGGATTTTTTGTTCCCTAGACTCTTTTTAACATGTTTACTTGCCCCTCACGCACGAGCCGAGGCAGATGGAAGCCAGACTATATCCAGCTGGTGGTCAAATATAAGGCTTTCATAAGTTCAAAGAGCGCTCCTTTGCCACTCCCCGCCACCGCCCTGGGTTGCGTCGTTTGAGCCGTTATAACGTCTGTAAAGAGAAGAGATCCAGTTGGTATCTTGAGGATCGGTATTTCGAAAATTTACGAAGCTATTCACCTCCGTGTTGCGATCCTTTGCACTTCATACACCATGGCTGTCATGGATGCGGTGGCAGCTTATTGGGAGCACATACTTGCGACTTACGACCCATACACTGTCGATTTTGTTGGCACCTTCATTGTTCAAGTCATCTTCTGGTGGATTCCATGCGTCCTCTTCGTCCTACTCGATTCCATTGCGCCGTCTTTCTCCGAGAGACATAAAATCCAGCCCGCGCCCAAGCAGCCTACGTCAAGCGAGATCTTCCACTCCATGGTAGTCTGTATTCGGAATCAAATCATTGTCTTTGCCCTCCATGGCGCTCTGCTATACGCAACCTTCGCCAAAGGCCTTCCTCCAAGCATCAGAGTCGACCCTAAGCTCCCTTCTCTGGAAGAATTCATACGAGATCTATTCATCAGCGTGCTAGCCCGCGAAGCCCTCTTCTACAGCTCCCACAGGATCCTTCATCTGCGCCCGCTGTATAAACGCTTCCACAAACAGCACCACAAGTTTACAGCCCCCGTGTCGTTTTCATCTCAATATGCCCACCCGGTGGAGCACATCTCGGCCAACGTGCTGCCCCTTTTATTACCACCGCTGCTTCTGAAGTCGCACATTCTGACCATGTGGGTGTTTGTGGCCTTTCAGCTCATCGAGACGTCAACGGTGCACAGTGGATATGACTTCTTTTTGGGAGCGGCGAAGAAGCATGATCGGCATCATGAGAGGTTTGACGTGTACTTTGGTGGTATTGGGCTTTTGGATTATGTTCTTGGAACTGATGAGCCGGAAGATAGGAGGAGAGATAAAAAGGATTGAAAGACAGAGTTTGAGAGCTGGCCTTACCGTTGGATATTACTGGTACTCGAGATCCCAACACTTCAATTGACGCTGTAATTTTGGCCTTGTGTGATCTGACGCACCCCATTATGAACTCATTCTATTGCCTGAAACTTCGTAGCCTCTCTGTAGACTTATTTCCATCCAAGTCTCATCCCATACGTATTCTCGTTATTCCCAAATCTATCGGACGGCCAATATGCAAGGGAAAAGAGAGAGAGAAGAAAAAAAAAAAAAAAAAAAAAAAAAAAAAAAAAGGCTCTCTGCCCAATCAAGAAAAGAGAGAGGTCATAAACAAAAGCAGATGATTTCATTCCTAGCATTCGTAGCTCATATTTCAAAATGCCATCCGTGCCATAAACTGAACGTACGCCGCTGCCGTGTAAGACTGTTCAACCAAATCGCCGCCTAACTGATATAGGGAATCATAATAGTAATAGTAAATAAACCGAGCCGATGCAACCAGCCATTCCTCCATTCACACGCCGCTGGTGAGAAACCCTACACCAGCGCAGCGTCCTCGGTATGTAAATCCCAAGCCGATTACCATATAACCAAAACAGTGAATAAAATGATGTGAGAAAGAGAAACAAGGTCAAAATTTTGGGGACGGGGGCGTTGAACAAAAAGCAGTCTGAGAAAAGAAAGAGAGAGAGAAACAAGAAACAAAACTATAGTTAAAAAAAAAGGGTGGGCAGTCTTTATATCGAATTGCTGGAATTGATGCGCTGAATGATACTCGAGTGCTCCATTGTTCGTTTAAGAAATGTTCATGTCTTCCATATCCATGGCGACGTCTACATCTGTCAAGAACTGAGAAGGGCTGCCGGGTATGGGACTGCACTGATCGAACAAAAAGTTCTTGGAGTCAAAAGAATCATATCCCAGGTCCTGGATATTTGGTGTCGGCTCAAGATAATCAATATCTGTTTGAGACTCAAAGGCAGAGAGGTAATGAGGCATGGAGTGTTGGGAGTAGCTATGCTGAGATTCGAATAAAGCATTGCCCGCCCGGGGCTGTATTAGGCTCTGTTGCTGCTGTATTGCATAGGGCGTGAACATGGTAGCATAGTTCATTTGATGAGAGACAGTCTCAATATGTGACAGTACTGATGCACGAGAAGAGTCTTGTCGCTCTATCTGGTGTCTGGGTAGGACTGATTCCGACGTCTCTCCATTGATAAATATGGGAGTGGTATCGAGAACGTGGGAATTGCGACGTTGCGCAGATTTTATTTGCTTTAGAAAATCGCCCAGCAGTTTCTGCCCTCGCGTAGGAAATCGGTGTTCAAAGACCTGCGGCAACCATGTGCAGAATGCCATTCGGTACAAGACTTCCGGGTCTGGATAAGCTTGCCTAATTTTGAAGTGTAACTGATAATAAACGGGGGCCAGACATTCAGGGCCATGCCTTTCTTTGAATTTGTAAATGATCCTTAGCTGCTTGATAGTCCAGTCCTGGATGCAGGGATCTATGATGCGGCTCGCTTGGGGAAATAGGATTTGATAGATGCGATCCCATTGTTGTATGTGTGATTTTGATCGGTCGCTACGTTGTTTGATCTGGAGACACGTATCCGATTCGTAGTGAAGAGCGCTGTTCGACCGAGTTCGCCGATACGGTGCCTCTGCTTTTCTCTTCTGACACTGATGAGGACAGTTCATTGCATCGTGGTGTACGCTTCTCAGATGCTGTTTCAGGTATGGGATTGTGTTGATCTTTTGAAAGCAGTTATGATGTACAAGGTCTGGATACCGCATTGCATAGGGACAGATGAATGAGGATCCACCGTGCATTCCTGAGTGGTGTTCTTGCATTATATCAGCATTTGCATCATAGCCCAGAGGCGTCTGCGGATTTTCGTCTGAGACACCGAGTATACTACGCCCATAGCCACTGATATCCCGCCCCATGTTGGGCCGCTGGTATAGTGCGTCGAGATTTGCAACCATCTGGTCTAGCCCGAGTCTCACATCAAGATATGGGTGTTCGTCACAATTGAAGGAAGCTTGGTACTCTTGGGGGCTTGGAGCCTGACTTGCGGTATATCTCCCATCGCCATCTTGAGAGGGGTGCAATCCATTGTCTAAGTAGTCGTGCATGTTGTGTTGATCGCTCTCGGTGAATAGCCCTGAAACTGTGGAGGTTTGCTGGGAAAATTCGCTGATATCATCGATCCATGAATCTGCAAGAAGTTGTATGTCGCTAGATTCATGGGTGCCCATGCTCGAGACGTTGTTGTTGCCCGATATCATCTGCTGCCGATTCACGAGCGGCAGACCTTGGATTGTCAAGACTGGCCCATCCCAGTCAAAAGAATTGATCAACCTCTCATCCCTCCTCTGATGCATGTCGGCCCATGTTTGGTGAAACTGCGTAACATCGCTAAGAATTTGAGCGGGAGCGGTGCGTCTTGGTGGGGAGAGTATCGGCATGGGACTGGCGATATGCGGGGATGGTAACGGCGATGGGATTCTGGATAAGGCATGAAGCTGAGCCATGGGAGAGGCGGCCGTCCGGGGTATCACGTCTCGGTCCCGGGCGATCGACTGCATGTCGCTTGTCCGAATGGCCAGCGGTTGGCCATTGTGGGCGCGACGGATGGGATATAGCGATTGGTTGGGCTGGTCTCGCTGCGTAGTCGTCTGTTCTTGGCGCTGAAGGCGCTGCCCCGCTCTCTGGGGAATGTAGCCGGACGTATCGATTGGCGAACGATGGGCAAGGCTGAGGGTGTTTGGGAAGAAAATCGAGGTTGACGCCTCCCGGTGTTTTCCTTTTGACATCATGGCCCGCTGTTCGCGTATAGCGGGTGGCCAGCGCTATTGCCAGTGAAGCTACAGGCGATCTAGCGTCCGATTAGCAGAGCTGGAGAGCTGAATCTAAGGCCCGGGCCGCTAGATGCGGGGATTTCTCCTTGTCAGTCGACCGGCTGCTCCACCGCCCGCCAGCAAGAGGCAAAAAGAGTTTGTGGCGGTCTCACGGCGAGCAATTAAGCTTATCCGGACGGGACAGTCCCTGGAATGCCTCTGTTTCGCCTCTTGGGGCTGGAGATAGAGTAGAGATCGAGAGCACAAGGTTGGGTGGCGAGCGAACGGACGGACGCTGCCGACGAGTCCCGTTTTATGCGCGGCTTTGGATGGAACCCAAAAAGATACAAAGGTACCTCGAAATGACGTCCAATGAGAAAGTGGCGCGGTTTTGGGCTATCGCCAACGGGTACTAATGAAAAGGTACGAAGCAAGGAGTCCAGCGCTTTGTATTCTACCTACGACTTGTGCTATAGTAAGAACGATGTGGTCTTGTCCTCTTCCGAGGAGCCCCCTTGGCCGCTTTTGTATTTCCTCGTCCTCAACGCCGGGACGCTTTGCCGAGACTTCTCTTGACCTTTTGACCCCGGTGAAGAAGCGTCCCTCCGCCCCGTTGTGAACTCGTCGTCATCAAGCGGAGCCGCTAGATGGGTGCGCTGGTGGCCGAATTTTGGGAAAACTACATACTACAGTATACCTTGCTTGCTTGGTATGACCTGTTGTTTTGACGGCGTAATTTGCCTATATATCAACTATGGCAGGAGTTTCTGGCATTTTCCAGGCCTATGTGACGGCAAAACGCTGCCACAGTCTTAGTGGAAGCTGCGCCATCGAACTCATCCATCCAGTCGGCAGAGAGGCTGTGTGAGTGGTGGCCCCACCTCAAGCGATTATTGCACTGCCAGCACAGAATGCAGAGAAGCCCACGCACGGTACTTGGTATAGAGCATGAGCATGTATGGCATGGTTGCTGCGCTGGCATCAGCTATCAAGCACCTCGAGATTGGCCACTGCGGCAGCGGCCCGTGATCTCGATCTTCTTTCCCCAAAAGTGGCGGAGGTCAAAGCGAGAGAAACCGCCATTAGCAACACGACACGGAAGCTGACTAGATGCATATAGCCGGGGTATGTGTTCTTGTGATGCCGAGAGTTGGTAGGTAAACAAACTGCCTATTGCTGTTCTGTTACTTGGTGGTGTTTCTATCAAGCCGATTCTAGCCAGGCCACATGCAATATGATACGGAGGCAGCTAATATTAGCAGGATGGAGTAATGCCGGCCGACATCCAGTACGATGCCCTCAGTACATGGGCTAATATGATGTCTAGGTAGTTGTGTATACGAATATGTGCCTCCAGCAGAAGTACTAAGGCATCCCACCGTAAAGCACTACTTATACATTAGGTATTCGTATTGCCCATCCCTTCTCCGAGCTTAGGCCGTATAGTGAATCGAAGGAGCATGAATAGACCCGGCCCCACCAATCTCCGAACAGCCGGGAACTCGGGGGGCACATTCTCAAGCTCGCACCAATTCCGAGTCAAACCCGCCATCTAATGAGAACGCAGCAAGTTGTTCTTGGGGAAACATGCGCAAATCCACTGGCCTGACCCTCCGCAGCCCCAAAGAGCCACGCATCTCTGTTGGGGAATAGCCAGCGTTACATAGAGGCATGCAGTATCACGTAACGCTGGATCCCAAAAAATCTATGCACCTCCTGGCCCAGGGCAGGAGAAAAAAAAAGCCTATTTTTCTATACGGGTCACAGCACCCAATTGCATATCAGAGCTGCATCAGTCACCTGGATGTTTTCCTAAGTTGTTAGGCTGCCATTTACAGGGATCTTGCTCCGATCCTCAAAGCGTCACCGTTGAAGCGTACATAGTGGGTACATACCACGTACATATCCAGAAGCCTCACACCCCATATTGCATCATTCGCAAAACATTAATTCTTTTGCACATTTAAGAGTAAAATCTAAACTGAGTCTCCTACTCTATCTGAAATCCTTTTCTTAGTGGCGCAATAGGCACTTGGAGAAATGACCCAAGCCACTTCCTCCCTACTTTATGCAACTCGGCTTTAGTTAGGCAATGGTGCTGTGATTTTTGCTAGAGTCATATATACGAAAGTAATAGGCAGAAAAAGTGGCGAAGCACTTCATAGACGACTAGGTAATTAAGTCGTACCTATGCCTCTGATGTCACACGAAGGCAAATTTGGCAAGTCTACCTCTCTTTTACGGGGTGATAAACCTCTTCGGGGTGGTACATAGGTTTGGGGCGGCCAGTCACATGTATCCGCTGATCTCTATTACATGCAGCTAGTTGTTGAATGCCCCATTGGCTAGATTTTGGTGCTACGTAGTATCGAAGAGCAAGTGGACAGTTGGGAGAGAAAATAGCAAGAGAAGGTGGGTTGGCGCCCTCGCTGGGTAGCGGATGAGGCTCTGCGGCTTATGCTGCTGATTATCTCATCGTGCATATACGTCCAAACTACAGGATGTCGCAATCACACAGCGATCTCAGGCTTGAGCCTCTTCCCGATATCGGAAATTTTTATAAACATGTAATTCCTACGGCTCAGTCTATATTACCACAATGCTAGAGCTATACCATTGCTGTACATGCTAGGACATAGCACCATTAAATATATCCAAATCTAGTCAACCTCATCTACCCATTGTGCCGGAGCTACAAAGGCCCCATCCGGACCCATGGTTCCCGCGATATACCTAAACGCCAAGGTCAGTGATGGTTTGATGACAAAGGGCCTGACAAAAGAATTAGGTACTTTGTGTGGCTGCCTCTTGCAGCGAGCTGGCCTTTGCCGTTATAAAACTGTACCGATGTATACGCAAGCGTCTTGCCAACTGTTGCCCAAAGGTCAGAATGCTCCATATCAGTGGCTACCAGGTGCCAATTTCATATGAGGCACATACTTTTATCACAAGTAGCAGTGCCTTTGAGAAGATCGCCAGGTCGACCACCAGGGCTGAGATAAGTGACTAAACAGATGACGCATGTCAATACGATGATTTGCTAGAAACAGAGGGATTTATCATTGCCTATTCACCATTCAAGTCAGTTGACACACCGGTTGCGAATCGTCCAGTAGATGCGACTGCGAGAGACCCTCCAAGGTCAACAAGGCTAGCTATAGTTCCGCCATGTATAGTCTGGAGCCGGTTCTAGGCGAGAGCGTTAGACTTTCAAAGGATACTGATGCTGGCCACTCATCTATCCGGGTCAAGTTACAGTATGGTCTTTGTGAATGTCGACTTCGAAGTCGACTTTGCCCTCAGAGGCATTTGTGATGCGAAACTGAATAATTTGTGAGCTCTAAACCAAGTTTTGTGTCTGAATCCAAGGGTTCTGCACATACTCGGCTGTGAAGCAGTCTTGCATCTTGTCAGTATCCAGCTAAGATTCATGGCCAGAGTGTGCTCTCACCTGGGCTCGAGACCTGATTCGGCCATAAATGACCGCATGACAGCCTTTGTAAAATTGAAAGGAGAGAGCTTCTTGGCCATGATGATATCCAGACTGGTTCAATTGGTTGAATATCTTGATATGTTGTTTGGGGAAGTATATGTATCCGGCATTCGGCTACAATTGAAGGCGGCGGCGGCTTGTGTAGCCGAAATCCCCCACTGAGGCGGACCAGTGTTACTGTTAGGCGCTGCCATTAGCGGGCCAAGCTCTATCGCTCGTTATCTCAGGCGGCCGATTATCCGATGATGCGCCGAAGCATCTTCAACATAACAACCTGAAACTTCACGCTCGACAACCTCCATATCTTTTCGAGCCTCCAGGCCAACGCTGCAGGCTGGGCTTTCGCATATGATGCGATAGTCAACACGATATCTAATTCCCCCCCTGGCGGATAGTAGCCTCGTCATCCACAAGCCGCCAAAATGTCCAACAACCCTTCCCTTCATCTCGCCGAGTATCTGGAGAGGCTGCCTGGCACGACCTTTAAGAAGTTGTACCAGCAGCCCTCCACGGCCTTTGCGATTTTCAGGCGCATGCTGCCGCATCTGGCCAAGACATTTGTCATGAGAATGTTGTTCATGCCACATCCCATGACGCTGAACGATCTAGATGTCTGGGTGAAGCCTGAAGCCAAGCGGTTAGATCACCCTTGCTGCCATTGTCGCAACTTGCCTGGCTAACATCGGAATAGGAAGAAGGATCAATCTCTCTCCATCTTGAGAGGTCTCCATATTGTTCAAATCTCCGCCCCGTCTAAGGAAAAGCCGCAGGAGATCCAACTCATGTCCAACTTTAAACGATCTCTCCGACTCGCTCTCACCGGTGGCGGAAACCACAATTCTTTTGGCGTACCTTCTTCCCTCCTCATTCCGCCCGAAATCGACCTGCCGTTCCTCGACCGATACGCGCGTAAGAAGTGGGAAGACGTACTGCACTTTGTCGTCTCCAGCGTTGGCTATAAGAGCGTCGGCGATGGATCTGGGCCTAACAAGGGCGTCAAGGAACTGCTCATCGCGGGAAGACTTGTCGACAGACGACCAAACGGAGGATTGGGCATCACCCAAGCGGGGTTTACCTTCTTGCTGCAAGAGGCCAATGCACAAGTCTGGACTCTGCTTTTGCTGTGGTTGGATGTTCTGGGCAATAACAAGGGCTCGGGATTAGATCCAGTCGACATGCTCTCGTTCCTCTTCATGCTTGCTAGCCTCGAGCTGGGGCGGGCATACGACACCAATGCGCTGACCGAAGAGCGGAGGAATATGCTTCCTTCTCTCGTCGACTTCGGCCTCATATACATCCCCCAGCATAAGCGCTCCATGTTCTTTCCGACAAGACTGGCTACAACCCTTACGAGCGGAGGCAACAGTCTACGAACAATCAGCGAGGGCGTCACAGCTGCCACCCAGTCAGCCCAGACATCGCAGCAATCCCTCGGGCCCCTCGGCGGCGGCGGCGGAGAGCAGCAAGCAGGCAGCGTCGTCATCGAGACAAACTACCGCCTCTACGCCTACACCCAGTCCGCCCTCCAAATCGCCGTCCTCGCCCTCTTCGCCAAGCTTAACATGCGCTTCCCGGACATGGTCGCCGGGCGCCTCTCCCGCGCCTCCATCCGTCAGGCCATTAACTTTGGCATCACCGCCGACCAGATCATATCCTACCTCGCAGCCCACGCCCACGAACAGATGCACCGTACCGCCGCCCTCACCAACAAGCCCGTCTTGCCGCCCACAGTCGTCGACCAGATCCGGCTGTGGCAGCTGGAGAACGAGAGGATGAAGACGACGAGTGGCTTCTTGTTCAGAGACTTCACCGACGATAAAGACTACCTCGACACGGCACGCTTTTCGGAAGAAATTGGCGTGCTGGTTTGGAGAAATGATCATGCGCGGATGTTCTTTGCAAACAAGCATGAGCAGATTAAAGACTTCTTGAAGACGAGGAAGAGGGCGGAATAAGCTTCTTTATTACGCTACTCTTGCCTATAAAATATCTTGACCTTTTTATCAATTAATCGACGAATTGCATTATAATGATTGAAATTGAAATAGGCGTCTGGCGCGTTAGGAAATTGGACACTGGGGCAGTAAGCATTGATAGGCTGAACCCCAGAAAGATACTACATATATACTATTAAGACAAAAGAATAAAACAAGTAATTCATATCCGTAACTCATTGCCATAAACTATCCCGATTCCTATGTGTACATTAAGTCTATATTATCCTCCCAGGCCCTTTTTCTCTCTTTTTGCATGTCTTTAACAAGAATCTCAAGCATCAGTACTTCTCCAATTCGAGCAACAGCCAATTCAATTCCTAGGGATCTTTCTTCGATGTATCCATCACAAATTTCATTTCCAGTTCAATTCCAATTTAAACACTTGCCCCTGAGTCGATCCATTACTTGCTGGCTTTCCTGTGCCTAGAACAAAAGGGGAAAACAAGAAACATTGCCAAAAAGTCCCATCGGGGCCAGACTCCATATTACACCTTCCAACATAATGTATTCGCAAAATTGTCAATCCAGTTTCATTACGACATAGCGAGGCGCTTTTCCCGAGAGGCCCTGGAAATGCTTCCTGAAAGAAAGCTCTTGGTCTTGTTATCATGATTATAAGAGCCGTAGCGCAGCTTTGTTAAGCTGTGCCTTTCACTTTTTTTGGCGCCCGAGCTGCGAAAAATCTTAGCCATCAGGCCTTTCTCTTCCATAGTGCCGCCCTCAGGGAGCAGCGAGGGGCGACTATATCGGCGAGCATAAGCTTGCTGCCAGATGTGCAAAGAGCGCCTCGCTTCAGCCGTGGTGCAAAGACGATCGAGGTGGTCAAATACACGGCGGCATCGTGCATCCTCTTCATTTTCGGGTGAGACGCTGGATGATGCCATAAAGCTTCTTAGGGCGGAAGTAGTAGTCGAATTAGGGAGATGAGATGCTCGCTGATGTAGAGTGCTGTATGGCGTTTTTGGCCGTGTAGAAAAGGAGTTGGCCAAAGATTGGCGAGATTCAAAAGCATCCGCAGCAAGATTTTCTGACGAAAATCGATCATGAAGAGCCATAAATCGGCCAGACCAGTAAGCAGAAGACTGCGCGATGCTGACTCGCATGGATGGAGATCCAGGAGAATAAGACTGGGCCGAGTTAGCCAGCGTCGTTGTGGGTGGTTGCACAATATTCAATTTTGAAGGTTTGGAAAGCTTTGCATCGGTTTCAGCAGAAGACGGAGAAGATTTGGAAGAGGAACCGGCGAAAGCAGAAGTGTTGATAGAGCGAACAGCCAAGGAAGGCCGGGAGATGGACGTCTTCAAGTCGTGAAGGGCACTCATAGTTCGAGATCTAGGTAGTTTGCTCGCCAGTCGAAGATTTGGTACGTCTGGATGGAAAAATCCATCGGGCACAGGAGGGATATTCTCGTCTTGTACCAGTGTAGCTGTTGGCCCTGTTCTAAAAGACGGCTTTGGTATAGATGAGGTTGATAGCAAGCTTCTACGCGACTTTTTTGGCGGCTTTGGAGTAGAACAGGTCTTGATGATCGGCGTGGCGGAGATACCAGAGCTTGCAACGATCGGGCTGCTTTCTAATTGTCTGTCGCGGTGAAATCCAGCTGATACATGCCTTGGAGCTTGGATAGGCAGAGGACGGCGGCATTCGGGAATTGAGCTTGAGATGTCTGTTTCACAGTCCTTGATGGCATCGACAACAATAAGCCTCTCGCTTCGGATAAGATCGGCACCTCTGGAGCTTTTGACCGGGCCTATAGGTGCAGAGATGAGGGGCCGTCTATTCTTGCCTCGTGCTCGCATATTGTTATAGCTGTAACAATAAATATCGAGGAGCAAAGTTCTAATCGTGTTCAAGGCGTTAAAGGAAGAAGTGAGTTCCAGATACAAGCTAGAGTATCGTCGGCGTTCAGTAGAAGACAAAGGAGAGAATTTGAATGAATAAAACACCAGTAGACTGACTGTCTCTGTCCTTTTCAGTCTTCTGAAAGAGGAAGTCTGCCTATCACAGGAGCTCCCTGTTCATAGCAGCGAGCAGCTATCCAGACGAGTTGGGCAGCCAATCTACGTCGAGTGGTATGCTGGCAGGACAAGACACAAAGAGGAGGATCGTGTAGAAATTCGGGACTGGATAGCCCAAATGAATATGATTCGGGGAGCAAGGCCGAGTTTGACGACATCGAGATGCCAACGAGTTAGAGATGTTGCGATATCGCGGCGTACGTGTGGCTTGCAGCAACGCCGAGCGGTATGCTCGTTGAGCGATACAGCTGAGGCAAGAGGCGGCTACAAAACGACAGGCTTCTTTTGGAGAGAAACCCCGTCCAGGACGCGTCTTTGTCTAATGAGAGTTGGTCTGTAGATAGACTGACGCGTGGCTGAGGCAGATGCGAAAAAGCACTTTGGCAGAAACTGACATCTGGCAGGCCTGGCAGCACCTGCCCACTCGAAGATGCGCCGGCCTTGCGGTTATTCCGCTGGACTTTGTCTTTTCCATTAATATGTTATTCAGCGATTAATCTTGCTATCTCTTTGCCATAGTTCTCTCACAGTCTCCTTGTTCCTGTGTATCTTTACTGTTCTATGGTCAGCCTCCTGCTTCCTCCGTCTATTGATGCCATTCGCACCGCGATGCTTTCATCTTGGATCGGTGCCAAAGACCTTGTGCCATACATCGCCCATCATACATTATAACTTCTCTTCACCTCGAATACCGTTATATAGAGACCAGTCTCCTCAATTATTCGTCCCAGCCTTCGATTTTGAACCGGAAAACAACGTCTCCTTCTCCTCGGGGTATCTCGTTTCCATTGGCATCCCAAAGAGCACGCTCCACGTACGTCGCGTTGCCTTCGTTGTCTACCAGCATCACTGTCTGTCTCTGCGTTCCATACATACCCTCTTCAAAGCCCATCGATGGATGCGGGCTTGTGCTTGGGGTGACGCCTGGCCTTGATTCCTGCTTGAGCTCTTCGACTGCCCTCCGATTATTCTTAAGATCCGCCCATAGGATGCGGCCTTTCGCAGTGGCCTTTTCCATCTCCACCCGGTGGACTTCATCGCCGATTGGGGGCACAAAGATGGTGTGCCTCAGCGAGTCCATATACTCTTGCAGACTTGATCCTGGAGGTCGCTCCGGCATGGATTCGGTATCAAGGACTGAGAAGAGGCTTGCAATGAGCTCGTCTTCGGTAGACTTGTTCGCCGCGGCTTTCATCACCGTCTCCTTCAATAGGCGCTTTCCCGCAGCCACCTTGGGCCACTCGTTGGGGTCGTTATATACCGTATTGCTCAGCCCCCAGACGCCATCCCGCTCAAGACCGACCAGCGGGACATCCTTCACATCAGCCGCCCTGTTGCTCACAATTGCGATGCCTCCGTTCTTTCGTCTAAGCTTGCTGCATACCATCGAGAATCCCCCCACGCCCTTGACGCCGCCACCTTGGACAAGCTCATCTACACCCTTCATTATTCCGTTATCTGGAAGCCCTCCAAGCCACATGTTGACCATGCGGCCACGGCTTTTGATGCCATGTACTGGGTGCTGCGCGTCATCGCTGTCGACCTCCCGATAGTTCGTTAGCACTGCCAAGTTACCGGTCTTGGTAATGCCTAGCCAAGTGCCCTTTGCTGCTCTCTGGAGGTCCCGCGACGAAAGGACATCGCTGCCCGACTCGGGGTGCGTCCACCAGTGCGGCCGAGACGTAGGTCGCAGGATGAACTCATCACGGTTGTCGATGAGAATGAGTGAATAGTCTGGATGCGCTGTTGTGAATATTACGATGCACATGATGGTGAGTTATTACTGCTGTGTTGCGTGGTTTAGATTTAGATGATAAGTTATAGTTCAGGTGAGTGCCGCCCACAGCCGTTATTATAAGGTTGGATCAGCGATGGGCCGAGGTCGGCGCTAATGAGGATGAAGCTGGTTGAACAACGCCCAAAGAGGATCCGATATGATCGCCCCCTTTTGCTGTAAGCTTTTCAGGGCTTTCCAGATCAATTCAGGGATTGGTTCCAGCACATGCCACCGCAGGCTCGTCCTCACATCATGGCAGTGCCAAGGCCTGGTGTGCTGCTGCGGAAGCCAGTTGGGGAGTCCGGCGCCAACCGTACCAACCGGCTTACCTCATGAGACCCGCAATCGAGCCGGTGCGCTGATCAAGATCATGAGATCAGCTGGTGGTCAGTCGTCATCAACACCATCGTTATCACCGCCATTAACAGGGTATGATTCTGCATCTGGGAGCTTCATATATGTCGATATATCTCACAATCGTTCGTTCGAGGTAATGGGCAGTATTCGGTTGCATAACTTCCGCCTCGGCGTCGGCTGACGGGATACTTGTTTGCCTAGTAACAAGGTCGCACCCTTGGAAAAACCATACAAGGTAAGATACTAGCATGGCTACAAAGACGCGGTAGGCAAGTGCACACTCTTATTGGTAAATTTGTAAATCCGTTTAGGAGGTATCTGAAAGATTCTTTTCCTAGACAGCGTTTGTCTGACCCCTGGGTAGTCGCAGCTGGATCTCCATTTGCACTGTGCAGCTCCTTTGTGCTTCTGCCGTGTTAGCTTTGTGGGATGTGGCTCAAAACATTTGGTGTTCTTCTTTTAGAGCGTATAAATGTTCACTTTCGTCATCTTTTACTCATGGCTAGGCCCTTTCATCGGTACCCATTAACAGCGTAAGGCAGAAGACGGAAAGCGGCACTCGGCTATGTAGGCCAGCGTAAAGTATTGATCGCGTGTAAGTTGTCGGGCGTTTGTTGACCAAAGCCGTTATCGAACGAAGACTACCTGCTGGAGAAAAAAAATTCAGGTTGGTCAAAGCCTAATTATCTAACCAAGAATGCTGATTGACTAAACTTTTCGAATGGCGTTCATCGAAAGCTGGACGCTGGTTGAACAAGGGCTATTTGCGAACCAAAGGCATTTGCGGGGCGGTTGGATATGATGACATTTTTGGCGGCGCTCCACTTGGCTGTAGCTAGCTTTTTACTCTGTTAGCACTAGCTCGGCGATTTTGGCAAACGATCAAGATAAGCGATCGTGTTAGTGACTTCATGTTTATTAAAAAAAGTCGATTAGACTGAACCAGCCAGTTTTGATCTATTAGAGCCACAGTCCATCGTATATGCAGTAGATCATGCGCCTCAAGATACTGCAGAGTGCTGATGAGGATGAAATGGATTCTGAAATCGGTCGAGAGAATGTTGCAGTGCAGCTAATCCTGAGAGTACCATGCCCGCTTATTCCGATACTTGTAAATTAGGTCAACCTGAATGTTTCTTCCGAACTAACTGTACTGTTGTCCTATACTCTTAACTCGTTCCCATTAGAATGCACGAACCATTTACAAATCATCTACTTTTGTTCCACTCTTGTGCCTCTAAACGCACATGGCATCTAAACAGCCACTGTCCGTTTGATCTACACTATGATTTTGGAAACACCTGTTCTGTCGGGTCAGCTGCTAGAGGGCATTAAACGCCTTATTCGAGAGAGGCCGATGCATATGGTTGCGCCGGCATAGTGGCGAAATACACGCCCTATGAAGGAAGAAATAATAGCACAGAGACCTTTTCTTAATCTTCTTTACAATCGCCGCACTTACCTGCAGCGGGCGGTTATACATCGATCCAGTCATGGTAGTAGTCACTCTAGGTATGAAGGAGTTCCTGGCGAATCTATGCAAACAGCTGAGCTGAATAAGCCTGGCAGCTGTAAATAAGCCTAAGTGCTAAGGACGGCCATATGAGCGAATGAATGGTAGTAGTGTCTTTTGAATATAAAGGTCGATATTGTCATATTACAAGCTCAGTAGATTCACGCTACATGTACCTACTTATACCGATAAACCGGATCCTCATGGGAGGGGAGCCAAAGGGAAGAAATTGACCGTGTAAGGCACAACTGGTACTGGTACATATGAAATGAGTGACAATACACGTATGTTGGCTAAGCAGACAAAAAAACTATTTCCCGCATTAAGTAATAAATGCTCTCAACAGCCAGAATCCTGCCTCGCCTCAACAAGTCTACTACTCGCAATGATTAGTGAACAAAAATTGGACTACAGAAGGTCTCTAACCCTTTGCGCTCTCGCGGGAAACCGTGCCCCTAAAGAAGGTTCTATTTCCGGTCTGCCTCTGCCGATGTTCCGACGAGGCAGCTGAGACGGATGGGAGATGCGATCAAATAGGCGCTTTTGATGTCTTACATCTCCAGTCTGGCGAGCACCATCTGCCCCGACGAACCGACTTCAAGACGTTGGATCTCGGTTGTCAGAGTAGCATGCTAGGACAACCTAGTGCGTGCAGACTAGGACTGGCCATACAAGCATTTTTGGCTCCACTTCAGCACTGTGCCATCCCACTCGGCTTCCCGATTTTAGTCAAGAGAGACGCAGCCCTCAACACCAGCTCTTAGTATATTCAACGTGATTTGTTGGGGACAAGATTTTGAAAGAAGAGAAAATTCATGGCTGACTCAATGCACAAATAAGTAATGTGTTAAGAAACAACGTGGCTGGCACAACTAGAGAGATCAAGCTTAACCAGAGTCTGCAACGAAGCATCAAACAGCTTGGTGATAAGCTGCCAGACAAACTACATCTCAGCTTATTTATCCCTTTCTCTTTCTCTTTTCCTCTCTTTTGCTTCAATATCTCTTAGCACAACTAGCGTCATTCTACCTTATTTTATTTCGTTTGGTTTCATTCACCATGACTGAAGCTCAAGACCGGCCCAATCGTCGCACATATCAGGGCAGCTGCCACTGCGGCGCCTTTGCCTACGAAATCGATCTTCCGGAGCTGAAAACCGTCATAAATTGTGACTGCAGCTTCTGTAGTCGCAAAGGCAATCTCTATGTCCTGACGAGTGAGGAGGACAATTTCAGAGTTATCGAGGGTAGCGAAGAGAGGCTCACGTCTTATACATTTGGCCCGAGGAACAAGATCCACAAGGTAGGGAGCACGCCAACGCTCCGATATAAAACATTCAGCCAAGGGGTGCTGCCTTTCAACAATTGCGGCTGACACGGATAACCTGGCAGTTTTGCCCTAAATGTGCCACAAGCATGCTTTCGAGGATGCCTACTGGCCCTCCGCAGTTAAAGCTGCTGTTGAATGTGAGTTGCAAACCCCCATCACACGATTCCCTTTTATTCATAGAGTATCGAAAATGAATAGGCACGTGCCATACAAGACATCGACATCGATCATATAGGAAGAAGAAAGTAAGCAGAAATTAAACTTAAATGGTAGCGGAAGATTTAGTATTTAATGAAGCTAACAATTTGTTGTTGCAGCATCTTCAACTCCAAGCTCGATCCACAGTATCTTCCTCCAGCTCACAAAGGAGGCATGCCGTCCAGCATCGAAGGCGGCCAAATTTACACTGGAAGCTGCCATTGCGGTGCCGTGACCGTTGCTCTCTCGTGTAAGCCTTTAGAGTCATGCGAAGAGAGAATAGCGGAATGCAGCTGCGGCATCTGTCAGCGTGTAAGTGCCCAGTTTAGTTCATTTCCATATTTAATAATCTCATCCTATCTAAAACCTCGAAAACGCAGAATGCATGTGTCTGGATTTCGCCCACCCCCGAAAATGTCGTCCTCTCGGGATCCGAAGATGCCGTAGGCCGCTACGTACTCGCTGATGGCCTGACGAGTAAAATATTCTGCCACACCTGCGGTGTCAACATGTCAAGTATCAGGAACGAACTCTCTGAAAAAGAGATACTGGAACTCACTGAGCAGGATCTCCAAGACTATAGGAGAGGCAGAGCACATACTCCGATCAATGCGCGAACCTTACATGGAGTAGACGTAGGAAGATTAAAAATGATTGTGATTGAGGGCACGGCTGCTACGCCATGCCGGTTGCATTTGTGAAATCTCCAAAAAGGACATCTGGAGCGGGAGAGGCAGAGTGGTGCATTGTCGTGTGTAGCAATTGAAGAAGGCAATAGACTCTAGAATGTCTTTTATTTCTAGAAGTAGTTTTTAGCTGCGACTTACTTTTATATACCTCGGGTTATATGGGATATCCATACATAATAGATACATGTTTTAGATGCAGTTGTCGCATATTCTAGGACTACTCGATGTCACTTTCACTATTGTTCTCTCTAAGATGTATTATTCGTCAGAATTTGAAGGGTATAAATTATCACTAAAGATTGCTTGATACATTTGATAGAAGATCATATGCAGCATCGGCAGCAATACCAGCTTTTCTAGGCGGCAACGAACTTAGTCTCAGCGTCTACTACACGAGGATCCCCATTGTCTATTACGAAAGTGATCTTTCCAACCCTACCATTCAATTATACCGCATGCAACGCGGCATGGGAATATTATAACGTGGCCACTTGCAGCCGTGTGGGTTTGATTTTGGCCATTGTATTGTCACGAGAATCAAATCTAGCAATAGTCATACAGTTGTAAGCCAGCTCGAGAGAGAACCGCCGCAGCGCACTGCTTTTAAAGGAATCAACAACGGAAAATGAAGGAAACAACACGATACTCCGGGCAACTTTCTTTCTCCTAGTCCAGATATGATGTTCACAGAAGTGTGCCACCTTTACTTTGGTGCCAGCTCGTATCGAGCCTGTTGTTGCCCGCACGTAGCATCTCCAAAATCTCCAAAGAGGGGTTCAGCGTAACATTAGAGCGCGAGTGAGGTCGCCCACACGGGATGACGGGACTGGCAGCAGCGAATCACGGGCAGAGCGGCTGCATTTGCACTCAAAAGATGTCGCTCGGCACTGCTAAGTTGACGGTAGAGAGAGGCGAGAGCAATGCGAGAAATGAGATAATCTCGTGGGCAGTCTCGGCTAGAGTAGGAGCTGCTCCCGGTCATAATTCCAGCAGTTAGAGACTTACCTCCTAACCCCGTACTCTCAGCTACGTTATGGGCATTGATCCACCACTCATCAAGCAGCTCGCGACCACGATCTGCCATGGCAGCCAGATGCAACTTTGCCAGGAGCCCGCCGTCGTCCGGGCCCACGCTATAATTGCGTATCGTCCGCGTACCCGGATCATGGAACCATGCTGCAAACGGTACTTGCAGTGTACGCCGACCTCGTGATTTGCCACTCGGGCAGTATGTAATTTGACGATCTCTCAGCTTTAGAGGCTGCGAAGCAAACGAGGCACAGCCCAGATCAGGAGGCTTGCAGTGACGTAGCCAAAAGGCCCTAGGGCCGCTTCCCCGGATTGCCCCGCCGGCTCCTAGCAATGGTTCGACGCAGCGTCCTGCATGCTCTTCCGAATAATCTCGACTGCTTGCGGGCTGAGCCACTGCCAGATTTGCCACAACCACAGCCCTTGTGGCTCGTGAAGAGGCTTTGGGCCAAGGAATGAGTGGCACTTTGGCTTGGCCGTTGGACATTTGGCGGTGGTTGGCCTGGCATCGTCATTCACTGCCGCTTACCTTGGCACATTGTTTGACTGCTGCTTGGCTGCCGCTTCCCATGTCTCTGCCTCAACCGCTGGGACACTGCACGCCTCTTCTCCCGCGGAGTAACAACTGGCATGTCGAATTCCCGAGTAAGGACGGCAGCCGGGTAGGACGGGAAAGAGACGCGGCTCAGTTTAAATGAAAATGTTACGACGTCGTATTAGTCGTTAGCCCATCAGTTAGTACTAGCATTAGGCAGCGGCAGAGAGCAGCTTGACAGCAGCATTTTGATAATACCAGCAGCTATCTCCAAGCAAATCCCTGCCGCCACCCCTTCTGCCTGCATACACAGCTTCCCCGCACGTTTGGAGATTTGGGTCGCCCGTCGCAGCGCTAACATTGAGGAGCCGAGCCCTAAACTCTGACTATTCAGCCACTGGATGTCGCCTTGCTTACTCGAACTCTTTGCTGCCGTGTTTAGGCTGCTATGAGGTGAGAGGAGCACCGCGTGGGGGATTGTCCTGTTCTGAGATGTGAGCAGTCCACTCCGGAATCGGGCGCAGATTTTTTTTCCCCCCTTCTGCTGGGTCGAAGAATGTCATGCGATGAGGAGACTGAAGAATAAAAGCATGCCACGTACGGAGTACGGCCCAGTTCTCTCGTGATGGCAATTCCCTGCTTTTCTCCTGAAATTCGGGAGTTGTCGGAAGCCTGTGCGAGTGAGAGTGCGAGGCGTGTGAGAGGCAAGAATAAGACGGATTGTCCTCCAAACCTTGGAAAACGAAACAACCAGCACGTGCAAGCCCAGTTTCAGCATCACTTTTTAGCCACCAAAGGCAAAAGAGAAAAACAAGCATCAAGTACACCCGAGCACTAACAAGTGTGTACTAGTCGTAGCATTAAAAAGTAGCAGATGGCTGAATCGGATGCATTTTCCCAGAAACAGCACCAGCAAAAAACAGAATCCAACACAAATCGAGACCCTCCTAGCGCCTTTCCAGGGTCGTCGCTGCGAGATGCGCCCCGCGGGCCCCAATCGCAGCAGCGCGCCCCATTCCCTGGAGCAGATCCATGGAGCCCTGGCGAGCAACTGAGGAGCGCTGTAGAGGCCCCCATCCCTGCACTTGGTGTGGACGCCACACACGCTACCGCGCAGCTCTATCAAGGCGGCGCAGCTGGCCAATCCCACCCGCCAATTGTGCTGAGGCGGCCCATGACAGACGGAAATGCGTCATCAGAACTGGCGATAAGTTCGTTTTCTGTCTCAGGCTGTCTGTTGCAAAAACAAGCACCTTCTAGTCTGGCGTTGTTGCCAATCATCTCTCCGAACAGCTGCGAATGCTTGACTCCCCCCTCTCTCTTCGGCTATGCAGCCCTGGCAAATATCCAGCCGTTCCGCGAATCCCAGAATGCTGCCTGCCCTGGCTTTGGTACATAGTCTACTCATGGCCAAGCCGGAACAGGATCTCGTCCTAGCAGGACCAAGCTTAGGTATTTGTATTAATAGTAGTTGTAACCTTGGATTTATTAAGTTCCAGCCTAAAAAAAAAAAAAAAAAGAGGGTTCCCGTTTTCATATGTCACACCTGTTAGTCTCTCTCATCCCACCCTTTCTCAGACACTGGTCCTGTTCTGAAACTATAATAAGCCTTCATCCTCTTCCTCTTCCACCTTCTCCTTCGTCTTCTCTCTTTTCTTTCGTACTCACTTCATTCCATCTTAAACCACTCTATCACTAGAAGTAAATTCATCATCGAAATTCGAAAATAGAATCCTTCCCACGTTAAATCATCTAAATAAAACATGCCTGCCTACGAGTACTGTTGCCAATGCGGTGGCATGATTGTCATCAGCACCACTTGCACTGGATGCGGCCACAAGCAGTGCTCCCACTGCCCCATGTGCTAAATGCCTGTACAGCAATCTAAATTCATCATTCGACGAGGTTTGTCTTTACATGTGCCCTTGGTATTGCAAGGGCTGGACTAACACGGCTTGAAAAGCATCACTACTTCAAACACGACAAATTATGAAATCCTAGGCCAGCAGGCGTCAAATATCCACCAAAGAGCTTCTTTGATATATACGATCAACTCTTTTTCTCTTTTCACTTCTCTTCTGGAGCGGAGCTCCTTTGCGATACCCTATTTTACGAAACCAATTTTTTTTTTCTCCCCCTCTTCACTTCTCCTTTGGGCTACTGGGAATCTTTGGGCTACGGAAAGTTCGTCGTGGAGATCGCATTCCTCCTACAAAGAGAGCAGATTTCTCTATTTCTTACACCCTTCTTCTTCATTTGTGTTACTAGGTTGCTTTTTTTTCCCGGTTTACTGGGAACAGAATAAACTAGCTTAAAGAAAAACATTACAAACAAAAGAGAAAACATCAATAAAAAAAATTCATTCAAAACAATTCATCTCACATCACAGTACGCATCAAATTATTCATTCTAAATGCTCTATACAAACCCCCATCTCTCCCAGCCTTCTTACACAAACTAAAACTCCTTGACCATGAAATACGTCTTACTCTGCACAGGTCTCTGCTTAATCTTGAAGCCCTGCTTCTCATAAAACGGCACCACCTTACCATTGTCTCCCGCCACGCCGATCCAGATACCTTTGCTCACGCTGCCATCCTGCTGCGGAACATCCTTGATACTGTCAACGAACCGAGAGATGAGCTGCTTGCCCCATCCCTGGCCCTGATACTCGTCCAGCAAATCAATGTGCATTGTCGCCTTGTACTCCGCCAACAAGTCCGCATTGCCGTCCACCAGCAAAAGATGCGGATTATACGCCAGCCGCGACAGAAACACCTCGTTGATGCTCCCGCCCGGCAAGAACAGCGGCTCCTTCAAGTTCAGGTCATCCGGGCGCGTCACCTCGGGCGACGGATCAAGCACTTGCGTCGTATAGGAATCGTATGCGGCCACAAAGGCGGAGATGTCGGGGCATCCAATGCAGTAACCCACTGGCCGGCCGGTGCCGTCGTCAACAACGAAGCAGGTTGTGGGCGAGAGATGCGTGTACTGGTGAGTCCAGACGTACGGGGCCAGTCGGCGGCCGGGTATGGACGGTAAGAGGGCGGGGTTGAGGGTTTCACGGCACTGGATGAGAGACGGGGTTAACGACAAAGATGGGACGAGATTTGGGGTGGTGATGGTGCAACGGTATGATGGCATAGGAAGCATAAGCTGAGATGAGATGAAACAAAGACGAGATGAGACGCTTTTGAACTTACAATGTGAGACATGCCCTCAAAGTCAGAAGGCTTATACGGCCGAATAAACGCCATGGCTCAGGAATGACTCCAATTGGTAACTATTGCTGCGAGGTCTATTTTACTGGTTGTCAGTACAGCTTCTCATGCTTCTGCCTGTCTCAGCGCTTGAACCCCGCATTTTGTGTGAACGGATATAACATGTGAAGAGAGAAAACGCACTTTAGAATAAGCAACTCTGAAAACGCGGTTGTTGAAAGAATACGTCAACGCTATTCGTATTGTATTTATATATGCAGATATAGTTTATATGAAATGGTTCAAAAAAGAAAAAAAAGTGTCGACGGTGTACATCGTCGTCAATCAGTCATGCAAGCTCTTACGTGGGGGAGAAAAAAAAAAGAGGAGATGCTACAGACCGAGAGACCTTCCCCGAACTTCACACTAAAACACAGCCCGTACCCGAAGTAACGTAGCTCAAGCCTCTTTTTCTTCCTTCAGCTCGGGGAACGTGCATCCACAGCCCCGATGCAAAGAGAGCCCCGTGCCATCGTGGGTATTTCCCCGATCCATCTCTAGAAAGAATGCTGAGCTTCGACTCAAATGTACAACTTAATAAGCACCAGTATTCGGAGTAATAGCACAAGCAGCAACGTCTTAGTATAACTCCGAACTTTACACAGACGTCTTCTAATGCAAAGAGTAGGCATTACGGCTAAACAGGAGAAATAGGCAGCAGCCCTTGGAATATGTTTTAGTATCATTTCTTCAATTTGCCTGCTTCGTACGCAGACAATAACTATCAGCAACCTAGACATCAACTAAGTAGCACTGAGTTTTCTCCGCACCCATCACACATGCCTTGCACTTCCTGTACCCCACCCGTAGTATTCCCTTTCCCAATGTGGTTTGCCATGTGCCAGTGCACTCTTAACTAGTAGTCTCGTTTTGTAAGAGCAAATACCGACGCCATGATGATGATTTCAAGTCCCGCCCAATACAGTAAACCGCTTCTCTACAAATAAAGAAATAAAGAAATAAACAAGTATCAGGAATAAAAGGAAAAGAAGTGAAAAGAAAAAAAAAAGAACCCTCAGAAATCAACATCTCTACATCAAGTAAATATAGAGCGTAAGCTGAGGGGAAGAAGAAAAGGCAAAATATCAAAAAAAAAATCAGAAAACAAATTGGAAATGACCCATGCCGTCTTAGGCATCGAGTAGCCGTCGTAGTATTACCAATCAATATAGTGGTGGAAGTACCTTTTGTCGTCTTTTACTTGTCTGCCTTGGTAGGCTAAATAGGAGACCCCGAAGTGGCAAGAGAAGGAGTAATAAAACCGTAGCGCTCTCTTCCCTCATGGGAGGGAAAGGCCTTAGATGACGCCGCCTGGAAGAAATCTACCACCAGACATGTTTCCTTGAGGCATGGGTGGTCTCATACCGTTGCCGGGAGGGCTGTTTCGAGCTCTCAAGCTAGTGCCTTCGCTTGTGGCCTTGCGGAGTTTCTGACGGCGCTGGGCCAGCGTATCGTCGTCCGACTCGTCGTGGGTTGGGAAACCTCCGGCAATCCGCGATGCTGACATGTCATCCTCGCTGGCTCGACCAAGATTTTTGCGTCGAGGGTTGATTGGCGGCAGCGGAGGGGCAGCTGCATTGGATAGCAGGTTAGGCGTGGATGCTGTTGCTCCCATCAAGCTGCCGGTTCTAGATCTTGTACCCATGCTAACCGGAGAGGTCATCGGGGAGGGCTGTCCCATCGGGGAGGGCTGTCCAGCGTCGTAGGGACGTCGAGCACTTGGAGGACCATGTCTCATGCCAGAGGCGCTTCTGGCACTGCCAGGTGGGCTGACCGGCGTATGCTGATCGTCGTATGCGTTAGATCCATTGCGTAGCCGCATTGGTCGGAGGGGTGGCGGGCCAGTGTTGCTCGTTTCTGATCCGCTCCTCTCTCGCTCTGAAGGGGCTCGCGAGCCTGCTCGGGACGCTGCGCGAGAACCACTGCCATGCCTAGACTCATCACGCGCCTTTCTATTAAACATGGCTGGTGGTGGGCCGCCGATGTCATAAGACCCTACGCGCGAACCCATTGGAGGTCGTTCGGAGGGTCGCTGTATTGATTCGAGATCCTTCATCTTCTGAAGCTCCATGCGTGCTTGACGGAAGGCCTTCAGGCCGACATGGATGCTGTCTTCTTTGTCGGTTGCAGCAGCGTCTTCCGCAGGCCGTTCTCGGGCTTGTGTCGATCGACCTCTGCGCGAATCTTCCGGATTCTCCGTAGATCCTCGGCGAGACGGTGACGACGCTCCGTTTGAGGCCGAAGACATGACAGCCTTCATGGCTCTCGGTTGACTCTGGTCACGAGCTTGACGGTCAAAGAGTGAAGTGTGGCTAGACTTTGACTTCAAGATTCCCAATGCATTTGTCCGCGGGGCACTGACGTCTCTGAGATTCTCCAAAGATGGTTTCGCACTCGGGGAAGATCTTTCCATTTCAGCTTCAACTATGGCCATAGAGCCTAGCTTCTCACGAACACGGCGAGCCCCATCTGCAAGATGACGTGCAAATTCATCATCTTCTCTTTCTGCCTCATCAATTGGCACCCTAGGGCGAGAAGGAGAGCGAGACATCATAGGTCGCACGTTGGCGGTCTGTTTTGCCGAGCTTAAACTATTATCAAAACCAGGGCTCCTCCGCACAGTGCTCTGCGTGTTGCTCTGTACGCTGCTCGGCTCCGCGTCTTGTGCCAGCACTCCGTAGATTGAAGAGGCATTGCTGTCGCTTCGTAGATGAGCTCGTACCATCCCGCTCAAACCGCTATTTGGCCCCAAAGTGGGAGAGTCTTGCGGAGGCAAAGTGACAGGACTGGGTGTTGATGAAAGACCTCCGGGTGATCTAGGAGGCAGTGACAGAGGGGCGGGGACAGCGGTATTCTTAAAAGCCGGATGGTCACCATCATCAGGTCTCTCAACAGAAACCCGGGGAGGGTTGGTAGAATTCAGCAATCCACTAAGTACGGACGAATCGTCGCTATCGTCAAAGAAGGACGGAGGTTCTTCGGAAACATTCTTGGCTCCAGCAGATTCAGTATTCTCCAGTGATTGTTTTGGCACTGAAGAAGCTTGCGGTTTGTCATCCGATGCAGCGGAGACGCTGGATTCCATAGAGCGGTGGTCCTTTACCGGCGTTTCTCGTCCTTGTTGTAGCTGCAGCTGTCGTTGAGCATAAGTGGATTCGTCATATCTCTCAGCGGGTCTATCGAAAACGCCCATCGCCGTGGCCTTGCCTCTGTCGTTAGGTTGGATCGAAAGCAGTGGGTGGTCTTCGGTTTCACTAATGGGAGGGCTAATGGGTGGTACTCCAAAGTTTGGCTTGGGAGAAGCTGCACTTGGGAATCTGGAGCTGGGCTCAGCGGGAGAAGGTGATGCAGAGCCGGTGAATGAGGGGCTGAAAGACCGCAGGTTCGGGGCACTAGCCTTGGCCAATAGATTCGGTCGACGCTCCAGAATACGATCGCCAAATGCACCAGCGAGGGGAGAAGCCACATCTGGAGTTACAGGTCCAAATGGTCGTCCCTTTGACAAATTATCCATCCTAGACATGGCCGACGACTGCTGCTCGTGAAGCTCACGGTTTAACCCCTGCTCATACAGACGTCTTGTCCTTAAGACACTTCGTTCGGCAGAAGAAAAGGAATTTGATGGCGTGAGCTGGGAATCTTTGACAGATGAGGCTCCCTGAGATGTGACCGATGTCGCGGCAGAGAGACGAGCTGCGACTGATGAAATTGTTGAGCTCGTCTCCCGTCGGCGACTGGCATCGGATTGAATCTCTGACTGAGATTCTAGCTGAGATTCCTGCTCAGATTCCTGCTGGATATCCTGCAGCGATTCCAGCTGAAGTTCTGACTGAGGCTCGAAATCAGCCGTGCTATCAGGCTCGCCACCTTCGGCAGCCTGTCTTTCCTTTTCCGCCAACCGCCATTTCTGGAAAGCCGACATTCCAACATCGTCATCGTAAATCGTCCTGGAGGACATGTTACCGTCCTTTCCGGCACCAGAACTATTCGCCGGGAGCCTGTAGACTTTCTGCCGACCACCAAATAAGTTATTTCCATCAACAGGCTTCGCCCGGTTCATAACACTTCCGTTTATGGAGCCAGTATCTTCCAGACTAAAGCCATCCAGGCGAGAGATAGAAGGCGTCCTTATCGATTCCACCTCGGCTATATCTTGAAGGCCTCCAAGACCGAAATCTGTCATCTTTGACATTCCCTTGGGAAAAAGAACGCTGTCATCACTTGCTTTGCCTACTTTGGTTGTGGGGTCATCTTGCTCTCGAAGCATAGAAAAGCGGGCTGACAGGCCTGTCATGAGCAAGCTGGTTCTGAAGTCATTAGTAGAAGGCAAGGCGGTGCTCAGGTCGAGTTCAAGTTTATTCTCTTCGACCTGGCCTTTCTTCTTGCTAAACATTCGAAATGGGCCCGCGGACTCTGATTCCATGGACGGACGGACGCTTTCCGCCTCATCCTTCCCCTTCTTCTTGTTTCGGAAGACATTCATCTTGCTTAGGCTGCGTAAGGAGCGCGGACACGGACAATAAAGTATCGAATCGAGATTGTTAAGCCGAGAATGCCGGGTATCGTGTCATTCATTCGCCCAATATCTCTAGCGAGATACCGTTTGCGAAACCAGACTACGGCAATGTCAGTATCAAACGTATAGCCAGCGCCAAGATGTATCATATATATGTGTGTGCAAACGAAGATAGCAATGCCGAAGCTCAGGGATAGGCCAAAATAGACAAACAATACCAACCGAACAATTATAGTTACGGCATTGCCTTTGATACGAACGAAGGGGGGGTTCTCCCCCTCCTATTCGCTTCTCCCCTCCTCTTTCTTCTCCCTCTCGAGATAATACATCGGAGTTTGAATTCTTTTGAGAGGTCCAAGGTCCAAGTTTCCTAGTAAAGTGTAGGTTTGACGTACCAGATAATGAAGGATTAGCACGAGGCTAGTCTTGCGAAACTCTCTCAAAGAATATCCTATCCTTCAGAGCAGAGAAAACGAGCGTGTATGTATATCTCAAAAGCAGGGCTTCGTTCCGGAAGAGTGAAATACAGTTGATCAATGAATAGTGACTATCGATGCTGGGTTATCAGGTTGCTTAATGCGTGACACTCGATGAGTACCAGTGAAATAGGCTTGCAACAGAAGGCGTAGAGGTATTGAATCGTGATCGCGCGATGCCTATCAATGGATAGCGACAACTCAGCCTTGCCCATAAAAGGGGAGGAGGTTTGCAGAGCTCGTGAGTCCAGAAATTGGGTTAAGGAGCGTCGGGTATCACAACGAAATGGCGAAAGAAAGCATGCTTCGAAACGGCAGAAGTCGGCAAAATGCGTTGATCGATTGCAGGCACGGAGATGGAAAGGAGCGTGAGGGATGAAGCGCCGCGGAAACAGAGATCTCGCCTGCTAGGGGAAACGAAGCAAGAAACGAGAGCGGGCAGAGAGCTGGTCTTGAGGCAACGCCGTAGGCAGCGGATGAAGAGGAGAAGAGAAAAAAAGAGTGGAGAGAGAAGCACGGCAAGGGCAGAAATTGGGATTCTGGACGGCGATGCGAAGAAGGGGCGTGGATAGCATGGATGGGCAGAAAAAAATACGGAGAACGAGGTAGTGCAGCTCGGCGGCAGCTGAACATGGGGATAGCGCAGCAGTGATGGCGGTCGTACCTGAGCCACTAGCCGCTGCCTGGGCCTAATAGCACTGCAGCACAGGCACAAGAGCCGCTAACAGGCCGTAGCATGCAGCCACTGCAGGGGGTCCGGGCTCAGGCCGCTGGACATGGTGGGCAACAGGGGCCGACTAGACTTTTCTTTTTCTTCTTGCGCATCAACGGGCAGTTTGAGATGGCAGACAGCTCTCTGATGGCTTCAGGTCAGCTCCACCGGCCCCTTCCCAGCGCTGAGACCCGGCAAGACAGCGGCACTGGAGGCTTCTTCCGCCGTGTGTGGGAGGGTGGGCGTTCCCCTGATTTGCCGACATGGGCTGGGCGTGAAACCTTGACTCAGCCCTTTTCGCTCTGTCGCCCTTGCAGTGAAGGCGATCAGCAGCACATGAGCTCTTGAGATTGAGCTCCAGCTGCCAGGTACCTTTTACTTGGGATGTTGCTGCACGCACTACTGCTGGTGGCGCCCGGTAATGAATATGGATGTCGTGGCGCAAAAAGCGGCCTAGCGCCAGCATTCTGTGCTCGCGACACGGCTCAACAAAGGCACAGTCGGCGGTCCTTCATTAATCCTGCTCCCCTCCGCGCGCTCTTGGTGTTGATATTGCCAATCTCTCAATCCAACGCAGCTGCAGTGCAACGTCAGCCAAAGCAATGCCGCTGCCGCCGCAGCATTTTTTCTACGCCAGATCCACAAGGGGATTGTGATGCTAATGCCGATGCTAATACTGATACTAGTGGCTATCAGAGCTCGAACCACGCAGGCACGCCACTAGTGCCCCGACTCCAGATGGCATGGTTCTGGTAGGTTTGGTGATGCGCCCGTTCCCCAGCATGCATGCAAGCGATATTCGTCACAGCCATCGCGATGCGAGCCTTCGCAGCACCGCAGCATCGGCCGCCCAACACGGCAGGAGGCTCGCCGCGAATATAAATGCGTCTGCTCGGGGAATGATCCGTCTGTGGCCAGCATTTGCCTGTCACAAGTACTCCTTTGTGCATCATTTGCTCCATCTGGCAAGGCAATAAGTCATCCGGTCTCGTTCTGCATCTCATTGGTCCGCGGATAACGCAAGGAGGCACGCGCAAGTACGGGTAATGAGCGACAGTTTTCGCCCTATCCACAGCCAAGGGGAAATGGCAGCGAGCGGCTAAGAGCAATTGACAAAGCGGCTCTCTCGTTTTCTTTCTCCTCCACCGCAAAGCCCGCCGACAACCGGCATATTATTGACAGGTCGCAAATGCGGTGCTGGCCGGGCCACAGGCAGACTAGAATGTAGATGCATTGCCTTATATGGCCATTTTGATACTGCTGCCGTTCCAATTACGGGCGGCCTGCTGGCGTCTCTGATCCATTCATGGACTTAGACTTTATGACCGCATGCTGGTTCCAATTACCAGCAGTATTCATGCATCCTATCTTACCCAATTCTCACGACAAAGTTCGTGCTGCTGCTACTATCGTTTGCCGCCCAGCATCTCCACTTATCAGGCCAAGGGTTTGGCACCCACATCCATCGGAGCTGCATCGCGCATGCAGGTACTCAGATGAGAGATCCTCTGCGCGTTGGGCGTCCGAAACAGCCGAATGGCAAGCGATGGCGGCGTCTCGGGACAGTCGGAGCTGGGAACGAAAAACGAATTGTGGAAAGGAAGCGTCGTGACCTTTCGCTTGTGAAACCCCCCGGATGGCAAAGAGATTGGTCGTCTCGCATGATCATCACAAGCTGATTGAGCGCTACCTGCACGCTTATGCCCTCCCGGCGAATAAACTTTGATCAACAAAGTCGCAAAAGATCCTAGTTACGATGCTAGTCAACGGTCCAACGTGGAGCACGTGTGAAGGACATTGGACAGAGAACTCGTCGTTCAGTGCATATCACAATACTGCTCGCAATACTACCTTGCTCAGAAAGATGCGTGATACTAGGTACCTAGTCTATAGCACTTTATGGCCGAAATGAGGGTTGAACATACCACCGTAATAGTGGCACTTCTTCTTCCTCCCCTTCTTTTCATTTTTTAATTGCTCCTCTGCTGACCCACTAACCGCACTGGCAGGTTTCGTTTTGATGTTCAAGATTGACGAAGCGACGATCGGTTCGACCCGCTCATTCGTTCATCGCCGTGTCTATTTTGTGGCTATGCTGGGGCGATTATCGCCACAAGCCACTGCTATCAAAAGGCACCAGAAGTTAGGCTGAGCCTATGGCACGGAAGATCACGACCTTTGTTCTTCCAACACCGTCTCCCTTGCATGTGCGGCACCTAGAGATATCCTGGAAAAGGCAAATTACTGGATGGACGGATGGTCTGATATATAACATTAGTTGGTGGGGTGAGAGCACTTACTGGTGCTAGCACAAGCCACCAGAAAGCGCCACGGAGATCTACTGGTAGGCACATGCAATAAGCTCAGGCTGCTAGTGGTATCGGATGCTACCTCAAATATCATGCCTCTTCTGCGCAAGACGTCCAGATGAGGCTACTCGTACCTGTTGAAGACAACAAGGCACCATGGCGTGTTACCAAAACACGGTACAGTATGCTACGCTACATAGGAGGACCTGTATGACTTCACAGCTCACTAGTGCTCGACTGCCAATGCCGATTCTATCTTGACCCGACGCTATGACAGGGGACGCACGGTGGGATGGTCATCGGCGCTCGGTTCCCAGTATCGCGCACCCAGCACAGAAGCCTTGGCGCACGGCACGAATCCACGGCTTCACGCATGGGTCACGAGATCATCTGCTCAACGGCTGGGCACAGAAACGGAGGACTCCGAACTCTATAAGATTACAGTAGTTCTCAAATTCTCTCCTATTGCGAGTTCAGGGCTGTGGCAGGTGGCTCGGATAATCTTAAGCGTCCCGAATAGGCCCATGCGAGCCAGGGCCAGGACCAAAAATGCCCAGGCCTAGGCCGAGACAAATCTCCCCCACAAACATGATTCATCTATCCGCAGCTCGTAGCGTTTACAGTCTCAAAAGGCAACTGCATCACATATAATACTAATAAGCAGCCAGTGTTATGGACTGCCTTGCCAACGCACAGAGGTCAATGAAAGCGAGACAAGAAGATGACGATATTCACCATATACCTAGATAAGCACTACTAGGTACTCAGATCTTGGGTTCAACACAAACACTTTTACTATCAGGGCTCTGCCATTTGCTTGGCTCTAGTTCACCTCCCGGTAGTTTTGTATTGGTTTGGAATTGGAAGTTTTGATAACTACTAACCACGCAGTCACTCAAGGACCGCCAGCACACCTTCGACTGGCAATGAAGGATTAGCAAATACTAATGGAATTGGGAGCAGTGAAAACCGGTGCGCGCCGGAGAGAAAAAAAAAAAAAAGCATGCAAAGAGTCAAAATTCGACATAAGAGAAATTTTTTCTACCAAGGCAAGGCAACTCCTCACAGAGACAGCTTGTTCTCAACTTTACACGGTCCCATAAAAAAAAAATACCCCTGGCTGGAGCTAAGTCAAGCCAGTACAGTCCCATAATTCCGTGGGCCAACCAAAGGCCTGTTCCTGACGCTTAACTTGATTTGGGATCTCGTCTCTCCCTGACAAGCGATCCAGGGGCTGCCCAAAGCGACGGTGGGGTGCGAGTAATATACATGCCAGAGGCTGCTGGAAGTTGTCGAATGTCTAGCGGCCCTTAGCACTCGCAACCGCGCCAGAACTCGAAACACAGCTCGAGGGACCAGGAGCTGAAAAGGTACCGTGACGGCATAAACTGTCCATTTGTATCAGCTTCGTTCTCAGCTGGGAGAGATGAAAACGCAACGTTGGCAGGGTTTACAGCTTCATGGAACGCAATGATGAAGTTGGAAAGATGCAGAGAAAGAGTCCTCTACACCACGCAACGAAGAACGAAAAAACCATGAGTCGTCCGAGCCCATCAACAACCTAGTGTCCGGCGCGGCAGCCCAGAAAATGACCAGGTCAGGGCATAAACCCCGTGAGCCAATTCCGTGGAAATGGTCGTTGACAAGGTTAACCCGGCAAAAAGCCACGTTGGCCGAGCCCTCAATGCTGGCCCTGCCAAAAGAGATGCCTGTGGGGACCGGGGATGCTGGTCAGTCATTATACAGTAGCAGTTAGCTGATACGCCGGCTTCTGTGACGGAGGGATTTGGATTCTCTCATTCGAAATATTACAGCCCTGCCAGCGAATTTGCCGCACGTCGTTTTTATCCGAGGCGGTTCATGTGTGTATGAGTGTTATTGCTTGTCTAGTGGTGTACTTTTGCGAGGTTCATTGTCTTCTTTGCGGCTGAGAATACGAGCGGATGATATTGATCATCACTGTTTTCAGGTGATGGACGTCATCATTGCTTAGTATTCATGGGGATTGAGATAATACGTCATACAATCACACAAGAGACGTTGCTAGACTGATATGAGATGCGTGTTAGTACTCCGTATCATGAGTCTCCATCTGGCCAGGTCGCCGCTCTTGATCTCTGTGGCTCTTACCTTAGTGCTGCAGCCGCAATATCATGATCGTACTACTCTAATGCCCACCACCAACATGTGGTGTAGTTGGTAAGAAGCAATAGGAGTATGCACATCACTCTACAGCGGCTTCCATCTACCTGAGACAACTACTCCCGTCGTGCATTAACCGCTTACCCAGGAAGATGATGTCTGGCCGACTAGTAGTAGTAGTAGCAGTTATTCCAACGCCTAAATAGCTCGATCGACGATTGATCGAGCTTTCCGGCTCACCTATATCCACCCATCCTCCACTCCCCTGCCTGCGCAACACGAAAAGCACACTTACGAAGTAGTAGTACCACTATGCTACGACGGAGTGCTAATATCTGCAATTTGTCGGCATGGGTACCGCTACCGCTACTGATGGAGTAGAAGCTCCGCGCAGTTAACCCCCGAGCTCATAGAATAGGACTATTACAGGATAGGGAAGTGCTTCGCTCTCATTTTATATGTATATATATCTCACACTTATTCGCGACATGAAGAGCCACTACGGGTTTGATACACATTGAAGGATAAAAGGAACAAATCGACTGCGGCGCCTACTAGATAGTATCTGACTGAGCCTCACACTCTAATTGGCAACATTCCAACCGAGTATACACCATCACCACTACCGCCCGCTGTTTCACGCAACAAAGCACCCCATTCGAGACATTCCCGCGTCTCCATCTCGCTGACTGTCCCCAATTCAGCCTAGCAACAATCACCAAGCAAACAATGCGATGCGGGGTTGGCAACGAGTGGTTTTGAATGCCCACACCTCACACGATCACGCGGTGCCGCTTAGAAAAACCTTGTGAGACCAAAGTTTCGATGGCGAGGAATCCCGTGCCGCTTTGGGATCCTTTGTTCTTGATTGAGAAATAGACTTTTTTGTCTAGTGTAGCACCCTAGTATATATTAAATATAGTGTGCTTGTGATTAGTCTCGTAGCCTTTTGTTTACAAATGCATGTTTTGACTACTATAAGGTATTTGGTTGATTAATAAATGGACCGTTTGAGAGGTAAGCTCATTTTATAAGAATTCCTACCAAGGCTCGGTTTATCCACTATTCAAAAGCGACGTCATGTAAGAGTGAACTCTTCAATCATACTAGTTTGACAAAATCAATGGCTTTGCATCCTTATCCTTTGTCATCATGTAGGCTAGCATAAAAAAAAAAAAAAAAAGAAGCACCAGACCCGACAGAAACTTTATAAAATGGTGTATGTGTATGGCGAGCTAATAGATTCCTTAAGTTCGCCTAAATCCACATTATCGAAGTAAAAATCTACATTGGATAGAAAGCTTTATCATTACATACTAGTACTATACTCTCAGTGATCGTACATTGTACCCGTCCATCGTCCATCTCCATCAACGGTCTTCATCCCCCTTTCCTCTCATATGAGCTCAAATTAACGGCTAATAGACCAGCAGATACAATCTGCGCAAACCCCCCCACACACCCCCCCAACCAAAACTCAACATCGTAGCAACCTTCCAGCTCGAAGAGTCCACAGCAACCGCCCCGAGCGCCGTAAAAAAGGAATAACAGCCAAAAGCGTCATGAAACTAAAATCTCGTCGCTGAGACTCTCAGCTCGTAGCTCACCACAACTAGATACAGCGTGCAAAAACGCAGAGAGAAGCTGAAGGAACAACCGGCTCAATAGAGACCAAAACCCATCATCTATATGAAGTTTGTCAGCGCTCAGGAGCAAGCCGGCTCTCGTGTTCTGCTGAAGCGCAATGACAACCATCATGCCGCTGACTGAGCTAAAGAGCAGAAGCGTCATTACAAGAGTAGTCTAATAGAAGATGAAAACCGCAGCATCACACTGCTAAAAATAAAAGGCTTTTGCGAGGAAATTGATAGCTGGCAGCCGCACAACTGTCATATATCATTCATCTTATTCTAAACTAGAACTTAATATCATAAAGGGTTCCCAATGCACACTTTCAAGCATCAAGCACCAATAAATCACCATCAAAAGAAATAGAAAAAAATTAATGTAGTAGCAGCATAGGCAAGTTCATGCAAAGTGCTCTCTAAAGAAGTTATATCTATTAAACCGTTCAAGGATGACTATAGATCCACGGGTCCCACATTTTAAACATGAGAATAAATGCCATCTATAAAATAAACCAAATATCCAGTGCATCAGCAGGTATATATATGCAATATGCCAAATGCCAAATAACCCAAGAGAAAACAACGCATTTCTCCATCTGCACATCACACGACTTGTTGTCTTGCACAAGTCATTCGTAACAATTGCCACATTCGCATCTTCAACGCATGTCAAATCAAAATAATAACTCCGTGTGTATAATGTCTAAACCCCACACAAGTAAGATAAAGTTAAAATATGATGGTGAAAAACTTTTTTTTGTTTAGAAAGAGAGGGGAGAAGATGAAGGTGTAGAAGCCTTTTTTTTTTTTCCTTCTCAAGGAAGCTTTACTCCTTCTTAGTCTTCTTGAGCGACTTCTTAGGCATGCGAGCTAGCCAGTAGACGCCCAAGGCAGCGAAAATGTTGAAAACAATGTACACCCAGATCAGGCCAAAATTCCTCCATCGCTCGGAGTAGTGGCTGCCAATACCAGCCAAGTAAGTGTTGGTCTCGGAAATAGAGCAGTAAATACACTCAGTCGTAGAGTCAGGGTTGATGAGATTGCCTCCAGTGGCGTTGACAAATGTAGCAAGGTACTTGCCACAGGTTTCACCCGAAGGGGGTTGGATCCTGACAAACTCGTTGTCGGCACAGTTGACCACAGTGTTTGCAACACCAACCGATAACATGCCATTGACCAGATAACTAAATGGTGAGACTCGGTACTACAAAGTGCGTTAGTAAAACAAACTTTATATATATAAAAGGGTGGAGGCAGCTTACCATGAAAATCCAGAAGCGAGGCAGAGAGGATGAAGTAGCAAGGACACCACAGAAGATCAAGCAAAGAGTGAACATCAAGTTGGCAATGTTTGCACCAGCCTCAGCCGTCTCAAATCCAGCAATAATAAAGGTTGAGAAGGTACCGCTGAAGATGAGGAAGCTGAGGATGAAGAGGAACATCAGAGCACCGCGCTCAGAAACCTCACCAGTGGGCTCGGCGTTGCGATACAGGCCGACAGGGTAGTACCAGCAGAAGTACATGATGACGGCCATCAAGCTGTTCCAAGGCAGTTCGACAAAGATCTGAGAGAGCATGAAAACCTTCCATGAATAAACCTTTGATGGTCGTTCGCGAACTTCGTATAGAGATCGCTGAATGACAAACTGAGGCATAGATTGTTGGATAAGCTGGCCGAAAATAGTAAAGAGCTGGAAGATGGAAAACATCTGGTTCTGGAGACCCTGTTGAGTGTTGGGAGCCTTGTAGAAGATGAAACCAATGAAGAGCGCAACCAAGGTGCAAAGAGCAGCCTTGGAGTAGATGTAGATGGGAGATCGCCAGTATTGCTGGAAAACACGGAACAGGTTCTCCTTCAACTGGACCATGAAGGGTGCGGCGAATTCATTGAACTTGGTAGGATCGTCTTCGATTACGCTGACCTCTGCAGACTTCTCTCGCTTAATGTTCTCGAGTTCGGTCTGGACGGCTTGGTACTCGGGGCTGTCTCGCCAAGTTTGGAACCAGTTGATGTCAGTGTGGGATCCAGGGGCAGCGCCAATGACTTCAAGCATCCATTCAGCAGGGTTGGCTTCAGGTGGGCAAGCGTGACCACCATTCCTCTCGAAATAGCTTGTCAATGTCTGTGAGTTTTCGCCAATATCACCAAAGTAGACGGTCTTGCCGCCCTTGGCCAAGAAGAGAAGACGATCGAACCGTTGGAAGAGCATAGCAGAAGGCTGGTGGATGGTGCAAAGAACAGCCTGGCCAGCCTTGGTCAGCTTCTCGAGGAGATCCAGAATAGCCCAAGAGGTTTGAGAGTCAAGACCAGAAGTGGGTTCGTCGACGAAGAGCAACAGAGGAGGTTTAGCAGCCAGCTCGACACCAATAGTGAGACGCTTACGCTGCTCGACGTTGAGACCTTCGCCAGGAACACCAACGACGGCGTCGGCGTACTCCTGCATATCCAGGAGCTTAATGACTTCGTTAACGTAGGCGAGCTTCTCTTCTCGAGGAACGTGGGCAGGCTGTCGAAGCAGAGCGGAAAAGTTGAGGGCCTCGCGAACAGTGGTTGTTTGCAGGTGCAAGTCTTGCTGTTGAACATAGCCAGTCTTGCGTTGGAAAGAAGCATCACGGGGCCTTCCATCAACAAGCATTTCACCAGTAATAACACCCATAGAAGTACGATCAGCCAAGCAGTCCAGAAGTGTGGTCTTTCCAGCACCCGAAACACCCATCAGGGCGGTCAGAGTACCAGGCTTGACCCAGCCATCGACATTATCCAGAATACGGCGTGTTTCGCTCTTGATCTTGACCTCGTAACAGACATCATGCCACTGGAAGACAGAGGTTTGTCGTTGGAGCATACCTTCCTTTGTTCGCTCAGATGTCAGGATAGGGCCAATGTTAGCCATCGCAGCCTCGGGATCCTGAGCCTTCTTCTCGGCGTGGACAGCAGCCGTGGGCTTGTGACCG